GATGGAGCCCCAAACGACTGCGAGTCCGACGTCTGCGGGTATGGAATAGAGAAGGTCGGAGAGGAGAAGGAAGGCGAGGAAGGCGCGGAAGAAGGCGGAGAAAGCTGTACACTGGGGTGGCACTCGAACGGCGACTGCAAGCGTTGACAGTTGAACTCCGAATAGAATTCAGGTGGGTACTGGTCGTCTTGTATGATAATGTCCTCCGAAGTGTATGGATCGGTGATGAGACCCTTACGTGGGTACATAAGCATTATGGTGGGGGACGTCAGAGGGTTTGCCACCAGGGAAGGCGAGCTTTATATGTATCCGAGGGCGCAAGATCCGAATAAGATTTCCTGATCAATTGCCGTGTGGGTTTGTAAGAGACTTTGGGACGAAACTTGGGGTAGCGAAGAGTCTGGAAACGTCGGGAGGCTGATCGAATGGATGAGTAGTAGAGTTGGATGGTACTGGGTGGTGGGTGAGTTTGGTTCTGGGTAATGACTCGACCGGAGGAAAGTTAGAAAATATATGATATCAAGAGTTGGAAGTATGAGTAATGAAAGAGAGGGAGAGACAAGAGATATAAGTAGGCCATGACCTCACATAGGTAACGGAGTGACCGAAATACCGTATAGGCTTCTGACACTAGGCCAAATCGAGAGTAGAATGGTAATATTACATACAATACCGAGTCCCACTGATCTGGGGATCTTCCGTGGCTTACATGAGGAAGCCACATCTCCACATTCAGCCAGTGGCATTATTCGCATCGTATTATTTGTTAGGATTGATTATTCGGATTGTTACAGAGACTTAGTCATAGTCAATAGTAGTTGTATTTGGTCATGACAATGTGAGAGTAGTAAAACAGTACCTACAGTGTTACCATGGCCAAGCTCGCTTAGAATTTTATTTTATTTTTTTCCTCCCCTTGTCTAGAACTAGCTCAAGGACTCGGGTGACCGCGCCAAAATTAGGACTAGGAGGAATGGGGGTGGAGTCGGCCGAAGGGATTTGTAGGGCTGAGCCACACCTAGTTTTGTCGGGACTTGACATTCGGCCCAACAGTGAGTCAAGCAGAACCTGCCAGAAGTGATTGGTAGCCATTAGTAGCCGATTACCCTAATGGATTAGTGGACGATCGGAAAGTTGTGTGTACACTCCCCCCCCCCTCTGGCTTCGTATTCTCGTATCTTCGTATCGTGCATAGTGTGCGTCTCTTTCATCCCTGCACTAGCCACTCAATGTGGCTAGTGTGAACTGGCTCGGGACCGCCGCCCCAACGGTATAGCATTCCCACATGGAGTAGCTAGCATTGGCATGTACGTGTATGCGCTCACCCAACCACTGTCGATCGAATCTCAAGACTCGGTTGAGTGTGGCTGTGACTCAAGTCATTGTCTTGAGATGTCTCCAATCGGCGGGTTCCGATGAGACTTCTCGGCCGTCGAGTCAGCTGACCATGGCATGATAGCGTCGAGTCGGACAATGCAGTCCATGGTTCGTTGACCAGCTGACTCGATCTTGAGTCACCCCACAATCTTCGCGATACTTTCAAGTTATCTTAGCTGCACATTGACTGCAGTTTGATGGTAAGCGCTTGTCTCTAGCTCGCAATAGGCTCGGCGGGAATCTCCCATTTTGGGACTGGAGTGGTCACATGGTCAATCGACTCATATGTGACTAATGATGCACTAAAAGTCCTCGACTCATGTACTGTATACAGTATCTGATTACTAGGTATAAAGAATAAAAATAACAAAAACAATAAACACAAATCAAGTCCCGTGTAAATAAATTAAACTGAAACGGGCAAGTGATTCGAAATGTGCAGGGGATAGAATTTTCCCTGTAGATCAGATCCCTCTGCCACGCGGAACTGTTAGCCGTGCAAAGTGTAAAAGGTGTACTGCAGGTCAGACTCGAAAATTTTCTACTAGCGCTGTCATGCTCCGACCGTGCATATGGCTTTGACCCTAAATGAATATCAGATCGGATCGAGGGGCTCCGAGCCGAGCACGCGAATGGGTGGCAAATCCCGATTCTTTCACCTGAACGTTCATTTGCAAGTAACGAAATAAGACACTACTGCAGACCAACATCTTACTAAAACCCATGTGACCAAATGTTGAGAATCGGCACGTTCTCGGGTAAGCCTCTAACCCCGGTCTGGACAGGCCGAGACGGGTCCGGGGGTGTGCCGTGTCTACCGAACACTCTGGCCCCATCTCCGGATTCTGCACTTCTGCAGCCTACTCTTAGATCCGAGATCTTGGCGTCTAGTTCACTTGCCAAAAAAAAAAACAAGCTGCCTAAACCCCCCAAAAAGTGTAAAGTAGAAAATGTGGCTGCTCGGGCTTCTCGGGTTGATCCAAAGTCTGGGGGTGGCAAGTTGAGCGCCAGCACCAGCTGATCCAAGTGTCCGGCCCACGTAGATTAGATCAAAATGGAGTATAAACGGAGAAACCAAGCGCGGCCGCAGTACATACATAGACATGGTGTGTAAGACACCTTCCCAAATCTAACAAGAATTAGCGACCTTCTACATCAAGACAGCACAACACGAACAACACACTCTCAGCCCGTTACCAAAACAGTATCCCTGCATGAGAAAAATTTTCCCATCGGCAAGCAATCCCGACCAAAAAAAGTGTCAGCACTTTAATCAGCTGGGAAGGGTTCTCGGGCAGCATGAACGAGCCCTACAGACCAACTAGCGCGACTGAAATCTCATATTTAGAAATGGCCTAATGCAAGGAAAGAATTTTCAGTGTCTTTCATTGGTGCTAGTGTCAGGTGCACAGCCACGTACTCGGTATTGCCGTTACGCTGTTCTCCGTTGCCGGTTTAGCCTTGTTAGCGTATTTTTGACCGCAGGTGTGCCTCTGCATGTAATGGTCATTTCCAGTCCATTCCAGAAGGGGGTGAATTAGTGGCTCAGGCCTTTCCTCTTTTGGTTTGGTGCGGTCGTTTTCGGGCTTCTGGAAGCCTGCTATTTTCGTGCCGGACTATCGGCCTCCGGGTATCGCCGTAGCTAGGTTTTCCTGTTTCTTTTACACTAGGATGGCTTTTTTTTTCTTCCCGTTTCAGTTTGGCTGCATGGTGGTAGTGGAAGAGTTTTTCTGTTGCTTCACATTGGTCATTGATGAACGTTGATTGCATCTGTGGCTTGTTTCTTTGTAATTCTGATTATGCTATCATTACCCACTGTAAATGACTCAGTGGCTGTCACGTGGCTGAAATGTGGTACCCTGGACACGTACATCCTGTATTCGTCAGCTAGGATCAAAGACTTCGATAAAATTAGTAAAAATGTTTGGAAATCTTTCCTTGGCAGATCAAGGCTTATGTGGCTTGTTGCGGTGATAGGATGCAAGGGGTACCGGATGTTTTATTTGGTTGCCTACTTAATATTTTTTCTAGAAGCTAGACTCGCCATGTGAGGAATGCTACAGTTTCAGCTGGAATGTTTGGAGGGATTGGTATTTTACTTTCAAGCCAGGAGTCAACTTTACATGTGATCAAATGGTGAGGTATGATCTCCCTTGTACTCCGTATTGTATCGGATTTCATAGATAGAGGTTCAGATGGACCTTGACCAAGTCACCGGGACAGCCACCGGTGCGGCTGAAAACCCATGTGGATTTTGCCTCCAACTTTATTCTGATGCCTAGGTGTGTGAAAACTGCTCCAATACCTTTGAATCGGATTGGACCTTGAATATCTCATGTCGAAAATAAGTGCTGCAGAGCTAGTGGGGTAACAAGTATGCAATCTGCTCTCCACCCTCCGAAACACTGAGTGATTCAGTCGCTTTGTGTTGAAAACACACGCTGCTGTACCTGAGACAATACGTGTTATCGGCCACGTTTTATTCTTCGTGGTTTCAACCTACGCATTCTTTTACGCAATATATTAAAAATAGACAACGAAGCTTTGTATCTGTGTCTGCCTGTTGCGAAAATGAAAATACGTGAGTAAGGCCAACAATGGTCAAATATATATTTTATACAACGCTCCCGAGCGTTGACTTGGTTAAAAGGCTACGATGCAAGTAGGAATGATGACCGGTACGACCGTACAATATAGATAATCTAACAATATATTACCGAGGTGTTTAAGTCTGGAGATTCTCATTTGTGTGAGAATCTCCTTATATACCAGAAAACTCTGCCTTAAGCTAGTCCTGATTAGATTTCCCAGGTGATGAATCACTGCGGTTGCCGTCATGGCTCATTCATGGCATAAACCATGGCCGGCCACCATAAATCTCAACAGACTTTCCACATAAATAAGCTGTATGAACGAATTGATTATTCATGCCAACACTCACTAGACCATCATATCCACTGGGAGCTTGCCCAACGGATGTCTATCGATACGGAAATGGCCGTTGCCATCGAAGTTCCAGACCAGTTCTTACACGAGGACAGCTGACGGCTCTTCTCAACTCCGTAGACCGAAACGTCGTCAATTTTGGTCTTGCCTTGGCCTGCAGTGTTTGTGCTCGAGGACATGGTGTGACGCAAATCCTCGATTATTGTTGTGAACAGTGTAGGTGGGCGGAATCGAGTACACTCAGACATCCCATATAATTTGGCACACGGAGCTTGAAGCCAAAAACAAACAGAGTGAGAACAATTTGAGCCACCAAAAAAAAACATACAACAGTAAGGATTCGCTAGTGGTCACCCACCTAACTACTAACTTACCGGCGTGTGGCTTAAGTACGGCTGAGCGGACGGGAAGCCCTGTTCTCCACACCCTGTGGTCGTATGTACTGGATCAGACTTAGGAAAAGACACAAGTAGAGTAAGAGGGGGTAAAAGCCAATGATACTGCCCCAGACATCGATGTCCTCATTAAGATAATAATGAAATTATGACAATTATTTTTGAAAAAAAGTCAAGCCAACGTTTCGGAAATCAAATTCGCCTATACCGCATGGTTTATTGAGTAACTAAGTCGAGTCATGACTAGGTAGTAGTATATAGAAAGCCCCTTCCTCGAATATATCATTTGCCTTGAATGAGATCTGCCGCTCTCTCGGCGACTGCATAAATAGTCGCCTGAATATTGCCACTCGGCTCTATTGGAAAAATACTAGCATCAACCACTCGCAGATTGCTCGTGCCATGCACCTTGAGCTGATCATTCACTACTCCTCCTAGTTCAACAGGCATCATAGAGCAGGTAACTGCAGGGTGAAAGCATGAAAGGAGTCGGTCTTTCACCACACACTTGGCAACCTCCAGATTTGATGATAAATTCGGACTTGTAATTATATCCGGAATCCGGACATCTGGCTGGATGAGTGACTGAAACGGCTCCGTCCGCACGATCTGTTCAATAAACTGTGTGTGACGCGCGAGAATGTCCAAATCCAATGGATGGCTGAGGTATCCTGGATCGAAGACGGGCTTATCGTCAATATTCGCTGAATTTATATGAACGGTTCCCCGAGAAAATGGATGAGACAACATAGCTAGAATGCTAATATAGTTTCCGTCGGCCTTCTTTTCGAACAGATCTGCCATGCTTGTCGCACCGCGGTTGGCGTGTAGTTGGAGTGGGAGAAAGATGTATTCAGCGGCAGCCTCTGCGCTATCCCGAAGCATCGAGGAGATAATGGTATTCTGGGTTTGTGTGCCCAAAGAAATGCTGTTGTGCGGCGTCGGCGCACTTTGGTGTGCATTGATTATGTGACGACGATCTTCCGCTGATGCACGTTGACAGCCGTCTACAAGGGGAAGATACGCCACACTGATAGGCATGCCGACCATAGGTCCCGTCTTGGTCTTCTGATACAACTCCATAGCAGATTGCGCGACGCGCGGATCCCGCAGGATGTCTCCTGAGACCTGGTCATCATTGACTTTGTAGCTGATCGATGAGATACAATGATCTTGCAGGTTTTCTCCAACACCGGGCAAGTTCACAATAACGGGAATGTTATGTTTCTGCAAGAGTTCTGCATTCCCAATTCCTGAAATCTCAAGCAGTTGAGGAGACTGCAGGCTGCCCGCACAGAGGATCACTTCTTTCCTCGCCGAGACTAACTTTCGTCCACCGACACCAGCTATTTGGACACCTGTTGCAATGCGCTGCCCATTGGACTTGTCTTCCGAGGCAAAAATAATGCGTTCAGCTCTTGTTTCCGTGAGCAACAACAAATTAGCTCGCTCTATACGATACGCGTTGGCCGATCCGCGGGTTGAAACTTCAGGGTTCACAGACAAGGGGCATGTAAATCCGCCCATTTTAGACTCCAGAATTGGGTCATCCGAGTTTTGCCAGCCGAGTCTTGCAAAAGTCTCATTCCAAGCACGGTTGAATATACCGTACGTGGATGGGAAAGAGACCGGCAACAGACCACTGCATCCCTGCTTGCTAGGATCTAGATAACCATCCAACCCCAATTGATCGATAATAACTTGATCTGGAGGTTTATATCTGTGGAACTTCCGTACATAAGGAGCCATAGTCTCTGCACTCCATAGTTCGTTTCCTAGTTTCTGCCAGGCTTCAAAGTCCTGATCCGAGGGATACATGATCATGGAAAAGTTGAGCCCAGATGACCCGCCTAACATGCGTCCTCGCGGTTGGGGGATTTGCCGGCCATTGACTTCCAGTTGAGGCTCGCTCATAAATCCCCAGTCCAGTTTGTCATCCCCATACAAGGTTGTCACCAGGCCTGGTATCTCAACTCGTGGATCTCCTGCACAATCGGGACCGGCCTCGATCAGAAGAATGCTTTTAGTGTCATCTTCACTCAGCCTGGATGCAACGACAAGGCCTCCAATGCCGGCACCGATGATAATGTAGTCGAATTCGTCACCCAGTGATGATGATATCATTTTGTTCTCTGAGGGGCCTGGGAAAAGCAGAAATCATCTTCTGTTGACGACTGGGGGGCAGGTCTACATACTAGAGCATCGGTACGAGCCACTACTTCATATTGCGTCTGCTATTGATTCGGATGACGTGTGCAAAGTACTCGTCGGTGTATATTTCAAGTTTTAAGTGAATTTTGTTTTCTTGTTGCATTGTGCCGATCAAAATAGGTGCGTACATAGTTCAATGTAGTGTAACACACCAAGATATGACACGGGAAGCTTGCGAGCTACCATGTACTCAAAAATACCCTGTAGGCATTCCACGCACAGACAACTAAATTGCGCCAAGTATGATGGCACGGTGCTTGAGATTGTACAGATTTGATCACCCTTCACCGCGTGTTGAAATTCTGTTCTCATCAAGAAAGATCAAACAAGAAGCTAGGGCAGCTGATTAGAAGATCGTATCATGTAGAGGTCAGGCTTGCAATTCCAGATCTGCATAGGTACGTCTGATCTTTGTCATTATGCATAACTGAATATTCAAAACTAAGTAACGAAACTAACATGCTGCATATCTTATTAGACTTTCCTAATGATCTATCAGATATTTGTGGCGTTAGATGTATCAAGCACGATGATGGATTTTTTGATGAGTTTTGTTTGAGATTACGTCGTTCATGTATCCTCTACGCGATTATGAAGATATATAAAGTCCTTTTGATCATGCTATAGACGCAACCATCCAGTTAATCTACAACATTATCACCAAAAAAACCTCGAAAATGAACTCTATCGAAGCGGAAAGTACTTTTGCGTACCACGGCTTGGAGACAAACGGCACCGCACATGCTGAGGTCGTGAAGTCACTGATCAGAAAATTCCTCGATACTGTGAAATTTGATCGCAGTCTTCCCTTCATCAAAGACTGCGAGCTCGAGTCTGCCGTGTGGACATATTTCAAGAGCTTGACCATGGGCGCAAAGACCGAGGAATGTGTTCAGAAGGCGCTCAAATTGTCCGTTACTCTAACGCACCAGGCATACACCAATCTACCATTTGAGAACAAGGTTCTTTGTGCCGTGCAAATACTCTATATGTTTTTGGTGGACGATATCGCCGAGTACTTCATGGAAGACCTGCGATGTTTTTGTCAAAAGTGAGCACCGGCCAATACTTTCTCTCGCTAAAGCCCTACGTAATGATTGATAATTGATATTCATAGCTTTCTTCTCAACAATGGCCACAAGCACCCCTTGCTCGCCAACTTCGACACGCACCTACGCTATCTATCCCGTTACTACGGGCCCTACTGCCATTCTACCATCATCAAGTCACTGTTTGACTACGTCAACGGTCGTATCATCGAGCATGAGATGGAGCAATCGGAATTTAACTTCCCTTCCACTGCACGCTTAATGCCTATGTTTCTACGCACCAAAGTGGGCGCTGCTGAGATTCTAGTGTCTATGATGTGGCCTAAAGCCATATTCCCGGAAGAGACCTACCTCATGCAGTATTTTCCAGCTATACAGGAGCTTGTCGTCTTCATTGATTTTACAAACGACATTTTGTCCTACTACAAGGAATTCGTTATCAGACAGGAAAAGGGCAACTTCGTGGCCAACTTTGCTGAAACACATGATATGTCTCATTTGGATGTTTTAAGACATCTGGTTGGCTATGCTCCTAAGGTATCCCCCCGCCCCCAACATAGAAGCCGAATACCTAGCGATAGCTACGACAGTAAGATCCATGAATGCTAATAGGTTGTTAGGCTATGGACTCTGCATGTCGAACTTTGGAAAAAGACAGTGACCTACTGGAGACTGTGCGAACATTTGTCAATGGGTGGATTATGCTGTGCACTGCCCATCGCAGGTACCATCTCGTAGAGCTGTTCGAAGGGGAGGATTATCTGCCGGCATATGATGAGGACTCATGAAGCAATACTGTTGCGTTTGTGCTAGCCTAATTTCTGCGCCAAAGCAGCCGGCGTTTTCCGATGGGCTGTCTTAAATTGACAAATATATTTATCGTTATCTACAAAATAATACACGTTTTGTGTACCCCATTTGCGTTATGATCTAATGTGCAGGTACGACTCCATGTAAAAATGTAGAATTTACACGAAATGTGAAGAAAGCCAGAACAGCCCTTTGCGGGATTGAATGCACACACACATGAGCTACTAAGCTGAAAAAAAAATTAGTATTATCACAGCGGGATTTCAACCTCTCTAGTGACGCATATGACACAAGAAAGCAATCACAAGCGCATTTATTTCTTTCCAGATCGAAAGCTGATTTTGCATTAGAGTGCTATCGTGAGTGAATTGACCTGCTGTCCTGCAATGGCTGAGCAATATGATGTCATGAGAACATTTCAAGATCAGAATTACAGTATATAGCCCTCAAATTACCGATTTCCAATCATCTGCGCAGGGACCGGCGGTGTAGAACTCAATTGCCGATCTTCAGTCGTGTTGCTTGGTATTAAGCAACAACATCCTGCACCACTTACTGTAGTCTGACAATCACTCGTCCTGTTGGGACATAATGACGGCATTTTGGCTCTAAGCGCTGTTGTGGGGCCTTTTGTGGAGCTGAAGAACGGAAGAGTATGCAGAGCACAATTACGAGATTCAAAGGCTTCCGCATTGAGATCTGTATCTCTCAGAGTCCCAACTGCGTGATCTCCATGGGACTTCTGGCTAGCCAAAATTACACTACCTATTAATGTGGTTAATTTGGCTCAATTTTGTCTGATGGCAGCTGTTTCTCCATACTTGGATTGTAGATTGTGTGTTCAGGCGGGCCGGCCCGTGCGTCTATCTATACCCAATTGTATTGACACTCAACTAGAGCACCAAGCATGCTGGGAGGTGGAGACTGCATGTTCACGTTCTATCTCATGATCAACATAAGTACAGTATTGCTTCCTCCATGTCGATCTATTACGTATCATAATCCGCTCTTGCTACGCTTCCTCTTCCGATGAAGCATTCGAAGGGCCGCTAGGGTTTTATGACGTTCGGAGTAGAACCTACTGTACTGCATGTGTCGCACAAAAGAGTAGGATGGTGCTGGATAGAGAACAGGTTATCGGATGTATATTATACAAATATGCAATATTTGACAATGAAATCTACAGTAGTGGTCACTCAATTGATAAAACCGGATTCAGCCTGCTCTGATCCTGTCATTTACTCCTATAATGCAAGTTCCACTTCGTTGTCGTAATCGATCGGCCCTCCCTGACGGTAGGAACGCTCTTTTTGGTCAATCTTAAATATAATATTGATGGGAATATATATAAAATCGATGGACTAAGCGATCTTCTCCACATGGGAGATTTTGCAGGATACTTTTATTAGTAGTTCAAAGCTCTGCAGCGTAAAATTATTTACGATGGAGTAGTGAAGACGAATTGTGGTCAAGCTTTCTCCCTGACTCCTACCGTGGGATCTCGCGTCTTGCAGAAGAGATATGGGCGCATGCAATGTATGTCAGGTATCACATATCTCTTACTTTTTAGTGTACGTGGGAAAGCTTTAACAGATTCGCGAATCGGATACCCGTACACGCGACTATGACTAGAAACTTCAGTCTAGATAGACAAATCGAGAACCTTACAATCAATATTGAAAAGGATCCTACTAGCTCGGATGCAATGGACACACCAATACTGTATCAATAAACCACAATCTTGCGGAGATACTACCGACCAGCAGACTCGCGTCCGCAAAAGCAAAACATGTTAGTCTAAACCAATAACGTTTTTTCGGCCCACAGATCCTTCTAAATAGGCTTGCTTCATATTTTCAGCATCCTCCAATTTCCACTCAGTGATCTGCACATAAAGATTGTTCTTGTGAAACAAAGTGACATATTCCTAGGCCGCTGCAGTATCAGCTACCAAGGACCGCACCAGTTTGATATCCTTGTAGATCGTGGTAATGTTCAACATCCTGATTCCCTTTTCGGGATGTTCAAGAAGAACCATGAGCGTCATGGGCTCTGAAGCCTCCTAGCTTTTTAGTGAATGTGATTTCAGGCAGTTTCCGATCTCTGTCATTGGTGCTAGCAGGAATTGTATTAGGTATTGACTTGACGCCCTAATCCCTTTCTTGTACTTAGTTTATGTCGCTGTTCAGTATTACACCATCTGGGTTTTCCGGCCATACAGGTACAAAAGTGTCTGTGCGCCCAGACCTGCTTGTCCTGATGTCCGATATATTCCCTACTGGGTATTTCTGTGCAGCGAGGTTTTTGAAAAAAATGCCAAAAGCAGAAGCAGACGATAGTGTAGTGGTAGTTGTAGGCTGTGGACCTGTTGGGATCTGTGCGATTGCAGCCGCACTTACCCGGTGCCCCACGGTTTAGGCCATTGATATGGTACTTGAGCGACTGAATGAGGAGAAAGAATCGGCACCAAACCTCTAATTCTTGATTTGACACGGTTTATATTGAAGAGCAGGCAGCATGGGTGTTCAAAATTCGAGTTGCCTCATATACGTGTTCGGGACAAGGCAATTGTGGGGGATCTAGGTTGAGGGAATGGCCAGTCAACCATGGATCCTGCGCCACTCGGCGTCCTTGGCTTTCGTGTTGGCGAACGATTTGATTAATGAGATTTTATAAACCTCCAAATATAAGATTCATGATGAGGTCACCTCTTCACAATCAATAATTAACTATCCTATCTATCCGGCTGCTGTTCAACTCATTCTTGCCTGCCTCATTTATTGAAACTCTTGTGACATATTTGAGACTTACATCTTTTGGGTTGCCTCATCTCTATCTGCATGTGTTTTGATGGTCAGCTATAAACATTGGTGGTCACAGAGATTACTGGGGTAATTCCCAATATTGTCGGGTGGATCAAATCGATGTATGCCACTTCCCGAGTGCTAGGTTAACATAGAGAGAGCGTTATGAAGAAAGAATCTTGTTGCATTCTTCGGTGAGATTAGTTGCCTTTAAGCTGACTGAGCACAGCGTCCGGTCCTAGTGCTGCCAGTTGTTATTCCGACTTTGAAATATGGCCGAGGAGTCAATTCATGACCACGCGACTGCTCAGCCAAAGGGGTCGTCAAGGTGGAGGAAAATAGCAACTAAATATGGAATTGACGCTCCCCTTGTGCTATTGATGATTAAGTATGCTATTCCATATCATTTTGCCCTGTCATCCGCTCTCTTCACTGGAACCGAAAGGTATCACCAAGCAAAACCGCGCAAGACTCAGCAGGTGCTGGAATTACTATAATTGCGTGAGTCTTACTGCAAAGCAAAATGCTAACAGCTAAATAAAAGGGGAACCGTTGCGCCGACCGTGGGCATTGCTATGTATATTTTCTTCCTTTATACTTTGAATAAGAAACCTGATGCTTTAAAGATATCAGATCGACTCTGTTGCGAGGCATTTCTCAACAATTGGCTATCTCATCCCAATAATGTCCATCCTAACAGTCCCGGTTTTTCCCCGGGCACGATTTTGCCAGAACCTTATAGTGACCTCCGTACGGCCTCAATAAAACATCTACGGAAATATGATAAACTGATCGACAGTGCTTTCTAGCTTTCGACTTGTTTTGCAGCTGCAATTTCGCTACTTGCAATGTGGTGTGCAGTCAAGGCTCGAAAAAACACGACCCATCTCTCTGGAGAAACGCATTCTAGTGGTCCGGTTTCTGGTACTACTGTTAGCCCGTACAATGCAGCAGCCAGCGCCAATATGGGTGTTTGGCTTTTTTTCGAAGTATGGCTAGCTAACACGTCAGTTGTCGCAGCTCAAACCCCGTCGCTTTGTTAATGACTGGAACAGTTTCCGTGCCTATCGACCTCAATATTTCCTGCCTTCCATTGTTTTCTCAATTTTCATCAATGTGACGGCAACCTATGGAACGCAATTTGCAACTATGAAGGAGGCCGAGACCCTAGGTTGTTTCCCCTTTTCTATTGCAGAAAAGAGATTCAAATTAATACCATTCAGTCACCCATTTACTGGAGAGCTTTTTCGTCGGATTTGGAATCTCCGCTGCCACAAATCTCCTCATTGTTCCATTCACCTCCCGAAATATTGTCACCATGCTAATGACCCGAGAGCTCCACGGACTGAAGGCCGCTTTGGGAGCTCTGGGTCAATATTTAGCGTCACTCCCCAGGCGTGATTGGTACGGAAATGAGTATGCTCCGAACGATCATGATAGCGGAAGAGACGACTACCACAGTTCTCCCACAAGTACCAGTCCTTGGACTGAGGCCGAGGCTCTGAAGAATATCCTAACAAGTGTTACCACCCTTCAAGCAAAGTCCCAATCGGAACTTCGCTACGCAAAGGTTGAGGCGACCTGGGGCAAATTAGACGCAAAGGATTTGGAGACCATAAGCCTCCTGCAAAGGGATATTTTATTCCCCATTCTAGGCATGGAGTGCCTCAGTTATGCAACGAATCGCATCGAGAAACGTGGTGGTTGGGAGGCTGTGAGTGGCTTAAAGGCTGATCGTTTTCTGACCGAAGCTGAATATGTCCACCTCCGGGACAAGAGAGAGAGCAGTGGCAATTGATGTGTCGGCAGTTGTGCGATCGTGCCCAACGGCTTCAGAAAGGAATGATAGTAGGCCTTGACGAGTCGTTGTATGCTCTGCAATTCGGAAAACGGCCCGCATCTTCTGTCACAACTGACCTCGAAGCGAATGGCGACAATTTTTCACCGGCACATGGGGACTGGGCTGCGCACTGTGAGGGGATGATCCAGCAATTTCTTAAAGAAAGACAAGGTCCTCTTGAAGACTGGTGTGCTTCCAAGGGCATGAATGATTCTTCCCAACAGAACTACACGACACAACAGGACTATCCTTTACACCAACGGCATTTGTCTCAGGTGCAGCTGGTACTCGATGTGAGCCATTCATTTTATTTTTATCGGAGTGAAAATGATAGATACTGATTCTTTCCCAGCTGGAATACTGTTGTATTATGACCGCTCAGGCGATTCTAGATTTGGCTAAGTATGCTGGATCTAAAGTAAACGATGGAACAATGGTAAGAAGCAGATTTATCTTCCCAACCTGGAAACAACTCAAGAGGTGGGCCAGAGACACAGTATCTCGAGAGGACAGCAATTTGGATTACCAGGAATACAGCACCCGATCTGGTACTGTCATAGTGCGCCTTAGCGACGTCGAGCAGTCCAAAAAGGATCCTGAACATCTTCCCGCAGCGTCCGCCTGGGAGAAAATATCGGACAAATTCCGCCTCTTTTTTCACATATTCGGCTCTCCAGAGTCAGGATTTGGCTTTCGAGTGGCAACAGCTACGATGACTATTTCAATAGTTTGTTTCTTGCGGGATTCCCAGCAGTTCTTCATTGAACAGCGCTTGATCTGGGGTTCGATTATGGTCGCTATCAGCATGACGAGAACCGCTGGATCGGGTATCTATGGGCAATTGCTACGACTTGGCGGAACAGCCCTTGCGATGATTGCATCGTACATCATTTGGTATATCGTCGATCAGCAAACCGCGGGCATTATCGTATTTTTCGGCATCGCAATGTTCTTCTACCATTACCCGTTGATCAAGCACCCCGACACCATTGTTATTCCAATGATAGGAATGGTCACACTTATCCTGATTGTGGGATACGAACTCCAGGTTCAACAAATCGGTATTCCCATCTCGGTTTCTAATGGCCAGGTCTACCATCCCCTGTACGAGCTTGCTCCGTACAGACTAGCTACAGTCCTTGGTGGCGTGGCTGTCGCATTCATATTCACGCACTTTCCGGTAATCATCACAGTCCGACAACAACTTCGAGAGGATCTAGGTACTTCTCTTTATCTGCTGGGGAACTACTACTGCTCTGTACATCAAACAGTATCACTCAAGATAAGAGACGCAGAAGGAGACCCGGGGGACGAGAGAAGCCCGGGAAGAAGACTTCAGAAAGCTCGCAGTCGACTATTCGCCAAAGAAATTATTCTCCTCGAAGGCATAAAGAAGCACAAGAAATTCGCTGTCTGGGAACTTGGGTTGGGCGGGAGGTTCCCAGAAGCATCATACGACAGGCTTATTGATCATACTCAGCAGTCAGTTTCACCCATATGAAAGGTCAACTCATTTTCAAACTGACTACTTCCAGTATCCTTCATTTCACAACCATGATAGATCACGTCGCCGAGTCATTCCAGAATTTCCCGACTCCCACAGGAGTTCAACAAACATCGGAATCATGGTTGAAAGACTTTAAGAATCTTGTGATCTCCCTAGAGTTAAGTTCCCGAGATGTTTCTGCCACTCTCTCGTTGATCGCTACTGCTATATCAACGGGTCGGCCGTTACCTTCGTTCCTTAAAGCTCCAGAGCCAATTAGCTTGGATCAGCTGCTTAAGGGGGCTGACCGTGACATCCTCAGTGTGCTACACGTGTGTGAGCCGGGCTACGCGGCTTTTGCTGTCATACAAGTAGCAAGTGCACTATTGGCGGATGATCTAAAAGGGTTGCTGCATGAGACGAAGAAGTTGGTTGGAGAAGAGAACTTTGGCATCGATGTTTTCTCTTTGCATGATAAGAGCTAACCTGTATGGAATTGCTATATCCGTTAGTTGGCACGCGAGCTTACTACGTCAATTCTCAGTTCTGTTCTCTGGACTTCCCGATTTCAATATTCGGTTCTGGCTCAAAGGCGATGAAGTGCAGCCCATTTGTTTTGGAATTGAGCGATCACGTCTACGCCAAATTCAGACCGACGGTTTAATTTGAAGTATAGACCTCGACATGTGGGTATCCCAAGCCAAGAAAGTGTAACGTTGTAACCCAAACTCGAAATTTTTGTCTCCCAGTAAAAAGGAAGATCCAAGAGCGACGAGATGGAAAGTTTAGCTTAGTTTCAGGAGTACGGATCTAATCAAATAGTCATCCCTTGATCGTATCTCAAGTTCGAGTAGTAGCTGAGTTGATAAAAGATTCACCAACTTGAAGTGTATATAGCTGATAAAATCCAATGACAAAGACCAAGCCTATTAAATGGCGCGGATTCTTTTGGCAACAATAAAAAACAGCACTATGAGCCCAACGATAATTCCGAAAATGCCAAGCCACCAAGCCAAGCCAGTGGCGTTTTCTCCAGGCACTTCTATATTCATTGCGAAAAGACCAGTTATAAACTGCATCATCACCACGACCACTCCAACGACCGTCAATCGGCTCAGAGCCGTCGCAATCTCATTACGAATGCGCGTGGAATCAAACGACACCTGGGCCAGGTACTTCGACTGCAAACGCGACAGCATCTGCTCCGCATTCGCCAGGTTCGACAGCATAGTCAGGATGTGGTCCTGGATATCGCTCAGATGGATTCCGACTTCCGTGGGTGCTGCCCCGAAGGTACCACAGTGACGAGCGAAACACTGAATGGCATCAGTTTTCTCGTGTAAAAGTTGCCGGATGCGAATGACCTCTTTGCGCGCCTTGAAGATGCTCTGAAGGGCCAGTCCAATGTCGTCAGGTCGCGTCACGGACACGCTATCTTCCATGACTTCCAAGACAGCCTGGATGCGGTGTATGAAGGGCGCGAAACCGTCGACAATGTCATCGCTGGAGCGGGTTAGCAAACAGATCTAGTTGTCCACGTGGGTATGACCGTGTCTTACATTAGGGCATAGCAGATCCAGTCGCTTGTCAGAGGAAAGTGGGTGCGTTGCTCTTGAATGCGACCCAGCACATTTTTTCGTGTGTTGGCTATCGCCAAAAGAGAAGCTTAGTATGCCTCCACGAAAGACAATCGCGTAGACACTCAGCGAGGACGCCCGGACACTCTCCCAGGTCTCGAGCTGCTTTGGGGGGCGCAAGGAGACGAAATAGTACGGGCCGAATAGCTCGGTCTTCTCGCGCGGCTCGCGAATCTTGATATCCTCTGTAGTCAGTGGATGGATATCAAGCATGCGTGATAGCGACTCGATATCATCGTCGCTTGGTGAGTCGACATGGAGCCACCATAGCCCACTGGGCATATCGGTCCTTAAAAGGAGGTCGAGGGTCGGGTAGGACGACTTTAATGATTGAATGCTTGGAGCATAGGCGAGCACATCGAGCTGAGTACTGAACAGACTGCAGTGCGTCGTTTCGGTGATATCCACTTTTTCCTGGAGAGCTGCGTCTCCATTTTCAAGGGCGACTACAGGCACTTTGGCACCGATGCCCGTTGTCGAGCCCATGGTGGAATAGAACCAAGCAACTTTTGTTGACTCATGTAGAAGATGGAGTTTGTAGTAGGGATGACGTGTGCTGAGAAAGAAGGAAAGAATAAGGTCCTAACGCGATAAATCAGAGTCTCCTGTCTTGGCATTGTGGCGGAGTGCGTTTTGCATCCACACACAATGTAATGAATTTCTTAAGTTCTGTTGGAATTGTATTGAGTTTGTAGTCTATATGTGGCTAGCCAGATTCCACCTGTTTATGTTATCAAAATAAAATCAGTTTATCCTTCACTTTCATTGTCAAATCTGAGGCTCCTGTCAAGGTCCAAAGATCATGATTTTTTAAGTTACAACCAGAAGAGCCAATCAGCATGCACCCTGGGTCATGGTAGACAATTATGTAAGCATATCGGATCAATAGATTTCCCGTTCCCTGGCACAGTATAGCCAGCTTCTAGTATCTCGTTAGATGATTCTATTTGGCATCCCTCACTTTTGGATATGCAGGCTACTGCTCTGATGTCAATGTGCAGTTTTTCCAAATTCCTTATGGTGAAATTTAAACTTAAGCAGTGTAGGGCTCAGATCTTTCTTAGGTCATTGGATATCTAGTCAGTAGTATACCAGGAATGCTTAACAGTCGCACTGCAAATTTTTACTTTCCGAAAGTACTTAGAACAAAATAATCTCCGAATTGGGATTTCAAAAAAATTGTAGGATTGATGTGAAGTTATACCGAAATATGCCAAGTAGACTCACTTAGCATTGAATGTATCTAAACACTGTGGCCATTAGCCAGACCACTGGGGCCCAATTTCTTGTCAAGTCTCCAAGGACAAAGAAAAGCACAGCAAAGCACTTACTTCAGCTCAGCGACCTCAAGATCATTGAACGGAATGCCAAGGCTCTGAAGCAAATTGGTAGCAGCGGTTTCACCCGTCTTGAAAGCACCATGAACACAGCCATTGGCAACAAGAGTGCAGTGCTCTCCGGCAAACTGCAAACGACTGCTCTTGTGATTCTCAAAAGCATCGATAAGAAGCTGCGGGTCATCCCCAACCTTGTCAGCCGAGTAAGATCCAAACCCAGCCAACGGGTCCTGGGTCCAATGTGTAGTTTCAACATTGACCAGAGAGGGAAGCGCCTTGTAGGGCTCAGTGCGGAACAGCTTGAACAGCGGTTCAAAAAACAGATAGATCTCCTTGAGATCCTGCATCGCCTCGATGCGCTGCGTCAGGGGTTCGGCAATCTGCACGCACAGCTCCTTGCCACCCGTCATGATCCACAGGTTGATCGTGACGGTGGCATAGTTGAGAATGTTGTCTTTCTCCCCTATGGAGTTCATGCTTGTGCTAGATTGCACGGAGGAGCCGGAGGATGACGCATCCGACTCATCTGGTGGCGAGGGATAGAAGACAAACTGGTCATTGTCCTTTGACCAGAAGATATCGCTGAATTCAAAGAACACTTTGCCCAGCGCGCCGTAGCTGAATCTGGACATGCCCTCTTGGATGTCACTCGGCAAGGGCGGGTTGAAGCCGATGAGGTTGTGGTGGTAGACGCCCAGCGGGCTAGTCATCACCACTGCATCGCCTTCAACGAAACCGATGTTCCCAGCTGCATCCTTGTACCGGATGCGAGCTGGCAAATCGCCAGATTCACTCCACTCAACGTTCTCGACATAGTGGTTGAGGCGGATGATGTTTGGATCTTTGCGAAGAGGCTCGGCCGTCCAGTTCACGATCCGATCATAGCCACCTTTCATATACAGATTGCGCTCTGTAATAAAGTAAGATAGATGTTTGGCCGAGGCTTGGTCGGTACTGGTTCCAATCCAGAGTTCGACCTCACGGACAGCCTGGGGCGCCCAATCACGCTCATCCTCGGTAATGAGCTCGTGCTGCAGCACAAACTCCTTTGCAAATTCATGGACCGGACGATCCTCGGCTTCGGGGTTTGTTTCGTAAAACCACTCGCAGTAGTCGGCGAACTCATCGGCGACTTTCTTAGCCTTGAACTGGGAACCAGCTCGGCCTTCCCGGGTGAAATACAACGGGAGACCATCGTCATAGTAATACGGAATATCCAACTTAGGGATCAGCTTCACTAGACTATTTTGCGAGGTTTCATGCATCCACGCGGCCCCTAGATGAATCCGTTAGCGAGCTGCTATCCCGTGTTTCTATTCCCCTCCCGCCTCGGTGGGTGTCTGAGCGGGTTGTTGAGAATGATAATAATGATAATAATAATAATAATCGCGATCGTACCGATGTCCCGAACATGATCACCTGTTCTGCTGGTCAGGATTCTTCCACCAATGCGATCGCGCGCCTCGAGCACCACGACTTCACAGCCGTGACGGTGCAGGACGGCGGCGGCACGTAGACCAGAAATTCCTGCACCTACCACAATCACCTTCTTGCGCTCCGACCTCGCTGCACATGTTTTCGACACCGACTCCGCCTCTGAAGTCGCGAAAGGTGCAACCAGGTCGGAGCCACAATTACTTGGTTTTATGGGACTACTGCCCGAAAGGGGAGAAGCGATGTGGAAAGATTGGGCCATTCTGAGCTGACAAGTGGACATTCGGCTTTAAAAAGCGAAACAAGCAAGGATCAAGTGTAGAAGATAGAAGATTTAGATAGGAGAGAAGATGAAGAGGAGGGGGCAAGATATGAGGGGGCTGAAATACACCGGACGTCAGCTGAAACAGGCACGTCCAGCCGGGGGTAAATATGTGCTTATCGGGGGACACTAACATTCCTACTAGTACGGAGGAAGCGAGGGTCAGATAGAGTGCAGATAGAGTGCAGATAGAGTGCAGATACTCATCTACCGTGAAGACTGACGATAAACCACTTCATAGGGCTGGTTGGGCCCCCAAAAACAAGCTAGTCGGTTCCAGTAGGTCTACGCGTTGCTTAGCCCTCTTATCTTCGCTCCACATCAAATTCTTATCTGCCCGTGTATTCCTTCATTTTTTTTTTTTCCTCTTCCTTTCCCCATAAAATGCGTGCATAATTGCCCTTGGGCTAAAGCAGAGTTCGCTCTGGTCAAAAGGTCGAAAGATGGAGTCCGATATGGAAGTTCTCAACGGAACTGAACGCATCTCTGCTGCCAATGGTGAGATCACACTGATTCCCACGCCGACAAATTCACCAGACGACCCACTGAATTGGAGCACGTGGAGACGATATTGGCATGCGTTCCTGGTCCTCGTCATTGTCGCCTTTACCGCTGCCACCTCGAACGATGCGGGGACGGCTGGCAACGGAATGGTGGCCGAGCTAGGGATCACCTGGGACCAAATCAATGTGGCCGCCGGGGTGTTGTTTGTGGGGATTGGGTACACCACCTTGCTGCTTGGCCCTGCACCTTTTCTGTACGGTCGACGAATCTCCTATATGATTTGTCTGCTGTCGACGATCGTGGGCTCGATCTGGCTGGCGCGCACGCAGACTTCGGGCGATAACATCGGGAGTCAGCTGTTCGTGGGGGCAGCCGAGTCATGCGCCGAAGCGCTGGCCCAGTTGTCGCTCTCTGATCTGTTCTTTCAGCACCGCAGAGGTCTCGTGCTCGGCTTGTACGTCTTGGCGACCAGTATTGGTACTTTTACCGGTCCCTTGGTGGCCGGGTTCATTGTTGACAGTGACGCACTTGGCTGGCGGTGGGTCGGTTGGCTCGCTGTCATCATTTCGGGCTTCTTACTGGTCTTGTTCTATTTCGGACTGGAGGAGACTTCCTTCGATCGCAACAACCCTCTTCGTGGACATGCTGCGCCCGCGACCCCACCGGGTGAGGCGACCGACCTTCCGCTGGACGGAAAGGAAAAGGACATCGCCAAAGTGCAGCCCATACCCCCTAATGTCCTCGATGAAGAATGTGATCGGCAGAAAGGCAAAACATATTTCCAACGTATCGCCCTAATCACCCCGTCTTCAACATTGGTCGGTACGGGCTTCAAGCAGTACTGTCGTCGTCTGCTTCACACCCTGCGCGTCTTCACTTTCCCAGCCGTCATTTACTCGGGGCTGCAGTGGGGCGCCCAGGATGCCTGGTTGACCTTCTACCTGACCGTCGAAGAAGACAACTGGTACGAGGCACCCTGGTTCTACACCGACGCAGCCGTCGGCATCATGAACGTGCCAACCCTGATCGGCGCCCTCCTGGGCTGTATCTACGGTGGATGGTTCAGTGATTTCTTTGTTCTCTGGCTGGCCAAACGCAACAACGGTATCTTCGAAGCCGAAATGCGTCTTTGGCTTCTCCTGCCGGTTGCGTTCATCGGCCCGGCCGGTCTCATGCTCTTTGGCATTGGTTCCGACAAAGGCTGGAATTGGCCGTTGCCCTACGTCGGACTGGGATTCATCGGCTTTGGCTGGGGCTGCGCGGGTGATCTCAGTATGGCGTATCTTATGGATGCGTATCCCGACATGGTGTTGGAGGGTATGGTTGGGGTGTCCGTTATCAACAACACCATTGGCTGTATCTTTACTTTCTCTGCTGGGTACTGGATGGATGCGCAGACTCTGTCGCAGGTCTTCATTGCTATTGGTGTGCTGAGCTTCTTCTTCATTATGACTACTGTCCCTATGATCTACTGGGGCAAACAGTGTCGTCGGCTCACTCGGAAGCAGTATGAGACTTTCCTCCGGATCCGTGATGGTCCTGCATAGTTGATTCACATGTTGTCATCACTTTCGCCTCTTGGTCCAGACTGCCGTTTTTCTTTTCAAATATCCTATCTTGTATCCTTCGTTCTTGCATATGTCAGCACAGCCTATGTACAATTAATCAAATCGTTTTATCTTCCACGGAAGTATTCAAGAATATTCATTCCACAGATTTTCCTACACTTCTTTTCACCTAGGTCATGCAAATATCTGACAAGACAAGTTTGAGACAAAATCAGAGCAATACCACTAAAATTTGCGGGTAAGTGCCAGGTCTACGTTATGTCATGTCGAATATTGATAGTCCAACAGAAAACACAAGTTGCAATCAATGCTTAAGGTTAATTTACCCAGATTCAAAGATTACATGTAGCCGAGTGAGAATCAACGCCGATCGTGTGACAATGCATAGTAATACTGGAACAGCCTTCCCTTTTCTCTCGAGTTCATCTTTTTCTTATAAATTGTCCAGCAAGTTGGATCACCAGGCCTAAAGTTCATACGAAATGGTACTGCTTCCATCACTAGATACATCTCATCGCCCCGGTTGCTGTGGGCAGGCATGTGGCTTCACTTAGTAGCTTTATATTTTTGCTAGTCAGATATCTTATTTTGACAGGTTTTCTGGTGTTTAGGAAGTTTACTTAGCCAGCGAATCTGAGAATCAGGAACATCACCCAAGGCCCCAGACAGACCTTCTCGTAGAGGGCGTCAGCGCAATTTTTCGTAAGAGGCGTGGGCCCGAATTTCTCAAGTTCTTCTTAGATACCCAGAACCCCGACGCTGTATCGGGGTGGGCTGAGAAATTCGAGGAGATCTACTTGGAGATACGTACGTACATACCGTTGCAAAGGTATCCCTACACTACCACTTTCGCCAGCTTGAAGGCCGGTTTTCAGCCCCGATTATCTCAACAATTTTAAATAAAAAGATGTATTTTCTAGAGTGTTTACCTGGTGATTGGCCAATTATCCTAGATTTCTTGATTTTCAAAATAGGTTACGAATTTTCCGTATCAAATGACACGGCGCAGTTCTAAGCGGCGTAATCAACGGCGGCCTCAATCAACATTGAAATCAAGCTACTGCTCTACAAACAAGCAAAGCAGAAAAGTGCAAAAGTAAGAAAACATACAACAGCAAGGATTCGCTAGTGGTCACCTACCTAACTACTAACTTACCGGCGCGTGGCTAAAACACAGACAGTAGTGCGGTGGGTGCGGCCCGGGTGGGAATGGGGTGAGCGCCGCTTTAGGGTCGCGCGACCAGGGTGATTAGTGTGAGTGCGCAATAGACAGGATGAGAACGGGGTAACACTGGGTGAGAACCCTACTTGTCATGCAAGGATCACGTTTTGATCCTCCAGGCTGAAGTGAAATATACATCATTGGCTGGCCTATCACCAGCTGAAGCACTAGTCTACTCGGTACCTGCACATAGCCACCTTCTGTGCACTACGCACGAGGCGGGTTGGGAGGCAGGGTGAGAGCGGGTGATCATCGCCTATCCCGGGATGGCTCGGCTCATGATGACCACCGTTCAGTTTTGGCCGACAAGCCGATCCAAAAGACTCCTTCTTTCGACGTAATACAGGGAACAAGACTAGCAGACGTACCTGCATTGGCGGGCAGTCCATATTGTAGTTGTGCCGACCATAACGGAGCAAGTTCTGAGAATCCACACCCCTTGCTTGGGCACTGCCACACAAAGAACTAGTTGACATCATGTAGCGGTGCACTAGAGCTAGCCTGAGTCGATGTCCCTGATATATTTTTGGTTAGGTATTTTCCTTGGCAGCCTCAGCAGATAAAGGGATACAGAACCCCCCCATTCAAGGAAATGCAACATATATTTCTTCCAACCAAGTTACCATAATCGCCATCCACAGCTTCATGGACCTGGGCGCAGCAGTTGTCGGCTTTGTGAGTCTGGGACTACAAGTGTCTCAAAATATCATCACGTATTACGGCGGATGGCGAAATTCCAGAGAAGATGTAGACGACATCTGCAATTCTGTGGGCGAGATGCATCAGATGCTGAAGATTTTGGAGAACGCGGTAAAGCGGCGGTCTCTCAATGGTTGCAATGAAACGGCACTTTTTAAGTATAAGTTGCAGCGGTGTGAGATAAGTATGCATAGGTTGGATGGGAAGGTGAAGAAATTCAAGGACAATACAGCGACCGGTGGCTTTCTTGCTCGCGCCAGGTCCGAGTGGGAGAGGGTAAAATACCCTTTGAAGGAAAGTACTATTTTGAAACTTCGAGATCTTCTTCAAGAACAGAAATTAGATCTGGTTCTCATTCTCAATGTCTTGGATATGTAAGTCATTTCCGTACCATTTCAAGTTCAGATACTGAGATATTATACAATATACCAGTGATGCATCATCTGTCGAATCAGGGACTCTCACTCAGAATATGTCTCAGTTGTCGTGCGATGTTTCCAAAATAGAGGCCCAGGTGGGAGAGACCAAGAATATTCTAAATTCGTCGGTACAAGGTTAGTGCTGCGTTCCAAAATACATAAGTATACAAAAGGCGAAATCTGAACAGACCACAATCATCATAGACCTGAAGCGCAAAGAAGTCCTCGGATGGATCTGTAGTCAAGATCAATCTTTGCTATACCAGTCGCGCAAGTCTAGGAGACATCCAGGCACCTGTCAATGGTTCCTTCAAGGTCGGGAATATCTTCAATGGAGATCGAAAGGGTCACTACTGTGGGTGAAGGGGGAGGGTGCGTATCCAAACGTCCATTCCATGGTTGCACTTGACTGATAATTTCATCACCTAGTTGGATGCGGAAAATCAATCTTATGGTAAATCTGAAGTTCTATCGTTATAGTAAGTTATTTTGGCTTGGGATGCTGGCTAATCCTGAACCCAGCTCTGCAGTAGTCGAACACCTACAATGGTACTGTACAACACAGTCCAACAATATTCTTCTATATTTCTTTTTCTCATTCGCTGATGCCCATCTATCAAATCCGATCCTGTGCCTTTCGTCGTTGTTAAGGCAGATATGCGTGGATGAGCGAATCCTCCGGGATGTTGAGAAACTTCACGAAAAGTTCAACGGATCTACTGCACCGAGGCCTTTGCAATATCATGACATCGAACTCGCAGTAGATTCGGCTATTGCATCCCTCGCGCGATCGAAAGAGATATACATAGTACTTGACGCTCTTGATGAATTGCCTAATGATGCCGACGAATTCCAAAGAAGTCGTGTTCTGAGCTGGATTATGAAAACTTCTACCTGCTATCGGCACGTGCACATATTATTCACGAGTCGAAGTTCTAGCTCCAGAGATATTGAAGACTTTGCAGATTCTATTCCGTCAATAGGGATCGTGACCATTGATGCGATGAGTAATCATAACGATATGTTCTCATATCTCGAGGCAGAATTCAAGAAAAGCCGCGTCCTGTGCAAAATGCCTGTTGAATCTCTTTCAACAACCTTCAACGACATGATCAAATTGTCTGATGGAATGTAAGGACCTTGTCTTATGAACGGACTAAAAATGATGGACATTGCTCACGAATGAACTCGCAGGTTTCAATGGATCCACCTTCAAATGGTAGAGCTCTCGAAATTACCTACCCTCAGACTAAAGGATATCGACCGTATCTTGAACTCTATCCCACCAAGCCTGGACGATACGTACGTCAGAATGCTACAGAGTATACATTGCCTGTTTTCAAGTGAAGCAGCAAGGGCCCTCCTGTGGCTTTCGCTTTCCTTCAGACCACTCCGCCTAGTCGAGGTCAACGAGAGCTGCATTATCTTGCCCGAAAATAGGCCAGTAATAGCAGAACAAGATAAATTGGAAGGTGAAGGGATCTTGCCGTGCCTATCCGGACTTGTCCGGCGGACTGGAATGGATAACAGCAGCCTGGCTCTTTCTCATTTCTCAGTCAAAGAGTTCCTTACCTCCGAGGCTCTTAAACATAGCCCATGTTCATCATATGGGTTCCACGATAACTCAGCACATGCTTTGATTGCCGAAAGTTGCATTGCATACATTGATCATTATTATTGCAGTCAAAATGGAACATGGACGCTAACGGATCTTGATCACTTCCCCCTACTTGAATATGCGTGTCGCTATTGGTTTGAGCATATGAAATTAGCTGGGACGAAAGATCAAATGAGACTGGCTTCCTTGGCATCCGAATTGCTTAAGTCTGGCGAGAAGTGGCAATATACCACAATGGTTTACAACCACATGATGCCTGATACACCCTTTAGCTGTGCCCATCTACGATGGACTCTTCTCTCACCTTTAGGGTGGGCAACTGTTTTGGGTCTTGAGTCGGTGGTCCACCTCCTGTTATCACAACGGTCAGGTGATCTTCATCTGATACAAGATATCAAGCTCGAGCGCAGAAAGTGTTTCCAAATCAAGAAGCCGTGCCAGGAATGCTTGTATGTCAGGCTTCGCGAACCCATTAGCGGCACAGTGCTTATGAAAGCTGTGGAATTCGGACATACATCGATAATACAGCTTCTCATCGATAACGGCGCTGACATAAATTCGAGCGGAGAATTAGGTGCTACCGCTTTGTCAATTGCATGCACACGCGGAAACTATGATCTGGTCAAATACCTTCTGAACCTTGGTGCCAGTCCATCTCATGGTCTGCCATACGCGATAAGAGAAGGGTCTCTGTCGATTTGCCAACTATTATTAGAAGCTGGGGCAGTGGCCGATGAGCAAATACAGGAAGAGACTCCATTGATGGTGGCAGCTTCACTGGATGATCATGATATTTGCCAAGTTCTTCTGGATTTTGGCGCAGATGTCAACCAACTGATAAAGACCGACGATTCTGTGGTTCGTGACCCCGATTATGCGACTGATGCATTAAGTGCAGCTACTATGCTTGGCAATATTCAGACGGTGGAGTTACTTCTCTCCAACGGGGCTCATATCAGAGGTAGCGCTCTTGCGTATTCTCTTAGTGGACTGGAAGACGGGCCTCGGGATTCACATCGTGAGATCTGTAACATTCTGATCCAGCACGGGGCTGACATGAATCCGGATCTTGGGGGATTCTATAACACACCGCTCGCTATGGCACTCTATAATTGCTGGTGGGATATTGCTAGATGTATGATCAGAAAGGGTGCGAGAGTTGATCCCAGTGATCCTACCTGCCTTTCAGCGGGAAATATTTTGGTTGAAGCAGTTTCCAGCGTTGAAATGACTCGTGAAATTCTTGGTATTGGCGTTGACGCTGATTCTCCAATTGCAGCTGTTTATTCATGGGCCTGGGAGCGCCATGATGATGCCGAAAATTTCACTACGGCACTTCAAGCTGCAGCATACTATGGACATGTTGACACTATGAATCTGTTACTCGAAAATGGTGCTAATCCAAACATCCTTGGCCCACCATACGGGACCCTCTCGTTGTCTCCTTTCGCAGGAGTCTGTTATGACACAAAAAACATTTGGCCCGAGTCACAGGGAAATACAGAGAAAGAACGAGAAAGAACCTATGATCTAAATGTAAGAGACAAGTTAGCCCAGACTTATAAGATTTTGCAGGAGCGAGGTGCCAGCAATCTTGTGCCATGGTTTTCACAGAACTATGATGCGTTCTGTGAATATAGGGGAGGAATCAAATATCGATCAATCAAGACCGGTATTGTTGAACCTGAATCTATCGACGAGGAAGCTTCTGCTGTACTCTCCAGATGAAGCTTTTGTCAAGTTGTGCGCAGATAAAGGGATACACTCTCTCGACAGAATGAACAAAAAGATGAAGAATGGAGACCCTTTCAAATTTTTGGGAAACAAGCTCTGAAAATGGGCTGGCAGAGCTATAGAGCAAGTTCGAAGGGATTTATATAGTGAAATGGGAGATGCGCGATGGCAGTCTAGTCAAAACAGACGGGTCGACAAATGATGGCAAGAAAACCCAACAAGTCAGGTTAGGGAGCTCTCGGCAAACGACGCCTACCAGGGATAACCAGATGCTATATCAAGGAGCATAATGATCATAGATCGTGAATCAGGAAATGAGTGGCATTGCTGTATCCGTCTATTTTTCTCTACAATTGTAGATTGCCCATATCACTTCCCTGAGGATATGTCGCAATTACCTTACGAATACTGCATGAAACCGGATCTATTGATGATCCGTCGACATAGCTTATGTAACTAGAATGGACCCATAAATAGCGAAGAATAGGGGTAATGGAAATACAGAGTCATTGACATCTCCAATTGGCCGGATACAGTACAAATTGTGACATATTAACCCCATGGAACACCTTATCCCCACCCCCAGGCCCACCCCACTTTTCCAGAGCGTCTACTCCGGAGAGCGCAGTAACAACAGCACAGCACAAAAGGGTAAGAGGAGCGAAACGCATTAGATAGGCACCTTAAGGAGAAGCAAAGTTAAATTGCATTAAAACATTCGTAGAGAATAACCGATTAGATATAAAAGCAAATTAAGAGATAAAGTATTATATCAGGTTAACATCAGGCCGGAGAGATATCCGAAGGTTTTGTATACATTACCGGAGTAGACTAGTCTATGTGCGATGCATCCGTTCCCATATGCGTTACGGACTGATTCTCATAAGAATCAATCACAAATAAAATCATGCTCATTATGCCGGCTCATAAATTTAAGAAAAGGAGGCCAAGGGTTTGATCTAGATCCTACATCCGGAGCAGCAATGATTCAGCGTCCCGCTTGTATCTGCCAAGCAACAGTTCCCCAGGATAGCCAGCGAACTATGGGTACCCGCCGGCCGTGGGTGGCCCGTGCCCAGGTCTATATCTTTGATTACAGTTCTGCTCTGGTATTCGAGTAATCCAATATTTGAATTAATTGCTCTGTTGCAGTAAGTGGGGGCGACCTTTTCGGAGTTAGACACCAGTGCACAACTTCCGCCTTCCGATTAGTCAGCGGAATCATAGATCTCGGGATTTGACTGCGCGAGAGCTCAGCATTTGAGAATTCCGAGTACGGAAATGAAGAAGAGAGGATCTGCACTTGATGTGGACCCGGTCCACTAGCCAGTATATAAACTAAAAACTCGCCCGGCTTGTTGAGGGAAGACTAATTTACGTTTTCATTCTCGCCCGGCAAGAATATGCCGTGCTCCTTCTCTTTTAACCTACTAAGTGGTCGGGGGAAATGACGTATAGTTAGAGAAACAGCCATATAAAACCTGTCCCAGTGCCGGACAAAAATTTAGAATTTACTGTCTCATAGTCGAGAAATATCAAACCACCAGCTATGTCTTCCAATGTTTCAGCAAATAATCCCACGAGCGAGGGGATCCTCATTGTATGCTTTCAAGTCATAAACTGGCCAAGTTAAATCGCGTGCTAACAAATTGTATATCGGGGCAGGAATTGCCGGTTTGACGCTGGCTCAGGCCCTTCGTCGCCACGGAGTACCTTGTACAGTCTTTGAGCGCGATGAATCCCCGGAAGTTCGCAACCAAGGATGGGGTGTTTCCATTCACTCTACTTTGATTACGTGGGAAGCGCATATTTTGCCAGAGATTTATGACCGCGTTTGCGAGGCACAGGTGAATCCTGCTATCGGTCGTGATGAAGTCCGCGGAGTCCCATGGATCAACGGCGCGACGGGACAAGTCGAGCAATCTGTTCCAGAAAGCAAGAGACTTAGGCTGAGACGGGACGGAATACGGAAGGCTCTCATGGAGGGTCTGGACATCAAGGTGAATCAAAAGATTTCTTTTCGTTATGTTTATCTTTGTCTACCTTAGGCTTACTCGCATATAAGTGGGGCAAACGACTTGACAACATTGAGAAATTCAAGGGTGGTATCCAGGCCGAGTTCACGGATGGCTCTACTGTTCTAGGAAATGCCCTAGTGGGTGCAGATGGTTCGACGTCGATCGTTCGCATGTTTCTCGCGCCCACAACCTACAAACTGCATCGCCTTCCTATCAATGCTGTGGGTTGTGCGCTGACAATGAGTGAAGAGCAAGTCAATTATTTCAGAGACCATGTTGATCCACTCTATTTCATGGGCACGCACCCAGAATCAGATACTTTTGTCTTTTGGTCTCTGCTAGACACTCCCACATCTCCTGGGAAACCCTATCGTGCACAAGTGTACTTTTCCTGGATGGCTTCCGATGCTGATGATGAACTGTTCAAGCAGCCCTTGCTTGACGTGTTCAAAGAAAAAGGCCGGCCATTCTTCCCTCGCTTACGCGATATTGTGGACTCATTACCCGATGACACTGTTGTTACAAAGGTCAACCTCGTCGACTGGCCGTCTGTTGAGTGGGACAATTGGAATGGTACCTGCACTTTGATCGGCGACGCGGCCCATTGTATGGTGATCTGTAAGTTTATCTGCTCATGAGGAAACAAATCCGAACTAACTTCAGCAGATCGCGGCGAGGGAGTGAACCATGCCATCGTGGATGCCTGTCAACTCGCGGATACTATCAAGTCGGCTGCTGATGGCCACACATCAATGAATGACGCCATCGAAGAGTATGAGAAGCAGATGCGCCCGCGAGCGAGAGAGGCAGTGGAGACCAGCAGACAGGCTGGACACGATGGCCATTGCTATGCTAAGGTTGACAAGGAAGGAAGCTTCGCTCTTCTAGGTGAGAAGCCAGTCTAGTGGTCTTTCGCGTTGCTCGGGCCATCTGTGATGGCGCAGCGGTCCAGTACACCGCATAATCTCGTGCGCCTGTCAGATATAAGTCACGTAAAGGTGATGGCACGGGAATAGGGCGATTGCCGGACTATATTCAGTGTAGGCTAGTGGATCTTGGTATTAAGATTTGGGAAAAAAAATCACAGTATGCGTGGACGCCGTTTCCCGGAAGTACAATGACAAATCTATCTTTTTTCTTATAATTTACTTTCCTGCCTCCGCTTTTCATAACACATACGACCAAGTTGATATCTTCAGTCTCAATATTCCGGCGTAAAATATCATCAGCCGTGTCTCTTGATTGTTCCCAATACGACCTAGATGGCGGAGCTAGGTCTTGTTTTGTTCCGTGTCCTTTTGCCATAACCCGGTTGTTCCAATTTACCCTCCACTCGATCTGGTAGTGAATAGGGGGTGGTGGCTGTCTGACATAAATCCTAGTTTGTTGGACTATGCTTCATGCAGGGGAGATGAACGCGCATACACTATATCCTCGGGGTTTGGTGAAGAGCTCTATACCCCGGCATTCGTAGTCGGGATCTTGATCGTAGAATAGCGCCTAAATATCTAGCGACTTAACTAAGGATTGATATTTAATCGCTAGCCTTACATAATCTCAATTTTCCTGTAAAGTAGATTTTTTGCTTAGAAATTGTCATAATTTCATATATCCTTAGTGGGATTGACCTTCACTTAGCTAGTTATCATAGTATGACTTCAAAACTTAAAGGCGGACTTTGTAGAGAGCTAAATTGAAAGCGACTGATCTAATATCAATTTATGAAATTGATATACCGTTGCAAAATTTTCTCACATTCATTTCATATTCGTCTAGCTACAGGGAGGATCGAAATCGGTTTCACCACTTTACAGTCAGAGAATCTTTCTCGCACCCTATGCCGAAACATGCGAATCTAGTTCGGACCTAGCTCGGTTTCAGATGTTAAATCGTACTGAAAGTAGATATCATGTGATGAATAGTTCTTTAAATTACCTGTAATACTCTTACCGAAATACTGGCATCTGGCCAGCACGGTGAGGTTGGCCAGCTCGCTAGGGAAATACGCTACTACAGCAACTAAGTAGAGTGTGACACCGAGCTCATTATACGCTCATCTTCCTGAGAGCTGCTATCCCATGAAATCATCACCAGCATAGCCAAAAGAACAGTATTTCTAGGACCCCCCGGTATCAGAGCTTTGCATCCTCCACTTCAAAATCCTGTAGACTTCGAAGGTCGGAGATTCTCTGAAAGAAAGGTCTATATCCAAAGCCATTTTTAACTGAGACCTCAAGGGCAGCTTTGCTCCATGGACAATAACGCCCTATCATCATATCTGTTAGCAGATGAAAGCTCAAAGGATACAAGTTCTCTTACAGTGGCTATAGTAAACTGCTCCACATCTTTCCAGCGCCTCATGCCAGAGCAGGAGATCTCGACCAAGCAGGCGTCGAAGATTATCAAATATTTCTGCTGACCCCTCCAGGACCCAGACCCCTTCGTCCTTATCCCAAGCAAAAACCGCCAGGTCGTCGAGAGGTTCAGCCTCGGCATTTTTCTGCTTGCTGCTAATCATGAACTCCGTGTCTGCCATAAACTTGAAATATGGTTTGCCTTCACTGTTTCCCATCTCGCATGCTGCAGCAGTATCCTCAAGGAGGAACCGCCTCCAATCACGGTAGCCAGGAGGCTCTATGGGCGGAGGCTCCAGTTCGCATGACATGGCTTCTTTTACTCTTTGCAGATGGGCCTTCGGGTATGGTCGAAATGCTTCTGGGAGATACTCTTTCTAAATGAAGAAGGTAGCAGAGAAAGGAAATCAGAGCAGGTCGGGAGAGAAGAGGTTCAGATAAAAGGAGGCGTTTGGCCCCGAATTATTAATGAACCGCCCCCTGCATAGTTGATCCAATCATCGACCTTCTGGACTTCCAACAAGAAACGAGGTAATACCATCGGTCAAACTAACAACCAACAAAGAAACCAAGAAGAAACCAACAGGAAAACCAACAGGAAAACCAACAAGAAAATTAACAAGAAACCAACAAACGGGTCGCCGACCCATGCGCCAGATGAATTCCGGACTTCAAAGGCCGCCGGCCGCGGGTACATCACATCTACAGAAAGTCGCCCTAACCACCCAGCGCTGGTCAACAGCGACAGCAGATTCGACGTCAGCGCTCGCAGAGTGACGTACAACTGATATTTTAATGACATTTTCTCTTCCCTACCTCCCGGTGCTTCCCTACTCCCCGGTGCTTCCCTTCTCCCTAATTCTTCCCTACTCCCTAGTTCTTCCCTACCTCCCGGTACTTCCCTACTCATAAGCGCGTCCCTAAAAGTAGACGAATCCTTGACTTAAGATAAATAAATCAAAATATCTAGTTATAGACGCGCTCGAAATCAGTTCCACCTTGTAACGGATAATGGTCTAAGAGTGGACGTTTCCGTTTGCCTGTATATAAATACCTTCTTTTCTTGGAGGACTCAAAGGAAGCCTAGGTCACATAACACTCGGCAAAGCGGGGTATTGTTAGCTGACTCCGGGACGGGATCCATGGGTATAGTCAGGGCCCCCCTCGGGACCCCACTGATTCCGTCAAGAATCAGTCTTGGACACAATACGAGACTGCAGTGTTTCCTCCCCTTAGAACCATTTCTCCCTTGCTTGATTGACAGGCCGTACACCTGTAATAACATATACCCTTTACAGGTAAAGTCTCTATCTACTACTAATTAGTAACCTTAATTCGGTAATTTACAAGCGTAGAATATATAAAGCCTTAGTTAGAACTACGCCATTATACTTTACTAATATAGCGGGAGCTAGGTCGTAGTAGGAGATAATATTATCTACCTCTTCCTTCTCCTTTTAATATTTAAGTATAAATCTACGTAATATAGCTATTACGATACCGTCGCGAAGTATTTCCTTAAGGGTTCTTTTAGGTAATATAGTTAAGGAACTCGAAAAGATTTATAGTAGACTAAAGGAAGGGCCTTAAGGGCTATATTCATTTCTTCCACTATTTTTTTTATATAGGCTTAGAGTAGGTTAGCCCCTATCACCATATTCCCACTTCTATCACCCTAGTCTCGAGACTTCTCGCCTATATCACCTGCACTCACCCTAGAGTGCCGCTTAGGTGCTAAAGGCGCATTAATTATTGACCGCACAGAATCCAGTAGCTTAAGTACGGCTAAGTGGACGGGAAGCCCTGTTCTCCACACCCTGTGGTCGTATGTACTGGACATAGTAGTCAGGAGAAATAAGTAGAGTAGAATTGAATGATTGTAATAGTGATAATATAGCATGACTAGGAGTGGAAGGGGTGACCAAGTTATAGAAAAAATGAAGAACCTTATACAATACTAGGTAGTAACAGAGCGCCAAGTTTTTCAACATCGCTGTATCCCTTAGTGCAGGCCTCTTGGCCGACCACACTGGGTGTACATTTGACTATCTCTCTCCAATTTGTTGTTTGTATTAGCAGAAGATCCGGAAAAGAATGTGTCTAATGCCTCAATTCTCTAAATTCTCGAATAACGTAGGTTCTCTCCTCTTCAATCGGATAAATGAAAGGCTCACCAATGTAGAACCTCCAGAATACTGACTATAATGCCAGCATAACTCTTCCTCGCTTGTTCAGCCCAGTTGACTTCTCCTGGGACAGACAACTGAAACCCGCCATCCGTCTGAAGTAAAATAAGATCTTCCAGGTTCATAAATAGAGATCATCCTGCGATTTTCCTGTGACTCGTAATATCGTTCTTATTTCACTTTTTTGTTCCATTCTGATAAGCACGACCACCCAGTGATTTAATCGACCCTGAGGTTCACCTAAGGACCAGACGTTTTGGCGCCACTAGCAGTCACCACTTCAGGGTTGGTAAAGACAGCCTGCTCTTGCCACTCGGTTTCTTGACTTCTCCATCGCCCAAGGCACCGATCAATCAGTTTGAATTTTCCATGGCGCTCCTGATGTCGGAGCCCAATGAACCAGACGGAGACTGCGATCCAATAGATGTTGTACGAGATGACCGAGCCATATGTGGCAGAGTTTTGCCAGCCGAGGATTCCACTAAAGATGCCCCAGCCGCCTCCTCCGTTGGTGAGTGGATTGCAGCAGTTGACATGCCAGACACTTTGCTGGATATTATATGAGCCAGCACCAGAGCCATTCTCGGTAGCGCCGCTTCCCGCCTTATCGTTCCAAGCATGAGCTTCAAGAAACCAGACTCCCTTCGAGAATAGACCAGCAGCGACAAGATAGAGGAAGCACGTCGAAACAATTAGGAAGACCTGTAGTGAGGCTTGATTTCCGCCACTAAGGATCATTTCATCGGTCATCAGCAATAGCAAAATAAGTGACCACTATTTCATGCTGCTTACCGGTACAGGATATATCCAATGACAGCACCAGCCAACAGACCCGTAATGACTGCCAGCGGGAAAGATTGTGCAGGGAAACTCAGACTCACACCACCGATGAATACTACGGCCTCGAGACCTTCACGCAGAACAGTCACAAAAGGAAGCATGAAAATCGAATACTTTTCCATCCAAAGCTTGACCCGGGCTCTTCGTGTTTCGTTCTCGCCATTTCTTTTCGTCAAAACCTGGGATAATTTGATTCGCCATTTGTCTTGAAGTTTGTTGACCCGTAGAAGGGCAGCTCCCATAACGGTGATAATAACACTGGCAACCAGCGAGAAGACACCTTCCCAGATATCTGATGAGCTGGAGAATTTATCCTTTCCCAGGCCGTAGAACGCTCCGATAAAGCCAGCTCCGATGCAAACAGAGACAATAACACCAAGAGCCACCCCAAGCCAAACCTGATTAACATTAGCAATAACCCAATTTATACGAGTACTGTGTTTTCTTCAAGTTACCTGCTTGACCAGCTTCCGATATGCCTCACGATCTTCCTCTGCCCCAAGCGACTGCTTCAAGAACGTGAGTAGCACCGACACAATGATACTTGTTTCGAGGCATTCTCGGAGGCAGATGAAGAAGACTAGATAAAAGTCAACCGGAAGACCTACAATTGAGAAAATTGAGTCTTACTGGGGACTGCAAAAACATTGACCGTCATCCTGGTCTGACCAATTTGAACGAAAACTTGAACCCGGGAGGGAAAAATCAGATAAGAAGCTGCAAAAGGGCCATACTTTCGATATATACCCAGGTTGTAAGAGAAGAACTTTCACAATGTAGGGCTATTTTCAGGGTCCGTGCCTTAAATTGCTACTGCTCAATGTGTCCGCGCCAAGGCTATACTTGGCAGCCATTTGAGCGAACAGGGCCACAAAGAAGCAACCATAGTAGGCACATGCTCAACAGATTATAGCCTATTGGTCTGCTTTTAAAAGCTTCGATCAGATAATGCTAAAGCCAAGACGGCTGGCCGGACCTTTACCAAGATAGGTGTAGTTCAGCACATCTTGGCTCTTTTCAGATTGCTGCTGCCTATTTCTGTTACTCAACCAACCCATGGAACTTGAGATCGCGTGCCAGGAAAAGTTTTTTTATTTTATTGCTTTGGTCACTTTTACTTCTAACAAGCTCCTGGAGGCTTTGCACGCATTTGATCTATACTACGTGCCAAGCTTTCACTTGAACGTGAAAGGTTGTGCGGCAAGCTCGTCAAGTAGATTACAAATAAGTTGTTGAAGATTAGCTATGGATCTACATGACCCAATCTAGTACTATTAGGCCGCATAGTAAAGTGCTGTTGCTGGGCTTTGCTATTGTCTTGAGGAGATTGTTTTTCTCGTCACTTTTCATGCTGAACATAGCTGATTTCTGGCTTAAACCGATGGTTTCTTCAAGCTTCTTCTCTTGATCAAAAAAGGCGATAGAATTTAGTTTTCCGAGCATTTTGCATCTTCTACTCAGAGCTGTAATTCTCTAAGAAATGAAAATTTGGTTGTCTCAGGACGACACAGGACACAATCCTTCTCACCTGTTACTCACATAAAGCCCGTAAACGTCGCATCCCATTGCAATCCGCTATCGAGTGGGGCTTTCTGGGCATCGAAATGACAGATTTTCCAGTTAGAAATGAACTGTTGATTGGGCCGAATTCCCTTCTGATCACGATTTGAGAGCAAAACTCCTAGGTAGAGGTCCTACATTATTCAGCAAATAGAAATGGGGGTAATATTGCTGGAGTTTTCAACCCTGACTCTACAAAATCATTGGTACTACTGATGGACTTTGACGACGACGCGGAGCAAGTGTGGTCCCAACTTCTCCCATATATCAAACTCCTTCGAGATGCTGGCTTCCTTATATATACACTGAAAACCGACTTGGAACCTTCATGCGAATCTAGTAAAGTCCTTGGGTAGGCGTTGAATAATTAAAAATAGTCGGAACTTTCGGCCAACAAAACATCGGTTCCAGCAAGGCTAAAATCACCAAAACAACCCACGAATCCAACCAAGCAGATGTTTCATCGATCAACACCGGATGGTCCCTAAGTGTTGACACTGAATCATGCCTGGCCTCTTGACCAGACAGCAATGGCTCAAGCGCAGTATTGTATGACTATATTACATTTCCCAGGCCTTAGGCATGTAAGAGAAATGCTCCATCGAAGGACCTACTGTACATGTCTCAGGCGCGGCTACGGTTCGGCATTTGTCCAAGCAATCCATCCTTCTTTGGCACGTTCCTTTCCAAGTGGCCCTGTAGATAGAGCATCCCCTGATAATTGTCGGGTATTTTCTCGTTTCGCCCCTTTATCGACCTGTCTGTCTTATGAGACTGCCATTGAGCCGCTCCCATTTGGCTACATTGACTACAAACAAGAAAATCAGAAAAGTGCAAAAAAATAAAAAACATACAACAGTAAGGATTCGCTAGTGGTCACCCACCTAACTACTAACTTACCGGCGTGTGGCTTAAACGCGGCCAGTAGTCGGGTGGGTGCCGCCTGGGTGAGAAAGGGGCGAGTGCCGCTTTACTGTCGCGCGACTGGGGGTGACAAGGGTGAGTGCGCTATAGACAGGGTGATAAGCTCAGTGAAAATCACCGACTGCCGCACTGACCTTCCCAGCTGAGCGGCAGTTGGCAGTCATGGGATTACAGCGTTCGTAAAAAAGATAACGGCAGGCTTCTTTTTCAGAGCTCTTTAAATACTCGTTATGACTTTTATTAAGTTACAGTATTAGGATCTTTTCGATTAGCATTAGTTATTATGATTTAATAACCCCTATATTAGCTTTCGATATGAACAATTACAATTAGCCTGCTGGATGAGGTTGATTTAATATTACTAGACTTCAGAAAGACTCAGTGTCTTGTTCATATTAAATAATGGTGAGTGCGCTTGGCTCAAAGGATTTATAGGTACAATTATACACCTTGTTTGAGATAATCCTTGATAAGGGAATGAACCGAGGAAGCCTCAATACACAACTTGTTCAAAAAAAAGTAAAAGGGTTTGAAGAAAGACGGGGCAATAAGGCGGCTATATAAAATGGGTAAGAACCTGTAGAAGCGACTGTATTGCGCGATCTATCAGGAAATAAAAAGAATCGGAGGGGGAAAAAGAGAGAGTGAGCGTGAGTGAGAGAGAAAGAAAGAGATCTATCTACAACACAAAAAGGGTCATCTGACCACCCAGCACTTTAGCCTCGTGTCCAGCGACACAAAGCCTCCTCTTTGAGGAAGATTGACAGTCGGTGAATCGCCTTCAAGTAAGGCGGCCTAGTGACCGTTGGTATAATCACCGCCCTGCGCGTTGACGTCTGCTATTTTTTCAAGAGTTTAGTCACGGACAGTATGCCGCTCTGGTTGCACTGCCACAATGCACACCGGGTAGTCCCTCGGCGCGTTGTAATCGAAAATGCTATTTGATAGACGTAATAGCAGACAGGAAAGACAGCAATCTTGTTGCATAATGCGTAGGCATCGCCCAGAATTTTGTGCCGGCTGCCACTGTAGAGCAAGCCACTGCCCCAGGGTGTTTTCACTCACTTGTTGATACGAAATGCGCATGGAAAAATCGCGTTGCAGCTTGTTTCGGGATTCAACATCATCAACGAAGAGGCCCTCATGAAAATCTGCTTCCAATCTTTTTAGTCCTTCCATGGCTACATTCGGATAGTATCCGTGTTCGCATGCAGTTGTGACAAGGAAATCAGGCAAGAACCGTGCAGCCAGACCTCCGTTTGCGATCAAAAAGACCTCTGAGTTTGGGAAGACCTCCACACGAACGAAAATAGTGTCACTCATAGTTGTCAGAAGGTTTCGAGAGTGCATCGATGGATACGCGTTCTTGGGACCCCTCATCTCCGACCGATGAAGTTTGTCTTTATGTTGAAGCACAAGATTATGACCCAGTGCATTAATCTGGTCGGTCCTGATTTTGGCGAATTGCTGGCTTTGGTATGTGATTGCCCCACGGCGAAAGCCCAAAAGGCTCCCTTGAGATTCGTGTGACTGGCTGGTAGTGCAGCATTGCGAATCAAAATGACCCCTTCAATATCCAGTGCAACCCAGTCGTCAGTCCACATGCGCTGCTCAATATTGTCTATCGACATTCCGTCAGAGCATAACCAGATTGCTTCGGCGATGTGACCCTCAAACTTGGTTGATTTGGGAGATTTCTTGGGGATGTCTTTGTATGAGAATGTTCGGGCAGACATGGTGTGTAGGCTTTGATCCCAATCTGTGAAAGCCATCTTAGATGCAAATTTCACTGCCGTTTCGACCGTCTGCGATAGCTCAGATAGATCTGATGTGGCTTCTCGTAAGTCTTGCTGAAGCTCCATGCTGTTTGGATCATCAAGGTATAGACGCAAACGTTCCACTTCTACATCATCTGCCGCTCTCTTCCCGTCTCTCTTTCCGTCGAGCTGAATTCCCCCCAACGCAACATATTGGCCTCGTCGACTTTTAAAAGTTGCTCTCTTCCGTTCTCTCTTTTTCCGGAATCGACGAGCGAAAGATCTGAAGCCGTTTGAAAAAAAATTATTCTCCTGGTCGGAGTCTCCTGCATCGGATTCTCTGCTGTCGCTGTCAGAGCCATCTTCACTCTTCTCATTCACAAATTCTTCATCGATCGGATCTGGGTCTTCGAGGTGGCCCTCACAATAGAGATGATCGGAGAACTTGGAAACTTGAAAGCGATATCCGTCTTTCGGGGGTCTGAACCCCAGAATTTTCAGGATTTGCAACCCACGAGCCTGAATATGCACAAGAACGGACATGGTATATGGCTCGAGTCCCACATTTCGACCAAATCCTGATTTGTATCGAGCTGCGTCTGTTTCTGAAAGTTCAAAAGAAGTGATCAAGTCTGCAATACGGTTGAACAGATCGATTGCAGCAAAGGTAGATATTCGGGCGAACAATGCATGCCGTGCGGTTTTGAAATCCGGATGATGGGTGTTAAAAAATTCAACCACAGAACAATCGACGAACCATCCCGAGCATTTATCGATAGCGCGGTGATCAAACGAGATCAAATCTTCGATACCACCTTCCAGATATAATTCGCCACTATTTTCATCGGAGGAGACGTCAAAGATGATTTGCGCGGCGTCATAACTGCTTGTTATAGGCACCTGTCCTTCGTCCACATCCAAGGCACATGTTGATAGGCCAAGGACGTACGAAGTATATGCCGCAATCCACGCCGCACCTCTCATTCCCTTGAAGATGATGACCTGTCTTTCGCCCGAAGCAATGAGCTTGTGCACCAACTGCACAATTCGTGCAATGTCTTTTACTGCCGGGATGGCTTCGTAAGGAACAGCCGGGGCTTCGTAGGGCATAATTGGATCTACCGAAGGCTTCGACTTTTTCTGTAGCGAAGAGAAAAAATAGTGATAGTGCAAAACCTTCTCCGCCATGCCAGTTTTACTAGCCAATGGTAAAAGGTTGCGTCGTATATTTTGGAGCTGTGTCAGGCCCGGGGTGTTATCAAGCGACACTTTCGCAGCCTCGAACAGAGATGAGAGCACCGCGATACAGCTCTCTTCATTCATCACAGGAGCGATGGCGGACATTAAAGCAACAACATTCTCCCCCGCTCGAGTCTTGAGCATTTGGTCTGCCAAAAAATTGACCGAGGCGCCGATCTCAATCATTTTATAAAGCCATAGCTGCTCCGACCTCTGCTCCTCACGAGTTTTATTCAGTTTGGTGCGGAACTCAGGGGAAGCAGGGGTATATTCGGCAATCATTAGCATGCAACCGATCGTGTGAGTATCGACTCCAGCTAGAGCCAGCTGTTTTAGTCCATATGCACCAGCGTTGAGGATGAGCTGCGACAGCCCCGGTATGTCAATTTGCCATCCTGGCTGAGACATGATTATCGTGCTGTGATAGTGCCGAATGATCGGTGCGGGCTCAACATCCTCTCCGTTGCAATGATGAGCATCACCGGTTCCTTATGAACCCAGATGTAAAGATCTCAGCTACCCACAGCCCCTCTTGGCACCCCTCCCACTTTACTAGCCGCCTCGGGGGCCAAGGGCTGTGCGGTCAATGAAACCAGTAAGATAAGCGGGGGTATGCAGCCAAGATTTGGCTTGAGATCAATAAGCACGTACGAAGTAAAGGAGGAACCATGTCACCTGGAGGCAAGCTCGCAAATAGAATAGTATGCGTTGCAGAATCATACACCCGCCAATGCGAGACTGAATGGAGTGAGTGTTCTATCATTCGCACATATTTCCACCTCTTTTGGTGCTCCTCCCACTTTGGATTAGCCGCTTTGGGGGCCAAGGGCAGTGTGGCCAATGAAACCAGCGAAATAAGCGTGGGGATGCAGCCAAGCTTTGGCTGGAGATCAATAACAAACACCCAGAGATGCTGTGTCACCCGGAGGTGAGTTCGAAAATAGAATAGTGCGGTTTGAAAAATCATACACCCACCCGTGGACCGCTTCGAGGCTGACTGGAGTGGTCCATCACTCGCACATCTTGCGCCCCTTTTAAAGCGAGCACCCATTCTCAACAATGAGATTTCTTCCACCTGGGGCTATTCACTTGATCACCCCTGGCCTCGCCGTCCATGTCACCCCCAAATTCAAAACGTAGCCTGCATATGACCTCCAGAATGGCCGCCTCCGCTGATCAAATGCCGATTGATGAGCCTTCTTCAGCTGGCGACGTGATAAGTGAAATTTTTGAGCTCGGAGACAGACAATGCGCAAAATTGCATATTGTGAGTTGTTGAAATTCTTTCATGGGCTTTAAAGTTTTGATTTTAATGCGCGACATCGGACAGGGCGATGGCGATAGCCACGATGAACAATGCGATCCGCAGTCTCCACTTCGTATGATTATCACCGATAGAGACAGACAATCGCAAAGAGCAGCAACATCAGGACAAAGAACTAGGGAGGCGGAGCTCAGTCACATGGTCACAAATAACAGAAGCACAGGCGACGAAATTATTGAAATGGAAACAATCGCTGTCCCCAAGAAAGCACTTACTCATGAAGTTCCGTTACTTCGAGGAGCCCTAGTAATTGAATGGAATGTACCTCTTTCCCTGCTCCAGACATTTGTCAGTCAGAAAAGACACGATGACGCCGAATTCAGATCTGCCAAATACTCGGCAATAACCGCCTCACCTACGTTTGCGCGACAAGAGAATTTCACGCTCCGCCAAATGCTGTACCCTAAACCCCGCCAAACGGAGATCGTGCTTATCCTCCATATCTCTACACACCAGGACAATGAATATCTCGGACAGACATTGGGCACATTGTTCCGCTGTATCGATTATATGTGTTCGAGACATTGCGAGGAGTTCGGTAAACACGGGTGGAAGAAGTTCCTGATATGCATTGTGGTAGATGGGCGGCAAAATCTGTCCTCGAGCAGCAGACGGCTGTTGTCTCTACTTGGTCTTTTTCGTTGGGAATTTATGGTTGGAAGTGTTCAGGAAAAAGCCGTCGAAGCCCACATGTTCGAGTACACAACTCAAGTGGATCTGAATCACAACGGGATCCCACGGACGCCAGGTACCCCAAGGAAAACACCAGTTCAGATGCTTCTTTGTCTGAAGGAAAAATCCGAGGGCCGTATTGAGGCTCATTCATGGCTCTCCGAAGCTGTGCTGCCGACATTGCAGCCTCATATGCTTGTTTTCATTCCACCTGGCTTGATGCCACAACGCGATGCGGTATATCGAATGTGGAAGAAAATCGATAGGAAAAAGAGCTGTGGTGGAGCAGTCGGGCAGGTTGTTCCTCAGGTTCTTTCAACCATCGACTGGTTACGATACCCTTTCTTTGCCGCCAGTGCCCTCGAACAAAAGTTGATTCACACGTTTGACAAGCCAGTGGCATCCGGTCTCGGGTCAATACAAGTCTTTCCCACAACATTCTCGGCTTTTCGGTATTTAAAGCCAGAGAAAAAGCCCGATCGCACGGGTAGCTCTACCTTTTGTGATGAAAATGTCCCGACGGAAACTGAGCACACCCGAGCTTTCACCAGCCTATCTGACTTCCCAGAATATAGGCCTTGGCTTATGGAGCCTTTCTCTCAGCATCAACTCCGCTGGTCCTTCGCCTATTCTCGACGATCTAAAGCGCGTCTTCCCATACGATCTACCGATGAAAGCTCACCACTTCATGTACCAATATCAATATCAGGTTACATCCGTAGCCAGCGCCGACAAATCCAAGACAAGGCGGTTTTCATTCTCCAGTGCCTAACACATGCTCGACAATTAGTCACAGTCAAGCACAGATATTTCCGCAAGCTGGGCACTGTGGTCCTGCTTCTATATTTTCTCGTTGATCTTTTTATCAGCTGGTTTGCTATAGTAAGCGAGCGATGAATATTTGCATATCCCAATGAAAACCAGAAGAGACAGCTAATATTGATTTCAGGCCAACCTATTCATCATATTTATCAAGGTGAACTCCTCATTCCTTCACACATGGCTTCCAAATGAGAGTGGTCGGATCCTCGAGAAGTTTGTGCGCATCGTTTACATTTTGACGCTTATAATATCGGTTATCTTGGGCTTAAGTGATGACATTTGGAGATCGAAAGCAAACTTTCGAACTCGGTATGACATGCGCGTGGTCCTTGCTGTATGGGCGTGCCTTGCCGCATACTTCGTTTCCATTACTGCTGTCATTCTATCCGAAACCACCAAACTTGCGATCTCCAATCTAAATGCCCAAAAAGAAGCTACCTATATCTGGTGGTCTCCGGAGCTGCGATTTGTTGTGGCAATCTGCCCTATATTCATCACTCCGATTATCTGGGTATTGGCTAGCTTAGCCCTATTCGATAATCCATTGCATTTATTTCTAGGGGTGAGAAGAAACAGGCCAATAATACCCTGTATAGGATAGAACTAACACCTGGCTTATAGATCATACAGCACATCTTGCTCGCTCCAGCCCGTATCAACTGCCTCAATATTTCTGCCTTTTTCAGTGTTTCCAACACTCTCAACGAGGCGCCTTTGGTTGATTCGTTCGACCCAACATTTTTCCAAGACATCCGCGACACAACTGCATCTGAACCTGGCCGCGTTGCCGTCAATATTCCTCAAGACGATTATGATCTCGATGCGCAATATGAAGCTCAGTCTGCCAGGCTTGCTGGTGATCTCAACGCGCAAAATGAAGCCAAGATCGCCGAATTTTCCCGGCGGTCTCCTAAAGCAACTCCTGTGGTCCCAAAATTTATCCAAGATATCCGCGACACAACTCTACGAGTTTCCGTCAGAATCCCTCAAGACGATGGTGATCTCAACGCGACATATGAAGCCCAGATCGCCAAATTTGCTTTGCGGCCTCCCCCTAAAGTAGGACTCTTGGCTCCTCCTTGTATGCCATTATATTCGCGGGGTTTAGTCCTGACGTGGGCAATGTCTAACTTGTTGCTTTGTGCTCTGCTGTGGTATCTTGTCCTACCGAACAAGGAAGAACAAATATCCCACGTGGAAAATATCAATTCTGGTCGCTTCATAGTTTATTTTACTATCGTTAATTGGGCAATCGGTGGGTTCTGGGTTGTTAAATTTGTTGGTGTTCTTTGGTATCAACTATCGAAAATGTTTCTCTTGTGCGTGTGACTTGATTCATTTCTTGTTGAGGATCATGATGGTGCCGTGGGTGATAAATCCTACTTCTTGCTTTCTCTCTCTCTTCCTCCCCTTCTTCTTCTTCCAGGCATTGAATACAATATCAATTCAGTCTCGTCCATATCTGCTCTTATCTTCGCTGTCTTATCTAATAATCACCCAGAAATTTCAAACTAACGAAGTGTCGTCGTACTTGAATTTCTAGTGTGGTCGGTAAAGGCTTTGATTCGTCGCGGAAATTGGAGTCGGAGAGCTTGCTGTCAGAAGATCTCGGCTCGGTCCCAGTTAGGGGGTTCAACTACTTAAGTAAGTACTGATGGTAACAATCTTGGAATCTTGGAACATCCGAGTATATATTATTGCCAGTGTGGAAGCAGGTGCATTCAAAGTCAACTGGTTTTGTCCAAATTACCAGTGAAAAGGGACCCCGATTGCAATACAGAGTAGTTAAAGCTGCAAAAAAAAATCAGTGTTACCGTTTACTACAATATAGCTCGGTTTATTCTCGGTACCGTAGTTATATGTGAGTTCTAAGACTGTGTTACATTCAACCCAAGAACGATTACTCTATAGAGAAGCCAGCCCGTTATAAGCCAGGCAATAGTTGCAGAACTTCCATTCCAGCATATTGATACTGAATGTTGACCAAGCTCAAGCCAAGGAATTTGTCAAATTCCATCGACCGCTTCGGGTCGTTTACCCGCATCATCGTATCTGCCCCGTATCAGCGTGCGCAGATTTTCAGGTTATCCCTATATGAACTAATGGTTGAGCTTCTAAATTTGTAAGTCCAGATATCGGTCGCCATGGTTGCTAAGGATCCTTCCAAGGGGTAAGTGATTAGCCATTGCAAGTTGTCCGGGGCATAATGATTGGTGCAATGAAGCTTTGCTTGAGGACCCCGGACAATAGGCGTGTAAACATCGAACTTTAAAAGATAGCATATTGTGAGGGAGAAAAAGAGCTTATATCGGCCGTAAGGAGGGCCTCGGGAACTTCTTTTCAGCCGACAGCAAGTTGGGAGTTCTTTCAACCGTGAGAATGTCGGGAACTTTTGTTAGCGGTGAGAACTCTGGAGGGTTGGGGCCTTACGGCGGGCTTCGACCCATTTCCGGGTCGTGCGGAAGTCTAGTCCGAGGGTCATGAGGGTCACCCACGCACGGGTCATTACCAGGTCTAATCTAAATCACCCAACTCATCTTCGATTATTTAAATCACTTAACTCATCCATATTTACCTTAGTAAGGCTTGAAATGCTGCTTTAAACAAGAAGGTCTTAAAATAATCAAATATCCTTATGGCGTGTGGTTTAAGTACGGCTGAGCGGACAGGAACCCTTGTTCTCTACATCCTGTGGTCGTATGTGGTTGAATTAAGTGTTGATAGAAATATATCATCTTCAAAATTATACCGAGTCTTCGCTGGGGGAGGTTTGCTGGACTGCTTATCCAAACATACTCCGAACCTTGTCTATACTATTGGTGAGTTGATATTTTGACATTCGATGAGACTGCAAGAAAGCACAACAGAGAATGTACAAAAATTTGATTAGTAAGGAAATTATCCTCAAAAAGTCACTAAACTTAAACTACCCGAGGGAATTACTACGCCGCTGATGATGAGACTTTTGGCCTAGACTAAATTGAACTCAAACACAACTTCGCTTTCGCCAGTTAAAATGACTAAGCTGAACCCATTCCCGAGGTCGCTTTCCCCCCCAGATGAACAGCATAGCCCTGCCTCGTAAGATGTTCCATGGTTATACCAAAAAAAGAGACATTACATATAGGTGACCTGATTCCTTTTCTGAGCCATATGAATCCATCCTTTTTTTAATCTCTCGTCATGCCATGACCAACCTATGACACGCGACATAATATGTGTCTCTCAACCAGCACGGGAAGACTGCGATGGTCCCATTTGACACGCAACTATGCCACCAGACCACGTCTTAGCATGCCTACACTCAAAGCAAGCTAGCAGCTTGCATGAAGGCCAAATGGAAGAAACTATGGTGCCAAACATTATCATCTGTAGCACGATCATGCTAGTGTTGGCCTCCACTGGAGTTTTTGTCAAGCTTCTGATGCTAGGCCATCCTCAAAATCTTCACACCGATGATGGTACGTGGCCCATTATCGAAAAAAGACCTGAAACTCAAAGCTGAAGAAACGAACGTTTTTTTCAAGTTCTTTGCGTTATAAGTTGGGTATGATATCTTTCTACATTAGAGGTGACCTGAGGTCTCGAAATCTCTGGGCTTGCTGACTGTGCATATAGATTTTTGCCTTTGTATTATGCTTCATTTCTATGTGGAGTATATTCTTCCATCTCGCACGATATCCACTTGCAAGCTCTGACACATTTGCAGTGACTAGATACGGATACGGTAGACACATCGAAGCAGTTAAAGCAGACATACCTGCAATGTCTATGTTTTTGAAGGTGTGGAACCGTTAATACCTTGAAATGTTGATTGATCCTTACAAAACCGATAGCTTATCGTCGTGACTGCTATTTCATATCTCATTGCAATGACTGCAATCCAGGTTTCATTCTGCTTACTATATAAACGATTGTTTGCAGTGGCACATGTCGGCTGGGCTTATTGGCTTCTTATAACCATTGTGGTATTGCAGTTCACGGAAGAAATTCTCGTATTTGTTTTTCAATGCTCACCAATACGAAAGCTCGTGGACGCCACTGGTTCAGTTCAAGGGAGGTGTTTGGATCTTTACATCTTCTACATTGTTCATTTTGTCACGCGACTGGTTACAAATATTGCTATCTTTACACTGCCAATCTCAAAATTACTGACACTTCAGATGAAGCGTGGAGCAAAGGTGGGCGTTGTTTTATTGTTCGGACTTGGGTTATTGTAAGTCTTCCTTGTTACAAGTTCCAGCTATATCTCGATTTTATGTCTCGGACTGACGCTACATATCGTAGGGTTTGTGCGACCAGCATCATTCGAGCCACTTACTTGAAACGCTTCCAAGTTGACTACACATGTTTGTTGATACTATCCACTATTATTTGATAGCCTGTTCTAACTGCCTTTTAATAGGGGATTTAGTAAATGCATTGAATTGGTCAATTGTGGAGATCTGCACTGCCATATTCATAGCATGTATTCCTTCATTCAAGGCTCTTATTACTGTCTTTTTCCCTTTGCTGCGAAAACACATGGGATTCTCAAGTGGCAGCACGCCTCATCAACACATTATTGATGAGAACTCCGGCGAATCTCCTACTGATTATTTCAATTTGTCTGCTACCCAGAGAGTCCAAGCCACGCCTGACTGTTTTCCATTACCCTCCCCGTTCGTGGAAAATCACGAATTCCCAAATTTGAGTATGTCCGGTGCGATACCTACTGTGCCTGAAAGTCGTGCCACACGCCAGAATCCGCCCTTGGATTACAATTCCGGTTGCAGTGCACAAAGAAACATATTAAAGTGATAAATAGATTTGATTGTCAATTATCTTTGTGGATTTTATAAATAAGATGGTGTTTTCCGAAACAGAGTAGTCCAACAATCCAGAGTAAGTAAGTAATTCCCTAACATTACTGGGCAAGCTTTCTACCGCAAATATTGAGTAGTCACTGATTGTATTGCGAAAGTACCGGCGGAGTGTCTTGGTAGACGGGTTCTCTAAATTATAGGCCCTGGAGTGGACTAGGTTGAGTGGGTAACCCATAGACTTCCGCACCGTCCTATGAAGTCCAGGGCCCAGCCCCACCTAACAGGCAAATGGGCCGGGCTTTGGGCTTTGGGTGAAAATTCACTGGGCTTTAATGGGGTCCATTGGGCCCTAAATAGTACGAATATACCAATTCTTGGCAGTTGGATAGATAATATAGACTTTCTCAGTACTGTTCTCAAGTATTTGAAATACTACAATCTACTCCATAGTTTGTAATTAATTTAGATTTACCTGCTTGAGAAGGATATATTATAGGTCACAGACTCAAAAGAATGATCCAAACAACAAAAACAGTGAGTCCTATCAATCCCAATCCTGCCCAAATAATTCAAATCCCCTTCTGAGCCTGATGGAATCTTACAGTAACCGGATCAGCCGGACAAGAATTTAGCGAAACCCCATAACGAATTTCCGACTCGGGGTGCACATCCTCAACCTTATCAAACCTCTGCAACAATCTCACCAGAACATAACTAGACCTCATCAAAGTCTCGTCAGCCGAAGTCTGAAATCCATCGAAACGATCAGTGAGGTTGTTGCTTAGGGAGCATCAAACGTAAGTGCTGTTAAAATCTCTATAGACAGCTAAAGATAACATGAGCCTTGTCGAGATATAGTCTTTCCCACCCAGCATGGCTATCTTCACGGCAGTGCGACATCTGATAAACGTACGGGCTTAGCCTACTGTGTTTTAGCATGCTGATATTTTATAGACTGCGAACTCTGTATCGGCTGACTTTGACAAGATCACCGAGTTTTTCAGTGATCTCGAATCGTATCTCGAACGACTGAAGATAATTGAGGGCAAATTACCTCTAGTACCTGGTCTCGAATCTATTTTGGCTGAAGTTTTGACATCAGTATTGGTTTTATGTGGGATTTGTGCGAAATACACAAAAAAAAGCGATTCGGTAAGAATATAATTACGGAGCCGTAGTCCGAGCTTATGTAATCTGTATTAGTCAAAGCGCTGCGGAATCTCGTGTCTGGAGAAGATGCTGAGCTCGCCTCGGCTTATAATGATTTTCACAAAATGGTCGAGCGAGAACAAAGTTTGATTGGAATACTCACTTTGGCGGAAGGGGTTGAAGCAAACCGCTCCTTGAAATAGTCTGAGCAACTATACAAGCAGCTCGGGAGTACGTTTTCCATTTGTGTACTGAGGGATTCTTCATTCTCATTTATATTAGACAGGGAAACAGCTCTCGAACGGAAAGATCTTTTGGATGACATTTCGATGCACATTTTCCTTGCTACACAGAGAGAAAAATTCGGAAAGCACCACGATGGAGCGAGGCTATATTTAGTTAGAGTGGTATATTTCGGTCTCGGTGATAGGATATACTTTATTCTATATCGCGGGCTTTATAGTCCGGTTCTATATTATAGAATAAGGCTTATATATCTAATGCCTTTAAAGGAGCCTAGTACTTTAGATACGTATTATGGTTCTAGTGATTAAGGGCCTAGCCGCGAGTAGCCTAAGATGCCTTAGCTAAACTCGTTTAGTAATAAAAAGATTTTAACACTGTAGTTTTACTTACGGTTAATCTTGTTAGTAACGCCTCCGCGAATTCTATATATACGTAACTAGTCTTTAAATCCGTCGCGCTATATTAAACGAGTGAAATTGTGGCGTAATAAGGAGAACGTTAATACCCTTATTAGGTAAGGTCCCTAAGTAGTGACTATCCTAAAGAATAGAATATTCCTTATAGCGTTATTCTATTCTAAGGTCTATGATTCTCTTCTTAGAGGTAGCTTAGTAGCTAGAATATCTTCTACCGTGGCCTTTCCTTTAAAGGCGCTATCCGCGATCCTATAAATAATTGCCTAGAAGATAAAGTTTATTCTAAGGATTAGATACTCTCTAATCTAGTTCTTTAGTCTTTTAATAATATATTAGCTTTTTCTATATAGTATAACTATAGCGCTTAAAACTTATAAATTAGTATCGTCGCGATAACGCTAGCCTTTAAGGAATTTAGGATTAATTATGATCTAACGTATTAGGTACTTCCTTCCTTTACTCTATTTAAGATAGAATAAAAGGTGCTAATAGCTAAAGTCAGTTTTAATATAATAATAGGTCTTTATTATCTAGAATAAACCCTATAGTATAAATATTTATTCGTTTCCCGATAAGCACTTAATTTAATAACGGCCCCTACTCTTACGCCCGAGCCGGTAAAGAATAAGAGAGCACTTCCGGTCTAAATACGCGCTCTCTTATATATATAGTCGTGATAGTCATTTATAAATAGACGTCGGAGTAAGTATCCTATATCCTTTCCGTTAACTAGGAACCGCTCTCTAGGCTTTATACGAAGCTTATATTTCACCGTAAGGGTAGTTCTAATATACTTTTATTTCTTTATTAGCAGCTAAATTTAAAGGGATAAATACCTCTTACGTTAAGAACGTCTTATTTAACTTTATCGGAAAGTAGTCGCGAAGTGTCTCGCTCCTAACGTGACGTAAAGCTAGTGAGTTTATTATAAACCGACTTTTAAGCCGGAATATTTTTGCGTGACGTAATATAAAACTCTACGAAAAGTTTTAGAAGTTTGGTAGACGGTATAGGTAGGTTAGGAAAGTTCGACTCTATCGACTCGTTACGGGAAAGCCTCTATCTACTACTAATTAGTAACTTCGATTTAGTAAGTTACGACCGTTAAACCTATAAAGCCTATGTGAGAACTACGCCGTTATATTTTTCTTATATAGCGGGCGCTAGGTCGCGGTAGGAGATAATATTATCTACCTCTTCCTTCTCCTTCTAATATTTACGTATGAATCCACGTGATATGGTAAGAGCGATACCTTCGCTAAGTGTTTCCTCGATGGTTCTTTTAGATAATATGGTTAAGGAACTCGAAAAAAATTATGATAGACTAGAGGAAGGGCCTCTAGGGATGTATTTATTTCTTCTATTTTTTTTTGCATAGGCTTAGAGGGAGTTGGCCCCTCTCACCCTAAGGGTGAGAATTGTCACCCCGTTCTCACCTTTGTCACCCCGGTCTCGAGACTTCTCACCTATATCACTCACACTCACCCTAGAGTGCCGCTTGGGTGCTCAAGGCGCATTGATTATTGACTGTGCAGAATAATTGGCTTAAGTACGGCTGAGCGGACGGGAAGCCCTGTTCTCCACACCCTGTGGTCGTATGTACCAAAAACCGTAGTTAGGAGAAATAAGTAGAGTAGAATGGAATGGTTGTAACATGATACTATAGCACGACTAGGGGCGTGTGACTTCTGAACAGCACATTCGCAATGCACTTTGTCTGGAAATGTGTTCCTGCCTGGAGGCATGTAGAAGGAGAGAAGAGACAGTAAATTGTCCGACATTAAAATGTCGGCCTGCTTCAAAACGAAAACAAATTAACCAGATGGATGAAAGCGATGTCGGACTTGATTGGATGTCTACGTAGATACTAAACGCCTGAAAAAATTTCCGATCACGAGCTATCTACTGCCCGCTGAGTCTAATTTCCAATTCGTCAAGTTACTTAACGGATAGATGTTGAAAATGGAGGTTTTGCAAATTTGCGCTCACCGCTATGTCTATCATGTAGTCCAACCTTCAAGAGTCGCCGTTGCTATTAGAGGTTAATTCCCCACTCTCTAACTCTTTCATAACACGATCATAGAAACCAAGCTTTCCAACACTAGTATACGCTCCATAAGAATAAGCTATAGCTTGGTTCCTCTTGCTGCTAAGGCAAGTTGATAGTAGGCTATCTTCGAGCTCGGCTAATTTTACCATTTCAATATACTCTCGTCGCTCTCGCCACATTTCTTGTAGTTCTTCATCAAATGGTTGCCCATCCCGGTCGTATTTTTGAGGCAGGTCGAAGGAGACGGGCATAGCTGTAAGGAATTCCGGGAACGCAATCAGTTCCCAGGGAATTGTATGAGCACCTTCCCAATCGATGATTCCCGTAACATCGAAATTTCTCTCGTCCACCATGATGTTACTGTGGAGAAAGTCATCATGGGCCAGAGGGAATGGTCCTTTGTCACACAAAGATAGCCGGCTAGCTATCGCTTTGATCTGCGCCGGGAAATTCTGGATGATCGCTACCATCTGTTCTGCTGGGATTGGCCCTCTTTGCATCATACGTGTAATTGTCTCTTCGTCCCACTTGAATGTGACGCTGTCGGCCCACGCCTCGAAGAATGCAGTTGCTGTGTCAAACGGACCGCCAAGTCCTGGCAAAGGACCACACTCGTATCTACCTTCGCGGTTACGGATAATCGTCCCTATTTTTGGTAGTCGTAAAGAACTTAATTGGACCTACGGTGTGAAGTGAGTAGTTAAGTAGGGTGCGAGCCTGTAGGCCGGATTAAGTGACGAACATGATACTTCGCAATAGATCGGTAGAAATTTTGTCGGTGCTTTTTAGGAATCACACCACGATTCGCTTCGTAGCCGCCAAGAGCGTCCATAGCGACGCTACCGGGGAGAAGTTCCATCAGTATAAAAGCGGTGCCCACTGGATTGTTCTCGTCGAATTCATAAGCAAAGACTCGAGGAACTGGTAAGCTGCAGTGATCCTTGATGAATTGCATTGTTGCAACTTCATTCTTAAGCTTGGTGCTGCTAGCAAGGGGGGAGTCTTTCCTTCTGATATGGACCCGAGCCGCCCAACGAGTTCTGTCGGAGAATTCTAGCAAGCGAACAATATTATTGAGCCCGCTCGCAACCTGATCCAAGGCCACGCACTCCAAATGGCCACCATGATCTGAAGCGATTCGACATAGCACGTTCCAATGAGTTCGATTAAAACAATCGGCGGTTTTGCTGTCATGAGTTTGCAGGAACTTCTTGACGGTAGTCCAAGAGGTTGAGTTCGTAGACATGACCGCCCAGACAGAAGACAGTTGACGAAGTAGACGTTTGTAATCAGAATCTGCTGGAGCATAAGAGGAGTTAGAGTGAGAAATAGATTTGTTAGCAGACTTTCATGGGAGGATATAAAGAAAGAGAATGGCGAAGTGAAAGACGACTAGCGGTGTGATTTATATCGGCAAGTTCTTAACCAAAAAGAACGCGTGAGGACGCATCAATCAAGCCACAAAGAAGTGGCGAAAGACCGGGTCTGGTTCCAGCCAAGATAAGAAGCCGCAGGGAGCAGCATAATTCTCACCGCAAAGATGGAACGTGAAAGACTACAAGGATAAATTGAATTTATCTACCTGCCTTGCAATAGTGTATCTGAGGATAGATGCTATGTCTCTAGTAAAAGGAAGTATTATACTACTTAAAGAGACGCCACGAACTTTTTTTCGCAGTATACTTAGGGCTCACTATTGATAGACAGAGTATTGTGAAAGGCAGAGTGAGATATTTGATGAAGCGGATTTTCCTTCCGTGTCACATCACCAGAATCACCAGGAGACCGATAGCGCCGAGTTGCCAGTATTACCCAAATTTTATCATGGTGTACCTACGCCCAAGATTCCCGAGGTCCGGAATCTCGGGCATAGATGGTTTTGAGACGTGGATGATAGGAAGCTGGTACCATGAACCGGGTGGATATCTTCTGCACTTTGATCTTGCGGCAATTTTTTGAGTCTGTTGTAGTTCTGCCTAATATTTTCAAAAATGGGACCCATTATCGAGAATAGCTCTTCATTACTCAATTTGGCATTTCCACAAAGTGACATACCATTGAAACGATTACAAAACGCATCCAGAATGCCGTCGAAGTCAACAGTCTGCCGTGCAACTCGAACATCCCAATCGCGAACTTGGGGAATCCCGACAGTTAGTCTGTAAATCACTGTTATGGCATATATGAGGCCAGTCCACTGGATATAGGAAAGACTGTCGTACTGAGAGGCTGACATAGAGAGAAGACTTTGAGCATGCTGTGCGGCAGATTTCAAACAAAGGAAGAGCACCTCGAGGCGAACTTGAGACATTGATGATGGGGTTGATGAGTCGTACGAACAGTCCGGATTGCGTCGATTTTTGACAGCGGAGATGAGGACAAGATCCATCTCATACGCATGTATCATAGCAACTTCATAGGCAAGATTTGTGCCGTCTATGGTCGCCAAAGTAAATTAGAGGCACCCTTTTTGCGTTTGATGGCAGAGACTTACTAAGTTGCTGGTATATAGGTGGAAGTGAGTGCTTCCACTGCGTTATCTCGGCTTTGAAGGCTTGAACTTTCATCTCCAGGTCTAAACCGTTCAAATACTCATGAGAGTTGTTCTCAATAGCCGAGAAATCACAGTGATACAAATCGGCCATGTTTTGGAGCCGAACCAATGGTAACAACAGAGCGTCCGTTGGGTGTTCCAATTCTTGACCCAAGGAGCTCGCACATTCCATCATATAATTGTCGAACTGAAGATTGTTGGGTTTCATAGTGGCCCAGCCGGTACTAATAACGACCCTTGCGATTAGCCACAAATTTAGTATATAAAAGGTCATGGTGAGACCCTGAAAGAAAGTTTGACCAGGAATGGGGGACTTCAGGAAGAGAACTCACTTACACGCTTGAAAGATAGAAGCAACCTAGATATGCTCGGCGGGCTTCTGGACTAAAGAAATCATCGTGTGTTCCAAAATGTACATGGGATTTGTGGTAATGTGTTAATCGAAGCCCAAATCTTTTCCGAACTGCCTCGGCTGGTCTGAGATTCAACCCCATGTCGCCAACCATGCCAATCGCAGTGTGAAGTAATTGATTGAATTGCTCTTTCTTAGGAATATAATAAAATTGATACCTAAAGAAATTGTTAGTCAACTGGATTTAACGATAGCATTTGAATAAACAGAGTCAACCTACCAGGCCAAATATACCAGTATGCCATTGAGAAGGTCGATGCTTCTTTCATTCTCAACCATTATAGCGTGGACAGCGCATGCTTTAAATTTGTGAGCAAGAGACTTTTGCAACTCCTTGTCTGTTGATGTCGCTGCCGCTAAAGCTGCGAGTAAAGAAAACGGCTGCTCTTTACACATTCTCAAAGAAGTGGCATGGCTAGGAAGAATGAAAAATGGAAAATAGGACGTCATGGTGCGAAAACATTTGAGATATTCATCAGCAGCACCAATAGACAATCCACATTCAAGCAGCAATTCAGGACATGATTTGCCATTGACTTGAGGATAATCGGCCCATTTAGTAGCGGGATCATCGGGAAAGCTCGGATTTGAGCTGCTGGCATCGCTGTTGGATGTAAGATCCCGTTCCCTGTGGCTCGAAGATGAACCAGGTGTGGACAACCCATGGCTCAGGAGCCCTGTATCAAAACTTGCATCATATTGCCCCGGCACCAGTTGGGATTGACTAGTGAAAGCAATCAGACTATCAATCTTTGATTCCAACGCACAGATTCGGGCTTTTGAGCCACGCTTTGGGTTAGATGGTTGTCGTTGCCGCGGTTGACGCTCAAGATATACACATGTCTTTTTAGAATTCACGCACTTGAGACATGTGTCTGGCTGGGAACTGGGGAGACAGCGGACCTTAAGCGAGCGGCATGTCTCGCACGCTTGGGGGGCCTTGCTCTTGAGCCCTCCGCCCATGGATTCTAATTACCCTGATAGGCCGGAGAGACAGGCAATATTAAAGATCAGTGTAACTTGAGCCCGGGTAGCAGGAAGATTGTACTATTGGAAAAAAGTTAAGAAAATAAATTTCAACCCCGCGTATCTCCAAGGACGGAACGGAACGTTGAATTTCTGCCTCCGCTCCGCGATTTCCTGACAAAGCAGTAAGCTGCTGCATAAAAGCCGACCTATCCACGGTTCGCATCATATGGCCCCACTTACCGCAGGGGAATCCTCGAATCGGAGCAAGAGCATAACTCTATCTCCGTGCCGTGATGAGCAAGGTTATTACTGGCATCAGAAACACAGTCAAGGATCAGTTTCAAAAATGTGGTGCTGCTGCGATTAGGTGTATTTTTTCAAGGTTATTTAAAGAGATTGTGTCACCCCCAATCTATCTAATCTTACGAGATATTCACTCACACATCTTCATTCTTATCAAGCAATCCACCATGGCTCCTCTTCAATTTGGCGTGATCATGATCCCATTCCAACTCATGGACGTTGTGGGACCCATCGATATCCTCTCTAGCTGCTCGAAGCCTTACTTGAGCGGTTTTGGCAATGCCGAACTAGCTGATCGTGGCATTGACATCGAATTTCACTTCATCGGCGATGAAACTGCCACCCATCCCACTGGATTCCAATCCCAGCCTACGACCACTTTGTCTGCTTGCCCAAAGCTCGACTATCTTCTCATCGGAGGGCCCTCGCCGGAATATATCAAGAATATCCCACCAGCGATAGCAAGCTTTGTGCGTGAGCGTGCTGCAGAAGTCAAGACTGTGTTCACCACCTGTACCGGTGGAATATTTGCGTCTGCACTGGGCCTGCTGGATGGCCTGAATGCAACCACAAACCATGAAGCCATAGCGATTGCGAAAGAAATTGGTCCAAAGGTCAAGTGGACAGCGGAGAGAAACTGGATTGTGGATGGCAAATTTTGGACTGCCGGTGGTGCATGTGCCGGCATGGATATGATGGCTCATTGGACCATGGAAAACTACGACAAAGATATTGCCGAGGCTGGATTTGCTGTTCTTGCATATGAGCCGCGCGATGTGGTTGGAAAGCAGGTTGTCCTGAGCAAACATGTTTCACAATGATTGAGACATAATAGATATTGAAATGGGAGATGCTCGATGGCAGTCTGGTCAAAACAGACGGGTCGACAAATGGTGGCAAGAAAACCCAACAACAAGTCAGGTCTGTGAGCTCTAGACAGATGATGCCTATCAGGGATAATCAGATGCTATATCAAGGAGCATAATGATCATAAATCTTGAATCAGGAAATGAGTGGCATTCTTGTAACTGTCCATCCTTCTCTACAGTCGTAGGTTGCCCATAACCCTTCCTCGAGGATATCACTGCCTGAGGCAGTAATCATACAAGTGTCGTGATTTCCCCACTACAATATCCAAAAATCAATTGAAGGGTGAGAATATCACTGAAATACAAGTGTGGAATCATTTTGAGGCCGAAGATCCGATTTCGGCCCCAACTCCGTATATAGATGATTGCGACCAATCAGTGGCATTTTGCTTTTTACAATAGAAATTCTCTGTACAAAGTAATGCCCACATTCTTTGTATCTTCCTGGGCAAGAACCTGTCTCTAAATTCATTGTAAAATGTGCTTCGTTTGGCTCTTTATTTAGCTAACTTTTAACAAAGTACCATTGCTACGGACTCTTCTTATTCTCAATCATCTAGCAACAAGCACTACATCCTAACAACGCAATTAGACCACGATCGGGAATTTCTGGCAAGATCCAAGCATATTCGCATAGCTCGTCAAAATTTAGCTCGCCCCGTAGGGTAACATCTAGATGTTTGGAGGGGTGAAACTAGATCATTGTATCCCGAGTAGTCACCAATAGATAGCTGCTCAAGTGGTAGAATCACTCGTGTGGCGCATTATCATTGCCAAAAATATCTAGATTGGCTGTAGTCCATTTTTGGTCCGCAGCCTGTCGAGTCTAAACAAAGAAGACAGAGTGTTTTTGAAAGGGAGTAAATGAGATTTAACGCTATGTCAATTTCTCTTTGTTTATCAAGTCCACCATAGGGTCGGCCTTCAAAACATGAGTAGATACAAGTCTCGTGTTGTAGCCAACCGCGAGTCTCGCTTGGGACTGCATTTATTTCAGTGGTGAGGGGTTTTGTACGTTGGATAATCAGTTTTTTATCAGATTTAAAACTAGGAATATTTGCTGTTTTGGTTAGATCGTAATAGAACATTTGAGAAATCTCTTGACTTGTTTCTGGTGAGATTCATCTCAAAGACGTACCCTACCAAGATCTCAATTCTTTCATTCTTTGAATCGTTTCGCTCGAAGGCCACATTTCTTTGATTCCTCGAATGTAACAACCAAATGTCCTCTTTTATAAAGTGCTTGACCTATTTCTTGAGTCGATTTATCTTCCTATTTTACATATCGTGTATCTGTACAACAACCCCGTCCCAGAGCATTTCTATATCATTTGATTTTAGATTATCTCATTGGCATTCAAAGCCGCAGAAATGCAATTCGGCCTGCGAAAAAGAAATGCACCGGAAGGATTTTACAGCGAGAAGTCCCAAGAAAAGCGCAATGAAGTGGCAAGATCGAGGGTTGAATTTACTTTGCAATCAAAGAGACGAAGGAGAAGCGAAACCGAGCCGGAAGAACTGCAATTGGACGTAGATGCTCTTATGAGGGATCTTGGCTTTGATTATTCTACGAAGATGACGTCTGTTCTACCAAAGATGCCCAAGAAGCTACAGTGGAGCCCTGTTAAGAGTCCAATCACGGAAAGAGCTAAAGCTCCTCGGGGATGGACGTTAGACGAACCTGATTTGAGGGACGAGTGAGTTTTATTTGATTGATAACTGGATGTTACGTTTTCACTGACCATAGCTTCAACATAAAGCGAGCTTGATGCCCAGATAAAAAGGTGCAAGGAACGTATCAGGGGAAATATAATGGCACATGCCTACGAGTTCAAGCTGAAAGAGCTCATGGAACAAGCCAAAGAGCGAGAGTGAGACTTCAATCATGTTGATTTGGTTATGGCGACTAATATATCCTTCTCATTTAGTGCAATGATGGCTAAGTATCCTGGCTTTGAGTGGGCGGTGGTCCAGCGATTGAATGAACTCGATCAAATTTTGAGATGGCTGCAAAGCGAGAGCAAGTATAACCTTGTGAGTACTGTGAGAGCTGTAGCTGCGGCCTATAAATCAAGTACCTTGGCTTGGTCTTATGGTTTTGTTACATACTGGTCGAAAGGGGTACAGCTTTGTCAACCGAGGCCATTCAACTGGGAGGAATTCCATTACATTAATGAGCTCCACGAAGGCCATACAGCATTTTGGGTTGAGGGTGTAAGTTTCATCCCCAGGATTCAAATAAAATCCAAAAGAAAAGGCTAACCTCATGTCTCTAGCTGTGGGAACCTGGACCTCAGAATCTCGCCGCTGCCGCAGCTCGTCCCTTTGGAACAAACCCCGGGAGATGGACTATTCCGGTAATTCCCCCCTTGTCATTAGCAGAAAATACCACTAGTGATTGCTCATAATGTTTCTAGATAGAGGTCAGCCTTCGCATTCCAGCACGGCTAGGCAGTGCTCCATATTCGGATTTCGAATTTGAGATGAAGGACGATACTGGAGCCGACATGATGAAAATCTGCGAACCAGATTTGACTTACCTTCAAAGCCTAGATCCAACGCCTGGTGGTGCTCCCAATGATTTACCCCCATTGATGGGCGCTAAAACATTTTGGATGGCAAACGGCTTAAGTCATGCCTATATAATCAGGTCGATGCAAGCAAACATATTTGATCCCCAATCAAATGACTACCTAGGGAGAACATGGGATTCAGTACCAGCGATTATTGCTCCACCCACTGAGAAGACGCGTCTCAATGGGCCTTGGCTGCGAAAGAAGTTCTATGTTGCATCATCTCCTGAGTCGAAGAGATTGTGGGTGTATAACTATAACCCTAGTATTAATAACCGGAACCATCCACACAAGATCATCACCGCAACAAGGGCCCAAATCGATGCCCCCTTTCCACCGGACAGTTCTATTGAACCCATAGCCAATTTCCCTGGTCTGGATCCGAATATCGCATCAGGGGTCCCAGCCCCATAGTGATGAATCTACTACGTATGTAGATTATCTGATTAAGGAGATAAATTGATTCGGAAGGGGGAAGAACGAAGGAGAGAGGTCTAGCTGCCTGGAATCTTACTTATGGGGTATGTCTTCTATCGTCATCTAACGTCCAAAATATACCTGCTGCTAGTCCCGAGTTCTTTGGAATGGAAAAACAATAGGCTCATCTCTCTGTGAGTCTCTGATACATCTTAGTGCTGCGTTTACTAATGATTTTTTTTGTATGGCTATACCAGTTGTTTCAATCATTTATTATACAAATTGACCATTTTTTCTACCTAATCACAAAGGCACTGTTCTGAAAAGTAGAGCGATATATGTGCATGGGTAGCCCCGGAACACAGCGTTTGAATTTATGCAAAATGGCACCGGACATTCTAGACCCTCAGGCTCCTTTGATAAACTCGCCAGGTCTTCCTATTGCGGTGCTTTCTATCAATAATTGTGGCTGACCACTTGGTCCATGCCATGAATGAGCCAATAGTCGAGTGACTGCCACGATCATTCCTGATTTGAGAATCAGATATGGACGCTGAAGCAGAGTTTTTGCCGTCTATAAGGGATTCTGTATATAAATGAGAATCCCTTGACTTGAATGATTCGATAATCTCTCTATATTCCTTGCATGTAGACGTATAGTCATTATTCCCTGTATAGACATCGTACCCAGTCAAAAGTAACCCGACAAGACGGGCTCCGAATGAGGCCACAGTTTGAATGGATGATTGATCGGAACTCCTCGGGCTGGAGTTATGGAATTCCGATCTCATTGCCAGGCCTAATATGGTCAGCTGGAGACTGTTCTTCTGAGAACCTCTAGGCTGTTACCTGTAGGATTTGTCAAAACATTGCCTCCCTCAAATGGCTTAAGTAGTATATAATTCCATTTAATAGTAAACCAAGTACATACGACCACAGGGTGTGGAGAACAGGGCTTCCCGTCCGCTCAGCCGTACTTAAGCCACACGCCGGTAAGTTAGTAGTTAGGTGGGTGACCACTAGCGAATCCTTACTGTTGTATGTTTTTTAATTTTTTTTTTTTTATTTTTGCCGTTTTTCGGGTTCCTCGATTGATGGATGCTTGATGGTGAAATGATTTTTTTTTCTCTGTTCTGGGCATATGAATCCATGTAGTTACGAAAAGTGTGGCGTGGATCGCTTCGGAAAGAGGTCCGGATAACTCCAAGGCCAATAAATTCACACTCAGTCAGTTTGTGTAATGATGGCCTGAATTGCCTTTGATAGGTCATTTGATCCAATTGGAGAACAACGTAGGCATCGAAAAAAGGAACTTAGGCCGAACTAGACATGAGACACCGCACTTTGGCCTAATACTATCTCTGAGACCAAAGTATGCCGCCGTGGACATAGATCTTCAGTGTCAACCACCTAACAATCCACTGGCATCCATTAAGCTTGGGTCGGACAATGATCCATGATTTCTAACTATACAATCCACAACACATAGATTGAGTGCCGGGCAAAAAGTGACGGGAAAAATATTCTCACGGGTATACGTAGCCCTTTCCGCTAGTTTCCAAGTTGGGGCCAACCACGCAAGCTGCCCCCGTCATCCCCCATCCAAGCTTTTTTGGGTGGATGCAGCTCTTGATTCTAACATCGCTACTGATAAAAAATGTGCTCTGATCCACCGTGGTTCCTGGCAGCCGAGCCAATGGCACTTTCCCAATGGTTTATCGGCCATCTGCGTCGTAGGTGGAGGTGACGATCCAAGGTCGGGGGGCAACAGATCGGGTTTGACACGCAACATCTAAGAATAAAACTAAACACGATTCCATGTTTATGCATCAATTGTCGTCTGTTTGCCAAGGCTCTCTGCGTTGCCTATAATCACCGAGGCATCCCTCGTGTTGTTGTTTCTTTCTCGTTCATCCCACATTTTTGTCTCTCGTTGATAGTATCTGCTTCAATATGGTCTTCAAGTCTTACTACCAGTGGGCTGCTATCGCCCTGGCTGCGACTGCTCAGCTTGGTGCTGCCCAGACCACTACCAGCTGCAACCCTCTCAAGAGTATGTCTTATATCCCGGCGATCACTGGGAAAATGCTGACAATCAACTTTCAGAGACCTGCCCTGCTGATACCGGTCTGAACAAGTACCGTCTCAACACTGACTTCACTTCTGGTTCTCTGGGCCGCTGGAATACCACTGCTGGCACCGTGACCACCACCGATCTAGGAGCCAAGTTCACCGTCTCGGAAGAGGGTGATGCTCCTACCATCGAGAGTGAGTTCTATATCTTCTTCGGACATGTCGATGTCAAGATGAGAGCTGCCAATGGTACCGGCATCGTCAGCACCTGGATCCTCGAATCCGACGACCTCGACGAGATTGACTGGGTAAGTCCCCAGTTGTGATAACATGACACATGCAAAGTCGACATTCTCTAACCGATCCCATAGGAGCAAATCAGCACATACAGCACCGAGATCCAAACCGACTACTTCGGCAAGGGAAACACCACCTCCTACGACCGCGGCACAACCGTAACCGTCACCACCCCAGAGGAAACCTTCCACACCTACTCGATCGACTGGACCAGCGAGCGCATCGAGTGGCTCCTCGACGGCGAAGTCGTCCGCACCCTGGAGTACTCCGACGCATTGGACGGCAAGAACTATCCCCAGACCCCCATGCGCATCCGCATCGGTATCTGGGCAGGCGGCGACCCGGACAACTCTGAGGGCACAATCGAGTGGGCCGGTGGCGAGACCGATTACACCGATGGACCATTCTCGATGTACGTCGAGTCGGTCGACATCATCAACTACAACCCCGCCCAGGCGTACAAGTATACCGATAAGACCGGTGCTTATACCAGCATCAAGGCTACTAACGGAACCAACATCTCTACCAACCTGGCCTCGAGCTCCGGTGTTGCCTCGTCTTCTGTCAAGGCCTCTTCTACTGCTATGGGAGCTTCTTCTACTGCTGCTTCCTCGTCGTCGTCGGCTTCTTCGGCTGCTTCTTCTATCAGCTATGTGTCAGGTGCGTCATCTTCGTACTACGCTTCTGTCTTTATCATTGCTGCTGTTTCCCTTGTTGCTGGATTCGTGCAATGCTAGAGAGATGGGGGTGTGTTATGAATGTATGTTTGTGAGTGGGCTGTCTATATAGACCTTTGTTTTTTTTTGTTTTATTTTGTTTCATGACATTCCTTTATGTGATATATTTCCCTACCTGGCTTGGACTTAATGTCTATTGCTAATTCTATTGACAAATTTGTCTTGGATTCGTTGATTCCCGTAAACGCCGGACCTATAGTATATTGCCTGTTCGGGTAAGTTCTGGCTTTTTTTTTTGGTGAAAAATCAGTCATCGATGATTATTGATATCGCAATGAGATGTGCTGTAGCCGGAGTTGGTCAGTCACCGTTCCAGTATAAAAAGTGTGGCCTTCATCGAATATATATTCTGGTCAACCCCGTTACCGGATGCTATTGTTGTGTAACGCATAAGCCCTGATCCTATAAACTAGAACGACATATACAACGACAGTATAATTTTTATAAGTAATATCAGTGGTATATTTCAAAACGAAACGTTATTAATCGAACCCAGTGATCCAAAAAATATCAAAAAGGAAAGAGTGTGGCGACCCACAGAAAATGGCGCTAGCAAATTCTGCTCTTGTAGTCCAAACGGCTCGCTCCATACATCAACTAGCATCATTGGTCTAGTGGTAGAATTCGTCGTTGCCATCGACGAGGCCCGTGTTCGATTCACGGATGATGCACAGCAATTTCTTTTTTTCTTTTTGTTTTCTCGAGCTTGCTTGACACTCAAAATCTCCTTGTGTGTGGCCGTGGCATATGAGATTTAGCCTCACCCTCCCGGGGTGCTGTCATTTTAAATCGAAATGTTGTTTCCACGCCGTTATACTCATTTTTTTCTCTATATTCATTAATATTGCAGAGGCAATGTCGAGAGCATGTAGGTGGCACTGTAAACCATATGGTTGAGTAGAGAATTTCTGCATTGCGGAGCAAATATCGTACAATTTTTCACACCATAGAAGTGTTTAGTCCTTGAGCCAAGGATCATCTAAAAGCTCTCTAGCTGTTGCCCTCTCACTTGGCATCCAAGTCAAAGCCCTACGTAGGAACTTGACAAAGCTAAGAGGCAGCCCCATTTGACCTTCCATAGACTCGATGACCGGGTTTTCAGGTATAGGCACAATGCCCTTCCATTTGCCTGGAGACACGACTATCAGTATTTCGTCGCAAAACATCGAAAGCGTAGATAATGAAGACACTTACCACTCTCATCCCAGAAATCAGCAGCGATTCTTGGGTTCAGTGCAAGGAACTTGGCAGGCGGCGGACCAAGCAGAGAGATGATTTCAGCAAGATGAGTTGCCTCGCAGAGATCACCAGCACTCTCATTGGCATTGAATCAGCCCTCAAAGCCGAGAAGGTCAAGTGTCTACATATCACAATTAGCAATCCTGCTCAGGTGTTCTAAATCAAGCACCTAATCAAACAAGCAAGAAAACAAAAAACATACCGCGATCCCGACACACCATATGTCAATCGGGTAACTCCACGGCACTCCAATCATAATCTCGGGTGCGCGATATACCATCGGCAAAGCGTTATACTTGTACGGGCCCGGTCCGATCCTTGACTCACCGAAATCAGAAAGCCTCAAAGGGCCCTCTTGAGGAATGAGTGCCCGCGAAGCATATATTGTTCGATTCCCCGAGACTTGCTTGCGGTCTGACGGCGCTTCCATTTCGTGGTCGTCCATCACTTGAAATATATCGTTTTGATCCTCGTCAGCACAGGCTAGGAAGTTGCCAGGATGAACATCTGTGTGCGACCTGTATCAGCACAAGAACCGACACCAACTTAGAGATATTGAGAGTTGTACCGGCATGTATAGCTTCGCATTCTGTATGCAGAAAGTCCAGTGCTTGAAGAACCTCAACGAGAATCATTTTAACCATTTCTTCGCCGAACCGCTTGTCCTGGAGGCCTTTTTGAAAATCAAATACCCCCATAAGTGCGGGCTCTTGGACGAGTACGATATGCTTTCCGTCCGGGCCAGCGATAGTGAAAGACTCATGGAATTTGCGAATGTTTTCTCGTCCGACATGCGAGCTGCTGGAGATGTAAGAGGCAATATGCTCATAGAAAGGAAGTTCGCGGTGAAATACTGAGTTATGGATGTACACTTTCAAGGCGACGTATTTTTTGTCTCTGACTTGGATATTAGCATGAGCAAAGAAGGGAGCCATTGCACCCAGGTGGACATACCTCATATCCCTCGCAAGCCATGTCGTAGAACAACTTCCCCAGCCCAATTTTGCGCGTACCTGGAAGCGATCTTCAAATATCTCGCCGATGTGGACTGGATAGTATCGACGGGGGTCGTAATCGGATATTTGTTCTTCGGCCACCGGAATTTCTACTGGTAAGTTTTCGAACCCATTTGTGGGGAAAGATCGAGGCTCTTCTTTCGAGAATTTACAGCCAGGTGTAGAGAAGAACCTGATTGGGGTGAATATGGAGGCTCCTGGGGACAGTCTGGGATTAAGTCTGAAGCGTAGGGTTGTTGTTGGCTCGAAATACAGAGGCGTAAAGACTTCCGGTGTCCTTAGACCAATAGAGGTCCTCGGAATTCGCTTTGCTATTGATGCCATTTGGTGCAAATCAGGACACAAGCTAGGTTTGGGTGACATGGAGTCAGGGTGTGATCGACACTGCGGCTCTATCCCTGTCATCCCTAATTTTAGCCGGGCCTGGCTTGGCACGGGTTTGCACAGTAGAACAACCTTGGAAGCTGCTGGCTTCTATATCTCTAGATTGAATTTCAATGGTTCAAGTAATAGCTCAATGAGAGGAAGAAAAGGCTTTGTCATTAAACATAGATGGGTGCATGATATGTATGGTAGTAGATCAGTCAGTATGGGGAAAAGGGTCTAGGACAGGAAGATTTGTGCAGAAGAAGAAATATAATGAGAAAACAATATGTTCAAGGGGTATCAGGGTGATCACCAACAACCATCTGTATGGGCATAGCAAAAGGGTATTGCGCATCAAAGGAATCTAGCTCGCTTCCGTCTCCACTGTACCCAATGCTATCACGATTATCATCCGTAATGCGACCATATTCAAGCAAAAGAAGATAGAGATAAATGTCGAGATCTTCATTGCGCAGTGCCTGCTGCGCCCACTCCCGACTCTGAGCGGCAATCACCTCAGCTTCGAAGTCGTGGCTCTGTACATATAGTTCCTCAGACCCGGGCAACATACTGGATGATGAGTTACCCAGGCCAATGAAGTAAGTCATCAAGGCATATAGATCATCGTAGCGATTGTCCATCGGGACGAAATGGCGCCAGGCGAAGAGTCGGGAATCGTGCCATTCGCGGAAGATGGTGGCTTTGATGCCTAGGGATTTGCTGAGTTGGAAGGCACGCCAGCGGCCGGAGAAGCTGTGTCCGTCGATGTCGACAAGATACTTTGATTTAAATTGCTGACTGAAGTCCTTCGGCTCTTTGTATGTCCAAACATCGTCATAGAAGGAGCAGTTGGGAATACAACCCCAGGCCTCAGTGAAGCCAACGTCGAAATGATCCAATGAAAAGTTACTGGGGTTGAAGGCGGAGAAGTTTCGATACTGCTTCATGTTGTTCTCGACGAGGATTGGAACCGTTTTTGATTCCATTTCGGTGCCGTTGGCGGCCTGTACAAAGCGTTGACGATGCAGCTTGTGCCAATTATCCGCAACTTGGATTCCTCCAGAGGTGACGCCACGCCAAAGGAGGGTGTCGGATTTGTCTTCCCATTCATTATCGTGGCGCGAATTGTAGACATACCGCTTGTCGTCCATGAAGTACATGTTCGCGGGGAATAAGATATCGTTGTTCACGCTGACCTTGCACTCGCTGAAAACCGGGAGCAATTTTCTCGAAATGACATTGCTGGATGCCGAAAACAAGAAACCATGAGTGTCTCCCAGAACAGGACCGACCGTGCACAGATCCGAGGAGGCCGTGAAATTAGTGATGAAACCAGCCGACGGCGACTTGTACAGTTTATCGGCGTTCTTGATCGTGATATTGGTGCGAGCAGGAGAATCCGGTGGGCATGATTCATTGGCGAAGTTCATATATGGCCGTCCTGCGATCGAAAACCATTCTGGTTCCACACCCTCAATAGTAGAATCTTTCTCATACAGATGATCCATTCCCAAAGTGAATTGATCAAGCGCATCGCTCGGCAGACTTCTGCTGAGTACTTCCAAGCGAAGATGTTCCTGTGTGTCATTATAGGTAACCATGACTCGAGGCTGGTCCATGACATTGAGCGCAATATCCATATCTGGAAGATACTTGGCGATACGTTTGATCGAGTGCCGCAAGGTCTCTGGTCGCCAGCTTTCCACATCGATAGAAACCTCGTGGTCCCGGATACGCACACCAGCAATTCCATCGCTATGCTGGAGCTTGGCTGCCATTTTCCGGATATCGGCTGGAGCTAATGCCCAAAACGGTCGCAAGTCGCCGGTAATTTGCTGAAAGTCGTCCACATTATGCGCATTGTTTTGGCGCGCAAACATATACCACTCTTTAAAGCCCGGAGGTGGGTGCCGTCCATATGTCTCACGGTACTTGGCCACTGTCCGGCGGAAATTTGTCGAGCGACTGTTATCGTATGCCAGCCATTGGCGGTTGGCTTCCCGCATAAGACCAACAATCGGATGTCCATCGTGGGCATATTCCCCTACAGGCTTTGGTCTTCCAAAAAAGGTGAACCCAGACAAGCGCGGACTGTCCACCGTCTCTGTGAGATAAAGGAGATTGATCAGACATATTGATGTTGCCGCGCAAGCCAGCAACAGGTAAATAGACCTGCGACTTCGGGTGAAAGACAGCATGGCAGAAATCTCCCAACCCTGAATTCCGGGTAGCAGATGCTGAAAGCACAAAGGGCAAAGACTACGAAGACATGAAGAATAAGTTACAGTGGGGTCGAAAAAAAGAGGAGTTTGCCCCCTTAATGTAGTCCAAGCCCGTGCCAAGGGTTCCGGCCTTTTTGAACAAAGCGCAATTCGCCATGCTGACAGGTAAGTTAATGTTCTTGATGTGCACCTCTAGATAGTGTATAATGTGAGTCTTGACCGATCTATACTATACCCATGCATGTCTCAAAATTGTCAGATGGACACAGTCCTTGTACAGGAAAGGTACGCTGTAACATGGGGGCGAACAAGGTTTGTTGGTTCGACCTCGTGTTTGGTGGGCCGCGCTAGTGACAACGTTGGAGGTAAGACTTCTGCCAACTGCCGATATGGGAGGAAGTGAATGAGATTTAGATGATTAATTCACGGGTAGTTCAGCGATAGTCAACATAAGGGAGAAGAAATAAATCGTCAGATTTTTATCAGACCTGAAGTGGTTGTTTAACGTTAAACAATTATACTTTTCCTGCCGGGCCGAGTCACGGGACCATCATACCACGGGATCTGGATGACTAATGTCTTATCTAATCAGATAGATGGCCTCAGGCCAGAAGCGTGGATCTTGAGCTCAGGTAAGAGCTGTCCAGCTTCAGATCAAACTTTCGCATCCCGCAAATGCCGTGGCCACTTTCAATGGCTGATACCTCCCAGGCTAGATAGCCATGGCAACCAAACGAACTCGCGCCACTCTCGAGGCCGAACTCCAACAACAGCAATCACCGTATGCCTTCTATGGAACACCGTTACCACCACTCGACGACAGCATTCGCGATGACGGCTCCTTTGTACCAATATGGAAACAAGAGGTGACAGACGAACGAGGGAGAAAGCGCCTACATGGTGCCTTCACAGGTGGATTCAGCGCGGGGTGAGCTTCCCAATACACACATGCTCGTCGCAATCGCTAATACTGTCTAGGTACTTCAACTCCGTCGGCTCCAAAGAAGGATGGACGCCCGCAACATTTGTCTCGTCGCGACAAAAGCGCGCTGAAAAGGCACAAGAGCAACGACCCGAGGATTACATGGACGAGGATGATCTACGGGAACAGGAAGACTCCCGGAAACTCCAGACTGCCGATGACTTTGCGGGATTCGGATCGACCGAGAAGGACTTCACAAGGCGAGCAGGGCTCATGGACATATTAAAAATCGGGGGTGAAACCAAGGGAGTCCAGCTTTTGAAGAAGATGGGATGGCGCGAGGGACAAGGAATAGGACCTAAAGTCCGTCGCAAGGCCAATTTGGAGGATAATGGTGCATCAGGTGGCGATTCTGAGCAGACGTATCTCTTCGCACCTGAAAATCCGTCATTGATTGCCTTTGTGCGCAAGACGGACCGGAAAGGCCTTGGCTTTGAAGGTGAAGCGCGCCTTTCCGATTCGAATAGGCTCCAGAAAAACAATGATGACCAAGATTCGGATTCTTTCTTTGGCGGAAGGTTAGCCATTCAAGGGAAATCTCAGCCATCTCAGCCATCTCAGCCATCTCAGCCATCTCAGCCGAAAAATGCACGCCGGGGTGGGTTCGGGGTTGGAGTACTCAATGATGATGGATCAGACGACGAGGACCCTTATTCCTTGGGACCGCAGATATCATACAACAAGACAATCGGAGGGGACAAGAAGAAAAAGAGAAAGGGCAAATCGGATGATGGAAAACCAACAATTGCATCATCCAACCCTCTCCTAAATTCCAAGCCGGTGTTTATTTCGAAGAAACTTGCCGCTTCGAGGGGAATCGGAGGATTTAGAAAATGTCGAGATGGACGTCTACCGCTCGATGGATTCGTTCTTGCTGATGGCATGGCTGGCTTGTCGATTTCCAGCGACAAGCGTTATGATCCACCGGTACTCCCTGAGGGCTGGGAATCAGCCAAGCAGTCTTCGTCTAAAAAACGGGATAACTCAGATTATACATCAACAGCCGACACAGCCAAAGCCTCGTTACTTGACCCGACATCCCGAGCAGCCCTTTTGGGTGAGGCTCAATTGCCAGGAAAATCAATCTTCGATTGGATGACACCCGAGGCGAGAGATCGGATTGCCAAACTCACTGGGAATCAAAATCTGCCTCCTGCTTTGGGAGAAAAGGCACCCAAAGGGTACGAGGTTCCCGAATCACAAAGGCGCAAAGACCTTTGGGATCTCGTTCCTAGGCTAGATAAGCAGACTGCAGCTCAAGCATTGACCCGCGGTGTGAGTGGATGGATGCCATATTCAGAAGATGAGAAGAAGCGTGCCCGCTATCGGGTTTTCTTGGAAGTCAGTGCAGGGCTTCGTGATACTCTCCCAGAACGGGTGGAAGGGTCCAACACAGATGAATGGGTCACAGAGATGCAAGAGTTCGGCCGAGCTGCAGAAGTCTTCAAACCCATCTCTGGAGTCATGGCATCCCGTTTCACCTCAGCATCCTCCGCACCTAAGGCCGCCTCAGATGCGCCGGACCCCTCGGATTCTCTTCTCAGTCGACCCACCGAGAAGCCTGATACCCCAGCAGTGGCAGCAGCCAAGATTGGCATGTTTGGCCAAATGACCCGAAGCACAATATCATTTTATCCATCCCGTCTATTATGCAAGCGCTTTAATGTCAAACCTCCGGCACATGTACAGCTTGATCCTGGCGAACGACCCGGTGCATCCGAGTCTCAACCAGGCCAACGGTTCCAGTCTGCCGGGTACCAGGCTGATACTGGACCTAACACTGGACCCAAGGAGTTGATTTCACAAGATGTCATGAACCAACTCCTCATGGACTCGCTTGGTCATATTCCTGGTGTTACTGACCAGTCTGCGTCTACCGCTGAGCCCCCACGCCCGGCTGTTGAACCAGAACGCAACGATGCCCTGGAGGCAGAGCGGCCTGGTGATGCAGTATTTAAAGCTATCTTTGGCAGCGATGATGAAGATGAATAAATAGAGCATATCAAAATATGATAAATGATTGTCCATATTTTCCTCTATAAGACCCTGGTCAAAGCTTCACAACTAAGCATCGTCGATCATTTGCGGTGTTTCGTGTAAAGAGCGTGTGGAGTATACAGTAGAAACAAGATCTGCGAAATTCGACTCACATTGTGGATGGAATGTCCAATGATTCGAAAGTCCCTTGTCTTCCTTGATTTGCTGATTCTCTGTAATATTTCTCTTCATTCTTCTCTCTCCATTCCGCCTCGTACCTGGTTTCCCTCTGAAGTCATCCGGTCTGTGCTCCGCTCTAACTTAGCCTCGTCACTCTCACATCTCCCCTCTTCTCTCCTCACACTCCCCTTAGCCTATGGAGGTTTTGGACTAGCAAGATGGTAAGAATGTTCCTGTTCTCCCCAGAACCCAAATCTCAAACCCCCAAAACTCCCCAAACCCTGCAATCTACTGGAGCGCATATTCCATCGCTTGGCACCTGTCGAACGTCACACGACCGCCCTTCGCAACCAGACCGATCTGCCAACTCTGCGCTCCAAGACCAAGCAAAATTTCAGAAATTAAACTAACCAAACCCTCCGCTGTGAATAGGGCTGCTGCTCCTCCTTACCGTCACCAGATGACGACCAAGACCCACCCTACACTTCAACCCATACAACCACCACAAGCCGCAATGGCACAACCACAACAGCGACCGCATTAAGAAATCGCCACCGACGAAGCCGACGCGCCTCCAATCTACCCCTAAATGAGCACTACAACGAACCAGTGCGCCAGCATGTCTGGCGCAGCAAACGCCGAACCTGGACACGCGCCCAACTAGACCAGGAGCGCACCGAATTTTTCGAGACACGCGTAACAGGCCGCGCAGAAGTCTGGGCAGCAATCGCGAGCGCAATATCGCTCATGCGAACGGGCGATCTAGCTACTGCGCAGAGCATCGTCGATGCAGCAGGCATTACGGTCCCCACCGGTGATCTATGCGAAGGGTGCTATGACCAGCAGGGAGTACTCTATCGGCTTCCGCAGTGTATTGTCAGTGATCCTGAGAATATGGCGGTGATGACGGATACGGATGGAACTGTTTCAGAGCAGGACCTCGGGGATGCTGGGCATGCTACGGATGATAGTGATGACGATGAAGAGGAGCTTGATGATGACAGAATCCAGGATGGGAAGCTCTCTACAGATGATGCTTCTGGGGATGAGCTTATTGAGCGTGAAGTTGAGCGACGGAGAGATGAGAAGGGGAAGACAAGTGAGCGTGATTTGATCCGTGTGCTTGCTCGATTGAGTGATCGCAGTGGGCCTGATCTGGTGCTTTCTGTTGGGAAGGGGCAGACTGTTGGCTTTTTGGCGAGGAGGGTGCATCAGGAGGCGGAGGTGAGTCTTGCATTTCTTCGGCTCTTTCTCGATACTGATGCTAACTGTCTTGTAGCTTGCGGACAATGCGCGTGTTCGCATTGCTTATCTTGGTCATTTGCTCAAGGAGAAACAGTCATTACTTGACCAAGGGTGGAAGAGTGGCCATGTTGTCAATGCTCTCGTCATTTCACCTTCTAATGAGTCTGGGCAGCCGTGACCCTAGGATAGGCCAAAGGTCACCATTTCATGGATGCAAGTCTGCTCCCGACTGGTCCCTTTTGTCAGTTCCCCTTCACTCGTCCATTCACTTTGGATGTCTAGCGTTTTCGGCGTTTCTTTCTCCTGTCTGATATTATTGCACAATACCCCTTGTCTTTCACTTACTGCTTTCTTCCACCTAATGCATCAAAGTCCGTCTCGTTGGCATTCCCTCTTTCGGATTACCTATCGTTGAATACGAAAGCAGACTGATCTTTGGCATGACGCCTGCTTCTAACAAGATGAGTCGCAGCGAGCCTGTTATGTCTCATGATCTTGCAATTTTCTCAACCCTATTGATTTCTGTTGCATCTCAATGCACCAGACAATAGCTGAATGAATATCAACTTTTCTAACCTAGCGCCATCAAACTGTCATCGTAGAAGGTTACATGGCATACCTGATTTGATTGAACTAAAATAACAACACACTAAAGGCATACAATTAAACGCAAGACCACTCAAACCAGCCGACCATTATCAGCCTCCTTGCCCTTAGGCGTCTGTCCAGAACGCCTCTTAAATACCCGACACAAGAACGAAGCTCCCTGTCCAATACCACGCACCAACGAAGTAGGGTTGTAATGTTTAACCCGGAACATGTAGTAAAGCAGAACAGTGCCAGCAATATTGAAAATGATATAAGCCCAGCCAAGACCGAAATTGCGCCAGCGTTCGCCGTAGACTAAAAACCAGGTCAGCATCAAAACGAAGCCAAAACGAAGGACCAAACATGTAAAGCAAAACTTACAGATATTACTAGCGGACAAATACTGATCCGCATTCTGCAACTGACAATACTGGCACCCACTCACAGCAGCAGGGTTATAAAGCTGACCGCCAGAAACCTGAAGATACGGCGCAAGATAATCACCACACGACAGCCCAGACGGAGGATTAAACACACTTAGTTCAGCACCGGAACATCGAATCTGTCGACCATGCAATCCCGTCGCAGTAAGACCAGCAATGAGATACGTCAACGGCGAGACGCGATACATGAAGATCCAAAATCCGGGCAGGGCATTCGGCGGCTGCATGACACCGTTGAAGGTCAAGGTCATGATAAACAAGAGTGTGGCGATAGTTCCACCTGTTTCAGCGTCGGGGAGGGACGAAATCACCAGTGATGCAAAGGTAGACGTGAAGATGTAAAACTGGACCACGAATAGTAGCATCAGACCTTGTCGGTGGGAAGGTTGTGCAGCGCCGTAGATTGGGTAGTAATAGCATGCCCAGCTGATGACTCCAACTAGGATTTGGTATGGGATTTCGACGATGACATTTGCTATCAGGAATGCACCCCAGGAGTAGGCCTTTGAGGGGCGCTCACGTACTTCGTAGAGAGAGCGCTGGACTACGAATTTGGGCATGATCCTAGGAAAGAAGCATCATTTTAGTTTAGTTGAGCGAGGACTGTGGAATGGGTTGCGTACTGTTGCACGAGAGTCGAGAAGATAGATGTGAGCATGAAAGCGCTGAACAAGACATCCTGGAATCCCTGTAGAGAATTATCTGGTTTGAAAAACGTGAATCCGATGAATAGTCCGGACATCGTCGCCAGCATGATCTTTGCCCATACGTAGGATGGTTCGCGCCAGAAACCTTGGAATGATCGGTAGGTGACGTGCCATAGCTGTGAGGTAAATGGCATTGCGTATTCGCCTGTCTTGGATTCACTTTCATCACTGGTACTGGCTGCGGCTCGGTCATCGTGAATACGGTCGATTTCTGTTTGGACGTTTTTGGCTTCTTGGCTTTGATTCCACACTTGGGGCCAGTCTTGGGTTGACTTTCCAGATGCACCAGCGCCGATGATTTCGAGCATGTACTCGGCAGGCTAGTTGTTTGTTAGCTAGCGAGATTTGAGAGCAGAAGAAATTAGATGTTACATTTTCCTGTGAAGTGCAGGACCTGGCTCCATTGCCCTCGAAGTAGTCCAGTAGAATGCGCGACTGATCACCGATTTCACCAAAGTAGACGGTTCGACCTCCTTTAGCGAGAAACAGAAGACGATCAAATTGCTGGAAAAGAAGTGCACTGGGTTGATGAATTGTCGACAAAACTGCTTGGCCGTGCTCGGCAAGCTTTCGCAAGAAAGCACAGATAGCCCATGAACTCTGAGAGTCCAATCCACTGGTAGGCTCATCAAGGAAAATCAGGAGAGCAGGCTTTGCAGCCAACTCGACTCCAATAGTCAACAATTTCCTCTGTTCAACATTCAATCCTTCGCCAGGTGTGCCGACAATGGCATCTGAAAAGTCTTGCATACCAAGCATGTCGATGACCTCTTCAACATACCTATGTTTTTCTTTCTTCGAAACAGTTTTCGGTTGGCGTAACAAAGCACTAAAACGAAGTGCTTCCCTAACCGTGTTCGTCGGAAGATGCAAGTCTTGTTGTTGAACATAGCCTGTTTTCCTTTGAAAGCTGGTATCGAGGGCTTTTCCGTTGACCAGCATATCCCCGGTGACAACACCGATAGAAACACGTTTGGCTAAAACATCGAGTAAGGTTGTCTTTCCGGCACCAGATACGCCCATAAGAGCTGTCAATGTGCCGGGCTTGACCCAACCAGAGACATTATCCAGCAGACGTCGTTCGCCCCCTTTGACGGGAATATCATAGCAGACATTCCTCCAAGTGAAGATATCATGCTGAGCTGGAATGGCAGAAGTGTCTCTCTCTTCTTCCGAATGCTTCTCCTGCTTGACCTCCGCTGAGCCTGTACTTTCTTTGCCCTTATTGAGATGTCGCAGATGCGCAGGGACATGGCCACGCCGGAAAACCAAGAATTCAGCCTTCGAGGATGTTGACGAGTTGAGCTCCGACGCAAGCAGATAGAGTGATATAAAGAAAATCCAAAATCCAATCAAAACACCCAAATTGCGCCATTCATGCGCATAGGAATAACTGTACTGAGTTTCAATGTAAGCATCACCAGACACAGTTCGTTCACCCGCCACAGCGCCTCGCACGGCGCAGATAAATGAATCACCCGTGAGACTGGGGTAAGCCGGGATGAATTGCGAGCATGTAAAGCGACGACCATGGAACTCGTTTGCGATCAATGCTTCGAAGGTGTAATAGACCGGGTTGATCCATCGAATCCAACTGAACCAGACGACCATTTCTGGCACGGTGATCACAAAGCCTGTGTAGATGACGATTGCAAGAACTATGACTCCAGCCAGGGACATGGCTTGTGCGAGGGTTTTCGTGGATGCTGCTAGTGTTCGGAATACACCTGACATTGCGAGGGTACTTAGGAAAGTAAAGAGGAAGAAGATGAAGAATTGGGAGGGTTCGTATCGCTGTATGTTTTGTTAGAGGATCACAAAACAGGCCAGGAACAGATATCCCAAATTGGAAGGTTGAGATTTTTTCTTCGACTTACCAGACTAGCCAAGAAGTAGAAAATGACGTTGAATACCACGGCCGATACAAATTTGACAGGTATGTCGGCAACAATTCCTCCTAGAGACTCCGTGAACGGATGTACAAAGGCATACGAGGCTTGTTTCTCCACAATTGGTCGCTGATCATAGAGAGAGTTGATCTCTGTGATACTGATGAGGGCGTTCATTCTGTAACACATAGTCAGTTCAAAAAATCCTGCTTCAAATGGACCTTGCGAAAGACCTAAAGGAGCACTCACAGGACAGAGAAAAACAATGCTGCGCCTTTACTTTGAAATCCTGCGGATGCGTTGGGGGTTCTATATGCATAAGCAACATGTCAAAGTTGTTAGGAATATGGATCATACCCGAAATAAATGGATCCAATGATCAAGGACATAACTATGCGACCAATGACAGTTGTCATCGTAGAAGGCTTGTCGTTCCAAATCCTAAAAACAGGTTTAAGCACGATAATCTCAGGGTAGAATCCTCAAACGAACCGTTGATAAGCTCTCTTAGTGCAAAGCTTGACTTGCATCGGAATCGAAATGACATATGAACTCTTGGGTCGAACATGCTTTGCCTGTCGCAGCCTCTTCGTCTCATTGAAGCTCTTTCCAGCCTCTCCACCAAGCGGATACTCTTCCCGATAAAGAGAGATATATTTCTGAAGAGCAGCGTAGTGAGAACTGCTCTTCCAGTATTTCTCAAAGTCGTCAGGGCTACGAGGGACTTTGTTCTCCATGCCTTCCCGAGCGGTACGCTCTTGTGGATTTGTGACAGAGGTCAAGAAATCACCAGTAGTCTGGCGAGCGGGACATTCCCAGCCCATATCCAAGAAATAGTCCTTGGCTTGATTGCAAGGGCCAAAGAAAATCTCTCGACCTTCATAGAGGACAATTACCTTGTCGAAGATATCATAGATCGCTTGCGAGGCCTGGTAGATTGCAACCGCGTGACAGTTTCCGATCAGGCTTGCAGAAACTCTCAGGGATTTGACAAACTCCAAGGCACTGGCGGAATCCAGACCTCGAGTGCTGTTATCCCATGCTGCAACGGGGGCTCCAGAAAGCGCCATCTCAGCAATGCTGACTCGCTTTCGCTCACCTCCAGATACTCCGCGGATGTAGTCATCTCCAACCTTGGTGTTATATGTATGACTCAACCCAAGCACAGCCATGGCTACCTGAGTGATATGCTTGGCGTACCTAGTCCGACTGATCCCGTTCAACCGGTGCTCAGGAGTTCTAGCCGCAGCAGCAAACTCAAGTGTCTGACCAACAGTGAGGTGAGGGAAGTGCTTGTCAACCTCCTGATTATAGAGGACTTCTCCCTTGAACTCCTTGTGCATCGTCTCCATAGGAATGCCATTGTACTGGATATCCGATTCCTTATCCAACTTCAATCCATGAAGCTCGCCAGAAATGGTCTTTAAAAACGTCGAGCAACCACTCCCGGGTCGCCCAAGCACGATCAACAACTCACTGCTTTCCAGAACACCATCGAAATTGCGCAAGATCCTTTTCTGTGGCGAACGACCCCCACACGAGATGTATTCTTGTGGCCGAAACAGCGCCAGTGGGACAGATCCCACATTGTTTTGGTACTGCAATGCAGATCCCGAGCCGGAAATATTGAGATTCTCCCAAAAGACACCAGTTGATTTGCGGATAGGAACACCCTCCTTATCCATCAGCTTGAGCATCATGCGGGCCCACTTGTAATGGTCGAACTGATCACTCTTGGGATCGAGAACTGGGCTATCTAGATCTATACCATCGAGTGTTTCGTTGCGCTCGACAGCTGTCATCTCAGATATGCCAGAGTCGGCGGAACGGCGCCGAGGGAAATTTGAGGCAATGCGCGAGAGCTCAGCGCGGTCCTCTGGGCGGATATAGTCGAAAACCATTCCATGACGCTTTTTTTGTGCAGCATCCACGCTTGGAGGGGGATCGGAGCTTGCTTGGGACTGCTGTCTGTCGTTCTCGGAGGAAGAGGAGGAGGGCTCGATGGCCTCATGGTCTTCGTCTTGCTGCGCCATGGTGGGTGAATCAAATCAAATGACTTAGGCAACTTCACTTCCAAGCATAAATCCTATTGAAGGAAATGGACGGCAGATGGACTATAAAGACGCGAAATACCCCAGTTGATCAAATACCAGTGAAAAAAAGGCTGTGTAACATTCAAGTTCCTGAGCCAAGCTAGGAAGTGTTTACCCGAGGATTCTATGATTCGAATTGGCATATTTCATAGTCGTGATGTCAACACCCTCTCCATACGATGGAACCTGGGGAAGCCGGATGTAGTAATGGCGGGTCAACTTGTGACATATTGGTACCCAGGGGATTCGCAACATGAAAGGTTTGTATTGGCTAGGATAAAGATTTCGGTTCAATCTTTCTAAATTAGGTAATGAAGGTGAAATCTACGGAATCTGATGTTTTTGAAACTTATCAAGTAGGGCACCGTTGATGCCTCAGGCCTAAGAGGCTGGAGGTTAGTTGCAAACTATACAAACAGTGCAAACACCTATCAAGAAAAAAAATAATTTATCGCAGACTCCGCTCAAGACAATTTGATCTCGAGTTTGGAATTGGTTTCCTTGAACACAAATCTCTGAGGGTAGTCTCTCATACCTTTCTAGAGATCATTACTATCATCCCTCCAACACAAAAGCCCTCAATTGCCGATCCTATAGAATCTTACTATGGACGGCCAAAAAACTCCCTTTGTGAGGGAGCTTGGCTCCAGTGGTATGTGACAAAGCTTTACAAATGAGTTGCTCCAAATTAATTATTTCGCCTCTACCTAGACCGCAAGGTCCGCGACAAGGCTCTCGAGTCTCTCACCCAGTTCGTGCGCTCGCGCAATGATCTGACCCTAATCGACTTCCTCAAGCTGTGGAAGGGACTATTCTACTGTAAGAGAAACCGCCGAACCTACCAAACCAAGACCACACCGATCTAATAATTCACAGGCTTCTACCATTCTGACCGACCCCTCACACAACAAGCCCTCGCCCGGGCACTCTCCTACCTCCTCGTCCCAACTCTCCCCCAAGCAACCCTGCATCGCTTCCTGCGCGCCTTCTGGATAACCATCGGCCGTGACTACCACTCACTAGACCGCCTCCGTTTGGACAAGTACCTTTTCCTGATCCGCTGCTACGTGGGTGTTGCATTCGAGCTGCTAGTGAAGAACAAATCAACAACGGCAGACGGAAAAAAGCGCAAGCGCGAAGACGCCGCCAAGGCAGGCCGCGGCAAGAAGCAGAAGAAGCAGGCACAGCCCGAGCCCGAAGTCGACGACAAGACCAACGGCGAGGAAGACGAGGAGGCCAAATTCCCCGATCTGGCCGCTTATATCTCTATTATTGAGGAGGGTCCTCTCTGCCCTCTGAACTACGATCCCGATCAGCCGAAGGACGAGGGTGATCCGAATTTCGTGCCTATGCCCCATGGTCCTGATGGTCTGCGTTACCATCTTATTGATATTTGGGTTGATGAGTTGGAGAAGGTTCTTGAGTTTGAGGAGGTGGGCGATGAGGAGACTCCTAAGCGCAAGATTAAGGGTGATGTTCCTATGGAACTTATCCTGCGGCCGTTGGAGAAACTGCGCGCCGAGAGTCCTTATAAGCCTGTTCGTACGAGGGCTGCTGAGGCTTTGGATGATGACCGTCTTGTTGAGTGGGGTGTTCGGACGAGAAAGTCCGAGGAGGAGGATAGTGACGACGAGGAGGAGTGGGGTGGTTTCGGTGATGATGAATAGATGTCTTGTATTTTAAGGGATGGTGTATAAACAAAATGAATTCATTGCACAGCGTGGTCGCGATTAGAACCGATCATGATATTGGAGTTGATGTTGGTATATAAGTTAACAGTAAATCTACCAGTCTACGATTCACAGGGCTTTTTGGATACATTGACATATCTGTTTGATTCTGTTATGATGCACAGTCTGACCACAGAACACCAATCGTCTAATAGAAGTTGACATATCGACAAAACACCAAGTCTCTTGCGCTAGGGTATCATTGAGAGGATGCAAAGACATGGAAAACATCGAGCGTATATATCACAGCCGAAAGAAACATCACGGTATTCAGCGGCATCTTCGACGCTCGGGATACAAATTGACCGGAGGGACTAACGAGGCCCTTCTGCTTCGTAAAGACGGCCTGACTTGGTGATAATTGTGCCGAGTCCTTGGTGAACTTCAGCCTGGAACGCTTCAAAAGGTACACGTTCGCCATCAATGCTGATATATCCTTCCTTTTGGTGGGGCACTAAACGGAAGGCAGATGCCTTGCGAATAATGAGCTCTGGCATGTCGAAGAAACGACCACTGGGGATCTCGTTCATCATGGAGAGTGCAGTACCACGGCTGACTCTGCCATCAATGGTAATCACGTCCAGGAGACCGTCGTTTGGTAGGGTAGCTGGGAACATGTTTGTGTCCTTGGACATGATTGCCATGTTTCCGGCGTAGAAATTACCCATCGTTTCACCCGGTACGACTTGCCAGTCGCTAGGTACGTCGTCTGATACTGAACCGTACTTGAGCTCTGGTAGTAATGGTGACTGTGCCGCGGCCTCGAGACGTTTGGTATCGACATCCGACTCCTCAGAGCGAGTAGACCACGTCGCATAGTGATCTTTGATGGCCTCCTTGTCATCAATTTCCACCTTTACGGACAGATCACACGGCCAGATGGTCTGCCTCATCAAGCGAACCAAGAAACCATATGTAAATCGTTGAGCGCCCATCCACCGGATGTTCTCAGTGGCCAGATCAGACTCGGCAACAATGCCGAAAGACTGCGAGAGGAAGGACAGAGTGCGCGAATCCTTCTGCGAAATGGAAACCAGGTCCAGCGGCGTCCTGAATCCCTTGACGATAGCCAATGCCGCGATCGAAACACTCCCAGTCCCAAAAGCGTTCCATGTCAACCCATTTCCAGAACCACAAGGAAGCAAAGCGACAGCAGTCTTGATCAGCGCGGTCCGGGCATCAGGCCGCTTGCCAAGGCCATTGAAAACCTCATACGGCAATCCATCACCAGAGCAACAAACGACGGCATCGAACGCATCGACATCAAGATTTTCTGCAATGTCGATAGCGTGCCCGCGGTGTTCAGTACTCTGCACGTCAACCTGACACTTGGCAGCTGCAAAGACTGGCGCCGCATATCTGTGGTACAAATCCGCCGCATAACCCTTGCCACCGAAGGGATTGATCAGGACCTTCAGTCTTTTCCCACGTAGCGCCTTGCCATAAGCCTGATCAACCAATTTCCCCACCCAGGCCTCCACGGCTTTCTTTTCTTTCTCCACTATGGGATATTGGACCGTTGCCACGGCTACATCGTCCTTGCCAGTTGGTTTTGCGTAGGCGATGACGATGTTCGAGGCTGTGACTTCTGCGCCGAGGACGTTGTATAGCGAAATCGCGTGAGTGGTTTGTGGTGCTATCAATGAGCCGAGGTCAGAACTAATGCAAGTACAGCGCAGGTTTGCGCCGATCAAAGCGCGCGAGAGCGGGTGAGGGACAGGTCTGTGCAGTTGTTTTGTTTGTCTTACCTGAGTTGAGTAAACCACAACACCGACGGCTTGGACGGGCAGGGCGGTCATCTGGAGGAGTTTAGTTGTGCACAAATAGCTGGCTTATGAGATGGCGTAAAGTACCGACGATGAGGAGGGAATCCGTGCCCAGTGTCAACGATACGGAGTCGACCGTCAATGTAGAGTCGTGCGCATCTTGCGCGGAGTCTGTGGTTGACATGATGATAGACGTTTAGATCATTGTAGGGAGAATAGGGAGACGGGGAAAGAGTAATGATATGTTGAAGTAACCAAGAGATGTATGCGGGCTGACATCGAGAGCCGCGGAGTTCCGGTGGGCCCGTCCCTGCAACTTAGGCCCAATTGGAAAGTTGACGAGATGACTACAGTACAGTAGGGCCTCAAAGACCCTGGTCAATAAATGTGAGTACAATTACTCGTAACTAATTTGATAGCCAAATAAGTGCTTTTATAGCTACCCAGATAGCCTGTACACATTTGTGAAGATCAAAACCAATTGTTCTCTATCCACTACTCCCGATGAGACCTCCATCTCATCTACAATAAAGAGACTATAAGTGAACAATTTGTCTCGAGAAATGAACATGGGGAACAGAAGACACGAAAAATGAAGAAAGAGGAGCAAAAATCATAGACCGCAAACCGCTGGAAAAACATCGACTTATGAAGTCGCCGCTTTGAGGCCCTTCAGAGAGCCCAAGCTCAATGCTAGGCCCTGCGAGCGACTTCTTATCCGGACAAAGCCAGTAATTGGCCCATCATCTCCCTCCTTCTCAATGCTCAGGTTCGCCAGTGCGTCCTCGCCTAAGTGATGATTAGTTATGGTGTAAAGATCTAGGGACAAGTAAACATACCGAATACACTGCGGGCGTACAGGTTAGCACTCAAGAACCGACAGTCACCCTTGAGCGAAGCAGCGGGTGTCAAGCAAGCCATGTTGGTGCTGTCCATCAGCTGCTTGAGGAATTCGCGGAGAGTCTTGGCCTTTGAGTTGATGTTGACCTTGTTCTCCCACTCGAACTCGGTCCACATGGTCCGGAATTGGGTCTCGGTGCAGTGGGCGGGCTGGATGTAGTCCATAATGTCGGCATGGATATCGTTAAGGATGACCACGTGGGTCTCGGTGGAGCTGGCGCCGTCGTAGACGATGTTACCGAAAATGACACCGGTGTCGGTCGAGGAAACCTTCACTGTAGCTTGGACGTTGAGGAAATCACGAGGGCCGAGGTTGTTGGTGGATGGTCGCTCAACAACCTTGAGGTCACCAAGGGTTGCGAACTCTACACAAAGGTTCTGCAAGGTCTCAGTAGTTTGGTTGACCAACAGCACGTCAAGAACAATATCGAATTGGTGCACGGTGACGTAGGCTTCGGCGTAAACGGAGTCAGAGAAACCAGTAAGCTGAACCACGCGGCTGAGCTTCGAAGCGACATTCTCCACAGTCGAGTCACCGCCAGTGGCCTTGACAAGATCAAGCTCAATCTCTTCAGCACCCTCGACGGTGTTCTTCTTGGTAAATTGACGAATGGGAATGGCATCATCAATCTGCACAGCGGTCTTAGCCTTCTCGACAGCCTCCTGGGCAGCCCGCTTCTTATCCTCGACCTGGACCATTGCGCGGAATGCCTTGCGGGTGTCCTGCAGGAAAGAGGCCTCGAGCTCCTTCTTTTCAGAGAACTCAGCCAAGGAGCGCACACAGGTCATGATACGGTCGACCGAATCTTCATCAATAGGAGCCTTAACGAAGTGAGATTGGCCAACACGGAGGATCGAGATCATGATCAGCATGGCCTCGGCACGAAGAGCGTTGGTTCGGGCAGTGTCTTGAGAGACCTCAGAGTGACGCATAACCAGCTTGGTCAAAGTCGAAGAAAGAACAGTCGCCAGGTAGTAGTCGCCATCCAGAATCAGTTGACGGAGAGGGGGCTTCTGGGCGGCCTTGACAGCCTCTAGGCGAGCAGCAGCAGCTGACTGGCTGGTGAGAGCACTCTCGGTTGCATATGTTCCATCGGCAAGCACCTTGCGAGATCCAGTAGGCGCGGCCTTGGCACCGTTGGCGTGTTCCAGAAGTAGGGCATTGTCATCAGGAACCTCATCCAGAAGACGCTGCTCGGATGCCAGGATAGGGATCTCGCCGAGGCTGGTTCTAATCCGCTTCCAAGCCTCCCGAATATCCTTCTCTTCCAAAGAGTATTCACCAATAACCCAAAGGACTCCGCGGTAAACCTTACCAGCCCGGACCTCGCTCAACGTGGACACCAGACGATCCACGATCGAACTGCGCAGGTCGGGGAACTTCTCCACAACCTCCTTGACAAATGAGATCACGTCGACAGCGGAGTTGTTGTTGAAGTCGGCAATAAAGTCCATCAGCAGATCAACCACACTGGCGGCGATTTCGGAGAACTTGATGGCGCAGGAGTGTATTGACTGCACCAAGATTTGACGGTACTCGCTGTTCTGTTCATATTGTTCGTCAACGGTCTTGGCAAGTTCCTTCTTGAGAAGCATAATGATCTCCTCCACGTTCTTGCTGGAGACCATCTCCATGGCAAGGCTGAGAGCCTTTCTCCGGACGTCGATGTCAGGGCTAGTAAGAACACGCAGGGCTTCCATGGTCAAGTCATCCAGAACACCCTCACTGCGGATTCTGAGTTGGTCCACGCGCTCCAAACAAATGAGCTTGACGTTGTTGTCGGCTTCCCGAATGGCAAGTTCAATCAGCTTGCTCGCGGCAGCCTTGACGGCGACGGGGTTGCTGGTGAGGGCTGTAAGAGATGTGGCGGCTTCGTAAACAACAGTGCTTGTAGAAGCATCAAGAAGCTCGAGCATGAGTTTCAAGTATCGTGACTATTCTTTGTTAGCGGTGCCTGAGATCCTAGCATAATTTCTCCAACCCACCTTATTCTGAGGATTTTGTACTGCATCCTTTCGGAGGAACTCCAACTCTGCTAGCTGGAGCAGCTCATCTGTGTTAGGAATTGTGTCGAATGTGATGCGCAGATACTCGAGTGCCTTTTGGTGGCTGATGGACATGAGGGCCGCAAAGGCATTGCGCTTGCAAGTGCCGTCAGTCTCGCCCTCGAGGAAAGTCTGGATCAGCTCCGGCGCATCGGGGATGAGGGGCTCGGAGTGCTGGAAGATAGAAGCCACAGCCCAAACTGCGTTCTTGCGCACATAGGCGTGGCGGTGTTCCAGACACGAACGCGCGGAGGAAAGGAGGGGCTCAATGAGTTCCGATTCGCGGAGTTTGCAAAGGAATCGCAGAGTGTTTCCACGAATATATTCGTTAGGGTGTTGGAGATCGTTGCGAATGCCGTTACTGTAGAGTTGAAAATGGTCAGTCCAAGGAGACCAACACGCAATGCCTACAGACATCCTTACCAGACCAAGATCATCTCCTGCTTCAGCTTGCCAGACGAGTCGTGCTTCGGGCAAATCTCATAGAAGAAATATAGCAGCTTCTTCAACGGCTTGCTCTTAGACGGCATAACAAATCGAATGATGTGCATAAGGATTTGCGGCATCGGGTCGCCATTGAGCATGATCGTGATAATCGTCCGCATGGTTTCCAACTTGGTCTCATCATTGCCCTTCTCCAGCTGCAATTTCAGCTCCTGCACGGTCGGCTGGTCGGCAGTATTGTCCTGATGGAGCAAACTGTAGGTGTGTTCGAGGAACGACGCCATGGTGGTGGATTAGGGAGTAACGAAGGAGAGCTGCAAGTTGTCAGTTCCGGGGTTGTTTTGGGGCCACATCAGCATTGTTGGCAACATACACAAAGGATAAATTCTCCCGGAGATAGATGTCCGGGTAGGAGGCAAGAACAAGCAATTAGTGTAAACCGACACCCCTCGCCCTTGAAATCATTAAAGAGTTATGATGCGCAATGGAGAGTGTCAACTTGTCCCTTAATCTGGCCCCGTCTTGTGTGGATGACTAAGCCCGCCGCTTTTCCACTTGGGCACTTTCGACGTCGACCTCACTTCTGCCACACCATTGCAAACATGTCGAATGAGCCGTTTTACCTACGATACTAGTAAGGATGGATGATTGAAGCCCGGGTTTCCTCGGCTGCTGACACTCTTCACAGCTCAGGTCACTCTGGGCGGTTCGGGCACGAGTTCCTAGGTAAGTCTACAAGCTAGTCATTCTGCTGGACCTTGCTAACTCGCCTTTAGAATTTGACCTCCGCACCATTGCAGAGGGAAGCAGCGCCGCCGTACGATATGCGAACAACTCGAACTACCGCAATGACTCCCTGATCCGTAAAGAAAGTGAGTGCGGGGATCGACACAACAAGCGGATATAAGCTGATGGTATTGCAGTGTGTGTGAGCGCTGCCACAATTGCTGAAGTGAAGCGCATCATTAAGGAGAGTGAAGTCCTGAAGTACGCCCTCCCATTGATGCCCCAGAAAGTGCATGCGAGCTGACCCCATCCAGGGAGGACGACTCCAAGTGGCCCACCAAGAACAAGGATGGACGCCAGGAGCTTGAAATTCGAATTGGCAATGAGCACATTTCCTTCGAGGTATGCAGATTGTGAAACTAAAGTGGACGCAATGGCGCAGGACTGACTGGATGCTACAGACAGCAAAGATTGGCTCGCTGGCTGATGTGACTGATTCGGATGACCCCGATGGTCTGCGAGTGTTCTATTATCTTGTGCAGGACCTGAAGGCTCTGATTTTCTCGCTGATCTCTCTCCACTTCAAGGTACTTTTTTCTCCTGTCCTATATGTGAAACTGCATTTTAACCACTTACGATACAGATCAAGCCCATCTAAGGGTTGAGCGAGTGACACCAAACTTGATGAACAATTCGGGGGTTTTGTCTAATGATACTCACCAGGCGTTGAGGATTTTTCGGGATGCAATTTCAAGCCATAGCAAACCAATGGAATTGATACCACCCAAACATTGAATTTTCACATCAAGATGCAGCTTGAACTTTTGTCACTGCAGCAAGTCGTAGTTTTAGTGCCTGAACTAGCTTCAAAGTAGAATTGATGGGTCGTCTGCAGGAAAACGCCCTAAAAGCTGCAGTGACGCAATGTAATTAAGGTGATGCGACCAACTGCCTCCTCGCTATTTATAATATAAGCGGTATGAACTGCAGAATATTTCATAAAAAAGAGCAGAAAAAACACACATACTACCTAGTAAATCCACGGAATGATCAGCAATAATGCATGCCAGAACTACTGGCGCGTTATCCGCGGCTCTTACAGTCAGCTTTAGTGGCCAAGGAACACAAAGTCAGGGTTATCTGGCAGAATACCTGGCAGTCCGCCACCGCCTGAGACAGGTGATCTCCAGTGCCCTGCCAACTTTGTCCTCTACACATTTCCTGCCTTGTTCTATTTAGTCTTACGATCTTCACGCCTTCCTCCCAACCATCATTTCGGGGGCCAATGCAGCAGACAGGTCAGCTTACGCAGTATATACTTCAGCCCAGGCGGTGACCAAGGCGGTCGGGCCCAATATACCTCGAGTGGCCGCAAAGCCACGCAGTAGCCTCCCCCGCTGTGCGCTCGCATGACCCCATTTGACCCCATTCCCGGGCCCCGTCTTTAAAAGACTCAATCTTCAACTTTGATTTCCATCTTGTTTTCTTTTCTATCTCTGGGGTTTCTTTCTTTTTTTCTCTCTCGATTCGATGTTGCCTCTCCCTTAATCCGCAATGCCGACTCCGAGTAACAACGCATCGATCGCCGAGGTGATCTCCACCCGTACTTGTCCACCAGAGCCAGATCGAATTTCAGCCTGGCGTGACTCGCCCGAGCCTACTGATTCTGTCATCGAACCCTTTGATGCTCTGTCACCAGAAAGTGCCCTCGCACCATCCGTCACAAGTCGCTCCGACGATGGTAGCACTCTCTTGGCAACCGAGCCGCTCAAGGCGGAGAAGAAGCTGACGGGCGCGGACGAATACACTGCACCTGTGAGGGCTAGTTCGCCTGCAGAATCATCCTGCATCCGTAGCCAGACACCGACATTGCCAACAAATTCCTCACTGCTCGACTGGGAATTCTCAAACGTTCGGGTATGTTGTTCACCTGGCTGACCATTGGGGTCGCCACCCGAATGTATACTAACTATTGCCACAGCTTCTACCAAACCACACATCATCCTTTCTGCGCTCTGGCAGCAAATTTGTCGGAACACAACAATCGGACCGCCAGGTTTACAATGTCGATGTTGAAATTAAGCACGTGGATATGGCGGAGTCATATCTTTGCGGTTATCTCCGCATACAAGGTTAGTGATTCGCGTGCACAGGAAACCTGCATGGGACTTATCTTAACTGACTGTTTTGTTCTTTTACAGGTCTCACAGAGGATCATCCCACTTTAACTACATTTTTTGAAGGGGAAATAATTGGTACCAAACACACCTTTCAGACTCGCAATGAGGACTGGGGCGCTTCGGAAAAGACAGACCTCCACCACTGGTCCCGTTTTCCTGCGTGGCGGCCACTAGCAAAACAGGCCAAAAAAGCAGACTTCACATACCGTAACTTTGCCCAGCGAGAACACATCTTCATGCGATGGAAGGAATCATTCCTCGTTCCCGACCATCGCGTGAGAACAATTTCAGGTGCCAGCTTCGAGGGTTTCTATTATATCTGTTTTAATCAGATTGAAGGAACCGTGAGTGGTGTATACTTCCATGCAAAGAGCGAACGGTAAGCAAACAGACCAAACAACAACAGACCGGTGAACTAATGTTGCTTTCGTCCCAGGTTCCAACAACTCGAACTCAAGCATGTCGAAGATCGTGGATGTGCGCCAGCACTCGAATTCCGTTGAATACGGTGAACTCGATCGCTGGCGCATATAACCACCCTCACCTCCTTGAGCCAATGCTTGATATTTATGCTCAACCCCCACATCTTGTTCTTTTATTCGTGATACACCATGTCTAAGCAGCGCTTCTTGGTCCCACATCACTCGTGAATTTTGGACGTTTGAAACTCCTCTCTCGCCGTCTATCCTGGTTGCTTTCCCTTGAATGCCCACTGTCTCACCTCTCATCTCCTACTCACGTCGAAGATTTCTTTGTTCTCACACACCAGACAAAGACTCAAGACTTTCCTTTCCGACGCTATAAAAGCGACCTGGATACACTCCCATTCTCAAATTGTCCCTTATGTCTCATGATATCGTGATTTATGAAACGGCGTTTTCTTTCCCGCCTCTGGCGGCCTCTGACAACCTGGTCCTGGTTCCTTCACGCCCTCAACTTGGAGTTCTAATCTCTTATCTTCTTGTTCGTTTATTTTCATCCTCTATCCCTTCTTAACTTAGTCTGTTAGTATCTACTCTTTGGGCATCCGGTCAATTGACATCGGTCCGGGTTGGAAAAACTTTCACTCTTTGACAGCGATATTCACAATTGCATAGTACACATGCATATTGCTCTCAGAGCATACTTTCATCGTTTCCCAACCCTTAGTCTCACACATGATCCCCAGCCATCCTCGCCCGTGGTTTATACAAAGCATGTGCGTGGAAGTATCAAAAGACACGAGGTACATATGGTATGAATCATAAAACTGCTCGCTGTGAAGAAAATTTTCAGGATGGCTCCAGGTGGGTATCGCAAATGGACAATTAGGTGCCATGAATAACTAGACCTAGCTACAAAGTGCTGGGTTACAAATTTAGTCGAAGGGCTGGGCTGGATATGAGTGCTCCGAAATGTTCAGCCTAAGTAAAATATATTGATAGATGAAACCACAGTATATGCTAGATATGCCAAAAAAGAAAGATGCACATACAGAGAAGACAATAACAACAACCCCTAATTCGTATACATCCGAGTGTCATACAACCAAGTGACATGGGAGAAATGCCACAAAATACCAACGACGCCCAGAAGTAGAGATCGCACGCGAAGAACACAGAAAAATCGAAGACAAAGACAGGAATCAAGATGTAGGGAAAAACCGAAATGCGTATATCTGCGGTCCGTGGCGTAAGTAATAAAAGACCGTGCCGTGATTATGAAATGAGATGGCGTTCTCTTATGAGATGGGAATCATGATATGACATGACAAAGAGCAGAAAAAAAAAGCGAGCAGGGGTATCACATGCGATGCCATCGTCGAATGGCGAGATCGAGCGAGTGTGGTTTTGGGTTGAGTTCATGAGGGAAATTGAAACGCTTTTTAGTTCCATGATAGTCAAAGTTCAGAAGTTGTTGCTCGTTCATGTAGATAGCAACGGCGTTGAGAAGGAAAGTTGTTGAGAAAAATGGATAGAATCACAGGTATGTGGAGTTCTGACGGCCACTGGTTGAGCTGCCACTACTGCTGTATTCGCTGCCCGGGGTGGCTGGCTCCATGACAACCTGCTGTCGGATGGAGACGATCCATTCGTGTTGCAAGAGTTCGGCGGCTGTCGGACGGCGACTGGGGTCGCATTCGAAGCAGCGACGAACGAAGTCGATGCCCATGTCGCTGAGTTGATCGTTGGATGGAAGCACAGGCTGCTTGCCTTGCGCGATGTTGTACATGATCGCCCACTCGTTGTCTAGGGTGGACCATGGACGACGGCCTGTAGCCATTTCCAGAATCACACAGCCCAGAGACCAGATGTCCACGGCTCCCTGGCGGCTGGCCAGGTCTGAAACGTCACCGCGGATGACTTCCGGGGACATGTACATGGGAGTTCCTGTAGTGGTCTTTTGGTTCTTGCGTGTTGGTTCTTTGTTCAAAATGGGCTCTTTGTGGCCACCGCCTGTTGAACCATCATTGGGCATTACTGTTCGACCAGAGCGAGCAATGATCTTGGCGGCGCCAAAGTCAACGTATTTGATAACACCGTTGTGATCAAGCAGAATATTTTCGGGCTTGATGTCTCGGTGCACAATATGGGCTTCATGAAGATAGGCAAGACCTTCCAAAAGCTGGAGGGCATACACCATAATGACCGTTTCATCTTCGATGCGGCCATGTTCCAACAAGCTAGCAAGTGAACCGCCGGAACAGTACTCCATGAAGATGTAGACCTTGTCACGATGTACTTCAATACCATGATAAGACACAATGTTAGGATGATCGAGGACCTCGAGCACACCCATTTCGTCTCGAATCTGCTGGGCAATCTTGGGAATAAGCTGCGGGTCTTGCAGACGAATCTCCTTGACAGCCATCAAATAATTGCTATCCAAGTTGATAGCCACGTAGACGGAACCAAAGGTACCACCTCCGATGAATTGGCCCTGCTGCCAGCGCAAAGTGACATTCGTGGCAGACGAGGAAAGAACCGTGAGAGACCGATCGGCTTCATTCGATCCCTCCAGCACTCGCCCTAGAGCTTGGCGCTTAGCATCTTCCTCGATTCTTCGGTCTTCAATCTCCGTAACACGTGCATGCCATGTTTCGCGTACTAGCTTTGACGCTTCGTCGTCACTGGTAATTCGGCCGGCGCCAATCTGTCGGGCGCCATTACGCTCTTCCATGCGTTTCTCATTCTTTGCCGCGAGCGAAGAGCGAGCACCCATAATATCGAAGTGAGAAATAAGCAGTGACATACAGCCCGCAACCTTCAATCTGAGGCTGTTGAACTGGTCCTCGTCCATTGAAAGGAGATGTCGACTAGATGTGATCGCCATTGCAAATTCAAGAGCGGCGACAGACCACTTGAATGTCTTTCGGTCTGCGGCATCGCACTCATCACAGACGAAGGAGACCCAATCAAGAGACAGCTCCACTAACCGAGCGCTGTTCATCGCGCGTCTGTTGGCGTCGACATAGTTGGAAGAACGTTTTCCGAACTCGGTTGCAAATGCGTAACAAGCCTGGATCAAATCATTGTTCTCCCACTGGATCTCCCGCAGCTGATCTTTGATGACAGCCACACTATCCATGATAGTCATGGACAGCTTGAAAGAGATCTTCTTGATCTTGTTCAGCTCCACGTTGACACGACCCAGATTGGCACGTTGTTCAATAACCATATCAAGCTGGATTCCAGTGAGTCGCGACAACTCCACTCGGGCATTTTGCAGGCGTTCTTGCATGCCTTCGACGACCAGGCGCAGCTTGCCCAGTCGCACATCGGTTGGATGTTCCAAAAAGTTCAATTGCAGTTGCTTACCTGCCCACGCAAGAGGTCTCTCAGGGCGAATGACCAGGACATATGGAGTGTGGACATCCTCGGCCGTGTCGTCTTCCTTGAATGAAGTAGACAAAATGGCCTGGATGTCAGCAGGGCGGTTCCACAAAGCCGGATGGGCGACTAAATAAACACCCTTCTGACCACCAGCATTGGCAGAAGTAACGAGGAAATGGTCGGAGATGAGGAGCGCCTCGAAGAAATCATATGCTATGTCGGTGGTGATATTGTATTCTGAAGCATTTTCGAAAAGCTGGCACAAGAACTTGGAGAATCGATAAAGCTTGCGTTGGCGAATACGGGTTGAATCAAGAATACTCTTGTATCGCTTATCCATGTCTGACACGGTTTCTTGGGGTCTGGGGACAAGCTCGCGTTCGAAGTGAATCATCAGACGTTGCAGTGATCTAGCAGTCAAAGCACTTTGGTTCTGTCAGTACGAGTCATGAGTTAAGAAAAGCGATGAAAATCATACCTAAACTGTTCAGCCACCTCAATATCTCCACCGTCGAGACGGCGGCCGATATCATAGGAGTAACCCCATTCCTGTTCCAGAATCTCGGCTTCTTTGAAGGTATTCTTGTTGGCATTCAACTTCCAGTTGAGCAACCGGAAATAGTATTTCATGGCATCCAATACCGAATTATCGAAGTTCTCGTCGACACATGGTGGTAAATCCCAACCAGGTTCGGGCCTTGAGACGTCAAGGTAACGGAACTTAATCTCAACTGCAACCTTCATGAGGATTTGGAATTGGGAAATCATCTGGTCAATTAGGATCGGAGCCTGTTGAGCCGGATCCTTCATATTCTTGGCATAGGACAGGCGAACTCGAATGATCTCTTGGATCAGCCGAGATGGGAAGTTAATCAGAGTTAACAGTTCCTCGATGTAAGGCGGCAAATGACGTGCCGCAAATGCCTCTGAATTATCAATTAGTGTACTCTTTGCTTTCTGAATAACGGCAAGAATTCTAAGAAGCATGCCGTCCTCGTCCTGGAGAGTCTTCAAGCCATCTTCTTTCATGATGCGATCCAGGAAGGAAGAACCATCCGAAAGATCGTTCTTTGCGGACTTGACCCTAGGCTGGCTGAAATCGAGGGCCTCGTTTCCGACCCAGCTCTGCAACACAGCCAGCTCAGTGTTGATCAGGGCTGTGATGTTGTGCCATGAAAAGATAGCGGCGCGACTGGAAACAAACTCGTCTGAAGCAACGCGAGGGTTCGCAATCTCCATCTCTTTGTGAGACGAATATAAAACCTCGCATTTCTCGACCTTTTCCACCACGTCAAGAACCTGTTGCCTCGGTGGTTTGCCAATCTCAGTCTCGCCTTTAATCTGGAAACTGATGATATCTTCGATGATGGGACCAAGGTGTGATCTAGCATCCTCAATCAACTTCCGCTGAAGAGGAAGACTTCGGCCGCATGTCCTTGCCCGGACTCCGATCCAAAGAGCGTAGCTTTGGGCCGCCGACCGTTTAGACTCCGCAGAGCCAATCAAACGCTGCTTTTCTTGTTTAACCACGTCACCTTTCAACACTGATGCCAACATAGAATGCCACTCAAGTCGCTCCTGGTTCTTAGGATGCTTGAGTTCCTCCGTCGTGGGTAGGTTGTCGTCCGGAAGGAAGAGCTGAGTATCGGGGTCGTAGGAATCATCTTCAAAGGCCACCTCGGACGAGGGAGATGGATCTTCTAGATCGGCATCTCCATCTATCATACTGTTTGTCTGCGCGTCTTTGAAGTGGTGGTACCAAGCTTGCGGGTTCGCTCGGATCCGCTGGACGTAGGCCTTCTCTTGGGCGCGATACTGCGCATTCGGATCACGCCGGGTTCCGCGTTTGGCTGATGAGGATCGTTGACGGTCTTCTTGGAGACTTATGTACTGAGGTGGCCGGCGTTGCGGTGCGTAGGTGTGGGAGGGAGTCCGTACAGGGACTGACGGGCGCTGGATTCGAGGGTCGCTTGCCATAGCGAGGCCATCGGATTTGTCGAGTATAGATGACGCGCCAACACTAGCACCCCGTGGTCGTGTTACCGGGGTAGTAGCCCATAAGTTGAGGGGAGAATGACTTGGAGGGGAAGACGAGATGGTCGTGGCAGGTGTCTGGATTGCGCCTTCAGGAATCTCTCCGAAAGATGAGTTGACCCTGGGGTATTGGGGAGGGTACTCATCAGAGGACCCTGAGCCATCTGAATCGGGACTGGGAATGTCCGGGTGCTCCATGGTGGATTTGTGTGGTGATCACGTCGTTGGAGCTCAGGTGGAAAGTGATAGGGGCGCGTGTGGCGGTGCAGTTGTGGCGGAAAAACGGCCGGATGTCAGGGATCTTCCCCCCCCATCGCCCACTGGCCTTCCGATCTGCCGAGTATCTTTTCCTGTTTTATACTTAGCTTCTACGTGGTTCAATGTCTGTCCAGCATATATATTAAGTCCAAGCCGACGGTCCAGTAGTCCACGCGGCCAATCTTGAAATGAACCTGTCTCATTATGTGATATTCGTACTTTTGAAACATGGGGATTCCTTGTTTTTGCCCTCGGGCTTGGAGGGCATACTCTACTGTATCATGCTACAAGCCATTCCTTACAAATGATTGGATGTGCTCAGAACAGCTGACCACGCGCCTGTTGTTGATGTAATATGGAGCCAGGGATCCGATAGGCAATCGTTTTATTGTTTAAACATGTGCTCTGGGGTTGGCTGCTCTAGGCGCATCTTTTCTGTGCCTCTTGTTTAGATGGAAGAGGGCATATATTAACATGCCGCAACAAACAGCTGTGGTAATAATTCTGTGGCTGGTGCCCCTTACTGGGCCTACTGTATCTATGGCGCCATCTTGGGCCACCAAGTAGCATTTGCTTTGAGACTGGCAGAAATCTTCGGTTAACTACCAGGGATCTGTATGGTAGCTGTATAGCTGCTGATTGGTTGGCCACGATCAGTCAGCCCAGTCATCAAATAAGCAACCTTTGGAATCTCTCTAGGGAAAGGTTGGGAAAATATCTCCAAACAGCGCCGTGGATTGATCTAATGTATAATCCTTCTTGTTTAACATGCGCGTGATGATGTGATCACTTTCTTGACATGATATGGGTTAGCATTTCCAGCGAGTGGATGCACTTTTTGACGAAGCAAGGGAATACGAGAGACATTACATGTACCGGCAGGTGGTGAAGTGTATATCCCAACTGTGGCTTACTTGTACCCGGGCAATCCTTGAATGCTGATCGAAAATGCTGCAAGTAGCCAGGTTTAACGAGCACAAGGTTTGATTCGAAGTAGACTAGTGATCTAGCGAGTCGACATTCATGTGTCCAAGAGCCTTTCAACATGTGAAAGCACTATTGATTTTTTATTCTTAGGTTGAAAAGAAACCAGTAGGAGATGGGCATGTGCCTTTCTTTTGTCGAAGAATTACACTATCTGCGCACGAGATTCGTTAATGAACCCCCCCCCCCCCCCCCCCCAACAGCAAGTTGAACAATAGTATTAATTCACCATGTACTTAAAGTACTTGTGAGGTTACTACTGTACAGTAGGTTAGTTAGTCGATCTGGAAAGTACATTTTGTACAGCACGCAGCCTCACTACCAAGTATACTGTAAACTAACGAAGTTTGAGGTACAAGTACACATCACCATGCACACACCACATAGTACCACATAACACCGCAGCTTCTTACTATTTATAAGTAGAGGAGACTTACCCCTGACTAGAAGGGCACTGCATCCACGCCCGATCATTGATGATCTTGAAAGCCGTCGATCAGTGGATCCGATGCGAACTCAAGGATCGATTCACTGACAATTAACTGGGGCTATTGAGAAGATCTGCATTGACGGCTTGAATCTATGACGATGTTGACTTATGTTGTGTCTGAATGGACGTTGACGTTGCAGACTGCGTATGCACTGCCCGTGCGTATACAGTAAGTTGGTGGGAAACTATATCCATGCAAAGCACGCATCATGACTTGCAAATCCTGTGGCAATGTTCCGATATACTATTGTATGGGAAGCCAGGAGTATCAATAGTGCAATGAGATGCATGTCAGCCCCAGAGCATGTTGAACAATGTCCTTAAGTTTCCCCGGTGCCAAGACCCGGGATGCCGAAGCGGACCCCGCCAATGGGAGACGACATGCTTATCTTGACTCAAGTCCCCCCAACCCGCGTGGCGAAGGTTTAGTCTTTCGCCCCATGCGTTCTCCGTGTGGAACCGGGAGAGCATTGTTCGGGCAAACATGTATGCCAGGAACAGAGATAATCTAGATCTTTTGACGACAAACTTATACGATTATATGAAGTACTGTATAGCGCTGTACACAGCGCAATCTGTACTATGTGCGGTCCACGCGGTACTCTTTCATGCATATGCCGCGGAGATTAAGCCAATTTATTTCGAGAAGTCTCATATCCAGGCTCCTGGCAGTAGGCGCTCTCCGAAACAGAAAGCATGAACTGGCGGAAAGCTCGACAATAAGAATAATATATCCCTCGCATGGCCCGTCTACGGCTCAGATAAGGTATATTGCATGGTGATTGGCTGGCGCCATGGCTGTGATAAGAGCCCCAAAGACCTACTTCATGTTCCACGCCAAGATCAAGTCGTGGGACAAGAACCATATAGTCATGTAATTCAAACTCTGGGGCATCCATGGCTTGACATAAAGCAAGTAGGGCGAATTGTATTGCGGATTAAGCGATGTACGAGTAAACAACCTTGGAAGCCCTAAGTCGAGATAAGCAAATTGCTCTGATTGGCCAGTTCAGTCATATCTACAGCCAGTCGTGGAGCTCTGCCTGCCCTGCAAACTCCCTGAAATGACCCAATCTGGGCTCTCTCACTTTATCACTTTCCCCTGCTTATCAGAGGTCTATGCTTACAATTCCTCCGAGATGCAGGTTCCAGGGGGATAAGTGTCAAGAGAAGAAGAGAAAGTAGAGTAAACAGGCAGCCCTGTGTCAACATGACTACAGATCTAAATCTGAAACGGAGAGCATTGGTCCAATCTCAAAGGAATAGAAGAATATCAGTATATCCTCGTAACTGTACATGAAACGAACCCGTAAATCCCCGGTTCAAGACGATGGAGTACATACCCCCGGTCATGGACCCGGACATGGCTGAATTGGGCTGTCTTGGCTACTGCTATCGGTCTGATCAGATGAATCATATCATAAATCATAATGACCAGCTCCCACTATCGGAACTCGGATCGATGGTCTGGTAGCCTTGTGTGGAGCAGTCTGGTCTGTGGTCTGTTATTTAATTATCTGTTTGTCCCTGCAGGCTAGACATATCACTTTTCTCTCCTTTCATCAGCCAGGTGCTTTGAAAAGGATTATTTTTATCTCACTCTTCCTCTCGGGATTTTAACTGTTGAAACCTGACCCCCTTATCTCTTCTGTGATATACAGCCCTCACCATGTCGGCTTATCCAGTCGAGTATAACGGCACCATTGCCACAGGTGGTGACTCGCTCACTGAGGACCTGAACATTTTCTATGATGTATGCTTTTTCGGCATATCACACCGTCGTTGGAACTGTCAGCTAACAATGGTATCATAGTCCGGCGATATCGCTTGGGTTATCGTTTCATCAGCCCTTGTGCTGCTTATGATTCCTGGTGTTGGGTATGAATCCACTATCTTCCTATTTCAGGACATTGGATACTAATTGTCTCCGTATAGATTTTTCTACTCCGGTCTCGCTCGACGAAAGTCTGCCCTCTCCCTGATATGGCTTTCTATCATGTCGGTCGGAGTGGTTTCATTCCAATGGTTCTTCTGGGGTTATTCATTGGCCTTCTCCCACTCCGCTGGTAGCTACATCGGTGATCTTGAGAACATTGGCTTCCGCAATGTCCTTGCTGCTCCATCCGTTGGAAGCAGCAAGGTTCCCGACCTTCTGTTTGCCATCTTCCAGGGCATGTTCGCTTCTATTACGTGAGTACTACACAGCATCAGGCCCTGAAAGCAGTCGAAGACTGACAATATGTTGCAATTAGTGTTGCTCTCGCAGTCGGTGCCGTCGCCGAGCGTGGCCGCATGCTCCCGTGTATTATCTTCATGTTCATCTGGAGCACCATCATCTACGACCCCATTGCCTGCTGGACATGGAACTCATCCGGCTGGGTCTACAAGCTCGGAGGTCTCGACTATGCCGGTGGTACTCCCGTCCACATTGCCTCCGGATCCGCTGCTCTCGCCTACTCCCTGATGCTCGGCAAGCGTCGCGGCCATGGAACTCACGAACTCAACTACCGCCCTCATAACGTTACCCACGTCGTCATCGGCACAGTCTTCCTCTGGGTTGGATGGTTTGGTTTCAATGCTGGCTCTGCTCTCTCGGCCAACCTCCGTGCGGTCATGGCTGCTGTTGTCACCAACCTTGCTGCATCCGTTGGAGGTGTGACCTGGTGTCTGCTCGACTACCGTCTGGAGCGTAAGTGGTCGACCGTCGGTTTCTGCTCCGGCGTCATTGCTGGTCTCGTTGCCATCACCCCAGGTTCTGGATTCGTCACTCCATGGGCTGCTTTCATCTTCGGTGTTGTCGGTGCCATTGCTTGCAACTACGCAACCAAGATTAAGTTCCTCATTGGCATCGACGATGCCCTTGATATCTTTGCTGTCCACACCGTCGGTGGTCTCGTCGGTAACCTCCTGACCGGTCTCTTCGCTGCGTAAGTTGTACATCTTTCCTCTCGAAAACGCACTATAAACTAATATCTTCTCCAGTGACTACATAGCCGCTCTTGACGGTACCGAGATTGCCGGTGGCTGGATCAACCACAACTGGGTCCAGCTTGGCTACCAGCTTGCTGACTCCGTCTCTGGCTTCGCCTACTCCTTCTTCGGAACTTGCATCATCCTCTTCCTGATGAACCTTATCCCCGGCCTGAGCCTTCGCGCCCCCGAAGAAGATGAGATCATGGGTATCGATGATGCCGAGATTGGCGAGTTCGCTTACGACTATGTCGAGATCCGCCGTGATATTGTCAACGGCGTCGAGGCTGAGGAGAGCGCCTCCAAGCGCACTATGACTCCCACCAACGAAAACACAACCATTGACACTAAGGCTTAATTGACATTCACGGATGTTGGTTGTTCTCTTTCGTCGGCTCGTTCCTTTAATACTTAATATTCGGGCCTTTTGCTCTTTCTATCATTTGTGATCGCCTTTCTTTTCTCTTTCATTTCCTTTCTCATTCCCCCTTTTTTTCTACTGGGTTCTTTTCTTGGTGTGGTGTTTTCAATAGAACCACAGGTTTCTTGTGGGATGCTCTTCTGGATAAAGAGTATTTCATTTTCATTTTGTTAGCATTTTCCTGATACCCAAATATCAATACAATATCCAAAACATGGTCCACTGCGTAAATTTTAAGAAGCATGTAACAGTGTAAAGTGAGCAGGACTGCTTCATAAAGTTCCTAGATAAATTTAGCGTTAACTTGCACTCACGTTATATGTAATATAACCTCCAGGGCTCTTAGGGGTGTAACAAATGGATTCGACCTCGGGTAATGAACATGTTGGCCTATATAATCTCTAAGAATGATGGCTACACGGGTGACATCTGACGTTAAATGTTTCAATGCACCAGAGTATAGCTGAGTTCCTCCCTAATTAGGCATCTGCCAGTTAACAGAGCGAGGTAGCAGCTACCTAGTTCCAAGGTTGGCCCCGGGGAATGTGCATGACTAATAAAGAGGGTCCGCCCGGACTGTCACATGTCGCCGCTCCGCGCAAAGAGCTCCCGGATTCCCGCCCCGCCAAATCTTTCCGCGATCATTCTCCACCCTGTGCGGAATCCAACCATCCCAACACAGTTGCTCTGTCTCAATTGTCTGGTTTGACCCGAGTCTTACCATTAGGATGGATTCAAAGACTCCTGAGGCTGAGAGCCATGCTGGCTCTGTGCCTCCCGGCAGCTTCCCTACCGATCCTTCCGAGTTTGACAGGGACCCGCGTGTTTCTTTTTCCAAGCTTGACAATCAGTACATTCTAGAGACTGATGATGACCGTGAGTTCCTCTGGGACACTGGCATTAAGCGCTGGGTCGAATCGGTATGTCATCCCCCACAGTACTCACCGGCGCTCACCGGCGGTCGGCGGCGAGCTCTGGGTAGCTCATGGCGTGGTGAAGCTAATTTGACGTGTCGGTTCAGATCGACGAGGAGCTCCTGCGTCAGCAGCAGGAGGCATACAAGGTCGATGGCGTTGACGATACCGAAGCTGCTCATCCACGCGATCGTAAGAAGCGCAAGCAGGACGATGACGCGGTAAGAGTTGCAGCTATCACCTTTTTTGAGATTGACGCTAACGAACGATCTTTTTTCAATCCAGGCCACCGAGCCCAAGCAGAAGAAGCCCCGTGTTAATTGTGCTGTTTATGTGACCTCCATTCCCCTCGACGCAACCATCGACGAAATCGCGAGCGTTTTCAAGAAATTCGGCCTCATCACTGAAGAAATCGACACCGGCAAGCCTCGCATCAAGATGTACACGGACGAGAACGGAAATTTCAAGGGTGACGCGTTGGTCGTCTACTTTCGGTCTGAGTCGGTGCACATTGCGATCCAGATGCTTGACGAGACCGACTTCCGTTTCGGTGTTACCGGTCCCGATGGCTTGATGCGTGTTCAGGCTGCTGATACCGCTTGGAAGAGTGAGGAGGCGGATTCGACCCAGGATCAGAAGCAGAAGCAGCCGCAGCGCTCCAAGACTGATCAGCGCAAGATCGCGGAGCGCGCCAAACGTCTCAATGAGTATGTGATCTGTGTTGCGAGTTCGAGATGATGTGCTGACTTGTTTTTTAAGGAAACTCAACTGGGACTCTGAAGAGGAAGGCCCTACTTACACGAAGTATGACCACATGCTTACTTTGAAGCACATGTTCACGCTTGAGGAATTGGAGGTGAGTGCCCCATTTGTTGTGCTATCGAGATACAATCGCTGATTTGATTAAAGGAGGACCCAGCTGCCATTCTAGATATCAAGGAAGACATCCGTGAGGAGTGCGAGAAGATCGGAGAAATTACCAACACCGTGCTTTACGACCTTGAAGCAGATGGAGTGGTTACTGTCCGCTTCAAGGACCCCGCTGATGCCCGTCGCGCTGCCGAGGTATGTTACGTCCTCTAAATGACCCATTACAGCTACTGATCACTCTCTAGGCCTTTTCCAAGCGCAAGTTCAACGGTATCCAGGTTGTGGCCTACGTTCAGCTCGGTAAAGAGAGATACCGCAAATCTGGCACCCGACGCGATGCCCTTGAGGGAATTGACACTGAGGCGGAGGAGCAGAAACGTCTTGACCGTTACGGTGATTTCATCGAGAGAAACGTACCTAAATGAGGACAAAGTCACGAAAAAAGTGAGATGTCCGGCCATGAAGATATGGTCCGATACGGTGAAATGCGGTGTGGGGGGGAAGTGATGTGAATTTCTGCAAATTTCTAAGCGAATACCCGATGTAACAATAGCGAATAGCACACAAATGCCAACAAAGCATTGAAAGAACCCGGTGCCACCGTAGTAGTGTATATCTTCAAAGAGTTGTTGTTATCTTCCACGCGCCCAAAGAAAAGTGAAGTGTGGTTCGCACCTCCCCCGAAGTCCCGTGATGGAGCTAGTCCCAATTAAGCATCCCCCCCCTGAACCCATTCAGTTGTTGACTTGTTGATCCCACACACACCGCTCAACCCATCCTCTCTCTTTCTCCTTCTCCCAATCCTCTTGATTCTATAACCCCCTTTTTTTTCTTCGGAATCACCTTCAAAATGCGTGAGATTGTATGTGGCCCCCATGAGACGCGTCTATGTCTTTGTTTTCTTTCCCCTGAACCACCCCCACTCGTTCTAAACAGATCTTTTGCTAACGCCCAATGCTCCATAGGTTCACCTCCAGACCGGCCAGTGTGTAAGTGCGACCCAGACGATGGATAATTGTGTCGATATACCTTTGGACTGGGACTAAATTGGACTTGAATAACAGGGTAACCAAATTGGTGCCGCCTTCTGGTACGTGCCCGGCTGATATCGAAGCTTTTTTTCCCGCGTCATTTATTCACAATTTACTAACTGGCTTTCAGGCAAACCATCTCCGGCGAGCACGGTCTCGATGGCGATGGACAGTAAGTTGCATGTTGGGTTTGTTGCGGTGAATTGGGCAGCTGATGTCTCGTTAGGTACAACGGTACTTCCGACCTCCAGCTGGAGCGCATGAACGTCTACTTCAACCATGTGAGTACAGGATGACAAGGTTGTCTGCCAGGGCATTATCTGACTAGGATCTCTTGACCACACAGGCCCACGGTGACAAGTACGTTCCCCGTGCCGTCCTCGTCGACTTGGAGCCCGGTACCATGGACGCTGTCCGTTCCGGTCCTTTCGGCAAGCTCTTCCGCCCCGATAACTTCGTCTTCGGTCAGTCCGGTGCTGGTAACAACTGGGCTAAGGGTCACTACACTGAGGGTGCCGAGCTCGTTGACCAGGTCCTCGATGTCGTTCGCCGTGAGGCCGAGGCTTGCGACTGCCTCCAGGGTTTCCAGATCACCCACTCTCTCGGTGGTGGTACCGGTGCCGGTATGGGTACACTCCTGATCTCCAAGATCCGTGAGGAGTTCCCCGACCGTATGATGGCCACCTTCTCCGTCGTTCCTTCCCCCAAGGTGTCCGACACCGTTGTTGAGCCTTACAACGCTACCCTCTCCGTCCACCAGCTCGTTGAGCACTCCGACGAGACCTTCTGTATCGATAACGAGGTATGCAACGCGTGGAAAGAAGCAATGGCATCATGCTGATCAATCTAGGCCCTGTACGACATCTGCATGCGTACCCTCAAGCTGTCCCAGCCCTCGTACGGTGACCTGAACCACCTCGTCTCCGCCGTCATGTCCGGTGTGACTACCTCCCTCCGTTTCCCCGGTCAGCTCAACTCCGATCTCCGCAAGCTCGCCGTCAACATGGTGCCCTTCCCCCGTCTGCACTTCTTCATGGTCGGCTTCGCTCCCCTGACCAGCCGCAGCGGCCACCAGTACCGCCAGGTCAGCGTTCCCGAATTGACCCAGCAGATGTTCGACCCCAAGAACATGATGGCTGCTTCCGACTTCCGTAACGGCCGTTACCTCACCTGCTCCGCTCTCTTCCGCGGTAAGGTCTCCATGAAGGAGGTTGAGGACCAGATGCGCAACATCCAGAACAAGAACCAGAGCTACTTCGTTGAGTGGATCCCCAACAACGTCCAGACCGCTCTGTGCTCCGTTCCCCCCCGTGGCCTCAAGATGTCTTCCACCTTTGTCGGAAACTCCACCTCCATCCAGGAGCTCTTCAAGCGTATCGGTGACCAGTTCGCTGCTATGTTCCGTCGCAAGGCTTTCTTGCATTGGTACACTGGTGAGGGTATGGACGAGATGGAGTTCACTGAGGCCGAGAGCAACATGAACGATCTTGTTTCCGAGTACCAGCAGTACCAGGAGGCCTCCATCTCCGAGGGCGAGGAGGAGTAGTAAGCATCCATCCATCTCCCATTTTGAAATGAATTCCAACTAACCTTTCTTCCAGCCTCGCTGAGGACATTGTCGACGAGGAGGTCTAAATAAGTCTCCCTGAGATTTGTTCATAATACCCTTGTCAAGCCTACATTCTCTACCATTCGGACCGGCTTTGTGGGCTTGCGCCCCGAACCCAATTTGTTTGAGCGCTCCTAATTTACTTTTTTTCTGTCTATCTTCCTACTCGGCTTGGGTCTTTTGTTCGATCCCTCCAGAATAGCACATAGTGGAAAAGCAATTGACAATCTGATTTTCCAATTCTTTACTTGTAGTTGACTCGTTGCCCGTCGTATGTGCCCCGTTGCTGCCGTCCTCGCTGGTTCTTTGGTTGTCGTTGAATCCTTCCAAGGTTTTTTTTTTTATACTCCTGGATACGAAAGCATGGAAGCACGAGCATATATTTTTAGACCGACGTTGCTGCTGTGTATTCGCTGGTGTCGGGAATATTCAGGTATCATAGATTGCTGTCTGTACTCAGCACCTTGAACTGTGTTCCATGTTAGCCTGTCCCAAGGTCATTCGCGAGTCTGCCTCAGTATGTTTTGCGGCAAAAGTTGGAAAGCGTGTCTCGGCTTGTGGGTCAGGAAAAGCTTGGCTGTTGAGGCTGCAAGAACACATCTGAACGAAATGAGTGAAATGAGCTACGTCAGAAGCATCGGGAGATTTCAGTGTCCGAGATATTCAACGCTATGGACATATGCCATGAAAATAGCCAAGGTTGATACACTCCAACCATATATCAGAGAAATCCCCAGCTCCTACAGTTGAAAAGCTTCAAGACTACACCGATGACAACCGAGTTCTCCAAGCCACCATAGCTAAGTAAGCCAATCAAAAGACTACTCAACATGACCCCCTTCCCTCAAGAGCCCCCAAGCCATCTGCAGCGAATCACCACAGAAGAGAGTGTGGATATAGTACTTTGGATCACAGGACAAGAGGAAGGCATTTTTCACGAAAGCAAAGCAGAGCTTGAGCAGATCAGCCCCCGCGCGCAGGGTACAAATCTGAGCATCGTATTAGATCATGAGAAAGCCGCCCTGTGCAGCATTCCCTAGGATGCATTGTCGGAGCTTTCCAGTATGCGACTTACCCCATAGGGAAGTATGGCGCGGATCACAGGCACGGAGAGACGACTACCAGCCTGTGTGTGATGCTCATGAGATGCTCCATTCAAGATGTTTGGAGATGATGTTACGTGAATCGACGAGAATGGGTTTGATACAGGGGCGAGTTGACCATGGCCAAGCTGCGGGAGGTATCCAAGCTCGGTGCTTCATGGTATTGTTGGATTTCCCATTGGCTCAGAAGCAGCTCGGTGCCTTGATTGCTGCGGAATGCCCATTACCGGGTCTCCTGGAGTCGTACACCCGGCAGGACAGGGTGATGTCAGGTTCAACAGCCTGGCGACGCACTGGCCTTGACTTTTTTCCCTTATATCTATCATACCAGAGCTCTCCTTGTCCTCGGGTTACGGTGATTCTTTTTCCTCTCTTCTCTCTCTCTGATCTTGTATAGCTGTAGATTTACGACATCCAGTATATACTGCCAACTCTGTTTTGAAACGGAGTAGGAGTTCCCTGAACGGGCTATTCTCGACCTACCTTGATCCCAGCTCTCTCCGCGGAAGAATGAAGCTCGAAGATGTTGAAAGAAAGGGTGACAGCTCTCCTTCTGTTGAGAGTGTGTCTCAATTTGAACTCAATAAAAGTGCCTCCAACAGTTCCTCCAATGCTACAACTGTCGAAAAGCCCGAACTTGAGCCGCCTCGATCAAGAATCCAGCGATTGATTGCTCGTTTAAAGAGTGTGGAGAGCCGGGGCATTGAACGGGTTCCTCTCGAAGATCGAGAAGAAATTACACCGTCGACATCGCTGCATATGATGCTCATGTGGTTCAGTATGACACTTGCCACGAATAATATTGTTGCCGGGTCTATGGGGACACTTGTCTTAGGGCTCAGCTTTAAAGACGCAGCCTTGTGTGCCATTTTTGGATGTATAGCCGGTGCCAGCATCATTGGTTATATGAGCACATGGGGTCCTAGAAGTGGGAATCGAACTCTAGTATGTGAATATGTCACAGTGTGTGTCTGTGGATAACCGAATGTTAATGACTTCGCAGATCGTGGCCCGTTATTTCATGGGTTATTATCCCAGCAAAGTGTGCTGCGTTCTCAATATCTTCACCAACGTCGGGTACAGCATGGTGAACAGCGTTGTCGGCGGCCAGATCCTATCAATGGTCTCCGGGGGCCAATTATCAGTAATAGTGGGCATCATTATCGTCGCAGGCGTCAGCCTGGCCATGGCATTATTCGGCATGCGCATCTTCCAAATATATGAACGGTAAGATCAACATCCCAGACTAGCCCGAGCACCGCTAACCAGAAGACAGAGTTGCTTGGTTACCCCAGCTCATGGTGATTTGCGTTATCCTGGGCTCAGCAGGACCTCACTTTGACTTTAATATCCAAACAGCCTCACCGGAGTCTCTCAACGCCAAGCGCATCACCTTCTTCTCTATAGTCCTGTCTCTCGGTCTTGCGTGGGCTCCCCTCGCTGCAGACTACTATGTCTACTACCCACCCCAGATGAAGCGCTGGCGAACATTCCTCATGACGGTTCTCGGCGCCGCGCAGGCCATGTCCATCACTCTCCTCGTCGGCATCGGACTGGGCACCGCGGTTGCCAGCTCCACATACTATTCCAGCAAATACGGCACAGGCCCCGGAGGCCTGCTGATGACAGCCTATGACAGCCTGGGCGGGTTTGGCAAGGTCTGCGCTGTGATCAATGTCCTTGCCTTGGTTGCAAACAATACCCCTGGGGCGTACTCGATGGGCATCAACTTGCAAATGCTGGGTGGATTTCTCGGCAGGGTCCCAAGACCTCTTTCTACGACTCTTGCGACTATTGTCTATGCTGCGTGTGCAATGGGGGGCCGTAACTCTCTTTACAGTGTTTTCAAATCTTTCTTGCCTCTTATTGGATACTGGACTGTCATCTACGTGATGGTTGTCGTTCTGGAGGATGCTATTTTCCGTCGGCGAAATGGATATGATTGGTCTGCGTGGAACACGCGCTCTCAGTTGCCGATGGGTCTTGCGGCAAGTTTTTCTTTCTTTGTTGGGTGGGCTGGTGCGATTGTTGGTATGGTATGTTTGAACTCGGACGCCTTATTTCATTGTACTGCGCTAACCTGCGGCCCTAGTCTCAAGCATATTATACAGGCCCGATCGCGCGCCTCGCCGATGGGGCTGATTTGGGTCTTTGGCTGGCTGCGGGCTTTACTCTAGTGGCCTTCCCTGCGTTGCGGGTATTGGAGCTGCGGTATATCGGTCGCTAAGTGCGGGTCAAGGATAATGAACAGCGAGTGGTTGACGATGCCGCTGTTAGGTCGAAGAGTATATAGTACGGCAAGTATAAAGGGCATGGGAACGTTTCAAGCTGCACAGGGCTTTATAATTGTTAAAATACATTCATCTCCTGTGATTTTTCTGTGGCTTCGGTTAGTAGTCAAATAGTCAAATGAACGGTCTGATCTGCTTCCAATGTGTCAACCGAGGGCGCTTTTGATCTGCAATATGTGCGTTCTGGTTGGTCGATCAGCTGCGCCATGGAGTGTAGTGTAGATGCGTGGCGCGAACTGGATCCGGGGTCCCCAGTCCGCGGCCTATCAGGGTAGTCGTGCTTGTCAGTTCATTTCTGGAGCCTGGATATATCGTAAAAATCAGGGCTCATAGATCTGACAGCAGTCGCATATATAGAAATATCTCTCTTCATCCCTCCATTCTTTGTTTTGTGTCGGAGCCATCTATGAGCGCCGATCCCTTCCTAAAACTGCCCAGCTCAGAGACTATTCCAACTTCAACTTTGCCTTCGATTTCAATTGTTTCCTCATCCTCGACTCGGGGGACAACTGGCACAGGTCTGTTCTGCAAACTTCTGCTGTATTCAACATGGACTACTCCCTGAACGACACCAGTACGGTGTCGCAGGAATCTCTTCTATCCGAGGCTGCCAGAACTCTCATCTCCCCGCACAAGCTGCTCACCTATACGGTATGCCTTGTCCTCGCCTGGCCAGTAGTAGCATACACCCTACGCAACCAACGTGTACGAAGCCTCCAAAAACAATATCCATATCCAACTCGCGCCTCAATGTCCAAAATGACCGACGAACACGCCTTCCAAATTCAAAAACAAGTCGCCCAGCTAGAATTCCCATTCATATTCATCAAGTCGCTCCAGTTCGCTTTGTTCAGAGTACGAACTGCCAATCCCAATCTTTGAGATTAAAATATGATAATACTATGTATTCAATATTCAATATGCTAATTTTCAAAAAGACCTACGGCATCCCCACTATCTCAGCCCTCTTAACCAGAACAAGCCAGTTCTCCAACCCAGAAACATCCCTCAAGCGCTACACAGATACAAGCGCCCTCGTTCAAGAAATGGTCGGCAACAATCCAACATCCAAACGCGCTTTCCTCGGTCTTGCGCGTACCAGATACCTGCATCGCGGGTATCGAGCCTCTGGCCAAATCCCCGAGGAGGATATGCTCTACACGCTGGGATTATTTGCTTTGCAGCCTATCCGATTCATTGCCAAGTTCGAGTGGCGTACGTTGAGTGAGATGGAACGGTGTGCCATTGGCACTTTTTGGAAGAGTGCCGGTGATGCTCTTGATATCAGCTACGACGCATTGCCTTCCGGGAGCAGTAAGAGTGGATTCCGAGATGGGATTCATTGGCTTGAGGAGATAGATGAGTGGTGTGAGGAGTATGAGGCTCGTTGTATGCTTCCTCATGTTAAGAATCGTGAGGTTGCGGATCAGACGACTGCTGTTTTGCTTTATATGCTCCCGAAGTTCATGCATCCTGTGGGACTGCAGTTTGTTTCATTCATGATGGATGAGAGGCTGAGAAAAGCTATGCTGTGAGTTTCGATGCTTTTACTGTCTGTTCAGCACCTAACAACACGTCCAACAAAAGCTACGACCCCCCAACCCCATTCTGGAGCTCACTTTTTTCAATGCTCATGACATCCCGCAAACTATTCCTCCGCCACTTGATGCCTCCGAGACCATCTTTCCTGCGCTATCAGTCATTCACTGAAGAGCCAGACGAGTACGAGCGCTTCTTCCTCACAAAATGGGAAGCGGCCCCTTATTATGTCAAGCCGACTCTCTGGAATCGCTGGGGTCCAACAGCGTGGCTGACCTGGGCCCTTGGGAGACCTGTTCCTGGCGATGAAGGTGATAAGTATTCCCCTGCTGGGTATGTTATTCCGGATATTGGGCCGAAGGAGCTTGAGGGTAGAGGAAGAAAGGAACTGGAAAATTATTTGGCTCAGATGAAGGACTATCGGACTGGGAAGTGTCCTTTCCATTGATTTTACTGGTATAGGTGCTTAGTTGGCGAAGAATTCCAGATAAAGAGAGTGAGATGGAAAAAGATTGAACAATATATGGAAGTCAGACAAGTATTGACATCGCCTCAACACGTCAAATACTCCTAGGGTCTAACAACGGATCAGTAATCGCACACCCCCTAGCCCTAACCCAGACATCAACAACCTTCGCAGCCTGCCCATCCAAATCAGAATCAACAACAAGATACCACCCATAGTAAGCCCCCGTAACACAAGCATGATTAGGAAAGATCTTAACAACCTGCCCAACCCTCAGCGGAATCTTTTTCTTCCCCGAGCCACCCTCCCAGCCAACAATAGCATGCTCCTGGCTGATCCTCTTCACAATCAACCTCTCATTCGCATCCCCATCACCCCCATCTCTCCTCCAAGAAGAAACAACCCCCCACCCTTCATACCCAGCACAAGGCTCCCGACCCAACGCCAGAGTGCCAGCAGCAACCAGCACCTCAGCAGTCTCTCTCTCGTCATCATTATAAACAGAACAAACCTCAGCAAGAACCGAAAGCGCAACATCACGCTCCACACCGCGTCTCCCCAAAACAGCATTCGTGCACACCTGCTGCATATCCAAAATAGGATAAACACCGGCATGAAGCTCCACAGAAACATCATCCCCACCAAGCAACCCTCTCAATTCAACAGCCTCTTCACAAGAATCACCCCCCAAGATCAAATTCTGCGACGAAACAACCTGCGGCGTCGCCCCAACACTCAGCACCAGCTTCCTCTTCTCCAACTGCGGAAACAGAAGCGCATTCCCAGCCAGCGCGTCCCTCAACCCCCGGATCTCCGTGCTCAACGCCCTCATCGCTTCCTGCGGCGAGGAGCCATTGTAGCTGAGACTATTATGCGAGTACAGACCGAGCAAATGCACGACCCCGCGTTCCTCGCCCTGGACAATCTTCTCGAGGAGGCCGTTCTTGTTCAGCGATGAGGGCGGCAGTCCGGCCCGGTGATACCCCGTGTCAACCTTGACGAAGATGCGGACTGGGCTGGCGGTTTCCTTGGCCAGGATCTCCAGGGAGGACAGCTGGTCTGGGTGGTCGATCATTAGGGAGAGGGTTGCTTGGCCTTTGTTTTTGGATAGTTCTTTTGTTATTCTTGCTAGACGGGGGATTTGAGAGGGGATTAGGGGGATGCCGTAGAGGATATTCGTTTCTTTTGTTTTTTGGAGGGTTTGCATGAGTGGGATCATGGTTTCGATTTCCAGCGGCGTGGAGGCTATGAAGTTTGCTGTTGGGGCGTTGTTTATTTGGAGAGCGGCGATTTCGGGGGTCTGGGATTTGTTGGTTGTTGGTTTTGAATGTTTGAAAAAAGGATATTGGGATGGGGTTTTTGGTTTTTTTACCTTGTGGGTTTTGACGTGTGCTCTGAAGCCGACGTTCAGGGCTTTTACTGTCTGCTGCATGGCTTCGCAGTGGCGGCGGATGATTGCTACGTCCAGGATTACTGCAGGTTTGGGTACATCTTGTATATCCTTGCCGATATAGAATTGTTGCAATTCTGCTTGAGATGCCATGATGAAGGGATCGGTAAATGTTTGAGCGAGCGGGAAAAGTGAAGAAGGGAAGAAGAGAGCTTGAAGAGGGGAGGTTGAAGCCCTTATAGATATGTGGGGGCGGAGGATGACAACTCCGCGGTGAACGCCGCGGTCAAGTTCAAGTCCACCTGAGACACCGTCGGAACGTGGAATACAACAGAATCATAATGAAATATATTCAGAGAAGCTTGGATTGAGCAATTAAAAAGGAAAGCAGAGAGTATGCCAAGTTGCACCCATGGTACGCCGTGAAAAAAAAAAAAATAAGAAACCAAAAGGCCAAACCAGGCCCAACCAACATGCAAATGATAGTAAGAGTCCCAAGCGGTATCTATGCATAGTTTTGAACAACCAAAAGCGTTGCGCCTAGCCCTTCCGTGCACCAAAATGAAAGACAAGTAAAATCGACAACAATGAGAGCGAGAAGACAGAATGAAAATTACAAGTTCGGCATGGCGGAGAGAATGAGAGGGGAAGATATTGAGGATGGAGATAGGTAGAGGGGGGTGGTAAAGCTCAGTCAGGTAACAATTAAACCTGCGACTGGCTGTGACTAGATCTCGACCGCTGAGACAGCGAGCGACGGCCACGGCTTGAAGGAGCACGCTCCGGCGGCGCATGTTCGAAGAACGGAGTAAGATCCGGGTTCTGACTGGGCGGGATTTTGGACGTAGCAGAGTACTCGTTCAAGAGTTGGTCATTGGCATCAGTATCGGGATGCACTTCGATGCCAGGTTCTCTGTCCAAACCACCGTGGGGACCACCCGTAGTTGGGAACATGATAGAGTCAGCCTCGCCATGTCCACGCTCGATGGGAGACCAGCCCGCAATACTGCCAGCGACGATACCGGCCATTGCAGCGGCAGGGCCGAAGGTCGAGTTTGAGCGAGAGCGGGTGTTGCGTCTAGAGCGGGACTCTGGGGTCAAAGGTTGCGGCGTTGGGATGTCATGGTCGTTGTCACCATTTGGTGTTGGGGGAGACGGGGAAGAGTCTCTGGAACGGGAGCCACTGCGGGATCGGGGAAGGAGTTCCTGTGGGTGTTGCAGCTTGTGGCGGATGTGGCGAAGACGACCACCACGGACGCGCTTGATAAATGCGAGCTGGTCCCTGATTTCTTCCAGTGCTGGGTTCCATTCGTATTGGCGGTCTTCGTCGGAGACGACTAACTCGGGGCCCTTGTCGCGAGACCAGAAATTGGGGATGAGTCCGCTGATGAATTCGTCTGGGATCAGACGGATGATCACGGCGATGGGGAGAGAGATTGCGCCAAGGACGAGACTGACAGCCCACTGGGAGCCTTGGTCAAGTCGCTTGACAGAGAAAGCGGCGCCACCAATGAAGATGATTAGGACCTGTCCTCCGATGATGATGATTTGGATACCGATGAACCAGCTGTTCTTCCAAATACGCTCCATGATATTGAGTTTGTTGTCGATGCGACGGGAGTTGTACTGGTTGAAAATCTGCATGAAGACGAAGGTGTTGAAGACCACAGTCTGCATGTGGTCCTCATCCCACGAGAAAATCTTGTTTCCAGCAAAGTTGAGAACGAAAGTCACAACTAGTTGGTAGATGGACTGTCCGATGATCATCTTCCACATGGTCAAAGTAATGAGCGGGTCTGATTTCGATTCAGGTCTGCGGTCGAGAACAGTCGGTGTCGGAGGATCTGTGGCCAAAGCAAGAGCAGCAAAGGTATCCATAATCAAGTTGACCCACAGCAACTGGACTGCACTGAGCACGGAATCCTCTTCATCGCTAGCAACAGCAGAGACGAAGGTAAGGATAACGGCAGTGATGTTGACAGTGATCTGGAATTGCAGGAACTTCTTGACAGCATCGCTAACAGTACGACCCCAAGCCATGGCCTTGACGATAGAAGCAAAGTTGTCATCCATAAGAATAATATCAGACGCCTCCTTGGCAACCTCGGTACCAGTGATACCCATAGCAAAGCCGACATCAGCAGTCTTAAGAGCCTGAGCATCGTTGGTACCATCACCAGTGACAGCGACAGTCTCACCAAGCTTCTTGAGCTGGTTGACCAAGATCTTCTTGTCTTCTGGACTGGACCGGGCAATGACCTGGAGTCTGGGAATGATCTGATTCATTTGGCGAGTGCTCAGCTTACGGAACTTGGGGCCTTCAATGGCGATACCACCAGGTGTGTAGATACCACACTCCTTGGCAATAGCCTTGGCTGTCATAATATTGTCACCAGTGACCATGCGGACAAATACACCAGCCCGCTGGCATGTGTGCACGGCCTCGGCGACGCCTGCTCGGAGAGGATCTTGAATACCATAGATACCCAGCACTGCCATATCTTTGAAGATAGGCTCGAAGAGGGCCTGGTTGCGGTCGGTTTCCGAGGTCGGGGCTCCACGGGGTGGCCATTGCTCAAAGTCACGGTAGACGAGGGCAATGCAACGAAGAGAGCGCGAGGCGTAGTTGGTCATGATGGTATCCAGGGTAGTCTTGTTCTCCTCTGAGAGTGGAGCCTCAGACAGAGTGTCAGTAGGATCACCGACGATGCGACTCGAGTGAGAGATCAGGATTTCAGCAGCGCCCTTGACCAGCATTCGGTATTTGCCGTTCTCTAACTGCATCACCACTGCCATGCATTTCCGTCCAGAATCGAATGGATACATCTGTACCATCTTGCCGTTGGCTTTGGCCTCGCTGAGAACACCCATTCCGAGGTTATCCCTGGCAAAAGTCAAGAGAGCAGTCTCGGTCTTGGAACCAATGAACGTCTTCACTCCTTCAACTTCGCCTTCAAAGGCAGTGGAATTGTAGACAATCGACTGGAGCAAAACATCCTTAACTGAATCAGACAGCGTAGACACAAATTCTTGAGCGGAAATCTCAGAGGAGTCCTCGGGGGACACACCAGAGTACTTTCCAAACCGTGACGAAGTACCCAATGTTGCAGCCACTGCTGTCATTTTATTTTCCGTGAGAGTTCCTGTTTTATCAGAACAGATCGTGGTGGCACCGCCCATAGTTTCACAAGCTTTGAGAAAGCGAACCAAATTGTTGTCCTTGATCATTCGTGTTGTTGCAAAGGCGAGAGCAAGCGTGACAGCCAGTGGTAGTCCCTCTGGCACAGCGACGACGACGATAGTAACAGCGACAATGAAAATCTGCAAGAAGGCTTGACCCTTGGCGTCTGCACCACCGTCGATATCCTTGAGTCGGACCAGAAATTTGATGAAGAGAACGATGAAAAGCAAGAGACCAGAGGCGAGACCGAGTTTGGCGATATACTCAGCCAGCACGTTGAGCTTAGTTTGCAAAGGCGTGGTCTCACCCTCCTCTTGGAGGGACATCATTGTCCGTCCATGAGTCGAGTTCGTTCCAGTAGCTGTCACCAAAAAGGTACCAACGCCCTCAGACACCTTGGCACCGGAGATAATAAAAGGATCCATCTTCTTCAGATCTTCATGGTGCTCGATCGTCCGATAGACTTCTTCGCCGGCAGTCTTTCGAAGAACGTCCGACTCGCCGGTTGCTGAGGATTCGTCGCACTTGAGGTCGTGGCCTTCAATCAGGATTCCGTCCACAGGGACCATATCACCCGGTTCCAAAAGCATCACATCGCCAACCAAGACATCATGGACCGAGACTTCTTCAATTTTGCCAGATCGGGTGACCTTGACTTGTCGGTTTTCTTTCTTCTTGTTGAGTTTCGCAAATTGCCGTTCCTTTTGCCAATCATTGGCAGCGCCGACAACGACCACGATAATAATGGCCACCAGAATTGCCAAACCTTCCACCCATTCAACACCAGGCTCACCCGGTTTGGCTGGATGAAGCGACTGCGGGATACCCACAGCAAGGGAAATAATAGCCGCAATCGTCAACAAGATCAAGACCTTGTCGTTGTACGCAATCCAAGCAAGCTCCCAAATGGACTTCAATTTCCGCTCTGGCAGCTTATTGTCACCGAAAATGCGTCGTCGATCGGTATACTCCTCGTTGCCCGTCGTCACTATCGGGCCCTCGGTGGCAGCAGGTGGCGACTGGTTCGATGATACAGACTTGGGCGTCTGCTCAGGTGATACAGCGGCATCAAAGCTAATGGAGCCGTCCAAGGTTGATTCATCCACACTCAGCCCACTGCGGACATCAGTCCGCAGCCCCTTTCCAGACCACGCAAGCCACCCAGCGCCCGGAACGCGCCGAAGCTCTTGGGATTGAGCAGCTTATTCAATTGGCCCGGCGAGAAGGCGAACTTGTTATCTTCGACCTCAAACTCCGATTCGCGGCCGGGGTCTGGGTTCAGCGCGTCTTCGTCATCGACATTGTGGTTCTTGATCAGTTCCGCCCTTGAGCCTTGCGATGTGGATGTCACGTATGTCTCGCCGCCGTAAGTGCTCGATGTCTGGCTTGTGTCCTCTGACTCGAGGGAGTTGCCTCGGGACCGCGCTCCGGGCACGGAGAGGAAGTTCGAGTGTGTCTCGGGCACCTTCTTGGGCGAGGAGATGTTGTGGGGGGATGTTGGGCGGTTCTCGTGATCTCGACCTTCCGATGAGGCATTTGAGCGCAGGGAGGCTGGAGACCGCATCTCTGTTGGGGAAGCGCCGTTGTTTAGGAGGGCGCTTGTGTCGCTGTGGGCATTCTCTGTATAGGTCTGGATGGAAGGGTGCGCTCCGGCGACTTGAGCTGGGGGTTGGAAGGGATCCGGGCCGTTCACGGCCGAGGTATCGATCGTGATGGTTGGCGCGCGCTCTCGACGTAGGGGAGCCGACTGTTGAGTCGGCTCATCGAGTGAATCGGACATGATTTCAATCCGAGCGCGGTTCACGCGACAGTGGAGCAGTTGATAGGCTCATAGATGGGATCAACTAGAGGCCGTAAGGGAGTTGAGTGAGGAAAGTAAGGAAGAAAAGGAGATGTACATGACACCCCTGGTCCACATTGGTCTCGAACTTAAGATTCATCACTTCTGGTCTCCCGCATCTCCACAGCACAGCCCCAGACCGGAGCACCTTTGCTACAGTATGAGGCGATTCTTCTACAGCTCTACCGTTTAACTCTAGAACATTTATATGAACATCGACATGAATAAGACCGTTCTATCTAGGTGAGCCACTACCTGATGGTTTTCATCCCTAGATTACAGAGTTTTTCTCATTTGTTTGGCAAATCCCTCTTGCACTGCCTCACTGTGCCAAGCCTCCAATAGGGGCCAACTAAATTACGGGTCGGCTGAATGTCAATTATATGAAGTCTACAGTCAGTTAGTGGAATATCTTGCGGACTTTAGGCTTTTCACCTAGCCGAACAGTGTCAGTGGTGACGTTTCCTCCTAACTGGGCTTATGATGCTCACGACTTGACTACTATGTAACCTCAAGGAACTACGTCCCGAACCCCCATGGCAAAATAGAACAGCCCCAGTGGCAAGACAAACAGTCCAGATTGGCTTGATATCAAGCTCCAAAACTGCCCAGCACATCCCAAGCCAGAAACAAGCTGTAGGAACATCTCGTACTGTGGAAGTATACCTTACGCCAATCTGATATCATCCCCCCATCTCCCCCCATCTTTTACACAGCCACGCAAACCCACAGAAGATCCAATCCAAGCAAATCACAACTTCATCCAAGTCATCCAAATCCCCAACATGTCGCCCAAACACATGTACGGCCTCACCGCCGTCCCAGCATCCTCCACCAAACTACTAACCAACAACAAACCCCCTCAAGCCCCAATCCCCATCCCCGTCCACAAAACCCCAATCCCAAACACCCCACTGGCCCAGCGCATCAACAGCTACGCGCGCCACCATCTCCGCGAGGAAACATACAACCACTCCCTCCGGGTCTACCACTACGGCCTAGCCATCAAAGCATACCGGTTCCCGGCATCTCAATTCCCCGAATGGGAGTTCGACGATGAGACGTATTTCCTTGCCTGTGTATTGCATGATATTGGGACGACGAGGGAGAATCTGAATGCGACGAAGTTGAGTTTTGAGTTTTACGGTGGGATGCTTGCGTTGCGGGTCTTGCAGGAGGTGAATGTCAATCCAGCTCATGCATGTACTGGTGCTGGTGCTGGTGCTGGTAATGCGGACAAGGTGGAGATTGGCACCGGGACTGGCTTGGGCATTGGTGCCAGCAATGTCGGCGGCCCGGCTGCGACGACCACCCCGACGAATAGCAATTCTACGGCGCCGCGCGCTCAGGCGGAGAGTGTAGCCGAAGCTATTATTCGGCATCAGGATTTGTGCCATGTAGGCTGCATTACGGTTGTGGGTCAGCTTTTGCAGTTGGCGACGATCTTTGGTAAGTGGACAAAATCTTGTCACTTCGTATATCTTGTCCTTTTTTTTGAAGACTTTACTGTATGCTTTGGCCAAGTCATGGCTTGGGCATTGTTGACTGACGGGATGTGCTTCTCCATTGATGATACGTCATATTCTACTGTGCATGTACTGTACATGTACTGTACATTAAGTTATCCTTGATGTTGTCTTGCCACCTGGTTTGGTTCTACACGCTAATCGTCTCGTCTGTGACTCTAGATAATACTGGGGCTTATGCGGATCTCGTTCATGCTGATACCATCAAGGATGTGTGTGCGCATTTCCCGCGGATGCGCTGGAGTGGTTGCTTTGCTGCGACTGTTCAGGAAGAGATTGGGCTGAAGCCCTGGGCTCATAGTACTGCTTTGGGTGAGGACTTCGAGGAGAAGGTGCTTGGCAATCAGTTGATGGAGCCTTATGAGTGAACGGTGAAAAGAAAGGTTCTGAGGTTTGTGTTTGGTGATGTTGCAACTGATCGACAGGGAAGCTACTATAATGACGGACAATACTGATACTTGATACTTTGTTACAAATTGATGACAATGTTACTTTCAAGGGATATCAGATTCAGGACTGTCATAAGTGTAGAAATGTAAAACCTGTCCCCCCATTCATTCGTTTGATTGATCCAATCCATATATCAATCCCTTGCCGTTAAAAGACAAGCCCATGCTAATGTACACAGAACATATTGAACCCGCACTCACGTCGACTACAGATCGTGAAGCCGGGTTTCACCTTCTTTCTTGGGGATCTCGATATCCCAGATCTTCAATTCCTGGCCTTTCTCGAAGTGGGTATCCTTGTCTTTGTTGGACAGCTGGAATTCGAGGTTCCGGTTGACCAGTGCCTTACTAGACAATGCCAGTGCATCGACGAGCTCGGCCATGCGCCGGGACTTGGTGAAGGCCTCGGTCAAGTGCTTGAAGTTGGCGACCCACAGTGATACAATCATGCACTGGGTCAGGAGTTCGTGTCTACCAAGGCAGTGGCTGGCGTAGTGCATGGCGTTGTGGTAGTCAAGGACAAGTTCTGGGAGGTAGGTGGTTCGGATCTGTTCGTAGTCTTTTTCTTCGTCGGCATCAGTAGATGTGACGAGCCAGTCGTCGTTGACTACTGCCCCCAGATACTCTTCCATGGCTCCAACACACTCATGCATGTCTTCGGTCATGTCTTTAACAGCACCCGAGTCACGTCGGCGTTTGGTCCTGCGCTAGTTAGTCATGAAAAGAGATAGATTGGGAGCAAACTTACTTGGAAATTTGCTCGTGAATCTGAGCAAACTGTTCCACAGTATCGAATCCGAGGGTCAAGACTTCCAGATCGGACATTCTCTGACACTGGTACCATGCTGCCACCAGTCCAAAGTTGCTGGAATTGGAGATGCTGCGTCGGTGAAGACTGCTCAGACTGTTTCTCTTCTTAGATGGGCTGGTTGGCGCGGACATTTCAATGGCGTTCTCTTGCGGGGGAATCGAAATGATATCGGAGCCGAACTTCTCAATTGAGATATCTGACAACCGCATACGAAGACTCAGCTCACGAGCAGCGGCAAGCTTGTCGGCAACTAGAAAATTGTAAGTGACTTGAAATCGAAAGAGACAATAACAAAACATACCAAAGAACTTGCGATATAGCCAAGAGCCAAGCTCACAAATCTTGCCCCATTGACCGTCAACGGCACGGAACCATTCCAGACAGCGAATCATTTTCTCATCTTCATCGGCGACAGAAGTTCCGATCAAATCAGTCTTAGGTGAAACAAGTGCCCGAACACCATCTGGTCGTCGGACCACTCTTGAATATCCTGTTACATCTCTGGAGTGATCGATTGTGGGAACGTTGGCACTCAACCACTCCCATTGAACCTCAAGAACGGCCTCGACGTCGATTCCATATCTCCGCATGAGTCTGATTTGCTGCTGTTTCTCTTCGGGGTCGATAATCTCGATAAGAATCTTAGAGAAGACCTTGTTTGCCATCTCAGTGGGAAGAAGAGACACATAAAGCGGAATGAGGTCGAAGAGGCACTTTTCTTCCAGGATGGCTATGTATCCAGCAATGATCACTGAAGCCTGCTCGAAGAAATGGGTGTCTGCACGAGCATAGGCCATCGAGCTAGCCACAATGTAGGTATGCGTAGCAATCTTGACAGCCTCCTCATCATCGGCAGCAATAAGGAATGATTCATCCACAGGGCTATGCGCAAGCTCTGGAACAACGGATGCCTTGCCGTAGTTGGCAGCGCTAAGCTGGGAGACAGCTTGGGCAAGGGCCGGGAAGAAAGAGTCGTAGCCCTTGCTGAGAATGGCGGCTTGGATGTTGCGGAATGGATTCCGTGCTTCGCCGCTGACCCGTTCAACACCTCTGAGGTAGGCAAAGAACTTCTGGAGATCAGCATGACCAGGGGCTTCAGGTGTGAACACTACAGTGGTTCTAGGCGAGAGACTGAGTTTGCGCTGGAACTGTGTGCAGAATCCCCGGTACCGTCGAAGCACAACGCTGTTGAAGTACACGTAAAGATGGTCGTCCCAGCTGCGGCAGACATTGGACGCAGCATCAGTCTCGCCAGAGAGCAGTGAGTAGACTGCTCGCTGGAAGTCATCGGTGTTAGAACTGCGTGTTAGGGCTGCGCAAGCGGCGCGCCATGAATCATTTGCCCGACTGTTCATCAGTCGCGTATGACTATCATTGGTTGGGAATCGAGTCGTCTTGGGAGCATTGTCATCCACGCTAGAACCGCACAAGCTGACAGCCCTCCATCCTTCTAGACGGCCCTCTGCCCACTCACGAATCTTTGTCCAGTTTTCGCCTTGTCTCAGCATCTTCCAGCAAGTCAGCCAGGTGGCACGTTCGTAGATCTCATCCTGGGTTTCCAAGCCGCGTTTCTGTCGAGTAAGAGCATCGGGGTCGAGTTGCGTAACCAGTGGCTTTTGTTCATCGGTACTCAAAAGGGAGCGGGAGATACCAGGGTCAGTCGATTCAAGAGGCTGTGGCCATGCGCGCAGTCGCTTATGACCCTTGATCGCCTCCTTTGTGTAAAGCCAACCGTGTGACCATAGTCCCTGGCCGCGTTCCGAGCGCGCTTCCATTTCCGCGATCAAATCGTCGAAATCCTGTGTGCTGGTCTTGGAGGTCTCCTCTAGCCATCGCATGGCAACAACGCATTCGAGACCATATTGATCGGCGTTCAAGAACTCCTCCCAAACTTCGCGATCAGATGAGTAGCGGTGAAGATTCTGGAAAGCTGTCTGGCGGCCTTCCTTGAAGCTAGCGCGACTGGCGGGATCATCGATGCTGATCAGGTTGAGCAAAAGACGCCAGGTATCAACCTCGAGTTGCAATCGTTGAATTTGCTCTAGTGATTTCACATCACTTGCGCGATAGCTCGCCCGGTGTCGATTGGCGGTTTGTTGTGTTTGGATTTCTTTGATGGCGTTTTTCGCAAGGTCACGGTAGCTCTCCACGAGCTTGTAAGCTGCCTGGACATTCTGGAACTCATCGGTCGTATTTTTGCGCTTGAACTGATCGAGCTTATCGGCGAATGCTTCAATTTGACGAGTGACGCGGTCGGCGGTTCGGCGAAGGGGATGCAGTGCTTCCTGGGCGCCCGCGGCTGTGAACAGTGGGGCATCTGAGGTCAATCAGTACATGTCATTTGAATACTGATGCATAAACCGACCTTGTCCCTTGCCCGGGATTTCGTAAACGGACTGCAGCGCAGGCTCTGGCTCCGACTCCTCAGAGCCGGTCTCCGATTCTTCGTCATTCACGCTCTCCATTTCTTCGTCCATATCTGCATCTTGGTCTTCAGATGTCGCTTCTTTATCTTCCAATCCATCGTTTTCATCATAGGATTCACTCTGATCTTCTTGCTCCTCCACGCTCATGATCTCATTTTGCCTAGGAGGCGGCAATGCCTGGGGAGGTTAGCCGGGACGAGGGTTAAAAAAAAAATTCAACGACATACCTGTGAGAACAGGTTACTCCCGGACGAAGCAGTTCGAGCTGAACGAGTTAAGGGCGCCATGATGAAAGGCGTGACAAGGGAGAGAGAAGCTCTTGAGGAAATGCCGTGTGTTTGTCTCTTTGGTGTTTGTCTCTTATGTGTTTGTCTGCTTTGGCGCGTTGTCACGCTAAACCCAATATAGACTAGCGCCATTAGAGAATCTATTTGAGCAATTTTTTTCCTCCTCCATTCCCCTTCTTCTTTTTTCTTCCACAAATGTCATTAGGCTTTCATTAGAGTCTCGGAACGAGAACTCAATTTTCGTTCAGGTCCTTGAGGCCTCTCAGCGTGCTCAAGATTGTCTTAGAACAATTGCAGTTCTTCAATTAGCCTGGTTTCCTCCATATGGAAACTCAGACCGCAAGGGAATTGTGACATGCCTGTGGAGGCAATTCGTATGTACATCGTAGTTTACAGGGATCTATTTCTTGCTCTCTGTTTCCTGTGCTCGCTGTCTTATCTTCAGACGCAGCAGATTGGCCTTGGGACAGCTGACGGTAGATGCCTGGTCTCCTTGTTGCTGGTAAAACGCATTGCAGCATTCGTATAAGGCGTCGATCTGTGTCTGGCACTTGTCCTCGTTGTACGAATTCTTGGTCAAGCAATCTAGCTTGTGTTAGAGACTGTCGTCATCCCCAGCTGGTTCGCCATTGACGTTACCTTGAATGGCGCACTTGGTATTATTAGCAAGGCCAGGGTATCAAAGTAAGGCTTCAGGAGACATACAGCGCGTGGATGACAGGGTTGGTCATGAGACAGATCTTGTTTAAGGTTCCCCTGCAGCTTCTCAGTATCTATTGGTGGACTTCCTAGTGGCATCTCTTACCATAATGCAAAGCTTCAAAGAAAAGTGTATATTGGGAGATGAATGCTTGAGAGCGGAATCCCTAAGGCAAAATAGTTTCACCGCTCTAAAACCGTGGGGCGAGGCGCTATTCTGCCGCTGATCTCTCTCTCTCTCTCTCTTCTCTCCAACCTCAGCTTATCTTCTTCGCCAGTATCGACTGCTTCAGTCTATCCAGTGAGTTCTTTGTCTTTATCTTGTCATCTGTTTCCCCTTTGAGATCTTTTCTAACCTTCTTTCGACCCTCCAGACAAACTCACTTTCAAACCCCCGCACCATTTTCTTTCCACGAGCATTACCACCAAGGTGAGTCTCCTAGCCTGTCGCCACGTCGCATCTGCGAAGCTAGCCATCTAACGAACCCCAGCAAAAATGTCTGACAAGGAGAGCGCACCACCCACCGAGCACCTGAACATCAAGGTCACGGACAACAACAATGAGGTCTTCTTCAAGATCAAGCGGACCACCCAGCTTAAGAAGCTGATGGATGCATTCTGCGAGCGCCAGGGAAAGCAGATTTCTACCGTTCGTTTCCTATTTGACGGTACCCGTGTCCGCCCTGAGGATTCTCCCGATACCGTATGTTCTTCTTTCTATTTTACCCGCTGTGCAGTGGATCACGGACTAACCACTGTAACAGCTCGAGATGGCCGATGGAGACACCCTGGAAGTCCACCAAGAGCAGATTGGAGGATGCTAAATGTCTCGCTCTATACACGCTCGAGTTGCTATCATGCGGTTGATACTGATGTTCCCCCTCGTGATGGAAGAGGTGACAGAGCTGTTGCGGGTTCTGATAGAAGTTTCATTCATGGCCCAGGCGAGGGAGTTAATATGGCTTGTTTCATGAGACACGAATTTACAAAAGTCGCTCAATCTTCAGGTTGTGGTGCAACTTTCCCTGTTTTAATCCCCTCCAGGCCTGGCATAAATGATCACGTAGGCTGCTAGGTTAGCATGTATGAGATGTATTGGTCAAAGTTAGCGGGTCACGATCTATGCTGCGCTTATTCTTCAGCGCCACCTAACAAGCTATCAGTCAATCGAGTTCAAATTCCAGAGAATGGGAGCATAATTATTATGTCCTCCGCCCAGCTGGACAGAAAGATCTACCTATGCATGGAGCTCCCAAGGTCCCAGACACAACACATCAAAGCGATACCCACCATGCCCTCCACGGACTAGCCAAATGAGCCTCCAAAGGCAATAATATAAACAACCCAGCCCGAACAACAAAGACCCATATGCACAATCTCCAATATGTATTATAGTCAAGACAATCCCAAGCCAACCCCAGTTTAACTATCCCAAACAGCCAGCTTCGCCTTCTCATTCTCCTCGTGAGCCTTGGCGGCCTCCTCCTTCTCCTTCTTCTTCCGCCGAATCTCCTGTTCCTTAACAGAACGATCATAAGCCCTCTGCTCCTCCGTCCTCTTCGGCGCCCGAATCCCCAGCGCACCAGCAATCAACCGCGACGCCACAGCCGTCTGTTTCTCAGGTCGGCGAGCAGGTGCATCTCTCGATGCGGGCGACGATGCTCTGGCACCGGGCTCGCCCCACGGATTCGATGTTTGTGGGGATATAGGTGTTGGCGGCGGGTCGAGGGGACCCTCTGCCGCACTCAGAGTCGGAGAGAGAACAGCATTTTCGCTGCGGGGTTGGAATGCTGTTTCTGATTCCAGTTCTGGTTCTGGTTCATGTTCTGAGTTTGAGTCTGAATCTGCCTCGTCTTCCCATGAATCTGCGACGGGTTTTGCTTTCTTGGTGGCTGCCTTTTTCGTGCTGGATTCGGCGATTGTCTTTGTTGGGCGGGCAATTTCTGGACCTTGTCCCTTTTCGCCGATGGACAGGTTGCGGAGGGTGGATTGGAGCTCGGCGCTTGGATCGGACATGGGGTGTGGATGTATGGGTTTTCAAATTGGGATAGCAGGGGAAAAGTGAAGGTGTAAGTGGGAGGTGAAAGGAAATATGACTGGAATTGTGGGAATGGACGCATATATATAGATCCAGACAACTCGAAATAGAACATGGCGTCAGTGACCGATCGTGGAGAAGGGCTAGACCACTTTGGGATTGGTGCCTGAGGTTGAACAGTAAACCTCGGATCAACTCTTTTTTGTCTTGTGAAACACCTTTTCCTGTAACAAGGCTGAAATTTGGGATTCTGCAGGTCATCTCCCTGGATTTTGAACCGTCCTTGTTGTCAAGGGTGTGGTGATCCTTGCTCGAGTTTCAGGCAGGCTTTTATTCGCCCTGTCCCTAATTAGCGAAGTTTCTTTCAAAGGGCTTGATCCCACTTCCATAAGTATGAAACGCAATCTGTTTCTTACTCGTAGTCTCTGTCGTTTTTCTTTAAAGGATCTACACCGTCCTCTATGTAGAGCAGAATCAAAATGGCCGAGGTGTACCCCCTACCGGTTGGGAGCGTGACTTTCCCCTACCTCAAAGCCATGTTGGCTACTCGTGCTGCAGCTCACACCTGCAAAGAGGTGACGCCAGAATGTCCGCTGGGAGGAACCATCTACGGATATGCACCGGATTATTCCACGACCGTCGAATTCGCTGTCATATTCGCCATCTGCTGTCTGGTCCAGTTGGTTCAAATGTTCAGATGGCGTCTGTGGTCATTTAGTATTTGTGTCATTCTCGGGGCTTTGACGGAAGTAATTGGTGCGCTAATCTCATTCCCATGTGTGACGGTGGGCGATGGAACCAGGGACTCACCAAGCAAGCAGGTTATTTCGGTCGAATACTTCTCAATCAGAATCCATACTCGTCAATCGGGTTTCAAACGCAGATTGTGACGTTGACTCTCGCGCCGGCTTTCTGGTCTGCGGCTATGTACCTCACGCTGAAGCATGAAGTAAATGTATTGGGACCGCAATATTCGCTGATACAATCCAAACTGTATCCCTATATCTTCGTCACTTGCGATATTGTCTCTCTGACTCTCCAAGGTGCCGGCGGCGGCATCTCGGCTACCGCAAAGACAACTAAGATGATTGACATGGGCAGCCATATCATGATGGCTGGGATTGTCTGGCAGGTTGTCACCTTGACGGTCTTTGCAATGATGTCAGCTCAATTTCTCTGGCGGATCAGAAGTGCTCCGAAAGAAACGTTGACGTTTGAGGCTCAGAGGGTCTGGAAGAGCTCGAAGTTCTGGTCGTTCTTCTGGGGTATTGCTATTGCATTCTCTACCACCTATGTTCGGTGTATTTACCGGTTAGTCTCTTGCTATGTCTTGTCGTAGATCATGCGTACTAATTCTTCTGCAGTATTGTGGAGATGTCCGATGGGTGGAGGAATAAGATCATGCAGGACGAGTTTAGTTTTACTCTTTTTGAGTCTGCGTGGGTCAAGACTTATCTAATGTGGTTTGAAGAATATACTAACATAATGGACTCTAGTATGTGTGTTGCTGCTGTGGTTGCACTTTGTATTGCACATCCTGGGTATCTTTTCAAGGAGATGCGCAGGGACCACGACGAAGAATCTATGGTGGATCTGAAGGGAATACAATATAGGGAGAAGGAATTTGTTTGATGACTGCTTTGTGGGATTTGGCTTGATGAATGATGGGCACATGATAATAGGTAGAATACGTACATTGCGAGGCCATCGTAGGGCGAAAGCAATGTATAACTAACCTCCAGGGCTTGAACTAAAATATAGCTTATTAAGTTCTTCGCTCTGAGACTTCAATGTTATATGTGGTGGAACGGTATTGTATCCTTTCTCGGCTGATGAGGAAGAAAGAGACGAGTAATGAAGAAGTAGTGTAGTAACTAGTTATTACTAGTTAACTAATAATAACAGCAATTAACCATGCACTTTCTATCGGGGCAAAAAAAAACAAGTGCAAAAAAGAAACTCTCCCTCGGGGAATCGAACCCCGGTCTCCCGCGCTTATCGGTATTAATGACAAGCGGAAATCATCACCACTAGACCAAGGAAGATTGAATGACCGAGTTACTGCTCGACCACTTGGCTGGTTGATGGAAGATTGGGCCATCTTTGACATTATGTTCTCAAACACCATATCACAGAACCTATCAACGGAACTGCTACATTGCTTTTCTTTTTTCATACTATTGACTGTGTGTTGTAAATGCTACGATATTATTGAACCCCGTGATCTTTGGTATCTAATTGGCTTTAGATAATCTAGTCATCTTATTGCTTTATTTCTGTACGCACATGGATATATATCTGGAACCAACCGCACTTATTTCTATGCCACAACTAACCAATAGCTCTCTATATGCGACTTCGAAACAGCAACCCTCACTCTTTAGCCAAAGCAACAACCTTCTTAGCAGCCTCTTCAAACCCATCAAAAGCATGCAAAGGAAGTCCACTCTCCGCAATCTACAACCATCAATCAGCAACAGGACAGCCAAAAACCACGAATCAGCACATACCATCTTCTGTCCCAATTCCTCATTCGTCCCACGCAGCCGCACAACAACAGGAACCTTCATTTTCAGATCCCGGAACGCTAAGATGATTCCCTCCGCAATCATATCACAGCGCGTTAATCCACCAAAGATATTGACGAAGATCGCCTTGACGCGTGTGTCAGAGCAAATCACCCGGAATGACGACTTTACCGTTTCGGATGTTGCTTTGCCGCCCGTGTCAAGGAAGTTGGCGCAATGGCCACCGTGGATTGTAAGGGCGTCCACTGTGTTCATAGCGAGACCAGCTCCGTTCACTGGGTTTCTGTTAGCTGATTGAACGAGGATACCAGTGACACTTCTTTGCTTCGTGATGGGTGGCCTACCTAGTGTGCCAACGCTGCCTTCACCTTCCAGCCTGTATTCAGTCAGTAATTGCAAGTATTGCCTACCACGCACTGACATACTTGACATAGACAATTCCATCTTTCTCAGCTTCAACTTCCTCAGGAACTTCCTCGGAGGTGTTTCTCAACTTGTGAATATCCTGCTGACGTCCCGAGCTGCGATATGCTGCATCATCGAATCCAAAACGAGCACCGTGAACCTCCAAAGTCCCATCAGCAGTGACTCCAACCCGTGTCTCTAGCACGAATGCTTCTTTCTCCTTATAGATCTCCCAAAGGGATTGTACCAAACTGGCTAGCTTCTCATTACCAGAAGCCGAAAGGCCCAAGTATGCAGCAACATCGGAGATGATAGAGCTGTCGCGAAAGTTGGCTTGGGTGTATGCAAAAGGAAACTTGCGCGAGTTTGCCGGGTCAAACCCGGCTGCTGAAGATGCGATAATACACGGAGACAAAGCCGTCCGGTCGACGGTGATAGATATAGAAATATCAGAATCCGAGGCCTTGTCATTGACCAGGACAGACTTTTCCCCGAGGAGATCAAAAGCCTGGAACTGCTTGATGTACAGACTGCGTTTTTGACCAGGGATTGATCTCAAGACTGGAGCTACTCGTCTCATAGTGTGCAGACCTCGCTTTTGCGAGCCTGCTCCAGCGATTGACTGTCAATATGTCAGAATATCAAGATCCCCAATAAATTAGTATAGAAAAGAAATGAATCCACACTCACACTCACACTCGGGCGATTAGCCCGTCTCTCCAACAGCATCTTCATCCCAGCACCAAACTTCTCAGGATGATCAACCATCACAGCCCCAGCACGCTCCAGCGCGCGATACTTCGTCTCCGCATCAGGTTCACCAGGCGCAGCCCAAGCCCCAGCATGACCCATAATCCTCCCAGGAGGAGCCTCACGACCACCAACCAGCGCCATGATAGGCCTGTCCAGTAATCAGCAAACCAAGCCATGCCACGCCAACACCCCCGCAACGGGAAGAAAGAAGAACAGAAAAGAAAAGAAAAGAAACATACTTCGGATCCCTCACCCTCCTCCGATACTCCCGAATCCACTCAGCAGCATCCAACTCAGCCGTGCCCCCAATCTCCCCAACAAGAATCATGCCCTCCGTCTCAGGATCGTCCTCGAAAACCCGGAGCCCGTCAACGAAATTCGTCCCAGCGAGTACATCCCCGCCCATGCTAATACAGAGACTCTGCCCGAGGCCTGCGCGCGTCGTCGAAGCAACCGTCTCGTAACTCAACGTGCCCGATTTAGCCACTATGCCGACATTCCCCGGCGCAAAGCAGGGCAGGGGCTGGAAGCCAATGCGGCATTTTCCTGTTGCTGATATGATGCCTGGGCAGTTGGCGCCTACGAGGCGGGTTTTGGATTGCGTGGCTAGGATTGCGTGGATCTGTAATAGTGAGTAGGTGATTGGAGCGGGGACAGGGTTGAGGTGAAATAGAAAGGGAAAAGGGAAAGTGAATGGCAGAGAAGGACTGGGGGTATTCATACACGCAGAATATCATGGATGGGAACATGTTCCGCAACAGCCACGACGAGGGGAATCTCAGCTTCGATGGCTTCCTCGATTGCTTGGGCTGTTTGCGCGCCGGGAACGTAGATGGCGGATGCATCTGGTTTGGACTTTTCTTGTGCCTAGGGGATATCAGTTTCTCTTTGCATTTGACACTATACTACCGGATTTGGAAGATTCATGTTCATATGTCGGTAACTTACAACCCTCACAGACGGGAACACCGGTAGTCCTAAATGTTCACCTTCAACACCTGGCTTGACACCGCCGACAATCTTGGTTCCCCATTCTAGGGATTCTTTGACATTTGCTGTTGCTTGTTTCCCTGTATAGCTTAAGTTGAATATGTTAGCATCATACTGCGGTAGGTCGCGTGTTGGACAGCGGGATTGTTATGGAATGTGAAATTGACCTGTAAAACCTTGGAATAGAACTCTAGTGTGTGCGCCAATCTTCAAATTGGATAATGTATCCGCGTAGCCTGCGACGCGACGGGTAGTGGTGAAGCCTCGTTTTGTTACAAGTGTGCGCCATAATGTTGTGGGGGGTTTGGGCAGGGAGGGAAGAGGCATTGTCACGGGGGTTGATGTTAGGCCCGGATTTCAATGTTAGCTGTTGGGGTTATGTACGCAATTGGGGAGGGGAGGGAGGGGAAGATATGGGGTAAGTTATGGGGTTTAGAGGTAAGAAGGCTATTTGGACTAAAACGGCTAAGTCGGCTAAGGGAGAGTCTCCACTGTGTTTGCCGACACGTTTGGTGTTGGGGATATTTGACAGTATTTGCTTTGGTTCTACATAAGTATTACATTTAGGTTAAGTTGATCTGCAAGGAAAAGTAAGGCTTGAATGTAGATTCCACTGCTTCGTATCTCTTCAAATCATAAGGTGTCCAACATGAACAAAAACGTGAATAGATGCACCAAATGTCGCTTCAACTAGAAGATCCACCCCTTCAATATTCATTAAGATGCAGCTTCTTTCCAACAAACCGTCTTCGAACCGGTTTCTCACCGCGCGGATCCCGGTCGGCATTAAGACCCTTCAAAGCATGAAGAAGCATACCGGCATCGAAGAAACCATCTAACAAGAAAGGTCAGTAAAATACCCCTCAAAAAACAACTAAACATAGGAAACTCACATCCACCCATCCCATCATCTTCCATATACGCACTATCTGCCGCAGAAGTAGGAGTATCGGCACCAGCCCGATCACCACCAGGACGAACAATCCTGCCCCGCCGATTCGACTCAGACTGCAAACCTTCCGCCAGCGCCTCGGTCTCACGAGCACGGCTTGTGCGCGGACTCGAAGTCTTGCGGCTAGTGGCGCGCAACAACTTTCTTATCTCAAAGAGATAAGATTCAAGGGTATGCATGAGACGAGAAGTCTGACGATGTTTAGAAGAAGCACAGAAAGAGATCGAATCGTCTTTGATGATATAGCCGATTCCGAAGCCGTCGGCAGATGTAGGACCGAAACCGAAGTGACGCAAGCACGGATTTCCGCAGTTCGAGGTTGAGAGGACTGTGTTGTTGATCTTGTCCCAGCCTGCATCGCTGAAGATGGCCGGCGTGGGCGCGGTTGTTGTACGGTAGCGGGTGCTGCTCCCGCTTGGCGAGGACAGGCCGTCATCTGAGTAGGGCGGTTCGGAGAGGGGTTTGGGTGACTCGAGTTCTGACGGGGAGGAGGCTTCGCCGGGGCTTGAGTAGCCGCCTGTCGAGCTTGCGTCTGGGAAGAGACCTTCATCGAAGGAGCGTTGCCAGAGGCAATAGAGGGCATAGAGGTGGCGGTCCTGGCCTTGGCCTTTGGAGCAGTCTTTTGTGGTGAGTGTGTGTTTTTGGCATGCTGAGCGGAGGGCATCGACTTTTTGTTCAGCTGTGTTCTCGCCCCAGAAGGCTGTGACAAAGTCTACGCATTCTGATGTGACGGTTCGCACCGCTTCTGTCCGGCCGTGGAGGAACATCTTGGTCATAGCAGGCTCATAAGTGTTCTCGACTCGGCCGTAGAGACCGTAGTAGGCGGCTTGGAAGGCCATTTGGACAAATGCATCGGGTGAGAAGCCCATCGAGGTTATGAAGTTCTTGCCATAGCCTTCAAAGTCGAGGACTTGGAATTCGTGCTGGTAGAGTAGGTCGGAAAGATGGGATTCAGCAAAACGGAGGGCAATATTCAACTCGGGTGTCATGTCCCATTCAAGTTTGCGGGGTGTGGTGCTGACGTTTCCGAAGCTGCGGGGGTCACGCTTCGCAGGGTCAGGGCTGCTAGTTGCCCAAAGGCTTGGTGCTTGACCGTTGATGGTTTTGGCGAAGCGCAGGATCGTGTCGGTGTACACGTCACTGGCGAAGCGCAGTACTGTGTGTCCATCTACACCAGTGTGCTCGAAGTTGATACCCGCGCTACCGTTTTTGCACACTATGATTTGAAGCTTGTCATACCACCGGTTGGTGCAAGTTCCAACTTGGACGCCCTTGATGACTTCACTAGTACCGCAGAGCATGTTGGCACAGAGAGCAGCTGTGGTAGATGGCTCTGTGTCATCAAGGCACAGAACAAAGAGCGCAGTATCAACGATGTTCAAGCATTCTGCGTTGTTGGAGCTCGGATCCTTGGTCATGATATCCCGCAGCCCAGACCAGACCTTCCGGTTTTCCGTACTGAGAACACCCAAAGCGCCCTTTGCTGCGTGGTGAATGGGGGTCTGCGCAGCATCTTCAATAATGGTCTGCAAGTTGAGTGAGATATCCTTCTCGCTCATGATCAGATCATTCTTATCATCCAAGACATCAAACCAGTAAAACTGGCCACGGCACATGATGGCCAAGTGTTTGGCCGAGGGATCTTGGCTAATGACACAGCCATTCTCCGTGGGAAGACGAGCAGTTCCGAAAAGACGAGAGTACTGATACATGCAGAGGGGAGTTCCTCGCACAGTATCAGGAGGTAACTCTTCGCGACGCACAGCTCGAACAAACGCCAAGGCTGAAATAACCAGAGAGGCAGCACGAGTCACCTGGTGGTTTCTAGCGGGCGTCGGGTCATCCTCCAAAAGGAAGAATGGATTGAGGTTGAGAACAACAGCTGCGAAACGTTAGATGATATACTCATGTCAAGGACACAGGACACTCGGCTTACGATTATCAAAATTCAAGTATGAATCATACCCTGTCCAAGATCAGCAGCTATCCCAGACCGACCCATATCATAAAAAACCCACAGAATTGCTCAATGTAACTCGTCTTCGACCCAGCATAAGTCTTCAACTTCTCCTGCAAGATCGGCCCGTCATTCTTCAAGAAATCCCTCACAGCAGCCTTGGTATCCTCATGCTCCCTAGGGCCCTGCAACGCCTGCAGCGCATCAAGATGCCTGCGACAGGTATCTTCAAGATCAGGAATAGGAAGCTTAGGCAAGGAATCCTGATTTGCAAAGGTCAAGCCCTGGGTCTTCGGGTTGTGCAATTCTGCGACCTCCGAAGAGGGACGCTCAGTCGAGACATTCGGTCTAACGACCGTTTGGCCGTTGCACTGAGACTGGGGGTCCGAGCCGGACATCTTTGAGTTTGAGTTAGTGTCCATGGCATCACCCAAAGGCTTAGGCCTTTCAAAGAAGCGAACAGCTGTTTGTGAATAAGACATGTTGTTAGATGCGTCTTTCGAGTAAGATGGAAATGTGAGAAAATAAGTGAGAGAGGCTAGATAGAGCTAGCTAGACTAGGCGTAGTGACTAGCAAGAACGGTGGGAATTGACAAGAGGCGTAGAGCCGTGCGGTAGAAATAGTGGCAGTCTTGGAGGCAATAGGATGGCATTGAGACTATGTCATGTGCGTGTGCATTTGCATGTGCAAGCGAAGATGACCAGTGACCAGGGACGGGTGACAAGAGTAATGTGAAGACAATATGAATAGAATAGAAATAGAAAGAGCCAGAGTCATGCCCGAGGAAAAGCCAATAAATATGAAAATGATAATGGGCAGCGGAGAGTGGATCTCGGACCTAAGGGGAGGGACAGAAGGACTTACTATTCGCAGTAAAGGAGCCGTCACTCGGTGATCGGGAGTGGTACTGACAGTGGACAAGCGCAAGGGTAGCGCCGGAGAACCGGATGAGCTTGGCTCTGATGAGATGCTATCAGAATCAGAATCAGTATCAGTTCAGTATCAGTATCAGGATCAGCAATAATAGACTCCAGGGTATCTCGCAGAGAGACGCTCTGGACCCAAAGACCCAAAGATGCCAGAAATGAAGAAGAGCCCAAGATCAAGGAATGGAAACTGGGGCATCCCCGGGTTCGGGAGGAATCCATAGGGCGGGATGAGATGGGGCGCACGAACACTCACCTAATCTGACACCCTGCAGGATACTGCAAGGTCGAAATTAGCTTATGGCGGGGTATTTTGCTAAGATGAGTGAGCAGAGTTGAAGCGTCACTATGCCGAGACCAAATAGCTTTATACAAATAGCACAATGGCTCCAACAATCTGAGCCTTGAAGTTCACTCGGGATTGAAGAGATCGGAAGAGAGTCCGATGACGTTTCGGGCGAAGGGAGACGCGGGGAGAGCCATCACGTGACACAGCCACCTACACTACGGAATACACTTCTACATCCAGGACTGTTGAGAAGAATTCATGATCACGCTTGGGTCATACGGAATACATCACGCTCACAAACAAAGGACGCCGGAGATTTTCATATCCACAGAATGAACCGCAACAGAGGGCGGAGAGAGACAAGATGTCAAAAATATTCACAGTTGAACGGTATCTGCATGTCTTTCCAGGGAGTCCAGACACGCTGGCATACATACAGTATGGGGTCCAACTAGCAACCCCAACCTCGAGGGATACGGACTAGCGCTCTCCTGGAAGTGCCCACGAGCGAAGGATCGCCTCGGGGGCTAGACATGCACATAATCAAGAAGAGAAAGAGACAAAGGACCAAAGACAAGCGAATGAAAGAGACTGCCATTGAGGAAGGAGGGCGAGGGGTGGGATGATAGGATACATGGTCCGAGGAGATCAGATCACAACCTCCACATATGAACAAGTTTCGGACATGTGGTTCCTCCATATGAACAGTCGTACATCGCGAGTCACTTAGGCAGTGTAGATGGCAGCGCCCTGGGGAGCCAGAACGTTGGTGGCGTACTCGCCGTCGTAGTTACCGGCGGGCGAGTAGTTGCACACGGTGAATGGCACGTTGGAGCCACCGGCGTTGCCGAGCGAGGGGCAGACGACAGTGGCACAGCCAACTTGCTCAGTGCCCTTCCAGACGATCTGGGAGAAGTGGCCCCATGAGTCGAAGTTGGACATGTCGGGGCTGGCGATTCCGTAGAGTTCGGCGAAGTATACCATCTCGTCGTTGTACATCAGGTTGGTGATCATTTCACCGATGGAGGCCTCTTCAACACCGTATCCGATGTTCTGACCGTAGCCACCACCATCAATGGAACTAAGGGGGGGGAAAATGTCAGTACTGTGGTGGTCGTGGGAAAGGGATACAGGGATACTCACGTGTCGTGCTGGTAAACACACTTGGCGGCAAGAGTACGGGCACTGGACTCGAGGGATCCAGACCAGGTCACAGAGGTAGCAGAGTGGTTGCTGCGGTGGACATTGTGGTTGTACAGGATGGCCTGCTGGTAGGTGTTGGCAGGAGTAGACGCGGCGGCAGCGGCAGCGGTGGTGGTGGCAGCCAGGGTGGTAGGGGCAGCGGAGGTGGTGGCAGCAGCGGCACCCTCAGTCCAGTAGGAGGTGGAGAACCAAGTGGTAGCGCTGGTGGTGGGGGCAGGAGCCTGCTCAACCACGGCGTCCGGGGTGGCAGCCGCGGCCTCCTGGGTAGCGGATTCGGTCACGGTGGACTTCTTGGTCAGATCGACGGTGGGCAAGGCATTGACGGTCGGGGCGGCAGAGGTTTGCGAGTCAACAGTGTCCTCCTTGACCAGAGCTTGGGTGGTCGGGGTGTGCGTGGGCCAGGCGGTGACAGTCTCGGTGACGGTGGTGGTGGTCCAGTCGGTCACGTAGACATCCTTCTGGACAACCTTGGCGCAGGCGCCAGCGGCCATTGCGGCGAAGATCAAAGTAGAACGCATATCGGGTGAGAATCACAGATCAAAGGATGTAAGAGAACTTCCCCAGGAAGTTGTGATGGTCGGGATGAGAGTTAAACAGATCTACTGTTCAACAAAAGGAGTGTTTCAGGCTGGCGCTTAAGGAATGACGGGCCTAGACAATCTTCTTTCTTCAAAGAGTGAAGAGAAAGAGAGAGAGGAGAGGCTGAAAGAGTGAAGCGTGAAGAAGGGAGAGAAAGAGAGGGATGCGTTGAGTAAATGTAGAAAGGGGAGAGTGGGGGCCGTGCGAATGTCGCAAATTAGTTTAATGAGATGAGGAGGTTAAGGATTTCGCTTTTATTATTATAAGTGTTCAGTCTTCGTTTGGGAGACTGGTGTCTGTCTGGACTACTTATTGCTTTCTCTCATGCCGGACTTACTATCACCAACCTCTTGACCTGGTACATACCTTGCCCGGCCACCCTCAAGCCTGGCACATTCTTGACTACATTCCTACGCGTCCGATATTCCCACTCAATTGGTGTTTGGGTCAGAGAATGGAACCATGGACCTTGATCAAATATTCTCCGAGAGAGTCTGGCCTGGTAATTTGTTCATTTCTATCTGATATTAAGGATCTGTATTAATTGTATGGAAAAGAGGCGATCGTCCCCCCCCTGGACCCTCTCCACTAGTGCCATAGTACTATGCTGTATTGTACAGAAGCCCCCCTATTAGCCGCGCGTTGGAAAGTGGATTAACAAAAGAACAATGAAAGAGCAATTAGAAGTACCGTGGACAGGAAAGTGTCACCCGGACTGTAAAAAAGACCAAACAAAAACTCCATTCGAGATCGGGACATCAAACACAATGGAGACGGGGAGTATAACCCCTGGCCAGGAACAGTTTCAAATCGCCGAATTGGCCAATCACAGGTCAGAAAAGGACCAAACAAGACGACACAGACCCACTTGCAACGCCCACTAAATAACTTGGCTTTGGGTCTGGTCCATTCGACTTGCACGGGCTGATCCCAGATAGATTAATTCCCCAGTGCGACGTTTCAGCCATGAGGTAGTGGATTGCGTTGGGTACGGTATACATGGAATGAGTGAAAAGAGCTATTATTTCCCTATAAATGCACAATAGAAGCAGAATACCTGCAATGTGCACGTATCAATTCCCTGTTTATTGAGTTCAGCCGTGCCCCAATATTGCCCATGGATCATCGTGCGTTGGTGGATAACGAAAAAAAAAGAAAAGAAAAAAAAAAAGAAAAGAAAAGAAAAGAAAAAGAAATAGAAGATTGGAAACACGACGCATCATTATTGCGATCGTTGAAAACACGACCAATCAAACATGCAAAGATACGGTAATTTCGCATCAGCCGTGGAAACTCCTAGCGTTAGGCGTTAGTTGTCGGGGACCCCCGAGTGAGACAGGTGCCTAAACTGCATCGGAAACGTCATACCACAGAGATCCATACCCTAATTCTCATGCTGAGGTAGATCGCGATCGACCTGAGGAAACTTCTACGACTAGCTGCGTCGGCATTTCGAGACCGCCACAGGGTCCAGATGTAAGGCGTGAGACCCGATGAATTTCATATCCACGTACGTTGCAATGTACACAAAAAGGACCAAACGGCCAGAACGCCACAAACCCCTGAAATCACCCACGTAATCAAGTAAAATCATGGCATACGACTCTATAGGTCAGCGGTCGTGCACTTGCCCGCTTCACACACCATCAGGTAATTCTTGGCTGGCTCGCCGGCTTTGAGTTCTTTGAAAAGCGGGTTGCGCGACTTGAGCCAGAAGGACTGGTTGCCCACAAAGTCTTTGAGATGAGTGGGACGGATGTCGATAAGCGAGGTTGCCACGATAGATGAGGAAACTACCATGCCAGCCTTGGCCCGGACCCGTCGCCTGATCAGGTCTCGTGCGGAAAGGGGTTCTTCGGTACGGCCAAGACTCGAAGGGAGTTCGGCGGTAGAGAAAACGCCTGTCACTGTGCGAGTGCCAATCTGAAGACCCACGATCACGTCCAGTAATCCAACAAATAGGAATGGATGCTGGATAATCTCCACGGAGAAAGAATTGCAGGTCTGTCGGGCCAGGCTCCGATAGCTCTCATCCTCGACGAGGGCTGCCAAGCGGAGGAGGTTTCGTGCAATCACGCCGTTTACAGAGGGGGTAGCAGACTCGGTGCCAGTCTTCAAACGAAGGAGTGGGCCGGGCATGCCGGGTGTGGTGACTGAGGAGGTGCTATAGTATCCGGTCGACGTCGAGCCTGATTCGGCCAGGAAGTATTCGTTCAAGTATTCTGTCAAATGTTAGTAAATGCAACCCAAAGAACAAGATCGGACTTACTTTGCAATCGCTCGGCAAATTGGAGATAGCTGTCGTCAAAAGTAGCGTCGTACATGTCAAGCAGACCACTGGTCAAGTATGCGTAATCATCAGCGAAGCCGGGGGTGTCACCACGACTGCCGTCACGGTAGATACGCCAGAGCTGTCCTGAGGCTTTGTCAAAGAGGTTCTCTTTGATGAAGCTGATCGCTCGTGCTGCAGCCTCGCGGCACTGAACAGCCTTCGAACTTTCAATCTCCTCAAAGAGAGCGCTGCACTTGGCGAGTGCCCCGATTGCCAGACCGTTCCATGCAACAATGATTTTGTCGTCTAGATCTGGATGTCCGCGTGTTCGTTCGCGGTAGTCGTGCAGCTTCTGCTTTCCAGTCTTGATAATCTTGACCACCTCCTCCTCACTGAGGCCAAAATCTTTAGCAAGCTTGCTTGGTGTGGCCCGGATGGACAACACATTTTGGTTCATGAACTCGTCGTGTGGGTCGTATTCTGGTGCAACATTGCCATCTGGAAGGACACCCCAGTGTCGTGCGCAGACAGGGGCATCTCGAGGACCAAGAACTTGAGTCAGTTCTTTGAATGACCAGACATAGAAGGCACCTTCGCGCTTTTCGGTGTCATTGGGGCTTGGATAGCTGTCCGCATCTTCCGAAGAAAAAAATCCCCCGGTGGGCGATTGTAGTGGCTCTGTAGTCAAGTAGGCGGCAAGATCATACACAGCACCGAGAAGTTCAGGCTCATGGGTCAATCGGAACGCATCCACATAGACGTCCAACAGCTGGGCTTGGTCGTAGAGCATCTTCTCGAAATGAGGGAGACTCCAATCCGTCGTCACGCTGTAGCGGGCATATCCGTGACCGAGATGATCCCGAATTCCACCACGAGCCATGTTTACCAAGGTGGTAACAGCCATTGCGGTAGCTTGTTCACACTCATCCTGCCCAACGATATCTTTGACCTCGGTGGGATAGGCACCGAGTCGGAGTAGGAAGCTGAGGTTGGAGGGAGTAGGAAATTTGGGCGCGCGACCAAAACCGCCGTTGATCGAGTCGTATCGAGATGCGAAATGTTGATAAGCTTCCTCTAGAAGCTCAATGTCCATGTCCTCGTCCACCTCACGCTCTCCATGGGAGTGTGTTCCTTCCTCGGCAAATTCTCTGAGCTGTTTAGTAATATCCTTCGCGCTTTCAAGGCAGCGTTGCTGTTGTGTTTGCCAGACATCTCTCAGCTTCTCCAAGATCTCAACGAAGCCAATTGCATCCGGTCCCATGAATGTTGTCGAGCTAGGGCCTTGCCAGTAGGTACCACCAAAGACGGGTTCCAGGTTTGGTGTCAAGAAAACATTCAAAGGCCAGCCACCAGATCCCGTGGTGGCCTGGACATAGTTCATGTAAATGTCATCAATGTCTGGACGTTCTTCGCGATCGACCTTAATCGGGACGAAGGATTCATTTAGGATCGACGCCACTTCCGGCGACATGAACGATTCCTTTTCCATGACATGGCACCCTGTACAATGTTAGAATAACCCCACCTTGGTACCTAAATTAGAACTCACAGTGACAAGCAGAGTAACCGATGCTCAAGAAGATTAGTCGATTATGTTTCTTGGCAAGCTCCATAGCTTCCGCATCCCACGTCTGCCATGCCACGGGGTTGTTCGCGTGTCCTCGGACCTACAATCTGTCAGTTTTGGCACAAGTATCCCTTGAAGACACACTCACATAGGGTGATCTGCTTTGATCTAGACGATTCACCATTTTGGGCCCTGTTTCAGGTACTGCATGGCGGGGGTGGGAATGGACTCCCGAGGCTGCCATGGTGACGCGGTGGTACAGTTATCAAGACTTTTTTTTTCCCCGGGGGGAGGGTGGGTGGTCGTTAGGCCGCGGCTTAAGAGGGGTAACTAACGGGATCCGGCAATACCCGCACAGTAGTGTACCTGTGCCCGACGTCTTCAAATACAAAGGTCGAAATCAAGGTATAGTTATAGCGTGACAAAAAGACCGGGGGTTGAAGAACGGCCATAGGCGGGGTCGGGGCGAAGGTCGAGAGACGCGGGAGATCGGCCATGTGCGTCATGGCTGCATCAGGAAGGTCACGTGAGGTATGCGAATACTTCAATTGCTCGTTGTAGATCAAGCTGTTTTGTTGATGTTATGTTTATGAACACCAGAATAGGTGTAGAATCCGAATGTAAAGATACCTGAATAAAATTGCGACCAAGTGAGAACTGACCGCACCAACAGTCATATACTAATGTCTATGACCGCCCACCATAATGTACCATCCTGTACATGCATTCAACTTATTACTTCGTACCCATTATCTATCAAGATAAGACTCAAAAAAATTGGCCAAATGAGCAGCCGAATTTAGAAGGTTCACAGCTTCGAGGTACATACGTATGTCGCCTCAGTCGGGTGACCTTATGCAGGGTAATACCTCGTACGCCATGATCAAACTTAAAGATGAGACCTGATAGCATTCGAAGACTCAAATTATAGACATGGTGTTTCTAGATATGCACATATTCAAAACAAAGTGGGTATCGGACCATCTAATCGTCCATGAGTTCGGCCAACTCCCGTTCTTCTTCTTCAGTGAGCATGGATTCCGCCTTCGGTTCCTCTTCCTCGACCACTGGCGTCTTAGCCAGCTCGACCGATTTTTGAAGTTCATCAGGTCGAAGAGACCATTGGCGAATGGTTGCATCGATACCCACGCTGACGACGGTTGATCCGACCAGAACAAGACCAGTAACCTCCTCAAAATGACCGGAGAAAGTATGATAGAGCTCGCCAGTCTTTATCGGTTAGTATAATTTAGAGCTCAGTTTCGGAAAAGAAAGAGGAAGCACTTACCGATCGGTTCCATACTCGAACCTCCTCATCGCGACAAGCGGTCACGACCCAGCCTCCAGTTTCATGAACGACAACATCCCGTACAAAATCGGGATGCTCCAGGGTCATGTTAGCCTTCCATGAGTCCGCACGAACCAAACATTTGGCAGTTTTGTCGGCGGAAGCAGTCCAGAGATCGCCATCGTTGTCGAAGAAGAGCTTGTAAACGCTGGTTTCATGAGGAAGTAGAGGATCAGGGATATTGCTGCTGTCAAAGATGCTGAATTGACGAATCTCCCTATCACTGCCCGCACTGAATACAATAGGTTGAAGATCCTCCGATTCAGGGTCCACTGCAAGGTCTTGGATCCCTCGGGCGTGGCCCTTGAAGGTCTCAATACGTTCGCCAGTGGAGATCTTGAAAACCAGAACTTGTGCATCAGCACCGCCACTAATCAGGAGGTCCTCTCCGCGCAGTCTCGCACTGGTGATAGAGCGGACAAAGTCGGCATGGCCTTCGTACTTCTGGCGGACTTGACCTGAGGTTGCATCCCAGCTCCACACAGCCTTGTCCCAGCACCCGGCAAACAGAATCTTTCCATCAGGGCTCACACAAAGACTTGTCACAGGAGCCATCGGTCCTGTGAACACGTTGGCAGTTTCTCCTGTCTGTAGAAGGTGAGAATTGATAATGATCTGCGAGTAGAGTTGCACGTACAGCAAGATTAATCCTCCTCACAGAGCCATTGCTTTGTGCTACATAGATTGAACCATTGCTCAAAGGATCTGAATGGACTGCCAGGATCTTTCCCTGCAGGCGAATGGGATTGCCATTGGTATTCTGAGACTTTGCATCCTTCCGCTCCTGCTCATCCAGGGAAGCCCTAGAGAATCAATTAGTATGTCCAATACAATCCCACCAGACAGAAGCTCACGATGTCTGAAAGAAATGATCCCGATTGGAAGAAGTAGTCATTGTTGTTGTCGTTGATGCTATCAAACTCCCCCTCCAATGCCTCCGTCAAACTGCTACCTGAGCTTATGTAGTCCGCCGTAGCCCGAATCCACCACAAAACCACAGATTTTGCTCTTCTACGCGCTTCTCTCCTCGCATCATCACCTTATCTCATCTTCAACCTCGTCCCCGCTAGTCTCCCATCCTCTTCGTTTCCCCGCGCGACGTCGCGCAGTTCTCAATCATGGAGATGAACCATCTCATTGGGTCAGTCCGCCCTCGGAGTTCCTGGGGTAATGGAGGGAGTTAACACCTGGCAGTCAGCGTTTTAACCTGATCTCCAAGAGCGACATTCGGTGAGTCTTCTATGTATGCCATCTATGAATTAAGCTAATGAGTTAGCTATGTCGGCACACTCCATGAAATCAACCCCGAAGCCTCGACGATAGCTCTTGAGAATGTTATGTCATTTGGATCTGAGGGACGCCGGGGTAACCCCGCAGAGGAGGTGCCCCCTTCCACCAGTGTCTACGAATATATCGTCTTCCGCGGCAGTGATGTGAAGGATATCAGCATCGCTTCCGAGGAGCAGAAGGAAGCAGCACAGCCAGAGGCGCCCCGCGTACCCGACGACCCTGCGATTCTTGGCGTAAGTCAACCACCAACGACTCCCCAAACCCCGGCCTATTGGCCAATTGATCAAATGATGAAAGATTTTCGGATGTAAACCACAGACCTGTTCTGAATGCGCAAAACCGTGTAGAGTTTTCCGTTGCCTTCCTTCTGATGATCAAATTCACTTTGCCCTGGTTCATTCTTCTAATGCTTACACCCGCGCTAACTGTGAAACAGGGCATGCAACGACCCGTTCCTGGTCAAGCAACCGAATCAGGCCCCCAAAGTATTCCTCAGGGCCCTCCCCAGCCACCTCAAGGTGCCGGTCAGACACCTCCCGGCTATGGCCAACAGCCTCAATTCCAACAGGGATTTTACCCACCTTATGGCCAACGCTTCGGTCCTCCGCCTCCTTTCCCTCCCGGTCCTGGCTTCCCTCCTTATGGTGCTCCTCCTGGGTGGTACCCCCCTCCTGGTGCCTTCCCTCCTGGCCCCGGCCAATTCGCTCCACCAATGCCCATGGCCCCTGGTCAGCAGCCCGGTCCTCAACGCCCTGGCCCTCCAGGTGTTGCCCCCGGCCCGAAGCCCACTTCCGAGCTCTCCAGTGAACTCCCCGCTGGAGATAAGGTACCCAGCAAGCCCAACAGCCGTGACGCAACTCCTGCCGCTCAGAATGCCCCGCCCCCACCCGTCGAGTCTAAGCCGTCGGTGGCTGAAGTCCAAGCTTCTGTCGGCTCGGCCCCCGCACCTGTCCCCCACAAATCTGGCCGTGTGATGCCTGCTATTCCGATTGCGGCTCCCAAGGCTGCTCCTCGTGCCAACAACCAACCTATCACCGATGCTACCGCAGCTGCTACTGCTGCCGTCGCCGCCGCTATGGCGAAGCTGCCACAGCCAGGTGCTCAGAAGCAGTCTGATGCCCCAGTGGACGCTCTCACCCAGCAGATGAACAACATGCGTCCTTATGATGGCGCCCGTGGTGGCCGCGGAGGTCACCCACACCAGCATCCGCACCACCAGCATCCGCACCAGCACCAGCACCAGCCTCGTGGTGGCCGCGGAGGACCTCGTCACCACAACCAGCAGCAGCAGCACAAGAAGATCGAAGTCCCCCAGTCTGATTACGATTTCGAGACCGCAAACGCCAAGTTCAACAAGCAGGATTTGGTCAAGGAGGCTATTGCTACTGGAGTCCCTGCCGCGGAGGCTGAGGCTCACGCGGAGGAGATGGAATCCCAGGATGCTGCCAATCACCCCGCGGCGGCTTCCAACAGCATGTACAGCCGCTCATCCTTCTTCGACAACATCTCGAGTGAAGCTCGTGACCGTGAAGAAAACACCGCTCGCGTTGGTGGTCGTGAGTGGCGCGGTGAAGAGGAGAAGCGCAACATGGAGACCTTCGGACAAGGCAGCGTGGATGGCTACCGTCCCAACTACCGCGGTCGTGGCCGTGGCCGTGGTTTCGGACGCGGACGCGGTGGATACAGCCGTGGCTATGGTCGTGGCCGTGGAGGCCGGCCCCAGTCCGAGTCTACCGGTGTGCCTTCCCAGAGCTAGACGAATCCTCACTTTCTCTCATGTCCTTTCAGCGATGATTGCTATGTCTTTTGATCTTTAGGGGTGGTAAGACCAACGACCGAAACGAATACTCACGGTTGACTCGTCTTGAATCGTTTTCTTGTCTTCGGCGCAATGGGATCTGGGTCTTAGGGGGGCACACCGGGATGGCCATACGATAAGTTTGTGCGAACCAGCAATTATGGGTGTTTCTTGAATTTTGTTTACTTTCTATTTCGTTCTCTCTGTCATGCATACCCTTCCTGCAGCGTCTTTCCTTGAATTCCCGGATCGGGCGGCTATTTCCCTCATGTTTTGTGCAGAAAGTGGCAGATGAACCACGAACCTCCATATGGAGTAGATTCAAGCCCGCCATTGGCGAGGCAGACATCGTTGTGTGTATACCACCTGGGAGAAACTCCCTCCAAATGAAAATGGCAAAAAACGAGGCCAATTGGCCTGCGCAAGATATATTTTGAACTGTTTCGTAACTTCACATTCCCCATATACACGTCATTGTGGAGAAAACTGCTCAATCTCCGCATCCCCGGCTTTCGGAAGATATCACTTGGAATATCCCCCGCAGTTCCTAGTGGATTCCTGTAGTTGTAGGCCCGAATTTAGCCTCGGATATCACCAGCCCTGCAAGACCCTCGGCAGCAATTTACTCAGATACAGTTCATATAAACCTGAACCCTTCCTAGACAAAGGAATTCGGTACCAGACCCTGTAAACTACTATAACCACACTCTTATATCATTCTTAAGCTATGGCCCCGCGTAGTTCTTCCAGGCTTTCCGCAATCGCCAGCCAGATCGAGCACGAATCACCTAGCAATATCCCCGAAATGGCTTCTTCAGTCCAAGTCCCCGACCAATTACCCTGGAATCCGAACAACACGCAGTTCCCCTCAATCAAGAATCTACCGAAACTGCCCGGCGCACCGGAGGATGCTGCTTGGGTCTGGGGAAAAGATGACGAGGTTATTTATTTGCTGATCACACCGACTATCTGTTTCTCGCAACTAATTGGGCTATAGTTGGGTCGATTGAATCTTTTGACGCCGCAGCGGGTGAAGGCTTCGACTGCCGAGATTGAGACTGGTGAAATGGTTCGATTGGAGTAGGTAGAAACAACACAGTGGATGTTGTTCCTTTGCTCACCATTTATACCGCTCAGTCTTCCTCTCACAGTACCTGAAAAGCCTGCTTTTGACCGGGAGGTTTTCCAACATAATATCAAGACGCTGGCCGAAGATATATCCTACGATGATACCTACACGATGAACACGCAGAGTGGCACTCAATGGGATGGTTTTAGGCACGTAAGTCGTGAAGTCCAGCTACGGTGATCTCGACACACTCAATCTCACAAAGCATCTTAGTTCTCCCACATTGACAGCAAGCTATTCTACAACGGGGTAAGCAAAAGCCCTCCCCATCTCAAACCTCCAAATCAAATTCCAACCCAAACCAGGCCAAAAGCACCGACTTCCTAGGCCCGACAGCAAACCACCGCTGCAGCATCCACCACTGGGCAAACCACGGCATAGCCGGCCGAGGAATCCTCCTAGACTACTACTACTACGCGCAAACCCACAACAAGCCCTATGACCCCTACACAACCCACAACATAACCCTAGCCGATCTCCAAGACTGCGCCAAATCCCAAGGCCTAGACCTCCGCCCCCAATCCCAAGGCGGCGACATCCGCATCGGCGACATTCTCCTCATCCGCTCGGGCTTCGTAGACAGGTACTACCAGCTCAGCTCGGAGGACCGCTATGCAGCAGCAACACGGTCCCACGACGACCTGTGCTTTGCGGGCGTAGCGCGCGAGCAGGATCTGCGGGACTGGCTGCATGATTGTTATTTTGCTGCTGTTGCGGGGGATTCGCCGACGTTCGAGGCGTGGCCGGTTCCCAGCCATGATTATTTGCATCAGAGCTTGTTGGCGCTTTGGGGTTGCCCCATTGGCGAGATGTGGGATTTGGAGAAGCTGGCTTGGTTGTGTCGTGAGAAGGGGAGGTGGTCGTTTTTCATTACGAGTGCTCCTGCTAATATGCCTGGTATGTGCTATTCTCTATGTGGTCTTGGGTAGGTTGGGGGTCTGCTAATTGGTTTAACATTATAGGGGGTGTTGGTTCGCATGCAAATGCTACTGCTATCTTTTGAAAGGGATTCTCTTGTTGTGCTTGAGGGAAGCTTATACAACGCAGGCAGAAGTCGGATTATACAAAAGATTTCAGTCTCAAATTTCATATACGTCATTGTTGTGGTGATATCCTTGCTTTTGCTATGGCGCTTCATTTGTTCAAGCCGCTGGAACTTTCATACGTACATTCAAGATTAATACTACGGCCAGCGCAGTTCGATTCAACCCCTAGCTTAATCGATATCATTTTCTCGACTCCTAAAATATTCAATCGGTTACCCCTGAGTCGGTTGATGTCATATATTCTGTTGCCCTGACAAGCCTGACAAATCTTGTTTCTTCAGTAGCAAAACCACATGTACGGAGTACAATACCATCAGATCGAGAATATCTAGCAATAAATGATTTCATCGATTTCATCTTGAACATGTATTAGATTTTATGTTTGTCCATTCAATGATTTGCAAGTCAGCCCCAATGGCGGAGTAAGGCTGTATCATCCAGGCAAATGATTGACCGATCTTCGCAAAATGAAATCAAGCAAATTTAGATCGGCAAGTCTATTTGCCACCCGGAATTTGTACACGTACAGGCCGATTGTCATAGGTACAGTACAGTAGAGTGGCGAGAGCGCCGGATTGTTCGGCTTGTCGATCTACAGTACTGTAACCAGGGAATGATTTTAGAAACGTGCATTAGTTCGTCCATATACTGCCAAGAGAGTTTAAGAGCTTGATATGACCTCCGATGTGATCTACAGATTATAAAAATACACAGAACACTTTACAGTACAGTACATGCGAATAATTGAGGCGATGTTCCACGTCAGGGGTGATCCAGTCTGGTCGGGCCAGCTTTAGGATCTGCAAGTATAGGAATCATATGGGGCTATTGTAGCCTTACACTGTGCCTTTGAAACATTCTCAAGATCAGGCTGTGAAGTCCATATTTGCATACTGTACGGTGGGGTGATCCTGGCAATTTTCAATGTTCACGCTCGCTGCTATGTTGATCAGATATCGACAACGTCGTCCCTTGTGAGAGCCGCCGCAGTGTATCATGGAGTTTCACCCATAAATCAAATATAGTATATCTCAAGAGTACTGATCATCTTGCTCTTGGTGAGAATCTAAATGCTCGCCCAAAGGTATGTATAAGCGGGATGATTACCTCGAGATTGAGGATCTCTATGAATCTCATTGTGCACAATCTAGTCTTTCCTGAAATCACCATCGCAGTCTAGCAGAGTACGAATGATTGAAATATCTGTGCATTTGATGACATGGGCGAGCAGTGAGTAATGGATGTCGCCTGTAACATGAGATTCGCGCTATAATCGAGGAGTCATCAAGTCATCTCCCGGTTTTCGAGTGCGTTGCTAGAAATAAGCAAACGTCTGCAATGTACTATTATACCAAGAAGGAGAAAACTATTCAGCCTTCTCGGATGTAAGACAGGCGGTCTTATTCTATTACGGCCTTGTTGATATCCCAGATAGTTACGACGAAACTTGTTCAGGATGTCGTCACCTTTCAAGAGAATTCTATGGATTCGACAATGCTTTGATTAAGAGCGAACAGACTTTTCTCCAAAATTTAAAGGACCGAGCCTTCACATAGTCAGTACACGAAGTACAAGATATGCAGATCATGACAACACGCGGCGCATCGCCCCATTTTTTCGTCAGAATAAAATAGGGTCTACAGTGAAGAGCATTACCTCGAGGCAGACTCCGTTTACATGTACTGTACACATGGCTTATTACCAAAGTGAGAAATAATCGACGGCCCACCTTACTATCACCCCCGTAAACACAGGATCGACGAGACCAGTTCAGGAGAATATACAATGCACATACTGTACCCCAGGCCCTTAGCATCCCTGATATGGAGCTCTCCCCATAATTCTCCTATTGAGGTGGATCAATTGCACGAGCAGAATAGAACAGGGGATGTGTTGTTCGCAGGTATAAGTATAAAGACCAACAGCTTCTAAGATAGCGCAAGTCAGATTCAATCTACACTAGCATTCTCACACGATGTTACCATCAATAGCATCAACCATCCTATTTTCGGCTCTAGCACAAGCAAATACCCAGACTTACAATCTTACAATCCAAAAGAACGCACCAGAAAAAGCATACCATGTACCAGCCGACTTCTTCAGTTTCGGCTTCGAAACCGCCTTCTTCCCCCAATTCGACACCGATCTATCCGAAAACATAATCAACTCCATCGGCTCGCGCATGAGCAAGCCCTTGATCATCCGCATCGGCGGCACAAGCGGCGACCTGGTGCAGGTCAACCTAACACAAGAAGAACCCGCTCGCTGTGCGAGCGGACCGGACTGTCCCTACTCCAGCGAAGATACCTTCGTGCTAGGCCAAAGTTATTTCGACACCTTCAAGCGATTCCAGAGCGCAACAATGACCATCCAGGCGCCCATGATCCCCGTCAAGCCTGACAGCAAGGACGATGATTGGATTCCCAATTCGCTGGATTTTATCCAGCGCGCCTACCATGCTCTTGGAAAAGAGCGTGTCAATGCTATTGCGTTGGGTAATGAGCCTGATTACTATTCATATGGAGTGGAGCAGTATGTTGACCGGGCGCTGGAGATTGAGAACCGCACCATTGAGCTTTTGGGCTTGGAAGGTGCCGATAGACGGATCTTTGAGCTGGGTGATATTGGATGGACAGTGATCAAACAGCGGGACCAAGATGGGGAGGACTTTGGCTTGCGGAAGATCTTCCAGAACGAGCTCAATGCGAATGGATACGGCAAGTATGCTGCGCAGCATTACTACCAGGCCGATGAGGGGGGCAAATATGATTCGCAGGCGCTGCAGGGTATGTGTCATTATTTGTTTCTTCTTTCTGTTCTTCTTCCATTGCAGATTTCAAGGCGTGTACGCTGACTCTATCTGAAAGACCGTCTCATGAACCACCACGCCATTGCTGAGCGCTTCCCCAAAATGCGAAGAGGCATTGAATACATTCACCAAGCCGACAGCAAGATTGGGTTTGTGATTTCCGAGCTGGGCTGTGCTCTAGGAGGTCCTCCCGTCAGCTTTGCTGGCGCTTTTGGTGCAGCGCTGTGGGCAGTTGACTTCCACCTGACCGCAATGGCACGCGGCGTGCAGCGAGTCTCGAATACCATGCGCCCGGAGGCTACGCATTCTTTCTGGGTCCCCAATGATATGGGCACTCAGACTCGTGGTCCTTCTGTGCAGGGCGTCTTCCCTGCTGCGGCTTTCATCACCGACTTTGTGGGCAAAGGTGACTCTCTCGGTCAGGTCATTGAGATTGAGGTACCAGGCATGCCGCAGTTCTTTAGTGCGTTTGCGATGTATGATCTCCAGTCAGGTCAACTGGCACGTATTGCGCTTGTCAATCTGAAGCAGTGGGATCATACCTCCCAGGATGACCGAGGTAGTGCCGAGGTTATCCTGAATGTTGGTGAGATCGGGTCGATGCATGCTCGAAGACTGCACGCTGAGAAGGGTACATCGGCCATGGGCTTTGATCTCGGTGGCCATGGAGATAATGTAACCTGGGCTGGAGAGCAATGGTCTCACACCGTTGATGGGGGCAAGGGGCATTTTGTTGATGGTACTATGGTGCAGGAGACGGTCACTATGGAGGACGGTCATGCCCGAATCTCCGTCCTTGACAGTGAGGCGATCATTGTGTATTGTAATACGGGGATTAGTCTTTTGGATCTTCTTCAATAATGTAATCAATGTAATTAGCTGGTTTATTAACCATCGAATTTGAGACTTGTATCCATGGAAGACAGTAAATAACCCAGTGTCTCTCTAAGTGTGCAAAGTCAACCTCTGGCCACAGTAGATAGGGGAAGAATGCTTGATTTATTTCTTTTCTCTTCTATTCTCTTGTCCCTTCATCAACTAAGTAGCATCTTTAGTCTATCAAATCCCCACAGATGCAAGTCGGCTAAACTCCGGCAAACGGGTCCCCGCAATGCAACCCCAAGACTTTCTCCGTATTCCAGCAACTCATACCTCATTTCTTCAACTCGGCTTGTTCTCTCTACCCTTGCATAATTCTCCATATCCCCAATGAGCACACACACTCAAACGGAGACCATCGTGCTCCAAACAGTCAGCGAACCCCAAAATGAAACCCAAGAGCAAAGTCCCCCAGAAATCAAATGGAAATATCCCAAGATTCTCAGCGCAGGACTGTCCTTCTTCGTGGCGGGCATCAACGACGGAAGTCTAGGATCAATACTTCCCTACGTGATCCGCGCCTATGGCATCAACACTGACATGGTAGCTGTATTGTAAGTGACCTACCAAAAGCCGCCAAAACACCTCTCTCTCCAATATGCCTCTTACTTCCAAACTAACCTCCCCAGATACGGCACAACCTTCTTCGGCTGGCTCATAGCAGCCCTAACAAACAGCACAATAACCCAACACCTCGACCTAGGCCCAATCCTCTGTCTAGGAGCCAGCATACAAATCCTAGCCCACATCCTTAGAGTCTGGCAACCGCCATTCGCGCTCTTCGTGGTAACATTCTTCCTAGCCAGCCTGGGCCAAGCATACAATGATACCCACGCCAATACATTCGTCGCTGCATTACCCGGTGCGCACCGCTACCTTGGCTTCATCCATGCCATGTACATGGCCGGGTGTTTAGTTGGGCCGTTTGTGGCAACGGGTGTTGCGTCCGCGAACGCTGACTCGAAGTGGTTCCTTTTCTATGCGTTCCCGCTGGGGATTGGCGTTGCGAATCTTGGGCTTGTTGCTGTCTCGTTCTGGGATCGGATGATTTCTGCTTTCTCTTTGGTTTCTGGTTCTGGTTCTGGTGCGAGGGGGACGAGGAGGGGCAGTAATGCTGGTGGAGGGGGGTTGAGGGAGATCAAGGATACGCTTTCGATTTCTGGGGTTTGGTTGTTGAGTTTGTTTTTCTTTTTCTTTTTGGGGGCTGCGATTACTGCTGGGGGTAGGTTTCTTTTTTTCTCTCTTTCTTTCGTTCTCTCCGCGATGAATGTTTACAGTTGCTGATCTGGTTAGGCTGGATGGTCGAGTACCTCGTCAATGTCCGCGATGGCGATGTCAAGCAGATGGGTTATGTTCCTGCTGGCTTTTATGGAGGTGGATTCCTTGGACGACTTCTTTTGGCAGAGCCTACACATCGGTTTGGGGAGCGGCGGATGATCTTCATTTATGCTGTGCTCTCCTTGGGATTACAGTTGGTATTCTGGCTGTGTGTATCGCCTCTTCCAATGTCATGCATGATTCGGATTGATTGACTCAATGGAATCAGGGTTCCGAATATCATCACCGAAGCAGTCGCCGTCAGCTTACTCGGTTTCTTCATGGGTCCCTTCTTTGCAACGGTTCGCTCATCCCGTGTTGTCATACAACGTTATATGGAATAGCTAACTCACGTTCGATGTAGGGTATATCTATAGGCACAAAGATCTTTCCACCGGAACTCCGATCTTCCGCAATTGGTAAGCCACTAGACCTTTTCCTGTCTACTATCTAATAACCACAATAGCATTCGTCTTCGTCTTCGGCCAAATTGGAGGCTCTATTTTCCCGGCTTTGACGGGTATCATTGCTGCTAGGGTTGGTGTGCAGGTGTTGCAGCCTATGCTTGTTGGGTTGATTGCTGCCTCGGGACTGAGCTGGTTGATTCTGCCAAAGGATGCCCCGTTGCATCGGGATTAGGAGCTGGGGCGTTTTAAATGTTGACCAGACCATTTTTTGAAGGTAAATATTGATGAGACCCAGGTGTCAATGCTGGAGAAGACTTCAGAGAAGTGCCTGATAACTGGTGTCCACTACATTTTGATCAATGGAAATAAGCATATAGGAAACAGATTTTAGTTGATAGGTGACTATATACATATCCGATCTAGCGGAAACCCTTCAAAATAAACCCCTAAGAATCATCATCTCTCACATCCAACCGTCACGGCCGTGACAGCTTCATGTGACGGTTCACATCCTTATAAAGCAAATAACGGAACTTCCCAGGACCACCAGCATAGCAAGCCTGCGGACAGAAAGCACGCAGCCACATGAAATCACCGGCCTCAACCTCGACCCAATCCTGATTGAGACGGTAAACGGCCTTACCCTCCAGCACGTAAAGACCATGCTCCATAACATGCGTCTCAGCAAAAGGAATGACACCACCGGGCTCGAACGTCACGATAGTGACATGCATATCATGGCGCAAGTCCAACGGATCCACAAAGCGAGTCGTCGCCCACGCCCCATTAGTATCGGGCATCACTGTCGGCGCGATCTCCTTCTCGTTCAGGAACAGCGGGGTCGGGTACTCCAGACCGTCAACGGCCTCGTAGGCCTTGCGGACCCAATGGAAGCGCGCGGTCTCGACGCCCTCGTTGCGGAGCGTCCAGCCGCTCTTGGGCGGCAGGTATGCGTATCCGCCTTCGGTGAGGTTGTGCGTTTCGCCGTCGAGCGTGACGGTGATTTGGCCTTCGACGACGAAGAGCACGCCTTGGGCGCTGTCGTCGAGCTCGGCTCGGTCACTGCCGCCGCCGGGTTGGACTTCCATAATGTATTGCGAGAAGGTTTCGGCGAAGCCGGAGAGTGGGCGGGCGATTACCCATAACCGGGTCTTGTCCCAGAAGGGGAGGAAGCTTGTTACGATGTCGCTGAATGTGCCTTTGGGGATGACGGTGTAGGCTTCGGTGAACATGGCACGGTCGGTCAGGAGCTGGGTCTGCGGTGGCAGGCCACCGGTTGGTGCATAGTAGGCACCGATCTTCTTATCGTTGCCCATGGCGGGGTAATTTGGATGGAGAGTGGGATGTTACTTTGGAGGAGAGGGGGGTGGGAGAGGAGAGAAAGGCAAGTTTAATTGAGAAAGCTAGGCTATGGGGAGATACGGCACATTTAATGGAATCTTGGAAGTTCCCCGACACGGCGTTGGCCGAGTACTCGGCTTGGACCGACGGTTCCAGCCGTTATGTTCATTGCGGGAAACCTCCGACCTCGGGGAAGGGCGAGACCGCCTGCTGGATCTGGCTCTACCGCCCGGAAATCACGAGACACAAGTGGTTGATCTTGGTAATGCGGGCAGAATGACTAGCGTATTTGTCCTCCACAATTACAAGATAACGTGACTGTATCAGATTTAAGCGATTAGATGGCTATTCCGGGGAATCCCAGTCAATTGAGTCAGTATGATCTAGTATTGCCGAGGTAGAGATCTCAATTGACTGAAGTATAGATGAAAACCATCAATTTGTTTTGAGCCTTCATCAACATCGTAGATATCCATTATGAGAAAGAGCTTATAACAATAAAAAAACAGCAAACTCAGTGAATAGACTAACTTCCACACAAGGTTCGGCATCGGGCCGATAAAATTATCACGAGACTAACTAGACCATAATAATATATTGAACAATAAAGGCCGGGTCATTACCACACCTCCTATTCAATGCAGAATTTCAAGTGCAAAGAAAGAAACAAACACACCCAAGACGCCAGGGTATAAACCGTCATTACATCATAAGATCACACAAACAATCAGAACCAAGACACCTACGCCCACACAACGATATAACGTCACCAGATAGAGCCAACCGTTGAAACCCATGGTCCATGGTACAGAATCGAACAGAACACGCTTGTCAAGCTAAACGCCATCTTGAATGAACAAGAATAAGGAAGAATCCCTCAAAAGATATCCTCTGGCCACTGATAATCCTCCAGACCCCCAAGAAGACGGACAGAGCCCGGCTCAGGTGAGAGGAGGGCAGAAGGCTCGGGACACGATATCGGTCTCTTGGTCGGTGACTTGTTCTTATTTTGGGTGACTGTGGCAGCGTTCATGCGCAGTTCTTTTGGGAGAGGCGGGACAGGAGGGACGTCCTCGTTTCGTGTTAGACCATAGCCGTAGCCTCGCTGATAACCCCGGGGAGCCTTTGAGGGAGAAGCGCGTGGGCTACGGTCTGGGTTCAGAGTTCTATGGGACTGGAGGTAGAAGGAGCGATGGGAGTCGGGCTGATTGGTGGGGGTGGTTGGCAGGGGCGAGAACCAGACATCGGTATTAGTCCGGTCTGAGGTGGTTGATTTGGTGCGCATATTTGGTGCGCTTGGTCTCATGCGGACGGGGGTGGAGGGCTTTGAATTTGGTGAGCGACTGGTCGTGGAGAGTCTTCGGGATTGGACAGAGTGAGACCTTTTGTTGATTTTGTTGCGGTCTGCGCCGCTTTCGTTGTTGATGTTCTTTGAGATGTCTTTGTCGACCTTTTCTGTGAGTGAAGTGAGACCGACGTTGTCGATGGCTTGTTTGCGCTTAGCAGAGCCTGGGCTTTCGCCTACTTCGGACTTGTGCCATTTCGCCTTGTTCGGGGGACTGAGAAGACCGCAGTCGATCAATTCGTCAAAGTCGTATTCGGGTTCGAGGTTGGCGTCACCGCAGTCCGTCTGACTGGGCTGAGAAGGGCTCCGACTATCGACTGGTTCAGGATTGGGTGACTTCCGCTTACGGGAAGAGCTGTTCTTACCCATTGACGACGGCCGGGCCTCTTTCGAGCGGCGTCTTGGAGTTTTGGCCGCAGCCGGGCTTCGAGCTGGGCGTGGCTCTTCAAACGAGAAGCTTTCTCGGTCTTCCATAGGTGGCAGGGCGGTCACCGTCACTCTGGTCTCATTAGACTCGGATGCCTCTGCTTGCTGATCCAGAAGTCTCTCCGATGGGAGACTAGGAAGAGCTCCGGGGACGAACTTCCTTGGGAATGATGCAGGATCAATCTCCGTATTGAGAGGCTTCGAAGATGGCGTCGGGACTGGTGTCCGCTCCTCATTCCCAGTCAAGTCACGGAGCTCCCGTCGAGCACGAAGTAGCTTCTCTTCAAGATTGCTGACTTTCTTGAGTAACTTTGCTTGGCGCGACATTTCTCGACGCGAGGGTTGTTTGCGTAAACCAGTAGGCTCAGACTCGTCCGAAGTCCTGTCGCAGTAGACCGCAGGGGCAGTAGAAGGCGATTCATGAGGCTTGTTGAAGAGATTCATACGCAGATCCTGCAAAGAGGAGCGTTTCGAAGCCGAGGAGTCAGAGCGCGATGGCACAGCCCGATCACCATGGTCAACGGAATGACAACGCGAATCCTTGACAGGCGAGCTATTCTCCATCTTCTCCTGAATAGCCTGCCAAGTATGGTCGGCATGAGAGGTACTGACACCATGGGTCTGGGTATATGAGCCCTTATTGGTACCCTTGTAACCAGCCTTCTTCAATTCCGCATAAGCAGCCTCAGCCTGATTGATAACATCTTTCTGGGGCGACTTGTTCACATCCTCAGAATTCTTGCTCCAACCACCAAACGGATTAAACGCCGAGGCAATAGCCTTCCCGAAGCGGAAAATCCCAGACGAGCGGTTCGGCCCAGCGGGCTTCTGATCACGAAAAAAAATACTCGGCGGCTTCTCACTGACACTATCACTCATAGTAGCCTCCACAAAACGAGAGGTCCGACCACGGCGTTGATGACGGGGACTGGAAGCAGACGCAGAAGCAGCGGCATGTCTCGCGCGCAGCGAGGCCAAAGACCCACGAGGGGACGCCCGCGGTGACGCCCGCGGCGAAGCCTTATATCCAGGTCCAGTATTACTGGCACTCAAATTGCCATTTTCGGTCCGGGCGACGCGGCGGTCATTCGCGCCATCGCCAGAACCAGGAACATAGTCTGCCGCTTCATCGGGCAAAGGCCAATCATTGGACTTGCGGCGCTTGGCCAGGTTTGCCATGAGCGACCGGTATTCATCCTGGTCTGCCTCTTCGGCGTCGTCAAATTGGCCAGACACGTCCGAGCTCCAGTCGTAGTTGTTGTCGTCATCGCTGGAGCGCATGTGTTTGCGCGAGGAGCGCTGCGCGGGGCTTGGGTCATGGTCCATTCTGGACTTGGACTTGGACTTGGACTGGGGCTCGCGGGTGATCTGGAGTGGCGGCGGGTTGGTCAGTTCCGTTTCTTCTTATTCTGGTGGAATCCCTTCCGTGGGGATTCGGGCAAGGAGTCTGGATACTGGATACTGGATGCCATACCTTTGCGGTGGGTGTGTCCTTTGGCATCCCTGCTCCGCGCGCCCTTGTTGAGGGAGAGATATAGACTGGGTGAAGGGGGCTTTACTGTAGCATACAGCACAGAAGTGGAATATTTAAAAAGAAGGGAAGCGAGTGGGCAAATGTGCAAATGTCCTGGTTTGTTTACATACTCCGCACTTGCCAAGGGGCAAGTTTGTTGTGGTACCCAGTACCCGAGCCACCCGCACTTCGCCCACGGTTAGCCAAGTACCCGCTACATGGAGGAAATATAGAATGTTCCCTGAATTATTTGCATATTATTTACTGTCCTCGCATGCCTTGCGGGGGATTCAGTATGTTCGATCAGTCCGCGTGTCTCCAACATGTGTGGGGAGGAATGCAGATACTGTTTACATCTACGATCACTTCATACCTTGACGTTGAATTCAGACATGCTACGTGGGTGCACAAGGCTCGAAGAACATGCTAGGTATCAAGAACATGTCAACCGCCGACATGAAGGGTAGATTAGGCCACTTCGAGGGTTCAAAGCAAGGGAGGCCACCGCAACATTGAACATCTCAATGCAGTTTCATAATGAGACCCGCTCTGATGTCCATAAACAAAACACAAAAACACTATGCCGCCCTTTTAAACATCCATAAGCCAGCCCATAACAGAAAAGGAGACATAAAAATGAGAAAACACGAAGAAACAAAGGAAACATAAACCCCGAGGACCGAAAACTCCCTATATATCATATAAACCATCCCAGGGGACGCCCAAGTCGGGAAGGGATGGATGGCATTTCCCTAATTTCACTGCTCGGGGGTGAAAGGAGCAGTGCGCCTTGCGCTTGGCAAGAGGGGAATCAAGAATGGTATATTGTATAGCTCTGTAAATCTTAGAAATGATGCGATGGGGAAGGGATCACACGCTTCCTCTTCGTGAAGAGAAGGCTGCGTCATGCATCGAGGATTCTAGGGTTCAAAATGTAGCAGTGAGGAAAATCATGACATGTACAATAAATGCAAGTGACCGTGTCAGGATCCGGCCCATTGACTAGTTCATCGGTCATCAAGCAAGTCCAATGCGAGTAAGTTGTGCTCAGCCATCCGGCCAAGGCACGTCAATTCAAGTGGGCGGAGGGGCTTTCTGGACAGTGCGGCCGTTGGCACGCTTGTAGGACATTTCGATGCCCATTTCAGCCATCAATGCAGCCCTACTCTCTGCAGCGAAATCGCGATACGCTGTGGGGTAAGGCTCAGCATCTGGCCGCATCCCATTCTGCATAGCACGTTCATCAAGACCAAATGAGTCTTCGTGGGATCGCTTTCCGTATGCCGGACCAGTCTGGTATAGCATGCGCTTCCCGGAAACGTTGTCGTACCCTGAACTGGGAGACGTGCATTCCACGGAGGGAACAAGCTGGTTGGCATATTCATTGGGCAGGGTCTTTAATGGTGGTAATGCTGATACCATACTTGGGGTCTGAGTACGCGACACTGCTGCTTGTGGCACTGGGTGGTAGAGATTTGAGTCTGGCATTCGGGTTTCCGTGCGTGATTCCACACGGAGATCCATGGTAGTCGGTACTTTTGGCGGCTCCATGCGAGGGTCCATGTAATATGGTGCTTTAGGCGGCGGTTCCATGTGGTAAGAAGTCACAGACGGCTTCGGATAGCCCGTTCGTTGTTCGGGTATCCGAGGCGCCATGGGATACCCACCAGGTGTACCTTCGTATTCCGAGGTGTTTGATTGATTTCGAATTTGCGCATATGTATGTTGCGGTGAATACATCCCTGCGGATACAGCTGGCGGAGGTGTAGGAGGCATGTGCGGAGCCGGGTAGTGAGTAGGCGTAGAGCCAAATGAGAGGTGTGATTGATATGAAGGTGTTTGTGAGTGGGGTATGGGCGCAGGTGGCATGGGTCTCTGGTAAGGTTGCGGGCATTGGAAGCCATAGTCTGGTGCGGATGGTCGTCTATCCGGTGGTATATACCCATATGGCGATTCCACGACGCTGCCATTGCTATTGGATCGGGGACGGTCCATCGCAGCCGCATAGCGATCCGGTGTCGAGAATCGGTCTGTTGGGCGAGCGTAGACACCGGTGCGTTCTTCGTCGAATTCATAATCCTCCTCTCGCTTGTCTCCCCGGCGTCTCATGCGCACATCACGACGAATACGAACACGGCAGCCCTGCTCGGCAATGATGCGGCTTAGGGAGGTGCTGGTGGCCAGGCCCGGGAACTTCTTCGCACTATATACGGTGAATGGGATGGACTTGACCTCGAGACGGAAATGCAGGAATGCTTGAGGCGAATCTGGCTTCGCTCCACCGACCGGAGCAACCTGGCTAGGCAGAGGTAGATTCGAGTCTCGATCGGCGTCTTTGGCGTCCTTGATCTCTTCGTATAGGTGGAAGTTCAGCCGATAGCGTCCTTCATGACGAACCGATAGATCTGGGAAGATAAAATAACCCGCTTGCGATGGACGGTCGAGATACGCGATGCCGGCGACTGGCACACCCGTCAAGACCGGGCACGATGGCGGCCCAGATACCCGCCCGTGGGCGATCGGGCGTGCAGTATCCAAGGTTGCGTAGAGGAAGAAGTTCGCGTTGTAGGCAAAGGTAATATCGGTCTGGTGGGCTTCGTTGTTGGGATCGGACTCGAAGATACGAAGTTCGACCACGGGCGGCGGGTCAACAGGGCGACGGTCGGCCGATGCTATACGAGATGTTTTAGCCAACACGACCGCGACGACTCGAATCCTGAGGACTTACACTTTGCTCCTGCACCACAGGCTCTGGCTCGCTCCGGCTGTTGCATCACGCTCAATTTGTAGGTGAGCTGTTTGCCTTCACGAGTAATCCGGCTGACCGAGTGCTCGGTCTCATTGTGAGGCGGCATGATGGGTGGTCTGCTCGCCATTTTCGATCGGATTGACGCTGGTCTTCGTAGCGATCCCAAGTATTCTGCCGGGCGCAAGACCGGACGGAGAGCGATTCGGTTCGATCCCACAATATCCAAGACCAGCTTCCAAAGTCACCAGAGAGTATGGGGGATTCAACGTTATTCCCCCTGGCAGAACATGCCTCCAAAAGTCAGAACAGGCTTGTGAAGGTCGCAGAGATGAAAAGCAGAGAGAAAGAGAGGGGGAGCAGTGACACACTAGTGGGTAACTGACTTGTAATGGCTTGTAATTTATTTTCTTGTTTTGTCAAAAGTTCGAGGAAATGCTCTCGATGATAATAGGAGAAGAACATATTCGGATTATCTTATAATCTTACTATTAGAATACCCAAATTATCCAACTTACAACCCATGCAATAGTCCAACTGAACAGGGATTAGCATGTGAATTCCACGTTACCCACAGAGTCCCAGTCCAACGGACCGGAGACCCCTATCCGCACCTTTATTCTCACTTGAATCTCTCTGTCGATATCCTATGGAAGATCCTGCGACCCTCACCATGGAACCTTCAGGTTGGGTCAGTGGGCTTACCAATCAGAGACTTGGAGGCAAATAACTTACCAGTGCCATGAACGACTAACTTGATTTGTGTATTGTGTATGAGATCGACATTACATGGCATTCTCTGAGCCTGGGACATGTCTGCTTCGAAACCCTACTGTGGACTATCTGGACGGTACATGTACACTGTACACTGAGGACAGTCCAGTTGGTATAGTTGTTGTATTTCCCCGAAACAATCACTCGGGGAACTCGTATGAGGCCCTCTGCATTAGTTCCTCTTCCAGATCGGTCTATACTTTGGTCTTCTATAATTCTCATCAATGACTATCCTGTGATATTTTGGTACCCATAAATCACTCCTCAAGAAAACCATCATTCCGAAGTGATATTCTGGACCCGACATACTGTACTTGCCACCGTTGCATGCGATTCTTCGTGGCGCTGGTGATCGTCTGCACTGTCTGCACTGTCTGCACTCGATCGACGCACCTCGATCGGCCTCGATTGACTTTTTTGTTTGCCTGGTTTTCTGATTCTGGATTTGGGTTAATTTACAACAGATCAAGCAAAGGACAAGTACGAGACAATCTAGTGGCTTGGAAGTCCTTGGGGTTATACAGCAAGCCACAATTGAACATCATGCCACTGCGTTTTCCGTGCATGCACAACGGCTACGATAAAATAATCATCTGCTTATCACTGACGTGATCACTTAATGTTGTGCTGAGAATCTGACTGTCAGCCCTGATTATGGTTTGCCCTGGACCGTGAACTCCTCAGCAACAGGTGTTTCCACCGTAGGTCATCCTGTAGTAACCAACACTCGCGAAAGGAATGGAGTTAGCGACATCCAGGAAGTAATAGTGAACAGCACTGTAATTTTAAGTTCTAGTTCTAGACGGTGTGTACTCCGTACAGTAATGTTATATCCATCCCCTCCCCTTCCCCCAGGCCTAGTCCCCATCCGAAATAGCCCAAAGTCTCTTTCAGGCAGGAGTCTCAACTGTTGCACATAAGGGTATGCAAACGCAACCGATTACTGGTCGAAATTCCGACTCCCTACGTAGCACTCCGTCCCTACACCCTCGACGTTGTGTGTCGGGTCCGGAACCCCTGTCCCAAGGATCGGTAGTGACTGAGCCTGGGTGCCGTCTTTCTTTATTCGGGGTATGTGTTCCGAACGGGTGACTGCTTCAATGAGTTAGTGCTCCAGTCGGATCGAGGGTACGAGGCTGCTTTGTGCGGCTGGACTACAGTAGCGGGATCAACCCTGGGACAGCGGTCGCATCAGGCGCTAGGCGAGACGGTTCGCAGATTACTGTACAGTACAGGCACAAGGGCTGGAGTTACATGTATACCGTAGAACGGAACAGATAGGGCACACTGACGCGGAAATGGGGGCGATGGATGGGGTTCATTGGCGTGGCTGTGCCGCTACTGCAGGTATGTTTGTTGCGTCTGATTTGGATGGAACGGCACGAAGTACGTTGGGTGTGTTACTGTAGACATAGGGTGAGGCAGAGACTACATTTGACACCATCTGGATATCAAGCAATGCAGGCCGTTCATCCTCTCCCGGTTAAATGGTCCGATTGTACATATATGTTGACCGAATACCTGGCACTCGGGACGACTTAATTTCCACGATGACCTTGCATGAGATGCGACCTGTCATTTGTTGTAAGCGAAAGACTAAGTCCAGACTAAGTCGGTTTAATCCTTACGCTGCCACGTGGAACTAGTTCTTCTCGGAGTTCATCATTGGACGAGATATCAGGTCTGTACTTTACTGTACTGTTGTTAGTTGCGAGATCTGCCGAGGTCGAATGGCATGATTGAGAGAGGTCTGTTAACATAGGTTGATCACCACACTACTGTGCAGTACATATGGATTATCGAAATGGTCTACTGTATCCCAGGGTCTGTGGCAATTCCCCCCACTCCTTGCGGAACAAAAGTACACTTGTACGAGCTTGTACCAACTAAGTGTAACTGGCTTTCCGTCGATGATTCAATCCAGCGTGAATGATCTACCCGTCCCAGCTGTCTGGAAAGGAATCCCAGTATACAGTAGATAGTGAACATCATCTGGACCCTCCTTCAAACACTCTTCCTACAGTACTGTAAATTGTACTGTAGCTCAAACTTCAGTGATATCACTTAACACATCTTTCTTGGCTCAGCATCGTCTTATAACCTTCCTATTTAGGAATATCCATGTGACACGCGGGTTTCAGCCGACAATCACTTGAAAGTATACCTGATTGGAGCGAAACAGGTTTGCTCAAGCTAAAGACACTATGCGCTTGAGGGAACTAGCTTGTTTGGGAAACTGTAAGCAAATCATTTCTACTGTATATTGTAGGGCGTAGCCCACACTCTTGAAGTACTGCACCGCAGGAGTATGTCTATGTCAGATCATCGAGGCTTCTCGCATGGTTTGCACAGAGCATTGGACTATAATGATTCAAGCCTGATATTGAAAATTGGGCCTTGTCATTGTCTTACAGACCTGGCAAGCAGAAATATATTGTTGCATTCATTGACAGTATCCTCATCTCATGTAGTACTCAATCAGGAAATATATTAAAGACAGCCGAAGAACGACACCATCCCAGACAAGTCGTAGGAATTCTAGTAGTCACAAAACAAAAACCACCGAGAATCTCGAATATCTGATATAGAACTGATATACAAGTGAACCTCGATTCCGCGAACCCCAAGCCTGTGATTGGTCCGGAGTCCACGAATAATCGCGACACGACCAAGCCGCGACTCTCCTCCTGTCACTCCTATGGATCTGCTAACAGTCCTACCTGGCTTCCAAACAAAACCATATCAACACCTTCTCCCAGCTTTAGAGCGAACAAAAATCACCACCGTCGACCTACTCACCATCGAATTCCTCGAAATCGCGAAACGCGCCCATGTGCCCCCCGCAGACATTCGGCGGCTCTGCGACCGCGTTGTCGAGGCTCTCCATGCCGACATTGGCTTCGTTGAGTCCGAGCCCATTATAGAAGATTCAGACGGCGACGAAGATGAGGATGAAGAGTTGAATGCCAGTATACACCCGACTGGCCTAGCTCTTGGCCCTGCGACAAGCCGCACGACGTCACAATGGAATACGATCAGCACCCTGGACCCCGTGATGGACGACCTTCTCGGGGGTGGGATCCCGACGGGGTATATGGTTGAAATTACTGGGGAGAGGTATGTCCATGTGCATGTAGCAGATGCCGATCTCGAAGTTTCGCTGCTGGCCTGTTGGGTCTGACGATTGTATTTACATATAGTGGAAGTGGCAAGACCCAATTCCTCATGAGTCTATGTCTGGCTGTTCAGTTGCCGAAGCCGTATGGCCTCCGGCGTCGCGCATTATACATCTCGACTGAGCACCCGCTATCCACTCCCCGGCTTTCCCAGCTCATTGAATGCCACCCCATACTTTCGTCTTTGTCGGCCGAGGAGGCACCTTCACTGGAGGATATCCTGTCTATAAACGCCATGGACTTGGAGGCACAAGACCACATTTTGAATTACCAGCTTCCTGTTGCAATCCAACGCTACAATATTGGGCTGGTTATTATCGACTCGATAACTTCAAATTATCGTGCCGAACACTCCTCCACCGATGCCATAGCCCTGGCGACACGTACGAATGAGCTTGCGAAGCTGGGCCATATGTTACGCAACCTTGCTGTGGATCAAGATGTAGCAATTGTTGTCGCGAATCAAGTCTCTGATCGCTTCGATATGCCCGACGTGCCGGACGACCCAGATACTGATGATGAGTCTGCGTCACAAGAACAAATGCCGAGCCAAACTGCAGAAGATATGGAGGGTTCTGATCCGACGACTGAGCTTTCAAAGTCACAACCTCCAATGTCAGAACCTGCAATGCCGCAGCCTCAAATGGCTCAGCCCTCAATGTCCCAACCAGTGAACATGGAATATGAAAGTACTCAACAAGCACCGTCCGATTCTCAAGACCCGCCTTCATCCTCTGCCATGACTTCTTCTCAATTCTACGGAGATCACGACGAAAATACATTCCAACAGACACATTGTGACACAGACCTCACGTTCAAACAAGCAACAAGTGTCCATCTCCAAGAACGATTCTTCACCGGCTGGGGCGATGACTTCTCACCCCATGCCTCCCTCAAAAATCCAGCTATGGGGATATTCTGGTCAAGCCAGATTGCTTGTCGTATTGCATTGAAGAAAGAGGAATCTAGATTCGGAGTTCCAGCGCATGACGTTTTATACCCGACATTTACAGCAGAAACAGCAGAAAAAACAGAAACCAGCTCAGAACTTCCAGACGAAAAACCCATCACGGCGTCTGAATTCATGCGGTCTTCCCAGGAACAACCCGACACTAGCAAAGACGTCGAGCCCGCTGCAATCCCCGCCCCGGAGTTCAAGGAAAGAAAAAGAAAAACCCCCGATGCCCAGCCCGGTTCTCCAGATGCAACAGCCCGAAACCCAGATCCACATTCCCAAGATCAAGATCTCGAATACCTCCCCGACCGCGTCACAAGGAGAACAATGAAACTAGTCTTTGCACCCTGGGCAGGACCGACAGAGCACGAACCAGAAGATCTCCTACCATCAACCCCACCAGGAAGATCCGCCGAGCCACAGACCGACGAAGTGGACTTCGAAATCTGGGCCGGCGGACTGCGGAGCGTCAGTTTCGAATGAATGATTCATCTATCTGCCCTAGGCAGAATGGGCCACGATCACAGCCCAGCCGTGATATTTTGTCGATATGCATTTACTTTTGAGCGGAGCATAGCACTATACCCATATTCCCTTCTCACGCTGCTTGACACTATACACACTACTGTATATATATATATATATATATATATAAAACAATGACAATGACAATATAAGTTAACGTTAAAACCAAGGCGATACATGCAATGCTTAGAAACGCCAAACCGGCAAGTGGCGGAAACGGGTCGACCCCGCAAAACCAAGTTTTGCCCAACAGTGTGACGTCGCTTTCCTTCTTCACTCCCCGGACTTGTCGTTCTGTCCATTCTCTTTCCCTTCCTGAAGAGGTGCAGATGCGATCCTTGCTTCGATTTCTCGACTCGTTGCATACTAGGACGACGCTGCAAGAAACTCCTTATCTGTCAGAGAGCGGTGTATCCGCGTGTTGAAAAGATGCACACGAGACCACTGCCGGGTTGGTCGATCGTGGACAACTAACTGGCACGCATGCTGTAGCCTGGTGCCTGCGCTTCAAGTCGGTTGGCTGCAGACTATCTCCTGTCTTGTTGCCCCTCCCTCCTACATACAGTATCTCCTATACTCGAAGGGATGTGTGTCCAAGGAGTGGAGGGTCTCGCGAAGACCAAGACAGGTCGAGTTGAACCAACGTTATTTTATTATCCGCCTGGCATACGTCTATGAAGTGTCGAGGATCTTGTCGATGAAAATGTACGACTACGAAGAAAAGGCGCCGATCACAGCGACAGGCAGCGAGAAGAAGAAAATATGAAAAAGAGAGAATACGCTTCCATTAACCACTGAGACAGGTGAACAAGAAAGAGAACCAAAGTCCTCCAGATGAACAAGATCATCACGTCCCCGTCATGCTATCGCCACATTTTTATGTGCTGTTGCACTAATCTCAATTCAGACATGCCTCCTTTTTCTTCCCCTTGAACCTCGACTTCCACCTCTACCATCACAAACTCAATCGAGAAGAAGAGTCAACTTGAACGAGCGTGACAAAGCGTGACAAGCATGACAGCGAAGATCTGACGAAGTGAAAAGCATCAAATTCGATCTATGTCTCGCCAAATCTCACAAACAAATCTCGATGTATCCGTGTATCTGTGCGGCACGCAAGAAGTATACACAAGATCTCACAAAGCGGCAGTCAAACTCGAAAAAAAAAAAAAATGCGATGAGATAAGACCAAGAGAGATGAAAGGGACGATGAAAACACCATCGAGGAGTCACACCCAAATCAAAAACCAGCAAACTAACAACTACCAGACTCTCTACTGAGCCTTGGCAACCATCTTGGAAGGAGGAATACCGATACCGTTGGTGTTACGGTAGAAGAGCACACCCTGGCTCTCACCAGTGGCACCCTCGGTGGGCTCGACGAAGTGGCAGACACGGGCAGAGGTCCAGAGGGCCTTGAAGAAGCCAGTCCAGCCGGTGTGGGCATCGCTGCGGTAGTGGTCACCCATGACCTTGCGGATGGCATCACTGGCCTCGTCGGCATTGTAGAAGGGGATGTTGCTGACATAGTGGTGCAGCACGTGGGTCTCGATGATGCCGTGGAGGATGTGGCGGCCGATGAAGCCGAAGTCACGGTCGATGGTTGCGGCGGCGCCGCGAGCGAAGTTCCAGGCTTCGGGCTGGTAGTGAGGAAGGGTGGGGTCGGTGTGCTGGAGGAAGGTGATGGCCACTGAGAGATGTTAGCTAATGCTCTTTCAAGGATGTTGGTGTGATATCACGGAGAGGAAGAAACTTACCGAGCCAGTGGTTAACCCACAGGTAGGGAATACCATACCAGACCAGCAGGTTGAGCCAACCGAAGTTGCTGCCGATGAAGTACAGAGCAGTGCCGGTGAGGAAGAGACCGAGGTCACTCAAGGCAATCAGCTTGGCATCCTTGGCCTCGTACAGAGGGGAAGCAGGGTTGAAGTGGTTGACACCACCGCCCCAGCCGTTGGCCTTGCCCTTGCCGCGGCCCTCGGGCTGCTTGGCGTGGTTGTTGTGGCCGGTGACGTTGGTGATGAGGTACATGGGCCAACCAAACAGCTGCTGGAGCAGGAGGTTGGAGGCAGTCAGAATGGGGGTCTCCTCCATGAGCTCGCCGAGTTCGTGGATGGTCTTGCCGACGCGGGTGGCGTACTGCTCACGGGTCTTGGGGATGAAGACCATGTCACGGGCGAGGTTACCAGTGGCCTTGTGGTGCTTTCCGTGGGAGATCTTCCACGAGAAGTAAGGGACCAGCAGGAGAGAGTGGCAGATCCAGCCGACGGTGTCGTTCAGGACCTTGGAGGGGGAGAAGGCCTGGTGGCCGCACTCGTGAGCGAGAACCCACACTCCGGTGGCGACGAGACCCTGCACGATTGTGTACAGAGTCCAGAGGGCGACACGAGCCGGAAGGAACGGCACAGTCTGGGGGGTGACATAGTTGTGGAAGAGGTAGAAGACCGAGGCCAGGATGGCCATGTCCCGGAAGACATAGTACAGACTGGTAACCGCGGAGCGGTGGAAGCAGTGGGCCGGGATGGCATCGCGGATCTGCTTAATGGTATAGTCGGGGATCTTGAACTCGTTGCCATATGTGTCCAGCATCTTGCTGGCCTCCTGCTCCGAGGCCATGGACGACAGAGAGGTCGACGAGGGCGACTGACGCGGGCTGTCGAAAGGTGAAGCCGAGACCGAGCTAGCCGTGGAGGACTCGGTGGCCGGGTTGCGGTTCAGCGCAACGCGCTTGGGGAGAGCAGTGGAAGACATGCTGAGTGCTGATGCTGGTGATATATAGGAAAAGAAAGACCGACGAATTCCCTCTCAACCCTAAAGCAAATGCGTCTAAGAGAGCAGTACTGAGGATGAATCAGACAACGTTGGGGGAGGGCTAGTGTCAAAGAGGTCTCACGTCTGGGAAAGGAGCCAGCAACAGCAAAGGGAATTCAAGCTAAATAACCAAGCCCCCAGACCAACGAGAGAGCAGACAATTGAAGAGAAGAAGGGAAAGCGAAGAAGGATAAAAATGAGCCCAGGGGTGTGTATTTTGCAATACCTCCCCGCAGTCATCCAGTATGGGCGGGACTGTATTGTGGTATTGCAAATACTGCGAACCCTCATTCTTTTCTTTTCTCTTCAGCTGTGTTGCTCAGTTTTTTTCCTTTTTTTTTTTTTTTCGCCCATTCAGCCACGCCACTTCAGCTCTGCAAATCTGATCCTGCTATTTTTCTTCTCTTTCTTCTAATGTCCCGGATCTCCCCGTCTCCATTCCCTCACGTCCATGTATACCCATATACCAATACTGTACTCAGTTCTTCACGGTGCCACCTTTCTAAACCCATTCGGGGTCCCCAACACTTTTACCCTTAATTTTCCAAGACTCCAAACAGCCAACACAAGGAATTAATTTAATCATGATCTATGTCCCGGTATACCTACAGTATTGTATGCATATAGCGACGGGAAGCGCAAGTTCCAGCCTATGACACTTCACATTACGGTGAAGCCCGTCTCCAGCACATGTGGAGATCGACATGCCTCGGGTCGTTCTCGTGTAACCGATTTCGTGTTGCAAGGATTGGCCTGACAGGTGGGCGCCAAAAGCAATTGTGGCAAGTGGGCTGTTGCCGTGTCCTTTTTGATCCTCGCTCTTGGCTGGTAAGTTATCTCGATGCATGTGATTCGGGGTTTGGGTCCCAACTTTTGTCCTGGAGGGATCCACCTTATAGTTCGTGAGATGGGCAGTGGGGATCGTGTATACGGCGTTTTCTGCTGTTTTGTTCTGTAATTGAGGTCTACGGTAGATTGTATCCTGCAGGCTCAATTTGGGGGGTGTTATGCAGCATCGTGGTACTCGGAAATCAGTACAGTAGATAGGACATGGAATGTCCCTGGAGATCGGACCATGCAATTGCAAGGGGGATCCCAAAGCGCTTGTTGGGATTTTGTTGGGCCCCACAAGTGAAAATAACACGGACACAAACTGTGCAAACATCTTTAATTTTCTTAGTTTCGCCACCTTAGATAAGATCTTATCTCCACCCGGATTCCACCCTGGGAAGTCTGAGGGATATGAACCAGACATATTGGGTTATTGATATTGATAGGCATGCTTGCGTGGATACTATACACTGCAGAGTACTGCACATGCTACTGTACTGTATTGTAGTTCGTGATCGTAGATCTCCTGCACCTCTTCTATCCATACACCCACCAATCACACTCGTCTCAACTAAATCTCAGCCCGACGTTCGGAATCAATTAACCAAGACCCTGCACCGGCAGGTCCCCCGGACGCACTCAAGCTCACCGTAGTCTTCCTCAGGTCAGGAAGAACAAGGACTGTCTCTCCATGATTCCGGTAATCAACTTCACACGGGACTGAGCGGCGAGACGGGACTGCTGCGTCCGCAGCAGGCGACGTAGGCAGCTGAGTCGACGGTGGAAAAAAGGTGCGGATTTCCAGGCCGGGCAGGAGGAGGTGTCCTGCTTTCTGGGGCAGGAGGAGGACCGTGAACCGGGTGGATTCGCCGTCGTGGGCGACGAAGTTGCCACGCCGCCGACCACCGAGTTGCCACTGTTCGGGGTTGGCGTGTAGCTCGTAGGAGCATTCGAGGGGCTGGTCGGCGGGTTCGGAGTCGCGGGTTGTTGGGGAGGACCAGCGGCGCGTGTGACGCAAGATGAGTTCGGCGGTGATCATTTCACCGACGGCTGCGTGGGTTGATGGTCCTGGTTGGAGGGTTGGTTGGAGTTGCAGTTCTGCTGTGTGCACGACTTGGATTTCTGGGACGTCGACGGGTATGATTATGCGGCGGGTTGGGATGGTTGGCTGACTAGGGAGGTGGATGGTTGGGTTGGTCTGCTTGCTGGTTAGTACAGGATAGAGGGCAGTGGTGATAGTTTGGGATGAGGCTTACTTTGTGCCATTCCTGTAGCCACTGCCGTACGTCTTCGGCGGGTTCTTTGAGTGCTCCTAGCAGGTCATCCCATCGTAGGCTTTTGTATGGTAGCATTTCTACCTCCCGGATGAGTCCAATGGCCTCCATGTCATTGGTGGTTAGCTGCGCACGGAAGCTGCTGACCATGTGCGATGTGAGCAGCGCTGCGTATTGACGGAATGGACTGGAGTTCATTGAGTCGGCGAACCGCCTCTCAATTGCGTCCAGGCATTCATCATCCACACATGTAAAATCAATGCTGAGACGCAGGCTGCGAGCCGCTGACTTGCCGGCATCGCCGCCATTCGGGCGGATTTTGTAGAGAAGCGATGCAGGCTGCTTGGGGAAGACGTCAAGGGCGACAGGGCCGTTGATGCCCGACTCCACGTTGTAGATGTCCGAGCTGGGCAGACTGCAGTTTGTGATACGCAGTGGAACCTGTATGGCAGGACTGACGGTAAATCGTGAGAACAGTAGCTCATCTTTAAAGATATCCTGAACATTAACCGAGATCGGAAGCGTGGAAAGAATATTGAATGACGAGGCTGAAGCGAATCGGCCTTGCTCGGTCTCGTATCCAATCTCTGCTCGCGCCGAGAGTGTGGTAAATGCCTCTTCCACAGTATAAGGAATGCGGAGCCGGACGAATGAGTGTGCCGCTAATTGCGTGAACTCGATGATACCAGACTCGGAGTTGGCATTCACCTCGAGCTTGCCATCCACAACTTCTGTCTCCGTAAGACGGAGTCGCAGACCTGCAGTAGCTGGTCGGACACGAATTGTGCCGCTCTTGATATTATTTCGTCCGCTATTGAGTTCCAATTCAAGCGTCCGCATTGATTCTAAATTGATCAAGTGTGGCGATACAATCTTTGCCTGAAGACCGTCGGCTGGAGGATAACAGTATATGTATGGTCGCTGATCGGCTTCCTCTGCATCTTCTGTTTCCCGGAAACCAGCGGGGAGAGCAGAGTCCTGTCCGTTATTATAGTGGAAGACAAGATTACCGGCCCTTAGCTCGAGACGGTCAACAAAGTATTTGCCTTGTAGCGTGGTCTGATCATGAGTTAGTTATCAATATCAACGGAAGAAACGAGCAGTACTTACCGAAGAGCCCATGAGAATCTGTGTCGATGAGGACTTCACCACGAATTTGGAAGAGCTCTCAACCCAGTGTTCAGAGTTCTGGGAGGTGTTTGCGCTGACTAGACGAGCCTTGAGAGAATCAACTTCAATCTGTCGACCTAGCAAGAACCGCAGTGATAGCTGAATCTGGAAACCATCCCGATCATCAAACAGTAGAATGGCTGGTTCGACCTTGAGGTCTGCGAAGAAGTCCGTCAAAGAAGCCGGAATGTCTTTCTGAAGAGCCCCAGATGCCTCAAACAAATCGCTAACATGTCCATCCAACAATTCCTGCTCAATCGAGGGCACCGAATTGACCAAGGTCTTCTGCCTCGCTGACAATTGCGCCTGCGCATATGAAGCAAATTTGGAAAGTAATCGTAGCATCATCCGAACGTAGTCTTCGTTCCGCTTCAGTTCCTTCAGGCACCGAGCGTGGAGTTCCAACATGCTTCCTTCCAGGATAACCCAGAATTTAGTACCGTAGAATGGAGCCATCCGATGGAAATAAGAAGCTGCTGACTCGTAGTCCTTCTGCCGATATCGTAGGATGGCGATCTCAGCCAGGGCTGATTCGACAGAGTTGACGCGGTTTGCTGCCATGTGGTGACGGATCATTCGGTCTGTAAGATCCTCATAGACCGATAAATAAGCATCCTTTGAACCTAGTGCAGCTTTGAGGCTAGGAAGTTCAATGCCCACAAGCGATGATTGCTTCGGTTTGGAGTCTGTCTCTGACTTGGAGTTATCATCATCTAATGAGACCTCGGCCAAAGCACTCGCCCCAGAACGATGCCGGTCATCGAAGAGAAGACCAAGATCGTTCCAGCTCTCTGCCCAGCCCCGTCTCTGAGCAATTTCTACCAGCGAGCGTCGTGCAAGCAGCAACAACTCCGCCCTGCCGGATGACAACTGTTCAGAACCGGTCTTTTGTGTAATAACAGGCGCAGGCTGAGGGTGATCCAAGGTCGACCGACGCTGCAGCAAGCCCACATTATCAGAAATATCCTGGGTTACTGGTCGACCAGGGCGACCGCCTGCCGCACCAATAAGTGAACTTGTGCGACGAGGCACGTTAGCCTGAGAATCCGCAGCCGTGACAGCAGCCGCTTCGCTGCTTTTGGCGACGGCATGCAAAGAAGACTCGGGCAAACTGAGAGTTGGAGTGGACGTCTGGCTCAATACCTGGAAAGCCACCAAGAATGCCCAGGAGGAGACAAGGTTGTTGATAACATCGGTCTTGCTATCATGGGCTACATCAGCCAGCCCAGTTTGGAGATCAAAGCGGAGCGTACGTGCAGCTAGACCGATGAACTCTGTTGATCTTCTACAGATCTCGGATAGCAAAATGAGATCCTCGGGCTTCTTTTTGTCCGTTTTGCCTGACTTGCCGTCGGCCGCAGTCTCAGTGCCAGGAAGCGAGGGTGCGCGTGCAGCTCGGAGCAGTAGAGTCAGCTGCCGAGCGAAGATGTATGTACGGAAATCAAAGATGGAGATGTCGCTTGCTAAGATCATTTCCCGGTAGGGCATCTTATTGGCATTGAGTGGGAATTCCTCCGGCTGGAGCATTGTGAATGGACTGGCATCGGTTTCGTCCGAAGCACCACTCTCCAATGCCTTCTTAGCCCTCTCTGTCCAGTTATTACTGGTAGTCAAGAGTGCACCACCATGCTGATCACCACTTCCCTCGAGCTGATCCCGGATAGCTGCGTCCAAGCCAACCCCTAACTCATCATACCCAGCCAATGCATCTTCAAAGAGGCCCACATTCTCGAAACCCCTGGCCAGACCTTCTTTGAGGATGAAGAACGTGCAAAAGTTCCATCCAGGCAGGCTACGCTGAGAGTCTTTTTCTTTGATATCCTCTTCATACTGAGCCACACGGAGATCGAAAGATGCCAATATGCCATTCTTCATCTTATCGATCAGGTCTTCCAATTGTTCATTCAACTCGGGAGACTTGATCCCGGGCTTCGAAAGACGCAATTGACCTACCCGGTCTGTAGCGGACTTGGACGTGCCATTGAAGTCGGCTTTCACCTTCTCAAGCACAGAGGTTGAGCCTCGACCCCATTTAGAGGTAGACACGGCTGCTTTCTCCGCAGCTTCACTGTCCGGCACCACGTGTAGAATCAACCACTCAAACGCATCGTGCTTTTCCTGACTGGCAATCGCAGACTGCGAGCTCTGCGAAGGCGCATTGGCCTTGATCCATTCACGCAGGTTCCGTCGTGCCGTCGCCTTGTAGGTTTCGTTGTCGTCGCAACGGAGGAGGTAAACCTTCAGATACGGCGTCTGCCGTAGACCGGGTATCTGATGTCGGCGGTGGGCGATTGCGCCGGGAACAGCATCGCTAGAAGACTTTCGCTCGTTCGATTCTTGCGCGGGGGTGAAGCCAATGCGGAGAGACTCAATCGACCGCACGGGGCGGGTTGGCGATTTCCAGTGGAGATTCTTTAGGGGAAGTTTTGCTTCGATAACTGGTTGTATAAGCGGAAACAAACCAGATGGATCCGTGTATTCAACTGTGAGTAGGTCATTAGTTAGTGCGAGCCTTGGTCTCAATCATCATAGGCGTACCTGTTACATTGCTCGAAGCTGCCTGTGAAGGGTCCATGATTTCCCAGGCGAATTCGGGAAGCGGCCTTTTTATATGCAGAGCATTCCGCTGAAATTGAGACTGTAGAGGAGCTTGCACGCGACTCCTGTGAGCTCGGAGAAATGTCGCGGGGTGAGGTGTTTCGGAGACATGTGTTGACTTGGACGGCCGGAGTCTTGGCGTTCTCCTGAGTTGATGCTCCGCTACAGTTAATAAGCTATGCGTTATAAGCTAAGTTAAGTATAACTATAACTAAGACCTCTACGCATATAGAGAAAGAGAGACACAGTTTCTCTTTCATACCACCCATGTGCTCTCTTTTTCTTTAGTCCTACTATCCCCAATGGCCGACCTGTTCGCAGCAGATAGACAGAGTCGGGTCTCTCTATAAGATCCCCTCTTCACTACTGAATAAGTAAGGGTTGCTAGTATGACAGGGAAATGATATTGATGTTACCTAGCGTTTTTGTATCTGTGAAGACTTGTTTGACAAGCTATAAAAAGATGTAAAGCCTAAACCATGACCCGAGTTTCCCAGTGTAGAGACAGAGAGCACACAAAAGTCGCGAGAAGGAGGAAACTAGTAAGAAAACCAACCGAAACGAGTAGAAAAAAATCCTATGCAAAATCTGTACAATTGGATGGCACTAGAAGGTGCAACATAGTCATGCCGCGTCATTATAAACAGGAAAGAGACAAGAGAGAAAAAAACAGAGACAACCGACAGATAATCTAGCGGTTCAAGTTATATAAAGGTTCAGTCGCTCAAAAGAAACGCCATAGAGATATATGACCAAAAAAAAAGGAGATAGGGAAAGCACAAAAGAAAAAAAAAGATACTACCGGTAACTTAAATGCCCATTTCCACAGCCCGCTGTGTAGAGCGAGCCTTCACAAATTCAAAGCTGTCCGTGACGCCTTGCCAGATTCCGGGTACGAAATTGCGTACCCATGCGCAGATAACCAAAAGAAGAAGGGGAATCTAAGAAAAACGTTAGTTATGAGCAGAACGAGAGGGGGTAAATGTAGTTGCTTACCCAAATGAAATAGAGGTTGCGGTCGCTGCCTAGACCCTTCATTCGTCGGGCCTGTTGTTCTCGAAGATGCTTTTGTTGCTCATGCGAGATGACCTTGCGGCCAATCGTGACCTCCTTGAGCTCCTCTTTGTCGGCCTGGGCCAGGGCGGACACGGAGGCAGCCTGCGATGATGATGCCACGGGAGTAGCACTGCTTTGAGCCTCGATTTGAGCCTCAAAGTGTTGATCCAGAGCTGCCTCAGTCGCGGCGCGAAGGAGGGATGTCTTCTTCATATCGTCATCGGCACTGGTCTCTGGGTGCGGATATAGCTCATCGTATGACGGTGGTTGAGTTGGGCTTGGTGCTGAGTTACCCTTGAGGTAATCCCACCAACCATCGCCAGCAGCAGGCCGATGGGGAACAAGATTGGTGATGCGACGCATCATTCCTTGACCTTGGTAATCCGGAAGGGCAGGGATTGCGGGGATCGCGGGCATTGCAGGCATCTGGGGCAGAGCCGGAATAGTGGGCCAGGCATTCGCCACGCTGTGTTGGAACTGGTTGATTTGAATAGCCAGTTGATCACGCCAGGCTACAAGAGGAGCTGGTGGGGCAAAGGCTCGCTCATGGCCAGGTGCAGGGTTTTGTTCACTGTTATCCACGATAGGAGGATTTAAGTCTTGGTGCATACTCGAACGACGAGAGGAAGTGAAGTGAAGAGAATTAGAGTCGGAGTCATCACTGAAATCATCCTCGTCTTCAAGATCCGACGAATCATCAACAGCATGACCAAGAGAGCCAGAAGCCGATGATACCTCCCACATAGAGCTGAGCGAAGCCGAGCTACTCTGCCGGCGGCGAGATGTAAGCGACCCAACACTGCGAGACCGGTGGTGACGGGAGGGAAGAAGGGCAGCTTGATGTGCAGCAAGGGTTGTCGCCAGATCGGCGGCAGTGAAGCCACGGACGCTGCGGGCATTGGCATTGGCACCGGTCAGACGTAGGCGGTTGACGATATGAGCATGACCATTAAGGGCAGCCAGATGCATAGGCGCGTTTCCGGTGTTGTCCTGGACATCGGGGTTGGCACCCCGTGCCAAAAGCCCAGCAACAAACCTAGTAAGCCCGAGAGAAGCAGCAAAGTGAAGAAGACTCTGGCCTGTGGCACTGCGAGCGTTGTACCGCGGCGGACGTGGGCTATCGTCCAAGTCAATGAATTCCAAATAAGTCAACATCTTGGAATCAAGATCACTGAGCTTGCCCTGGTTATCAAGACCCGGGACTTGACGTTGCTGACCACCAGAAGAGTTGCCTTGCATGTCACCCTGCATGTTGAAGAAGGCGTTCGGATCGCTTCCCATGATCTGCTGAGCCGTTTGGAATGCGTCCGCCTGGCTTCCAAGCTTCTGACCAAGGATGTTCAAGGCTAAGCGGTACATTTGAAGTTCACGATCATCCACGTAGCGGAAGAATAGCTGCTGCTTCGGCATGAGTGGTTGAGGTTGCTGAACTTGACCAAATGTCGGGTGCTCATGCTTGAAGACAACAGACACCAACCCTGGCTGGAGAGCAGGAGGAGTCAGGCAGTTGAGACACTTGTCACCCCAGAAGGTGGTTGTTGTTGCAAGAGTGTCCCCGAAAACAACCTCCATACCAGGATAAAATCCGCTACCCAACAAAGTAACTTCAGTACCTCCGGTAATTGAGCCCTCGGCAGGTACCAACTTATGAATCACCGATGGCAATCGATTAGGGGCATTGTTTAATGGAGGCCAGACCTGACTTGATGAGTTCGTACCAAGTGCGAGAGCGAGGTTAGGATCCTGGAACCCATTGCGATTCGAGCCACCTGGGGTCCCAGGACGACTAGGATGTGCTGAGCCAGGTGTAGAGCCCATGGGGACCTGAGCTAGGCTATCCAAACTCTGACGTTGGGCGGGAGTGGGGTTGAAGAAAGGATTGTTGTCATTGCTCTGGTTGGGAGTCGGGGGTCCGTTCCCATACTGGCCGTTCATTGAAGAGGGCGTGACGAAGGGGCGTTCGGTAGGTGAAGCGTAGCCACGAGCGGCTGCGAGCTGTGCGGCATTGTTCATTGCTGAAGCGGATGATTGAGGGGTCTCAAGACGTGTCATCGTCAACTCCGATGGCAACCTTCCGGAGCTGCTGTGCTTGCGTCGTTTACTCTGTGGTCCTTGGAATTCCGATGGGGAGGCTCCTCTAGAGAGGCTTCGAGATGATTGCGAGTTCACAGGAGCTCCATTTGCTGAACCAGGAGCCGCAAATGAGCTAGGTGTGAGTTGATATTGAGAATTAAATCTTTGTTGGAGACCTTGCAGGTCCGTCGGCGATTGAGGCCCAGCGAAAGGACTCTTCCCGTTTTCAAGAGTTTGCCCTGAGGGGAACACACCTACTCCTGGAAGCTGTGTCCCATCAGCAAGCGAAGGTGAAGGACCATTTAGCACAGGTGCGGATGGAGCCTGCGTCTTGTGGTCGTCGGTAATCATGATCGAGTTAGTGATGGCCTGGGCCACCACGTTGTCGGTGTGATCTTTGATGGTAAAGATGACCTGGAATCCAAGCTTCTCGTTCTGGTGTCGACAGTAACAAGCAATTCGCATAGGCAATTCTACTTGCATAGATCCTGGCGGTGCTGATCCCATGTCACCATAGTTGCCATTGGTGTTCTTCGGTGGCTCTGTCCACTCCTTGATTTCACTGGTATTGAAGACAATGACTCGCTTTTCCTCATCCTTCTGGAACAGTTCGTCCTCCTCGGGCTTTCGTTGCTTCTTGCGGGAGGCACGTTTGCGCTCTCGTTGTATACACCCGCTGCAGATCTTAACGTCGCCTCCGTCTAGCGGACGTTCGTCATCCGAGGTTGGTTGGTAATGACCACCCCTCGTCCGTGCAAACGCCCGCTTCATCTTCTCTCGGTCTTGCATGGCGCTTGTGCAAACAAGACTTGTGTGCAATTGGAGAGTGTCATTGAGAGGTTCGGTGGCAGGAGGGGCGAGGAATTTGAGTTTTGAGATGGTGTGCGAGGGAAGGCGGAGTTTCTTGACGGCGGTGGGAAGAGGAGAGAGGGTCAATCGGATGGGGATTTGGGTTTCGACACGGGATTTGAGGGAAGTGGGATGCACCGTAAGAACAGGCTGCAGCGGAGTTGCTGAGTTCATCGGAGGTTGCGCTGGGGAGGAAGCGAAGTTGACAGGGAATGGGTACGCTGCGGGAGAGCCGAAGTTCATGTTGGGCGAAAGGGAGGCGTTGAGGTTGAGAGACGATTGCCGGTTCATGTTGATGCCTCCAAAACTCTCTTCTAGAATTGATGAGGGCGACTGTCCACCCCACTGCGGAACCGACCCTTCTAAATCATGATGCATGTTGTTTGAGTACGGTGACTGGCCATTTAGTCCAAAAGCGAAGAACGGGGATCCCGGCGCATGAACCTGAGACAAATAATATATTAGCGTTACTTCGATGAAGCATGAATTGGTGACTCACCGGAGGTGCAGCATCGGATGAAAGCCCTGCGTGGTTACTAGAAGGACTCCATAGCTGTGATTTGGGGCGCTTTTGCGGTCTCGGTAAAGAGGCATGATCGGATTTCAACGGACTGGGGCTGCTGGCCGCACTTTCAAAATCAAAAGCCGCATCCATCGCCTTATTGCTAACCTCCAGATCGGGATCCATTGAAAACCCGCCATCCATGGGAAAGGAAGGCTCAATATTGAACGGTGATTCCTCCTTGACAGATGATAGTTCCGGGCGCATCCAGTCTTCCGAGTAGTTCACAGAAGCCATGGGATTCTCACTGTGAGCGGCGGAATTTGTGGATGCAATCGAGGTTTGTCGCATATGGTTTCGCGGGGATTCGGACGAAGAGCTGCGACTCGAGTCATCGGGCGATTCGGCTGGCGAGTCAGCGGCGAATGCAGACACCTGCCTCAGGGGGTTTTGGTTTTGATAAGATTTCGAGGGCCGCGAGATACCATTCTGACGAGAAGTCGTCGCCCTGGCGAACAAATCATCGAAATCCCCGCCAGCACTTTCGGTCGACATTTCGAGTTTTGTTGGGTCGAGGAAGTCCATGTTGGCGTTGCGGAAGGTGGACTCCATTTCGTCGTCCATAATGATCGGGTCCAGGGAAGGGAATGCGGGAGAAGAAGGTACCTGCGATGGTCCCATGCTTCGCTGTCTCCAAGTTGAATCTCAAATATCACAGGAGTTGAATTCACCCGCCACCTTTATCCTTGCCGAAGGCTTACCCGCGGTCGGAGCACGAGATACAATGTTGACACGGGTTCTAACAGGACCAGTCTCCAGAGACCATGGCCCTGCGCTTGAAAAGTTGAGAGTGGTGAAATATGGGGGTTGGTTGTTTGGGGGGGGAAGTCACTGCCTGGGCTTGTGTAGGAAAGGAGAGCGGGAAAACTGTGAACGCCGATCCAGCCCGGCCGAACGTCAATAGAGCAAGTCCACCAATTCTGAGATAAGATGATCTGATATAAATAGAGGGCAATACAAAGGATTAGAGAAATGCTTCAGTCAATTCAGAATAATCGCGAAACAAGATGAGTCGATGTTGAGATGGTTATCTTTCAACTACTATAAGCCGGACACCTCAGGCACCGTAAGCGGTGACCCAATACGGTACACGTAATACGCTGTTCACCGACTCTGATTGGTCAGCCGTGGTTTGACAGCCCTGGAGCCCCCCGGGGAGAGCCTTCTGGATCTTCCTCGTTGCTCCATATCAGTTTTAGATCACATTCGATTCACATACTGTACTCCTTCCATTCCAACATTGTATCACATATTCCCTATCCGGTCTCGCCTTTCTTTTCCATGCTTTTCTCTTCCACGCATCCGGCTCCTCTAGGAATGACCCGACTGCTTGGAATACTTACATTACGTGTTTCGCCAAGCACCACACAGACATCGGGCTATCATGCCCTTGTTCATATGGCCCGCTATCGGTTGTCCGACCATTGAGTAACCCAGTTAGCTGCAGTGTACTTGGATGCCCACCTTATCAACCCCCTCCGCACGTTGGGACTTGGATATGATCGCCATGATCTCCCGAGCCCATCTCGGCACAGCTTTGCGCACAGCCCTCAAGACGGCACATTTCGTATAACCCATATCGCAATCTGTTTGTGTCGAGATCGGGTAATGGGTAGAGACCCGAGGGATTATCGTAACCCGGAAGGCGAGCCTGCAGACGGAGATCGAGTTCACGGAAAGCCACACGGCCGAGACTGACATTCCATTCGGTGCATCTAGATTTGCATGGATGATTGCCCGGCTCATGATGCGCACTGCCCCCGTTGAGATTTGTGAGAGGCGTGTCCGGAATATGACTTGGAAGGCAATATCTCCTCGGGATAGCAAGACATTGTAGTCAGCATGCAGTTGGCGTTGTGAACCAACGTCATTCTCTTCGCTTCAAGATGGCAAGTAAACAGTTAGCGCCTGAGTCTTTAACTCGAAGCTCCATTGTGCAGGAAGTCCAGCCTTAAACCCCTGGATAAAATTAACGTCTCCGAGTCGAAGCCCACTGTGACCGATGCAGGTCAAAGGCCGCTCTCGGACTCCGTGCGGGCCGGTGTGCCGGGTGTTTCAAAGTGAATGCGTATAAGCGCCAATACCCCTCAGCCAAAGAGGCGAGTTAAAGTTCTTGGAGGAGACAGGCGTAGAGATTGAAATCTGAAAGGTGAAATCAACCGGTTGGGTTGTAAAGAAGAGAAAAATCGTTGAGTGGCCCGGGCCCAGATATGCCATTCTGCCAGCTTCTCGTACTTCGCATTTACACCAACACATCACCTCTCCCTGTTTCAACTTGAGTCCCCTTGAGCAGGACACTCTAGACAGCCTGGACCCGTCAGAATGTTTGGTGGAGACATGTCGCCGGTAGCAGTCTCCTATTGACCAAGCTTTTTTCCTAGATTTTAACGAGATTATTCCGACACGCAGGAGCTCGCATTGCTTCTTGGCAGGGCGGAGGTGTCAATGCAGTGATGGATCATTTCCAAAAAGGGGAGCAGAAGCCCTAGTGTCCTCGCAGCTGTCACGATGAAACTTGATCTGTCGCAGACAACCGCTCAGGGATCGACAGGCACCAACTAGAGCAGGGCTCACTGTCGAATGCCCCCCTTTCATTTGTCCGATGGGGCATACCTTAATTAATTTTCTTTTTAGCGCATCTTGGGAACCCCCAGCGCGTTAGAGATCAGTTTGTTTCATCTATCTCTCACCTCGGAGCTGCTGGTGTCTCGGCCAGCTGAGGATTCTCCACCTATGGGCGCCGAAGCAGAACGGCGGAAATCCATGCCATACCAGAAAGACCTGAACTATTGAATTGCTCCGTGATGGGGTTCTCTTGGCAGGGGAAACGGTGCGGCTCCTATCATACCGAAAAGAGCCATGATGCCGATGAGGTAGAGCATATAAGACTCTGGCGTTGCCGTCCAAGTTGATTTTTCCAATCCATCAGTCCTTTGCATTCCATTCTTTTCAAGGTCCAGTACCTTCTTCTCTCTTTTTGCTCTTTTGGGTTGACTTCATTGACTGAAGTCCCCTTTGCATTCTTTTCTTATCCTCTTTGATCCTTCGATCCAAACGCTGTGCGTTCTTTTCATCACAACTTCTTCAAGATGTCTATCTCCAAAATTGCTGGTCTCGTCCTCGCCTCGGCCTCCATGGTCGCTGGTCACGGCTACGTCTCTGGTGCCGTTGTCGACGGTACCTACTACAAGGGTTTCATCGTTGATACCTACAACTACATGACCGATGTTCCTGCCAACATTGGATGGGCAGAGGATGCCACCGACAACGGCTACATTGACGGCTCTGCCTACTCCGAGCCTAACATCATTTGTCACAAGGATGCCACTCCCGGTGCCATCTCCGCTGAGGTCAAGGCTGGTGGCTCCGTCGAGCTCCAGTGGACTGCCTGGCCCGAGAGCCACCACGGTCCCGTCATTACCTACATGGCCAACTGTAACGGCGACTGCTCCTCCGTTGACAAGACCACTCTTGAGTTTTTCAAGATCGACGAGGGTGGTCTGATCGATGACAGTGCCGTCCCCGGCACCTGGGCTTCCGACCAGCTCATTGCCGCCAACAACAGCCGCACTGTCACCATCCCCAGCTCCATCGCCTCCGGCAACTACGTTCTCCGTCACGAAATCATCGCCCTGCACTCCGCTGGTGAGTCCAACGGCGCCCAGAACTACCCCCAGTGTCTCAACTTGAAGGTCACCGGCGGTGGTAGCGACAGCCCCAGCGGTACTCTCGGTACCGCTCTGTACAAGAACACCGACCCCGGCATTCTCGTCAACATCTACACCTCCATGAGCTCCTACACCATCCCCGGTCCCGCTCTGTACACTGGCGCTTCCTCCGGATCCGCTGCCACTGCTGCCTCCTCCGCCGCAGCTGCTACCACAGCCGCTACTACCACCCAGGCTGCCACTACTGCTGCCGCCTCTAGCGTGAGTGCCACTCCCATTGCGAGCTCCTCGTTCTCGCACCCGGCCTACAGCCGCACCAAGCGTCCTTCCCGCAGCGCCACTCCCTCACCCTCATCTACTCCTACTTCTATTCCTTCCATCTCCATTCCCAGCGCGGCTGAGGCTACCCCTGTCGGCGATGCTCCCTCTGATGTCACTGTGACCGATTACGCTACTGCTCAGGTTACTGACCAGCCTGCAATCCAGACCGCCAGCGCCGCCACTGTCACTGTCCCTGGTCAGTCTGTCCAGAGCGCCGCCCCCGCTGCTGAGGAGTCCTCTGCCGCCGCTGCCACCACCACCACCGCTGCCGCTGTGCCCGTTCCTACCTCCAGCACTACCTCCAGCACTAGCTCTGGCTCCAGCTCTGGTTCCAGCTCCAGCTCCGGCTCCTCCAGCTCCGAATCTAGCTCCACCACCTCCACCTCGGACTACTCTTCCTACCTCAGCTCCCTGAACGCCGATCAGCTCCTCAGCGTCATCCGTTCTACCCTGAAGTGGCTTGTCTCCGACAAGAAGGTCCACGCCCGTGACCTGTCTATTTAAAAGCGCTCAACGCCGCTAGATGTATAGCGATGAATATTTGCCTGTTCATGTCTATACATCGGTTTTCTTTTGATATGATCTTTTGAGTTTTGGAATCGGTTGGAAATCGGATCGGATATCCTGTCTGGCTTGTGATTTCTGGACGGACTGCATGTAACAACACCGTCCTACGGATTTTCTTTACCTTTCTTTCTTTTTACCTCCCCTGGGAGACGAGAGACTCGCTCACTGAGTTTCTTTTACATATTTTTTTCTTATGAATGGAATTGCTGGACTGCTCAACTTTGGTGCTTTCTCGTAGTCTTGGCCGTCTTATGAATGTCGAAGTTGGTGCCATGGTCTTTAATATCAGCGCTGATACAATCAATGTTATCAGATTATACTGCATTGTCTCCCACTATCCTAGTTTTTCTCGATCGGTGAGACTGTATGTTCCTGGAGACTAGCAATCACAACTGTCCAGTCCTCATCAGCACAGCCATCATATAGTGCGTTGAAGGCCACTGGCGCATGGAAAAACGCCAGAGCCTCCAGTATACCTGGCAGACGGAAGCACCCTGACCCTGGGACTCATTGCTCATGACTAAGACTTGCACGATCTACATTTGATCTGCACCAAATGAAGAAGGCATAGAGGTCAATCTTGAATCAACCATACGGCTCTCATCCCGACTGGTAGTATTGTGTATCCATCAATAACACCACTTGGAATTCTCACCATGAGCACATCAATGCAGATCACGGATGGAAATGACCTGCGTTACACTTGAAATCACCCCCAACAGATTCTCGCCACGCTTCCAAGGCGATCGAATAGTATGCTGGACGAAGATCGCCCAATGACGCAGTTCTCGATATCTTGAATGTTGCCCATGCAGGAAGTAACGATTATGGGATCGTACCCTTCACTTAAGGTCTCGGGATTTGATACTTGTTACACCATGCATTGCTGATGAGATCCTCGAAATAACTTGCGATTCGAAAATGCGATTGATTTCTTGAATTGACTGTTCTATCCATATGGAAAGCATGACTCCATCTTGCAATCATTTAATAAGTTATAGCCCTTCACAAATTCGAGCTGGGTGAGTGGAATGTTGGTGGTTTCGCCCTGTAACACAGAACATCAAGGGATGGCATATACTGTAACCGAGGCTTGCAGCCTCTTCCTCGCACTGTGAATGCTCATCGCCAATTAGGGCTTTCCCAGAGTCTCACATCCCTGGAATAGCGGACGTGGTTGCACAACATGAAGCTGGCCTGGGGAAGGTTGGCCACCAACAGACCGACGGTGTAATGTTTTGAAAGTACATAATCAACTGCATGAATATAAATATTTTCTAATTCCAGGATCTTGAAAAGGCACTACTTGGTGATTCATCGCCTATCAAAATGGAAAAGCAAACTAACGACAACACTAGCCAGGATCGCCAGTATTCCGAGGATGAATCTGACCTTCAAATCGATTATCCGACGGGTTGGAGGCTGTGGGTTATTACAATAGGGTATACTTGAAATTTCATTCTTTTCGCTATGTATTCAACACTAAGGACCTCTTTCATCCTCTAGTCTGCTCATGGGCCTCTATCTGGTCAATCTCGAAGTGACCATCGTGAGTACTTCACTTGTCCGTATCACGAATGATCTCAACGGCTTCAACAAGACAAGTTGGGTGGTGACGGGGTTCTTGACAACATATACCTGTGAGTATGAAGTTAAAATCAATCAACTGTTCCAAGATTCTAATAATCTAGCTTTCATGCCGTTATGGACTAAGATCAGCAATATCATCGGACGCAAACGAGCAATCCTAGCTTCAATGGTTATCTTTTTGGCATTTTCGCTGGGATGTGCCTTGTCTAAGGAAATGAATCATTTGTGAGGATCAGAGTCAGGCACCGTTCCAAAAACACAGCTGATCTTCTCTCTGAATAGAATCATCTTCCGATCGCTACAAGGCGCAGGCGGGGCAGGAGTCTACTCGCTTGTCATCCTCTGTGTGTATGAGATAGTCCCAAAATCCAGAATGCCATTCTTTGGTGCCCTGCTTGCAGTCACGATTGCGCTCGCCTCGCTGACGGGGCCCATTTTCGGTGGTCTTGTGGCTGAGAACTCGGCATGGAGATGGGCCTTTTATGTGAAGTGAGTGGATCGATCTTAAAGCATTCCATTTCGAGTTTGACGAACCCTAATCTCGAATTCTACAATAGTCTCCCTCCAGGTGGATTGGCAGTCTTCATGTTGCTCGTCACTATGCCGTCCGACTTTGGAAGTATCAAACCACAGCCCTTGTCCGCCCTCCTGCCAAGCTATTCCCTGTTCTTGAGTCTCGATGCATTGGGCTCATTCCTTCTGCTGGGCGCATCTCTTCTGCTGGTCACAGTACTCAACGAGACAAACATCGAGTTCGATTGGTCTTCGGGGACCGCCATTGCCTTGATCGTCTTGTCTGGCGTAATGTGGGTTGCATTCTTTGCATGGGAGTGGTTTATGCCTGATTACCTGCCTGCTCTGCAACCTGTATTCCCGAAGCGGTTTTTCTACAATAAAGCATGGATGGGAATGCTGGCGTAAGTCGAGCTGAACGCAAAGTGTTACGAAAATTGGCTGACTTCTTATCCAATGCAGCACCAACTTTTTGTGTGGTTGCCCTTGGAATGTAGTCATTGTCTACCTGGCGCAACGATTTCAACTGATTACTAGGCTCGGCCCTCTTGATGCTGGAGTACACATTATCCCATATGCTGCAGTTGCAACTGTGTGTACTATGGTCACCTGTCTAGCAAGCCGCAAGCTTCGCATACCTGTGGTTTACTTCGCATTGATTGGATCTATATTGCACACTATTGGCATGGCGCTTTTAACAACACTTCCAGAGAACTCATCTTATCCTGCCAAGGGATATGTATTCGAAGCCATTGCTGGTGCTGGTGTTGGAATTACAATTGGAATCCTTACATTGGCCGTGCCTTTCATTGTTGAAGGAAAGGACTTGGGTGAGAGCCAATTTCTCCTTTTGCTTACTGTTCTGGTAGTGTGACTGCTAACACATATATTTTAGCCACGGCTACAGGCGCTTTGAACCAAGCTCGATTCTTGGGTGGAGCGATTGGATTAGCCATTGCGTCGAACATCCTCTACAGCAAATTGAAAAGTGACCTTCCCCATCAGTTGCCTCCTGCTCAAGTCAATCTAGTCATTGAAAGAGCGGGGGCTATCGAAACCCTGCCAGAAAAGGTTCAAAAAGTGGCGGCCACTGTTTTTGCCCAGAGTTACACTGTGCAGTTCCAGGCTATGATTGCTTTTGCTGCTTTACAAATTCCCGCATCTTTGTTGATCTTGAAACGTGGACGGCAATATGTTGCTAGATAGTCGAGCCGATGTCATGTGAACAGAGAGATGAGATGGGTGGCTTGTTTGGTATACTTTTAATGATAGACTAGTGTTCAAATTATAAACAAGGTTGATCTTTCAATTCGGCGTCCCAAATTCAATGACCCAAGATAGTGGCAAGGCAAAGGCAAAGCCATATCGTACGGCCTAAAATCCAGTATATATAATGGTTAACTGGCAAAGGCCAATCAATCTAGACATACAAAACTGCATTTCGACCTGCCAAGGCGTTGACTACCACAATTATAGTGTAGAACAGCCCTGTATTCTACAACCAGGAGAAGGGCCCGAATCGGGAGATGAAAATGAGATAATAGTCAATTTAGATGTATACACCATCCAGAAGATAGACAATCTATAATAATACACCAGCCTCGCAATCCTCACAGTCTTCCCAAGCCTCCTCTTGACCACCTTGAAGTTCCCGACTTTTATCACCTTTGACAGTCAAGACCTCTTCAAAGAATCTACACAAAGCATCCAAGAACTCCTCAGAACGAGGTACGTAGTGAGTTCCCTTGAAATAATGCGTATAAGAATTCTCACAGCATTCTTGCAGCCGTGCACATTGATACTCGTGAATCATCGTATCCAGGGTACCAATCACATGAAAGAAAGGTGTTTTAATGCAGCTGTAGACCGGCTTATAGAACGGATTTGCCAGTGTAAATCCACAAATTGAAACCGCAAACTCCAAAGGAGGGTGGTTGGTCTACGAAAAGTCAGACCAACACCATCACTTACCACAGACATTGAAACGCATAGCTTGCTAGAAAGCTCTACCCACTCACCTTGAACTCGAAATTGCAAAGCGACTCTCTTTTTTCCAAGAGCGAGGTGACAATAGTAGCCACAGTCGCGCCTGTCGAAAAGCCCATGACCCCGATGAAAGGCCCGTACTTGTCTATATATCGCATGATGTTCGTGACTGACTTTTCAAGACCCCGGATTCGGTCTTCGTCGATGTCGCCGTATCCCCATGCCCAGGCGTGGTTCTCTTCTCCCTCGGGCTGGTCCGGATTGACGGGCAGCTTCGCGCATGGATAGTGGAATTCGACGACTTCAACTTGGCTTTGAGATGGATCTTGCTGTACCGCGTTGAGCACGATTTGCTCGGCTTTCCGTTGTAGGAATCGTGTCTTGCATCGAAAGAATTGGCCGGATTGGCCGTGTCCTGGATTGTTGGTGAGTCCTTGTGCTGGAGGATTTGTTCAGATTGAGGGTCAAGTACCGTGTAGCATCAAGACTTTGGCGCATGATGGATCTGATTTGTATGCTGTTGTGGACATGATGGGAAGGTTGAAAGTGAAATGATTTAGACTAGTAGATTTGAGATCGAAGGCTTGCATCGAATTATATAAACCTTCGCTCTACACTCTAGTTGTGCAAAATTTGTCTGAGTATCGTGTACCTGTGTTGGTGACACACATAGTCCATACCCAATGACGTTGGTAGCAAAGAATGACATAGATGCAAGCTGCATATTGGGCCTGGAATGGGGTGGCAAGAGTAATCGGTGTAACTCCATCTATGGATGCCAACGTGATTACTGATGTCAGCATAGCAAGCCCGATTATGGAACATGAGCATGAGTAGCAGGCCAGGAACAGGTGAACTTTTGCATAGCGTGTAACTTTATCTACTTCCAGGGCTTATTGGTTATCGTCAAGGACTCATGATCCTGCGAATAGGGTGGAGCGGCGAACTCTAGACTGAGGCCCGATGAGCCAGTTACCTCAATTGCGAGTCATGAACAGACATAGAATGCACGTGGAACAGATAAGGAAGTAAGGAAATATCTGCCGTTTCGCACAGCAGATGGTAACTTGGTTGTGATCGTACAAGGGATTCAATGATCATCCAATTAGTATCTGTCGTTTCGCACAGTAGATGGTAACTTGGTTGTGATCGTACAAGGGATTTATCGATCATCCAATGAATGCCCAGCATTCACATTCCAAGATTGATATGGTGGATCGAGAAGTTTGGTCTCTCTAGTGTGGGCACGAACTACTCTGTGTATGTACAGCCTGAGCCTGAGCCCCATTTACCTAACTTGATTTTCATTTATATGGAAATCTACTCAGTCCAGCGTTATGATCTCATACCTGGACAGATCAAGTCTTCTTTTTCTTGGTTTTGTCCACAACTTCTATCCACTGTGTCTTCAGTCCACGGCGCCCAAGTGCTGTCTCAATCGCCTTGCGTTGATCACCCTGAACCAGGACTTCCATAACACCCTTGGGTGCTCCCATAGCCTGTGTCACACTAGTGCTGCCGGCACACTTCTTCTGAAGTTCCTGGGAGAGAAGAGTAGGGATCACACCAAAGATTTCCAGGTTCATAACCTTTGTGACTGTCTTGGATCCCGTACGCTTTTCGAGAGTGACAGTGACCTTTGGAGCAGTGCCTGATTTGGGCTTGACGTCTGCAATGGTTTGGTCGTTCTTCAAAATGAGGTAGTGCGGCTGGACAAGAGTTCTGTCTTCGGCAATACGTTTCAAAAGACCATCGCGGGTGACCTTGCCACGCGCGAGCGTTCCTTTATCTTCTGTGGAATCCGAAGTGAAGATGGTGTTGGCCAGGAAGGGGTTGATAGTGATGATACGTCGGTTTTCTCGAGAGACGATAGGAGGATCTTGCGATTGCAGATATTGATCCAGGTGGGTGGAGATGTCGGAGTATTTGTAGAAGTTGGATGGGCTGCTCGCGGAAAGCGCAGGGAAGATGTTCGGGATCAGCTTTCCCGATGGACGGTACAGATTTTGTACGCTGATCGTCTGTCCTACAGAGGGATCACCACCATCAGCAGCAGGCTTCTTCCCATCTGCTGCAGAGGGCTTGTTTTCAAGGGCATTCTTCGAGGGTAATCTGTATGGAACGAAACGTTGGACGCGATGATCGTCAAAGTCGACATCAAGAATCACAGTTTCCTGGCCATTGCGGTCCTTGGATTTGACGAGTTGGGTTTTGTCCAGATGCTTGATGAACTTTTTGACGTTTTTCCAACTTGTCTTCTTGATGTTATAAAATTGAGCCTGTTGAGCATTATGAATTGGCAGGTAAGGGGCGGTAAAGTTAGCTATTAAAGCTGAGGGTGAAATTGGGAGTGGCAGGCCATGGTTGTTGGCCGAGGGATTGTCCTGTTTGAGCTTGTAGAGAGCATAAACAAAGGCATTGACAAAGGCATCATCAATTTCTGTTCTTGGTCAGTGTTTGAAATTTAATTGAAGTTCTGAATCAGTGTCGACTTACCCTTTGTTGTTGGCTCTGGCTCTTCAGACTCCAGCTCCTCCGCTGAAGCGGGTTCATCGGCCTCTTCTGCACCTCCATTTTCCTCAACTGCCAACGCTTCAACACCTTTCTCAAGCTCCTCAGTCTCATCTTCATCCCAGCCTTCCAGGTACTCAGGAGCTGCGCGGCCCGGTCGTGATGAAGAGCTCCATGCCCAAAGCTCATCTCCCTCCCAATGCAGACCACGAACCGCCGAGCCCTTTGTGCCCTGCACCTCCCCGAGCGCCGATACATCAATCTCACAGATTCCTACAAAGCGAGGCACAGTATGTCTATCCACACTCGCGACCGCAACAACCGCATCCTTGACCGCCCTTGCGGGGAACGGCGGCTCATTCGCAAGACCAGGCGTCATGAGGTCCGCCCCGCCATGGAGCTTGCCCATCACAAATCCGGGGGTATGGAGAAGCGGAACCAGGTTGGGATTGTTCCATAGCGTGTAGACAGTAGGGTACAGTCGCTTGTCGGCACCCGGGCCATGCTCCAGCTTGAACCATAGCACGCGCTCTTCGCCATCTGGATGCGCGCCGACATACACGATACCCGTCAGCTCTCGAAGGTCTGGCCCGGCGGTTGTCGTGAATCGAGCAGTCAGCGAGTTATCGGGGAGAAGGGCATTTCGGATTGACGTCAGGTTCGGAGAGGTGGTAGAGGCTTGATCTTCAGTTGAAGTTGAGGGAATGCTGATCTGGTATTCCTTGATGATTTGGTCCGCAATTTTCCGCCGATCAGATGACCGTAGCGGTGCTAAGTTTTTGATCTATGCCATGTTAATATGTGTTTGTTTTCTTTTGCGTTCGAGGTGCGGATTAAGCAAGCTTCGATGGAGGGGCAGTGCGGGGAGGGGAGGTATTCACTGTAGGCTTCTTTTTGAACATAATTGAGAGGTCAAGACCAGTTCTTCTGGTCTGGAATCTAGGATGTTTAGAATAGGGCGAAAGCAGGACCAGCTGCAAAGAAATGACGGGAATGAAGAAGTTGAAGGGACAAAATCATCGGGCCCACACCGAACCCGAACTCTGCGATGACTCCAAGCTATGCGCTATACTCGCTTCTTCCAAATGGCCCATGTTAGTCCTTTCCCTGTGGAGGAGGATATGATGCAGAGATCCAACATGACTCGCCCCATATCTTGTTTTTTTTTCTTCTTTCCAATTAGTCTGGCCTTGACGCCAATTGACCCTTAGCCCCAGCTCTAACGGGACCGTTGAGTATCCCTGCATGTACAGACTTCCATGTTAAGGACATCTCAGCTAGTGACAAACTCTTGCTTGATCTACTAGGTGTTGGACGATCAGAAACAAGAACCAGATATGAAGAATGACATACGAAGGCATATGACATAGGTGACAAGCTTCCCAGACCGCACAGAGAGCCTCATTCTGAAACATAGTAGCTTGACAGAGTAGATCAGCCCATACATAAATCATCAAAATACATCCGATCTTATGATTATCAAGTCAGACCGAATCCATCCCAAACTCAGAAGATCCAGCAGAAATGTATCAACTCCGCGGCAGATCGGACAATCGCCGATAACCCCCACACTCTCTCAGACCTGGGGAACATCCATCTTCATCATACCAAAATGCCCGTCTACCACGTTGGTAAGTACCAGACCGATGCCTCATATCCATCCAAACTACGTTCCAAGTAATCAGCAACACTAACAATACAGTCCTCTTCCGCCTCAAGCCCGGCGTGACTTCCGCCCAAGTCGCAGCCTGGAAAGAGGTCTGCCAGGGAATGGTGGGGAAGATCCCAGGTTAGCCAGAGATCCCAGGCATGCGCTGCGTAAGAGTCGCAAGAAATTAATGCGTATCAAATCAACAGGCTTGCAATCCATCCAGAGTGGACCGCCATTGCCGATTAGTATTCCCCGCGCCCAGGGCTTCGACATGGCCCTCATTGCGGTTTTGGATACCCCGGAGCATATTGCTACTTATGCCGTGCACCCGGCTCATCTGGAGTGTGTTCTCTGATTCTGATGATCTGTCTGTCGGATTAGGGTGCTAATACTGAGTTGTGTAGGGTTCACAAGATACGCGAGGAGCTTTGTGACGATACACTGGCTTATGACCTTGAGTTCTAGGTCACGACTTGGCAGGAGTAGGGTATGTATGTCCGTCTCGCAGGATGAGAGGCAGTGCTACAGGGTGGGAATGTTGAGTAGTGTCATCACAAATCTCATTTGTACATGTCAGACATTGACCTCAAGACTATTGTAATTGGCTGGGTCTTGCCAACGCGTGGATGCTCATAATAATAAAACACGTAACGCCGTATCAGAGTTCACCTCTAAAGAAAAACCTGTCAAATGCGGCCGGCCGGATTTCCTATCCGCAATACTTTTGTGTCCCGCCAACTGATACCGAGAAGCAATAATAAGGAGCTATTTTGAGCTGTTTCCTTACTCCTTGGCATCAACCTTCTTGGCGGGCTGGTCGTTACCACCCTCATCCTCGCGGGAGCGCTTCTGGGTGCTCTGCACAACGGGAACGCCACTGATATTGGTTAGTATCAATCTTTCACGTTGGATGTAAGGGGGGAGAAGCTTACCGAGAATCCTTCTGGGCCTCACGAGGAGCGTCGAAGCCGTTCTTCTGGTCATCAGTGCGGCGCTCGCGCCAGTCACGCTCGTTGCGGTCACCGCTGTCGCGACCACCACGGCCACGGCCACGACCACCGCGGCCACCGCGACCACGACCTCCGCGACCTCCACGACCTCCACGAGAGTTGTTGTTGTTGTTGCGTCCCTGGCTGGGGTAAACATTGCCAGCCTTGATCTCCTCGATCTTCTCATCGCAGTAGTCCTTCTTGCTCTTGAAGGTCAGCTCCTTGTCCTTGTATTGGGGCTTCTCCTCGAGAGCGAGGAAGGCCTTCTGCTTGTCCTCATCCGCGAATTCAACGAAGACGGAACCCTTGAAGGTGCGGTCGTTGACGGTGCGACGGAGACGGATGGCGTTGACGGGGCCGTGGGGGGCGAAGAGTGCCTCGATGTCAAGCTGAGTAGTGGGCTCCTCCTCGCCGAAACCGAAGCCCTTGACGTAAATGCTGCGGGCCATGGTGGCATCTTCATACACCTTGACGGCGCTGGTGTCGTGCTCGTTAACCGACTCGGGGAGAGGAACCTTGCGCTTGATGGCAGTGTCGTTCTCGGTAAGCTCGACGGTCTCGGCTGTCTTCAAAGCCTCGACAATAGCGCTGAAAGGTTGGAAGCGACGCATGCGCTTGAAAGAGTGCAGGAGCTCAAGGGGAACAGCATTGTTGGCGCTGCCGCCGACCTTGGAGAGCAGGAACTTGTCCATGGGGAGGTTGGAGTCGGAGAAGTAGAACTCGACCTATAGTTTGCGCATTAGTAATGTTCAACCAAGACAATGGGACAAAAAAAGACGGTTTGATCGCACCTGCTTGCGGATCTGAACAGGGTCATCGGTCTGCTCCTGGCTGGAGGGATCGAACTTGGCGTTGTTCTGGCGGGCGCCACCACGGTTGAAGCGACCACCGCGCTGGAAGCTGCGGGTTTCACGCTCAGGCTTAGCGGCCTTCTCCTCAGACTGCTCAGACTTCTCACCGAGCTTGGCAGCTTCGGCGACAATGCGAGCTTCATCAGCATCCTCGGTGGGCTTCTCGGAAGCGGCGCTTTCCTTCAGCTCAGCAAGCACATTCTGGACATCCTGCTCTGCCTCAATGTTGGCGACGGGGGTCTTCTGTTCCTCAGCCATTGTGAATTTTGAGTGCGACTGTCGTGTTTGAAAAGATAGACGGAAATTGAGTAGCCCGAGTGACTCAAGCGCAATAAGTCGAAATATCAAGGCACGGATCTGCGCGGTATGAGGTTGTAGTATAGATTATACGCGCCGAGACTTTTACTCAAACAGAGGACAATGGTATGGATCAAGTTCAATCAGCGGGGAGAATCTGGAATTTTTTCTGGGAGCTCTGACTCGGCCTGAGGCACAAACCTAGTCCGGATCGGGATTAGTGCGTTCCATCCCAATTAGGCAATTCAACATGCTCAGATCTATAGGTACAGTGTAGGTAAAGGAACTGGATAAGAAAGATGATGAGATGAAAAGGAAAAATAAGAAGAGTTGCGGGAAGTTTGAGTAACTGACCATATTCACCGCTCAACAGTCGACTCCATCGCGCCTGCCTACATCGACCTGCAGTCACCTTCGTATCTTAACTGCTCTGTTTGTCTCTTTTCCCTGATCTCCAATGACACCACACTCACTGAAATTCCTTTTCTCAGACAGTCTGATACTCAGATACGGCTACAGAGCCCACAATCACATATCAAACTTCTGTTTCAGCTCGCAGTTTATCCAAGACACACCGCAACTGACAGATGCAAATGCTCTGACGCTCTTGAGAATCTCTCAAAATGGTTCTCGCCGAGAGAGGGCCATTAGAAAAAGAAAGTTGGCCGGTGCAGGATGTAGGTTCTACTCCCGAGTTCATGAAACCTTCTTAACCATTCCCCAACAGATCGTTTACCTCTGCATTGTCGGGCCACTCATGCTGGCGGCAGTCTTTGAATGGCTTCTGTGGCTGGGCTCTTTCATCTACTGCCTAGTGAAGGTTTATAGCAAAGCGGACCATTGGAGCATCAAAGTCCTTGCTGTCGTGATGGTATTCTTGTTCTCAGCAATGCGGTGAGCACACAACAGATTCATGGAGAGCTGTGATAAATACTATGCCTCTGGAGTCAAAAACCTAACATAAGAGTTTGATAGATTGTCCTTTCTTCCGGTTATGTTTGTGACCCTCCCACTGCCACAGCAAGTCACTCTATGGGTGCCCCATGAAATGGCCCATGGATTTCAACTATACGCTTTTTGGGCCTTTTCAATCCTGCTTGTTGGGCCATGGCTCTTCTGCGTGTATGGTCTGGCTACCAATTCACTGGGCAGAGCGAAGAAAATAAAACAAGTTCTTGATGATCGAACTGCCCCCAAAACCGTGGTTGTGATGCCGGTGTACAAGGAAGAGCCAGTAGTCTTGATCAAAGCAATCGACTCGGTCGTTGACTGCGATTACCCCGCCAACTGCATTCATGTCTTCCTTTCCTATGATGGCGGGACTGTGGATGAACCCTACCTTCGCGTGCTTCACCATCTTGGAATCCCAATCAACCTGGAAAGCTATCCGCCGAGCATCGACGTGATCTACAAAGGCGCTCGAATCACTGTTTCTCGTTTCAAGCATGGCGGGAAGAGACGTTGCCAAAAGCACACTTTCAAGCTCATTGACAAGGTCTATGCAGAGTATTTGAGGCGACATGATAACCTGTTTGTACTTTTCATAGACTCTGACTGCATACTTGATCGGGTCTGCTTGCAGAACTTCATGTACGACATGGAAATCAAGCCAGGGAGCAAGCATAATATGCTGGCGATGACCGGAATTATCACTTCAACCACAAATAAGAACAGCATACTCACCGTTCTTCAGGATATGGAATACATCCACGGTCAGCTCTTTGAGCGTTCTGTCGAGTCTGCCTGCGGAGCGGTGACCTGTCTTCCTGGCGCTCTCACAATTCTGCGTTTCTCGGCCTTTCGCAAAATGGCCAAATATTACTTTTCAGACAAAGCCGAGCAATGTGAAGATCTCTTTGATTATGGAAAATGCCATCTTGGAGAAGACCGTTGGCTCACTCACCTTTTCATGATTGGCGCACAGGAACGATATCAGATTCAGCTGTGCACGAGCGCCTTTTGCAAAACTGAGGCTGTTCAGGACTTTAAAAGTTTGCTGAAACAACGTCGAAGATGGTTCCTGGGATTTATTACCAATGAGGTTTGCATGATCACCGATATCCGGCTCTGGGTGCGGTACCCCCTGCTATGTCTGGTACGCTTCATGCAAAACACCATCCGAACGACCGCACTGCTATTCTTCATAATGATGATTGCACTTTTCACAACATCAAAAAAGGTCAGTGACCTTCCTGTTGGCTTCATGGGAGTTTCTCTCGGGTTAAATTATCTACTCATGTTGTACTTCGGCCTCCGACTTAAGCGCTACAAGGCCTGGCTGTATCCAATCATGTTCCTTGTCAATCCATTTTTTAACTGGATATACATGGTATATGGGATTTTCACAGCTGGGCAGCGAACGTGGGGAGGACCACGGGCTGATGCTGCAACGGCAGACGACCATAGAACACCAGCCGAAGCAGCTGAACTAGCGAGGCAACAAGGCGATGAGCTGAATGTGGACGTTGACACATTCCGTACCAAACCAATCCGCCGAAGATCCGTCCCTATCCGACCATCAGACAATGTGGAAGGACGGTTTGCCCCGGCGGAGCAACTGTTGGATGGCTTCTATGTCAACACTGCTGGGTCCGGGCCTGCGCTAGCCCGAATGGTCAATGCCATGGAAGCCCCCAAGTACCAGCTACCCCCTCGCTTTCGCTATTCAACCGAGTCAGTGCTCAGTGCATCATCGGATTATGACTCCAACTCTGTACAAATGTTACAAGACGTGGACAATCTCCTGATGAGCGAGGAAGACCAAAAGAAACTCTATTATGCCCGCCAAGGTCGGGCATCAACGGGCACATTCAGCATTCAGGACTTGGAGGACCCTTTTGATGATAGAGATGCAGTGCACTCTATGGTGTCTGGATCTGAAGAGTACGAGCCTGAGGTGCCGGCGCAGGTCTACCAGATGAACCGCCTCAAGGGTAGGCGTCTTGCGAATGATGCTCCAACCACAAGTGAGGCGAACATAATCCGGAAACCATGACTCTCTTGACCCACCATATGATGTTCTCCCGTGTACCAAAGGTACCTGACGTCAGTTTTTTTTTTTTTTTGGCAGTTCCACACGTTTGCCTTTTTTTCTCTCATGTATTCTCTCAATCACTATTGTTATGGTGGGCGTTGTGGTGGCCATAGAGTTCTCTTGCCTATTCCCTTTTGTATCAGCATTCATCCCATATCTTCAAAACCTTATGGTCCCAGGCCTCTATGATGTAGTTGATGTAGTGGAGAGCGGTGAACAGATTTTCCCCATTCTGCCTAGCCCCCGGGCGGTGAAGGTGGGTAGTCCAGCAGCCGCCAGAAGGTTCGATGTGAAAACTCATACTGCTGATGGGAATTATATGTAGTCCAGATAGATCGCTGAATGAGAAGAGTTCTTTTTATTTTGATTCATTTTGCTTCTCATTATACCCCCCTAAAATACCCCATACTTTTTTTTCTTTTTTTGATAGACCGCTGGACAACTTGGTCATCGCCCCTCCAATAATAGTGGAGTGGCGTGCAAATTCTCCCCTCCGACTTCTCGCTTCTTTTCTCTCTTGAACCTCCATCCTTCCACCACCTCCCCTCACATCCCTCACTACTTTCTCCCACAATGAGTGTCGTCGGCATAGATTTGGGTGCGCAAAGCACCAAGATTGGTGTTGCCCGCAACAAGGGCATTGACATTGTGCGTACTGCCCCACGGCCCCGATGCGGGCTCGCGATTTTCTATTCAGATGAATCGAGACCCTTCTGCACTTGAAGGCCTAGCGCTAACTGTTTTACTTGTTTTAGATTACCAATGAGGTTTCCAACCGTCAGACACCGTGAGTTATTCCGAACCCCCCCGCCTTGGTATCTCTGCGAATAGAAGATTAACTTTATATCATAGCTCCCTCGTTGGATTCACTCCCCGCAGCAGACACATCGGAGAGGCAGCCAAGGGTGCTGAGATCTCCAACTTGAAGAACACCATCGGCTCTCTCAAGCGCCTCATCGGTCGCTCTTTCAACGACCCCGATGTCGCCATTGAGCAGGAATACAACACAGCACCCCTCGTCGACGTCGATGGACAGGCCGGTGTCGAGGTTAACTACCTCGGAAAGAAGGAGAAGTTCACAGCCACCCAGTTGGTCGCCATGTTCCTCGGCAAGATCAAGGACATCACCTCCAAGGAGTTGCGCCTTCCCGTCTCCGACTGCACCGTCAGCGTTCCCGCCTGGTTCACCGATGTGCAGCGCCGTGCCATGATTGACGCCGGTGACATCGCCGGTCTCAACGTTCTCCGTCTCATCAACGACACCACCGCCACTGCCCTCGGCTGGGGTATCACCAAGCTGGACCTTCCCGGCCCCGAGGAGAAGCCCCGCCGTGTCATGTTCGTCGACATTGGTTACAGTGACTACACTTGCTCCATTGTCGAGTTCCGCAAGGGTGAGCTCAACGTCAAGTCCACCACCTACGACCGTCACTTCGGTGGCCGTAACTTCGACAAGGCCTTGACTGAGCACCTTGCCGATGAGTTCAAGGAGAAGTTCAAGATTGACATCCGCACTCACCCCAAGGCTTGGGCCCGTACCCTCGTTGCCGCCGAGAAGCTCAAGAAGGTCCTTTCGGCTAACCCCCAGGCTCCCCTCAACATCGAGTCCCTCATGGAGGATACCGATGTTCGCTCTATGATCAAGCGTGATGAGCTCGAAGCCATGGTCAAGCCTCTCCTTGAGCGCCTGACCGTTCCCATTGACCAGGCCCTCGCCGAGGCCAAGCTCACTGCCGAAGATATCGACCAAATCGAGATGGTCGGTGGTTGCACTCGTGTCCCCGCCATCAAGGAGACCCTCACCAACTACTTCGGCAAGACCCTCTCCTTCACCCTGAACCAGGATGAGGCCATTGCCCGTGGATGTGCTTTCAGCTGTGCCACCCTCTCCCCCGTTTTCCGTGTCCGTGACTTCTCCGTTCACGACATTGTCAACTACCCCATCGACTTCACCTGGGAGCAGTCCCCCGAGATCCCCGATGAGGACACCTCCCTCACCGTCTTCAACCGCGGCAACGTCATGCCCTCCACCAAGATCCTTACCTTCTACCGCAAGCAGCCCTTCGACCTTGAGGCTCGCTACACCCAGGCCGAGACCATGCCGGGCAAGGTCAACCCCTGGATTGGCCGTTTCTCCGTCAAGGGTGTCCAGGCTGATGCCAACAACGACTTCATGATCTGCAAACTCAAGGCCCGCCTTAACTTGCACGGTATCCTGAACGTCGAGTCCGGATACTACGTCGAGGACATGGAGGTTGAGGAGCCCGTCGAGGAGGAGAAGAAGGAAGGTGACGCTATGGACACCGAGGACAAGGAGGAGCAGCCCAAGAAGACCCGCAAGGTCAAGAAGCAGGTCCGCAAGGGTGACCTCCCCATCGCTTCCGCCACCGGCGGCTTCGACGAGGCCATCAAGGCCACCTGGACCGAGCGCGAGAACTCTATGTACATGGAGGACAAGCTCGTCGCCGAGACCGATGAGAAGAAGAACGAGCTCGAGGCCTCCATCTACGAGCTCCGCGACAAGATCGACGGTCTCTACTCCGAGTTCGCCTCTGAGGAGGAGAAGGAGAAGCTCCGTGCCAAGCTCAGCGCCACTGAGGTGAGTTTACAAAATCCATTACATCCACTCATATACTAACATTCTTCCAGGACTGGCTCTACGAGGATGGTGACGACACCACCAAGTCCATCTACATCGCCAAGATGGACGACATCCGCTTCATTGCCGGCCCCATCATCCAGCGTTACAAGGAGAAGGCCGAGGCTGAGCGCGAGGTCACCCGCAAGGCCGAGGAGGCTGCTGCATCCAAGCGCCGCGCCGAGATCGCTGCCCAGAAGGCCACTGAGGACGCCGCTGCCCAGAACGAGGAGAACGCCCGCAAGTACGCCGAGGGTGACTCCGAGATGAAGGATGCCCCTGCTGAGCAGTAAATCAATCCACATAATTGATAGCTGGTTTTCTTACGTTTCAAATGCGAATGGAAACGGGAACTCGCGCCGCGTCTCATACTTGGATCATGTCTTTGGCTTGCATTTGTGCTGAGATGGGCGTTGGCGCGGTATGATGAAAAGAACTTTTCAGATGTTTACGGACTAGACTCGATCAACTCAACGAACCATATGGTTGATCACTTTTTTGTTCTTAATGGCAAACGGTTACGATGTAGATCGTTCCATTTTTTCCATGGATGCTTATGAATAGATGAATATACTCTACGCGTTTGTCTTCCACGACTCATTTTGTGAATTTTTGATTAGCCTAGAAGTAGATGTGCAGTAGTAACCTAGCTTGTCTCATGTTCCGTCAATGCACAAGTTAATTTGCATATGAAAAGCGTGAGCACGACACAAGTTGTCAATAGCTGCACCCTGTAGCCAATAACGAGGAAATCAATGCATCTATACCCAGTGATGCCTATTGGCCCACAAAATATGCGTACCCTATACTCCAAGCGGTCACATAATTTATCGAGTAAAATCGGAATGACGCTTTGATTTCACACAGAGGGAAGTGTATATCTGACTCATAGCCCTTAGTTAAAAGTATTTATCGAGATACATAGTCATCCAAGGTTCTGCCCGGAGGCATCAATAAGCCTGACTTATCGCCTTATCTCCGTGCTGACCAAGCTATCGCCGTGGAACCGCGTCGAATTCGCCTCAGCGCCTGCCTATTCGGGACGTATAAGCTTTGCTCTGTCGCAAACTACGCATCTTTCTCCTGCTCCTACCCCAACCACGACATAATAATACCCAGTCTTCGATCTCACAATGGAGGACTCGATGGAGCTCACTGTTCACCACCACGGCACCCCGCACACCTTCACCCTTCCACCTTCAGCAACACTACAAGACCTATCCCACGAAATAGAGAGCATGCTCAACATCCCAACAGACAACCAAAAGCTCCTAATAGCCCCCAAGCCAGGCATGCAGAAAGCGCCATTCCCCACAACAAGATTAGACACCATCCTACAGACCACATCCCCAAAATTCAAAATCACCCTGCTAGGCACCCCAGCTCAAGCAATCGCCGAGCTACACGAACAATCCGCCACAGAGCGCCGGCGCCAAGAAGCAAGAGCCAGCCATCTAGCAGCAGCCCGACGCAACAAACCCGCCGCATCAACACGCCCAGGCGGCGTGCACACGCTCTCCTCCTCAAGCGCCAACTACACCTTCCACCGACTCCTCCCACTCTCCTACCTCCCGAACCCAGACCGCTCGCTCGACTTTCTCAAACGGCTCCGCGACGACCCAGGCATCCGCTCAGCAATGGCGAAGCATAAATTCTCCGTGCCGCTCTTGACAGAGATGAACCCGGCCGAGCACACAACGAGTGAATCGAGAACGCTCGGTCTGAATCGGAACAAGGGCGAGGTTATTGAGTTGCGCTTGCGCACTGATGCCTATGATGGGTATCGCGATTATCGGACGATCCGGAAGACGCTTTGTCATGAGCTGGCGCATTGTGTGTTTGGGCCGCATGATCGCGATTTTTGGAATCTTACTGGTCAAATTGAGAAGGAGGTTGAGGCTGGGGATTGGAAGTCTGGTGGTCATAGTGTTTCTGGGCAGGAGTTCTATAACCCTGGGGATTGGGAGAGTAGGCAGGGTGGGGAGGAGTTCGTTGATGAGTGTGGGTGGACTGGGGGTGAGTTTGTGCTTGGTGGGCTGAGGGAGGATGAGGCTGGGAGGAGAGCTGGGGCGTCGGCTTCTGGTTCTGAGTCGCGACGGGAGATTATGGCTCGGGCTGCGGAGGAGAGGATGAAGAAAGAGAAGGAGACTGGGAAGCAGGATGATGCTACGTGATGTCATTTGTTTGTGACTTGGATTGTTTCTTCATGACTTATGAGCTTTGCATTTAATATAGGAGGGTGCTTAATGTTGGTTCATATTCAGGTTCTGTACATCAGATTTGTTTTGTGCCATATTCAACCCAATATAAGATCTCGGTATCAAACCTGCTCGTTCACAAACAAGCCGGCCATACCCTGTCCGGTACCGATACACATGCTAGTGACCAGAATCTTGCTCTTCGTCCGGCGGGCTTCACTCAAGATAGTAGCAATTTGGCGAGCACCAGTAGCACCCAGGGGGTGGCCGAGGGCGATGGCACCACCACGGGGGTTGACCTTGGCATGGTCCAGACCAAGATTCTTGACACAGTATACAGCCATAGAAGCGAAAGCCTCATTGATCTCATAGATGTCAATATCGTTCTTGTCAAGGTTGAACTTGCTCAGGAGCTTGGGGATAGCGGCAGTCGGGCCAATACCCATAACACGAGGAGGGACACCAGCGACGGTAGCACCGCAGAACTTGGCGAGGATAGGCTGGTTCAGCTCAATGGCCTTGGAGCGGCGCATGAGGAGAATAGAAGCGGCTATATGAATAAGTTAGACATTGGCCGGCAATCACACAATATGGAAGAGTACAACATACCACCGTCAGTAACCTGACTCGAGTTTCCACCGGTAGACTTATCACCGAACTCTGGGAACGCCGGGCGAATCTTAGACAGCGACTCGAAAGTAGTTCCAGGACGAATACCATCGTCCCGAGTAAGAGTAACCTCCTTAACCTCGCCAGTCTTAGGATCCTTCACCTTGACAGTGATAGGAGCAATTTCATCATCGAACCAGCCAGCCTTCTGCGCAGCCTCGGCACGACGGAACGACTCAGCCGCATACCGATCCTGCTGCTCACGGGGGATACCAAAGTCCTTGCCAACATTTTCGGACGTCTGACCCATAGGCTGCATGCAGTCGGCAGCTTCCTGGTTACGCAGGACCTCCTCACTGAAAGGCTTCTCGAGACGGTCGCCGGCGGCAGACATGAGCTCGGCACCCATAGCGACTCCGATGTCGATGGCGCCGAGGGAGATCTGATTCGCGATGTCTTGCACGGCTTTCAGGCCTGATGAGCAGAAGCGGTTTACTGAGGAGGCTCCGGCTGTGTGCGGGATGCCGGCTGCCAGAGCGGCGGCGCGGACCATGTAGGCGGCCTTGGCTTCGCTGACCTGGTTTGAGTGTTAGACATTGAACAGGATGGGCACGGGAAGGCTTTGGTGGAACTTGCATTGCCGAGGCAGACATCTTCGATCAGGGCTGGGTCGATCTGGGACTTGGCCAGAGTCTCCTTGAGGAGGGCGTAGACGATGAAGTCAAGTTCTGTGTCTTTAAATCCGCCCTTGCGTGCCTTGGTGAGCGGTGTGCGGAGCGCCAGGGTAATAACGACGTCGTCGGGGTTCTTTTGGGTGCTTTAGGGGTCTGTTAGACTCGTGTATGTCTCGGCCGAGGCTGTTCGAACTTACATGGCGCTGAGGCCGCTGGCAGCGCCAGGCTTGAGGTGGCTCAGGAGCGAGCTAAGACGGTCTGCGGCCATGATAAATTATGGAAGGAAACTAAAGGGGGTTTTTGGGTTAGTTGAACAGTTTCAAGATGTCTCCGGGACAGGAGTGAAGCTGGTGCATGACAGTGCATTTTCCGCCGTTTCCAAGGTTATTGCGGGGAAGCTTCAACTTCAACTCGAGCTGCACTTAGGGGGGTCGCAGGCCACGACAAAACCATCTCGCAAGACATAGCACTCTGAGTAGGAAACAAAGCAACTTACTGATTATACAGGGAAGTTGAAGAAGTCAAGTTGGGAGGGAAAGAAGAGAACAAGTATAAGAGGAAGATCTCCGCGCCGTTGCCCGAAACTGCCGAGGCTCAATGTCAAGTACCCACTACCTCTGACTTGGCCCATGCCAGGTACTCAAGCCAGGTACTCTCTACTTTCCCGGGATCTAATGTCCTGTTATAGACTTTCGAACGTCGCAATGCCTAGGCAAAGTTCGGGCTGAGCTTTCAAGAGGAAACAATTCGAGCTTTGGATATATTGAATGCTATCCAAAGGACAACCTCTGCGATACAATCATGTACTGCCTGCCATCTACCATGGCACAGTCCCATTCTCGTCAGAAAAAGTTCCAGTCTCCCCATCAACCGACAAAGTCGCCAACCGCACAATATTGACAGCAGATTCAGATGCAGGTCGTCCAACCCCGTGCGAAAAATTGGTGGCAGTCAGATTTGGAGCCGAGGCATTGACCTTCCAACCCCGATCTTCGAACAAAGCCGAGTAATGCAGCATCAACATATTAAGCGCCGCCTTCGTGCTACGGTATATGGGGAATGAAGGGCTGTGAAGCTTCGCCCATATGCCGGACGATTGCTCGTTTCGCAGACCCATCGACCCTGTGTGCGAAGAAACAAAGACAATGCAAGGAGGCGAGTCTACCGCTTTCGCAAGAAGCGGCTTGAAGGCTTCGGTTGTTGCTGCAGCGCCGAAGACGTTGACATCATATGCATCATGGTAGAGCTTTCGAAGCTGTGCAAGGTCACTTGATGCATCTGGGTTGCTCTGTTCTTGGGGGTTTGGCTGCTGAAGAAAGACGTTAAGCTCGTTGTTGATGCCTGCGTTGTTGATGAGAACATGTAGGTGTCCATGCTTGGAGGCGACATGCTCTGCTGCTTGCTTGATTGAGGCGTTGTCGCGTACATCGATGGTGACCAGCTCTACCGATTGTCCGGTGGGATCCAATTCAGTAACAGCTTTGGGACCACGCACTGCATCTCGACAGCCAAGGAGGATGTAGTACTTTTCATTTAATGAGAGAAGGAGCTTGGCAACTTCGTAACCAATGCCCTGGTTTGCACCGGTGATTAGGACGATAGTTCGCTGGTTATCCATGGTTCTTGTCTAGGATGAGTTTGATAGAATGGGAAATAGGATGTCAAACAAGAGTTTGTCTCTTATGCCGCGGACATAAGCGCATCTTGCATCTTCTTGCCCCGAGGGCATGCAGCTTCTCGGACATTGTGTCTTAACTCCGATCAGGATCAAAGGGCGAGACTGATAGATTCCAATATATAGAATCCGCACAGAATGCTGCATTTCGATTGAAAAAAACCTGTACCTATTATACTGTATAGCTCTATTATAGTCCGATGCAGCTTTGGAAAGGTCTTAGGAATCTATGTGGACGTTCTTCGGCTGGGTACAGGCGGTGTTCGCCTTACACGTAGGATCGCAGTAATCGTAGTTCCGCACCGCCCCACTAGTCAAGATGAGAGTCTAAAGGTGCAATGTGCCCTGGAGCTTGAAGTCCTTCGAGCTTGCACCAACGTAAACTCCAATGTTGCCGCTGTTCAGCGCCCACTTCTGAGCCACAACATCCCATTCACTCAGATCCCGACGAGTCAAGGACAAAGTGACGGTATCTTTCTCCGCTACATTTAAAGTGACTTTCTCAAAGCCACGCAGCTGCTTGACACCGGAAGGAGTATCGATATAAAGCTGTGCAGCTTCCTTTCCACTCACTTGGCCGGTGTTCTTGACTGTAAACTTAACCTGTGCAAGAATATCCCACAGATCAACCTGTCCACCCTGTTCAATAGGACCGGAGGGATATTTGGCGGCGCTGTTTGCTTTCTTGGTCTTGGTCACAGATAGTGAACTGTACTCAAACGATGTGTATGAAAGACCGAAACCAAACTCATATCTGGGTGTGATATTCTTGGACTCAAACCCACGGTAATCGATGAAGATGCCTTCGGAGAAATTGCTCTGAGGGTAGTTCACATAGTCACCTTCAGGGAGACTTGGATCGAGAAGCGCGCCATAGTCACTCTCATTCTTCGGAACAGAGTAAGGCATCTTGCCAGAGAAATTCTCATCGCCATAGAGTAATGCAACGGTTGCAGCACCCGAGTCTTGTCCGGGTGTATGGGCATATACAATGGCAGTGACATTAGGATGATCAACAAAATTGTCCACAAGCCGGACTCCATTGTTGTGGATAACGACAATAGTGTTGTTGCACTGATCAGCAACAGAAATAACCAAGTTGTCAGAGTAGTCGTCGTAAACACCAGGTCTGTCGTAACTCTCGGATGCCCATGCGTTGATAAACACCAAGCAAGCATCTGAAGCGGGGACAACGGCAGGTTTTGAACTCTGGATGTCCCAGAAAAGAGCAGAATTGTCTGTCATGGCTCGGTTTGAGAGAGCGTCAAGAGGACCGGAAACATAAGCGGGCGTGGATGCACCGGAGCCACCGCCCATGATAATCGTACCGTTGCTTGCGATAGAATCAAACCCACCAAAGGACGGTACGTCCAAACCAAAGCCTACCAGAGCTTGTGTTATATCAGTACTCTGGTAGCCAAGTGACCATGAGCTTTCTCCGCCAAAGGCTGGGACAGATGCTTTGTAGCTTCCGGCAGAGTACCCGAAGACAGAAACAACCTGGGGCTTCCTGAGAGGCAACGCACGGTTATTCTTGACAAGTACATGGCCCTCAACGGCACCTTGTAGAATGACTGGGCGAGCTGCTGGGTCTCTCGCTTCCACTCTCTTGTGTGCGCCTGCGACTGAGTAGGGCATGCCGACGCCGGGCTCGGGGAAACTACTGTCTTGTCCTAGGAAGTACCATGCAGACAGAATACTGAGGCATGTCAGATATCTCATATATTTTAAAGATAGGGATCAAGACAAATTCTGACGTACCGAGTGGCCATATCATTCAATCGACTCACTGGAACGGAGCCATTGTTGACTGCAGTGGTCAGACTGTTGGCCCAGAATGAAGTGATGGGCATGGCCATATCGAGACCGGCAAGAGCACTGCCAACTCCGGAGTCTAGTTCATATATTTGTCAGGTCAAGTAGGGAAAAACTAGTTTTGCAGTAGTCACTTACGTTGCGCATACCAATCCGTAACCACGAATCCCTAAATTATTAGCTTGTATGTTATGACCCGCAAGGCAAACAAAGGAGATACCTGGAATCCAAGCTCCGTTTTCAGCAACCCATTGAGCATCTTGCTGTTAGCACAAGCATATGAGTTGTTCACTCGGTTGTAACTGAAGGGGGCTATTAGCGGCGAACAAACACGATATGAACTCATCTTACCTGCACATGATATTGACAGAGCCTGCTTTGATAGCATCCTGGAAAGGCCTTATATTGAGCAAGTTAGCCAAAGGCTCGTGGTCCATTCAATTTGCAGTTTCTGCATACCAGAGGTAGAGTTCATGCATCGTCTTATCATCCACATTCGAGGAGACTGCCTCAATCTGAGGGGAGCTTCCAGTAATAGGATTCCGATTTGTCTCTTGTTCGCTCGTAATGAAATGCTTGAGGCTGGTCATGACACCGCGTTTGTTGAATGCAACGACCGTGTCAGCAGCAAGGGCACCACTGAGATACGGATCGTTAGCGAAGCCTTCCCAGCTTCGACCGCCTCGAGCGACGCGGCCGAGGGGACCAGCAACTATATTGCATATGTTAGTAATTAAGTCCATGCCTTTATGATTGTTCGTGAGAGTTACCAGGCGCAAGAGCGACATTGACACCCTTTGCTTTGAACTCGCCGGCCATGAAGTGTGCCCGTTGAGAAGCAAGATCTCGGTTCCAACTGTGATAGTTAGCAGAACGCAGAACAAAGCTGTGAGAGCATTTTTGTAAATTAGAATGCGCACCTTGCACCGACACTAAGTCCAGCTGGATATCCATTGACTAGATCAGTACCGCGAACTCCATTCCCGGCATCCGAGAGACAAAGTCCTGGGAACCCAAGACGTGGGATAGCAGGAATATTTCCAGAGCAACCGTTGGCAGTCGTGGCAATGCCGAAAGTCAGGTTAGACTGTTTGTATTTGTTAGTTTGTATGATCAATATCGGCGGGATGATTGCTGGTCTACCTTTTCCTCAAGTGACAACTTGGCGACGAATGCTTTTGCTTTGGTGTATGCCTCTGCCCAGTCTCCGGTCCCTTTGCCATCCGCTTATTGGAAATTACTGTCAGTTTTCTTGTTATGGCTATGGACCACGTGGTTGAATCGGCCAGTGACATACGCGATGGATAAACAGGCGGACTTTGGCCGTAAAAGTGAGTGTCTGATGTGATAACATCAGCAGTCACGCCCAATAAACAGGCGCTGAAAGCCAGAAACCTCATATTAAGGGGATGATGTAAGCTGTGTCGAATGTGAGATCTTGGATTGCTGTAGCTAGAAGGTAATAGCTACTTTATATATGATGATGGGAATTCCGGAGATCGACCTATTTCTCAACTGCCGGTCGACCGTATATACACTGGAAAGACAAATGGTGTTACAAGATTACAATAAATGAACGCATATTCAGTGGTCTATCGGCCTAATCTCACCGTTCCCCAATGTCTCGTACGGAAATGAATCTAGGCGTTCCCCGCGTTCCACGCAAATAACCCCTGCAGGTGCGGGAAGATAGTACCTGGTCGCTACCAGGACATCCCTTCCCCACGGGCAGGATGAAGCTAAACAATAAGATGGGCCGGTTAAATGAACCAAGCCTCTGCTTCTCAATTTCAGTCTGTGCTCGTGGCCCTGGTAATTGCCCCGCGTCGTTGATCCCGCTAGGTCCAAGATTTCCTGTCAGTGAGATGACCCTGGTGACATTGTCAAGACTAATCGGAGAGATGCGATGTATTGTCTCCGCTTACTGCTCGGCAGAACATCGGTGGAGGGAATGTCTGAGCGTCCGGCTGACAGGTCCCGTTATGTAGACCGCATCCGTTGTGCATAGCCAAGAGAATAGAAAAGCCAATTCAATTGATGATTCCGCCGGCTGTTTTACCATTATGAGGGTTCTGCAGCGCCTTGTCCCATCTGGGCTAAAGCCGCGGTAAGCAATCGCATGGACTATTCTTGGCAGACATGCTCTCTGTCGATTCTTTCATGAGAGATCTCACCGTTGGCCGGATTTTTAAAATTGCATCAAGTGCGGAGCAGCCAAAGGTTGACCTTCTGGAATCGTTTTGTCTGTTGTGAGTTTTATCGCCGATAATCATTTGGTCTTCTTTTCCCTTTTCGATTGAGATCGATCGATGAAAGGCTTATTATGAAGCTAAAGCCTGGGTCGTATCGTAATGGCTATACAGGCGCTTCTTTCTTCTTATCAAAGTCATAACTTGTATGCCGCGCCCCTGATCCTGTTCTATCACTAACAATCAGCTACTCCTCCAGGCGAAAAGTATACTAGCTCTAGATAGAATCAAACTCAAAATCCGTAAGCCAATAACATTATAATACGTGGAAACGCTGTTTAACTCCCCAAAGTTCTCCTTATATCACCAATCCTTGTAATGCTTTGCCTCGATCTCACAGCCAGGTCCTACCGTACCACGATCAACCACCTTTCTCCCCTATCCTCACTCTAAATTCAACTGTTATATATTTCTAACCAGCTTTGTAGTTTATTGGCGCATTTTTAAACAAGTATTGAGACCCTCGCCTCCCTCGACCACATGATAAGTGCCTAGCGTTCTTAAGAACTCTGCTCTATAGCCTCGCAGTCTTTAGCTTTATCATCGAAGGCTATTTTTGTAACTTTAATCTTAAATCTTAATTTTAAATCTTAAATATAAGTATAAAGTGCCGAACCGTAATATATACTGAACAACAGCAAGCCGGATCGTAGGTTGGTTCTCGCCTGGGGTGTCGCGAATGGCAACATAATATTTATGTTGATACTCTGATTCTAATTCCTCGCATTTTAGCCTCAATTACAGCACCAAAACTCGTTTCATGTGAATTTGAAATCATATTCTACCCACAATGTTATTATGCACTCGGAGCTAGATCCTTAGATAGAACCTCCGCACCCCAAGGTACATCCCCATTGAAAGCCTTCTCATTTTGATTGCCAGGCCGATCAATATCAAAGTCCAGCCGATCTGGAACCTTCAGCCCAGCCGGGAAATGGTATCGAATAAACCATGTTGAAACGCCATCCCGATACAACCAAGGGTCTTCCGTTCGACGTTGCCACTCTTCCAAATTCCCCCTCAAACTTTCCAATACAGACGAGTACTCCGGGTCTTTCGCGAGATTGTTGACCTCGGTCGGATCATTTTCCAAATCAAACAACTCTTCCGGTGCTCGGAAGAAATAATCCCGAAGTTTGCGTCCCCCGATGGTGATATCATTGTCAGACGAGTTACGAATGTCTTCCCAAGAAAGAGACCCATACAGGTCCGCAGCGAATGGGAAGTCCAAACGCCATGCGAGATTGCGATGATATTTGTATCTTCGGTCTCGAACGAACCGCGTTGGCCAGTAATTTGTCACCTCGTGGAACGTATGCGAGCCGAAGACTTGGTTGAAATCTGAGCGTCTGATGTTGCTTCCCAGAATAGGAAGCAATGAGCGGCCCAGTCGCTTTTCGGCTGGATCGACAGCGCCCGGATGGCCGGCATAGTCGAGCAGGGTAGGCAATATGTCAATGTACGAGACCATGTCGCTGTTCACAGCAGGCTGGAGGTCGGGATGCTTGATGATAAGAGGGAGTCGGACCCCTGCGTCGAACAGGGTGGTTTTTGAGTTGATAAAAGGCGGCCCGTTGTCGCTGATGAAGACTACCAAGGTGGACTCCGCCAGACCGGCTTTGGTCAATGCGTCCAAGACAAATCCGATTCCTTGATCAAGGCGGTGGATTGAGTTGTAGTACTCGGCGAGCTCAAACCGAGTCCCAGGCGTGTCGTTGATGAATGGCGGGATCTCAACATCCTCTGGTTTATAGGTGCCTGTTTGGATCCTGGAGTCGTATACCTGGTCATTTCCAAAGCCGCCTCTCGTGCGGTCACGATGGGGGTCGTGGAAACCGATGGTCAGAAAGAAAGGTCGCTCGTCTGATTGAGATTCCTGGAAGAATTCGCTTGCTTGGTCGGCGATCACGGCAACATCCCTCGTTTCGCTCTCCTTTTTCACTTGCCAGGGATAGACTGCGGACGGTCCAACGTGAACTTTGCCCAAGATCCCGGTCCGATAGCCACTTTGGTTCAGCAGATGAGGGGCTGTCTCGACGTGATCGAATGTCACAAAATGGTGACGGTGACTGGCAAGCCCGTACTGACCATTTTGATGAGTGTGTAAGCCCGTGTAAATCACAGAGCGACTTCCACTGCAAGATGCTGTACTAGCGAAAGCATACTCGAATCTCGTTGCTTGCCCGGCGAGTTGATCGAGATTCGGTGTTTGAATAGTTGAAGCTCCATAACAACTGAGCTGCTTGCCTAGGTCATCGGCGATCATCAACAGGACATTCTTTTTGGGTGGCATTTTGGCCCGAATCAAGAAAATGAACAGAACACGATCGTCTTATCCGTGATGGTTGGGTAGAGCAAGAATCAAATATAACAACCCTGTTATCAAGCGGTTTGTGCTATTGGTGCATTTACTGGACTGTATGCTAACCATTTTGGTTTAGTGTCGCGATCTCCTACACAGATGGTGTGCTCTTAACTGGTCATCTGAGACTAGTTTCTCTTATCTTCAATCGAATATTAAAACTATCATACTCGACAGTCATCACAAACGCATGTTGGCTTGTACTATGTGGGAGCTCGGTGAGCCGGTTGAAGCACTACGGCCATCCTATAGACTAGTGTCCCGGAGTGTGATGAGTTCCACCTTCTTGACAGCCTTGGATTTCTTTGTGACGATGCCCGAACCGTGTTTCCCCAGTGGGAAATTCTGCACAAGTGGGCCGGTATAGTCTCACCTGGGCAAATTCCATAGTACGATGCCACACATTTAATTGAAGATTTTAATATGGAACGTTAATCGCTGTGCCTGCATGTATTTACATTTGTGATTCGATGGTTGAGATCCATGACCATCAATAAGTATCATCTCTCCATGAATAATGCGCAAGCAGGTATTTACCCGAACAGCCTCCAAGCCAAGCCGGGTGATGGCGTCCCTGGATAGCCCTATGAGACCAGGGTCTCGGTACTCGTGTACGGGCCGAACTCCTTTCTTCGCTCAAATTCACTTCTGCAACTAAGCAACAGTTCTCAAGCTGACTATCACAATTTATCTATTTGGAACTGAATATTTGGAACCCTTCCTTCATGACAAAAGACATGTCGAGCTTATCGGGCTGACTTTAGACGACATTCGGGAATGCCTCGGGTCTCCGGAAGGGTCTCATCTAGCTCAGGATCCGGTATGTAATATGTTGAGCAATCATGTTATAATATTTTGATCGGTGAGATACTCGCTTGAACGTAATGAGTCGCCGAAGATACTTATATGGCGAGGATCTCGTCAGGACGATTATACACATTCTTTTACCCGCTTCAGGGCAAACGGCAAGACACCTTTGAAAATTTATTTCAGAAAATATGAATTGCCGATAAGTTGTTTAATTGGTGCATTTAAATCTGATCCAGCCAACCTCCTTCACTCATATCTCACGCCGGCGCGATCTGCCACATCGATGATGTGCTTAGCTTTAAATTAATCAAAATGCACTAGCTCCAGCTAGCTCACAGTATGTTCGACCAAATATTAATTAAAGATGTTGTCATCAACTATTGCTATTTCGTATTGGCTAATCCCTCTCCAGGGTCTCCCACCAGCTCAGTAGCAAATTAGTATACTAAATTTCCCGTGAACATACATACCTTCATTACGGCGACTGGAAGGAAGATATTACTAAACCGACTTTCTTATCACATCTCGGGTAATTGGGCAGACAGATGACGATGACGCCTTTGGTATAACGTATTATGCTGTTCAACAGCTCTGCCAGGAACGTGTGGCGTAATTCTTCAGAAGTCGATTCTGCAAGATCACCACTTAAATAGCTTCAAATGCGCATCTCACGCAGGATCAAAAGAATCAATTACTTCTTTCATTGACATATGATGAAGATTGCTCTCTTGCTTCCGCTGCTCTCAGGCATCGCCGCTGGTCAATTGATTGGCCCAGTTGGTCCTACAACTGCCCTCGAAAAGAAGACTATCGAGTGCAACATCTTGGACTATGGCGGTGTTGCCGACAATAGCACTGATATTGCCACTGCGCTGGAAACCGTGTTCTCTGAGTGTGTTCAGAAAACCCCAGGCAGCCGTCTCGTCGTACCGGAGGGTGACTATTTAATTAAACGCGGTGTCACTTTGAGCAACGCCACGAACTGGGCTTTCCAGCTTGATGGATTGATTACTGCTGCGTATGGAGGGGATTGGGCTATTGAGCGTGAGTTAGTCCTCCAAGGATTTGCTGGAAGAGATATCATCAATGCCACCATCAATGGAGAGGGTGACCAAAAGTTTTTGTTAGATGTCCTTGTTATCGTCAACGGTGAGTCTCATTCCAACGCTCCTTGAAATGAGGTGAGACCTGACATGGAGAGATAGCTGTGGATTTCGAGTTCTATTCTTCAAATGGCAAGGGCGCTTTCCAAGGTCAGGGATATATCTATCGAAATCTCAACAAGTAAGGAAACTCTCATTTTCCTGAGGAAGTGACTGGGTCTGACTAGATTCTAAACCTTTAGCACCGATCGCCCTCGTCTCGTACGTTTGATCTCTCCGACAAATGCCTCCGTTCATGACTTGATCCTGGTTGATAGTCCCAAATTCCATATCATTCTCGATTTTGCTGTCAACGTGGAAGCCTACCATCTCACAATTCGGGGAGGAAACTTGGGTAGCTACGATGGAATTGATGCCATTGGCACCAATTATTATATCCACGACAATGAGGTATGGGTTGAGAACAAAGGACCTGAAATTTTGCATGATGCTCAAATTCTTTCATAGGTTACCAATCGTGACGAGTGCGTCTCAGTGAAAAGCCCGTCTCATCATGCCTTGATAGAGAATCTGGTCTGCAACCAAGCCGGGTCTGGAATCTCCATCGGCAGCTTGAATGTTTCCGCGGAGATCTCCAACATTGTGCGTTTCTCTACAAACACGAAATCTACATCAGAACTGACCTTTTCTCCAGGAAGCACACAACATCAGCATCATCCAAGGCAACAACATTGCTTTCATCAAGACATACCCCGGAGGATCTGGATATGTGACCAATGTTACATTCACCAACTTCCGATCCCTCGGAAGTCTGTATGGCTTAGATATCAACCAATATTGGCAAAACACTTTCACGCCCGACACCGGAGCCGTTGCATTGAGCAATCTTGTGTTCAAAAACTTCTCCGGTAACGCATTCTTAGTATCTCGCTGAGCGCAATCTACTAACAACACACACAGGCTCCGTTGCAAATGGCGTAACCCGCCCTCCACTCTATCTCATCGCGAACGACCTGACATTCGCAACCAATGTCACAGTCGAGGACTTCAGCGTCTGGACAGAATCCGGAACCTCCGTTGTCAACAAGATAAGCAATATCTTCGGAACTGGCGATAACAGCTACGGTTCTCAGAACGGCATCGCGCCCTTGAAATCGGGCCAGTCTCCTTCTGCCTATACCAGCACGTATACTATCACGGCATCTCCTACTGGATGGAAAGCCCCGAGTACTCCGACATGGGCTGTGCCGAGTACTGGCTATGGCAGTAAGTCTTGATAGTTGACCTTCTTTAAAACGTCGCTGACATTTCCTGCAACAGCTGCTTCGCCTATCCCTGTCTACAGTCCTGCTCCTCTTTGGCGGCCTGGTGGAGTGGACTATGATTTGCATTATTGGGGAAGTTTCTGACGGATAGAATGGGGAGAAGTGGAATGTCTTTCGTTGAAGCTTGGAAGGTCCTACATACTGTAGATGCAAGGGGTGGCTGGTATGGGTGATGAGGTGGTTGGGTGAAATTTAGATATAGCCATTTACGTGGAAGTCGGTGAATGAGTTATCGAAGTCAAGTTCTCGAGCTTGTTTCAAATTCTAGAATTTACTTCCTTTCTATGAATCAATTGCTTCTTACGTTGGGCAAGTTCTAATTCGTACCTCCCGATGTCTACAGGCGTTTTAAGACTCATAACGTCCAACAAAGCTTTTCCAAGACATGAAATTCTTGGCACCGGACAGACCCTCCCACTAAACTAATAGTCCCGACATTCATACGGCTGCCTGAAAGCAGTTTGCCAAGACCGACAAATCTCGGGACAAGAGTATGTCGGCATTCATGGTGGCGTCGGGTTTCTTAATCATGCCAGAAACCCTGAATGACAGACATATTAAACGATCAAGATATTCCACCAATGCAAAACCGTGAAAATATCTGATTTCACCGCCGATTGCTTCGATCAGGGTGTGGTTGATGCAATCGGCGCTTACATGGCGAAACAACCGGCTAAATGCAAGGCTTAGGTTTGACCAAAAACATCGTTCTTACTTTAACCACTTGGGGGCTTTTTTTTAGTTGCTAATCTGACTTAGATTAAGAAGGCTTTTTTCTTACTAGCTAACAGGAGAATCTGCTATCTACTCGATTGGAGTCCCTGTGTTCGGTTAGTTGGCGCGAATGGTATCATCTTCTGGTTGAGCACGTATTATCTGCGGGCTTTTCACAAGGTCGGTGGCCAGCAAAGGTTTCTCGAAATCATGTATATAATGCTCTGTCTCGCTGGAAACCTCATTCTGCCATCACCCTTGTTCTAGCCTCGTTGGCATCGCTTACGGCGTTCAGAAAGCCATGGAATCTATATCCTCAAAGGAGCCTCCGGTCTCCCTTTCTGAGCCGCACGACAGTGACGACTATCATTCCAAGGAAGAAGCCGTGGCTACACTCGCAGATCCAGAACAGCCTCACGAGTCCCAGTCTCTCTTCTCTGCCCTCTTCGCCAGGAAACCTAAAGTCGATCCAAATGCCATAGCGACTGTGCGGAGTGTCTTCGACGACCCTGTGCTTGGAAAGTTTTATCTGCCCAAGCCTGACTACGAGAATATCCACAGATTTGATATCAAAGAGCGATGGACTCATCGCGAGGAGACGGCAGTGCGCCGCAAAACCGACTGGAAGATTTTCATCTGGATTCTGGTCATGTTTTTCGGACTGAATCTCGATCGTGGCAATCTGGGCAACGCTGCCGCTGACAATCTCTTGGACGATTTGAAGATCACTACCAACGACTACAATAACGCCCAGAACATGTATCGTGTTGGGTTCCTTATTGCTGAGATCCCGTCTCAAATGCTCGGCAAGAGGTTAGGTCCTGATCGCTGGATTCCTTTCCAGATCATCTTGTGGTCTCTGGCTTCAGGCGGTCAATTCTTCATGCATAATCGAGCCGGCTTCTTTGCTTGTCGGTTTTTCATCGGTCTTTTCATGGGTGGTTTTATCCCTGATTCCATTCTCTACTTGTCATATTTCTACACCAAATCGGAGATGCCGTTCCGCCTGGCCATGTTTTGGTTCGTGGATTCAATGTCCGGGGTGGTTGCATCCTTCATCTCCTATGGAGTCCTGCACATGCGTGGAGTTGATGGCCGCGAGGGTTGGCGATGGCTGTTCCTCCTCGAGGCTCTCATCACTATCGTAATCGGGTTCTTGAGTTTCCTCTTCTTGGTCCCAGGTCCGACACAGACAAAAACTTGGTGGAATCCCCAAGGGTACTTTACCGAGCGGGAAGAGAAGATTATCGTCAACCGTGTTCTACGAGATGATCCCTCCAAAGGAGATATGCATAACCGTGAAGCACTTTCTCTTGGTATGCTGTGGAAGAGTTTGAAGGATTACGACCTGTGGCCAATCTATCTCATCGGAATGCTGTTCGAAATCCCGACGTCTTCGCCGAAATCGTACCTCACGCTGTCGCTAAAGGCCATCAAATTCACTACTTTCCAAACAACATTGTTGACAATCCCCGTCACCGTCTTCGGGGCTATCAACCTTGTCCTGGTGACCGAACTGACAGAGCGCTTTCACCAAATCTCCATCATTGGCCTGATTACCCAGCTCTGGAGTCTTCCACTTCTCATCGTTCTCTACACATCGGCCGGATCATTGTCGAATTGGGGTCTCTACGCCGTGACCTTCGTCCTGCTGGGCTGGCCAAACCCACACGCCGCACATGTCGGATGGTGCTCCCGTCTCAGTAATACTGTGCGAACGTGAGTGCTTCCGGATAACTCCTCAGATATCTTTCAATACTAATTCATTTCTACAGGAGAACCGTCTCAGCAGCGCTTTACAATATCACAATCCAGCTCTCCGGAATCGCGGGCTCGAATATCTACCGTGCAGACGACAAGCCGCTATACCGTCGAGGAAACTCCCAGCTCATCGCTATCAATGTCGCTACTATCTTTGCATATGTACTGGCAAAGGCATACTATGTGATCAGAAACCGATGGAAGAAGGAGAAGTGGGAGAAGATGACGGCCGAGGAGAAGGCAACATATCTGGAAACTACTACTGATCAAGGAAATAAGCGGTTGGACTTCCAATTCGATAGTTGAGGCGGACTTTGGTATACCAGAGATGGAAAGACTTCAAAATTGGCTAAGATCTGGCATGAACTAATGGCGTGTTTGAAGATGGCGATAGTTGGTTGTACTACATAATAATAGGAGGCCTCAATGTGGATCTCGGTTGCTGTTTTGTTTCAATTCTATTCTTATAATTTTTGGCCTCTTGTGACATTGTCTTTCCCCTGTTCTGAAATTATCTAGCGTACCGCGTTGAGTCAAAGGTATTTGACTGTCGAAATGCATAGAAGATTGACTATGATATCCAGAGTATATGGCAAGTAGCCCAGGAGCTGCGTGTAATCGTCTAGCAAGAAAATTTATTCAAGTGCGAGTTGAATGAGATTGAGAATCTGTTCACCGTAAGAAGATATAAATCAGACAGTTTGTCAGAATATGCGCTGATATAAAAATTGTGTCGCACCTGAATATCTACATATTCAAGGACCTTCATCATTCCGTCGCCATTAGTATCCCTTACATCCTCATGCTCCCTTTCTAGAACAGCCCTCAGAAAGTAGCCTTGGCCAAGTTGTTATCGAAGTTGGCATCGATGAACGGAACAATGGCAGATCCAAAGTCAGTGGTTGCCAGAGCATCTTGAACAACAGCTACGAAAAAAGGCGTTAGCATAATCATACCCAAAATTACAATCTCCTTATCATGCGACAAGAAAAAGAAAAGAAAACCAAAAAACATGAAACTTACTAGACAGAGACTCCCACGCAACAAGAGGCTGAGTACCACCAACAGTAGTGGTAAGACCGCAGCTGTGATCAATTGGCCAAATAGACTCATACTTGATCAAGGAAGCAGTTCCATCAAGCGTGAAGCCATCAGTGCTGCAGTCCCAGCCGCCGTGAGCAGAGGGACAGACGGCAACCACACTGCTAGCAGAGATGGTCGTGGAATCTTTTAGCCAGACGATAACACCTTCCCAGTCGTGGCGGTGGCCGATTCCCGTTGAGGGTTCGTCCTTGGGGAAGTACCATGAGTACATCACAGCGTAGTAATCGCCTGAAGTGCTTGCTCTGACTATTTACCAGGAAGGAGGGCTTCATGAGTATGATGTGCTTTGGTTAATGTGCGTTTGAGAGAGTACTTACCATAGATCTGACCGGTGCTGCTGCTGCAGCCGTCAGAGGAACCTCCCGATGGATTAAGACCGGCACTTTTGATACTCTGTTAGAGTTGCATAACAATCAATAGTAAGACAAAGATAACACTTACTTGGTGTTCCCATCAGCATCAACACCGGGGAAAGGAACACATCCATTCACAACGTACAAATCCGGCTGGTAAGCCAGATACAGATCGCCAGCTGTTCCGCTGGGCACAGTCTGCGGCAAGCCAACGATGGCGTCCGAGGCGACAGTTCCACGACGAGAAAGGGCATGAGGAGAGGCACGCGCCACAGAGAGGGCTGCTAGACCAGTAATCAAAGTAGAAAGCATCCTGACGGGCGGGATTACTGCAGGAGGAAGAGGCGATGTTGAAAAACGTCAAATGTAAAGCTGTGATCTTTTATATATCCACCGTTCGTTGGGTGGGCCATGGTCCCATAGAATTTCTCTAGTATCTCCATAATATCTCCGTCGGCTGGGAAAAGGAGAGGGCAGCGGAAACGGTCTTCAGCCCTGATCGAGTAAAGACACGGATATTTCGACCCACTTCGATTGAAATCGGAGGTGATCAACGGTGTTGTCTTAGGTGGGCGTGCGATCGACATTCGTGGTGATTCGTTATTCTTTTGGGTTATTTCTCCGGACGCGTATGCTTAAAAGAGACGGCGTTTTTAACTACGGGGAGCTTAATTTATTTAGACAGGTAGCAGCCCCTCTTGGGAGTATCTGCATTGCGCTGAAAAAGGCCTATCTGCAACACGTGGGAATTGGCAAGAGCTACAAACGACTTAGGGCTGCATGTTCCTGCTCTAGTGGCGTTTTCGCACCAATCACGGCAGACAGGTCAGCAAATTGTCCAGCTTCTTCAAAACAACCCCCTGCATGGTCGCATTGGCGTCGTTCTTCGAGCTCGCCAAACCAACCGAGACACTCGCCCAGCACCCCGAAGTGAGGGAGACCTCCAGTTCGCTTGGGAGTCTGTCACTTCCACACGTGGTCACATCGTCAGCTGTAATGAGAGGAACGGCAACGTGGATCCTGGACAGCACAAAGGAGAAATCCTGCGGGTTTGTGCACTCGGAGTCCGAGACTGACCCGAAATTGACATTCAACCAGATACCCTGTGGCAGATACGGCTTTCCAGCGGCCACCACGTGGTTTGTGAGGTTAGTTGCGAGATCGGCGTAGACATCACTGTAGTTTGGGCGTGACACGTTCCACGCTGTCTGCGATCCGGTGGCCCCGGAGAATGCAATAGCGGGAATACCAGCGCCGGCGGCGTAAGTGGTGGCGCCTGCGGTGCCGGAAAAGTACACTTCGAGGCCAATGTTGTTGCCAACATTAGGACCTGCGACTGCCAGGTCTGGAGCTCCATCAAAGAACTCTGGAGCGCGCGACTCGATGCCGTACTGCATCGAGCTTGCTGGATAACTGTTGACATAGCCGAGGCGAGGCTTTAATTAAGTTAGTACGCTTGTTCCAAATAGGCCATAGATCCGGCGGCGAGAGACCAACCTCCGAAGCATTGTAACCCACAGCTGGGCTTCCAGAGGGGCAGCTGTTGAACTCGCAAGCCTCCGTCAAAGTTGTCGGAGTCTTCATTTTGGATCCTGGAACTTGTCAGAAACAGCATAATCTAGAGATTCAGATGACATGCCGGTGCCGCTCTGGTTTTCAGCCGGAGCAGAAACCACAACTGAATGTCCCGCTCCTCCTAGCGACTCGAACAGCGCGCGGATATTGACCTCGGCCCAACCATCGTCGTTGGATGAGATGATGTTGACAGCCTGAGCTGCCAATGGCAAAAGGGCAAGAGTGTCAAACCGCATGGCTATGGAAGTTGAATGTTGGGTAAAGAGGCAACGGGCCTTTTATATCTCGGATGGCACGGCTGGGCTGAACTCATACGCGGACCCGCCGATCGCTTCCTTCAACCGTTCCGAGCTTTCTCCACCAAAAATTTCCCTTTGACCTCCTGAATTGTGCATAAACCAGACTTTAATGGGGCATAATACGGACATTGGAACTTGATTTGCTTATGTGATCGCTGCTGATGTCCCCGGGTTCGAATAGTCACTTGCATGTTGGACTCGTCCCCACACACTTGGACAACCTGAATGAGGCAAAATAATGTGTACGGAAGTCGAGATACAATAAAAGTCATAATCTACCAGCAAAACCTGCTCAGGGCACACGATTCTCACCCCAAACCCGATGTGCCAATTCCTTCACCAGCACCAACTTCTTCCACATCAAATCCTCCGTCATTCCTTGCCCGCCCCCTTTACTCATACTAGCAAACCCACACTGCGGACTAACTCCCATAGAAGAATCAAGAACATCAGCCACAGTGCGACATTGTCCGCGCGCGATAATTTCAGCAGCAGCATAAACACGCGCAGTCATCTCCTCAACATCCTCCAACTCAGGACTCTTCGTCGAAACAACGCCAAGCACGACGTTCTTCCCAACAGGCAAATGCCGAAGGGGTTCAAAGTCCCCAGCTCGTTCGGTATCATACTCAAGGTAGTAAGTATCATAGTTGAGCTGACTGAACATCTTCTCGGCGATGCGCTCATAAGAACCACTCATTATATGCGTAGACCCAGCCATGTTACCACGACACAGATGGATGCCCACATGGAGGTCTTTCGGCTTGGAAGCGAGGCACAGATTATGTGCCCAAATATACTGATCCAGCAAGGCATCAGGATCGATTCCGTCGGCCTCACATCCAGATCTGAACTCTTCACAGACAAAGAATAGAAGATTAGGATCATCAATCTGGATCGAGCGCAGACCTGCATCGTACAAGATCCGCCATTCGACTTCATACGCTGCTGCCAGATCTCGGAAGTATTCCTCGTCGGAGGTGTATGCGCTCGCGCTATAGGCAGTACCAACGGCCATCTGCAGGTGGACGTTAGATCTCTCCTCGCAACAGACCTGGGGTAGATATCCATACCTGCATATGAAGATGAGTAATAGGCGGCATAGTCAACTTGCACTCTCTCCATCTCGCCGGCGGGAGAAGGGCACTCAAGGCCTTCCATTCAGACAGATAGGCACTCTCCGTATGTGAAATTTTATCCACGGCAACCACGGAGTCTCGAGTCGTTATACCAAGCTTCTGCAGTGCCTTGACGGTAGGAAATCCCGTTCTCAGTCCATTCGCGACGGGAATATCTTTGACAACCTGCATTCCGGCAAGCTTCTCAAAGAACCCCGAGTAGAATTTGTCGCGTCCATATTCTCCTGATGTAATCGGTCTGATTCCTAGTTCAATTTGCTTGGTTACTGCCTGTGCAATAGCTACCTCGGTTGCGCGATGTAGTTCTTCTGACGTTTCTGAGTAGGAAGCTGTCGCGCCGGCGGCTAAACGTGCATTTAGTAGCTCTTCTGGGCGCATGAGAGAGCCAATTTGCTCTGCGTGGAAGGGTGGTGCCATTTTTGAAGGAATTGAGGAAATGGGAAAAATGGGGAAATCGGCTGTAAACAAATGACGTCCGGCTTGCTTTTATGCATGTGCGGAGAAGCGGGGTGAGCTGGGGCTGCGTGTCTACGGGCCAAATGCACTTCATCTTTGCTCTGATTATGTTCATATTCTTAGTATTCATAATGCTGAGAACAGCTGTTTGTCTTGTCTTACTCCTGCGGGAAGTTGAGAAACACTCTCTTTGTAATGCCCCCCGCAAATGTACGATTGGTCTAGTCTGTACGTACCCATCAACGAGTTTCATCGACTGTTCCAATAGCCCACTTATGAGAAGCACCCTTCCCAGGTTTGCCGTAGATCCCGTAAGCCACTGGTCTACGCTGTATCTTGACCACATTACCGTCCAGCTCATCCCTCGCCAAGAAGTCCATCAAAAGAGCTATCTCGTTGCGCCTAGCTGATTTCAACAGTAAACGATTAGAAGAACTTACGCAAAGCCTGGAATCATCCATGGATACTATCTAAAACAAAATCTTCACCCAACTCAATTCCTTTGTTTGACCCTCTACTCTCCCACTTCCTGGCTTTCTCCTCAAACTTCACCACTACAACGTGCTTTCGATTTCAGCTCTTTCCCCTCTCTGACTTTCAACATCATTATCCTCGCCGAAATGGTCCCCAAAGAGAACAAACAGCGGACTGGCGATGCTTCAGTAACAAGCTCAATAGCTGTTGCATCGAACGAGACACCTGTCTCTGAGGTCCCGACTCCTGCGGCGTGTGTACGTATAAAATCTGCAATGACCGAGAAAATCGTTGAATACCATTCCATGCTGACCAGCCAAATCGCCGCTGGCTCTAATGAGGACCTTGCACTTGCTGATGCTGACTTCATCCAGCGTATCGCTTGGATCTGTGCGTTTTTGGCTGCTGATGAGCGATACCTCCAGTTGCTCCGTGTTGTCAACGGACGTCGTACCATGAAATCAGTCGTGCTCGCCAGTTCAATTCGCTTTATCTCTTGGGATGATATTGCTGCAACTGCCAAATACACCAGTAGTTACCAAAAAGTTAAAAAATACGAAGGTCATCGGCCCGATCTAGTTCATGTCTGTTCAATCATCACTAACGGAAATAGCTGGGGTTGGGAGTATCGCGCACTAAACCTTTGCATGATACATCCGTGTATTCTCCAAATGAGCGATTCCATGGCTGCATTGGACATCAATTTAGGAAGTGACAGATGATAACGGTGGACGAGGTCAACGGATCCCACCAATTGATCGCCTGCAGAGCGACGTGCAGACAATTTTATCCTGGTCGAATGGGGCCGAACGTCAATGCCCAGACACTACACCTTATTGATGGAATGTGAGAATTGATACGGATGTTCGGAAAGCGACCGCTGACCACTGCGTAGTCCCATCTAGTACACAACTTGGCGAGGATGACTTTGGATGGCAGATGATACTTCTCAAAGGGCCGATATATCTACAGTCCTTCAGGCATAAAATGAAAATTTCCCCTCTTTTAATATTTATTGTCAATATTTTTTCCAGTTCAGACACGCACTGATACATCATACGGAAACAAGTACGCCGCCATGTCTGTATACATTGCAGTCACCAACCATATAATCTCAAGTTGCCGCCGCCATGAATTCGACATGATTTGGACATTCTATTTTTACCTTTTATTGCATGCTCCTTTGTTTATATTGCAGACAATCTACATACTACAAAAGTGCAGATATACAAAGCGCGTAGGTCAAGTTGAAGAGGGCCCACAGTAGCTCCGGATAAATGCCACATGCGAGGGCCGCCTGACAAGTTTGCTTCCTTCCAACATTGTTTCGGATTTATCTCCTTTTAATCAAACATCTCTCTGGACTGACATCCGAAGCCAGCTTGACACGGAGTCAAGCCAGAAACCCCGTGGCTGTCATGTATTGCATTGTTGGTGTTTCAGGTTTCACTCCATGGCGGTTTGGGAATTCGGAGCTGTCCCGAAGTAGAACTTACACCCAGACAAACAGGTCTTGGTCGGACTATATATACCGTATGATGGCCTGGCAAAGATTTTGATTCCAATCGCCTTCGTTTTTCTTTTCCACTACTACAGCAATGTACAAGACACTCCTTTCTACTTTCTTCTTCTCTGCGCTGGTCGCAGGCCATGGACATGTTACCAATATTGTGATTAACGGTGTCTCATTTGGAGGTTGGGATATCAACAGTTATCCATATGAAGATTCGCCGCCGACTGTTGTGGCATGGGGGACCCCGAATACCGGTAATGGATTCATCTCGCCTGGTAAGTTCCTATTTCAGTTCTCAGCTGCACTGTCCTTGTTGGATTGTCGCAGTATGATCATGTCCTGACCGGTAAACCAGATGAATATACCACCTCCGATATCATCTGTCATCAGAATGCTACCAATGCAAAGGGACATGCAGTCGTTGCCGCTGGTGACAAGGTCTTCTTGCAATGGACCGATTGGCCCTCAAGTCACCACGGCCCAGTCATCGACTATCTCGCCAACTGCGGCTCGGCCGGTTGTGAAACTGTCGAAAAGACATCCCTCGAGTTCTTCAAGATCGATGGCGTCGGACTGGTCGATGACGCTACCGTTCCTGGAACCTGGGGTGACGACCAGCTTATTGCTCAAGGATCGGCGTGGATGGTTGAGATTCCTCCCACTATCGCACCCGGATACTATGTGCTTCGACATGAACTGTATGTAGATCTTCTTCCGTTGACGAAGACGTACTGACTCATCTGCCCAGGATTGCCCTCCATAGCGCCGGTGAGCAGGGAGGCGCTCAGAACTATCCTCAGTGTTTCAATCTGCAGGTGACTGGATCCGGATCAGATGACCCAGCCGGTGTTCTTGGTACGAAACTTTACAGCCCAACTGATGCAGGCATCTTGGTCAATATCTACACTTCTTTGTCAACATACGTGAGTACCCATCCTGTCTTGTTCACTTCACATCGCTGACCATCCATTGCCTTGATCACAGGTCGTCCCAGGTCCAACATTGTACAGTGGTGCAGTCTCAATCACTCAGGCAACATCTGCATCCACGGCTACCGGAACTCCAATCACCGGATCAGGTACCGCAGGCACCGCAGGCACCGCAACTTCGGCCCAGACGACCGCAGCTGCTAGCGTATCCACAGCACCATCGGCAACCACAGTAGCGCCCACTACCGTCGCTCTCACATCAGCTTCAAGCACTGCTGTAGCGTCCACCACAGTTGCGCCCACAACGGTAGCACCGACGACAGTGGCACCGACGAAAGTGGCAACCACACTGTCAACAATCACGCGTGCGAGCACCACCACCCCAGCTGCAGGCAGCGGCGCGACCCAGTCCGTGTATGGTCAGTGCGGAGGAAGCAACTGGAGCGGGGCGACAGCCTGTAATACTGAAGCCGCCTGCTCGTCCATGAATCCCTACTACTCGCAGTGTGTTCCTACAGCCGCTTGAGTGGAAAATAGATGTATGTAACGTGCATGACGAGGTATCGCTGGCCGATATACCTGAAACGAGAAATAAGCAAGCCAATGAGATGAATTTTGAATCCTTAGTTCTACGCAAATTGTGATATGGAACATGCCGTTGTGTGAGACGTGTGTGGTATATAGTGGTCGGCGCTAAACAAAGCGAGACATGAAACGGCGGCATTCTCCGCCCGGTGAGCGACTGCCAAGACTGGGGTCCCCCCGCAGACTCAACATTATCATTGCTCTGCGGACATTGGAAAATAACGAAAATGGCTTCCGTGGAGAAGAAATGTCTCCCTCTAGGGTATTCGCTTCATGACGGATATCCATCGACTCCGGAGTACCTCCATCTCCGCTCCGCTGCAGGACTATCGCCAAAGACGCCCTCCCAGGCGGCTGCAGTTCCCACGGGGAGCTGGTATGGATGCTATATCACCTTTAAAGAGGACGATTCAACCCCAAAGGCGGTAGCTATGGGAAGAATTATAGGAGATGGTGGCTGGTAATTTCCTCTATACTGCGCCTGTCGAGAATCTGAACTAAATGTTCGCTGATTAGGTACTTCCATATTGCGGACATGGCGGTTGACCCGGGACATCAAAGGAAAGGACTCGGAGATGCCATTCTGAAGGCGTTGCTTGCAAAGATCAAGCAAGATGCTCCGGCAGATGGCAAGCCTTATATCTCACTGTTGGCTGATGGACCGGGGAGACCTTTATATGCGAAAAATGGCTTTGTGGAAAGTGCGCCAGCGTCACTTGGTATGGTACTCAAAAATTAGATCTGCAAGTCGCAGCAATCCAAGTATTGCCATTGGACAGTTTACCTTAGGGCACACTGTACCTGGTAGCGTGGAGTGTGGGAGGCAGCCACGGCCTTGGCGACAGGATTAAGCCAAACCCAGCAACTTTCTACACTTCACCATCCCCCGATGATCAACTCATTTAGAGCCACAGTCCTTGAACATGTATTTAAAGATCCAAATGAAAACATCACATTACAAATACCATAATCCACCTCCGCATCCCTGAGAACCCCAGGTCCACCCTCGGCGTGCACTCTCCCGAACGTGGGGAAGCCGACGTCAAGGCCGTGGAACGGGACACCCGAGCGCCCAATGCCTTCAATCTGCAGCTGCTTGTGCCCCGTCGGCCCGTGGGGAAACCACCAAGAGATGCCGCATATCTCATCCCCCAGCACTTATCAAGCTCCATATTCTCCGCAGTCGGGTTCTCCAACCCCGAGCCCCGGACTTCTTGTCAAGGCTGCCCCGGACTGATTGGTTCAGGGGGAGTGAATGGTGGAGAGATGACCTGAGGAGAGCACATTCAGCAATTGACCCGCCGATCCAGCGTCGTGGCTGATTTATGCCCTTGGAGGCGTCGGATCCCGCCAGCCCTTCTTCTCTAGCCTAAAAGGGCTTGACCTCTTTTGCTCGCACATTCTGTGTTACATCTGGCTTGAAGAATCTGATTTTTCTTCAAGTCACTTCAGTATTATTATCACGATGTGGAAACATAACTTTCGAGGGAGGTCTCTGGTCTTTGCTGTTACAGCATGTTCGAGTCAGGTTGGTCGAATGTATCCAGTTGTTGGCTCTTGAACAAATAACTTACATTCAAATGAACCCAGGCATTCCTGTTGCTTGGCTATGATCAAGGCGTGATGAGCGGGTTGGTAGGAGCAGACAACAAATTCGGTCGAGATTTCGGTCACCCTGATGCCAACTTGCAGGGTGACATCGTTGCCCTTTATGACATTGGTTGTATTATCGGCTCGATTCTGGTCTTCTTCATTGGTGAACGGTACGGTCGGCGCTGGATGCTGATGGCTGGTGGTACAATCATGATTATTGGAACGATTATTCTGGCTTCTTCTAATACCGTGGCACAACTGATTGTCGGCCGCATTGTGACAGGCGTGGTGCGTTGTCTTCATATTTTGTTTGAGGCTTATGTACTGATCTAGCTTCCAGGGAAATGGAATGAACAGCAGTACGGCTCCTGTTTATCAGAGTGAAAGTGCACCATCCGACATCCGAGGAACGCTCTTGACGTTGCAAGGAACCATGACGATTCTTGGGCTCTGTATTGGTGAATAAATATTCTCATGTTTTCATGGTGACACAATACTGATACCATTCCTAGCTTATTGGCTCGACTATGGCACTAGCTTCACAGAGTCCTCCTTGCAATGGCGGCTACCACTAGCATTCCAAGCATTCTTTGCTGTCTGTCTGGTCCTACAAGTGATTGGGCTTCCCGAAACCCCGCGATGGCTCATGAAGAATGACCGCTACGAAGAAGCTCGAGACGTTGTTGCTGCTATCAACGACACCTCTATAGACGATCCGGTTGTACTTCAAACGTTGGCAGATATCGAAAAGGCCGTGCATGAAGATATTCAGGGAAGTGAAGTTGGCTGGCGCGACTTTTTCACCCACGGCAAACTTCAAAATTGGCGTCGACTGCTCTTGATTATCTTCATTGAAATTATGCAACAGTTTACGGGTTCGAATATGATGTAAGTTGTCATCCATGTCGAGTCTACCATTGAAGACTAACAAGGACAGTAATTACTACGCCCCAACAGTCTACACAGATGCCCTTCATATGGGGAGAAACATGTCGATGATTCTCTCGGGCTGTACGTCGCTCGCATATCTCGTTGGATCCGCCCTCCCTCTATTTATGATGGATAAATTTGGCCGACGTATCCTGCTCATGGTGTCCGCCGCTGGACTCTGTCTTTGTTTCGTCATGGTTGCGATCATGCTATCTATTGGGAAAGTACAAGACGCGTATGGTGCCACCGCCTTTATATTCTTGTTCCAAATCTTCTATGGGCTTGGATGGTTGCCCGTGCCATGGTTCTACCCGTCTGAGGTAAGTCACTATTTGTTATCTTCTTTTTCTACAACCTGACACCTGCTTCAGATTAGTACGACCTCCCTTCGATCTAAGAATGCCGCTATTGCATCTGCATTCAATTGGCTGTCCGTCTTTGCCGTGGTCAAGATCACACCCATTGCAATTCGTAAGTCTTCTCATGCCTACCACAGCCCTTTACCTTGTTTAAAATGAGTTGGACTAACTGAGCCCCACACAGAAAATATCGGCTGGCGTGTATTCGTGATATTCGCGGTCCTCAATTTCCTCTGGATTCCGATTGTTTACTTCTTCTATCCGGAAACCAAGGGCCTCGAACTCGAAGATATCAACTTGATCTTCGCGAAGGGTGGATTCACTGGCGGTGTCTTCTCCTCTGGTGGTCGTACTGTCATTCCTCATCAACATGCTCAGGAGACAGAGCTCGAGGGCAAGCAGCAAACTGCGCTGGTTGAGGATATCAATCATCATTGATTCACTTTACAAATTTGTTATGGCAGAAATTACTTATGGTTAGATATTGGCATTCATCTTTGAACGCAGGCAATACATGTTTTCACGATTTATCTATTGATCTAGAAGAGTAATTGAAAAGTTTCCACGGGTTTCGCCACCTGTTGACTCTTTATATTGAAATTGGTGATGCTTCATTCTTTACACTTTTCAAATGTGATAGATGTAAGGGATATGAGATACATTGATTTGGTATGCTACCACTTAGTAAAACTTCCATACATACCGAGTGCCCCTCAAGCCCAACGATGGCAAACATGTTTGATTGATAATTTCTCCCTTGCATTAAAATGGCAAACGTTTGATGCAATGTGAAGGGCAAAAAATGATACTGAAAAACAGCAAACATGTGACTGGTATATAACTAGCATCAAATTGGGGGTTGGCTTTTCAGCAACTGACTTTCCTACCATATCACGCATTCGCGACACAATTTCCACAATGTCATCCTTATTTATCGACGACTTATGGGATCATTACTTCTTATCCTAGCCACGTGGGGAACAGATCAAGTTCCCCAATAGCCTGTCGCTCAGTATGACCTCTGAATTCCTTCGCTGCATCGAACTGGAATGGGGCCCTCGGGCAGAATCCAGCCTCAGAAAGGCTGCTCCAAATTACCGAATTCCATACGCGAGAATGAAGGCAATGACGGAGTCATTCGCCTACGACATCAGTAACGAACGTAAGCAGACTTACGTACAGATAATGTATGCTTCTCCGCTACCACGCAGTTTGGAAGAGTTCTCTAAGAGCGTAAGAACTAATATGACCTTGGGATTTCTTCACTGCGTCGAGTTGGAATAGGGCTCTCGGGATGAACGTAGCCTCCGAGAAGCTGCAAGGATGTATCGGATTCTATACTATCAAATAAATACAATGACAGAATCATTCAACTACCATATTTTCGATGGACGAGAGTAGATTTATGTTCGTATCATGTATGCTCCCCTCCCCCACACACAATCCGACGCCACTAATAAGTTGGTCAAATTGTAGTCCGTTTTGATTACTGTATTTTATATCAACTTTCACCTTTACAATGATATCGAATTCTTCGCATCGTAATGTTTTACTCATTGTACGATACTTCCCAGCCCAAGCTACGGTACCTTTGTCGGTGATGATGGCAATCGAAAAAGAAATTAAACAAAATAGATTGGTATTTGTTGAAAGAGGAAATTATTTTCGAGTAAGAAGTAGGAGTTTAGGCGGGGTTTCCAGTGCTGTCGTACCGGAAGATACCAGTGGAAAGTGACTGGCTTATCTCCCCATCTCCGTGGCTCAAAACGACGCCTTCTCCCACAATCTCGAACTTCCCTTCTTCCCATTGTGTTCGGTCCACGTAAACATGAGCTGACATCTTTGGCTCACCCATGCGTAGGGTGATGTGCCGTCCATCTTTAACACGGCTCCTTATCTCGGTTGCCATGTTCGTGACACGCGTTTCATCATGGAACGAACAGCTACAATATTATTCAAGTATCAGCAATCGAGCAACATCTAGCACTAGTGAGGGACGTAACATACCGGATCTGTACCCAGCGGGCGCCGAGGCGACGAGCACTTCGGAACGCAATCTCTTCGGTGGCGGCCTTGAGAATAGAAGTCGGGACATTCGGGTATCGAGCGGCAGCAGCATCGAGATGATCGTAGGCATCGTCAGACCAAGATATCTTGATATTGGCGATAAAAGCGGGGGGTATGATCTGGCCGAAGCCTATGAGGAAAGTCAAACTCATGCATCTTAGTCAAAGTCTTGTATCACAATGTGGACTACGATAATCGTGAGGTTAGGTGATGTTGAAGAGAAGCAGAGACAGCGAAGCAGGAAATCGAGGGTTTCGATGATCAGTCTTGACAGCGAGGTCAAACGACTAAAGACAATAGACCTCATCAACAATAGGATTGTATTCAGTCTTATTGTCAGTTCTATTTAGTATTGTTCTCAATAGCCTATCCATTAATGACAATAAGGACAACAGGGACAATAACATCTCAGTTGTAATACTATGACTCGACATGCAACAAGGATAAACTCAGATTCTACAGGCCTGAATCTGGAAAGGAGAAAGAAAAAGGGAAATCTCAGGATTGAGAGGATGTTGACGATTACCTAATTAGGAAGGCATCCCAAGTCTGGTCCCCGGGTCACATGCCATTTCCCGCACGGCCACCCACTTTAATGTTGCGGTCCAACTCTATTTCCCATGACGCACTTCCCGCCTGCCTTCGCTTTCCATCGACAACCACCTTGCGACAACACACCTAGCACCATGGATAACCCCGACGACCAAATCCGACATGGATGCAGACCCGCCCGTGATGAAGCCAAATGGGCATGAAAATAGTGATGGCCAGGATAATTCACTCACAACACCGATGCCACAAGTTCTCTTAGGCGAGGACCCATATGACTCTGGTTACTTCTCCAACTCAGCTAGCAGCAAATGGTCTCCAAATATCGATACTCGGGACGGTCTCAACACACTCTTTACCCCTATTGATACACATATCAACAATGATACGGAAGACTTCGGTGATTTCGCGGACTCCGACAATGAGATGGATGTTGAAGAGTCCTGCGAGTCCTGGAAGGCATACGATAGTCGTGAAACCTCCTACGTCTTCTACCCCGTTTACGTTGGCGAAGTTTTGAACCAAAGGTACCAAGTCGAGCACAAAATCAGCCACGGGGCTACGTCGACTGTTTGGATGGCCCGCGACCTTCAGGGCGATATTGATGTTGCATTGAAAGTCATGTGTTCTGGGGAATGGGCCGAACACGAAATCTGTATACAGGACGAAGTCCTTCAAAGTGTTCAGGAAACGTCCCACCTTGTGACATATATAGAGACCTTTGTGCTTCATGGAGATGATAGAGATCATCAAGTTCTCGTGCTTCCCCTGGTTGGCCAGTACGTGGTGCCTCATGTTCTAAAGAGAGCCCCTATGACAACTCGTATGTCGGCTGCGCACCAGCTCCTCAAGGCTCTAGAAGGCTTACACAAGGGACAAATTATCCACCGTGGTGAGTTTAACCCTCTAGAGGATGTCAATTCGAACTTAGTAATATACTAATAAGGACTTTAGATCTAACAGACCGGAATTGTATGTGGGGCATGACTCCCCTCCACAACCTAATTAGAAGCGCTAAATACAAGGCACTTCGTCGCCCTCTCAAGAAAGCCATACCATTCACCAAACTCGCGAAATACGGGGAGCTTGTTCGCCCGATGAAAGTTCCAGACAGATTACGCACAGAGCAATTCTATCTCGCGGATTTCGGTCTCGCAATGAAAGTTGGCGATGAGCCTTTATATGGATTTCCACCTATGCAGTTTTGCTCCCCCGATCGCCTTCACGGCCAGAACCCGACCTTTGCCTGTGACATGTGGAGCTACATGATTGTCTTTGCGGAACTTTACCTCAGTCACCCGCCTTTTCCAGATCTCGGCGAGGGCGGAGTGGTAACTGGTATGGTGCAATTCCTGGGTCCACTGCCTGCTGAGTGGAAGGGATCCTACATCATCGACGGAGACCATTTGGACTCATGGTATGACCAAGACGAGAAATTCGATCCGAAACTGGCACTTGACGAAAGAATCAAACACTTCCGCCCCGATGTTGATCCTGTTGAGCGAGAGCTTGTACGCTCTATCATGGCCCAAGTGTTTACATTTGACCCGAGCAAACGTTTGAGTGCCACAGAGCTCCTAGAGGATCCGTTATTCAAGACTCTCATGGAGATCTATGACTGTTGAAAGAATGCCTCTTGATTCCATTCGGACTTACAACACATTTGTTCCCATGTCATTCTCACATTTTGTATTTTTGTTTTCATTTCCAAGTTTATGTTCTCCTGGTACTGACGTATTGCACTCATGGTGTGCGCATTGCCTTTTCAGTGGTTATGCATGTTTATGCACAACGAGTTGCTTTTCGTCATTGCCTTTCTGTTTATGATACCCTTGTTACATCCTTAATTTGCTAATTCAAACCCATCCCTTCAGGAGACTAATTTAATTGCAGCACCACAGCCTGGATACTGGACTATGATCTTCTGTTCCTCCTTCATTCAATTGAGGGGTATTTACCATAATCAAAATCGAAGAGGTGACTTGCCTTTTATATAGCTCCCTCCCCAGTGTATTATCCAGAAAGGTTCCTTCTATACTATAGAGCATAGCTATGGTGGAATCTGTGCATTTAACTTGTCAGTATGACTTTCTTCTACCGTATAACCAACCAGCTGGAGTATATCCAGTTCCAAGATGTTGCTCGATTCCCCCAACCGATCGCCCATGCACCATCGAACTGAAACAATATGCAAGCGCATGCAGAAGCACGGATGCCTATGCAGGTTGAAATAATACTGAGGGGGGTTCTCAGGTTAAGTTACGGAAAGAAACGACGCAACCGCATAGATAAACCCGCTCTACCCTCCATTTCCCAACCTAGAACATGAAAACCTAAAGGAACATGGAACTCAAAAAGAAATATACTTGTATAGACGACTCTCTCAACTAATCCTAGAAACTCTTCTTCAACCACTGCGTCTGCGAATTGCAATACCCGAGCAAACCAGTAAGCCCCCACTCAACCCCCATGCCACTCTGCTTATGGCCACCAAACGGCGCAGTAGGCGAAACATCGAAATGACTATTAACCCAAACAGAGCCCGACTGCAACTGATCCGCAATACGCGTCGCCCGCTCGAAATCCTTCGACCAAACCGACGACCCAAGACCCGTCTCCAGCGCATTCGCACGCTCGACCACATCGTCCTCATCAGACCATTTCATAATCGGCAAGATGGGCGCGAAGGGCTCTTCCTGCACGATGCGCGAGGATTCAGGCGGGTTGTCGATGATGGTTGGGTGGATGAAGTAGCCCGTGGAGTTCTCGATCGAACCACCGAGTACGGGGTTTAGGTTCTCCGTTGTGATAGAAGAGAATAGCTCTTTGGCCTTTTCAAACTGCATTTCGTTTTGCACTGGTCCGAAAAAGGTGTCTGGTTCGGTTCCGTGGCCTACCTTGAGTGTTGTGACGAATGTGATTAGCTTGGAGAGGAATTCGTCGTAGATGCTTTCGTGGACGTAGAGCCGTTTGATCATCATGCAGATTTGGGAACTGCAGAGGTAGGAGAGGATGCCGATTTTCGGGATGATCGTGTCGATGTCTACGTCGTTGCAGATGATTGCGGGATCGTTTCCACCTAGCTCGAGGGTTACGCGTTTGAGGGTCTTGGCGCAGGAGGCCATGACTCGTTTTCCCGTTATGATTGATCCTGTGAAGCTGATTTTGTCGATCCCGGGATGGTCGGTGAACATGGGTCCGAGGGAGTCGTCGCCGCTGAGACATTGGATCACTCCTGGTGGGAAGAAGTGGGTTGCTAGCTCTGCGAGCTTCAGGTCACAGTATGGGGTAAAGGGCGATGGTTTCACGATCACCGTGTTGCCGGTATAGACGGCCGACACGATCTTGCCTACGGCTAGTAGGACGGGGAAGTTCCAGGGCACGATGGCGCCGACCACGCCCATGGGTGTATGGCGCTGCACGATCTTGCGGTCGTCTGTCTCTTCGATAACATTCTCCTTGATCTCGATTGAGCTTAGTCCGCGGGTCCAGACGCTCGCCATTCCCACTTCTGCGGTTGCCTGGGTCAATGGCTTGCCTTGCTCCATTGTCAGAGTCTTTGCGAACCCGTCCGCGTTGGCGTCGATGGCATCGGCCCAGGCGTTGAGGGCCTTGCGGCGTTCATCAAAGGATGTCTTGGACCAGGTTTTGAATGCTGCTCTGGCGGCTTTCACAGCCTTGTCGAGGTCATCCTGGGTTGAGACTGGGACGGGTGGGTTGGACTGAGTGGTGGCTGGGTTAATTCCAGTTCGAGTTTGTGAAGTAGAGGTTAATTCATTGTTGATAATATTTGAAAAGGTCTATGATATTCAGTGAGTGACATTTTGGCGAAGATTCATGGATGTGTGAGAAGCTTACCTCAAACTCCAATAGCTTGAAGTCCGTCATCTTGACAACTTATACAGTAGTGTTGGTATCTTTTTTATGTAAAGGAAAAGCTAAGAAATGGGAGTGTCAGGCAATATGACTGGATTTATAGTACTATGATCAGTGCTTTATCCGTCATTCGTTCCCGAACGGCGGAAAGTAGCCTTGAGTATCATAGACTTTAAGCCTATACTGATAGGGGGCCCGGAAATAGTAATTTCATGGTGATTATGACCCAATCACTACTCACTGTTATCAGCCCATCGAACTCATATGTCCGCATTTGGCTTCGCATTACGCTGATTCGTCGCATATACCCCAAACCAAGACCTTTCCCAAGTGCGGGGATGCGGGGATCTCTCAGACTCCAGTATAATTCCGCTCTTTCTTCTGATTCAAAGGTCATGAATCACTATGCCGGCATATATTCTCGGTATCTGAGCGACTTCGGAATGTCTAGACGGTACTTTTGGAGTATTTCAGCCGCTTCGTTGATATGTGGCTGCTTGCTGCAGATAAGCTCCTTGGGAGAGGGAATCCGTGGGAGGGGTAAAGCTGCGCTCCGCTTGTCTTTCACTGATCTGGTCTCTTAATGGTCTTATTTAGTCTTATTAATTGGTTTCCGGTACCTCAACTCCAAAGCACCGCAATAAAAGGTGAAGGGTGAGTTGTTTGTGGCATAGTCGCGCATTTGAAGTTGCCCGTCACCGCACGGAGCTATCATACCAAAGGCAGGGTAGAGGTTCTGGTGGGCATACTCTGTAAACGGGAACACATTGGGGTAGTATTCAAACAATCGTGTCTAGACCTCGACTATTGCGGTAAGACAAAGGGAGAGAAGGCTGTGGACGTTGAAAAGAAGCAGTGCACAGACCAGCATGACATCATCTGGTCTCCTTGGTTAGCATTCATCATCCACACGTCGTGTTAATTTATATCCCTACACACCCATGTCGATCACATTCACCAGTCTGCCAATAGACCGTGTGGCTATTTCAAGAAAGACCCTTGCATGGTGGCGACACCGTGCTGAGTGGGTATCTTCACGATGATCGACCTTCGGATGACGTCCCGCGTCAGCGCCTCTTCTGTCAACAGTTCTTGTCTCTCGTTTGTGATAACGAGTTTGTGCTTGGCGTACGTCGAACAGATATCAGGTTCCACCATACATCGATGTCATGAATGAGCTTCGTCTATATAAAGAGCTTGTTTGTCGTGCAGAATTTAGAATATATATTCAACCAATCCAGTCAACATTCACAAGCACATTCCTCCTCAAGTCTACTACTTCAAACAACTGAAATCCATTACAATCTATCAAAATGTTCCACCGTCGTCGCAATCCCACTGTTACTCGCACCAGTAAGCCGACCCTCATGACCCGTCTCAAGGGCCGCAATGCGAGATCGCGCACTGTCAAGACTACCACCACTACCCACCCCAATGGCACACATGCTACTCATGGCACACATGCTACCCACGGCACACATGCCACCCATGGTCACCATGGTCACCACGGTCACGGATATGGAGCAACAACCACCCGCACCGCACCAGCCCACCACCACCGTCGCAAGACAAGCCTGGGTGACAAGTTCTCGGGTGCCATGATGAAGCTGAAGGGGTCGTTAACACACCGTCCCGGTGTCAAGGTGCGCACAATCTGATTCATCCCCCAATCTTATGACTCTTGCTAACGTGGACTGAAATAGGCTGCTGGAACCCGCCGCATGCATGGCACTGATGGCCGTGGAAGCCACACCCACCGTGTTTACTAAGTAATGCCGCACGATGTCACGAGCTACGAGAGCAACTTTTCAATATCCCTTGATGCTTAACTGTATAATATGATTTCCTACTGTTTTTATACGCACTGTACATATAACAATTTCCTGAAATACTCCCACGATATAACCATTTCATGAGTGAGGTGTAATTTTGTACTTCATCAATCTTGATTTCATTATCTATGAATCATCATCATCTATTCACATAACAACTATATACACGTCTATGATGCAAGTCATGATACAAAAGGCCAACCTGACAGACAAGATCGTAATCAAAGCAGACCTCGCAACGCCTCACCCAAAGCCATAATAGCCATAGCCTGGCCATAAGGCATAGACGTCAAGGGGATCTGCTTGTAGAAATCAAGACAGTCACCCATGCCAGTACCAAAGCTAGTATTCTGCAGCTCACCCCGCTCATCAATATCACCCATAACAGCAGCGATCGCCTTCTCCGCCACCTCGCGATACTGGGGACCAATATAGCGTTTCCGGACAGCCTTCAAAATACCATAAGCAAAGCCAGCAGTGGCAGAGGCCTCGACATAGGAATCGGGGTGGTCGAGAAGAGTGTGCCACGCGCCCGAGGGAGACTGCAGACGCTGCAAAGCCTCACACTGTGCTTCAAGGGTATCAATCAGGTGAAGACGAATGGGGTCATTGGGCTGCAAATCAAGCAATTCAATGATCTCAGGAATAACAATGGTGACCCAACTGTTACCGCGGGCCCAGCGCGCATCGGCAAAATTGTGACCACCATCCTCGAAGGTCCATCCATGGAACCACAATCCAGTCTTGGTATCGAAGAGATACTTGATATGCGTCAGGAACTGCTTCTTGGCCTCGTCGATGTATTCAGGCCTGTTGAGCAACTTTCCAATCTTCGCCAGCGGCATCACGGTCATCATCAACGTATCATCCCACAGCTGCTGATAGTTCTCGGTGATGTACGTGATATGCTGCATACCGCCGTACCGGGTGCGCGGCAATTCATGCATGGCCCATTCGGCCCAAGAATCCAGCCACGGGAGATATGTCACGTTGCCGGTTTTCTCGTAGACGTAGGCCAGTGTGAGGAAGACGGCCATTGTGTTGATGTTCTTGGTTGTGCCGCCCTCGGCAAAGCGGTCGGCGAACCAGTCTTCAATGATCTTGAGCAGGCGCTCGTCGCCGGTCAGCTCGTAGTATTTCCACACTCCGTACAGGCCAATGCCGTGCGTCCATTCCCAGCCGGCCCATGACTTGGTGTCGATTATGCGGCCGTCTGGGAGGGGGAGCAGGAATTTGCCTGTTTCATCTTTGATATTCACTAGGTTGTCGATTAGGAGATTGACGGCGCTGTGGATTTCGGGGCCGGTGGGCTTGGAACTGGCCATGGTGAGATGTTGGAATGCTGGATGTCTGGCGAATCAGGTTCACGTTCACGTTCACTTTCTTGACCGCAGAAAAATTAAATCGCCAAACGCCAGACCCGGGAGTCCTAATAAGTGCTGGCGTTAAAGAGTTCTTCCACTAATGGGCTGCGGACTCGGACGCCACGTCGGTTCCCCGCGCGAGCCAAGCTGCTTTCGGGTCAGAGATGCCCGAGTCAGTTCAACCCCCACGGTCAAGTGCAAGGCTAAACAGCCACTGGCCACTCATCCCGGCCCAGTTCCCCCCTCCGTCCGTTTAAGCGAGTCGTGGATTCTCAGCTCGGGATAGTGCTTCCCCGGACTGTACAGCGGGGAAAGCTAGTCTGTCCCTTGCCAAGAAATCCCGGGGTAAAGAGTCTGGCACGGTGCTTGAATCTCGGTTAATAGTATGTTGAAAGCATGTTCACGACGCCACATGACTATCTGAGATCCCTGGCTGGTCTCGGCTAAGCGTGTTGAATGTGGTTAGAATGCGAGTATGCACGGTCCTGGCCTATTGGCCGTCATTATAAGGACGTTGGACTCCGTCTGTGTCCCAGGAATCCCAGTGTCTTGTATCTGTGTCCTGTCTACAGAGACTGCCTTGGTACACTGATTATCCTTCACCATGGCCGACGGCAAGGATCAGCCCCAGCAGGGCATTGAGCCTGCTCCTGCTCCTATTCAGCATCAGGTCGAGATGGGCGAATACCAGAGCAAGCAGGACATCACCCATGTCGAGCAGGTCTTGTCTGGGGAAGATTTGAAGAAGGATAATATGGACACTAGCCGTGTCGACAAAGAAGTTCAGGCCTATGCCGCCGATGTGGCAGTGGAGATCGATCCGGAGACTGACAAGCGTCTCAAGCGCTTGATCGATCGTCGTGTTCTGGTCATTATGATCTGCACGTACTTCTTGCAAGCTCTGGACAAGGGAACTATGTCTTTCTCTGCTATCATGGGTATCAAAACGGATGCACATTTGGAAGATGGCCAAAAGGTACGTTCATCTGTACTATATTCCACCTGCTGTGCTAATCTCACTCCTTTGTATAGTATTCCTGGTTGACAACCTGTATTTACATCGCCGTCCTCACGGTCGAATACCCGACCAACTGGATTATTCAACGCGTTCCAATTGGTAAATACCTCGGCATCAACATTTGTCTCTGGGGTACGATTCTGGCCCTGCATGCTGCTTGCCACAATTTTGCTGGACTGGTCACCGTCCGCACCTTGCTGGGTATCTTCGAGGCCTGTTGCCAGCCTATCTTTGTCACATTGTCATCCATGTGGTATAAACGCGAGGAACAAGCAGCCACCGTCACATACTGGTATGTTCAAGTTGAGCTCATGATCTGATCGGAATCTGACACAATTAGGTACATGATGAATGGCGCTCAGCAAATCGTCGGCGGTCTTCTGGCCTATTGCTTCACTCTGATCGGCTCGGATAAGGTGCTCAAGTCGTGGCAGGCGCTATTCCTTACGTACGGATGTATTTCCGTCATCTGGGGTCTCTTCGTCATCTGGTACATGCCTGACTCCCCCATGCGTGCCAAGTGCTTCACTGAGGAGGACAAGCGCCTGATGGTCGAGCGTCTGCGTTCCAACCAAACCGGTATTCAGAACAGACAGTTCCGCGCATACCAGATGTGGGAAGCCTTCCGTGATCCTCAGATGTGGTGCTACTGTGCCGTGCAGATGTTCACTACTCTCCCCACCAGTGGACTCGGTGCTTTCTTCACTATCATCATTAAGAGTTTCAATTTCACTACTCTGCAGACTCAGTTGCTTGCTATGGTGCTGGGTGCTTATATTATTGTTGTTCTGTTATCTTCGGCTTGGTTGGTGAAGAGGTTTAACCAGAACTTGCTGGTCATGCTGGGTTTCATCATTCCGTACGTGACTTCCCCTATGTTCCCGTTGATCTTTCACTAACGTGATGCAGTTCATTTATTGGAACAATCGTCCTTATGACTGTTGAGAACACCACTTTGTCCACCAAGGTCGGCCTGTTGATCAGTTACTATATCACCATGTCCTTCTGGTCCGCCCAAACCCTCACCCTGTCAATGGTGTCCCGAAACGTCGCCGGTCAAACCAAGAAGGCAACCGTCGTTGCAGCGACATTTGTTGCTTGGGCTACTGGAAACGCCATTGGTATGCTACCATCTTTTCTTGTCTATAGATGTGGTCTGAATAATACTAACACGCTCAGGCCCCCAAGTCTTCCTTGACAGAGACGCGCCCCGGTACCATATCGCCTGGAGTGTCCACCTCGCCTGCTATGCATGCATGGTCTCGGCTGTCATTTACCTCCGTTTCTATCTTAAGCGCCAGAACGCCAAAAAGGATAAGCTGTTGGCTGAGGCTGGACTCACTGCCGCCGACCCGAATCTCATCCACGCTTTCGAGGACAAGACTGATCAGGAGAACATGAACTTCCGATATGTTTATTAGATACCCTTTGATGATTTGAGAATTTGTTTGGGTTGGATATCGGTGATTGGGGTTCTAGAATTAATTTAGTTTTAGGTTTAGCCTAAATATGAAGATGTTGGGCCTGCCGATATCGGTGTGTTTATTTGAGGTTGGACATGTACAGTAGAGTATCGTGGACCTTCTGAACCATTCAGTCCAGCTGTGAGATGCTGCCGAAGTAAATATCCATCCCTGGATCATTACATAGTCATTTCTGTCGCCCTCATTCCACTCTACCTTTTCTCTCTGAGAGCCCCTCCAATACCCCACACTTGCACCGGCCTAAGATTCTCCACTGCACTCGAGATAGACTGCAACTTTTACCTAATTTGCAACTAACCCCTCAAGGAAATAGCAGACAGCAGAAGCAATTAGCATCAAAGAACAATAAGAGAATACGACCCTTCGGGTGATATCTTATCAAATCCCCTCAGCCGATCGCCTGTCGGCGGTCTCCGCCTCAACTCGCCCATCCATGAAACGAGACCGTCTCTGGGATTATTAAAAGCCAGCTAGAATCCACTTTGACAGCCAGTTTCGCAGTTAAAATAATACTACAAACACCAGAACTCCAACTAACCCAGCAAAAACCCCATCAAAGCCATCCAAAATGCTCTACACCCACGCAACAATCGTGACAGTGGACCAAACCCGCCGCATAATCGAAGACGGCGCAATCCACGTCACGGCCAACAAAATAGCCGACATAGGCAAAACAGCCACTCTGAAAGAGAGATACCCCAACGACGAAGAGATCAACCTCTCCGGCCGAATCATCGTGCCCGGCCTGATCTCCACACACATGCACACGGCGCAGACCCTGCTCCGCGGCACAGCCGACGACCTCGAGCTGGTGTCGTGGCTCTGTGAGCGGATCTGGGTGCTGCAGGGCAACTTCTCCGCGGAAGACGGGTACGCCGCTGCACGCCTGAGTATCGGCGAGATGCTGAAGTCTGGGACGACTTGTTTCTTGGAAAGCATGGTAACTATGATCCCGTTAGCAATCCCTGTTGTTCGACTGATTTCGCGCAGTTCGCCGACCGGTATGGGTTTGATGGACTGGCTCGGGCGGTGGAGGAGAGTGGCATAAGGGGGTGTCTGGGTAAGATTGTTATGGATATTGCGAAGTATGCGAAGGATGATGCCTGGGCTATGTATCCCGGTCTGGTGGAGAATCGAGAGACGTCGCTGCTGGGCACGGTTGATATGTGGGAGAAGTGGAATGGCGCTGCTGAGGATCGCATTCGCGTTTGGTTTGGTGCGAGGACGCCCGGAGGGTATGTTTGATTCAGTCGAATCATCTACTTGCATGCTGACGTGGATAGGGTTTCTGATGCTTTGTATAAGGAGATGACTGCTATCTCCAAGGAGAAGGGTATTCCTATCACTATGCATTGTGCTGAGGTCAAGGCCGATCGTGACTTCTTCGCTTCGGTTAACCATACCCCTATGTCTTACTGCAACTCGGTTGGTCTGCTGGGCGAGTCCACCGTGCTCGCTCACATGGTCCATCTGGATGACTCCGATATCAAGTGAGTGTGGTTCGAATGCAAATGGGCCTGGACGATGGCTAATGACAAGAAGACTGCTCGCTGCCTCGGGAACTCACGTTGCCCACTGCCCGACATCCAATGCGAAGTAAGTACCCTATACCCAATGAGTCCCAGCAGAACGCAAATTCTAATTATACTCGCAGGCTGGCATCCGGACTATGCAGAGTCCCTGACCTCCAACGCGCAAATGTGAACATCGGCCTAGGAACCGACGGAGCTCCTTGCAATAACACCTGCGATCTGTTGCAAGAGATGAAACTAGCAGCAATTATCCACAAGGGCGAGACCCAAGACCCAACCGTGGTCCCTGCCGAATCTGTCCTGGAAATGGCTACGATCAATGGCGCCAAGGCCCTGGGTCTTGAGGACAAGATTGGTAGTCTCGAGATTGGCAAGAAGGCTGACTTCGTCGCTATTGATATGCGAGGTATTCACTCGCAGCCTTGGTTCAACCCTGTTAGTGCGGTTGTGTATACTGCTACTGGACGCGATGTTGAACTGGTTGTTGTTGATGGGAAGGTGGTTGTGCGTGATGGTGAGCTTGTTACTATGGACGAAAAGGAGATTGTGCTTGAGGCGCAGAAGAGAAGTAAGGAGGTTGTTGAGAGAGCTGGGCTGGCCAAGAAGGTTCAGCCTGTTTGGCCTATTGAGTGAAGTATTGATTTCTCGAGTCTGGGATGATCGGGGTCGGTTATTGGTGAAGGTAGGTCGGACTGCTGATTGTAGTTGTCGCTGTGGTGGTTTTCGTCAGGTAGATTGATAGTTTCATGTTTGTCTTTCAGTGAATGAATAGTGCGGTTTGACGTTATATCATTGCTCTATCAATCGAGGCGTATCAAAGCACCCGTATCCCTTGACAACACTCATTTCATCAACGTCGGCATATTTGGTCTTGAAGGACCATCCAACCATCGAATTCTCAAGAACTTCGCAGGGGCTCTTTGAATCGGAATTTCTTCTCCATAGACAAGCTCCAAATATGCCGAGTTCTGAAATCACTTCCCCTTCGTCGACACCATTAGGTCCCACTAGCACATTCTGCAGAGATGGCGGCATAATGCGTTCCATCAAAATGAATGAAGACCATTCAGATTGTGGAATACACGCAAGAAATCCTGGAATCTCATCACCATACACATTATTGCCACCCCCCTCCAAGGACGGCTTCAGAATGAAACGAGTCGAGGCTTTCGGGTCGTTAGCCAACTTCCGCGCATTCAGGCCAGCGGCAGTGTCATCTAGAGGGGAGATATCAATAAATGTCGTTCTAACTGCAGCTGCCTTGTCAGAACACAAGAAACGTTCAAGGGCGCCAGGTTGCGTGAGTGCTTGTTGCACCTTCTTGAAGGTAGATATATGCGAGAGAACAGAGGGACATTTGATAGCAGTAGATATTTCAAGCCTGAGACGTGCCTGGTAGCCTGCAACATCATACTCACGCGCCTCGTACCCGGCTCTCATATACACAACGGAAATTTCCACCGGTGGCTTAGATGACATCCACGGGGGATGGAAAAGCAACTGACGCGAATCAGTGAGAGAAGTGTCCCGGAGGATATCTCCCCAGTGGAGACGATACGCAGGAACTGGCTCATCCCTATTCCATAGGGCATACTCTATTGGTCTTTCGTCGGCGATGTTAAAATTGTTGGGTTGCACAATGAATAAAACAGCGGTTTTCTGCGCCGATTGACTTTTCGGGGGACCATAAAAACCATGAGCTGCAGCTAAACAAGACTCAATACCTTCAATATTCCCATTTCGAGGTAACGATTTAACTTCGATATTGTCTTTTCCACACTTCTCCTGGCCAAGCTCATACGCCCCAGTGCGAGCCAGATACCGATGCATATTAGCCGTTCTATTGGCATGACTCCCGCCTGCACATGAGAAGGCATTGAACTCGACTTGTTTCAGCGTAGTTTCGAAAATAGCCTCAGAAGACTGCGATCTGTTCTGATCGTTGAGGTGAAGCATATAATCCGAGCGAAAAATGCCAGCAGTAGTGTCCTGGACGATCCCTGCCTTTTTGGCCTCCTCGTAAATCCCCCATAGTGCGCGCGCAAGGGGCTCAACGGGAATCAGGTCTTTGGTGACACTGTACAGCCAGTTTTCATCTTCGGCGATGGCGCAGTAGAGTTCGTTGTATGTTTTTTGGAGGTTGAATGCCTGGTTGAACTGCGTTCGGGGAAATGTGGTCGGGAACACGCTGACGCCTACTGGATATGACAGTACGCTGTGCTCTTCTTCCGATTCGATGATTTTGAGGAGAAATCCATGATTGATTTGCCAGTCTTTTATTTGGTCCAGTAGATTTCTTATTTGGTCATCGCTTGGCTCGAAGTATCTTGCGTCGATGGTTTTAGAGCTCATTGTGTTGGCGTTCGGTGTTGCATGCTGAAAATGGTCACGACTGGATATATATTGTGGTCATTCCAGCAGTCTTGGAAATTCTGCCAATCGATTTTCGTGGAATGAGGACCAGGTGAAGGTGGCACACTCGAGACAAACGAGATGTCAGGCCGCCCCCAAACTTCGAGTGGCGTGCAGCAGTGAGAGCTTAGCTTACCAACCCGTAGATCACAACGCAGAATACGTGTGCAGTCGGAATAAAAGCCGAACATAAGAGAACTTGAATGCGCTTCGATTAGGGTAATCGCACTTTCTTTACGTACACTTGATATTTGGCTTACCCTTGAATTAATATCCGGCCTCTTGCCTCTTATCATACTTGTCGTGTATGCTTGTAAATGAACCGGCACGCCAGCTTCCCCGGGCCGGACATGCGTAAATCTGGGGCAATTGGGGAATTTCCCCGCAATCAATAATGTGGCATAAGCACAGTAGACTATTTCTTCACAGTGTTGAGATGGTATGCAGAATACAAGCATGGGATATGGCCGCCGACAATAGATAATACACTGACCAACTGTCCATTACTTGAATGACAGCGTGACATGGCGATATGCAGCCAATTCAGCGATACACGACGTCACAAGTATCGTAAATGAATAGAACTAGCATTGAATCCCCTACCAGGCATACCAGACTGCAAGCAACGAAAGTGCGAAGAGTTCCAGTGCCGGGCCGGTGAACGATAAGAAGCTGCCCCACCAATTTACATAAGTGCGGGAGTTGCTCTTCAACTCTCGAGCATCTTCACTACTATACACAACACGATGCCGTCTCTTCAAGAAAGCAAATTGGCCTTCATCGGCGGTGGCAACATGGCCTCCGCCATCATTGGTGGTCTGGTGAGCAAGGGTGTCAACAAGCAGAACATCTGTGTCTCCGAGCCGTGGGATGTCAACCGCGAGAAGATGGCCGCCCTGGGTGTGCGCACCACCACCTCCAACGTCGAGGCCGGCGGTGATGCCGATCTCATTATCATTGCAGTCAAGCCGCAGGTCACTAAGGGGGTGTGTGAGGAGCTCGGCGCCGCCTGGTCGCCGCGAGAGTCACTGCCCGTGGTCGTCAGTATTGCCGCCGGTATCACCCTGGACAGCTTGCAGAAGTGGCTCACGACCAGCGATGGACGTACCGCTCATACTGTCCGAGTCATGCCCAACACCCCCGCACTGGTCGGCGAGGGTGCGTCCGGTGTTTACGCCAGCAAGGATGTCACCCCGGCTGAGAAGGAGCTTGTCAATGCTTTGCTTGGCAGTGTGAGCAAAGCTACCGAGTGGGTTGAGCGTGAGGATCTGCTTGATGTTGTTACTGGTCTGTCCGGTGAGTTTCTTACCTATGCCCCGCAATCTGTCAATTCCCATCTAATTCACGATACCAGGATCTGGCCCTGCCTACTTCTTTGCTATGGTTGAGCACCTTGTTGCAAGTGCTACAGCTCTTGGTTTGCCCGAGGAACAGGCTACTCGCCTGGCCACGCAGACTTGTCTGGGTGCGGGCAAGATGCTTGTCGAGAGTGCCGACCCCCCTAGCCAACTGCGCAAGAATGTTACTAGCCCTAACGGTACTACCCACGCTGCTCTCATGAGCTTCGAGTCTCTCAACTTCAAGGACATTGTCGACAAATCTGTCCAGGCTGCTACTGCGCGATCTGCCGAGCTTGGAAAGCAATAAAACCGATAGTTCGGAATTTGACAGCTAGACTTTATGTAACGCTATTCTCAATGCCTCATGGAAAATTACATCAATGACCATCAATTGCAATTATTATGAACTGAACGTCCTCCAACGTTGCGTCTTGCGTAGATCGCTTCTCCAAAATAAAGTGGCCCGTGCGCGCTATCGCCTTCCGCACGAAGCTCAGCTTCTTTCTCCGAACTCAAGAATGTGAAGATGGTGTCCTTTTGGCCCTGGAAGGTGAGTGTTTCCTTAACTACCACTTGAGAACTTGCAGTCATAGCTGACATGATATAGGGCGATGATAATTCAGCGGCTTCGTTCGAGAAGACCCTATCGACGTTGTCGACCAAGATCGGTCAGGCGACCACGCAGCTGGACCAACAGCGCCAATCCTCACGACGCTTCAAGGCCCTGTGGACGCTTTACTCAACCTTTGCCTATCTGTTCTACTCTATCATTCTTGCCCTGATTCTGGGATGGGAAAGCTGGGGAATCAAGGAATATGCAGCAATCGGGGGTGGACCAGTCGTGTAGGTGCTCCGTCACTTCACTCCGCACCACGAAGCATACTAACATCTGCCATTCTACAGGATTTACGCTGTTCGCACGACAAGCTCCAAGGTCTTCAACTACCGCATCAACCGTCTCCAGCGCCACCTTGACGATCTCCACAAGCAGCGTGAGGTGACAATCGAGAAGCTCAAGGTTGCCACCAAGTACAACTCTACCCAGCAACTGCTAGAGAAATACGGCGGCGCGTCTCCCGAACCATCTCCCAACCGAAAGGCCTCCGGCGAGAAGCAGAAGTCTCCCCAGCAGCCACAGCAACCTGTTGCCCGCACTGGTCTTCCACCACCGCCAACCGCCAACATCCGCCGTCCGCCTTCCTCCCCTCAGACCCCAACCAATGCTCCATCACCGCAACCCCCATCATCTCCACAGGAGTTAGCACGCGGCTCGCCGCAATTCCAGCAACAGCCATTCGCACCTCCCCCTTACCCCCAACAACCCACTGAGCAAGCCGAATTTGCACCAAACGCCTACTCAACCAACGCAGGGCAAGGCGTCGAATCACCACACTGGTACGACAGACTCCTCGATGTCCTCCTCGGTGAAGATGAAACCCAACCCCGCAATCGAATGGTGATGATCTGCACCAGCTGCCGGCTCGTCAACGGCCAAGCACCACCTGGAATCAAGACACCGGAAGAACTTGGCCGCTGGCGTTGTGGAAGCTGTGGCGCTTGGAATGGAAGCGAGAGCGAGACTAGCCAAATGCTCACAACCTTGCGTCAGGAGAATGCCCCGACGGAAGGGGCTTGGGAGCCTGTTTCCAAGGATGATGCTGATACTCAGTCTTCCGAGGGCACGGATGAGGCTGTTATGGTTCCATCTAGTGAAAAGGAACAGGCTGAATCTGGTGGATCGGAGGCTGAGGAGCGTGAAGCGGTGGAGGAGTCGACTGAGCCTGTGCGACGTTCTAAGCGTGGCGCGAAGGGTAGCAAGGGCAAGTAGAGCCGCATTTTGAACTACTGCTTCAGTAGAGTGAGCTTTCTAGCTTTGAACGCAATGTGTATTCTTGAATCTCATACTATGTAACCCAAGTGTCTAGCTAAAGTGCATGCTGACCAAATATTCCCTGTTTCTGCTATGCAATGTAAAAATCGTCAATCGTATCCAGGAACTTTCCATCAAATACTCGAAAACAATTCGTCAAACTCATCAACATGTCACGCTATGCCGCTTTAACCAAGGGATGAACCTCCAAATACTGAATAACATCAAGAGCAACCTTAACCTCCGCCTCCTCAGCCGTAGCAAAGCCCTCAACAAGCGCAATCTCATTGTTGTTCACAATAGCCGCACACCGATACGTAGCAGGCCTCCCCTTAGTCTCAACCCGTCTCCTCTTGAACACCAAGGTTCCCGCCCCCTTAACCATAGTCTGTGCAATATTCCGCGGATGAACAACATTGACACCATCAGCAATAACACGTCGAACATACGACAACAGACCCAGTCGCTCCACAAAGGAGCAACAAACATCCAGGTTCCCACCCGAATCAACGAACATCGCGCCAAGCACAGACTCGATAATATCAGAGAAGAACTTATCAGCTGCCAGCCGTGCGAACAGTTCCCACGGGTACGCGGCGGCATGATTCAACGCGTGGTGGATCTGATATCGCAGAGACTGATAGCGCAGGATGCAGGCTTCGCGCGCATCCTTGATATTCGGTCCGTGGGAACGAAGGAACTGCCAGAGGTGGATTGTGTCGTGGCTGAGTGTTGCATTGCTTAATCTCCTTCCATCAGGCGAGAACTGTGGCATGGAGGATGATTCCTCGGAAACGGCTAGGTCCATGCACAAGAAGGCGAGCAGGTTCGCGTTTACCACGGAGTGTTTGAGAATCGTCATTGCGCCTTGGTCCATTTCTACCGGGTGGTTCGGGAACACGGCCATGACGACCATGTCGAGGACTGCGTCGCCGAGGAACTCGAGGCGTTGGTAGGATTGTGTGCTTAGGTCGTATTCGCAGGATGGGTGGGTTAGCGCTTCTGTTAGGAGGGCTTGGTGGTTGAATGTGTAGCCGATCAGGTTCGTGAGGTGGTGCTGGTTTATTAGGTTGCTAACGCCTTTGCCGGCTGGGACGAGGTCGAGGGAGATTTCGCTTGTGAACATGGTTATTTCGGGGAGGAATCTGTGTAGGCAGGCTTGTGCTTTGTGGATTCCGCCGTCCATGTAGGCTGCGCCGATTAGCGCTTCGATTACGTCTGCTAGGACCTTTGTTGACATCTGGCGTTTCTTCGTTGGTTGGGTTTGTTTGGTTGAGATCATTGGGGCAGCCCATCTGCGTGGCGTGAAACGATCCGTTAGAATGAAATTGTCGATTCCGGTGTCTAGGGCTGCACGGGCGAGGCGGGTGTTTTGGATGAGCTTGTCTCGGCTTTCTGAGAGATATCCTTCGTGCCATTTGGTGTTGTCGAAAAAGAGCTGACAGCTGACGGTGAATTTGAGCACGGAGTCACCGAAGAATTCGTAACGCTGGTAGTTGGTAGTGGCCTGTGCAATGGGCGTGCTAATTGCCGTGAGAACGTGGTTGATATCTTTGATTCCTACACCTTTCAAAATACTGTCATTCAATCGGTGGGCTACTAATGAAGCCTGAAAACGGTCGAGTATGGCAGAGATGAAAAGACCAAAGATTGCCTGTCTCAGAGGAAGCTTATCCACTGTAATAGAGGATGCCGGCATTGTGTACAGCTTTTTGACTGAGTCTGCATCTCCATCTTCTATATTGACAGCTCGCATCTGCAGTAGATTGCGACGTCGAGGGAGCGGCCGACATTCTACTTCGACCGGGGTTGACTTAGTAATCTGGTCGGGGCTAATCCATCGTACGAATGTGCGTGGCTCCGTGAATTTCCCGTGATCGCGAAGAATGCTTGAAGGCTCTTCGCCCTTGTGATAACTTTCCAAAGATGGCTGTCTTCCGTCATGGCAGTTCAACCATTCCTGCAAACGTTGGCAAGGAATGCTAGGAGCGAAGAGAACGACAAAATCGCGCTCTGGTCCTCGCTCTCGTGAGCTTGGCGCTTGAAGATAGAGCGCTGTTGTGTTTCTCATTTCATCCAGTGTCTGTGCTGATGGGTCCGCAACTTGCACTGGCCGATCAAACGAAAGCAATAAAGTCGTATCGACCTCCCAATAGATATTAATGGGAGTCGGCATGGGTAGTAGGCTCGGCAGTATCATAGAAACTGCTAGATCTTCATCAATAAGGCCGTCACGGTAGATTCTGAGGCGGGTCTCGTAAGCCTGTCCTGAAGTCCACGCGTGCGCAATGTCAACGAACGGGTCATACTGCTCCATAGCATTGACTACAGAGGGTAAAGTCTCTTTATCGGTGAATCTGAGCTCTGCCTTTCTGGTCAAGGGCAAAAGGTTGTCATTTACCAGTCCATACTCATGCAAAGCTCGATAAGCATGAAACGCCGCCTCCTTTCGAGCTGCACGCTCTGTAAGCCACCACTTGGTTCCCTTGGTTTTTCTCACAGTTGGGTGAACAGAGGTTGGAAGAATAACCGTTGCTTGCTTCAGACCTGAACTGTTCTCTTCAAATGAGAATAGCGGACGGTTGTCAACGTATTCATCTACTGGTAGGACGGAGCAGAAATGGTGTAAATGCTGGACTGCTTCATTAGCAGTCATCACAGCGCTATAACGACAGTTAGTCAGAAGAACATGTTAACTGATGAAATACTTGCTGTGTTTTTTCGACGAAAAGCCGCTCAGAGACTATCTCATCAATACTCTCCAGCGCCAAAGCTTCCTTGTGCAACCTTTCATCGTCCTGATACGCTTGAATTATGGCTTGTTCCAATTGAACCCACTTTGAGACATCCAACGCCATGCCTTCGGTTGAGATCATCATGGCGTAGGTTGATTTCTGGTGGCGAGCACGACCTCTTCGCTGCACAAAGGACTTCACGTTGCCTGGCTTGTCAAAACAGATGACCAGGCTGCAGGAACTCATGTCAATTCCTTCTTCAAGGACATCAGTTGTAACAATCAGGTTCTTTCGTCCCGCCTTAAATTCAAGTAGAGTTTCTCGCTGCATATCTCGGTGAAGTAAGTCGCCAAGGGATTCTTGGCGATGTCTGTTTGTAGACCACCCGACATACGGAGCACACCGAAAGCGATTTTGTGTTGCTGGGATAATCGACAACATCCGAGCTAGAACGCTGACAGTTGCTCTTCGCTGGACAAAAATCAATCCGGAGAAATCCGGTTGATCCATTTTCACCAAAAAGTCAACGACCTTATCCAATTTCTGGGACGATTGATTGCCTTCAAGATTACCCATGTCTCTGAGAGGCATTTCGTCCAATAGTTCTAAAAGATAAACCTTCTCAAGTTGGCTGCAGCCAATCAATACGCTAGCATCATTGATTGAACTTCGGAACTGGTCAATTGAAGCCCCAATGTAGTAATCGACAGCCGCGCCGCCCAACTCCTCGTAGATGTGGCGGCTAGTTTCCAAGAATTTGTTCAGCTGCTCGTTGCAGTATGTCTTGCCAGATAACAGGACTTTCTCTAATTCAATCGATTTTCCTTCCTCACGGAGTGCCTCGATGTATGGATCCTCTTGGATGTTGTATGAAAGACAGCATTTGGTAAGAGCTTGAAGATATCGACTACCCTGGCCTTCGTCATTTTCGGCGCAAGGATTGTAATCAATTCGTTCGAGTTGAGGATGGTGAGTATTCTCTACCAACTCGGAGCGATGCGCTTTGGGCGTCTTGCAAACTGCGTTCAAGTTTGCTTCTATCAATCTGAGAATTCACGTCAGTGACTCCATGGGTCGAAAAGGCGTACGGAAAGACTACTCAAGCTCTTTTGGATTGGACCGGACGATCGGACTGGCAGTTAGTCCCAAGATTTGGGGCACTGCAGCAGGGCCCGCGTGCTGAAGCATTGGGTGGTAGTGATTTTGCATAATCTTATTGGCTGGATGACGTCTCATGCAATGATGAGCTGCAAGCAAAATTAGTAAGTATAGTAGTTTGAACATGAGAGTTTTGAATCTACCTTCGTCGAAGACAAGGAGAGCAACCTGAGACATCCTAACAAAGCCATGGGTAAGAGCATCTGCAAGAATGGCATGTGTAGCGACAACCACTCGGGCTTCCTTGAGAACTTCATCCCAAATCATCTGCTCGGTCCATAATTCCACATTGTCAAGGCCAGTTAAAACTTTCGTCTTGACGGATACAAGCTGTCGACTAATAACCTCATGTTGCTGAAGCGCCAATGCCACTGTGGGGACTAGAAACCAGATTCTCTGTATATCGTATTAGAATGAAACAAGCGCGAAGAATTTCTGCGGAAGGATCACCTTGTCCGGAGAGCAGCTTTCAAGCTCAACGAGCATACGCAGAATAGCACTAACCGCGTTAGTAATATTTTTTTTCGGACTGTAGCAGCGAGAGAGCATACATGTGAGTCTTTCCACTTCCAGTGTCCATCTAGCGATAGTTAGCATAGAATCCTGATCAAATATCGAGTTAGTAACCATACTGCGACAATGATGTTCTCTTTGCGGCTAGCTGCAAGCATCTCGAGCTGATATTCGCGAGGCCGGTAGGCAACGCTACCACTCACGGCCACTGAGGCCATGATTTGAAAGGCAGTCTTGCGATGCAAAGTCCTGAATTCGGTCGAAAAGCAGAAAGATGGGGAGCACGAAAAGAGAAAGAGAGAGAGAGATGTTTGGTGGGGCTTTGACGCGGGTGCTAGCCGCCGTGGTGTTTGACCAATGAGAGTCGAGCGGAACAAGTATGAGCCTCACAGGGCAGATTTTGAGGGTTTTTACCTCTTCTTTTACCTCATGTTTCACCTCATTTTTTACTTGAAATATGCATCAAGGTCTTGGCATTTTATTAAATCAGATCAATTATCAGTTCTCGCCTAGTTTATTTTTGCGAAGCGTGTAGGGTCAACACGCACGAGTATACTAGAGATTCCATAGTTTAATCATGGGCCTTGGATGTCTAAGATAAAATGCATTGTAACTGTATGTAAACTGAAATCATTTTCTTGATTCTAACTCCTAGAGCCTAGGGAGATGAGATACCTCAATGTGCTAGGTTGCCACATAGTTAAAATGTGTACCGAATACAATGTGAGGTAAAATCTGAGGTAACATCTGAGGCGAAACATATGGATCCTGCGGCCTCATCAAGCGGTCTCTTCTTCCTCTTTGGAGTACTTGCAGCCGACACCTTGCACGAAAATTCTGGTGGCTGTCGAAATTCAGATTGAGGGAGAGAGAGCGTGCGTGTGAGTGAAATGACTGAGATTTGTTGTGAGAAATAGGAAGCAGTGTGACGAATGAGGAAGCGACGACTTACCCTGTAAAATGCGCCCATCCTAACGCTAATGTTATACAGCCACTTTTACACGGTGTGGGGTGCATTTTGATTCATTTGGGGTGTGTTTTGAACATGGCCCTTTTTGTATTTATACCTTCCGGCATTCGGTATACTACTATAATGAAACCTCACGTGCTCCACTATCTGGGCTCTCAGAACTTGGCCTGCTATTTAACTTCGTGATTCCTCGTTTGACTGTTTCGACACAGGAGCGGAAAATGGGCTTCATCACTATGAGTGATCCGCAGATTATAGCCATGTTCAGTTCAAGAATTGCCCATATCAGTGAAAGTGGGCTGCCGTCTATGAATAGAGCAGAATCAGTCCTAGTCCATGTGGGTTTCATCGAGTAGACTAACAGGTGAGATAAGCAGTATCATAGTTTTCAAGCTGGATTATGCGCAGTATACCGAAGATACACACTCTGTGGTTGTCATTGTAAGTAATGATGCTAATTTAGATTATAAAACTTGTACTCACATGCTTCCCGCTGTAAATAAAATCGTCAGTTCAATCTTCTCTTCCAAAGGCATTTGGAGTCTCCAGACCACCGGAAGAGGCAGTAGAACAATTACGAAATTCTCCGTCGTCGATAGGCTGCCGATGATAACAAAAAATATTGTTTGCCCATCCATACAGTGACCCTTGATAGTTTGGTCCCAGAAATACTGCACGGGCCAGCATTGGAAGGTATTACCAATGACAGCTGTGATAGCCCACGCAATGACGAAGATAATGACCCCAGTAGCAGCCCATCGAAACCAGTTCACGGTGCCGAGCAGCTTGCGAAGTAGCAGGACGATAGACACCTTCACAAACATCTGAGACAAGGGCCAAAAGTGTGTCAGTATCCAGTTGGCCTATTGGGATGTTAGATCTTGGATATATTTTGGCAGAATCAAGTAAACTTACTAACGTAACTTTCAATCGATCTTCTGCTGGCAAGCTCCAAATGCTCTTCCCACGTGTGATTCCATGGAATGCAGCTATACAAAATAAGTCAGAAACACTGTGCTCTGCGGTCAACGCAGGGATAAGCTTACAGTATACTATGCAGGTCGCTACGCCATAGGTGCAGATGAGACCCGCCCCCATCAATATGTCTTCTATCCGCAACCCATGAAGCACTTTGATTCGGCAGTAAATTCGCAAGAAATAGACCGCAGTCGCAGTAACAGACGCGACGATCGGGATGACGATTAACTCCGTTTTCCAGTGATCTGGTAGATCGGGCATCTCAAACTGTTGCCCGCTTCATTGGTCACATCGCCAATCGACTGGAGGCAAGGCAGCGGGCTCGTAAAGGGTCGCGGTGTTGTCAAATGACTTGCACTTGAAGATCCACACTGGGCTGTTATAAACTTGATTTTGCGAAGTCACTTTGACAAGAGGCAAAGGGATTCGATTTCAAGCCCGAAGTGGCGTTCGCATTGGGGATTTGTACGTGAAAAAATGTTGATGTCATTTCGTATTTTGATTCGAAGTATGTTCCACGCCAATCAGGATGATCCTTGGTTGAGGTTCAGCCTCATGTTTGGTTCCATGGACTCAACTCGGTGGCCCCTGGCTTTTATGTCAGCTTCGAGGAAAACGAAGCGGTGACAATTTTTCGATGCTTGTTGATTCACCAATGGTTTTGTGTTGTCGCCACATATACTATAATATGCGATGCTCAGAATGTGGCATGTCTTCGATCTAGCATGGCCGTTGCCGCGGTCTACTCTTTTGGTAAGGCGCACACCCACCCCACAGTGTAGTCTCCCACAGTGGAGTTCTTGTGAGCCCTGGCGTCAATATTAATCTCTATAGCCATGGCGGGAGGGTCGGACTAGCGGTTGGATCAGCAAAAGCCGATGAATTGCAATTCGCTTCGGCCGATCCTAGCGAGACTCTGATTTGATCCAAACCCTGGAAGGACGAACAAAGTACCCAGAGACACTGCAAAGGCTCTTGCACCGAGTGATGCGCTGGGTGTTATATTCACCTTGATGGAATTTTGCCATGTCAGATTTGTAAGTGGGGTCCACAGGCTCGACGCCATGAGCTACAACTCTTATTACGCATAAACTGAGGGCGCTTAAATACCGCGCGAGCCTATATGAAGGTTGTCATTGCATAAAGTTAAGGGATAAAAAAGAAAAGTTGGAATATATTGTCCAGATTTCTGTGTTATTTCTGTGTAGGACACGTACCTGGTATCAAACAGGCTTCATTGCAACCACATTAATGCATGGTCAACCACTATGCCTATAATAAAGCCTGAAACGACACCAAACAGGATCCAGAGAAAGACGCATATCATGGGCATAGGAAGGGCTAAATAACATGGCGAAGTGAAATAGGAGTATAACAAACATAACCAACAAACAATATTGAGCATGAGTCTTGAAGCGCTACGGGGCAGATCTGCCCCTATTCCCAGCAGTTCTTTGATCATCACACGGATAGCTTAGAAGTTCAAGTGCACATACAGTTGGGTTACAGTAGAAACTCTGACCAGCCCGCGTGTCAAAATCATACAATTGGTTGGAACTAAACCTACACGCTTTTGGTCTTGGCAAAGATAATATGGAGTAGCACTTTCGGGATACCACGTGGACTTATCTTATATCTTGAACCTTTCCATATATTGATGTCATGGGCATCCCACTACCACTGGAGATGTTACAGATTGTATTGGAGCTCATCATTGCTGAGGAGAACGCCAACGTGCCTCCATATGTCGCTAAGAACACCAATTTGGCCCCATATGCCACTTTCAACCGCGACTGGCAGGCGATTATCGAGAGGCAGACGTTTTCAAGCATTAAGATCAGCACAAATAAGCGACTGGCAGAATTCAACAAATTACCATGGGTTCAGTTATCATGGAGCCAAAGACGAAGCCATATACAGAAAATTTATTTCATCGTGGAATTGGAGTCGTATGATGGCGAGGCTCGCACACGGTACGAAAATGAACAGGAGATACAGCGAAACAGCAAATTTTTTACCACTTCAATTCAGTCACTATTCAATGCTTTATCTGAATGGCCGGATAACGAAGCGGGTATCAGTCTTTCGATTATGGCGCAGTCCCCCGGCGATATTAGCGCCCAAGGTCCTAAGGCAAGGAAGCAGCGCGGGTGGGGTAAGTCACGTCTCTTAACACGAGACCCTGGAGACGAGTTGCCAGTTTACGACTAGAAAATGGGAGAGAAGGTTTATTAACAAACGAGAAAACCCAGTGTCATCGAGACTACCCGGTGCTTTGGTAGAGTTTCCGTACTATAGTGGAAAATGCTACTGGGAGAAAATATGGACGCAGCTTTGACCTAAATGAGAAACATAGACTGAGTACTAAGTGTGAAGACTAAAGATGTAGGCATAAATCCTCAGGGAACACTAGAAAACTAAGGGATACTTGTTGCTATGCAAAGCGGAGATTGCGTGGCCCTGGTCGGAGATAGGAGTGCCTGGCATGAAGTTTGGCAAATTGACGGCTTAAAACGGCCGCACTTACGGCCATTTCTGGAAGCCCGTTTGCCGTCTGCTACTTTAATTGAGTAAACAAATTAGGGTTAAAATAAGGATTCACAATTAGCCCAATATCCTCGTAAAATAAAAGAATTTACAGTTCAACTGACCGCCTCACTGCTCGACCATGTCAAATCGTTGTCTATAGATATATTTTGAGGAAACAAGCCGAAGGTAGCTTGATTACAAAATCATTTTCTCGTTATCAAAATCACCCAACGATCCTCGTCAACGTGTCATTGACTCTAGTTCAAAGGGTAAAGTCTGGGGCCAGTTGAAACAGGCTTCAGAATCCCACGAGCCTCCATTTCCTTAACCAAGCTAGCGAGCATGAGATCGCAACCACGAGCCGCAATCAAACTCATCGTGACAGGCGTATACTCGACTTTTCCGCTTTTGGTACTGTTGTAAGGGACTTCGCCGACTGCATTGTGGAAATAATGGTCAGTAATTTTCTCATAGTTTGAAAAATTCGAGATTGCGAGATTTGGACACCTACTTGGAACAACCAGATCTGGAACACCTGCATATACGGCAATGTTGCCATCGCTCATTCCCCAGAACGGTGCCGTTGGACCACTAAGATTGGGTGTAAGCTTTTGAGGGGAGATTCAGCAGATTCAGCAGAATTCCTTTACTCACCTCGAATATTCATCTCTGTATCTGATCGATCCATAGGTTTGCGGATAGATATAAATTGCTTTCGAGCAAGTTTCATTATCCAATGCCCCAAATCCATCAGCCGTATTCCACCAATCATGGAACAAAGTTTTATTGTGCCAGGCCACGTCAAACCCAGCCTGACCGGCGTCTTGGCCCAAGTGCCAACGCAACAGCGGATTCGGATTGATGTATGGGGTTCGACCATCATGCGCTTCGGAGTAGTCTTTGAAGAAGGGGGCGCCGAGGTTCAACCATTGGTAGACGGTAATGAGGGTTCCATACGTCTGGTCATTCACCAAATTAGTATGAAATCGTGTAAGTGACAATCTTTAATCTTGAAACTTACAAAGTGAAGCATATCGTTCAAGGTTGAAGTGGCATTGGAAGGTCGGGTTGCGTTCCAAGAAGCATCCAAGTTCACATTGGTACGGGTGGTCCCCAAGAAATCTTCGACATTGGCTACGAACCTTTCAATAATCGCCGACGCATGACTATTGTTGATTGCCTCGGCAGTAAATGATGCCTCTGGGTACCAAAGAGTCTTGGGATAGGAGTCGTAAGCGTCAAAATCCTTATACCACGAATGAACAACTCGAGACCATAGCTCTGCACTGCGAGCGAATACACCTGCAGTATCGAGTCCTGAGCAGAGAGGGATAACATGGTCTAGATCAATAGCTCCAACAGTCGGTCGATTTCCAAAGAGACCATTAGCACCAGCTGGCAAGCGCATCGAGCCGCCTGTATCACTTCCGATGGCGATATCTAGCCATGCGTAGGAAGCCATGCCGGCGGCGGGGCCGGTTGATGAGCCACTTGGGTCAAGATAGCCATCTCCCTGAGGCATCTGGTGTTAGAAAATCGAATTGAATCTTCAACAAAAGACAGTGGCAAATACTAACCCGAGGATTGAAGGGACAGTGAAAGTCAACCCAGTCGGCAGTCGGTTCGTCGCCGTTAGCAAATTGAACCGTTCCCATCTTTCCGACAAAGACTGCGCCTAGGTCGATGAGGCGTTGAACAGCAGTGCCAGTTGTATTTTGTGTGCCATAGAGTGAGTAGTATGCTCGATTTCCACCACTCGTAGCAAGACCTTTGATGTGATAGATATCCTTTACGCCGAGGCGTAGCTATGGCTGTGATTAGTATTTGTGTCACTTATTTTATTCTTGACAACTTACGCCAGCCAACGGTTTCTCCGCAGTCGGGGTAAAGTACAGCCTCGATGGTACAGCGACACTGCGTCCAAGTACGCTCTGGTTTGTGTTAACGATATTTTTGTTTGGAGCAGATATCCAACTATCGTACCTCAGATGTAGCCATGAGGCGCAAAACGCCACCCTGTTCATCGCTGATGGCTGGCTCCAGGAATGCCAAATTCGTATCTTCATATAGGCGATAGGCCTTGAAAATTTTGCCTGTCTTCGTGGATACGAAGTAGGGGCCGTTTGGAATGTTCTTGGTTAGACGCGCAGTCGGTACATCTCTATGGGAGTGAGAGTACTTTGGCGCATATATAGCTCTTGCACTGTACTCCTCTAATCCAAGATCAATCGATTGCGTTTCAACTGACGGCTTCTTGCTGTGCCCCTCGTAGGAGATATAAGTCACTGTCGGAGGTTAGTGATAGTCTCGTATGACGATAGAAACCAACCCTTGAGAAATGCAGCACTAAAAACATCATCTTCACGCATGAAACTGGAGATTGTTTCGTTCAGCTCGATACCATTAAAAACAGATGCCTTGGTCGAGATAATTGTTAACGGAAACAGGTCCGTGTCATCTTGATCTACCATTGCGGAGACGGCGTTCGGTATATCGAGCATTCGAGCTACGGCGACATCACCGACATAGTATGGTACACCATTGAGCTCTGTGACTCTACCGTGGGCTAAGTTGGATGTCACTGGTGCCGCGAAGAAACCAATCAATGCAAGGACGAGGATGGTAAGTGATACCCTCTTTGGCTGAAGAGACTGGCGCATCTTGAGTGAATGAAAAATTCACAGGTTCTGTTTCTCTTTCCCTTGTACCATCTGGGGCTTGCTTTTATATGTTACCCTTCACGTCCCTTACTTTATTGGTTACAACCCCACGCAGAGCAGACCCCAATACGATAGACTGACAAACTGACTCCGCCGTCTGATAAAAACAAATTATCTGTCACTTTTTTCGTTATCTGAGTCAATATCTCTTCGTGGTAACTGGTTTTACCGTGGAACCCTCAAGGTTCTTGGCGGTTAACTACATGATAAATCTCTCTAGCGCATCTCCAAATTCTACTCCGACGAGCTTAAATGCGAACTCCAACTGGATGGACCTTCCATGCCACGTTGATAACTTATCTGAATCAAGAAGGCGCATCAGCTTCAAGGAAGTTTTGTCTTGGAGGTATTTCTAGCTAGCAGGGTGGCTCTTTCCGTGTAATAGTCCCCGTTTGGAGGGAGCTATGAAAGAAATTACCGTAGAATATCAACCCAAAGTCCTGATATTCTCGCTTTCACTATCTCTTGTCCTCTTATCAAGCAAAGTGGGACTCCAAATTTAAAACGACCCCAAACATTTGGAGAAGGTCAATATTTCGGCCGATCTTAAAGTGTTTCCCTATTGGCTGAGTCGAATGCTGACAGCGGATTTAAGCTACATCCGCATAGGTCTGGGATCACCTTTCTCGCACTATTCACGTGTTGATCCCTCGTAAACATTCGTCACTCGCACTTCATGAAATCTGTGTAGCTGGAGGTCGTGCAAAGCTATCACATAAATCATACAAACACAGTATAAGCTTTGATGGCAATGCTTACTGCAAACTCTGGGAGCGAAGTCCAAATATGCGCAAAGAAACAAGATGTTCATGCGTAAGGTGGATGGAGAACAGGAAAGCTCGATTTTTGAACATGGAGTTCTTTCTGTCCATCTAACTGACGTGAGAGTTGCAGATCGAAACAGATCGAGCCTCGCGTTGTCGCTTTCTGACTTTCTTCTCTCACCTGTGCATCTACCGCTCCTTCCTATTTCTTTTGTTCTCATCCCACCTGTCTTTATTACTCAACATTCACCTTCCAACTCTCTTCCATCACTCCTTTACTACACCGAGATCCATCAGCATGTCAAACACAACTCCTTCGCGGCGCATTCCGCCTGGTGCTCCCACCGAAATCGGGCACAGCGAAGAAGACATACCACCTGGCCCATGGGCCCTTTATCTCATGTCCACTCAGTGGTCAGAGAGGTCAGTCCCCATCGCCCAACTACAATCCAGGTCGCCACAGAGAGAGCTACAAACGCGAATCCTGTGTGCCGAGGAGATCGAAGCAAAGCTTGGGATATTGAGATTCGTGACTTCCGCTCTGATACAAATTGTCGGGCTTGAGGCAGCAACCCAGTGCATAGAGTGTCTGAAGGGAGAGGGTCCATGGCCTGGATGCAAAGTTGTTCCAGGCTCTCGCGATGGTTCGTGTGCGAATTGCAAGGGGCGGCGACGGTGTAGCCTGCGTGAGTCTTACTCTATTAAATTTGACCGTATCCACCCTTGCTGATCTGATTCCTCATCATAGTGAATGTGAAATCAGAAGAGGATGCTGCAGATACTACGCGCACTCATGTAATTTCCACGCTGAACCCGTTCGAAACTACCCCCAATGGGGCAGATACCAACAGAAGAATCCTTCACATTTCAAATAAGCGTCGGCGACCAGTGACCAATGACGAAACGAATGCTTTGCTTTCTGAAAGAGCCCTTTCTTCGGTTTCTGGTGTCACTGGAGGGCAGTATATTGAATGCGCGTATGCCACGGCCCCCGAACAATCCAATAATCCACCCGATGACGAGACAAACTTCCGAGAGTTATGGATGGAGCTGGCCGCCGTCGAAAACCCACCGGTTCACTGGGATATGCATGTCACAATGGGAAATATGGAAAAACTTCGTCTAGACTGGTCACAAAACGAAGTCGCAGCCAGTGTAGTTGAAAGTGATCTTTCGTCCGCAGATTCCGAAGCTCTCAAGGATGCACTCAAAAAGCTATCACCAAAGGTTCAAGCCATTCTTGGAAAAATCAAGTCCGAAGAAGATTCTAGTGCAGTGCGGGATGCAATTTGCTACCTCGAAAGCCTACGCAAGATTAAACCGAAAATCGTTTCTATGAAGAACGGCCCTGTAAAAGAAGCCTACTTGAATCTCTATTCCCATTTCGATTCTGTTGATGCTTCAAAGCCAACTACAGGTACCACAGAAATCTGTCAATCACAACCCATTCCGAGAGATCAAAGAGATACAGTCGACAGCAGGCGTTACGAGACCCCTCAATCGTCATCTGAAGTGAATGAAACTCGCTTGAATCTTCTGGAGTCATTTCAAAAAGAGGGAACTCGACTTTCACAGGCAGCAGAGTCTCGACGACAATCTCGTGACAAGGAATGGGAAGAGCAGCACTGTCGTCAGAAAGAAGTTGACCAACAGCTACGCCGAGAGTTAGATTCTCAAAGTCCAAAGATCATCTCTGGTCGGCGTCGCGTATCAAATGATTCACGAACGCGTAAGAGACAGGAGTGATGCCATCTGCTTTTTTTATCCCTAGTTAGCTTCCAGTCGTAAGCTTTGCATGTCCCCGTCCCTTCCAAGGAACATCACCTGCTTTTCTATCTTGTCGTTCCGTTCAAGTTTTGGTTGTCCTGTTTCAACAATTATCTTGTTCATGTTGTTATGGTACTACGTTCATGGATCACGGGTCTTTTCAGACACGAGTCCTTTGCTGGTTTGAATGATTAAGAGAGAACTCTTTTATTTGTAGCAGCAGTATTAGGCCAAATTCATCATGTTGATAATCCATCAATTCTTGCGTTGTTCATGCCCTGCCTTCGGTTTTTTCTTGGCGCCCTTGTCAGTCTCGTTTCCAACGTCCCTTTTGGCCATTTTTACTGTACTATCTCGGGGAAACGATCAACTAGGAGGCATGAAACTCGGAACAGACTTATTGCTGCTAATTTGTCTCGGTCTATTGACATAGTCTAACTGAACCAGCAAATATCACTACCGGCTTGAAACCACCCTCTACCATAATTGTACATAGGTAAGGAACCTTCTCCAAGCAGGTTGCCGGTAGTAGTTGTCCAGCATAGAAATCTCATCAGCGCTCAGCGGTCGACGACCGGTAGTAAGATCCGCAGTCTTTGAATTGCGCCATGGCGTTCTGAAAATAATCTTGTATCCGATGGTAAATCCGAAAATCAGCAGAAGGCCAAGAAGATACTGGAAGAAATTAGATACGGAGAAGGTGTCAACACCCTAGGATATTGATGTTAGTTAGTTATCACTTCCTCTCATTGTTGTTGATCGATCAGGAGAACTTACTGGAGGCCGGACTCCTAGGTAGACGCAGCAGACCAGTAGGAATAAGGATATCAGCATGAGCCATGCGGGCGCCAGTGGCCAGAATGATGATCTCCAAGCATATATCTCTGTGAAAAGGGGGTCATTCTGTGCCTTGATTGCACGATGGAATTTCCAGTTCACAAAGGATATGATCATCCAGTTGGCGAAGAACGAGGCACTAGTAATTGAGATAAGCCAGTTCAATACGGTTAAGCCGCCGGCTGCTACGTGTCAGCAGTCTTTCCCATTTTGTAAGTCATCATTCGACATCTTACCCGCAATTTGAATATATGCAAGGACGACAGCAACGACCGAAGTAATAATCAGCGAAAGCCTTGGTCGGCCCATGTCATCAACCCGCGCAAGGCCCTCCCAAACGAGCTTTTGATGAGCCATTGTTCTCAGCACTCGCGAACAAAGATAAATAGCTTCAGTGGCGATTGCAAGAACACCACACATCATCCCAGCATTCAAAATTGAAGCAATTCCAGGGATACCGGAGTCTTGGACTGCGATGATAAAGGGCGAGGCTGCAACTCCGCTACCACCGAGGAGTCGATCGTCGTTGGATGGAACGAGAAGTGTAATAAACACGACACTGATCACGTAGATAAAGTTGACTCGGAAGGGAACAAGCTTTGTAGCGTGTGCCATTGAGAAACGGGGACTTTCGGCTTCGCCTCCCATGACACCGATGAAGACTTGATCTCCGACAGCCCAGACGGCTAGGAGAGCGCAGTTTGCGAAGCCCTGGGATTTTTAGACAAAAATAATGAAGGATAGTATTGAAGGACTGTGTAGCCTGGACGTACTGAAAATCCATTTAGGAACGGCGGAAAATCAGTCCATGTGTCTCCATGATGCATGTAGCCCTGAGGACCAGCGCCAAGAACCAAGGCTAGTGATACAACGATTATGATGAGGAAGACCACGATCTTGATCATCGAAGTCACGTACTCGAACCAAGCGAAGAACTTGTTTGGAAGGGTGAAGATGATCAAGCAGGCGAACAGGAAGATGGAGACTTGGACGTCCAGCGTCAGTAAATATTCACAAATATCTAGGCAGGGTGTCTGATTACTCACTAGTAGCAGCCAGTGGCACGGAGCCTTCTGACCAATATTGAACCAAGACATTGAAGAAACCTGCCTCGGAAGCAACGATCGCCGTCCACCCTGCGGTTGTCAGTCCAACACTCCAGCGACCCGGCACAGAATCCATGACAAACCTAACCACTCCGCAAACCCAGCACCAAACGCCAAAGCGGGGTCAACCCAGCGATCGGCATAGTCGATGTAGTTTCCAGAGACGGGAAAGGCGATGGTCATCTCCGATAGCGACTGGAGAACGGCCCAAACACAGGTGCAGACCATGGTATATGCGATCACCATATTAGCAGGGCCTCCCGTGGCGAGAGCCTTGCCAGTGGCAATGAACACTCCACTGCCGATATTGGATCCTAGGGAAATAATCTTCCTAAATGGTGAGATGCTTTCAAACAGAAGGCTTGTCCAAGATCCGGCACCGGATTCTCACATGAACCTGACGAGGAGAGAAAGAACGATGGAATTGGCCATTCTTCGTCTCCTCTAACTCTCCCACACGGGGCTCCTCGCTGCTCACTGTCGGTTGCAGGGAATCGATTTCATTTTTGCCCGGGTCTTTCTGCTGGTATGACGGAGGGGATATGTTGGTATCGGACATGATTGTGCGTAGTTTGCATTCCGCTTGATGCAGTTTGAGGGAGGGGATTTCATCGTGAATGGCTGGGAAATCGGTCTTATATAGGGTTTGCCCCGAATTAAGATACGAGAGGCAAAAGTCAAGTTTAGATACATGTACAGCATTGCAGCAGGTGGTATCTAGGGCGGCACGTTACTCCACTGAGATAGTCCGCTGTTTGCACTCCACTTCCCCCGCATTCCAGTCCTTGTGTTCTCCTTACGCCTCTGTGTGGCTGTATAGACCTTAGAGTCCTTGGGTTTGAGGCAATACAGTTCCACGTGATGGCTGAAAACAGGTGTATCTTCACCAATCCAAGTACTGGATTGCAGTCGGGACACAAACCGTAGCATTGAGATAAGTTCTTTGGAATTCTGAATAAAAGCAGTATCAAAGATGTTGAATAACGTTATTGGTTGTTCCGGGTTGGATCCGGAATGACCAGCCTGATCTGTGGGTATTCTGTAGATTGTTCAAAGAGGTCAGGCCATGTAAGACATCTGGAGCGGAAATCAGCCCCTTCAATGATGCTATCAACCCTTGCTGCGGATTGTATTAGATATGGGTCTTGGCATGCGTGCAATAGTTGCGGTGGAAGTGGATCATTCGGGACATGTTCTGTTTCGCGAAGACTGTTTGCCCGAGAAAGTCTATCACCTCGGACCGAACCTAGACCATTGTGCAGTAAACATGTACATTCCATGTCTTACAGGCTCGGGGAACATTCCGGATTCCCATCCATACAGAAGAATGACTCAAGGTCTAGCCTCAGACTAGCTACTCTGTGTACATCGAGGCGTTCGGGGGAAAATTTGACTTATTAGGAAGTCAATGCATCAACAAATTTGTCAAAGTGCTGAACGACTACGGTAGAGCTGTCGGTCATTAATCATTTTAATAGGTAACTGGCTTTGTGAACGAAATCCATCGCCCGAGATTAATCATACACACGTAAATATCGTATTGCTTTCCCTCAGAATATCCGGCCAACTATAAACTTGTCCGTCCAGTCCTGGATTTGACCTCTTTGTCCAAATAGTCTCAAAGATCTGTTTGGCAGCTGATGCATAGACCAAGGTAGTAGTCGCAAAACAATAATCAAACCAGGAAGAAAAGAACAGCTGCAGATCAGGCTCCACCGCCTCACATGCAGCAATAAACGCAGGCCATATAAGCGCAGCAGTGTTACCATCGATGGAATTTGTTTCTTCTGCTTGAATCTGCATCAGGTAGTTTCGCACGATAGCAACTTTGCATTGGATCATTTCAGGATCAACTTCGTATACTCGGCGATGAAAGAAGATCAGCAGGGACATAGACATTGCTTGGATAGTTACTGATTTGTCCTGCACTGCATGGGCATGGTTATCTCCTGTTGCCGAGGAGTAAATCAAGGCATTGATGGCCTTTTCGATGGCTTTTGCTCGTATCCAAAAGCTCCTCAAGCTCAGATGCTCTTCTTGTGCTTTGGTGCACATGGTTGAGAGATCGCGCTCATTGGCGAGGCGGATCACTTGGGATAGGAGCATGAGGAACAGTTCGTCAACGCCATATACTATTGGAAACAGCGTAGAGCTCCATCGGCCAGGGATTGCGAGGTGGAGATCCCGCTGTCCCATTTCAGGGTCCTTTTCTTCGGTCATTGACTCGGCGGAAAAGTCCAGATTGGGAGATATACGAAAGTCCCCTTCATATATTGTGTCGTCGATTGTTTCACCATTCATCTCGAGCAGCTGCAGATTCGTACTATTGGCAACGCATGTTGTTTCTGCAATGATCCTCATGAACGCATAACAGTGGTGTAGCGATCTTTTCTTAGATGATAACTTTGGTTGACTGAGTCCTCTAACGCGAATAAACTTCTCGGTTTGGACGAGGTATGCGCGTCGCTGGGTTGTGTCTCCTTTGAACATCTGTGCCAACAAACTTTTGTTAGCTATTTTCATTGGAAGGTTCCTTGGTGCCATACAAATGCATTTGAAAGACTCAAGATTGCCATTAAAATCTCCTTGTATTTGCTCTTTTTCGAGGTCGATAGGCAGGTCTCTTCCATGCATTTCTGGAAGTGGTGTTGAGCACGCTTCAAGTACATCTCCCCACTTGCCTTCCAGTCTGCTGGGCAAGAGACACTGTTGCCGAGATGGAAGGAACTGTTTCCCCACACTGCATTCAATAGTGCCAGTCTCGCATGATTTACCGACCCATTTATTGTCAATTCGCCCAACGTTGTGACTGCACATGGTATAACCAAACTGATCCACGGAGACTCCTGGCCACGACGCAAGGGAGAAATCAGGGGCACGATCTGGTCTTTATAGTGGGACAGTAGAGTCCAGCCTTCTATATTCCCGCCAAAAATTTTAATATGTGGTTGGAGTTGTGGCTCAAGTGAGCATATTTGTGTGCTGTGAGTTGGCAATAAATCGGCTTCTTCCGGTATCCAGTTGTCATTGGCAGTCATTCCTTGTACCACAAGATTGTCGAATTCAAATTCGTCACCTCTCAATGTCTCCTCCAGCTCTTGCTCCCATTGCTGGAGAGGCAATTTTATCCTCTCAGATTCAACACATCCTGGTGAAAGCCACTTTTGTGGTGACATTCTGAATGCCCCGAATGGTCCACGAAACTGAGACCATCCCACATGAGAATCGATGTCATCGTTGAGGACCTCTAAATCGGATAGAGCTTTATTGATGTTTCTACTGGGCACGGAGCGAGTGATTACCTCGCTCATGGCAAGGCGTTCAGAATCTTGTATATCGACATCAGACTCAACTTTGCAATCGTAGGCTAGGGGCTACAAACCTGAGAAAATTGACCGCCGATGTCTGGCTGCATTCTCCGAACTGAAAGCCTGCACATCTTCTCTATCATCAATGAACTTCAGTTGGATTTTATGTCTGGTTTCAGGATAATCCGAGTCTGCATAGATCATCAAATCGGACAAGGTGCTTTGATCTGTGTCGAGTGGGACTTCCGGTAGCCAGTCTAGTAAATGGGCAGGATCATCCATAGTGAGTGTAAAAGGTGATATTTCAACACATAATAAGAACCAAGCAGCATTTGCACCTCTAAGCCCTTGATGTGGACACTGGTTCCTACACCCCGCCTCCGTCTCTGGTGATAGCCGAAATAGGCATGCGACTCCGAAAGACGTTAACATCCACCAATGAGATAAAGCTGAGGTTCAATTGAATCTTGTAACTTGGCAGGTTCAATTATTCCTTCTGCCTGAGTATGAAGTCGCATTGAGAACAAAATGATAAGTTAAGTGTTGCAGATTGATCACTCGGAACCACTTTCCCTTTTACTTATCATACCCCGTTTCGATGTCAGCCACACACCAACTTATTGAAGAAGGCCAAATGATCATACTTATCGGGTTTCTACAGTCTTGTCAAATCAAATCAACTTTAGATGCCTTAAAAAGGCTCATATTGTAGCTATGGAAAGGGCAAACTGAATTAAATAGAACAGATCAAATCAAGTCGCAAAATATACAAACAATGATACCAAATGGTGTATCACGAAAGCTCAAAGCCATGATCGGTAAGTTGATACTCTTTAATCACCTCTCAGGAGAACAACTTAGCGATCCGCAGGTTGTTGTAGTCCCAAGCCGTGATATCCTCGTATTTGCAAGGCGTGGCAGGTGTAACAAACTCCTTCAAGGGAAACAAAGAGGAAAGACGGTTTGGCTTCGCAAAGTAAGCGATAGAGTAGCGCTCGGGGATCATCTCATCAGAGCCCACTTTCACTGTGGAGGGATAAGTCACGCGATGGCATGCAGCTCGGAATGTATCATTGGTGAGACGTTGCAGTGAGTCACCGATGTTAAGGATAATCTCCGACTTGCCGCCCGACTCGACGCCGTGGAAAGTGCCTAGGTTTGTTTGGTCCTCGACTTGGAGTCCTCCTGTAGAATCTTGGAATAGCATGGTGATAGTGCCAAAGTCTGTGTGCTCTGCGATTCGGGTTGCTGACCCGTCGGCCAGTTCAGAGACGGGAATCGCTGGATAGTGGAGCAGGCGGAACTCGTTCTCGGCCTTGTTGTGGAGAGCTCTCAGGTCGGGGGCTGAGATGTTGAGGGCTTTGGCTAGGGCGTCGAGAATCTCAAGCTCGACCTTGAAGCAGCTGGTGTAGAAATCTTCCATAAAAGCACGGAATCCGGGTAGTTTCTCATCGGCTATCCAGATGTTGTCTACCATGTCATCATGGGCAGAGCCGATGTCCAAAGTTTCCTAGTCAGGTCAGTAACATTGACACTTGTTTAGATCCGAGCACAATTACCTTGATATCTCGGACCGATTTTGTTTGAGCGATGCCTTTTTCGTAGCCGCTTATGCTCCCGACTGATTCCTGTCCGACGAAGCTGTATCCACGGTTGGGATTCGCTTGTGGTGGGTGTTTGGCGGTCATTTTGTCTTCCAATGAAAGATCAAAGAATCGTCGGGTCTAGCATATTGTCAGCTGCTGCAGAATATCTTTTGGGAAAGTATTTACATAATCAAAGAGCTGAGAAGTGAGCTCCTCTGGCAGACCGTGGTTCTTTAGCTTGGCCACTCCTCGAGTCTTCAATGTCTTGAGTAGGGCCGCTGAAACAGCCAGGCTTTCCTCGGAGGTTCCCTTTAACAGGGACATATCAATAGCTTCGGACATGGTGCTGAATTATCGAAATTTGTGCAAAAGTTTGATCAAAGTTGTGATTTGGAATGATTCAGATGCTGCGATTGATTTTTGAAGTATTTTGCGTAGCCTTCCGCTCGTTATATATATTCGAAAGAATGATTCGAAGTGCAGCTTATTTTAGAAAGTAATACTGATCTCACATTCCAACTTTAACTGTCCATGAATGATCACCTACGATTCCTGGACATAGAGACTAAAGTAGGCCATAACAAGATGTATTACTTCCCAAATTGGGATTCAAAGCACGAGCCTCATCCCGAAAGACAATTTCAACCAATCAGAGACACCCAAAGGTGGATCACCTTCCTCTTCTATCCTTCTATCGCCTCAAATGGCTGAAATGCTTTACTTCAAGAGAAGGAAGGTAATATCGCTTCATCCAAAGACAACTGACTGTTCATTCTTACCTTGGTATCCTAAACCCTATTGAATTTCAAGCAACATCAAGTGATTTTTAATTCCTGATTAAAGACGGGTGTTGACAATAGACATAAGAGCGGTCAACATTGATAGTGTTCCTGGCGTTTTGATATTCATCATGGTCAGTTATACTTTGAAAGGCTGTGTATGTTTCTTCCGGGGCATTCGGCTTCATCGTCACATTTGCCACACCTGTTTTAGAATCAAACATTTGACAGTTGCCTCATCAACCATATATTACATCGACTATAATAGTAAATACCCAAAGCGTGATAACTAACAGCAAGTGCTAGTAGTCTCTGATATCTAGTATTAGAGATTAGTCTGTGTATACTAGGCTATCTTCGCGCCTGCTAGGCTTCATGTACGTCGGGAAAGAACCCGATGGCTGTGTATCCCTGCGTTATGACGTCGACTGTGATTAGCAATCAAGTTCGCAGTGCATGAAACATAGAGAACGTAGAGATGACAAGCTTCCGGTGTATACAAACCATCAATGTGACTCCTTCATCAATCAAATTCCACCTAAGCCATAATGTCAAGCCCACCAATTTCCCAGCGTCGCACCTTTCGGCGCACGGACGACTATACTCCCGGCGCACCAAAATTAAAGCTTGTACATGAAGCGCTTCAGCTGCCTCTAGCGCCAACAGCAGTCTTGATCAAGGTCCATGCTGTGGCTCTCAACTACCGGGACGCCAATATCGCAAATGGAGGAAACCCGTGGCCAATCACCCCCAACGGTATTTTGTGCAATGATGCCGCAGGTGAAATTATCGACATTGGAGACAAGGTCAAGTCCCTCGTAGTGGGTGACAGGGTTGGGCCTATTACGGACACAGAGAACATCTCGGGGCGAGAAACGACGCGGTCGTGGCTGGCTGCGGATGAGGATGGAGTCATGGCCGATCATATCATTTTCGACGAGCGCGCCCTATGCAAACTTCCAACCTACCTCAGCTGGGTCGATGCGTCGATCATTCCTTGTGCGGGCGTTACTGCTTGGTCCGCGTTGAAGGGTATGAGTGTCGGACAGACCGTGTTGATTCAAGGTACGTCCATCTGGATCTGATATGCAGATCACTGACTAGCCAGGAACTGGCGGTGTGAGTGTGTTTTGCCTCAAGCTCGCGAGGGCCGCTGGCCTTCGAGTGATCTTGACCTCATCGAGTGATGCGAAGCTTCAGCAAATGAAGGAAAAGTTCTCTCATCCTCCAATCTTGACTGTCAACTACTCGAAGATCCATGATTGGGACCAGGAGGTTATGACACTCACTCAGGGAGCGGGTGTTGATATAGTTGTAGAGAACGGGGGCACCGCTTCTTTGGTCAAGAGCTTAAAGTGCACTCGACGTGGAGGTGTGGTTAGTCAGGTTGGATATCTTGGTAAACAAGATCCAGCCGACTTACGCGAGCTGATTCCAACCATCATTGATCGGAGGATTATTTTAAGGTAAGCTTTTACTACTGGACCGGTATACATGTAAAGTCAAAGCTCATATATGACAGGGGCATCAATGCTGGTTCCAAGTTCGACATGGAAGACTTCTGTGCCGCCCTCGAAACCACTCAAACGCCACTCGATGATCTAATTGATAAAGTCTTTCCATTTGAGAAGGCTGAGGATGCTGTCGAATATGTTTGGCAGGGCAAGCAGATTGGGAAGATAGTTCTCCGCCTATAAAACAGGGAGATACGTCTAGATGCTTAATTGGGATTTGATTCTAGAGCACGGCATAAATTTATCCTCGTAACGGTGCAGAATAGAAGAGAAACAGTTCACACTTCAAGAATCACTTCAGCCAAAGATTGATAGCTGAGTTAAAGGGGACCTAAGGAACCGGGTGAATCCACCAGAGTAGTAATCTTCACGGCGCTGACCACAATAAGGATGCTAGACACGCAGTTCGAGGGAGACCAACAGCACTCATATCAATCCAAGATCTCAAGAAGTAGCAGTTTCTTTAATCGGATCAAGCTCAGGATAATCAGGCAATTTCCAACCTCCATCTTTATCACTCGAAAAACGGGATATGAGATCAGGGATACGAAGGAAACACGCAATCCCAACGAAGAAATGGACAATAGAGATCGCCCACTGGGAATCCGGCACAGCATATCTCACAGCAGACAAGTTCACATGCTGAGCCTCCTTAATCAAAGGTCGAAGCGTGTCATCGTAGTTTCTAAAGGCCCCAGACAAATCATCGGTACTGCGCGCGATCTCTCCGGCCAAAACATAAGCGCCAATCAAGCTGCTTGTCGTTCCCATTCCCGTCAATGGAGAAGGGCAATGTGCCGCATCACCGAGAAGCACCACACGCCCAGAGTGCCAGGTATCTGTTTTGATCTGGACAAGGTCCAGACAGAACCAGTTTTCAGTTGTCTTCATGCCTGCCAGGAAACGATCGGTTTGCCATCCAGCATTGCGAAACTTTTGTGTCCAAAATTCCTTCTGTCGTTCAATTGACGCCCTCGGAATGCTTCGCAGTTCATCCGAGTCGGATCTCAGGAAAAAGCACACATTTGCCTCGGTGGCACTGTGGGCTCTTCGCAAAATCATTCGACCACCAGGGCTTAGGTACGAGTTGCAAAGGCTATTATCGGATTCTTCCCGGGGTATGAACCAATAAGCCATGTGTATCCCCAGTGGGTGATACGGATCTGGAGCATCAGGAGGAAGGATATCTTTGCGGATACGTGAGCCCTGACCATCAGCCCCAACAAGCAGATCGAATGTATCGGTAGTGCCATCTGAGAACTGAGCGGTGACTTTCTCGTCATCTTGCGTGAAGCGATCGACCGTTTTACCGAAGATGTATTGTACCTTGTCTTTCGTTGCTTCGTAGAAGATCCGAACGAGATCTCCTCGCATAATCTCATACTCAGACGTCAGAGACTGAGCCCCTTGCCCGGACTTATTAGCCAGAATCGTTCCCCTGGCCTTTCCATCGCTGTCGACAAAGGTCATCCCGTCTTCATCAACACGCTTGCTTCGAATGGCTTCAATGAGTCCCATGCGCTTCACCGCTTCGATTCCTTGTCCACGAAGATCGATCTGAGCTCCTGAGGCTCTCAAGGCGGGAAAGCGTTCGACAATGACCACCTCATGTCCAATACGAGACAACCAGAAGGCCAGAGCGGGACCTCCAACACCTCCGCCGACGATCAGAACTTTCAAAGGGGCCATTCTTGCGGGTTTAATGGAAAGGAGTAAGTTGCAGGAGTTATGTCGCACACACGCTTGTTTTAAATCGTCTGTGACGTCTCATACGAAACCCGCGGATTTACGGGCTTTTGCGCACAATCCCGCGCTTTGGCGGGGATTTCTTAGTTGCATATGACATCCGATAATTTCTATAAGTTATGCAGAGTTTGTAGTCTTTACGGTCGGCGATATATCATCAGGAAACAAGTATGAAACGCGGCTATACAGCTCATAACTTGCAGTGCTTAGCCGCAACTGTTGATGTTTAGCAAATTATTCGCCAGTTGACTGGTTTCACGGATGTCACTACAATAAGAGTTTGATTTCTTGAAGACCACGGCGCCTAGATCAGCGCGAATAGCTTTGCTACTTTTGAAAAACAGGCTTTTAAGATATTTACCTATTCCCATCTTTGTATGTTCCGAGCGGTCATCCCGTAGTCTGTAGAAAATTGCTGCAGACAGAAGCTGTCTAAGATTATAACCTTTTTCATAGCCAATGGACCACCTCCGATTGCCAAATATCTTCATCTAAAGGCCTCAGCCCCTGTTCATCTGGAACATTCGGATCAGCTCCTCCATCCAGCAATGAAAGAATAATATCCTTGCTAAAAGGAGCCCCATTCATCAGACTAATGACACCTAGCCTCAGCGGTGTCCTGCCATATCCATCCTTTAAATTTGGGTCTGCGCCTTTGTCTAGCAGGTACTGCACTGCACCATTCTGCCACCAATTATGCCCTCGAGCCAGCATATGTAGGGCACCATAGTCAAGATAGCCCCAGATGCATTTCCAGACCCTCCCTTTCGCATTGAGGTCAGCGCCATATTTCTCAACGAGCAGCCGTAATATAGCCATGTTTGGTTCAGTCCGAGTCGCTACTGTGCATATGTAAGGGGGTGCACCATTCAGACCAATCAACCAGTCTTTGTCTTTGAGCGATGCCGCTATCATGTCGAACAAGAACACATATCCGCCCATGGCTAGCTGGGAAAGTAAATCACTGCTTTTCAGGTCGATATCACCATTGTTTGCGGATCCACTGGTTCCAAGTGGAAAACTGATTCCTGATTCAATGAGTCTCTGAACAGCCTGGTAATGGCCACGAAGTAATATAGGCGTGAGACGTGACAGTGAAGGATTGAATGGAAGTCTGGCAATGTTCAGATTGTAATCTCCTCTTAATCGCGGGGCGCGGCCCAGGGCTTGTTCGAGGAAACAGATGATTTCCATCATTTGGCCGGCATCTGTGGGCTGCGGGTTTGGTTCACAGCCGATATAAGCTTCTTGAAAAAGATTATTTCGGGTCATAAGATTGTCCCACATATTTACAACTGTTTCCTCGACTTCATCTATTATGCTTTCACAGAGATCCAAGGGTGTAGCGCCGGTGCTATCCTGGATGTTAAGCGCAGCACCGGCTTCCACTAGAAGACGCACGCATTCCAGAGACCCAGCTTGGCATGCTTCGTGGAGGGGTGTGGAACCGTTACCGTCTTGTTGGTTCAGAATTGAGGCTAGGGTTTTCTTTTCACGGCTTTTGGCGATGAGCAGACCGATATTGTCACCATCGCGTGCTGATGCGGCAAAGTGCAGAACGTTTTGTTCTGTCAATGTTTGGTTTGTGATTGAAACACCTCTGGCAATGAGCTTCGATAAGAGTGGTTTTGAATCGGCCGCAGCTAGATGAATTGGCTCTACACCTGCATGGTTTGGCAATTGAAGGAATTCGACACCACCGGAGGAGAGGAGACGATCAATAGCTTTGTGATCCAGCCAGCCAAGAAGTTTGGACTTCAATCGGGTTGAGCAAAGCGTGTGCAGAGGGGTATTGCCATGTTTGTCCTGATATGCGCTTGAGAACCCATAGTCAAACAACAATTGGAGCATTTTGAACGGAAGGTGTCCACTTTGCGTTTCATTGCATCTCATTAGAGTATGCATCAAAGTTTCACCAGAAGTATTCACAGTAACTGGGCTGGCACCCAAATTCACCAGCCCAATCCACATATCAAAGGTTCTGGAATCGAATTGGCCCAGGAATGGCTCTTCCAGCAGCGCAAATTGGAGAACACCATTGCCATCGTTATCAAGAGCGTGAATATCCGGGCTGAACGTCCGAACAAAAGCGCAGACATCTCGATAGCCATCTGCTATCAAGGTTCTTCTCATTATCAGATGATGCAAAGGAGTTCTGCCTTTAAAATCCTTCGCGTCCAGATTTGCTCCTTTCCCACGAAGAAGGCGTATTATAGAGTCGTATTCCACCCATCGCTCAGGTTTTTGGTGAGTTATGAAGTGATGTATGGGTTGCATGCCTTCTTGATCTTTGCACTGAACATCGGCCCCCAGTTCAATCAGCTGCGAGACCAATCGAGATGGTGGCGAGAGAGTCCAACCCATGATCAGGTGCAGTATTGTTTCTCCCTTCTTGTTAGTGAGGTTCCAATCAGTCACATAAGGATTGAACAGATTCGGGTCAATATCCCGTTTGTGACTAAAATGTTCATGAAGAGGTGTGGTTCCACTGGCGCCACAAGTGGTATCCAGCCTGCCTCCATGATTCATCAACAGCTGGATCATAGAGATATCGCGGGCTGCACTAGCTAGTGGAACTATTGCAAGCGGAGTGAGGCCGTACTTGTTGACAGGAGACGGTTCTGCGCCATGTTTTAAAAGCGTCTCTGCCACAAGAACCAGGTTACTGCCTGCACAGAAATGAAGAGGCGTGTTTTCCTCGTAACCCCGAACATTTGGATCACAGCCAGCATCCAAAAGCATTTGACAGCATTCTCGAGCACGCTCTTGAACCTCTGCGGTCTGTGGGAATGCAGTCCGTTTGGGGGTACCACTTAGCTCATCAAACCCAGCAACTGCATGTAACGGTGTAGATAGCTCTTGTGGGATGCCGACCATAATGCACCCTTGGGATCGCAATCCTCTGGACCATTGATTGGGATCAGCGCCGTTGTCCAAAAGTATTTTCATCCCTTCGAGGTCATGCCTAAGTGCTGCGTGGAAGAGAGGATTATCCTCGGTCCCATTCTGACTCCCATGCGAGATATTCAGAGGCACCTGCATTCTATTTAGATCGCCTCTAGTTGCTGGATTCTCTGTCGCCTTTCCAAATTCTTGTGGATCGGGGAGAAACAACGACTCTTTAGCTGCAGGCCCCTCAGTGTTCATAGATTTGAAGAGCGTATTTGTCTTTCCGGGCTCGTTGTGAGTCGCCTTGCCGGTCGACATCATTGTGCTTGATCCATAATATGCACGATGTTTCTGTCCAGAGGGACCGTTCGGTGAAAGATTGTTCCCAAACAGTCCCCCATGTGAATTTACAGCACCAGCAGCTGCCGGCGATTTCTCCGTCTCTGTACTTGGCTTCAATCCGAAAGTCGCATTTATTCCCCTACTGCGGTGCGAGGCTTCAGAGGAACCGCCAGATGTGGAAGTAGCGGCATTAGATTCAATACTCGGATATGACCTTAAAGGTGTCGGGAATCGGAAGGGATTGTCATTGTTTTGCATTATGTTGCAGCAAGCAATATCAATGCGGCTCTTTCAATTGCCTGGGGAAAGACACAGGCGGGTAGAGCCGCGACAGAGCCTTGAAATTTGGTTCTCCAACTCTCCTCAGATTTTGGCTCGTTTGATTTTATGAGCTTGAAGATTAGATAAAGAAGAGTTGTATTGGTTCAGGAGAAAGAACTGCTGTGGTAAATTTGCTTAGCGCCAGTATGTCTGTCTCTAGCGGCCTTCAGATATCACATTTTGCCGGTACCTCCTTACCGCCTTATATCTGACTATGTCTGACTGAGGTTACAATCTCGTACGATCTAGACAGTGTAAAGGTATGAGAGTTCTGAAGGAACAACTTGAAAGTTTCTACGGCGTTAAATGGCAATTTAGGATGCTAGAAAAAGTATCATTAGGTTGAACAATTTTGGAAAATGAATTCAGCTAAAATAACACTATAGAACAAAAAATCATAGATCAATTCATGCTTCACAGGCGAGGGCGACCGGTGACAGCAGGGAAAGTCGGGATATCATAACGGTCCAAGTTCATAACCTTGTCCCAAGCAGCGACGAAGTCCTTCTTGAACTTATCAAGGGCATCGAAGCTACCGTACAGCTCGGCAAGAGCACGGAGCTCGGCGTGGTGACCAAAGATGAGATCAACGCGGGTAGCAGACCACTTCTTAGCGCCGGTCTTGCGGTCGACACCCTCGAAGTATTCGTTGTCAGCGCCGGTGGGCTTCCAGGCAGTGTTCATGTCCAGCAAGTTGACGAAGAAGTCGTTGCTGAGCTGGCCCGGGTGAGAGGTGAAAACACCGTGGGCGGAACCATCCCAGTTGGCGTTCAGGGTTCGGAGACCTCCGACGAGAACGGTCAGTTCGGGGGCGGAGAGGGTCAGCTGCTGGGCCTTGTCGACGAGGAGCTGCTCGGTAAGCACGCGGCGAGTGGAGTTGCCATAGTTCCGGAAGCCGTCAGCGAAAGGTCGGAGCCACTGGAAGGACTCGACGTCGGTTTGATCCTGGGTGGCGTCGTTGCGGCCGGGGGTGAAGGGAACGGGGATGCCAGAAGACTTCTCGAGAGCGGCGGAGCCGGCGAGAACGATGAGATCGGCGATAGATACGCGCTTCTCGCCAGCCTGGGCGCTGTTGAAGCGGTTCTGGATCTTCTCCAGGACACTGAGGACCTCCTGGAGCTGAGCAGGGTTGTTAACATCCCAGTCCTTCTGAGGGGCGAGACGAATGTGAGCGCCATTGGCACCACCACGCTTGTCACCGCCACGGAATGTGGAGGCGGAAGCCCAGGCAGTGGAAATGAACTTGGTGGGCTCAACGCCAGATGAGAGGATCTCGTTCTTCAAGTTGAGAATATCGCCGTTGTCGATCAGAGCGTAGGTAGGGGAGGGAATGGGGTCTTCCCAAATGAGAACCTCCTTGGGGATCTCAGGACCCAACCAGCGGGCACGAGGACCCATGTCACGGTGCAACAGCTTGAACCAGGCACGAGAGAAGGCATCGGCGAGTTGATCAGGGTTCTCAAGGAAACGACGAGAAATCTTCTCGTAAGCAGGGTCGAAGCGTAGCGACAAATCGGTAGTCAGCATCTTAGGCTTGTGCTTCTTGTTGGCATCGTAGGCATCGGGGATAATATCGTCGGCGTTCTTGGCAACCCACTGGTTAGCACCGGCGGGAGACTTGGTGAGCTCCCATTCGAACTTGAACAGATACTCGAGGAAGTTGTTGCTCCACTTTGTGGGAGTCTTGGTCCAGGTAACTTCCAGGCCACTGGTGATGGTATCAGGACCCTTTCCAGAGCCGTGAGCGTTGCTCCATCCCAGACCCTGCTGCTCAATACCCGCAGCCTCGGGCTCCTTGCCAACATTGTCGGCAGGGGCGGCACCATGAGTCTTTCCGAAGGTGTGGCCACCAGCAATCAGGGCAACAGTCTCCTCGTCATCCATGGCCATGCGGCCAAATGTGATACGGATATCACGGGCAGCCGCGACTGGATCCGGGTTTCCATCCGGACCCTCTGGGTTGACATAGATCAAACCCATGACGACCGCGGCCAGCGGGTCTTCGAGGTCACGAGTCTTGATGTTGCTCTGCTTGTCCTTCTCATCGGGAGTCTCGGCCTCATAACGAGCCTCGTTGGTGAACCAGACATTTTCGCTACCCCAGTAGACGGACTCATCGGCTTCCCAGACATCGGGACGGCCACCAGCGAATCCAAAGGTCTGCAGACCCATAGACTCCAGAGCAACGTTACCAGTCAGAAGCAGCAGATCAGCCCATGAGATCTTGTTACCATACTATGAACATGGTTAGCTCTGGTTCGTTTCATTTTTTTTTTCCATCGCGTTTCAATGCTTACCTTCTGCTTGATGGGCCACAAGAGACGACGGGCCTTATCGAGAGAAACGTTATCGGGCCAAGAGTTGAGGGGAGCAAATCGTTGCTGGCCCTGGCCACCACCACCGCGGCCATCGAAGACACGGTAGGTACCAGAGCTGTGCCAGGCCATACGGATGAACAGACCACCGTAGTGGCCGAAATCAGCCGGCCAGATGTCGTTCGACTCGGTCATGAGAGCATTGAGATCCTTCTTCAGACCCCAATAGTCGAGAGTTTTGAACGCCGCAGCATAATCGAAATCCTTGCCTTGAGGATTTGTAGCATCGGTGTGCTGGCGGAGGATCCCAAGCTTCAGGGCATTCGGCCACCAGTCAGTGTTCCTGTGAATGATCAGCGTCATGCACCCAGATGCATGTGGCGTTGAGCTTCCAGCTCCACTGACGCCACGACTGAACATACCGAGTACCTCCACCGGCCACATTGCTCTTCTTGTGTGCAACAGGACATTCACCCATGATGAATAGTGATACAGTTGATGCTGTAGAGAAGGAAAGAAGAAAGGTGGGAGGGTTCCCCGCAGTTTAAATAATTTGCCTTCCGTCTCCGACCCAATGACGAAACGGATATTACTCTAACATCTCCCCGACTTCATAGCTTAACAAATACGCTAAGTCTGGACTCTGCACTCCTCTATTGGTGAAATCTCTCCAATTGCCATCACTAAGCTCGGTTTGGAGTGCGGGGAAGTCTTCCATGGCCTTACGTGAGTGATGCACTTAGTGCGAATTTCATTGGCGGAGTGCGCCGAGGTGCGATGACCATCCGACGTTCGATCCAAGTCTTATTAGCAAGCTCCAGCGCTGACAAAATGGCCGTTTCTAGATACCCACGATTTATTGGCAAATGGGCCACGCTCATTGGCTGACGTACATGACTTTTCTTCGTCCAGCCAGATCACTAATAACCGAGTTCTAGCCCGGTTACATACTGTACAGCCAGAACAGGGAAATGCTTCCAGGTGTCTCGGATCATTCCGGATGATGCGACTGTTGTCAACATTGTTATCCTCATGTCAGACTATAGGTCTGGCCACTGAAACGAACGAGGGCGCGCTTGACACTTCACCACTTGAATTGCGGATCTCCAGCTATCGCAACGGCATTCTTCCCTAGGTTTGTATGTTCATGTAATAGGAACATACCAGAAAGCCCCTGGGACCTGGCACAGTATCACATCATGCAATGGATGTCGAGCATTCCGAGGTCCTTTTGCGGTTTCGTAGCTGCGGTGTATTGTCCGCTTCCTCTCCGTGTCAGTCTCTTAAGAACATGAGAACCCACATGTACGATCAACTGAACAGCAATCTCACCAATATTCTGAATGGTTCCAGTCGCAACGCTTAACCAAATAATCTCACAGGTTACCCCCTTGCAGTATAAGTTTCCGACACTTCTATGGGACATATCCAGGAGAGAAACTATCTATATCTCTTTCCGCCGGTCGGAGAATCAATTTACTTTCTCCTGGACCTCGAGCGTCAAAAGGGAGCCTAGCATGTGGCGCGTTTGTGGAAGCGAACTATTGTCGGACCGGCTTCCGCGGCCGCTGCCGATCAGAGGACACAAATCTCCCCAATGACTTTTAGTGCTCTTGGTCCAGCTGTTAGCTGGTGATTCTACCTATACCGAGGCGCTCTAAGTCTCAATGGTCTTGCGTGTTCTTTCATCTCCTCCGACACAATATTCAAGATGCCGGAGTTTGTTCCCCTTTCGGATTGCTGCATTTGGCATTCTCCATTGGACCTCGGGCGGGACACTCCAAGTCTGTCATTCACGATTTCAAAGGACCGAAAATTAAAGTCGTGATCGCATCGGGGGTGCAACTGGATGACGATCTGCGAAACGGTCAAAGAAGAGCGGGGACAGTTCAAGAGTGTTCGTCACATTCAATCAGTGGTCGCCGAAATGTGCGGATTCGATGGACTCATAACCTATGGATAGGGGGACATCATCTCACCCTAATAATATATTCCCCCCGTTTGAGTACTATCCTTCCGGGTAAGCTCGATGTACGTGTCACCCTTCACTTTTCACTTCTCTGCAGTGAGATCAATTTAAGCGCCTTCAAGCACTCAAACACGGTAATCTCTTCACCGTAACTTGATCAGTTGGACGTTTCCTGTCCGGCGATTGGTCTTGACAGGCGATAGGATACCCCTACTGGCTCAACAGTCAAGCCCCTACCAACAGAGCCACAATCTACACAGTATAACCTCCAACTTAAAGCCCATGCATGACTTCATCACGCATTCATCTTGCATAACTACTCTTAGACCATTGATTGCCCCGTGCTAGTTCGTGCCAGTTTGTTTCCTCCGAGTCAATGCCAAGCCTCCGCGACTCGTGGGACAGGGATGTATAGAAGTCGACATCTACAGTTCACATCCACTCGACATTACTTCAACAGGCCATTTGGTATATCAACAATGAAAGAACGAAAACGCCGCAGCTGTCACATCTCTTATCCAAGGCCTGGCCCTCTCCCCCAACCGCCACAGTTGATACGTGCACATCGTTTTCTTTGTTTGATTCCCGATCATCCCTGTTAGACACTCCGTCTGTCGTTTGCGCCAGCCAATGGTGAACCGATCCAACCAAACGCTAGCAGGATCGTTAAGGGGTCACGTCCATAAACTGGACCCCGAGCAGCATGAGATTCCCGAGTATCGTTATAACCGACCGTTGATCATCAATCGTCCATGTCCGACCATATCTGGACTAGAGCCTATCCTCATTATCCTAGCGGATCGCAAGATCGTACTCCACTTTTGGCATTTCTGGTCGTAGAAAACCGGTTGCTGTCGCTTAATTCCCATTAATCTACAATATTAAATGAGAGACAGGGAGGGATTATGACTCGCTCATCCAGTGGCTGCCTCGAGATTAACCCTGTCTGTCGACAACTTTATCCCATACTGTCACACCCATAAGATGAGGGGCTCAAGTCGATCTATCCTTGCTTGCTAATGGCCATCCGTTGCTGTAGAATCCTCCCATCTCCCCCAGCATCTTAGATCCCATATATCCCACCTTATATCCGGCTGATTTTTCCGCATGATTCCCCACTGCCGCGCTCATCATGGACACCATTATGAGCAGTCTGACTCCGAAGGTGGCAGACATCTTGATGGCAGATATGTGGACAGCCGACAACATCGCCATGTTTTCAATCGGCTCGTTCCTAGCCCTAGAGGTATCGCTGTCAGCGTTCACCCAGTTCAAGAGCTATCGCGGCTTCTACTTCTGGAGCATGCAGATCGCGGCCTCAGGAATAGTCTTATATGGTGTCACTGCGCAAATGACATATACTCGACGGGCATCGAACATCGCAATGGCAGTACCATTCGTGCTTGGATGGTGGTGTATGGTCCAAGTATGTATTGATTTCCCTCGAAACCCCAACTCCCAGCCCCGAAGTATACACACACACATACAACCATACTTACGACTCTCAGGGCCAGGCACTAGTCCTCTACTCCCGTCTCCACCTCGTCGTCTCAGACAAATGCCACCTCCACTGGGTCCTCTGGATGATCATCGCCAACTTCATCATCCTAAGCATCCCCATGAGCGGACTATTCCTCTGTCGAAACCTCAGCCAAGCCCCGCAATGCATCAAACCAGCCAAAATCTACGACAGAATTCAAATCAGCGGCTTTGCAATCCAAGACGTCGTGATAAGCGCCATCTACATCTACGAAGCACTCCGAGCCCTGAAACCCATCTTCGAAATCAAAGGCCGCGAGGGAAAACGAGTTATCGTCCAACTCGTCATCATCAATGTCTTCGTTGTTATCCTCAACGCTTCGCTCTTTATTGTCGAGTGGAAGGCTCATTATCTCACTGTTAGCTACAAGACTGTTGTCTATGCTATCAAGCTCAAGCTTGAGTTCTATATTCTGTCCAGGCTGCGTGAGCTGACGCGCGTGTATCCTTGTGTGTGCCATACGGACGGTGAGAGTCCGCGTGTCTCGAGCGATGTGAATATCTTCGATTTATCTGCGAGGAGGGGTGGTCGTCCACAAGGACTAGATATGGAGGCGCAAACTTCGCCGCGCTTTGGAGGTGCTGTTAGTCCTAGTGCTGGTTTGCCTCATTCGACGAGGAGCAGTACTTATGACTTTCATGAGGCGCTGAGGGAGACTAGGTTTGCTTCTACTTCGGAGAATTCTGTTGGGCAGTCGCATTTGGATGGGAGGTTGCAGGTTCATTCGTCTGACACGAGGTCGACTGTTGAGATGGCTTTGGTACCTTCTAATTGACTTTGTATTAGGGACCGAGGTTTTCCTGGGGAATTGGTTGCTGGGCGGATTTCTACATTTACTTCGCGTTGGACTCGATGGTTTTTCACGGTTCATCTATTACTGGGCGGTCTTCTCATTTTTGCTTTATACCCTGGTCCTTTTAGACTTGTCTGGTGATTTTATTGATGCAATTTTATATCTGTCAAAAGTTCTCGGTTTCCAAAGTAGTGAAGCAGAAAAGACCTGAGTTGTGACACATATATTCGCAACATTCGGATCAGGACACTAAACCAGCATGGAATTAGATTTTGTTTTCGTTTCTTTCGATTTGTAAGATTATGTATGTTTTAACTTGGAAATATATATATATACATGGATTGCAATATGGTTTTGTAGGTGCAAAGCAGGAATCTGAATCTGAATCCGACAGACCAACCAACAAAAGACAAATGTAGAAAGTCAAATAGGGTATCTGTATATTTTCCCGATTGAAACATGATGTAACGCCAATGAAGGAGACCCCCGCAGGCCCACCCGTAATTCGGAGCCTGCGATATGCGTAAGAAGACGTAAAGCAAATGTGAAGTAATTCGTGAAAAGGGATCAACCCTCTGAGAAGAGGTTTCAGTTTTAATCGGTATCGTAGGTAGTGAGATGAGGTGATGCATCGGGAAGAGTGGAAGGAGTGCAAAGAGGGTGATCCAGCACATGGTCGGCGGGAGAAGTGAATGATAGATGAGATACACCGAGAGAGAGGAGTGGATGGCTTCCCATGAGATGGAGTTTCGACTTTGTGAGTAACCCAGTAGAGCCGGATCTACTGGCTCTCGAACCATCCGCCATTTTCCCATTCGCCAGGCTTGTAGGTGGCGTCTTGGCGGGCCTGAGGGTCACCAAGACCGCTGAAAAGGATGTTCAGCCGAGCAAAGTTGATTGGCTTCATGACCCAACCATCGAATCCAGCATCTGTGTATTTGTCCTTTTCTTTCTCTAGCAAGGATGCAGATACTGCAAAGATCGGAGCACGGTTGTTGCCTTTGCTGGCTTTTTCAGATAGCGCACTCTTGGGAGTCTTGCTTTCGTAGTTGCGAATCATCTTTGTAGCTTCGATACCATCTACGATCGGCATCTGCGCATTATTAGTATGCGGATGAAGAAAGACAGACAAATGAACTTACCTGAATATCCATCAAAACCACGTCAAAGGGCGTTTCTGTTGAGCCAAAAGCAATCGCACAAGCTTCACCGTTGCTAGTGAGGTGCACAGTATGACCAAGTTTATTCAATCGCTTTGATATGATCTTGCTATTGACGGGATCATCCTCTGCAACTAGCACGTGGAGCAGCTCATATTCTGGTGAGATATTTGCTGACAAAGTCCCGGTGGTGGCATCAGTTGAGCGCTGTGAGGTTTCCGTGATTGTTTTGACGCGAGGGAAATAAGAATTGCCATCAACTCTCTGCAAGTGGGGGGAAACCATGTTTGCAGATTGCTGCGACATTCGCAAAGCACTCATCGGTACTCCCGAGTCCGTGATGTTTGCCATGCCCGGCAGAGGAGGTGTTACTAGCGGGTGCAACATAGTCGGCGGCGTATGCGAGGCAGAGAGAAGACCCGATCGGAGCTCTGTCATACTTGATCGTTTGGGGCTTTTTGTCGGCACTGGCGACTTGATAGATAGATCATGACTGCTTGTGCTAAGGGGACTGCCAACTTTGAGCTGTCGAGAATCAGGCCTGTTAGAGTCTGAGCCGTGACTAGGGCTTCTCCTTGCCATAGCTGGTTCTTGCATGGCGCTAATGAGACGGTCAGCCTGACTTTTGCCGCTGCGAGTACTGGTTCCGCTATTGAGACTTTCTGTGCTTCTTCTTCTTGAATCGTTATCGCGACGATCGCGACCCTCGTGTGCTCCACCGATGAGCGTGAACTCCTTGTCTGACAACATGGGAGTTGGGGGAACAACAGGACCCGCGGGAGGAGTGCTTTCAGGTGGAGCACCTTCTGGTAGCTTGAATTGCAATAGAATTTTGAATCGGCTGCCCTTCCCTTCTTCTGATCTGACACCAAGCTGCCCTTGCATGTTGTGAACAATCCTCGCTGTCAGGGCAAGGCCAAGACCCAAAACACGTTTCTTTGGTTCTGTAGGCGAGTCGGACTGCTGTTGTTCAGGCTCATCTTCTGGATAGTAAGGTTCATCCGTGGAAATTTGTTCGAGCTCGTGGAAAAGAGATTCTAGCTTTTTCTCTGACATCCCACACCCGGTGTCGACAACCATAGCCTCTACTGCAACCGAGCCTTCAACAGCCTGATTCGCCGACCGCCACATTTCCGTGGTAACAGCACCTGATTCGGTGTGTTGGATTGCATTCGAGATCACGTTTGACAAGACTTGGCGGACACGTCGCTGATCTCCGAGCACCAGGTGTGGTATACCCGGGTGAACCGTCATGCTATAAGATATGTTCTTTCGCTTTGCCTGGCCTGAGAGCATGTCGGCGGCCTCTTTGAACGTAGTTTCAAGATCAAAACTTTCATCTTTGATCAAATCCTGTCCTTTCTCTGTATTTGTCAAATCCAGTAGATCGTTGATGACATAGACGAGGGATTTCGAGGCAGAATGGGATTTGGTCAGGCTTTCACGTGTATCTGCATCGAGTGCACCCTCGAGGGCAATCTCAAGATAGTTGATGATAGCATTCAAAGGTGTGCGAACTTCATGCGCGGAGTTCGCTAGTAGCAGTCGAGTGAGTTGTGAAGTTTGCATAGCAGCCTCCTTCTGGCGCCAGACCTTGATGAACTTTCCATACACAAGGCATAGGACTGCAGCAGTCTCAACGTCTGTCTCTGTCCACTCGCGACTCTGCGAGAGTACAGTTTCCTGCCATGCTTTGAAGCTTTGACGCGGTTCCAAATAACCAGCGGTCTCTTTCCGCTTGGAAATTTCATATGGATTGCCGGCCCATTTGATCTCTGTGAGTTGGCCGCGGCGGAAAAAGACAATAAAGTCACTGCCAGCGGTGGATAGTGGGACATATAAAAGTCCTGAAATGGCCTTCAATCCCGGCGCGTAATGTAGATCAGGAAAATCTTTGCTTATATCGTGCGATGCAAGCACAGAACTCAGTTGGCGTAGGCGGAGATACTCCAGCAGCGCAAGAAGTTCCTGAGAGTGGGTATTGTCACCGAGGATCTTAGTCTCGTCTCGAATCGATAAAACACCATAGTCTGCATCGAAAAGTGCAAGTAGATCATCCGTAGAGGCAATGATGTAACCGGACGGATTAGCCTCGGTTGGAACCGTATTGATCAGCTTTCGTGCTTGCAAGCGTGAAGCATAAGAAAGCCTCTCGATGTTCCGTGACACACAATCGCCAAGTAGTCGACACATTTTGCGAATTGGGAACGACACCCGCATTCCCGCGGTGCCGTAGCTGTGACAAGATATTAAACCCCACAAGTCGTTAAAAGCATTGACGCTAATAGACATTGAAGATCGGACCTTCATATGAGCCAAATACTTCACGTGAATAGGCGACATTGCTCGTAAAAATGCATGGGTCATGTCGAGGGGAGTTTCGAGGTCTTCTACAGTGCGACAAACGAGACGAGAGGTGGCGTGATCACGATCATACAATAACCTCACTTTGTTGATCTTGTATAGCTCTCTCGCTTGCGCAGGAATGTCGGATGCGGGGAAATGAAGGCCCTTATACAGATCAATTGTGACGTTAGGGTCAACTAATTCAGCAACAACCATGCCGTTCCAGCTGCTGTCAAATTGATAGATCAAAACACGATGGAAGCCGGTCAATTCTTTCACCAGCCCAGCAGTTGTATTCAGCAACTGATCCAAATCATTTGCCCGAGCCAGCTGCTCCTGGATTTGGGTGAAGATGCTAAAAACTTCCATCGATGCTGCTTCGCCCTTTCTCCGACGGGCATTGCGTAGGACACGCAGAGGCTGGCTAATGTTGATGGTGCTTCCAGCCAATTGCTCCGCAGTTGGGATAACACCCAAGGTGTCAGTTGGAGATGCCGGGGTGGCGGTACCCGCGACATTCAATGGGTTGATATCGTCGTCCTCCAGCTCAAACTCGCATATGAGCAAATCCTTTTGCGTTTGACAAACATGGACACCGCACCAGAATTGACGGTCCTCCCCTGATGGTGTACGAATCTTTAAGGAAAATACCTCCGGTCCATCAATTGTCGGATCATAAGCATCATCACGAACGAAGTCCATGTGATCCAGTAGATTATCTGCTTGGTCTTCGTGCATAATATCGCAAAAATTCTCCAACTCGAACAATTGCTTGGGTGAATGACCGAAGAGCTGAGTCGAATTTTCGCTCACCACGCGTACCACAAGTTGATTGGGCGATTCCTCTCGTAATGCAAGCATGACTCCAAATGTTTGAATCGCACCTGGGATGTGAATAGGCTCATCTTCACAATATTGAAACGACTTCCCATCCCGTCCTGTTATAACAGCATGACCATTTTCCGTCAAGATATGTCTGAAGCGAGCAGTGTAATGGCCCTGGCCGTCGCTGGGCGGGGTGGGAGCGTTTTCGTGGGCAGCCGAACCGGCACTGAAGTGGCTCGCACTGACAGGCTTCGCATACACTTCGGGGTGCTGGTTAACCTGGGATGCCATGGAGTGTGTTGCAAGTTCGGTGTCAGCAGAAACCTCATGTGTTTCGTGACGTTCGATATCGGTGGGAATGGTCGGTTCGCTCGGTACCGTGGTGGAGGGAGGTTGTGACTGCATTTGGTTCCATGTATGTTCGTCGATGAACGAATATTGTCGAGCGCCTTCCCGCGTTGGTGAACGTGCGGCTCGCGCCTGCGCGGTGGCCGCGTGGTATCCTATAGGTCGAGGGTTCGGATCAACCGAGACGAAAGATCGAATGGGAAAGACACGGTCGGCAGCTTCGAAGCCGGTGCTGGGTGGTTGAATCTCATCCTGAGATGCCGACTGTGCTCGGTCCCTGATCTCTGGTCGGATGTGCTCCTTCCTCAATGACTCTGCGCCTGCAACACTTTCCGATCTTTTTCGCGGGGATCCCGGCCCGATCTCCTCTGGCGCTTGGGATGCCATCGGGACCGTGCAGTCCGATTATTTCGAAATCAAGTGTCTCAGTGGGATGTGAAGATCGTGAGAAGTACAAATTCTGTTCCGCGGGGGAAGGAAGGCGGAGAGTTCCGCCTTTGTTTGCCAGGATTTAAATGGAACGACACTCGGGTCCGAGAAAGACTATAACCCGTGCTCATGAGGACCGAGGTATGGGAAACCTCTTAAGTGGGCAAATCCCCAAATCAGCGATCGAACCCGATGGATTGGATGTACGATCTGGAGAGAAGAGAAGAGATAATCAAAGCCTATGGAGGGGCAGCAAATGCGGTGAAACGCAAAAATAGGCCAGTAAATGTATGTAAGTAGTAATGATATGCACTTGTCAAAAGGGCCTCCCTAGAGAGATCATTGGCCCCTTGGTGCGAAGTTCCATGGAGAACATGGTTGGGCGCTCCAAGCGAACCGAAGTTGCATAATGCGCGACGTCGACTGGTGGAAAGTGCTGGGGAACAAATTTCGACCAAGAGCTGGAAAGGGAAAAAGGTGGAAACCGGCAGCTACGTGGACTCGGGTCACAGGAGTGGGACCTGTACAGATACACGGGTTGTGCCGGTACACACCGACGGGACCATGTACCGGTACTAGGTCACGGGATCACGGGATCCCTTAAGTGGCTCAAGTATGCGATGATATCATGCAGAAAGTCTTGTGTGTCGAGGGTGATACAGTACACCTAAGGGAATCACCGAGAAAGAATGCATTTTTACATGCGTAGTGACATAGCAACATACTGTATCAGTATGAAGATCGCTATTGCCACACAGCGTCATATTGGTTGAGAATGAGCACTCCAACGTCACATTGCTCTAACTCGAGATTGAGATATTTCAAATAACACGTTTTGCACATATGGTCTGAGATTGATAGTACAAGGTGGAAATTTAGTGTAAAAACTTTAAAACTAACCAAGCTTGGCAATAGCTACGGGATTTTAGCGCAGGAAAAACCACCGATATGGGCTTTGGTGTCCAAAGCAACTATACATGTAGAGACACCCAGTCAAACAGTACAAACGTCGAAATAAGATTTTGATCGAACTGCAAACAAATGGGCCAATGAAATTGGAGTTTGTCGTGTTTGCACCTCCGATTAGACACATGTGTCAACGAGTGCAAACACTGGGTTCGAGCTTCTATAAGTATATAAGTAGGGCTTATGGCTTTCTCACCTTTTTCCAAAATAATACGCCCAATCCACTATACAGGTAGCTCGGTATTATCGGAGCAATCCATTTTCAATCCCACATTTACCCCGCAAAGATGACAGCAGCCAGATTCGGCCAGAAGTTCAACAACTTCAACATCATCCAAGCCATCTACAAAACAGTCGATGGCCATGACATACGGGCAGATATTCTAGCCCCAGAATCGCTAGACAAATCAAAAGGCCATCCCATCATTGCAAGGTTCCACGGTGGAGGGCTAGTACGCATCCCCATCCACGTATAACCAAACACCACCTCCCTAACAAAGCCACCTGCAGTCAAGAGGCGACTCAATCTATGCAGACTGGTTTCCAAAATGGCTACTAGAACTAGCAGAAACGCACAATGCAGTGATCGTATCACCGAACTACCGGTTCCTCCCCGAAGCAACAGGCGTCCAGATCCTAGAAGACGTCGATGATTTCTGGACATGGCTCCATTCCAAAGCCCTAACGGAGATCCTTTCTCCACACCAGATCGACCCCGACCTTGATCGCGTCATCGCGGCCGGAGACTCCGCAGGCGGACTGCTGAGTATCTACCTCACTCTTTCGTATCCGGACCAGCTGCGCGCTGGCACGGCCACTTATCCAATGCTCAGCTGGGATCCGCCTAGTTTGTTCCCTCCTAATGTATCTCCCGAGAACGCAGAGGTTCCCTCGTCGTATATCGATGGGTATCTTGCGGGTCTCCCGGCTGGGTATGTGGAATCGTCTGATTTGGATGTTCGACGTGCTACTCTGCAGTTTGCAATTTCTTGTCATCGGCGCGGTCCGGAATTTTACACTCGGGGCTCGGAGGGCTCGCTTTATCAGGAGAAGTTGTTCCAGCTGCAGCGGCTGGAGTATCCCGATACAAGACTGCCGCGTGGCGGGTTGACTATTATTCATGGCACTGATGATGATGATGTTCTTGCAGACGTTAGTGAGCGGTTCGTTAACAAGGCGAAGGTTACTCTGAAGGGGAGACAGGGTGTTGATAATTTGGTTCTGTGTCTTCGGCCTGGTGGACATGGGTTTGATGTTGATACTTCTTTTAAGGAGCAGTGGTTGGTTGATGCTTTGCGTGTCGCTATTGATACGTGGTTAGACTAGTCTCAATGATGTTGGCTTGATTGTAACAGAGACTAGCTTTTCTGTTGGCCTTTGGAACTACGAGAACGTCGGTGCTCTTTTCAGCAGATTCTGTTCTGAGAGTTGCGCACTTGATGATATTATTCAATATATTCGTTAATTTGATATGCTTCTCAGAGAACATATCTGAAACTCTCGATTTCACGATCCGTCTTGTTAGACAATTCGTCCTGCAACTCAGCACCCACAGTTATTTCATCAGGTGATCCATAGAGCTTATCACGGCGACGGTTCTCATACACGTAGTAGGAGTACAAGCACAAGAGGAAAAAGATGCTCAGCACCAATCCAGACATAGAAGCCTTGATGCCAGTCTAGATTAAAATTCAGTCAATCTCCTTTTTCGTCCAATGTCAAGAAGTGTATTGACTTACCGGGTACGCAGGCTCCTCGGAAGAAAGGAAAAATTGAGGTCCAACAATATTTCCAACGCAGTACGCAATGAAAATCAAAGATCCAGTGACACTCTTCTTAGAAAAGCCAGCCACGTTGGAGGTGACAAGACTCAGCGAAATAGGCAAGTTGATAGCGAAAACGCAAGAAAGCGTCAAACCAACCATTCGACCTGCGAGATTGTCGTCGTTGAGTTTCCAAATAAGGATAGTACCAATGACAGCAACGATGATGTTGAGAATCATGCCCAGAATACGGGACGATGGCACGAAAGTCGCAACGGTCGAAGTGAGGATCAAAAATACGATCTGGGCACCACCTTGGGGCATTTGCATGACGAGAGCCTTGAGATCTGAGAATCCGAAGCCGGCGATGATAATTGATGTGAACTGCAATGCACATTAGTATATGAGACGGGTTGAACATAAAGAATGATACGAACACTTGTGAGACCTCCATTGGCTAAGTTGGTAGTGAATGACCACAGAACCAAGAACCAGGTTTGGGGATCTGTGAGAGCTTGAACGGCCTGCGACCACTTGAAGACACCAGTATCCATGACACCGGTCTTGTTTTTCAATGTTCTTTTCACAGCAATGGCGCGCTCGTGAGGCTTGAGGAATACAGCTGTTGCGGGCGAGTCTGGAAGCAAGAAGAGGAGAACGATGCCGTAGAAGGAGGTGATGGCGCCGAAGATGAGGAATAGGAGTTTCCAGTGCTCGATAGCATTTGTGTTGATATTTCCAATGCCATAGGCGATCAAGGCACCGAATAATAGGGCGACACAGTTTCCGAAAAACCAGGCCGATTGACTAGCAGCTGTTAGAGGTTGAACTATGCGGTTATCAGGTTGGAGGCTTACCGGAGAGGTTGTTCCTCACGTCGGTAGAACATTCCTGTAATCAAGGTGAAGCCTGGTGCAATGGCGGCTTCTCCTACACCTAAAAAGAATCGGACTGTCATGAGTCCGGCCCAGCTTGAGCAGGCTGCGTGGCACATCATGATACCTCCCCATAGGAATCTAGGAACTTTAGTCCTTGCTCTTGGCTTTTCATCGTGGAGGTGGCAACATACACTGAAACAGCGAGGTACTTTCCGATGGGAAGACGAACAATTATATATGAACTCGGCCTGAGAAGAGTCAGTCATGGTCTGTTAGGGTTGACTCCTTGGGATCATACCAGCTCCAGGCAAAATAGCCGAAATAGAAGATCGCAGAGGCCCATGAATATTCATTGCCTTTCATATGCTATGCAAGTTAGTCAACGATCCAATTGAGAAGCAACAGAGAGTATAAGACTCCATACCAAGTCCTGCCGTAACCCGAATAATGTTGCTTGACTGAGCGCGAGTTTATCCAAGAATTGCAGGAAATATGCGATGCCCATTAAGGGGATCAAACTGTCACAAGTAAGCAACGATCCACCCCGACATTCACACAATACTCACAAAAGATCAAGCTTCCATAACAACTTTCTCTCTTCCGCGGGTGTCGCCTGAACAGCAAGAACCTGACCCAAGTCAAAGTCCCGACCAACAGAGTCTCCCTCCCCCTTCAAACCCTTTTCATCCATAGTAGAGTCGTTCGCCGTCATAATAAATAACAAGGAAAAGCAAACCAAAGATTAACAAAAAAACGATCAATAAAAAACAAAAGGCTCCGGTCCACGGGTCCTACTTATGACAAGAAAAAAGCCATGGATTTAAACTCGCTTAAACCTACTCGTCCCAAGACGCCCAGTTCCGCAGTGGAGTAGGGAGGAAAAAAAGGAGCTTGGCCTAACGGGACAGTGTCATATCTTGCTTATGTTTAGAAATGCAGATCTGTATTTCCTGCGATTGAAATCGTGGAGGTGGAATGGAGACTTCGCGACATCACCAATCAACTGCACCTGCTCGGCACCCCATAGTTCTTTAGTTCTTGATCGGGGTTGTATCCGACTCTGAGAGGGTTTAGATGCACCCACTGTGCATCCACTTCTCCCCCCCCAGCGGATCCTCAGCTCGGCAAATTCTGTATGCGGGGATGTCTGATATCGAAAATGCCGTCAGGTTATGCCCCTTTTTGCCTGCTTATGGAATTTCCGCCTGACGGTGTTCCGTTATGCGACAGGCGCTGTGGCGATCTTTTGTTGTTCGGCGCCACGTAGGGCAATTGGAAAAGTCTGATTTGATTTGATTTGGTTTTTCTATTTTCTTATCGTCGACTCAATTGCTTAAAAAAATAAAAATTTTAAACTGCAAGTTGCAAATTCTTCAATCTATAGCACGCTCCAAAGCGACCCATCCGATGAAGTCTAGCTAATTTCACCCGATCTACAGCCGATTCTCTTTACAAAAGTCGGTTTCCACAGCCTTCGCGAAGCTATCATCAACAAGATCCCTGCAAGCCACCACCGCCATTCCCGCAGCACAATGCAAGCTGCGTTTAAAGCCTTCCTGGGAGCCCGCGCCCGCCGTGAACTGCGGCGTATGATTGACGCCGTCGGTGGCTATATAAAAGCCACCATGGAAGCTTGGGACTTCGTAGGACACATTTCCTAGATAGGAGAACAGTCGTCAGCATGTCAACAACCAAAACAAGTGGACAAGATCGAGTGGAGCGAGAGCCCTGCAGGACTCGGCTTGCACCCACCCATATCAGTAGATCCCCCACTCATCCCACCAGACTGTCCAGCCGCATCGAAAATAGTCCTGTGCCCCATAGCAGTCATGGCGGAGACATAGCTATCGCAGATAGGCTTGTTGATCTTCATATCCTTGTACGAAGCCTCCCTGCATCAAACCCACGATTAGCAACCACCTCACCCCACTCCAATAGCGATAGACATAGACAAAATCAGGGTAGAAAAACACAAACATACCATTCAAACTCAACCTCACACCCCGTCGCAGTAGCCGCCGCCTCAAAACACCTCACCACCTTCTCAGTAAGCGGCTTCAGCTCCTCCACACTCCCCGACCGAATATAATACTCGACGGTCGTCGAAGCCGGAATGACATTCGGCCTCTCCCCACCCCGCAGCACAACCCCATGCACCTTATCCGTCTGCCGGATCTGCTGCCTCAACATCGAGATCCCCACATACGCCGACACAACCGCATCAAGCGCGTTGACGCCCTCCCACGGCGCCGCAGACGCATGCGCCGGCTTCCCCGTGTACGTCACCTGCACCTTGTCATTCGCGAGGTACATGCCCGTACAGGAACTCGCCGACAGCAGGTCCGGCGCTCCGGAGAGGATGGGGAACGGGTGCACCATCAGGCAGGCGTGCACGGGCTTGTACGCGCCCGCCTTGATGAGGAGCAGTTTGCCGCCGCCGCCTTCTTCGGCCGGCGTGCCCAGGAGCCGGACTTCGTAGCCTGCGGCTGCGGGGCTGGTGGCGTTGTGCTGGTGTAGGGCTTTCATGGTTTCGACGGTGGCGATGAAGGCGGCGATGCTGCTGGTTGCTATGAGGTTGTGGCCGCAGGCGTGGCCCATGCCTGGTAGGGCGTCGTATTCGGCATTGAAGGCCACGATGCGTCCGCCGTGGCCTTGTTTGTAGGTTATTTGCAGGGCTGTGGAGATGTTGTAGGCTTGTCGGGTGATTGTGTAGTCGTCGTTGAGGGATTCGAAGAATGCGCAGATGTTATCGTGGGCGTTGTATTCTTTGAATGCTAGTTCGGGATCGGACCAGATCTGGACTTGTGAGCTTACATGTCTTGGTTTTTAGTTGAATGTTATTGGTTGTAGAGGGTGATCACCTTTTGGTTGATCTCACTGAGCTTGGCTTCATACTTGTCCAGTGCCTCGCGCACCTTCTGGATGATTTCTGTTTGTTCCTGTACGGTCAACATTGTTAATTGTCAATTGTCAATTGGGATGTTGGAATGGGGATCTTGCGACGAGTGAGTCAACCCAGGTGGAACTCCCCAGAACTGTTCCACTGAGAAAGGCATCTGCTCCCGAGATAAGATGTTCATTCCGCAGTGGAGAAGCCAAGTGCCAACGTCTCGCATCTCGGCAACCCCCGCAGATTGCCGACCTCTGATATCTGACACATATGTAACATCAATATCTGATCTTCCCCACGGCATTTTAGTCGGCAGATGCTCAATAGCCGCCCGATACTCGGCTTTCTCATGGGCAATGGCATCACATACTTTGCCACATAGTAAGATGCTTTGACCTTTCGAGGTCATGCGGAGTTTCAGGTACTTCTCCGGTGGCCGACGGAACTGACAGCGGATCTTGCTGCGATTCCCGTATCCTATTACTACATGGCTGCTAAGGCGAGAAGGACTATCTTCTACAGTTCTGACAGCTGGCTGCAAGATGTCAAGTGATAATGCATCATGGTAACGTGATATTTACTGAGATATTATACATCGTGAAGCTGAATTAAACTAATCGTGAACGTCCATAGGCCGCATTACAGTATGTCGTCGCCAATATACATCTGGTATATGTGACCACCACAATCCTCGAGAGCATGGGTGGAATGACTTTTGCACAGTGACATGTTTGAGCCACAGATAATGTACAGACAGGGGAGAACAGCAAACAAAACTGATCAAATCTGAAGCTGGAAGGCAGAGATAATTATCTCATGTTTGGTTTGCCAACATGACAAAGGTGATTTGGCCCAGCGAGTGAGTATTCTGGGTCGAGTAAGAGCACCCGCGGGTCTGTTTGCATAATTCGAATATGAGGAGCGAAGATAGCGCATGCTACTCGTTGATACAAAGCAAACGTTGCCCAATATTGACCCTAAACCTTTCGGATGGACCCGATAAAGGTAAATCGCCCGATGGATAGACCCAAGGTCAATATTCTGATGCGTTGCCTCAAGCTAACTATCAGGTAGTGGGCGAGCTGGCATCAGTCGACCGCGTGGATGGACGGATTCGGCGCTCGGACATTGGCAAGCTCTCCATGGAAATCGCATGAGAATTCCAAGGCCTCCGCCCTCGTGATCGTGATTCGCGAGGAGCAGCATGTGTAACGTCCGTCGTGAACTGGCTGGGATCTACAAATGTGGGGTACTCTTCATGCTCAGACGAGGTAGGCTGTGATCGTGAAGTTTGCACGACGGAGACGAGCTTGCCAAGCACGCCAAACTCAAGCTTCAACTTGATGCTGTAGACCATGGGTTTCAACGTCGTCTGCAGCGAGTAGTAGCCAATGTATTCCACGAGTAGTAGACTAATGTCAAGCAAGATGATGACCAAGTTGATGGCTAGTAACTCGTACATGATACGAGTTCGCCGGCGGTCCTTGTCTGGCATCATTTTGAGCAGCTTGATGGTTTCCACGATGTAGATGCCTGAGATGGTCATTTCCTGCGCGCAAAACCAGGCCAACTGCATCCGTTCCATAACATTATACCCGCGAATCATTGGCGGCAGGCCAACAAACGCGGTACAAAACGTTAAGACGGTGGTTGGAATCAATAGAATGATCGCATCAATTATGATGAGCCAGAGCACAAAGCGAAGGACTTTGTGACTCTGACACACCAGATGCAGGCGCGAATAAAGCACCACCGACTGTCCTGGAACCATGACATAAAAGCCAATGGTGGATATGGTCAGAGACAGCCATAATGGTGCGAGCGCGAAAAATTCCAGCAGGTAACCAATGGCGTGAGGGATCACACCCAGCACGACAGAAAGCAAGAGGGTCCAAAAGTAGAGGCCCCGGTATGTTTGGAATGTCAAAAATAACAATATGAACAATTCGATGGCATTGTATAATGCGATGGACGTGAATACGATCATCAACGTCCGCACCGCAAGATTGTTGCCCTGATATCCATGGATCCCGTCGGGAGGCTCGGACAAGTTTGTCATTGTTGCGCCGACTGAGCAGGCCTTGGAATAGACGAGACAAGCAGTGATCAAAGAATGCTGCGCGCCCCGCTCTTCAAGGTCCCCGACTGTGCACGTAGTTTGTTCGAGCGGATTGACTCTCGAGGCATCATAGTCACTCTGAATTGAGAATCTTATGCGCGCAAAATTGTACGGATCTTCGCGGTCGAGCACCAATTGAACCCAGAGGTAATGCGCAGTTGGTGAGATCGTTGGGATCGGATCGTCGCGCAATTGTCGGTTTCCGAAGAATGTCGGTGGATGTAACTGTGTGGGGTGGGGGATAGCCCGAGGGCGGTTATGAGGTCAGGTCGGGGACCAGGCATACAACCAGGACGAACATGCAAGTGAACAGAAATCAAAGAGGAATAGGCGAGACCACTAGTCGCCACTTGGGGGCAAAGAGCGATTACCAATTGACCCCGGCCAGACAAGTCCCAAGGACAGGAGAAAAAGAGAGAAAACGAAGTTGGGAAAAGAAGTAAGGGAACGACTTTTCCCGCTTCCCCGGAAGAAAATCGCTCGGGGCACGTGCCGTTAAACTTTGCTTCTTTTCACCTTTTAACAGTTGAACCGTTGGGCTTTCGAGTCCAAGGTGACAGTCCATGCTGACTGGGGACATTTCAAGAGGATCTTTTCCTGGTTCGGTTGAACTTGGCATTTGAGGTAACAGGCCTGCATATCTGAACCCTCTTACCGTCCTCGAGGTTACTAACGACACTCGGGGTTTGAACTGACGAAAGCATTTGACCAGTGTACCCAGTGTACCCAGCGTGCCTAGCGTACTCAGTTGACTCAGTTTAATCAGTTTACTCGTTCCCTCCGGTGTTTCCAGCATACATGTTTTTTCACCAAGCGTGGGACGAAAATAGAAAATCAATTGCCGAGGCTCCCACACGCTAACCCGCAGATGTGGAGGCGTCAGGGTTTCCCCTCAGAGGCACAGACCATTGAATTCAGGAACATCTCGACTTACATATGAGGATGCTGAGGATCTCCCCTGTGTAGATCTGCCACATATTCTCGGAATGCCCATGGCAGCACTCCAGATCTTTGCTCTCCCCTATCCACTATCCACTACCTCTGCAACTTGTGACATCGGGGTGATCCTCGCTGTGGAGAATGGGGAAAACATCATGAGCTGATGCTGATCTGTGGGTACGCTACTTGATTTACATGTAACGGGCGAACGGAGAAGTTACGACGGTCTGAAGGCCTTGTGGTCGCATGGTCGATCATGCCCAGCCCGACAAGTCTCTTTTTGGGACTCCATTCGACCACTTTTCTGCTATCATCGGTGCCAATCCTGAGACGAACTCTTTTTCAATTGAAAGACTGGTTTCTGGAATCTTTCTCTACAAGGGCGGTATCCATGCTCGTCGTCAATACTTATGCCGAACCTTACGACCCTTCAGCTAAAGCCTTTTCGCTATCTGATCAAAGAGAAGCTGATGTTTCCTAACGTCAACCGAAGCTTACTCCCAACTTACCCATCTAGGCGATGATCTGCATCCGAAACTCGGATCCGGATAACACTGGATGCAGTACGTACAGTATGCAGCAACTACTGTATAGTACCTACACTAACTTCATGCATGGGCTTGATCAGCTTACTTGTTCAATGTTAGTCTGCTACAGTACAGTATACAGTGACCTGCCCCACATTTGGACAACTTCCATTCTACTGTATCTTCCATTTCCTTAAGACCCAAATTATCGAAATGATAGAATACAAATTCCAAGTTCCAACGAGGATAGAGTCAAAGCCCAAGTGTTTAGGGGCATGCTCTAGACCGCCTTAGTGATATGACTAATCACGCGCGTTGAAGGTGCACCTGGGCAGGTATTCTGCCGCAACTCCAAGAGGTACTGTAGTCTTCACCTGAAGGCTAATGGTCGATATCCACCACAGATCGTACCAATATCTCCTTAAATCTCGGTCTTCCCCCGAAAGCCCCTCTCTCGCAATCCTCAAACCTGGAAAGTGGAAAGTGGACTATTGCGATCGGCGGTACGCGTCCCGATCTTGTTAGCTCTCCTAGACCCGCCCAAGTCTTACACCTCACAATGTACGGTCTATAATCCCTGTAGACTCGGCTAATCATCGGCTCTGACAACGGATCTGGACAATCAGTCCTCCTATTCAACACATATTGCAGACCTGTCAAACTGACGGGTGACTTCATTCTTGCAGCATGATGATCGACGGTGGGGGCGATCCCATTTATGAGCCGCTCCACCAGCTTCAGTAGTTGTAATGGACCTCCGGATAGCCTCTCTGAACTTCTCCACTAAGGTTCGTGGCTTGAACAAAGCGGGGCTTTGGGGTCTGTCCCGTGTGAGACATTAGAGACTGGACTTATAAGTGATTCGACTTATAACATGTCGCTGCCTCTATCTTGACGACTGGGCTCTCCATTGATACGTATAAGTTATACTTGAACAGCAATCAAAATGAGCTCTGCGGAGAACAAGTACGACTTTATTGTCGTTGGAAGTAAGAATCTCTCAAGCTTACGAAAGCTGACTAGACTGCCACACCTTGGAAGGTGTCTCCGGAATTGGTCATGTTAACTCACCACTTCTTCAATAGGTGGCCCAGCTGGCTGTGCTCTAGCTGCAGGTCTCGCGAAATCCGCCCAAAGACCCCAAGTCCTCCTCCTCGAAGCCGGCGGCCGCAATGATGACCGACGCCTTCGCGTGGACGGAAAGCGCTGGACAACCTTCATGGAAGAGCAGGACCTAAACTGGGGCTACAAGACCACACCGCAGGAGCACTGCAACGGCCGAGAATTGGACTACTCCCGCGGCAAGGGACTGGGAGGCGGATCAGCGATCAACTTCGGCTTGTTCACTGTCGGCGCAAAGGACGACTATGACGAGTGGGCTGCCGGAGTCGATGATGAGACCTTTGGCTGGAAGCAGATGCAGAGACGCTTCAAGAATCTGGAGACATTCAATGGTCACATTGTTCGTCCTGAGCATCGGAAGTATGCTGCCGCCGCTGAGGCAGACCATGGACACACTGGTGGTTTGCGTATTGGATATGCGGAGAACTGGGAGAAGGATTTGTCGACGGTTCTAGATGCCTTTGAGGAGGCTGGATTCGAGCGCAATGCCGATCATAACTCCGGCAACCCGCTTGGTATGGCGCTGAGTATCAACTCTGCTGGACAGGGCAAGCGCACTACTGCTGCTGATTTGCTCGTTGGTGCGTCGGACAATCTGGCCATTGTCACGGACAGCCCTGTGCAGCGGGTGATTTTAGATGGCAAGAGGACAGTCGGTGTTGAGACCAGCAACAAGAAGTGTATGTTCTGATATCCCCCCCCCCCCGTGCAATATCCACCGCAACCACCTAACACATACTCCAGACTTCGCATCCAAGGAAGTCATCCTCTCCGCTGGATCCCTCGACACCCCCAAAATCCTAATGCACTCCGGAATCGGCCCAGCATCAGACCTAACCAAATACAACATCCCCGTAATCCACGACCAGCCCGCCCTAGGCAAAGGCCTGCGAGACCACTACTTCGCGCCCCTAATCCTAGCCCGCAAACCAGAAACCACCGACCGAAACGCCTTCTTCAAGGACCCGTCCGCAATGGAAAGCGCCATGAAGCAATGGGAAGAATCAAACACAGGCCAATGGACCCGCTACGGCTGCCAACTCGGAGCCGGCTGGTTCAAATCCGACAAGATCACCTCGTCGGCCGAATTCAAAGCCCTACCAACCGATGTCCAGGAGTTCATGAACCGCGCCACAATCCCCCACTACGAAATGCTCACCCACCTGCCCATGCACTTCTTCGCGCCGGATATGTTCAAAGAAGATTACAGCTACGTCGGCTTGGCCGCGTTCATGATGAACGAACAGTCCCGCGGCGAGGTAACGCTCAACTCGTCAGACCCGCACGCACCGCTGCTGTTCAACCCGCGGTTCCTGGAAGACCCCTTCGACCGCCGCGCGTGCATTGAGATGTATCGGCACCTGCTGGAGGTATCCCGGACGCCGGCGTTCGCGAAGGATACGGTGTCGACGCTGATTGGGCCGGCGTCGGAGTCTGATGAGGATATTTTGACCTTCTGGAAGGACTTCTTGTCGTCATCTTGGCATATGACTGGCACGGCTAAGATGGGCAGGGTCGGGGAGAAGGAAGCTGTTGTTGATCGCGGCTTTAGGGTTATTGGGTTGCAGGGATTGCGCATTGCTGATATGAGCGTTGTGCCTGTTTTGACTAACAACCATACCCAGGCTACGGCTTATGTTACTGGGGCTACGGCTGCTGATGTTCTGATTAGGGAGTATGGGCTTGATGAGCGGGTTACGGCGAAGTTATAGGTTAGGGTAGGGGTCTTGAACTGATGGTCGTGGGATAATGCTACATTGTCATGTAATCTTGCTAATGAATGGTTATTTTTCACTTTCACTCACGTGGGCAGCGTACGATAGCCATCATCATGAGCACTGGAAGGCACAGCTTGCTATCCGTACTACTTGACTTCTTTTACAGATGATACATGAGTATATGAATACAAATTAGATAGAATGTGATTGCATGGAAGGTATGACATATGCTAAAACAATAAGTTACTCCACTCTCGAGCACAACACCAAAAGAATAAGATCGAGAATTCTCAAAAACACCACCGATCCACCGTCCGGGCCCGAATTAGGACGATAGAACCACTATTCGCGCCACACACCATTACGCAAATAACAAAGACAAAACAATAACAGCTAGAACAGGAAAAAAATAAAGAAAAGAAAAGCCGAGAGATCCAGCCAGGCACACAGGAAAAAAGAGTGTAACCCTCTCAGGGAAAAACAGAAAAAATGTACCACCGGGGCTAGATAACGTTTATCAAAGACAAATGAAGACGCGGGTATCGAAAAATGATCGCGAGAAAGATAGCAATCAGACGCGCAGACTTGAAAGGCAGAACAAGTCAAATGGCGAGAGCAGGGTAGCATTATTTAGTTCACCATGGGGAGACCGTGGGTGTGAGACTCTTGCTTGCCAACGGAGTCCGAGCCATCGCCCTGGCTGTCGTCGGTGCGGACGCGCTTATTCTGCTGGAAGTTGTTGCCGAGGAAGTTAGTTTCGTCGGGGTGCTTGCGCATGCCCAAGCCTGCGACGGCGATCCGGTTCAGCGAGTTCATGTCGTCGGTCACGCTGGTTTGCTGCTGGCCCTGCTGTGGGGCCGAGGGGGCTACAGAAGATGAGCCGGTGCTTTGGACGCCGGCTGCGGCGAGGGCGATCTCGGCAGTGCGAGATTGCGTCAGGTCGATGTTTGCTGGTAGCTCGGGGACTTCGCCTTGGGATTCCAGGAGCCGCGATTGCAGGTTGATGATGTACTCGCGGAGCTGGTAGTTCTCGCCGGCCAGCTGTTTCACTGTGTCTTTGAAGTTTTCAATGTTCTTTACTTCTTCTTCAAGTTTACGAATGTAGGTTTCCTTGCGCTGGCGGAAGGCGCGCTGTTGGGAGTTTAGTATGATGCTTCTGGCGGGATATCAAAAATGACATACCTGGGCAGCACGGTTCTGGGCAGCGCGCTTGGAGGTGGACAGCTCACGCTTGCCATAGCTCTTGGAGCCACCATCAGAAGGAGGAGATCCCTGAGGCTGGGTAGGGGTTTGGGGGGCTCCAAGCATGGAGCCTGAAATTGCAGGATCAATATTGCCTTGGTCGCGAGGGCTAGCATTGTTTGGCTGGAGTTGCTGCTGCTGACCAGGGGCGCCCTGCGGGCGACCACCCTGAAGGTGGTGCTGGGCAGCTAAAAGCTGATCATGCAGGACTATATAAGGTACCTGTTAGCGGGTGTGAAGGTATAGAGGAGTCGAAAGTTGTGTCAAGTCGGCGTGGCGTGGCGTGCTTAAAAGCCCCCCTCCTTTGCGCTGATGCCACGACTTCACTATATAAGAAAGAAAGAAATATAGGCTTGAACGTACCCTGGTCCGCATGGTCCTATAGTAAACAATTAGCATGGAACTTCAACACAGTCAAGGACCCTTTCGACGCGGTAGGACATGGAGAAACAACGCGTCGCGGGGTTTACCGCGAACGGTCGCAACAACAGGAATCACGATGCCAAAGCCACCCGTTGTGCACGTCGCAGTAAGCCAGCGACGCGGGGGGTTCTGGGATATAGATCTGATGACAAACGCGTTCAAGATAGGCTGCTTACCTGAGCAGAGGTCTGCATGCTTGGATGCGGCGCTGGAGCAAGTGCAGGCTGCATGGATCGAGGCGAGTTGTGGGAAGAGGAATTGGGCAGTGGCTCAGCACGGCACGTCCAATCCAATACGAATTGCAAAGCAAAAGAGGGCTTCTTTGCTAATGATATCGAGATGCAGGGCAATGAGGTAAGCAGTTACAGATCCGATGCTGTAAGCAGGTTGGAGGGAGGAGAGGGATTACTTAAGGAATCTGAGTCAGAGGGCGACCTCGAGCTTTATGTAAGGGGTTGGTAAGCGAACCCCGGACTGGGAAGGCGGTGAGTGGCCTACCTCGGGGTATAAGGTGTTTTCGATTTCTCTTGATAGGCTTGATATCGTGATTGGCTTTGATTGCAACTTGAGTCCAACTGTGAATCGACATGGCCTTCCAATCAGACGTTGAGCTCACCGTCGTCCTGTCTTGCTGACTGTACACTCCGCCTGCATCCGGAGTCCGGGCAGCTGACTCCTGAGTCAGCATGACGTCATCATAGTTACGACCCGTGGACACTGGGAACAACATTAAAGTGTTTTACTATCTGAAATTTGCTTTTTGCTCTACAATAAACATACAGCGCTCAATTCTATGCTAAGAGGTATTTTGAAAGAATATACAAATTAGCTTGAACTCCTAGGAGCTACACACAGTCGGTACTGGACAAACACCGTGGATAAATCCACCCATGATACAGACTAACTAACCATCAAAATACTATACGTGAAGCTGAATACTAGAACTCTGCGCACCAAGCGTGATCTCGTATCCACCATCAAAATTCAGCAGATCATACCCTCCATACGCGCTGTAACTTCTACTGCTGCTTCTTCACGTTGTTCTTGACGGGCTGAGCGTGGATAATCCCAGCACCAATCTTAGCTGACTCGGCCCAGCCGTGCTGATGCATCCAAAACCGGTCCGCCGGGTCAACACCATGCAAAGACGCATGCCGGGCATCATCTTCAAGAGAAGCGCGTGAAATGGAAGATGAGTCAGGCACGGCAATGCCCTCGCCGTCATCCTTCTCATCATCTGTTTCAGCGTGTAGTGTGGATTCCAAATACCGCTTGCGCATGAGGTAACGCTCGCCACGTTCCTTACGAGAGTTTGGAGGTTCCAGACGAACCATGGCGGCTCGTACGGCATACCGCACGATCAGGTAGAGGTGTTCCGCGAAGAAGATTGTCAGGAGTAAGGCCCAGCCCTTTATATCTGTCGGCTCGCCGTTCGGTCCATGTGAGGCGTTGCCGCTGAACATATAGACTAGGGCTGCACTAGTGATGCTTCCTACCCACGAGAGGAAACCGAGGCTATCCAGCCAAGGGCCAATAGTGTCGGTGCGAAGTGGAATCGGGCGGCGGAATTCCATGCAGATCTTGAAGAAATCGGAGCGAAGCTCTACCCAGTTGTTCACGAAGAAAGAGAGTGGAGCAAGTGGCCAAGTGGGTGAGAAGAGGGCCAGGTATCCAAATTGGATACACATCTCACGCAAATCGTCGGTTACATCGTACTCAGAAAGCTCGACCTCGTTACGTACGCGCGTGAGGAACTTCACTTCCTCGGCCGGGTCATCGTATGACACTGCGGGTCGCTCGGGGGAATCTTTGTCGCCGTTGCGCTCCGCCTTGCCATTCCGCTCCTTGTTATACTTCTTATATTTGCGAAGCGCGTGTTGCTTAACAAAGGGAACAATGGTCTCCATAGCAAAGCCAACAATCTGTGCTGTGACAGTGAAGTAGATGACTTGGTTGCGGAGACGAGCAGGGTCTATCTGGAAGTGCGATTCCTTTGTGACGGCGTGCTCCTTGGATACGAAAGGACGGACTGTCAAGCGGAAGACGTCGAGATAAGGAACAATCAGACTGGCGAATGGCACGTACACGAAGGCCGTCAGGAAAATTGGAAGATATGACGTGATAAAGTTGATCACAAAGATCTTCTGGGTCAATGCCACATCATAGGCGTTGTTTGTCTCGTGGTTCTCGTAATCATTGAGCTTCGTTGCAACCGACGTCAAGATCGCACTCATAGTTGGAACAAGCGCCGATACAAGAATGGTGGGAATGAAGATCTGCAAGGTAAGCTTCGGTCCATCCACGGGTAGGATCATCTTACCAAGTATGTCTTCAGAGGCCCATTATAAAGCTCTGAGATGAAAATCTCAATAGCAAAACACGTTGCAATAATGGCGCCAAGAGCGATTGCCGCGACCAGAGCAAAGGGGATCTGAAGTAGCTGTCTTTGCATACGCTTGGTTGCCGGGAAGACGCCGTGCATCTCACCAGTACTCTGATCGCAGACCTCTTTCTCGGGCTTGAAATCTCGCCGCTTGGTTTGAACAGCAGAGACATTCTTAGTCTCCCATCTGCAGCTCAGATCCACCTCCTGGCGCTTCCAGTATTCCACGAAGATAATACACCAAAGGCAGTTCACCACTGTATAGATAATGGAGAACCCGCCAAGAAGGAACCAGCATGAGAATCCAAACACAGCTGGGAAAATCAAGAAGCGGAAATAGGACTGCAGGAACGAGAAATAGAAACCAACCTGCCATCAATGTCAGCCAGTAACTCTCAACCCCAATCCCAGATTCAAACATACACTCTCTCCAAACTTATTCCTAATCTGATCCAAATCATCTTCAGAAAGGAAAGTCTTCTGACTCCACTCCCTCATCCACTTGTTATTTGTTTCAACATCATGAAGCGGGAAAAGAGCAGAAACATTCTTCCACTGCCCATGACCAGGTGTAATCGCCGCACCACCTTCCTCGCGAGGAAGCGTCATCATATGATGAATGACCCGCAAGCGCTCAGCCTCCGTCTGGGGCTCTGTCGAGTTCGACGGCGTAGGCTCGACATTGCGAATACCATAGAGCCAGTCGCGTACTCTGAAATTCAAGATCAGCGCTGGGTTCACGTACACGATTCAAGAACGGCGACGTCACTCACCGCGACCGATACACCGCCCGCTTCAAGCGCTTCTCGGAAGCTTTCACAAAGACCAGCAGGGACACTTCATCGCCTTGACGGACCTCTGCCTGCAAACCAACCTGGGCGAGTGACTGGAGCAGCTTCTCGAGCTGTTCAATGGCTTGTGGTTTATCTGGGGTTCCGGGGGCGTTAGTATGCGACCTCCCCACGCTACATATCGGAGCTTATTGCAGCTCACCTGTGTCCCCGAAGCTGTAATGGATCACATAGTCCACATGGAGGTTCACCTCCTGGGAATTCTCTGTCGTGGCCGTCATCCTGGGAGGGTGATGAGGAAGAGTGGGTGAAAGTCGAGAATCGGCGAAAATCAAGGTGATCTGCGGGTCGACCAACGACGTCACTAAAGGCTTAGCTGGCGAAGTGACTGCACTATATTTTCCCTCGCAGCGATGAAGTTTATTAGATGATCTTGAACTGAATTTGGATATTTTCATGCGGAATGACGTGGATCTCGCTTTTGAACTTTTCAGCTCCTATTTTCCTGATTGCTCCCACCTTGGCCTTGAAGCTCTCCGCCCCTCGAATCAACAGATCACATCCATGACATCCCACTTCCAGATCACTTCCAGATCACTTCCAGATCACTTCCAGATCACTTCCAGATCCCAGGAAAGACAAGCCACATCGTGCATACGCAGAGATTCCTACGCCCCCTCGGCCAACTTATCCAACGCATCGCCCTCGACCATCATCTTCATCCACTCATCCATGCCCTTGGCTCCAACCTGCTCATAGAAGCGAATACTAGGCTCGTTCCAAGTAAGCACACTCCACTCCAGCCGGCGCCCCTTAACCTCAAGCACCTGTTTCGCAAGGTACTTCAACAACTTGAATCCGTATCCGTGACCCCGCGCACTGGGCTGCACGTACAGATCCTCCAGATAGATTCCCGGTGCGGACCGCCATGTTGAGTAGTTGTAGAAGTAGAGGGCCATGCCGACAGGGATAGGGTTGGGGGTTGTGGGGGTTGCTGGTGGGGTGATCAGGGCTGTGTAGACGGCGCCGCGTTTGGGGGGCGTGTCCGGGAAAGAGAGGGTTGCGAGAAGGGATTCTTCGGTGGCTTCGACTTCGTGTAGGGCTTTTTCATAGTCGGCAAGTTCGCAGATGAATTGGAGGATGAGGGGGACGTCTGGTGGGGTGTTAGTGCTGTTGGCGTGGGAGATGGATTGGTGATGCTGAAATAAGGGATTGGGGAGACTTGCCCTCTGGGGTTGCCAGGCGGATGGTGGGTTGGTCGGCCATGGCTTTGGAGAAGGCTGGTATGAAGTCCATTCTGTAGGGATTTTGACAGCTTTGGACGGCTCAAGTCTGGGGGAGAATTTGACCCACTGAGGATCTGGATCCAATGGAACTCCGCTACCAAAGAAATAGAAACTACAGCATACAACGTGGAGATAATAGGATCATTATGGTTCGCTACAGATGGTATGGTACACAATACACCTAGGGGTATATTACTTGGACATGATCGCTGACATCCACTTTTGTTCGTCCGTTCTTGACTGCGGTTAGTGAAGGATCACATCGAGAGAGAGGGATACGCTTACCGGTCAAAGTGTAGCAGCATTCCCAGTACAGGAATCAGCTGCTTTTGATAGTTCTTGTCCTTCTGCTCCAGGAACTGGAGGAGGACATTTTTCAAGTACATGTAGTCAATGGAAGCATTGCTGGGTGGACCAACGGGGGTCTCGCTTCTGGCCGAGGGGGATGCAAGTCCCCGGCGAGATCCAGAATCCATGGACGATCGCGAAGACTGTCGACCTGACGGGGAGCCACGCAGGCGAACATCCTCTCCGAGAGTCTTGTGAGACTTCCGGAGCTTCTCTAGCCGGGTGTTGGTCTCTTCGACGGAGCGACGCAGCTCTGCCTTGTCCTTTTCGAGGTCACGAACCTGCTTCTCACTTTCATCGAGTGCATCGCGCAGACCAGCCATGGCTTGGCGGATCTCGGTCACTTCCTGTGATGATTGCTCGGAGACAGATTCCAGCTCATCACGACGGCGACGCCAATCCTTTTGGGACTGCTCAAGCTCCTCCTTGTCCTGTTCGGCTGTGCGTAGGGCTCGCTCAGCCTCGCGGACCTTAGCCTTGAGTTCTTCCATTTCTCGGGCACGACGTCGGCCTTGGCTACTGGCTTCATCTTCAGCGCGGTCCCGCTCTTCGATGGCGGCCTCCATACGTTCCTTGAATTCCCGCACCTTCGATTCCGAACGACCCTCGATGTCATTGAGCAGTCGGCGCATAGTTTCAGCTTCACGGGTTCGCTCGCTCAGCAAACGATGGGCGTCGGCCAGTTCTTCATCTAGACTCTCGCATCGTTCACGGGCCTCCTTCATCTGCATTGCCACCTCTGACGTCTGATCACGCATGCTGTTCATCAAACTTTGGGCGCTACTGTGCTGCGCGGTCTTCAGCTGGATTTCTTCCCGGAGACCGGCAAGCTCCTTGTTCAACTGAGAGATCTGATCATCCATCTCGCGCATTTTGGCACGAGTACTCTTCAGTCCATCCTGTGCCTTGGAGAGATCACCACTGAGCTTATCTCTGGCATTGATAGCATCTTGCTTTTTGCTTTCAGTGGCGCGCAGCTCGGACTGAGCAACGCTGAGTTTCTCTTCACCCTTCAAGCGGCTGTCAGTCTCTTGTCTGATCTTCTTGTTCAAAGTGCCAACTTCCGTGTCGCGTTCTGAGATTTTCGACTTAGCAGTCTTCAGCTCGGTGCGCAGATCCTCGTGCTTGCCCTCTAGAGCCTTCAACTCGGAGTTCTTGCTAGTAAGAGTCTCCTTCAAGTTCTTCAACTCTGAAGATTCAGCGCGCAAGTTTCGCAACTCGGGTTGAACCTTCTGAAGAGTTTCGCGTAAGTCTGTGAGATCCTTGAAGCGAGTGGCAGCCAGCTGCTGGGCGGCAGAAAGATCGGTCTCAAGGGTTGCCGAGCGAACCTTGAGGCTCTCAAACTCATCTTTGAGAGAGGTGTGGATTTTTTCCGAGTCGGCTGAGCTCGAAGCGTTACTTGTGCGAAGGTCGACCAATTCCTTCTCGAGTTTGGTGATGGTTTCTTTAAGGGCTGTCTTCTCTGCGGAAAGCTCCTTGATCTGATCCTTAGCTGCGACGTGCTCCTGGCCTATGTTGACAAGGTCATCGCGCAGAGACTCAATTTCTTCCTTGAGGTTGTCTTCGCCCTTCAGCTTGGCACTCAAGCGGTCAATGGCCGCTTCCTTCTCCGACAACTGTTGCGTCAACGTTTCCAGCTTTGACTTCAGCTCATTTAGTTCGTCGGAGGCTGGAGCGGCGGCCACTGGAGCAGCCTTGTCCTGTGTCGGTTGCTCCGTGGGGGCGGCCTCAGCGGACTTGGTTGGTTCTTCAGTCTTTCCACCCTTCTTCTTCTTCTTGTTCTTCTTCTTTCCTCCGCCACCACCGACAGCTGCTGCTGCTGGAGCAGGTGGGGTCTCTTCTTCAGTAGGAGCAGGAGTAGAGGCAGTAGGAGCTGCCTCTTCTTCCTTGGCTGGAGCCAAACTCTTTCGGATCTCATCAAAATCGGCCTTTTGTCCGGCGGAAAGCTTGTCCTTGGCGGATGTCCACGTAGTATTGTCCTTCAGGTTCTCGTCCACAAAGTCGACAATCTTTTGGAGCTTAGTAGAGGTCTCCGACTTCTGGCCAATCTCCGTCTTGAGGTCTGAGACGGTCGTTTCGGTTTCCTTGAGCTGGGATTGAAGGCCGTCAACCAAACCCTGGAGAACAACCAGTTTCTTCTCACCGGCCTTCTGCTCCTCCTTTGCTGAGTCCAATTCCGAGACGAGCTTCGTATCTGGCTTTGGCTTCTCGGAAGCCTGATTCTGGAGCTTTTCAATTTCCTCGGCCTTTTCCTGAAGCTGCGACTTGAGCTCTTCAACTTCCTTGGTGGTCGATTCAATAGAAGATTCGGCTGTGGCAAGCTTCGCCTTCAAGTCGTTGACATTATCCTTGTCAGCATTGCTGGAAGTCTTAAGAGTTTCAATCTCCGCATCCAACTTGTCTTTGGTTTCGCGCAACTCAACGAGCTCGCGAGTGGCTGTCTCGAGGTTCTGGACCATCCCCTCGGTCGACTCACGGGTGACAGACATGTCGCGCTTGAGATTTTCGACCTCAACCTTGAGGTTGTCAACCTCCTCTTGCTTCTCCTTGAGTTCCCCCTCAAGACGGGGAACTTCATTATCAAATGAGAAGAATTCCTCACTTGTTTCCTCTGTTCCATCCAATCCCTTGTTCTGGCCAGCTTCAGGTTTCTCCTGCTTCTCTTCCCTCTGCTTGAGTCCAGTTACCTCATCCAATGCATCCTTCGTTTGTTTCTGTGCTTCTTCCATCTTCTTTTTGTAGTCCTCCCTTTCGATAGTGACACGTTTCAATTCATCCATGACCATGTCGCTTTTCAAGGCCGTTTGGTTAAGGTACTCGGTGAAAGCTTTGGGCTCGCCAATCGAGGTGAGCGGTGTATTTTCGCGCAGGGCAGCCTCGAAAGGCTCGATGGATAGAACGCGCGAGTGTGCCATACGGTATGCTTTGAGCAAATCTAAATGCACCTCGGTTAGTCTCAGTCGTCGTGCGCGGTTGCCGAAACAGGCAGTTACGTACCATGGTATCGCGCCTCAAGCTTATCGAGTCTGCGGAGCTTAGCTCGGACATCGGGTGGAAGCTCAGTCGAGGACTCCTTGGGAGGTTCAGCGTCTTGGGCACCGGAGGCCTCTTGCTCGGATGACTCCGCAGGTGGTTTGCCCTCCATTTCAGCAGATTCCTCCTCTTTGGCTGCGCTTACTTCTGATGTAACTTCTGGAGTGTCGACTTGGGGAGTGTCAGGTCTGCTGGAATCATCGTCGTCCCCGATGGTGAATTCCGCCTCGAATTCCTTGGGGTCGGGGCCTCTGACGGGAGTGCCGGTGTTGCGTCTTGGGCGGTTGCGCCGACTCGGAGAAAGGTTGCGGGTGGGTGGGCGGCGAGCGGAATTGGAGCGGGAAATGGAATCTTGAGCAGACTTTTGTCGGGCTTGTTCCTCGGCGATGCGAGAGTCGATGGCGTCGCGGAGGCGCTGGCAATAGTGTTAGTTCGACGCAAGGCACCAGGTCGGGACAAACATTACCTGAAACATCACCGCGGATCGATGAACCAACTCTACCAAATCAAACGCAAGAGTAAGAACGTCGACCAAATACAAGAGAAGAATGAGTAGAAGGCCTCGTAAGGGAGTGAGGGGGAGCATTGGGTTTGGGAAGGCCAAGGCGGAACTGCCATGTGGAAGGGGCTCGGCTGACCATACGCGGCTCTATCTATAGACCACTTCTGCTGGATTTGCTTGATATTGAAGGCAATTCACGCTAACAAGGGCTTGATATGTATTCCTGTCTAGCTCTTATAAAAATTACAGTAAAATCATTAAGAAACGGGATAGGCCTTCCGATTTCAACAAAAAATATCCAATATATATTTCGTATATCAGGTACAACGTTGAGAATCGTTCCGGCCGGCATGATTCACGTTAAAAATGAGATAACTTATGTCAAAACAACCATGGCGAAAAAATGGCAGCCTTTTTTCTTTCAACCGCTGTTTTGTATTGCCAGGGTGCACCGGCATCATTTTGTAGTCCTGGTGGGAAAGGGGACGGATTCGGCGAATACTTTGAAATTAGACAACGGCAGTCGACAGCGGTTTGATGAGTTCCCTTGAAAACATCGAGCATCCGCAAGAGGGAACTGCGCTGATATGATTCTTCTGAAGCACTTTTCTTTTGTTTGATACGATGACTTGACATGCCCAAGCGGCTCGAACAATCTGCCTCTTTCAGGCCGTGAACGCTTATTTTTGTCCACTTCAGACGGATGGTAATTGGTGAGTGATTATGAGATTGCTTATAGCATTGGTAACTCGTTTTTTACTCAGTCATTGGAATACTTACAAAGCTCACACAATAACAAAAATCTCTGGAGAAAAAACAGTTTGGTTTTTCTAGTTCAAGATACATAGTCTCAAGACAGTCTCTGTAAGGTTTCTTGACCTTTCTCATCCAGAACTGGGTATTGCCTCAGATTACGCATATCTGTCCAAAACGCCTTAGCATTTTCGTGCGCCTCGCCATGTACGCCAAGGCGCTCCTGGAGCAACTTTTTCCATTCGACATCCATATCAGTAAACCCCAACGAGGCCGAAACATACTCATACCAAATCGGGAAAAAGGCAGCGTATTCCCAGTCGAGTATACTGACAACCTTTCCGTCTTGGACCATTATGTTCCCCAAATTGAGATCGCAATGCATGAGCACATAGGGCTCGCACTTTGGCAGACGCTGCTTTAAGTTCCGTAAAACTTGTTGAGGGAGATGGTGAAGATTAAGGGCCAGGGCATCCCAGAGCTCTTGGTCGGAGTGAAACGGTCCGCGGGGCTCAATATCGAAAAATAGTAAGCCCGGATAGCATGGGCTTTGATCGATGCATTGGATGGAGGTTGAGGTGACGGATCAAAGCTGCTTTCGGATTTTGACGACTTGATCCGCGATATCTGTTTTCTGGTGTATTGACAAAGAAGGCCATGCATCCTCAAGCGTTTGACCATCTATACGTTCGCTCAAAACGAAGTACCGCCCGTCGCGATCGACCCAATCACGTAGAACCTTTGGGACGGGGACATCAGTATAGGTCGCCAGATAGTTCAATGTTTCGACTTCAATTTTTGCTTTTGGACCCTCGTCGGGTCGATCTTTCAAAATCACATCTGAACCGATGGACCAGACGCCCCGTGTAGATGCGCCGTAGAAGAGTTTGAGGTGGCTAGTATAATGACACCGTTCTTCTTTGTCAAGTGTCCACCCGCATGCGATACAACTCTTGTCGGCTGGTTCACTCGTTGCGGAAAGGTTGTAGAAGGAGACAAATTTGCTGCAAGGGATGGATTTTGACTGAAAATTGAAGGGAGAAAAGAAGGGAGCAAACTTCTTAAAAGCGGAGAGGTCTTTGCTCAGCACTGCATGTTTTCGTGAGACCGACCACATATAAGACTATCTAGGTTCAAGCCCTAAATCAACATAACGATCTATGCTGCAAACCTGCGCCATCTTAGTAAATATATTGTTAGATTTCTAGTAGATTACTCTTTTCGATAGATTGAGAGTACTGTTTGTGCATAAATGTGTACCAAAAAATGGTTGGTTGAATAGGTAGGTTAAACAAAGAAGCAAAGAGCAGCGCCAACTACTTAGAACAACAATTAGAATAGAGCCTATATACTTGGGGTTTTTTGTCGACTCTCAGTGTTCCCTTGCTGTTTAAGCCCCGAAGTGCTTAGGGTTTGCTGGCTGTTGCCTGCTACTGAGGCAGGGACGTAGAACTTAGCATTATGGTAGCACTGGAAAGTCCATAGTTGTCATGCCATAGTTAACTTAAAACCTTGGGAAGGTATACATTTTAGATTCGATCTGACAACAAGAACTCGAAATTTTGTTTGTAAACTATTGAAATGGGTCCATCGACATGTTTCATCTCTTACTTGACAGATAGCAACCACCGCCACATGACCAGTCACCAATGCAGCTTGAAACTCCAGTCATGACATTGCCATTGGACTTTTTGGCATCTCCAACTTGATTGTAAGAGCTCGCAACGTGATATTAAATAAGTATATACATAAAAGGAAGTAGAAAGTTGAAAAGGAAATATGCACAAGGAATGGAGTATATCGAAGGGGAATCAGATGATAAGAAAAGAAAATGCAAAATACCGAGAAGGCAAAAGAGGTAAAGAAAATGAAAAGGAAGGACAATACTCAAAACGACTCAATTCGCAACTCCTGAGACACACCAGGTCGATGGCCCCGATGAGCATCCATAATCTGCGGCGTCAAAGCTCTCCTCTGTACAAATCGCTCATCAGGATCGAAATGTTCGGCCTTAGCCCCAATAGGAACAATCATCTGCCGCTTGCCCCTGGAGACAGAGATTGAGCGAGCAGTGGAGACTTCAACTCGTGGGATAGCACGAGGCGGTTCTTGCTGTAACTCGGGTTCTTCGTGTTCGTTGATTTTGATGGCACCATCAGCATCAGCGAAGGGCAGGCGAGTGGAATCAGCCGGTGAAATACCAGATTTCGGGGCCGAAGACGCCGAGGCTGGCGACATGATTCGGTCAATCTTTTGCTGAGTGGCCTTCAGTGTCGAATGTGGACTTAGAGATGTGCTACTTGTGGTCTTGTCTTTGGCTGGTAGTTGTGGTCGGGTTTCGGTTTGGACCGTGAGACGTGGTCGGACCGGGTGATCTTGTTTGTGGTTGTTTGTTCCGTGGTCGACACGGTGATGGCTGCTTGGCTTCTGTGATAAGGCTGTCTGGGGTGGCTTTGGAGCTGTCCGTGGTTGAGAATCCTTTCTTGGTGGGTGGCTAATCTTCCGTGGTTGTTGATCCTGCTGTTGGTGAACAGGATGAGCAATCTTTTGCTGTTGGGCGAACGAGTTTGATCGAGACTTCTGTGGCGATATGATATTCTTTGGTGGCTGAACAATCCTCTGCTGGGGTGAAGCCCGTGCCTCTGGTCGGATTGCAGGGAGAGGTTTGTCGAGACTGCTAGATGACCGAGGGGTGTTAGAGCTCGATCGCTCAGTAAAGAGTCTTGGAATGACTGGTGATTCGAATGAAGAGGTACTGTTGACGTTGGAACTGTTACGAGAGTGGTCTGCTGAGGCCTTAGATGGGCTATCGACAGGCAGGGTATTAGACCTCATTAGAGGGCTTGGACCGCGAGAGAAGTTATGTGTGCCGACTAGTTGGGCCGCCTTGGACGGCTGAGAGCTTGGGAACAATGTGAAGCTAGATCGCGCAGGTGATGTTGCTCGACGTTGCGGCATTGGTGGCGGCGCAGGCGCTTTCAGAAATCCCTAAATGATGTCAGCAAGTTCTACACCACGACACAGTTCAAAAGCCATACATTTGCGTCCGGGACACGAAGGTTATCCAATGTCTTTGCCCTTCTGGCCAGCAGTGAGGGTCTCTCGTTCTTGTTGACAACGTTGCTGAACATAACACTATAGCGCTCCATTTGGATATCCGGGATGTCGACACTGAGCAGGGGCTTTTGAGCTGGTAGTTCCTCTGGGGGCGCCTTTCTCCCACTTAGAGAGAACTTCCGAGAACGTGAGCGTGGAGGGCTTTGGTTGATTCCGCCCATAAGTGCTTTAGAATCAATTTCAAAAGCCGGCCACTCTTCCAAAGAATCGTTTCTTTGCTTGGAGTTGATTGACCTCTCCGGATGGTTAATCATGTCTCCATGGAGCCGGTTCGGTGGCAATAGGGCATTCTTTGCTTTGAACAAGCCTCCAATCTTCTTCCACTTGCTCGGCTTGTAGTCTTGGGGGCTTTGTGTCATTCGACCTGGTTCAAAAATTGCTGTATCAAACCGAGGCGGTGGCAAGGGTTCATCTTTGTTGATCATGCCTGGGCTTCCCAGGGCAACTCCTATCATATACTGCTCGGGCGCTTCGTTTGTTGATGGAAAGGCTTCATTCGGGGGCGATGTCACTTGAAAGTCGAAATTTGCACCAGGGCCTGGTGGTGGTCTTCTAAACCACCCCTCTACTGGGGAGGGCTGTCGGAAGTCCCATTGTCCAACAATCCCAGCCTGGGTTAGACGTTTTCGAGCTTGCTCATCAAGATCCCGAAGATCGTTCCGGGGCAGGGCGTCGCTATAAGTCAAAACGGGAAATGATATGTTTTCGGTGGGTTGGGTGCGAGACGTGACGGTCGTCGTGCCTCTCGCCATCTCTTATAGGTATACTGGAATCCAGCCGGTATAGGATAGAAGATAATAAAATAAAATAAATAATGTTCAGTCGATTAAAAACAGATCCCAGACCTTTTTAGCAGGGAAGGAAAAGCCTTCCAGAAGGCGAAACAGAATCAAAGGAGAACAAATAACGAAACAGCAGGAAAGGCCGATATTAAAGAGAGCAATTAGCGGTAATAGAGTCAGGGTGGAGCCAACAATAACGACGGACTCTGTAGATGAGACACATATCAGCCCAAGTCATGTCTTGCCGAGCCCAGATTGGCGCACGATGCCACATCTGAAGCATGCTTAGTCTGGGGCCAAACCGGACCAACAAGAGGCCAGAAACGGAATCAGAGACGGATCAGAGACAGGGTCAAGGCCAAAAGACAAGGTCCAAGACCAAGGGGTTAGAGACCTGAGGGTCAGACGGCGCAAAAATCTCTGGAATTCGAGGGGCGCCTCAGCGCTAACATCGTTAGCATCGGGGGCTCGTGTGAGATGCTTATTTCATGGAGGACGAATAAGCGCACCCGGTCGCGGGTTGATTATCTCGCTACCACGTTGACCGGAACCAACGAGAGCTCCGCATCGGCCATAGGACGCGGGCTTGTTTCACTTTTGAAACGGCGGGCATGATTCAGGGGGCCCTCAATATTGGGGCTGTTGCGCACAATGCATCAAATCCATGTGGCTGGACTGGGCTGGTTTTGAGTTCATTCAGCAACCATGGAATGGAGACAGGGTCTTTCCAGCTGAAGAAGTGATTCAGGTCTAGGGAGAGGTTAGGGCAGTGTGATGCCAAGGCTATCTTTGATGCCAATGAGTGTGTCTATCTGCGCCCTGGCCCCCTACTGTATGTGGTGAGGTAAGTCCTTGGAAGGTATCACGGCATTTCGGACCCGGTCGTGGGCCATTTGAGAAGCGATGAAACTATTGAGCAAAGTCTTGTCAACTTAGCAGACGATATGAGAATTCTAACACCCAGTCCACCCCAGGGGGCTGCTCAAGTCAAAGTGGAAGATCCACGTGCCTGGGCACGTGTCTGATCAGGTGCCCGAAGGATCGCCTGAGGCGACTCCGGCATACATAAACTGTATGTCCACGGGTGTCTGCGACTGGACTCTAGGGAGTGCAGATGCAGGTTCCAAGGTGATCACCTGTATGTCATGCCTTCCAGTTTCCCAAGCTGTCTCAACTTAGCTCGCTTTAGCTGTGGAGGCCTCTCCCACCGCTACTTGGTATTGCTTTTCGAGTCACCACCTCACTCGTAGGAAATGTATCTACAAATGCCCTGAGTCAAGACATTGAAAACTAGTAAATAAACAGATCCAATTCCCAGAATCCCCGTAGAAACAAGTGTAGTCGGCATAGACGCATAATCGAAGACAGACGGTTGATCGTCATATGGCGGGGTCCTCTCCCGACCGCCAAACACCGTTTCCCTCCCCCCACTTCTTCTCTTCTCCCACAAGCTCTCCTTTTCTGTACATTCAACTCAGGTGTGCTTTCCCTCTGGTCTCTACTCTGTTCGCAAGTCTAAACATCTCAGCGTTACTCTCTGTCTCTTCACTATCATAATGGGTGCTCACTCAGCAGTTTGGCAAGGTATGAATCACCTATACATCCGACCCTCATAGCACCCTGCTAACATTTCCATCTTCGCAACAACAGGCTACGTCGACTCCAGGTATATTCTCACTTCTCTCCAACCCTGAAATATCCCTCAAAATACCCCTCCTTGAGCGCATCGCAGACCTCAACGATCCTCAACTATCCTCAACGGACCGCAATGGACCGATTCGTCAATATCCGCCATTCCCACGCGTACACAATGCTGACAACCTCCTTCTCACAGCCTCATGGGCTCGGGTCAATTCGACAAGGCCGGTATCCTCGCCGCTGACTTCTCCGGTCTCGAGGCCGCCTCCCCCGGCTTCACTGTAAGCTTCCAACGCCCCCCACCTCCAACTGTGGTTCACAACATTTGTGTTGTGTCATGCGGGGTGGGGTCTTAATTTCGGAAGAAACATCGCTAACACAACTGGTACCTCGCATAGCTCTCACAGGAGGAAATCAACTCCTTGATCGCTGCCTACACCTCAAGCGACAACGCCTTCGCCGCGGGTATCTCCGTTGGTGGTGAGAAATTCATTTGCATCAAGGCTGATGAGCGCAGTGTATACGGCAAGAAGGTGAGATAGAAACTTTCAAGCATTTTTTGGGAACCCATGCTCACCTTGCTTTTTTTCCACTTTAGAACAAGGAGGGTGTTATTATTGCCCGCGCCTCGGCTTGCACCATTATCGCTCACCACACCGAGAGCGTCCAGACCACCAATGCCGCCAAGGTTGTCGAAGACCTCGTCGACTACATCAACAACCCTCAATAGGTTGTTTCCTGGAAGCAGCTCTGCTAACCATGATAACTAAATGATATGATGAGAGAGAGAGAGAGAGAAAGAGGGACTTGTGAAGAATAGGAATGAAGGACTCTTTGAATATTTTCCAACACATTTACCCCCAGTTTCGCCTACGCTTGTACGTGCTTTTCAGGACGATGAATCGCTTTACCGACAACATATCCTAGTTTGGTGGAATGAAACCATACGCACAGTTTGTGGATGTGCAACGCTGTTCGTATGCATAATGTAATTGTCTATCTCTAAGATGCATATTAACTGGCTTGCCAGCTATTGGCTTTCAATGCTAGCGTTCACAGGGTCATTATTAATTACATAAAGTTTTGACTTGGCCATAGTATATCGTGTCATCCCATGTCGCACGTACTCACACTCGATTTTGAATATTCCCTTTGACGGTGTAGAAATGTAAGCACAGGTTGATAAATGCAAACCCAATGCGTCATCACAGGACCAGTCTAGGTGATTGTAGTGCAGTTTCTCTCACACAGTTATACGGGCAATTCGGCATTGCTCCTCCCACCCGCAAGAACCTCCAGCCCACGTTGGATATAAGGTCCGATCACAGGGATATTACCAGCGAATTGACCAATGGTAACGAGGAAATCTCCGAAGAGAATGAATAGCCCGTACAATTCGATCAAAAAGCCGGTCAATGGCCAGCGGAAGAGGATGAGCAGGATACCGGCAGCGAAGGCGGCTGTTCCCTTGAGTTTCTGAGGGCGAGTGAAGAAAACCATTGTTTTTTGGACGCCAATAATGAGGGTCAGTCCGATAAGGAAAAGGATCTAGGATCATGGTTAGTTGTGTTTGGGTGCTGAGATAGATGATGTGGCGTACATTTCCCATAGCAAGTCTGTCAACGAGATACGTTAGTGGTCAATTCAATTTTGTTGTGTAGGATGTAAAGATATTCGTACAGTGATCGGTCAAAGAACATCAACACTCCTCCAAAGAGGAATAATCCTCCTGACCTGTTGTTAGATTTTGGTTTTGTTGTTTGGTTTGGCACGCGACACTCGTACCTGCTGAGCAGAAGATCACTCCGGTCTCTGTGATATGGGTTAGCAAGGGTGCTTTATTTGCCATATTGTTTCCTCTAATAATATGGACATTGTAGCAAGGAAGTTGACAAATGCGACTCACTCTGGTTTTCTGTGAGCCACATGCTAGGCATCTTTGTTGCCGGGTAGAGTGACAAGATTTTGTGGCACTAAGTGGTGCGCAAATTCTCTTTTTTATGATATTTTGAGATTCGCGACAATGGCCCGTGGGGTCTAAAAGACTAGAAACGTGTTTGTTGGTTGTAGAATTGGGGGTAGGGGAAGATGCCAGGCAGACGTTTGCGGTAGCACAGGAGCGGGTGGCTTGTTGGCGAAATTCTCAAGGCGATAAGGGATAGGGTTTCCAGGAACAGTAGGCAGAATCGGTGCCAAATAGTGCTTTTCAATCTGTACTGAAAATGTCGAGAAATAGTGTCACAGGCGCAAATAAACACAACGAAGTGCGACACTCAATCGCCCTTTTCTGCCCGCGCGAAGACCCGGGAGGGCAGGCGGTGATAGCTAGGCCCTTTTGTCCCTGATCGAACCGTCGAATTTTCTCTTCCTCTTAGGTCCTCGAAATCAAGCAGACATGCAATTGAGTCTCTAATGATGTGATTCTTGAACATGCAAAGCTTGTATTCATTTGATTATTGGATTTAGCTTTTGACGACTCGACATAACGTCCATTAAAGGCAAAGATGAACTCGATACTCTCATCTTCCTGCCATGCCCATGCCCCCTGCTACACATGATATATTTGTTACATGCCACGCCGCGACGACAGTCTCTTCGGATTCTGTAACTGGTACCCTGTCCCATGGGGTGTCGGTAATAGTCGAGTGCTTTGCACAAGGCGAAGATCGACTCATTTGATCACGAATAAGCCGGAGCGCTTTCTTGAACCTGTCTCGAGAGGGGCACGGTGGGATGGAAAGGGCTTGACTGTGTTGGTCGTACATAACTCTTCGTAGCGATTTGTCGTTTCTCGTATCTAGTTCAATTGATCAGCAGGATTCAGATCTCCTGTTCTCTTCGTTATAACGTACCCGTATTAGGATGTATTTTTTTTCGATTGGGAATTGATAGATTGGTATAATCCAATGCTATTCCATTACTTCAGGATGGTGTGAGCTCCACGGGCTTCAAGGTAGTTCTCCGGAACTCCCTGTGCCAGAGACCGGATCACCTTGTAGATTTCCTTGTCGTGATACCGCAGACGGGTCTTGGGATCAGTATAGGGTCCCTTCAGTCCTGTAATATCGCAGTAGTGGTGTTGGTTGCCTGGGTTCAGCGAAGGCGCCGATTCAATATTCGTGTATGTCACCGCAGGTCCGCTAGCGATTCCCGCCCGGGCGTTCTTCTCCAAGACGAGGGTCGACAAATTCTGGGTGGCCTGGGAGAGGTTCGGCGCTGGCACTTCCAGTGAGGTTTGCTCGCCATCGGTGGCAGGTGTGCCAACTCCTGGGGTAGTTGCGCCTGAGTTGGCTTGAGTGGCCAACACTGAAGCTTCCTTCCGGGAAGCCTCCGAGACAACCTGCTTCACGTTCTTGTTGCGGCGCTGGGATGACTTCCAATATGCGTTGCGGAAGGGCTTGGGGCCAACCGAGATATCTAGAGTGTTCAACAATCGCTGATGAGCTTCATCATTGGCAGGATTGGGGGGAGGCATGGTGGCAGATGTTTCCAGGTGCTGGTCGGGCTAATTGAGGTGAAGGGTCGAGGAAGTTGTTGGGTGGCGAAGGGTTCGATGAATTTGCGTAGAGTAATGGTCTCTTGAGTCAATGGAGCCTAGAACAGCCCTGTATATGACGGCGTCTTTGGTCACAGATGTCTATGGTAGAGTACGGTGGAAGCCATCCCCGGGAAGTCTGTATAGCTGCACGTGACCGTATCCGTGAATCAAGTCCAAACAAACACTGTCCCATCTACCATCAACGCCCCATTTTTGACTTTTAAGCCATGGTATGTTGTCTTAACTGGATATAGAACATGCTCTGTGGAATTCAGAATACTGACAAATCCTTAGGAGAGTCCCCACGAGCACCAGCAGACTGTTCTGCTTTCCCGCATCATCACCAACGTTGTATGTCACAGACCCTTCTGGGAGAAGAGTTATACTAATTATGTGAGCAGGAAAAGCTCAATGAAGCTGTGATGGTCATGAACAAAGGACTTCAGGTATGTCTTCGTCTTCAATGTACGGTAATGATACTAATCCCTCGCTATAGGAGGTCAATATCCAGAATATGAATGTCGAGCTTGTTGCGCAGATGTTCAAGAACTATCAGTCTAATGTTCTCTTCCATTTGGAAGGTAAGATATGCTGATCCTATACCACTTGCTTTTACACAGTACTAAGATTTGATAGCTACGGAGAACCTCAAAGACCCCGCGTGAGAAGGAGTCTAGTAACGAAGAAATGCAAATAATCAATGATACCAGTCTGATACCAACTTCCTATATTCATCTGAGTCCAAATTCTAGTTCAAGTAGAAACGTAGAGGCGGAGACAGATGCACTGTATACGCCCGTCTTCCCTGGGCGGTCACTCCGCCAAACTTCAACTACGTTGGTCCCGTTCGCGATCTTCCTCAATTACCCCGGCCACGGTTCAATCGTTATATACTCATTTTCATCACTCCATTATCTCTTGACTGCCATGCAGTGAGCACCTCCCCACAATTGATCCCGTTTCCCCGACTTTAATAGCTCCTGGTTTGCGGCCGAAGCCACGCTGCCCGCCATGACGATTACCGCCATAAATAATCTTATGCCCCCGCGGGTCACTGTCAATCCGACTGAAAAGCGCTCCGAGAAGCCTCCTCCTCAGCTACATGGCGTCCAAGAATGGCCCTTCAAGGGTTACCAACCTCCACAGCCCGAGGGATACCAGCAGAGCAACCCAGAAAGCGCCATCGTAATCGACAATGGTAAGCGCATTGGTCTGATCTACATGAGCAACTACTAACGAGCGTTCCTTTGCGCAGGCTCTCACCTAGTTAAGGCCGGTTGGTCTTTCGACAGGAACCCCCGATTCGCCATACCTCCCGTCATGAGCCGATACCGTGATCGCAAGCTCAACCGTCAATGCCAGTTTGTCGGATATGATGCCTACGTTGATGCGACTACAAGAGGACAATTGCGCTATGGTTTCGATCCTGGTTCCAGCGTTGTCGGTAACTGGGATGTAATGGAAGGCGTGTTGGACTATCTGTTCATGAAGCTCGGCGTGGACGGCTCCAATGGAGGCGTTGGTCGCCCAATCTTGATGACGGAGCCAATTGCTAATCTGGGATACCCGAGAAAGAGTATGTGCTCGTTGGTTTTGAGGACGATATGAAGATTACTGACGCACCTCCAGTGATGAACGAGATCCTATTCGAGTGCTACTCCGCGCCCTCTGTTGCCTACGGCATTGATTCGCTTTTCTCCTACCGGTATAACAACGGCACCGACGGTCTGATCGTAGACTCATCGCATACTTCTACTCATGTCATTCCCGTTATGAACTCGAAACCTATGCTTTCCAACAGCTCTCGTCTCAACTGGGGTGGACTGCAGAGCTCTGAATATCTCATGAAGCTCATGAAACTCAAATACCCAACATTCCCGACTCGATTGACCGATGCCCAGATGGAGGAAATGAAGCAGAAGCACTGCTACATCTCGCAGGACTATGCCAACGAATTAAATGGATATCTTGATTGGACTGGGCTAGAGGACCGTGATCGCGTTATTCAGTACCCCTTCACCGAGCAAGTTGTGCAGGAGAAGACCGAAGAACAGATCCAGCAGGCTCTAGAGCGCAAGAAGGAAGCTGGCCGGCGTCTGCAAGATCAGGCCGCAAAGATGCGCCTAGAGAAGTTGGTGAAGAAGGAAGAGGAGCTCGAGTACTGGAAGCAACTGCAGGATAATCTCGCCTCCGAGACTAAGAAGGAAATCCGCCGCGTTCTGGAAGCCGAAGAATTGAAGGATGAGGCCCAACTGGAGCGAATGATTCGCGATTTGGAGAAATCTATCAAGCGATCCCGCAACAAGGACTTGGGCATTGAAGAGACCGAAGAACAGCCCGAGGAAATGACATTCCCTATGCTCGACATTCCAGACGATCAACTTGATGAGGCTGGCCTGAAGGAGAAGCGCCACCAGCGTCTCATGAAGTCCAACGTTGATGCCCGTGCTCGCGCCAAGGAAGAGAAAGAGCGTGAAAAGGCTCGTCGGGAAGAGGTAGACCGTCTCGACCGCGAGGAACGCGAAAACAACTTCGAGACCTGGGTTTCGCAGCGTCGAAACAACCGTCAGGTATGATTGGACAATGACTACATTTCACGTTGGTATGCTAACATCCATTAGACTATTCTTCAACGTATCAAGGATCGTGATCGCATGACAGCAGATCTCGGCAACCGTAAATCGCTTGCCAGCCAGATGCGTATGAAGACACTAGCCAACCTAGCATCCGACGGTCCGAAGAAGCGGCGCCGCGGTGGAGATGACGATGACTTTGGTGCCAACGACAACGACTGGAGTGTGTACCGCGACGTTGCCACAGGCGATCAAAGTGAGGACGAAGAGGAGGAGGATCTTGGCAGTATGCTGAATGCAGTTGAAAACGAGCTGCTCGAGTATGACCCCGACTTTACCGAAAACCACACTCTCGCAGCGCAGTCCGACTGGACCAAGAGCCTGGTCCACGCATTCCTTCGCGGACCATGGCCCTTTGACCCAGAGAGCCAGCGGGAAGCCCATCAGCTGCACCTGAACGTCGAGCGCATCCGTGTGCCAGAGGTTGTCTTCCAGCCCTCCATCGCCGGCGTTGACCAAGCCGGTCTCATCGAAATCGCAGCCGATATCATCAACCAGCGCTACTCCAACCCAGACGACCAATCTCGTCTACTGAAGGACGTGTTCCTAACCGGTGGCAACACACTGTTCACCGGCTTTGATGAGCGCTTCCGCAGAGAATTCCGTGGCTCCATCCCCGTCGATGCTATGCTCAATGTGCGCAAGGCTACGGACCCGGTATTTGATGCCTGGAAGGGTGCTGCACAGTGGGCTTCTGGTGGTGACCTTGGTCGTTCCTCGGTTACCCGCCAGGAATACATGGAGAAGGGTAGCGAGTACCTCAAGGAGCATGAGCTCGGTAACGCTATGTGGTGAATGGGAATGGTCAAATCACCTGGCGCACTGGAGTCCAATGGGTTATTTATCTGGCGTGGACTAGGGCTTGTTCGTTGTATCTTGTCTTTAGAGGACTTTAATGTAGGGTTTAGCAAAAGCATGAAAAATCTCAAGTCGTTTTTCTTCTATTCAGTCTTGTTCAATTCTGTCTTTGAACTTCTGCTGTTCTGCCTGTAGTAGAAATACCAACTATAGTGTGGACAAGGAGTGGGATGCTATCTTCATCTAGCGACTCGGAAACCAATGTCGTTGACGGTATGCAGAACGTAGAAAGAAATAAGTGATTAATATTTTTGGTGATCATCACGTTTACTCTCTATAACTTGGGACTCGGTGATGATACTTCACGACACTCACTGCCATTACTTAAGATTGCCCTTCTCCTTTGGTTGTCTACGCAACAACTTGCCCATGAACATTCCTTCCTGAAACTTCCTGACACCACCATTGATCTGCTAGCAAGGGACGATCAATATTGAAACCCAGGGTGAGACACTCACCTTGCTTCAACCGTTCAAAATTAAAGTTGAACCAAGACATCTGCATAGTATCCGGGGTAGCCCGTGCCAAAAGATCGCCAAAAGCTCGCCAAAAGCAAGAAAAACAGTGAAGCCACAAACAAGCATGGCCTAACCAAAAGTACTTTCAAACTGGGCCAAGTCGGAAGACTGTCGCAGCACAGTTCACAACATGATCGACGAGTTGCACGAGTGAGAGCCATCTGCTGCAGCTGTGACACGACACCGTGTCGAGATTCATTGGCTTTCCAGTGCGCTTCATATCTATCAAACAATTTGTTCAATCCTTATTTTTAGTCGAAACGTTGATGTTGTGTGTTTACCATTGTGTTGTGCTGTATGTCTGAGTCTAGGGATATTATCATCCCTGGGATCAACCCCGGTTTCATTGCACAAACAGAACCTTCAATAAGGCTGAAGCCACTGTCGATCTTGGACCATGCAGGGAGGACCCCGCTATTGGGTTCTGGCGCGGAGGAGAGTCTTACTCGTCTCTGCGGTCGGTTTGTTATTTTACTTGTTTTTGGGTTGTCGCTAGTGCAAGGTGGTGTGATATACCCCGTTGTCCAGCGACCTCATTGGCGAGGGCTTGGACTTTCACGAGACCAGACTACCTTGGATGAGCAGATCTTCCGCACACTGCCGGCGGGACTAGTAGTCTGTTCAGGCTCTATCTGCACTGGTGCAATTTGATATGAGATCTCTCCTTGCGGCACGAGGACAATTTATGTGTCGATCCCTTGCCAAGTTTGTATATCTAGTCCTAGACATACATCGGGGAGAAAGCGTATCCAAGTGTGACATATTGGTAAATTCGATAGCTACACAGACCGGAGAGATGGTAGTCAGGGTAGACTCTCTGGCAAAATGATGAGCCAAAGATACTGGACAAGACTGGGAAGGTGGGAGTTGAAAATCAGCCCAGGCTACTGTACGTGGTCTGATTCTGACTTCATGCAGAGACCGCCATGACACATCTGGGGAAACGCCGGATATCCCTCTCTGCTTCCTTGCTGGATTTGGCCAGGGCCAGACATTGAACCTTGTTGCATTGGACCGTTGTTTGGTTTGGCGTCTGTGTCTGCATCTTGCTGTGATCCACTTCTCGTCCACGATATATAAAGTCTTGTCTGATCTGCCGTTTAGGGCTATTCCTGTACGCTCACTTGCTCATACTGACTCAGATCCTTTGCGGCGAACCACTACTTCTTTACAAACACCATTTGTCCACTTGTGTTTCACCTTCACATACGATATTATCTGCCCTTCCAGTATACCGACACAATGCTCTTCTCATCAGCTATTGCCCGGCCTCTGCAGCTAGCTACTCGCACCTTGCAATGGATTAGTGCTGTCATCGTCATGGGCTTGACCTCATGGTTCATTAGCCACGGTCGTCCTCATGGCACTCACATGCTCTACCAGGAGTCTATTGTATGCCATATGTTCTGTGCACTATCCCTATAGTTACGCTAACACTCAAGCCAGGCCGTTATTTCCGTCGTCTTCTTCATCCCCGCTTTCATTTCCCCATTCCTCCCCTCCGCCCTGAGCAAGTTTGTGCTCCTAATCGACGTGGTCTTCTCTTATCTGTACGTATATATCACCAGGAATAACCTCACCAGAAAACTAACTCGAACACTATAGCTGGTTGACTGCATTCATCTTCTCCGCTCAAGACTACAGCTCAGAGTGGTGTTACGCCACCGCTCCATTTGGTGTAGGCTGTCGATACAAGAAGGCCAATGAGTCGTTCATCTTCCTCGCATTGTAAGACACCACTCCACTGATCGTCCTTGCTGCATCGCATCCAGACTCTAACACTGTTCTCAGCGTTTTCACCTTCTTCGGAATGTTCCTTGAAGTCGCTGCCCTCTGGGCCTACCGCAGAGAAGCCAACCCCAACGCTCGCGTTACTGCCGCCGAGGAAAAGATGGAGACTGGTACCCGTATGCCTCTCGATGCCCCTGCTGGCCCCATGTCCGGCACTGGTCCTGCTCCCGGTGTTGCTACGACCACTCCTGCCGGCGCTATCTAAATGAATCCTTTGCTTTCATTGTTCACCGGCATAGTATGTCTGTCAATATAATCGCCTGGGGTTTGATCAGGACTTGGGTTGTAATCGGGTTACGCTTTTAATATCTTACTTTACTTTTGAACTGCACATATAGTCTTCGTGGGGTGGATGGTGCTGAGCTGAAGATGACATATTGTTGGGTGGAATATCTATACCTGTCCCTGATTGGGGCGCTTTCTTTTGTTTAACTTAGGAATTAAATTATCACTATTATTGTAATATTTGAAATGAAACTTCAACCCCAAACTGCTGTATGCGGTTTCAAATTGCTTCTTAGATACCGTTCATTCATTCGCAGGTGACCCTTCGAAATGGACTAAAAAGGTAGAAAATGAAGATTAAATCAGATCCTGAAAGAACCTTGGACAGGCACACTTGATTAGCTTATTTCATTTAAAAGATCTTCTTATTCGCAGCGCTGTAAACATATTTGTTAGCCTCTGGTGATTTAGAAGAATTACATTATCGAAGTGTCTACCTAATGGGAAATATAGTGAGGCACACAATATATATCTTCCCCTACAAGTTACATTCTCAGTAATTCTGATTTAATTTGATTCTATTAGTCTACCTAGTCATTTACAATAGACGCTAGCTATACAATAGAGTAACATAAGCAAAAACAAAAACAAAAAACAATCGGTATCTTGTGCAAACAGAAAATATGACTAGCGCCGGGGATAAGTCGAAAAATGAGCAGTGTTGAACGCCGCATACACAAATCAACTTGTCTCATCGAGACCATGCAGAATTGAATGGAAATGGCCAAATGATCAGTCCAATCAAATACTGGCGCGGCGAGGCGCCATAGTCCGCTGCAACTTACGCTTTTCCTCTGTTTCCTCGGGAATAGGGAGCGAACCTTCACTCCTCAGGGTGTCGAGGTACTCCTTGCCAAACTTGTAACCAACTTGGTAGATTTCGTCGAACTTGCCGAAATCCAATGTCCCATATGGATCGATGGGTGGGCGCATATAAAGACATCCGGGCATGTTTTTGGCGCGCTCGAGGTTGTCGATCGAGGAGACATAAGCCAGCCGAGCTTGGATTTCTGAGAGTGTTGGTGGGTTTGGAAGTGATGAGAAGGGGTTCCAGCGGTTGAGCATTGACCAGAATCCGGAGAGCGAATCTCCATAGCCTTGGGGTGTGGTATCGTCAATTGATCCGACATCTACTGCGAAAATGACGTCTGCACCAAGACTCTTCATGTGTGCCACAGTCAGGTTGTCAATGTAGCCACCGTCCAGGAGCATGCTGCCTTCGTCGCAGATTGGAGGAATCAGACCAGCCAGTGACATCGACGCCCGGACATACCGCCAGACATAGCCGGAGGAATGGTACTCGATGCGAGATCGGCTGATGTTCGTTGTGTTGCAGTAGAATTCCAGCCAGAAATCTTCAATCTGGCTATCGCCAAATGTCTTGAAGATTCCACGGTTGAACTCATGCCCTGTCGTGTACGACACAGTAGGATAGGTCAGGTCCAGTGCAAACCGCCACATACTACCCATGCGGCCGGAGAACTTCTTTGCTCGTCCGTACATGGGCACAACATCAGCGTCACGCGCGTACAATGCTCCAATAAAAGAACCGATAGATGTGCCACCGATAATGTCAATTGGAATTCCGGCTTCCTCGAGTGCCTTGATTACACCGACTTGCGAGATACCACGTGCTCCTCCTCCTCCTAACACAAGGCCAACAGATTTGCCGCACAGACGACGAGCCAGACGATGGAAATCGCCCTTGAATGGGGTTTGCGGGGAATAGAGCGGGGTCTGCTGGGCACGACGAGAGGTGTATTTCTGGATCTCAGCTTGTAGAATCTGTACACGCTGCTTGAGGACAGTGCCGAACTTCTTGGTGGGAGGGTTCGAGGGTTCGTTGGTTGAGCGGAACGCCAGTTGGATATGGTGATGGCCACCATTGATCCAGACGCGATTTTTGAGCCATTTACGCGTGAGGCCAGGTGAGCAGTATCGTTCGGCGTGCAAAAGCACCAGTTCTTTGCGGGCAGTGGTCTTCATACCCAGGAGGAACCGTTCGTATTCGCCGATGGTAGGAGAGGACTCTGCAAGGCCGACCAGCAGGATGGAATCGGCTTGGGCGATACAGGTCTGAGTCCATGGTGCGTTTACATTGGTGTCAGCAATGTAGAGCACCATGCCATACTTCTCTTCAAGATCAGCTAGATATTGCGAGAGCTTGAGCTTGCCCATTTTACTAAAGGCATGACGTCCAAGGTGATTCAGAATCGCAGCTTGGTTCAAAGAGGTCACGCCACGAGTAACACCAACCTGTTGTAAGGCCTGGAGCAGACGGTGTCCAAATTCAACCACAGGAACGCCGGCTACAACAGGAAGAATGGCCACTGTACGAAGGTTCATTGTTGAGGTTGCAGTCTGAACACCGCTAGTGTGTCCTTGTTCAATGCCCTTCTCAGAGAGTGGGTGCTCGACCAAGTCCCGCATACGTTGAGCAATCAGCTTGGAAACCTGGATTGTTATTCCTGGATGCTCCTGGGCAAGACTGTTGAACAGAGATCGAGGGAACTTGGCTAGTTCGGTCTCACGAATAGCATGCAAGGTAGACGGTCTGGTGGATTCAGTCATAACCTCGAGCTCACCAACACTCTCACCTTGACCATGTTCCCCAATGACAGTCATCTTACCATTTGCGCCTTCTAGGACAGATCTCAGACGACCGTTCAGAACAAGGTAGATGGCATCACTTTCGTCCCCTTGGTGGTAGATGACCTCTCCTGCGCCGACCTGCACCCACTCAAGCGCGAAGTCAATGTGGAGCAACAGGCGCGGTAGGAGCCTTGTAAGACGCTTCGCCAGTGTCAGGAGGGCAGTAGGATGCCTGTCTGCGATCCTCTCAAGTGAAGTACGGGGAAGGAATCCAACATAGACATCTGTCTTAGCTACGACGTCGGTGTATGAACGATATGATGCAAGAGCACCAACATATCCTTGCATACCACCAGGTTTGATGAGATACAGCGATTTCCGAGACTGTCCCTTGCGTTTAGAGTCATTGCCGCCTGCTACACCGGATGTTCGCGAAGATCCTGTGGTAGTGCGTCTCAGGTTTGGAAATAGCTCTTCTTGCGCCTGAGAGGAATGCCTGTGGGAGGTACCGATAAGGTCATCGTCGCGCTCGTTGGCAGGAATACCTACATCCAAGAAACCATCAATCACGTAGTATAGACCAGGGTGACGTTCACCCTGCTCAACCAGAACTGAGCCTTGTGGGAAGTACACAACCTCGATGTCATGACGGAGCTCCTCCCGAAGGTTAATGACGGGCGATGTACCTCCCGCGCTTGTGACGGACATGGACATCATTGATTCAGTCTCGCCATCTCCGGACGCTTCATAGGGATCAATGAAGCCAAAGGCATTCGAAAACACAGCTTTTTGGCGGCGAGAGTCATACGACAGAAGTCTGGGCGACGCATCACCGGAGTGTGTACCTTTGCGCAAGGTATCACGAGTATTTTCCGTGAGACCAATGCCCTTCATCATGCAATCCAAAATTGATTCTCGGAACAATCCGTCTTCGTCAATTGACTCCTTGCGCTGGAACGTTGAAGGGCGTGTAGGACCGGGTAGAAATTGAGGCTCTTCTCTCTCCGTTAGAGGGGTTTGGATACGCGGTGCCAAATGGTCATATCGCGGACCGAATCGAGAAAGCTGAATCGTCGATAGAAGATCTCCAGGGCTCACACCCCCAGAGTCCCTATCAGAAAATGCTGGCGGTGATCTGATTGGTGTCAAGGACGCAACAGGACGTTCACTGGCAACCTTGGCATGTAAGACGGCCTCTTTTCTGAGAGTGCTGCTTGAACGTCTGCGGCCAACATATGGGTTGTGGAGAGCGATGCCTTTGCCAACTTCCTCGGGCCCTAATCTATCCCGTTCTCTAGTGAACTTGTCCTTCAGTCGAGCCAGAGCACCTCCCCGGAGGTTATTGGGAAGGTCCCAAGTGGTAAATTTGGACATTTGCCGTTCAATGTCCAGGACATCTGAGGTCAGGCCGAGGTACGAGTGTGCAGTAGCAAATGTGACCCTCTGGAGACGGGTCAGAATGACTTGAACGATATGTGATGTCGCCCGTGGATATACTCGGGTCAACCGGCGGAATGCGCTCGCTGGGATGATAGCAATGGTCGTGTCCACTGTAGCTCGGGCTACAATGTCTGGGTGAACCGACTTGCGGCGCTTCCTTTTAGTTTTTTGTTCTTGTTTTGCGCCCTGTTCGGGGGTTTGCTTAGGCATGGTATGACTTTCGCCAATGTTCAGCGGAGGCACTGGCGGCAGTGTGTCAATTGGGCTGTGAAGTGGAGTGGTCACATCTCCAGTGTCTCTCATGTTAGACCTAGGGCTTTCGACAATTCCAGTGGTAGGGCTGAAGGGGAAGGCATCGGGAACGGGGGTGTTGCCACGAGTAGGAGTCGATACCATGGAGTTATGGCTTTGAGAATTGCGGAGCTCGATATCTTCGGTGAAAAGTTGGAGAATGGAAAAAAGGGACGACATAGAAGCGCCATTCTTGACCTCTGTAAGAAGCTGGTAGCCCTGCCGGCCATGCACATGGTGGTCCTCCTCGTCCGAGGTCACATCGTCCATGTGCAGGTTCTCTTGCGAACCGGACTTTGCTGGACGTGTTGATTTTACAAAGATTTGAACCAATCCATCCACGACCAAGCAGAATCCCTTCTCCTCTTCCAACATGAGTGTCTCTCCCGCAATCAGCTTCCTTGTTTGCATGGTCCGGGTAAGCTCGTGGAACACGGGCCGCTCCAGGTATCCGAAGACTTTGATCGCGCTGAGAAATTCATCGAGGTAGTTCGCAAGACCGGGTTTGGAGTCGCCTTCTTGGATATCGGGGAACAAGTCGATCTCGGGTTCTTTGCGCTGAGGCTCTGGGGGCAGACGGCTGTACATGTTCAGGAATCGATATCGAATGAACCAGCTGACAGTAGATACAAGGACGAGCACAATCAGCATTCTAAAGATCACGGTCAGTTTCAGGTCTCACGGCATCAGGCTTCAGTCATCGACGCTCACATGGTGGTGAAGTTCATGGTGAACGTCAAGCTCATGGAAAAGAGCGTAAAGAGCCATGTAGGCAGCGAAATAGTTGCAAAGGTAATAAGCCAGTATAACACGCTTGGGATAGTCTGAAAGACAAAGGTAAACACCCATCCAATCCACCCCGCCATGGTTGCGGGAGCTGGAGGAAACAGCGGGGATGAGAGAGCGGTAGATGCAGGGGTAGAAGTTGACATGCTCAAAGGGAAAGAGGGGGCTAGGCTAGCCATTGTCTAGTGGAGCTCAAGCCTAACAAGGCCTTGGAACTTGAGCCTAACAAGCAAAACATCGGAAACGTGCGGTCGCAGTCAACGGTGGATGGAGGAGAGTTGCATTAGCGTTTGACATTCCCGAGGTCGTGTTGATCAGCTGATATCAGCCACTTGGACTGGAATATAACTATATCAGATCACTCACTGCACGGCTTCTTCGTGGGAATCGTTGATTTTTCCTGTACAATATTTTGAGGAATGCAGTATTGGTATTGTGGTATCCCCACAGTGATGTAATAGTCGAACTAGTGAAGCCTCTGACCTTGGAAGTGATTCCAGGCCTACGATAACATGTGATTCAGTACTCCAGATCTCCCATGTACAGTACTCCAAAACAAGAATTCCATCTTGGATATCTGAGCAATGGTGATCTTGATATTCAACCGAGTGTCATTTTTTTGGCTTTCAATTCCAAAAAAAGTCCCATTTATGTGATGCCGTGAACTTTTAGAATCCCGAGAGTGCTAAGTGTACTTGTGTAGGGTTTGACCCGACGGACATAGCCCAATCCATGTCAACCTCAAGGTTCTGTAGCAATTGGCCAATCTCGACATTCCAGAGCTGAACAGTCTCGTCCAAGCTTGGAGCCATTGTTTGGCTGTCCACGGAACGGACCGTACCTGAATGGCCCTGAGGGACCTTACTACGGAACCAGCATTCATAAAAAAAAAAAAGAGCATACAACTGATCGAGTAAACTGAAAGAACCTGTGACACTGCGAAATAATCTTATGAGGAGCGTTAAAGATTGAAATAGGCATCTTCATCCTCATCTTCGTTTTCATCTGATTGTGACCCCGAAACTGGCCAAGATCAAGTTTCAATGCAATTCGATAGCGAACAACTACCAGCTCATTTCAAATTCTGGTGATAATTTAGCTCGAATGGCGAATCATTTTCAAATTAACCCGATATATCCAAGCTAACATCAAATTAGCTTTGTAACGTCTCTGTAAAATGTCAATGTATGACTCACACAACAAGCGTACCATATAAGAACCAGCTTGAAGTGAGAACACATTCTTCAATTCCAAAGACAATATGGAAATCCCAAACCCACCTATGGCTTACACAGCAAGCCAAATCAATAAATATCTCCATTACATTGCCCTCCCACAATCGTACAAAACATACCTGTCCAACCCGCAAGCCTTCCCCAAAACAGAACAAGGATTAAAAGACCTTTTTCGTTGTCAAATAACTCGCTTTCCCTACGACAACCTAACATGCCACTACTCCGCCACACAGTTGGCACAAATTCAGCCCGAGAAAATCTACACCAAGCTTATGGGTGATGGAGACACCACTCCCTCCGGCAGGGGAGGCTACTGTCTCGAAGTCAGCATCTTCTTCCACCATATACTCCGCGCTCTAGGATTCTCAGTTTACATGACTGGTGTTCGAAATCGGGAGCGGATTGACGGGATTCCACAGGGCGAGTTCAAGGGATGGTAAGAGCACATTGAGCATATAAACAGCGAGACGAGCAACAGACTTTCTGTCTTTCGGTTTGATCTTGACAGGGCCCCTGTGCTGACTATATCCAGGACACATATCGTAAACATAGCCCGTCTTCCAACAGGTTTGGAATACCACCTGGACGCAGCATTCGGCGGAGATGGCGCGACAAGTCCCCTAGCCCTGATATCAGGACAGATTACACAGAATCTGGGAACGCAGCAGGTCAGGTTGGTCTATGATAATATGCCGAAGCAGACGCGGCCAGAGCAGAAAGTGTGGATATATCAGTATCGCAATGGGGCCGAGAAACCATGGAATTCTTTCTATTCGTTTGCGGAGTTGGAGTGGTTTCGGGATGATTTTGAGGTTGTTAATCGCTTTACTAGTTGGGAGGCGGTTGAAAAGGGGCGTTTTGTTGTTGTGAGGTTTTTGAGAAATGGGGAGATTGGGGATATTGCCCTTTTGGAGGGGGAGGGTGGTGGTCATGAGGGTGATGGGGAGGTTTTTGTTGTTGGAAAGGTCATGATGGTTGACAATGTTGTCAAGGTGAATATGGGTGGGAGGACTAGGGTAGTCGATTCTTTTGAGGGGGATGAGGGGAGGTTCAGGGCTTTGAGGAGATGGTTTAATGTTTCTCTTGATCAGGGATTCTGATGCAATTGTGCACATAGAGCTTGATATGTACTCTAAACATGGATTTCCTATGCTATGATTTTATTCCTTAGCAGGAGCGCTTGGCTCGGTGACGAGCTGAGTCTCAATGGCACTGTTGATATCCACTTCCACGTTGGAAACAGTCCAAACCATTCCGACGTATGAGTCACTGATGACCTTGATGTTGACACGGGCCTTATTGGCAGTAGTCGCCGAGGAAGATTGTGCGAGAATACCTTCGGGGAATTTAACAGATGAGCGAACTGTTAGTCCACCGTTATTCTTGTCGTTTGAAGGTCCACCGCGGCTAGGTCCCGCATCGGAGTGAGGCTTGCCCTTCCCCTTGCCATTTCCATTGCGCTTGGCAACTGGAGGCCAGGACACTCGCTTCAATCCAAGGAGCTCGCCATCACCGCCATTCGGTGTCACACTACAGACAATCAAGAAGAAGCCTTCGGTCTGTGGCTTGGGGAAGCGGGGCGCGTAAATTCGGCATTCGGGATTTGCAGGGGCATTGCGTCGAGCTAGTGACACAGTAATGCCCTTTTCAGATATGCCCGAGATCGAGACAGACAATTGAGGAAGTTGGGAGGCAGCACGAGTAAAGTTGTAAGGGAGCTGCAACTTCTTGACAAGAGCGACAACTGCACCGTTAGACTGCGAGGAAAGCGAGGCTAAAGTTCCTGGAAGACCCTGTGGTGGCTTCTCAGTTCCAATGCCCGGCATAATGGACAGAGGGTGGTCTTCAGGCCAGCGGGCTGACTTGATACATTGAAGAAGTGTCATCAACATCTGACAAGCAGGCAGATATCCAAGCTCGGCCATGACGTCGATAGACGCCTGGATGATACGAATTCCCTGGTCGAGAACAGATGTTTGATCACCAACGTAATCCGTGATCGGAAGGTCAATGCGAGACATGTAAGCCTGCAGGAGCAGGAAAGCCTTAGTGTGCGGATCCCACAGAGGCTTATCGCCCATACAGTCGATGGAAAGAGGCAAGTTCTGCGCGAGTTCCGCATTGATCAAGTCTTCATTATGCCGGACAGGCAGTTCGTCAAATTCAGTTGCAGAACACATCCAGCTCAGAACATCTTGGAAGGTCGGCTCACGTTTGGCGTGGGACACGAGGTGCCGAATCGTCTTGTGGGATAGATAGTAGTAACTCATGATCTTGCCAAATGGCGTAGAATCAACCTCACCAGTGGCCGAGTCGACGAGAACACAGGACGACTCAGCGAGGTCGTTAAGTGATTTGCCAACCAGCTCGATCATGAACTCCTGTGCAGTCGCTTGAGCTGCCATGGTGTTTTGTTCCTCCGCTGAGATCTCCAGGCCGTAATACGATGGATTCTTGTGAAGACGGCGGAAAAAGAAAGTCCAGGTCAAATAGTCCAATGCGTCCTGTTGTGTACCAATGGTTCCAGCAGATACTTCAGCACCCAAGTGGTTGTCCAGAACCTTATGGAGGGTGGACTCGACCGGGAAACCAGTGTGAAGGAAGTGCTTATAGAACGCCTTCTTGGAGTCCTGGGTGAAAATGCGGGCGATACCAGAAGTATCGAACTGTGGACGACCGGCACGTCCCAACATTTGCAGAACGTCAGTCAAGTCCATATCACGATAGCCCTCAATCTTTGCGTCAAAGAACTGTGTGCCCTTGACAACGACAAGATGCGCGGGAAGGTTGACACCCCATGCAAGAGTACTGGTGGCCACAAGGATCTGGATCTTGTTGTTGGCAAAGAGTTCCTCTGCCAATTGACGATCAGATTCGACCAAACCAGCGTGATGCAATCCAATGCCAAAGTTTAGGGCTTCTCTGAGAGCATCATCCTTCACGCGTGCAAGGTTCAATTCAAGGTCATCTTCGGACATGCGCACGAAACGACGAGGGTTGTCCTCCATGCCACAGTAATTGATTAAATCCTTGGCAGTGAGACGAGTCTGCCGACGGGATGCAACAAAGACAATGACAGGCTTCTCCGGAGAGTGGTTCTTGATGGCGAGGAATGTCGGGCGATTCATTGACTGCATAAGAGGACAGAATCCGCGCTGCTCAGGGAATCCGTCGATGAAGATCTCAAGGGGGACAGGACGAACGGAATGGCGGAAGTTGTAGAGACCCTCTTTAACACCAAGCCAGTTGGCCAGATCACTGGCATTTGCACACGCAGTGGACATGCCCATGAGACGAACGGATCCCTTTGATTGCGAAGCAATGTAGTTCATTCGGGAGACAATGATCTCCAAAATTGGACCACGGTCTCCACCTAGCAAGTGAATCTCATCAATGATGACGAGGCTGACCTTCCTGACGTAGTCACGAGTCTGCCAACTACGCGAGATACCATCCCACTTCTCAGGCGTAGTGATGATGATATCAGCATCGCGGATAGTACGTGTATCAGGAGTGTTATCACCAGTCAACTCAACAAGCTTCAGCCCCATTGGTCCGGTCAGACGTTTGCGCCAATCCTTTACTCGCTCCCGAACAAGAGCTTTCATTGGTGCAATATAAACGACCTTAGAGCCGGGCTTCTCACGGAAGGCCCACCACATAGCCAACTCGGCGGCCACGGTCTTTCCACTACCGGTGGGAGAACCAAGGAGAACGTTGGCCGGTGTGTGGTAAAGTAAGTGGAAGATCTGCGTCTGCATGGGGTTGAAGAATTGGAAACGCTCGCCATACACTTCTTCAAGAATAGGATTCTTCAAAGCTGAAATGGGCAATGGTTGAAGGTTGAGGAGGTCAGTATACACACTCTCTGTGTCTGGACGAATGAGATGCTGGAATGAAACAGGGGTAACAGTCTCAGCGCCGAGCCAACGATCGGAAATCAGGCGAATGTAGATTTGGCTTGGGAGTGGGTCCGATAGCGGAATGGTGAAGTTAAGCTCATGGTCATCATAAAGCTTCTTTCGGCTGAGGATAAAGTACTCGTGGTGGTAGATTTCTGATGTCTCCGAGTTTTCAACCCAGACCCAGAAAGACTCCGAAGCGCCATGATGGCGGTCATTCCAAGTGAACTCTGGATAGATGGATAAGCGAATGCGAAGAACGTCGCGGTTGAGAGGAGCAATCTCAGTCTCAACACTAAGGGTAGGGAAATTGTCCAAGAGCTTCGACAGAGTGTTCCCCATTCGCTGGTTATGAACAAGCTGTCCGATTTCAGCAGGTTCCATTTCTTTCATCGATTCAATGGATGTAGTAGGCAACTTGTCGTCTAGGTTCCGGAGGATGGGCTGGGGCAAATCAAACTGCCTGAACGGGTGATCGAATGGCCAAATTTGTTTCTCGATTGATTTGCAAAGAGACAAAAGAACCTGACATTGATAACCCCAGCGACGATTCAATGCAATCATGAAAAGCGCGCGGCAGATACGAGCAGCGTTTTGCGCGACGTATCCAGTGTCTGATGCCAATGCGAAATCCTCGATCTTGGCACGAGAGATGTAAGCTTGCAGCAAGAGGTTCGTTTTCGCATGTGGCGTGTCATTGCCTCCTGCTACTTCTGTTTGAGCAACTTCATCCCTCAGTCTCTGCAGCTCCTTCGACTCGCTGTCTCTGGATTGAATGTTGTCGAATTCACCACTCATACTGATCATCTTGAGGACGTCAGCTTCGCCAGAGCGAGGACGCATCATCTCGTTGAAGATCTCGACACTGGTCTGCAGAACATAATACTGACTCGCAATGCGGCCAACATCCTTGGCTTTCAGATCCTCTGTTTTGTCGTTGAAGATGATCATCTGGCTCTTCTGTAGTACCTGCGCCGCTTGGACGATCAACTGCCGACGCCGTTGAACCAGCATCGGGTCATCACGTAGCTCAGCATATTCGATACCATAGTTGCGTGGTTCGCGCTTCATACGCACAAAGAGGTATGAGTATCCGAGCCATTGCACTGCCTCAGGAACCGATGTAACTGTTCCCAGAGAGATCTCAGCGTTCAAGTTATCCACGAGTCGACTAGAGAAGCGAGACTCGATTGGCTGCTGTGCAGTGACGGCAGACAAATAGTGATTCAGCTTGTCGTGGGTGGTACAAATGAAGCCGATACCAGTGTCTTGGAATTGAGGACGGCCTGCACGGCCAAAGATCTGCATGACATCCAGAATGCTCAGGTCGATGAATTTACCCTCTTGAGGGTTGTACAGCTGGGTACCCTTGATGACTACAGCAGCAGCCGGAAGATTAACACCCCATGCCAATGTTGCAGTACAGCAAAGGACCTTAATCAAACCCTCTGAAAACATCCGCTCCATCAAATTCCGATCGCTACGAGTCATACCAGCATGATGGGTTCCAAAGCCACTCGCAAATAGATCTCGTAATTCACGTGCACGCGCATGTTTCATGTCACGAAGGGCGTTGGAATAATTTTCGTGATCATGGCAGCTAAACAAGTCTTCCCGGCCCTCCTCGGCAGCCAGCTGCTTGAGCATTCTAGCGGTCATGACAGTATCCTTGCGGGAATGCACGAAAACCATGACTTGGTGACCTCTTTCCAACATGTCGCGAACTTTTTCATACGCAACAGTATCGATGTTTTCCCGAGACTGCTTAGAACCTGGCTTTCCTTTGACACCGATGAAATGTTGCTCTAGAGGCACTGGTCGGAATGAGGAGTCAAAGAAGAACATGCCAGCCATTTTGTTAACTTTCAAAAAATCGGCAACATCGGTGTAATTCGGAAGTGTAGCTGATAGACCCACGATACGAATCAAAGACTGGGTGCTCTCAACCTGACGTTGGGTTCGAGCGACCAAAGATTCAATGACCGCTCCTCGCTCATCATGCAACATGTGAACTTCATCAATGATGAGAAGGCGAACCTTCTGGACAAGTTCAGTATCTCCGGTGCTTTTCCGTGTCACAACATCCCATTTCTCAGGGGTGGTAACAATAATTTGGGTGTCAACAATCTCCCGCTTGGTCAACTGCATGTCACCAGTCAGTTCGCGGACCTTGACACCTAGCCAAGCGAGCCGCTTTCCTAGCTTCTCCGTTACTTCGGCGGCCAAAGCCTTCATTGGAGCCACGTAAACAATTTTGAAGTCGTCAACTTGGACTGTGAACTCGGTTGCCTCTGGGTTCTCCAGTGGATTGGGAGTGGTGTTCTTCGCAATCACACTGAGAACAGTCAACATAGCCGCATCAGTTTTACCGGCACCGGTTGGGGCACAAATCAGCATGTTCTCGTTGGTTTTATAAGCTACATCGTAAAGCAAGCTCTGCATACGATTCAGAGTTTTGTAGCCCTTAAAGGTACCACGACACAGGCCATCCATGCTGGCGATCTCAACCAACTTCTGGCCTTTCCCTAGAGTTCCAACTTTCCCAGCCGGGATCTCGTACTCGGTGTAATTTGGTTCCTCAATCTGCTTGCTACCCAGAGGCAAGCCATATTTCTTCCCACTGGCAGAAAGAAGATTTCCGGATGTGTGCTGCTTGAAAACATGTGGATAAGCAGGTTCTGACCGGCTCTGAGCTGGCATCAACGCTGCGTTCTTGTGTTCGAAGTCACGTTGCCACAGGGCATGTTCTCTCTCCGCTCTGGTTTGAAGCCGTCCAGCCGCAAGTCCATCTGTTTGAGATTCCAAGCGAGGCCCTTTGTCAGACAAGAGCTCCCCTCTGTGACCGATAAGTTCAATGACCAGATCCAGATCATCGAATCCAACAATTTCAGCCAAAGACATTTGTAGCTCCTCATCATTGCTGTCAGCGGCCAACGTGGCGATAATTTGCTGGGATAACTCTGCTGCGTCTATGCCGGAATTCCGAATAGCCAGGTCCTGACACTTGTCTTCCAGCCATAAACGGTTGTACATGGATTCTTGTTCCATAGGGAATTCGTCGGTTCGGTCGAGCTCGTCTATGTCGTCGGAGGTTTCATCGTCGGAGCTGATGATATCCCAGACATCATCAACGGTTCCAGGAGAGGAGTAGTCGTCGTCAAAATCCAAATCAATATCACTTCCATATCCGATGGGTTCCTGCGGAAGCTCTTGGGGTAGCTTCAGATCGGCGATAGCCTGGCGCATGGCTGCCAGCTGCGACAGCCACTGCGACTCGGTGGCCGAAATATCGTCCATGTTGAAAAATGAACGGATGTCTTGTTCAGAATCAAGAAAATGGACAGTGAGGGGGAAAGCCAAATGTAGTCATAGGGCAGAGCTGCAGGGCAGAGCCGGTCGCATGACAAGAGCGGTGTACATCTTAAGGCCTGAGGCGGCAATGCGGAGGGCGCATCATTGTTATCGGACTCAGGGACCCTGTTTCAAGCTCACTCACCTTGCTTCGTCACTTCAGACCTCACCGCTGACTTTGTGCTCACCTCTACCTGGCCTTTAAATAACAGGTCGCCATCTGATAAATAGCTGCGCCCCAAAGCCCCACCATCCCCAGCATCCTACTTGCCTCCTGTTCTTGTGTGGACGACGAATCCTCGAAGTCAAAATGAAGATCCTTTATATGGGCGTATGTCGCAGTTCAAAGCCTTCTCCTTGCCGAGTCAAGCTATTTTCAATGCTGACCCCCATCCATCGCAGGTTTTCCGGAACGATACCACTCCAGCACTTCAGCTATGCGGGGAAAAGGACCTCAGCAGGTATGTCACTCACAGCCTCCCACACAGTTTACAGCACGGTAGCTAATTTTTTATAGCTTTTCGCGCTTCACTCGTCAAAAGTATGTTTCCTAGTCTTGCCTCTCTCCTCTCCGAAACGTACAAGTCGCTAACCCCACCACGCCACCAGCTACGATGAATTCTTGATGCTCTTCAACCGAACCGTTGCCGAAAAGACAAAGCCTGGACAGCGACAGGATATTGAGGAGAAGGCCTACACATTCCATGCCTATGGTCGCACAGAGGGTGTTGCTGGTATCATTGTCACCGATGGTGACTACCCTGCCCTGGTGGCCCACCAACTTCTGGGCAAGATTGTGGATGAGTTCCTTGCCAAGCACCCCCGGACTTCATTCTCGGATCCTGCCCTCCGCGAGAATGCTTGTCCGTTGCCGGCTCTTAAGGAATACATTATCAAGTACCAGGATCCTTCCCAGGCAGACAGCATCATGAAGATCCAGCAAGAACTTGATGAGACCAAAATTGTTCTGCACAAGACGGTATGTTGCCATCGCCCTTGGGAATATACTTTTTTAGATATCTGACGCCTTCTTAGATCGAGAGCGTTCTGGAGCGCGGCGAAAAGATTGATTCATTGGTTGCCAAGAGTGATGGACTGTCAGCCCAGAGCAAGATGTTCTACACCCAGGTTTGCTCCCCGGCACTTTCTGTTTTGTATTCATACTGATATATTGAATACAGGCCAAGAAGCAGAATTCATGCTGCATTTTGATGTAAGGCTACCATTAAACGAATAGCGAATACGGTTATGCCTGCTGTTGAACCTTTCTTATGCGTGTAATCAAACCGTGAAACGATGCATGCTTGCAGCTATACTAGGTTTCATTTGGTGATGTTGATATCAAGCTCTCATTAATGTGGATTTTTTTATTGTCCTGTCTGTGTACAGTCGTTCTCTTTCGCCATAGAATTTGCCATCAACCGTGAGCATCATCTTGATTGGACGTCACTTTTATGAATTCTATGTACAGAATGCAGCCCTGCTGTAATTTATTGCGTAAATATTCAGCGAGGTGTAAGCTAGTAGGGGTCTGAGGAATACGGGTGGAACCGAGTTCGCTGGGCCTAAAAAGTGGATTACGTGAACACCGTGTTCTGGACCACTGCAGGATCGCGGGACTTAATTCTATCCACATGTCTTGGTCCACAGAAAAAGGACTGGAAATTACCTTCCATGTAACTTGTGCGTTATTTCCAATGCTAGCGACATGGTCAACGTTCCTGGCAGAAGCAAGGGCTGCTCAGAATGTCGTCTGCGCAAGTTAAAGGTGCTTTGTTCCTAATATAGACGATATTATATTTATTCTAACTGCTTCCAGTGTGATGAAGTCCTTCCTGAATGTTTATCATGCCGGAAGAAGGGTTTACACTGTTCGGGGGCTCGGAAGGGTGCATTTTTTGTGCATTCTACTCCAGCAAAACCACCAGCAAGCTCCATCGTTCAGTCTACATCACTGGAGCACCCATTTCAGCAACCTCTGGAAATTGATAAATCGGGGTGGTATCCTTCTCTAACCATATATCAACCAAGTCGTGCTCATGCTTTTGATCGTCTCTTCGTGTCCCATTTTATTGAATCATTTGGACTCAAAGCACCGGGGTCTACAAGACAACCGCCGAATTGGCTGGATGAACTAGCGATCTTCACTGTTACACCCGATCTGCCACTGGTACAGCATTCTATCAGAGCGAGCTCCATGATTTTCTATGGGACTTTGTCAAACGATCTTTCGATTCAAGCAGCAGCATGCAAGTGGTACTCAAGGGCTCTTAATGGCCTACACAGACTATTATCACGACATCCATCTCACTTTGCAGGTGATATTATATGTGCCGCTGTGATGCTCATCCATTTTGAGCATATAGCGGGTACATCAGATGAAGCATGGATTCAGCATGTCCAGGGTGCCACGAAGATGCTTGAAGCCGGTGGACCTGAAAGTTGCCGCGACGGGTTTATGCATCAGCTGTTTCGTCATCTCAGACTTCTCACAGTGGGTCCAACACCAATTTGCTTTCGAGATATTCTGCTAAACCTTCTTGCATAAAGTTTGTTGCCGCAATTTCGCAGAATAAGCAGCACAGCTTTGCCTTACCAGAGTGGAAAACCATTCCTTTCGAAGTTCATTCAAAAACCGCTTTCGATGAACTGATCGATATCCTATTCGACTTACTCCCGTGTCTTGCAGTTGCGGACAAGATTGCAACTACAAGTAATACGGATGACTGCTTACAGGAAAAGCTCAAAGCAATGGTAATTGGCATAATGCTCCAGCTTCACGGATGGTGGTCCCAATGTTTTTCCATGATGAGTGCAATTGAGGCATCTGCGGAAGAATGGATATGCGCCAACAATCAGCATATGAATCAAGATCCTTATGACCCCAGTCATTTTCCTATGCTACTACATGCGGATATGCCAACAGCTGCTCTTGGGTCCCTTTATGATTCCGCAAACGTGATAGCACTTCGCCTTCTGTTTCTTTCGTCACCGTCTGCATATCTATACGAGGAACGAATCCGGCGGCATGTGCAGTCCATAGTTTCCGCCAAAAGTTTCATAGCAGCAGTACCCGGCCCAGTATCTGGTCGTGGATCACTGATGCTAGGATTTCCATTGAAGATAATCAGCATTTGGAACCCCCCTACTCAGGAAGACCTACAAACAACGCCAGATTCCCGAGGGCTGAGCGATGATAATGACTCAAAGGTCTCTTCTATGAGACCCAACGAGCTATTTGCGCATGTAGCATCTTACATTTTCGAACATCACCGGGAAAAATTCAGAACAATGTCAACTTGATGAAGTTGCACAAGTGGATCAAAGTTGCCAGTCCCATGATCCTGTCAAACCTCTGGACCCACAACTTAATCCTTGCGCTAGGCTCTATTGGGCTAGCTTTGCGGACCCACATGCGCGAACTCCATCTGGCATTATAAGACTCTGGCCTCGCAACTGTGTTCTCACTGCTCTTGAATTTGGGTTTACTCATTCTTTTCAAAATCTATCTCAATAGCTAGGGTATAACGATGAAAATTGTTATCATCGGCGCCGGTATCGCTGGATGCGCAGCATATCTGGAGCTGCAAAAGCATCTTCAAACCCCTACCGAGTCCGACGAAGAACATGATATCATGATCTGTGAGGCCTATAGCACAGATTTGGATGTTTCTGCAAATGAAAGAAAAGAGGAACACACACATTCCTCGACCCTTCTCGTTGGAGGTGGACTTGGCGTTGGTCCGAACGGATTGAATGTTCTCAGGCGCCTCGATGAGACTTTGCTAAAAGATGTTGTTCGCGGTGGATATACCATATCCACCTCAAACATGAAAAGTAAGAATGGATGGCAGCTTGTTAAGATGAAGAATACTTCACTCGATAACAACGACAACAACCCGGAAAGCATGTGCATGGTGGCGACCAGTCGCCATTCGTTCTGGCAGGCCCTGCGATCAAGGATTCCAGACGAACACATTATCAACAAGAGAATCTCGGAAGTTGTCGTCCGTACTGAAGAGAAAAACTTGATCCAATTCGCTGATGGCACTCCCCCACTGGAAGCCGATCTAGTCATCGGTGCCGACGGTGTCCAGAGTACTGCCAAACGAGCTCTCTTTCCGGATACCAAAGACGACCCGTATCCTCCCCATTATGAGTAAGTGGATTTCCATTGCCTCTCCTTTTGTATATCGGGTGAAGACTAGAGTGGAAAAAGTGAATTAGCTGCTGATATTTTGCTAAAGGGGACTCGTCGGCGTCGGCGGATTCATTCCTGCCAGTGATGTCCAAGGGCTGGTCGAGAAAGGATCGATGAACTTCATATTTGGGGGTAATGGCTTCTTCGGATACTTCTACTCTGAGAGTGCGAAGTCCGCAGTTAACCGCGACTCGCCATACCACGTCTCCGAGCCCGGGGATTCTCTCGCCTGGTGGTCGACATACGAGATTGAAGAATGCCCAGATCGTCAAACTCTCGATATGGCGGATGTTACTCGGCAGCTTCGGGAGCGACATGCAGACTGGAAGGATCCAGTTGTTCGAAAGATTATTCAATCGCTCCATGTGGAGAACATGTACCCAACGTGGACGTCTCCTGTGCTTCCGACATGGGAGCGAGGTGGGGTAGTTCTTGTCGGTGATGCAGCACATGCGCTACCCCCAAGCTCAGGACAGGGTTCCTCTCAAGCATTGGAGGATGTAGAAGCATTTGTTCTATTTCTGGCTCACTATCTTCGCAAGCATGGCGCAAATGACCATAGTTCACCCGAGAGTCAAAAAGGGGCTATCCGGGTTGCTGCACAGCAGTATACGTCTCTGCGACAACCGCGAGTGAAGGAGATTTTGGAGTTTGCCCAGAAAACTCAGAACAGAAAACGTCAAATGGGACTGTTCCAGGAGTACTCAATGTACACGTTTATGAAATTTATCGGTAAGTTTTTTTCTGCAAAGCATTGTGTGAGTTGTATTAACCATTTTGGCTAGGACTTTTCCCTAGTCTCTTGGATAGCCAGATTCGCAAGGTTTCAAGTTACAACATCGCAGAGGAAGTTGCAAAGGTCCTTGTCACTGAAAAATAAGAATGCGTTTCTAATCAAATAGCCGCGCTATGCTCAATATTGCGACATGCAGGCAGAAGTCCCCAGAGGCAAGGAACATAAGCCACTAATAATATGTTCGACCCGATCAACCCCGGTGTCAATCAGCTCTTTCAAAATGCTATGGGCTGCAAATTTCCGCATGTTTTACTGTTGTTTCATCATCTTCGTGGTTCATGTTAATCAAGACCCTACTGATCGGACATACCGAGATTGGTAGCCTCAAACTGATTTGTATTTCCCCCACCTCTTCTTGCATCGGCTTATATTTCCTTGTAAAAGGGGCGAAATGACAGCCTAGCGCCTAGAAACTCTAGAAAATATTCCTCTGTAACCCTAGGAGGATAAATTTGATCGCTTCAGGGATGGCATTGGTTAGCGATAAGACCACACCATGCTATCACAGCACAGTCCACCATTCGGGTTTAACTCGACGCATAAGAAGCAATGATATATTCCAGAAAACGCCTCGTTGCCTCAATGCTTTTGTGAACCGCCCGAATTGTGCTGTTAGGCACCGCTCAGACCCCGCTTTTTTGTTCTGATATCCCAATGGGCTCGAGTGTCGTTCAACTTATGAAGTGGTTCACCTGATAGCACGGGAAAATAACCTAGAGCACACGGCACACATGAACTGAAAATACCAAGACATGCACCTCACCCCACATTCCTGCCGGCCCACTTAGGGGGAAGATCTGACAGTACTACTTATCCGTGCCGGGGATATCATGAATTATAGTCGCATTGGAATACGTTCCACTTTGCCTGGGTTCTGAGAACGGATTTCCGGTTGTAAATAGAATGAAAATACAGCCCTTCCTCCAATGGCCGGCACGTATACAACGGGACAACAACTCGGACCCCGAACGTGGCGTTTGGGCTAAGCTCAAACAAGATCTCTCAACCCCAACGATGATTGGTCAAGATACGATCTTACTTTTCTTGGAAGTCTTATCTTCTCCTTGCTATATGCAGGCGAAGGAAGAACGCCACGAGCTGTGTAAATGGTATCACGTCCGAAGTGGCATGCATGGCCCCAGGCCTTGGAAATATGTATAAAGTGTCAGCCTCTCCGAGATTTTCACATCTCAGCTGTACTTGTCTGTAACTGGCAAGTGCCATTCACTGGGCCAATATGACTGCAACGGAGAATGATGTTGAGAAGAAAGCGGGTATGGCCGTTGAGCCTGCCGAGAGCCTCCCTTCAGCTGAGGGGGATATGTCGGTCGGCGAAGTCAATCCATTGAAGCGAAACCTCAAGAATCGTCATATGCAGATGATTGCTGTTGGTATGCAGTATTGCCATATATCTCGAATTTATTTGCTGACCTGATTGACCAGGCGGTGCTATTGGAGCTGGTCTGTTCGTGAGCACCGGAAGTGCATTGAGAACTGGCGGGCCTGGGGCTTTGGTATGTTGGCAACAGTTTTGATGCAGGTCATTTGCTGATAAATACCAACCAGTTGCTTTGTTACTTGATCGTGGGAGGAATGCTTCTTCTCACAGTTCAAGCCCTGGGAGAATTAGCTGTGCTATTTCCTGTCAACGGTGCTTTCTTCTCGTACTGTGTTCGCTTTATCAGTCCAGCCTGGTTTGTGCCCCATGGATTCAATACCAGCCACAAGACCTAACGATTTATATATTCTCATAGGGGCTTCGCCGTTGGTTGGGATTATGCTATTCAATGGCTAATTATTCTACCTTTTGAACTCACGGCTGCTGGCAAAACCATCCAGTTTTGGCGAGATGACTTGAACGTTGGCATATGGATAGCAGTATTTCTCGTTGTGCTTTCCGCAATCCAATTCTTTGGCGTGAAGGGCTATGGAGAAGGTAGGTCTAGTCATCATGAAATTGCATGAGACCTATACTGACTGCAATTCACAGTCGAGTTCGTCCTCGGAATGATCAAGGTCACTGCGGTGATCGGCTTCATCATCCTCGGAATCGTCATCGACTGCGGCGGTGCACCGAAAGGAGGATATATTGGGACCAAATACTGGCGTGACCCTGGCGCTTTCACAGATTTCGAGGGTTTCTGCTCAGTCTTTGTTACGGCGGCGTTTGCCTTCGGTGGAACAGAGATGGCTGGTCTTGCTGCCGCCGAGGCCGCGAACCCAGCAAAGTCCATCCCTAAAGCAACAAAACAGGTCTTCTGGCGTATTATGATCTTCTATGTTCTTGGAACATTTATTGTCGGTTTGATCGTGCCTTCCAACGCCGATTGGCTGCTTGGAGCTTCGGGTTCCAACACCAAGGCCTCGCCTTTTGTCGTCTCAATCCAGAATGCCGGTATCTCCGGTCTACCATCTGTCATGAATGCGATTATCACAATTTCAGTTATCAGTGTCGCTAATTCTGCAACCTATGGATCCAGTCGAACTATTCAGGCCCTGGCTTCGCGGGGTATGGCGCCTAAGTTCATGGCATACATTGACAAAGGAGGTCGCCCTCTGTGGTGCATTCTACTTCAAATCGCCTTCGGATTCCTTGCGTTTATTAACGAAGCACCGTCAGGTGGTCAGATCTTCGACTGGCTTCTTGCGTTATCTGGAATTTCTGACTTCTTCATTTGGGGAAGTATTTGTTTTGCGCATATTCGCTTCCGTTCGGCCTGGAAGGCTAATGGGCACTCGGAAAAGGAGCTTGCATATGCTGCTCCCTTCGGTGTTATCGGGAGCTGGATCGGTCTATCGCTGAACGTCTTGTGTCTCGTTGCTGAGTTTTACGTTTCTGTTGCCCCGAAAGATGCTGAAGGCTTCTTTGAGAATTACATCGCCGCGCCGCTGGTAATTCTCCTGTTCGTCATCTGGATAGTCTACACCAAATACAACAAAGACCCTAAGCTCGACCGTGGTGGTTGGCTTGTCCCGGTTGATAAGATGGATATCACTACTGGTATTCGTGATGGTGCGCTTGATGTTGACCTTCCTCCCAGAGTCGAATATGCGACATGGGGCGAGTGGTTCAAAGCAGCTCCTCTGCGGGTTCTCCGCTCTATTTTCTGATTATAGCCTTCGCTTTGTGAGACTGAATTGTTACAGAATACCATATGTGTCTCAATGTTATATTGTACAATGTGTAAAAGAAACAAGCTTTTTTTGAGAAGCTGTATCATGTTTCTATTTGATTGACCAAACATATGCCGAGCAACTTGTTAGTTTCAGTAACTAACTTATATTCATTGACAATGGAATATCATAACAGAGACTCGTGACTGAGAACTTTGCAAGACAATTATGCTTTTCTAGTCTTCTCTGCAACTAATTGCTATAGCCTAGTCCAACAAAAGTCTCCGAGCTGGACTTTCGCTAGAAATCTTCCGAAGCCTTAACGACAACAGGGAAGTCACCAGTCGGTATATCCCCATCAGGAGTCCAAATAAGTCCATAAACGCCAGTGATATTTGTTGACTTGGCCCAGAATTGCGCTTCAAGCTCGGTATTGTTGTTGTACACCAACTGCGAGGCGAACAGTGCGAATCCTGTGACAGTCCCGTTGACATAGGCGATTCGAGTAAACGGCAACACTCCTATTTCGTTATCCTGCTCGATGAACATCGATCCTGCCGAAGTGCCATTCACGAAAGTTGCGTTGGCAATCCAGCATTCGCCGGTTATCGAGGCAAGATCCCAGGTGAGGGGGTAACGTTGGCACTACTATCGTTTGGGTCTTCTGTGATGTACAACAGGCCTTGAAAAGAATATCAGTATCGGGGAAACAGATTGGACAATTTTGTTGGGGACTCATACCGTCATCAAGACCGTAGGCAATGGGCCACGAGGAGGCGTTCACTCCATAAGCATAGAGTGTAGCATTTGTTTCGGCACCGCGCTTGACATAGTGAGATGGACTTGCTAAGGCATAGCCAAAGAAAAGTTGCAGGATAAAACAATTGACAACGTAGTATGCATGCATTATGCTGCCCTTGTCTGAAGTGAGGTATAAGACTGAGAGGAATGTGTATTCCTAAATTATCAACAAAGGAGCAGACACAACCGGCGCTAAATCAAGTGTGTTGGTAAAATCTTTACAAATTACAGGAAAGAGTCGGCCGGGAGACCCATAATCACATTCCAAAAATATTCTAGCAGTTCTTGTGCCTAGGTATCTCTGCTTGGGCTAGTCCAACCAGGAAGTTAGCTATACGAAGGCAAGATCTACTCAATCCACTGTTCTTTGAAATCAATGCCTGCAAGGCTGACAGGCTAGATCGATCTTTTTGCAAAATTCTCTGCGAGCCCACGCAAATCCAATGCTTAGTTTGCGTAGCTAACGACGGGTTGGGCCCACTCCTGCTGTGGGCTGGCGTGGACCTGAACCTGACTGACCGCGCACCCCCTGTCTATTTTTGTAAAATAGACTCTATGGAACTGGCTGTTGTATATCAAAAGCTTGCCACATGGTCTTTGGATTGTGATGCCAAACAGTAAAGAAGAGGAGCGTTATTAGATTTGATGGCTAGGAAAACAGACCAGTTGAAAGGACGGCGATGCGCTATGTAAGGCCCCTCCCGTGCCGTCGACAAACCTGAATCGATCCTCAAAAATAACCTTACCATGTCTCCACTTGGCGCACAAGGTAAAAATAAGTTAACACAGGCAGCACAACTCCTGTATAAACTATACCATCCTTTGATCGATGAGTGCCGATCATTGCGCTCCGAAGCTCCGCTGACTACGCAAATCGCGGGTATGACTTTTTCCATCAAAGCAGAGGACCGAAGAAACACGGCTCAATATCAAATGTTAAAGTTTATGCCTCTGATATTGCGCTGATCTTTTATGCTAGGTGGCGCCAAGAATAGCATTCCCCGTTTATTTCCACATAACGTTCGTTTTGGATCATCGGTCACAGGGCGATTGGGCAAGAGATTGCGTAGATCGTAGTAGCCCATGGCAGCTGGTTATTCTATACCTTACGTACGTAGGAAAACATTGGAAAGGATCCCAATATGCGGCATATAACCCTCCAGCAGGGTTGGTCTTGCGAGTATTTTTCCCGACGTGGAATACCATGAGCGAGCTAGACTATCAATTCTAAGTCATTGTCCTTGCTCGGCCTTGGATTAAATCTTTCTTCTCTCTTTGCAATCGAGGACCTTCGGATTCAATTTGCCTCCAATATTTATCTTTATACATGATATTTTTTGTGTATCCTTTGAAATCATGCTTCTCCGGAGTCTTTTCATCTCTTCGCTCCTACCATTGTCCACAGTCAGAGGTGCAGACCTACCAGTGAAGTCGACAAGGGACACATCTTGTGTGAATAGCGCATCTGACAGATCATGTTGGAAGGATGGCTATGATATATCCACCAACTACTACGAGGAGGTTCCCGATACCGGTGTTGTCCGCGAGTATTGGTTCAATGTCGAAAATACCACTGCCTCACCAGATGGTGTTGAGATGCCTGTTCAACTGATTAATGGCTCTTTCCCTGGACCTACAATTATTGCCGACTGGGGTGACACTGTTGGTAGGTCAGATTCTTCAAGAAAATTGGAACCTTCTGAACTAATATCCAAATACTCAGTTGTGCACTTTATGAATTCACTGGAAAATAATGGCACCGGTCTTCACTTTCACGGGATTCGTCAGAACTGGACAGATGGAATGGACGGTGTCCCGAGTATCACACAATGCCCTATTGCTCCGGGCGATTCCTTGACCTACCGCTGGCGTGCTGTTGAATACGGTACTGGTTGGTACCATTCGCACTTTTATGTGCAGGCATGGGACGGAGTATTTGGTGGTATCTTGGTCAACGGCCCTGCTACTGCAAACTATGACGTTGATCTTGGACATCTCTTCTTGAATGATTGGTATCACGTATGTACTACGCTGTTGCTGTCCTGTTTGAAGACACCTCACGGATAGTAACTCTTAATTTAGCAAACCGCCGACCAACTGGTTACTCAAGCGTCTACAGGTGGGCCGCCCACCGCACCCAATGGTTTGATCAATGGAACGAATACCTACGGTACAAACGGATCACGATTCGAGATTACATTTGAGCCTACCGTTAGATACCGTCTGCGACTTGTCAATGCCGCAGCAGACCAACATTTCCGTTTCATGGTTGACAGTCACCACCTTGAGGTTATTGCGGCTGACTTTGTTCCAATTCACCCGTATAATACTACTCAGCTAAGTATTGGCATGGGGCAGCGCTACGATATCATCGTGACAGCAAAAAATCTTACAAGCGGCAACTTTTGGCTACGTGCCATTCCCCAAGAAGCCTGCTCTGAGACTGATGCTGTTGACAACGTCAAGGGAATCATCCGCTACGACAGCACCTCTGCTAAAGATCCTACTACCTTTGCCTACGGCTACACAGACTCTTGTGCTGATGAAGCTTCTTCGGATCTGGTTCCCTACCTGCCTATCAATGCCTCAGAAACCTACACATATGATGCATCGGAAAAGGTTGCTGTCGAGGTTACCGACAATGCTTTGCTCTGGACTATGAACAAGACTTCGTTCCGTACCCAGTGGGAGTATCCAACTTTGCTCCAGGTTGCCGAGGGAAATAATACATGGACCAACAAGCAGCGTGTCATTCATCTCCCAGAGGCTGACAAGTGGGCTTACATGGTCATTCACTCACCTTTTGCCCAGGACCACCCAATGCATCTTCACGGCCACGACTTCTGGGTCTTGGGGTCCGGATATGGCGAGTTTGACTCCTCGAACCCGGACGCTCTCACGTTGGTCAATGCCCCTCGACGTGATGTCGCAATGATGCCGGCTAGTGGCTACTTGGTTATTGCAATTAAGACTAATAATCCTGGTGTAAGCCCACATTTGGAGATCTCAGCGATATTGACTCAACCTTATTGATCTTTCATTTTCATAGGCTTGGCTCATGCACTGCCACATCGCTTGGCACACATCGGAGGGCTTCGCCGTCCAGATTCTCGAGCGTCAATCTGAGATTGAGACTGACTACGCTCAACTGAATTCTACGTGTTCCAATTGGTCAAAATATGTACATGGTGATGATGTGACCCAGTATGATTCTGGCGTCTAACATTAGTATGAGAAACATCATAACGTTGTATGAGCTCTTCAGTGATAGCTCCATATACAACAATAATCAATGAAAGCATTATATTCAAATTCCCCGTGGGATAGAATAAACCAACTTTTTCCCGCGCACTTTCCCAGCTCGAACGAGAGAAATACCTTCCACCACACCTTGCAATCCACCTTCGTTGATATCATGAGGCATAGCGCGCACTTTATCACTTGCGATTAATTCTTCGAATCGACGATAAAAAGCAATCATGAAAGTTTTATCTTCAGCTGAAGGTTCCCAGGTCTTACCCATAAGTGTGAACCGTCGCCCAAAGCAGGTATACACAAAGTTCCATGCAGTCCGTATCGTTGTAGACGCAGGTAGAAGTTCTGCCTTTGTTGGTAGATTGGATACTGGCATTAGAGAAGCGTAGACATAGTCCAATGATTGGCTATTTGTTTTCTGTGGTGTGAAACATTTGTAGCAAAAACTGGCTGTGTCCGCGTTGGCTACGCAATCCAGGATCAGTGATAATCCAGTCTCGCTTACCAAGTCTCTGACTTGCTTAACTGCATTTAGAGACTTATAGTCAACAATTTTATCGGGTCGTAGCGACTGAACCCAAGCTGCAGTTTGGCTAGAGCATGTTGTGATAACTCGGAGCCCAGATCTCGAAATGAGTTAGCGTGGACTATAGCTTCTGATATTTTATACCCACAGTTTTGCAAATTGAATTGCAAAGTTCCCCGTCGCAGAACTTCCTCCGTATATCAGAATCGTCTGATTGATCGGTGTCGGGTTTACCTCTGGCAAAGGGAGTTTCAAAACTTGATACAAGGCCTGTGCCGCAGTGCTGATTCCCATTCCGATTGTAGAGGCCTCCATGGATGAAAATGAATCCGGCAAGCGTATGACGAGTTTCTCGTCTACATTCAGATATTGGCGAAATGAACCAATGCTGTAGTTTGCTGCATGACCTAAGGGAGATATTAGTAATGGAATGATAGGACCCTAGAAAAGCAAGAAATGCATACAAGCATGCACGAAGCCAGCTACACGGTCACCGATAGACCAGTCATTGCGAACTCCTTCTCCGAGTTCGACAACCTCGCCGGAAAAATCGTACCCCAGCCCGGCGCCTGGTCTTCCGTAGGTATCCAGGGCCATCCAATCGGAGGGGTTGAGACCGACAGCATGTGTTCGAACTAGGAGTTGACCGACTTCTGGTGAAGGAATAGATATGTCGTCCACGACTTGTCCTTCGCCTTGAGCTTTCACGACCACTGCTGATTGAATCTTAAGACTCGCCATTGTGGGCAATTGAGATTACCGTTTTGGATGCTTCAAACGTTTTGGTAGAATTTTTATAATTTTGGAAGAATTCAAATACACTGACAATTAGTCTGATATATACTTTCAATAAATAATGAGCGTAAGTGAAGTATATAAGTCGTTACCGCTGCAACGATGGGCATTAAATCCGGGATATAGTATGACGCCACCACTTAGGCTATAACCGCTAAACACGCTCGATTTCCGATCTCAAAGCTTATTGTAAGCATCACTCACTTTCAATAAGAGAACCCGAGTTTTGTGTTTGGTTTTGCAAACTTTTGAGGGCCCTCCTCAGGTGATGCAGAGCGCGGGGAGAAGATCCGTAGGCTATCAACCGATAGCCTATTGATAGCCTATCAGTGTCGGGCTAATAACCATGGCATCATAACATTCTGCTACCTTCAGGTTCCCAACAAATGACACCCGACTGTTTGCCACATTGTAGGCTATACGGAATCACTTGTTCCACATGAGCTGACTGAAAAGTGGTTGCCAATTCATTCTGTTGGGCGATCGGTTTACTATATATATTTCGCAAAATTTCCAACAAATTTAATTCACAAAACTACACTCGACAACAGCAACAATATCATTCATATCTTTTAATTCTGAACCGAAGCCCATTCCAAGATGCAGGAACCTACATATGACCCCAGGTAAGATTTCAGGCACAAGAAAACAAACCAATTGAGCACTAAGCTGATACCTACTTAGCCGACCCATGCCGGCCCTCGAGATCGCCTTCTCATACCATCTAGTGGGCATCCCAAATAAGAGCATTGTCAGTCTTCGCGTGGAGTTCCCTCCCAACGGCTCTACTCCTCCTCACCGACACGGCGGAGCCAACGTCGGAGCATACCTTCTCAAGGGCACCCTTCTCAATAAGATGAACGACGATCCAATGAAGACTATCCCGGAGGGAGGAAGCTGGTTCGAGGCACCTGGATGTCATCATCGCATCAGTGATAATGCTAGCAAGACTGAGCCAGCAACTCTGATCGCAACCATGATCACAGATACCGACGTCTTTGAAAGGGACGGTATGGCTGCTCTCATTCAGATTGATGAAGAGTATAGGCCTGCGGCATAATTATGAGGCTTGAAATTGGAACAGATAATTACTTTGCAGTTTACGTCCGTGGAATGCATGTCAATATTATGTATCGTGGGAACCCGGAGAGATTTCTTGTTTTCAAGCTATATGATGCATTTCGTGAACAAAAAAAAAACACTTACTCTGTTTCTTTCTGAGGGATCTTTTACAGAATCCAGGCTGCAAACTTGTGGTAATTATGCCTCCTTGGGGGGTTGTTCCGTAAGTGTTCCGTAAGGGGTTATTGTGTATATTTGATAAGACGACGGAGTCACGATCATCAACCGTTGTTTCCTAGGTACCACTCGGGGTTGACAAGAGCTACGATTATAACCATCAACAGTTTTTTATGCCATTATGTCTGATAGCGATTCCGAGTGTTAGGATCTGGACCTCCCTTGCGGCACATTCCGGTCGGTAAATTAGCCCGGCGAAACAAACAGGGACACGAGCAGATACCTTTCATTTGGTCTACGTTTTCGTTCCTTGGAGCCAGAAAATGAAGGAAATCTGGTTTCTACCAATGAATTAATGCCGAGTAATTTGTATCTTCGAGTGGCATCTCTTGAGCCAGGTGCAGCGACGACAGGAATTGCCATGATCTGCCAGACCTAGCCCAAACGGGAATGAAAGTTCGATTTGACCTCAATCCTCCAACATCATAGTTGGAGGACATGAGCTGGTACAGAGTTTCAATCATAAAAATAAATATTGTGCTCCGGATTTGGGACCGAACTCAAGTTCTCGTGGCTGAAAACAATGTTCAATGCAAGGGCCCGCTGTTTTCAATTCGGAGGAATGTAAGAATTGTGTCGCTTGGCAACTATGAAGGAGCTAAGCACGGCCTGGTTATAAGACTTGCAGGGAGACATGTGCTATATACACTCTTGCGGGGGAAACTTGTCGTTTCACTATCTGGGATTGCACCCACTAACTTTACACAATGCTGCACGCGAAGTCCTTGTTCCTGACTGTCATGGGCCTAGCTGCCTGCGGTCAGGCAGCCAAGGTTCACTTTGATCTTGACCTTACATGGCAGAGGGGCTCACCCAACGGAGTCGAGAGGGATATGATCTTTATCAATGATCGCTTTCCAGGCCCACCATTGATCCTGGATGAAGGAGATGAAGTCACAGTAAGTTCAATCTTGCTTCCATTTGAGAGATATACTGAAAGAAAATAGATCGAGGTGACCAATCACTTGCCATTCAATACATCTGTCCATTTCCATGGCATTGAGTAAGACCTCCGCGGACACAAACATCAGAGAAGCGCACAATTCTTAACTATTTCAGACAATTCAACACCCCATGGGCGGATGGAGTATCAGGTCTATCGCAATGGGCGATAAAGCCTGGTGAGAAATACCGGTACCAGTGGAAAGCTACAACCTATGGCACATACTGGTATCATGCCCACGACAAAGACAGAATAATGGACGGTCTCTACGGTGGCATTCGTATTCGGTGAGCATTCATCAGTCTGATTTTCTTGCGCCTCTAACGAAAGATCTAGCCCATCTGCCGACCGAGACTCTCCATTCTCAATGATCTCCAATGACCCTGCCGATATCCAGGCCATGACCAAGGCTGCTCATGATGCCCAGTTGGTCATAATGTCTGACTGGGACCATCTCGCATCCGACGACTACATGAATGCCTTGAAAAGCTCGGGATACGATATTTTGTAAGAATTCTAACATCCAAGGCAAAGGAAGACACTCACAATTAGCAGTTGCTCAGACAGCATTCTCATCGACGGAGCAGGCTCTGTATACTGCAAAGATCCTGACTATTTGACCAACCTCCAGCCACCTCAAGTAAGAGCGGTCGTTAGTGAGCCTTTGACAGATAAAGGGTGAGTTCATATTATACTTGACTGACCTGAAAGCCACTAACACTAGGCAGATGCGACCCGTTCATGGCTGTTCTACAAGGTAACTGGGAACACCACCCAGAGCTACTTCCTGCGGGATTGAACTCCGGATGCGTGCCTAGCGAGGGCCCAACTTCCGCCTTTGAAGTGTCACCTGAAGCTAGATGGGCCAGTCTCAACTTCATCAGTGCAGCAAGTCTCAAATCGCTGATCTTTTCCATTGATGAGCACCCAATGTATATCTACGAGGTAGATGGACGTTACATTGAGCCGCAGCTTGCGCATCAGGTTTCAATTTATAACGGAGAGCGTTACTCTGCTATGATCAAACTGGATAAGGAACCTGGCAGCTACACGATCCGGGTCGCTGGTCACGATAACCAGGTCATCTCTGGCTACGCCACTCTTTCCTACAAGGGCGGCGAACAAAACACGCGTGAATCAACCGCATACATTGACTACGGTGGTAGTAACACTACAGCCTCTGTCATTGATCTTGATACCAGAAATCTGCCACCATATCCTGCTATCCTGCCCGCGGAGGATAGTGACGATTTCCATCTTCTAACCCTCGGGCGGATCAACTCATCTTGGGAATGGACTTTGGACGGAACAACCTTCCTGCCTGCTAATCTGAATGAGATGGAGCCAGTCATCCTCAATCCCAAAGCACCCGGCTTGGATTCTGCGCTCAAGATTGAGACCCTGAATGGTTCTTGGGTAGACATTGTGTTCCAGCTCGCCATCCCAGAGCCAACCAAGCTTCAGCCACCACACCCCATGCACAAGCATTCTAATAAGGCATTTGTGATTGGCAGTGCAATGGGCAACTTTGAGTGGAACTCTATTGCGGAAGCAAAAGAAAGCAGTCCGGACAGCTTCTTCAAAACGCCTGTCTACCGGGATACGTTTGTTACTGCGCCAAATGGAGTAGCCTGGATCGCTATTCGTTATCAAGTTGTGAACCCAGGTCCATTCCTCTTGCATTGCCATATGGAGACGCACTTCATGTCGGGAATGGGAATGATTTTGCTAGATGGTGTGGATGCTTGGCCTGAAGTTCCTCCTCAGCATCTATAGATCGCTTGAACTTCGTTTTCTACAATTTCCTTTTCTGTCATTGATACACGTGATGTTTATTTTTAATTGGCTCGTCAATATAATCATCTGCCTTTGATCAACCTGCTCTGGTGTATGAGCACCGCTGACGTCATCATTGTTTGTTTGGAGAATGGCTCTCGACTCATTCGGTGATATACGAGTCGAGACTCATGATGGTAATGGGTCTGACATCATATTCGTATTCATAGCCATGGTTCCTGCCTGAGCTCTTCTTTTAATATGAAACTTGAATGAACACCAGAATCAGCAAGCTGCAATAGGACACATTTCTCAAAACATGAATAACGTTCTGATCAAACGATACATCACAAGGTCGTCCGCTTCATATCTTCCGAGACTGAGTCGAGCCTCTGTGCAAACGAAGGCTGAGCCCCCGAACAAGGCAGAAGATGCGCGTACGGCTGTCCTGACTCCCTTGGAACCTCTGCAGCATAACTGACATTCTGGATTCGCAGTAAACGTCGGTGCCTCATTCCCGGATGATTTCGAAGATTCTCCTTTGAAGTCGGAGATCCTTAAGCGCAGAAACAAAAATCCAGGTGTGGAGGAGTCGTATCATCCAGTAAGCACATTGCCTTGCACCTTGTGTCGTCAGTTTTCACTGATCATTTGACCTGTAGACTATGGAAGACATATACGACAGTGTTCGAGGGAAGAATCCCGCTGATAGGAAGCAGCCAGCCAAGCCTGCTCCCAAAGACCCAGAGCGGGAACCCGAACTGGATGAAATGTGAATATTGCTATTCAAATCGAAAAATTATGGCGCAAGTATTTCACCGGCTGTATGTACTTCTTGTTTTGCAATTAATTGTTAGTTTCTGTTGAATGGATGTTATCAAGGATGTTTCAGAATTCAGTCACCACATTTGGAAAGATGTTCGACCCAGGATATGGAAGAAATAATCATTGTAGTATAGAAACCTGAAAGTCTTCACTAAATACAATGCATATCAGGCTCGTTGACTCCAGATGTGCCCGCATCGAAGAAGGCACAGAAGTCAAAGTTCCCGTCCGGGAGCATGTCCAAAGCAGGTATATCCATAGAAGGAGGATTCGGGAGAGCTAATTCGAATGTAGGGAAATTAACAGGGGCATCCTTCGCCAGCGATAATAACTCTCGAGCAACAATCCCAATTTCGCGGTAAGTTCTCTTTCCAAGAACCCAGTGCTCACTGAGATGTTTCAGAGTTCCCATCATAAGTCGAATCTTCTCACGGCTTTGTGACAGTCTCTGGCCATGATAGATAAATCTACAAGCTGACAGATGTGCGATGGCCAGGTTGGCGATCATGCAAATGATGAATGGAGAGTGCGATTTCATGTTCGTTGGCAGAGTCAGCAGTTCATCGATGCTGTCTATGGCCGTCGTGCATTTTAGTGTGTGAAGGTCTTTTTCCTTTGCGTTATTGCATTTCAGTTGCTCTGATGGTGCCATTGGAGCACAGCGCGAGACGGATTCGATTGCACTGTGAGTCAATGCGGACAGGGGTCGGTGAATTTCAACAGTGTAGCTAGACCCATGTCAGAAATCCATTATATCGGTAAAGCAATAAAATACTCACGTGTGCATGATAAATAATGCCTTGAACATGACTTCATCGACAGATCCATCGGGCCGAATAGGATCTCTCTTCGAAGGAGGTAGCAAACTGTACCAAGCTCGGATGCAGGTATCAGAAGCCGAAGCCATTGCTATGTATAATTGAGAGTCTGTTGTACTCCCCGGCGATAAAGCCCGATCAATTCCAAGAGTCAGGCCGATGAGTTCCGCATATGACGAGAAATTAGAGTCGTATTCCGTGAAAAATTCCCGGTTTTCATAATCTTCAATAGATCTTGGAAGTGGGATATTCTGATGACAATGTCAGATCAAAAACAGCAAATATAAGCAGAAATGTTCACTTACTCCAGTTTCGTAATCATCTTCTTCACACGGGAGATCCGTAGTAATATTAGTCCCACTAGTTCGGAACGGATACGTGTGCGTACTGCCTGCGATGTGGGCGTCGGTGATGTAGATCACCCACCAAGTGCGTCTCAAGCTTTCCTCAAGGAGAGGATCACCATAACCATAGGTCCTAGAATACTCCTTCTTATTCATTCCAATGGATACTGCCATGCGAATTGTTTCATCAAGTAGCTCAACGCCTCGTTCTGGCTCATTGCACCAATAAACGACGATGGCAAATAGAAGTACAGCTTGAATATCGAAAGTCGTGAGGGAGCGAGTGGTAAGGCGAATCTCGCTCACTGCATCATTTGCCCACTGGTACCATATTTCAGATGGCCTCGAGCTGTCAAAAATCGACCCAACATAGCACAACACCCGAAGAAGGGGTTGAATTGTCGGATCGATGAGTCGCTGCTTCAACGCATGAAGTGGCAGGATACAGGGGTGTGCCGCATGAAATGAGTCATAATATAATGCCAAATACTGAGAACTAAAATTGAGTGATGCTTCAGTTTCCCCGGTAGCTGCAGTTGAAGATGATGGCGAGGTATTAGATGCTTGAAAATGGCTGTCCAGTGAGGACTCAATAGAGCTTTCAGGGACTGGAGCTTCAGCCGGGTATGTCGAATGCTTTACTTTTGGGTTCCCACGCCGACGTGAAGGAAGATAAACACACTCTTTTGCCTCCGTCTCACAGCGCGTGCATATTGGTTTTTGGCCGTCACAACGCACATGCTTATAGCGACATTGCGCACAAGACAAGGAGTTTCGCGTTGTGCGTTTTGTGGCACTCTTCTTACCCGGAGTGTCTGCCATTTATCAGAAAAAAAGACAGCTGAGATGAAGAATATTGGTCAAATGTTAGGAAGTTTTGAAAATAGATTCGACTCCGGGTATGGACGAGTCGCAGATTAGTCATACGGGATCGCCACCACCTGGGCAGCCTTGGAGCACATGAGGCTATGAAGCTGACGAAAACTCACTGATTATAGCCCATATCTCTAGTTGGTGACGAGTCAAATATGAATCGTAAGCCCGGAGAATGGGGTAAGCGAAGTAAGCGCCAAGTCGCAAAGTTCCCCTCGGTTGCCAAGTAAATCGTGCTGACTCTACCTCGTTATAAATGCCCTTAGTGGTCTAGCATACTACGCATAAAGAATAAGCAATAAACGTGATATTTTAAATCTGTTTACCACTATTCACATTGAAATATCGCAACACTTTCATGAGCACCTCGAAATCCAGAGTTTGATGTAGTATGAAGCTCTATAGCTAAACCAAGCGAGACCAGAGCCCGGGAAAACTCAACCATTACATTTGGGAATTAACGTGCCATGTATTCCATTGCGCTTCACGGTGATAGTATGACTTTCGTCGATAACGGAAAATAAACCATTCACAAGCCGATAAATATTGACCCAGCACAACGATGCAAATGTTCGTTTTAGAAGACCCAAACAAGAAATTGTCGGCAGCGACGATCACGCGAGGTCAGAGAGAACGCTGGACACTGCGCACCAGGAATTAGTTTTCTCATTGTTGTAAATTCGACGTAAGGCAGTTGTGGGAGATAGGTATCGCTATTTGGCGTCAATCTGGTCGCAAATGCAGCGCCCAAGTCTCTTGTTCTGGGTTAAGTATATTTAGACTTGTCTCTTTAACTGAACAAGAAAATTCTCGAGCAAAACTGATTAAATAGAGTTTCTAGTTGACAGCTGATCCCGGTTGTAGTCTTTGTATGCTAGAATTATGCCAATGTTTTCTTCATCAACCACTGATGTGCCTCATTGTAAACTTCTTCAGTCCTTGCCATTTCAAGCGATATCCGCTTAGGATCCCTTAAGATGGTTGTCGTAAAACCGTGTGAACACCCCATGGCAAGAGTCCATTTATATTTTTCTGTCTCGAATGGTTCATCTTGGTTCTCCTTATGTTCCAAGTCAGCAAGCTCATGAATCATTTGCTGAGCCTCAAACCGCAACATATCCCATTGTGCGCCTACACAGTAGATATAAGGCGGCAGATCCTCTCTTTTTGCATAACACGGACTGAGCAAAGGATCGCGTCTATTTTGACCCGGGGAAACAAAGGCCCAGTCAAACCACCAAGAGGTCGTCTCAAGAGTATCTGTAGGTCCGTCGGAATATGGCCGCAGAGCCAGTTTCTCATCTGGCGGGATACTAAAATCAACCGTAGGATAATAGATGATAGAAGCCTTGACGATGCCCTTCAGGCCAGGAAGCTGCGACGCTGAAAGTGCTAATTGGCCCCCTGCGCTAAAGCCTCCTATCACCACCCGGTCTTGATCAATTGGTAGAGTTTCATCTGCGAGAATGGCAGTGGCAAGCGCATGAATGTCGTAAGATGCAGTTGGGAATGGATACAATGGGGCTTTCCGATAGCTGAGGCTCACAACCATCATTCCAGTTCGTGCTGCCCAGGACGAAGAGAATCCATCGTCCAGCTCTGCATCAAATGAAGCGAAGCCACCACCATGAATGTTGAAATACAAAGGAAGAAGCTGCCCAGGCTTATAACCTGGCGGGAAAAAGATTCGGCACTGGAGACGCGATCGGCATGGATAGTATTTAATGAGTGCTGGTCGAGTTGCAGGCCCCAGGGGGTACAGAAACCTGCGCACAACAAAGAATGTAATGGCAAAGAATTTGAAAGCCCACAACCAGATGAAGCAATTGATGCGATGCCACAGGGAGAGTCTGACTTTTGGCAGTGGGGGAGATGGCATGTCGCCCTTTTGCAGATTTCCCATTTTGAAAATGGCCAAGAGTGTAGATGTTGGGGACGCAAAAGATGGAAGCGCAAGAGATAAGGCAGTCAGCAAAATCTCAACGTACGCTGAATTTGATTAGTTCGCTTATGGGCCTCATGGAGCTATTTGGCCCCCAAAAGCCCCCTAAACACACTTATCAGATCATCTAGAAGCCGACCACCGGAAAAGCAAAACTTGGACTCTTGCAGCAAGTTCGTTGCCTAGAAAACATTGAGCAATTTTATTGTTGCACCTTTTGTTGTCTTATTATTGCACTCGGCTTAGGATATCATCAAAGAAACGTGTTTTGGAAGAGGTCGCTTTTCTGGTTCGTTAAGCAGGGCGAATTCAACAATCAGAGACCAGAGTCAGGGAGTGGGAATGAATAAGAACGACAAAGGTCAAGTATGGGTACAGCTTTGTTGATTCAGCAAAGGCAAGCAGGAAGACGAGATAAAATTAGACAAAGACATGAATGTAACTATATGGAGGTGTTAGGTTTTTGGCGACCGATTGGACTCAATCTCTTGCGCAACAGTCACATCGCTGTCCCAACACTTGAATTTGCGAGTTGGGAGCCTCAAAGCAAACATGCGATCGATCTCCATAGGTGTCCTACCTTTCATCTCTGGAACAGACAGCCATGAAATAATGATTCCGACCGCAGCGAAACCAGCCATAACGAATCCAGTCTTTGCGCGCAGATTTCCTTCATCGGAATTATAAATATACGGCAAGATAATTGCGAATACAGCCGTACCAACACCCGAAGTAAACCATCCAATACCTTGGGCTTTGGCTCGGAGTTGAAGTGAGGATGTCTCAGATGCGACAACATGAGCTGCGGGCCATGATCCCAGACCGGAGACCATCGTAACGACCATCATGGTGATGGATGTGTACCTGTCACGAAGTTAGATTGATTTCTTAGACGTCAGGAATGAGATATTACCAGATCATCACAGTCCCGGTAAAGCATCCCGCAATCCCCATCGCTAGCCACAACACCATAGCAGTGCCTAGAGTCCCCAAAATGAGAGAACGTCTGCCAAAGGCATTCAAAGTCCACAGACTGACCACATTTGCAATCAACCCCAACCCAATTCCCAAGATTAAGAAAATCAAACTATTCGTTGAGCTCATACCCACGACCTGCATAAAATATGAAGCATTGGCCAATAGCTGCAGCCCAAACATTTGCGGTATCAGATTTGCAAAAGCGACAATCCACGTCCTTCGAGCGTTGACTCCTTGAAAACAATCAATATATCGATGCGTCTTCTTCTCTTCCTGCTCTATCAGGATAGATGCCTGCAACTCGTGAATAACAGCCTGCGAGTCAATGCTTGCCGTGTCGAGCTTCCTCTGTGCCGTCAAAGCAGCCTCAGTCCTACCCTTTCTCAAAAGCCACGTCGGACTCTCAGGCAAAATAATCGCCAACACAAGCGGCACAGCCGAAAACGGCCACTGGGATGCAAAACAGATACGGTATGCTTCAGGGCCCTTGTGCTTCAATGAAGTATAGACAACGATAGACCCAATAAGCTGGCCAAGAAGCGTGAAAATCGGATAAAACGCAATGATAGGCCCTCTGAGAACAACAGGAAGCACTTCCGACATGTATGTCTGCGTGACACAGAGAAGAATACCAATGCATATCCCTTGAAAAAGTTTACCCGCGAAGAAAACACCGCGACGCGATTCAATGCCGTCAGGCAGATCGGAAATATAGCAGATGGCAATTGCAATCGCCGAAAGGAAGCTACCGATCGCAAGAGTCAAGCGACGACCACGGCGATCTTGATAATAACCACCGAGAATAGAGCCAATCATCAAGCCGATGCAACTTGAGACGTTCCAAAGGGAGAGCCACATTGATGGTATGATGTATTTGCCGTCAAGCTCTTTCCCGAAAACTAGCCTGTTTCATGTGAGTAAGAATTAAGCTAGTTGCAGGGAGGATTGGAGGATATACTGAAATTGAGGCATCGCGGCCACTGTTCCCACGATGACAAGATCATATCCGTAAAGTAGGATTGCAGAACTCAGAGCCAGACAGTATCCCACGATTCTCGGCCATTTTTTGAGCGAGTGCCACAGTGGAATATACGACTTGTTGTTACCGGTAGAAATAGGAGAGATGTCTTCCATGCATTCAAGACTTTCTCTACTGAATTTCGCCATGTTTAAGTCTGCACTCAGGGTTAAAGTAGAAACGGGAAAGTCCCCTTTATTAAAGGTGCAGCAAAGTATCGGCAGGTAAAAAAAACCCGTATGCAACTCCTAGGGCGGGGGAAAGGTCAGTGCCGAGGATTGTTATCAAATGTCACACACGATGTGATGCAATATCAGTGCAACTAAGAATCTATACCATCTTTGTAATTGGCTCCTTGAGTCGATAACGATAATTTCAATTTTGAAGGAAAAGTTGAAGCATTGACCGTGATTTGCAAAGAATACCGGGACAGCTTCATGTCATTTCTTCCTCTTTGGGGATAAGGTCCGCCCCCGCACATTTGCCAAGTGGTCGACTACCAGAGTTAGGCCATCGCTTAGATGCATTTGGCTTTCTTTCATTACTTTCGAAGCTATTGATACGTCAGAAAGGTTGATCAGGTGAGGGTTTTGCATTTGCTGCGGGCTATATTGAAACTGGACGCCACTATCTCTGCTGAAAACTGCAGTACAGTATGGGTATTCCGAAACCCAGACGTTTTATGCTCATGGTTTGGGAATATAAGATGGTGGTTTATTTCATGTAATTCAGTTTGACACTGGAGTTGAAAATCTCGTCTCCCGCAGACTTTCCAAGAGTTTTCAAGCGCCATGCTCGTTGAAAGCTCTCACGAGCTACGGGAAGAGTTACCACATTTGTGGAAGCAAATGATACGATTCTAGACCCATGGCTTCCTCTGGCACCGGGGAACTTACAGTAGGTTTATTCAAAGAATTACCTGACTGCGACAAAATAACCCAACGAATACGGGAGGGTTTCCGGGACAAACAAAGAACAAGAACCTTCTCTCAACATTGGGAAAAGAACGAGTATCTTGGCACTCCAATAGATTGGCTATAAAGGTAAGCTTGTCGGGCAGGGGGCTTTGATTGGTGCTAAGTATTCATATTTGAGACTCTCTATCGTGCCAGGGTTCTGTTCTTGATGACTCTCCTTTAGATCGGGTCATGTCTCTTTCAACAGCATCAAAGCCCATCCGATTCCGACCGAGCCTCTCTCTTCTCCTCCAGATCCCTCAGGCGCTTTCGTGTAGCTTCGATCTCATTGTCCAGTTCCGCAGATGACGCGATTCGATATTTGAGTGTTAAAATCCCGGCAGAAATCACGAGAAGTGCAATCGAGACTAGATACGCCCACTGACCAACCTGCTGTGGACTCTCCTGCGATGGGCCGTCATTGTAAAGAGTCCACTCAGCCCATGCGACAAACGCAACAATAGTAAATGGGCTGATAATCATACTGAACAGCATGCCGAACAGAATGCCAGCATCAACTGCGACGTGTAGAAACGCCTTGATAAACTGCCAGGTAAGAAACGGCCGAAGTCTTTGCCAAACAGATGGTCTCTTGGCGGCATGTGCCACTGTGCCGCCGTCTTCCTTTCCCGTATTCTCCTCCACAGGACGTTTAATTCCATTGCGAATATCTTCTTTGAAGCCGTTCCAAATCCTCCGTCGAGCTTTCCAGATAACAACAATCTGGGAAGAAGGGATTCGTGATTTGTAAGGAAGAAACCTGAAAACCAGCAAAAGGCAGTTGAGAACCAGGCACAGAATAATGAGACTGTAGATATACCGCTTGGAGTACAGAATCTTGTTCCAGAAGCCATGCGAAGACGGAGCTGAAGAGTCCTCTGTAGCAGGAGTCGAGTGCAAAGACTCTGGTTGGCGTAAAATCTGGGTAGTGTTGAAGCAAGGATTAAAACAAATATCTCCTATCTGACCCCAGGCCGAGATATTTGAAAATGTTCTCCAAACACTGCTATTCCAGGTTGAAGTCCTCCAGGAAGACTGCCAACCGTCGTTTGAGGTGTCGTCATATGGAGGAATGTCAGGGTAGCAAAACATGTACTGCGTCGGAGTGTTTGGTATTTGTGCGGCATAGATCAGAGCGCAAATCGAGCCGGCCAGCATGAGTATGTTCCAGAGATAGAACAGGAGGTTGCGGGCACGATCGTGTGTCAAGACCCGGGACCAGGCTTGAAGTGGTAGAAACACGAGGTATCCAGTCACGACAATGGCAAGAACCGCATCGGCGTCCAGCTCCAAAGATGCAGGTGCAAGCATAACTTGATCTGTTTCAGTAACCAATTGAGGGAACTCCTTGATCAGAGTTGTATTTGCAGATATGAACGGAATAGTGACTGGACTAGGAGACTGAGGCTTTTGTTGGGCGGAAACGAGGATGAAGGCTTGAATTGCTGCCGTTCCTGCGTATGTCGCCGCAGCTCCCAGGAAAACGTCTGCCAGCCATCCTGTCCATCGAGTAGCGCAGCTTGCAAGGATGAGTGCATAGAAAAGGTATCGAGGGCATGAGTTGTAAATTGTGCTAATGGGGTAGTAGCAGAGTGTCTCTTGGGCGATGAACAGGGGTGTCCCTGTGCTGGGATCCATCGGTGCGATCCCCTTAGCAGTATGATAGGAAGAAACCCCGAGGGAGTTGATTCTACATAATAACTGTTGTATTAAACATCTTATTGTTTAGAACGTGCCGATCTTGTATTCTTTTGGTTCAGATCACTCCTTGCTTTCCATTTGCCGCTTCTGCCTGGAGTGAAGTCTCAGTCCTGACGTCATACATTCTACTATAAACGAGATATTTTGGAGAGCATTTTCAAACCCATTTTGCAACCCAAGTCGCAAAATACTTCATTGGGTTGAAGGGACTTTAATTATCTAAAATGTTTGTGTGTCTTTATTCATTACGCATAAAGTAGGCAACTAATCTCGAAGGTCTCAAATTGTAAGATTAACATGGCAACAATGCCGTCGTGCTTATGTGAAAGCTCACTTCTATAAAAACAAATCGCTCAATTGAAACCGATCTCCATCTTCTAACCCAAAGTCGACCAACACTGATATCACTTTCTCCTGTCATTGATCGTATCCACGATGAACATCACCAGTAGGTATATAGGACCACCACGACGTTTGGGGCGTTGCGCCTTTTCCCTGCGAGAGCCCTGACCCTGATAGGTACCATTTTCCATCTCAATCGAGGCACCCTGTCCATCAGAGACACTAGGCTGGTGGGAGTACTCCACACTGGGCCGCACTTGAAGTGTAAGGCCAATTCCAAGACACACAAGGACAATAACAATCTCTTCCAAGACAGTCATGACCAACTGGATCGTGACATTTCCCGAAAGCATGCTGAACTGGGTCTTGTGACCAAATGCGTAGATGAATGAGTAGATCAGTCGAACGAGAATCAGAGGGAGTGAGATTCCAACTGCAAGCAGAAGACGATGTTCTCCATCCTCGATGCTACTAGACCGACTCGCAATCAGGAGGAGCAGAATGCAGGCTCCAATCCAGGTGACCAAAAAGAGGACTAAGGCAACTTGTGTCTCGGTATTGATCATGCCGTGGGTGATATCGCTATTCTCGGTGTTTCCGACAATGCTGACGATCAAGGCAACCAGGGAGATAAGACTGACGCCTCGGAAGAGCATAGGGGAGAGGGGCTTGGCAGTTTTTCGCATGATGGAATCGTTTCTAAATAAGGGGTTAGTATCTGACCAGGTATTTGAGGACAGATAATGTCACTTACGCTCGCGACAGGAGACCTATACAAGCCAGGATCAATGGTGATATGCCCAGTGACGTGCAGACAGCCCATGTGATATAAAGGTTGATATTTGAAGGCGCGCTTATTGTTGCAAGATAGCACGCTGCACCAATGATGCGGGCCAGAGAGAAAACAACAAAGAAGTACCATCCAGAACTCTTCTTGAAGCCATGGTGAAATGCCATCCAAAGTGCGAGAAGTAACGTAGGGCTGTAAACAATGATCTCTAGGATTGAGATTCCATGGCGGTAGTCGATCATGATGGCTGATGCAATATATTAAAAGTCACGATGATGTAGAGTGTAATGAATGCTTTGCTCTTGAATGCTGCTTGATTGATGGGTGTTGGGCTGCTATTTAACCATCTACATCCTCCTGCTCGCACTCATATCCCAAATAGGGTTGCTCAGCTTCCTGAGGCTGTGCCTTCAAATTCGAGGCCAGAGCTACGCGCCCTAAGAAAATATAAGATTGTGGATCTGTGTTCTATTTTGCAGGGCTGCTGACTTCAGAAGGCTTAGTGCATGGGGACCAATCATGCCACGCTCTGTCCTGTCTCTTCGCATTCCTAGCCTAATTAGGTTTAGCGCTTACCTAGAAAGGGTTTTGCAGCAATGTAACAGAAACGGTTTCTATACTATGCTCACCTAATCCATTCTGCAAAAGAAATTGAGAGACATGACTCTGATTCAGTATTTTGTCAGCGAGTTAGGCCTTAGCTCGAATCCCAATAAATCGCTTACCATCTCACAATTATGTTAAAATGGTCGCTATAGCGGCTTTCCTGCTCGGACCCACATACAACTTTTCACCAACTGCATACTTAATCGGGACTAGCGCAACCGCATGGCCCTGCGCCTCAACTTGAAGCCACTGTTGCCTGAATTGAGTATCGACGTGGAACGCGCATCATCGCAATCTCGGGTTCGCCGACCTGGATTGAAACTACGCCGTGTGGAGAAATGAAGAATTATGATGGGCTCAGTATTACATCCTCTGGTCAGTATGAATTCAGGCAGAAATTTGCTGTTTAACTTCAACGCATACTTCCCAGCTTTCCAAGGGAAGTATATGTCCTGTAGATATCGGCTGTACTTCGGAATCTCTTACTGCTAAGACATTTCGAGAGTCAGCTGTTATTAATCTGATTTAATCCCATCATTTTAGCATAATCTTCACGCTCGCGCCACATGTCCCGCAGAGCCTCATTAATGGATTACCCTTCAAGGCCACACTTATGGTAAGGAGTTTTCCATAATCACGATCATTACATTTGCCGCGGCTACTGTTTCCGGGCTGTTTATTCTGTAGATGTAGCTTGCTGTTTTCGAATAACAGATTGTTATGACCGTGAAGCTAGAAATGAAAATTCTCATGACTTAGTAGGACCAAGATCATAACTCAGTCCTGCTCGTGGTCTTTCCCGTCTACAAGAAACGTATTGAGAATGGAGAAACACACAAAATGTTAACAAGTGGTGTGGACTTAACTGCAAGACGATCTATATGAATGTTGTCTCAAATCGCCACACTCAGTCAAATGAAAAGTCTTCCCCATTCGATTCTCCAACCTCGGCAGAGGTAAGCAAGAAGTATGGACGATATCTGTCTATGTTCCAAGCCGTCTGCTACACCACATCCTCCTTCGACGGTGAGAAATCCTTGAGCCCAGTCAAAACAAACCCATTATCTAACAGTAATAGGCTTTCTCGGGCCTCTTCTTGAGATTACTGGGTTAGAATTTTGAGAGCTTCGTTTTGGCCAGAGCAAATTGCCAATCAAGAAGTGGAACTTGCGATGATTAAGTTGAGAAAGAGCGTTGTATTGGCCGGGAGGTGGGAGAACATGCAGGCTTTAAAGAGGCGCACTGTGCTTTCTAAGAGGGAAGGGCCAGCTATGTCACGAATACGCTATTGACTCCCCTCTATTAATACGTAGTCTGGTATCGTGGTCAGCGTAGGTGCGCACTAACTTACTACCATTTACTCTGGAACATGGCAACTTGGGCGTTCTAGGCATGTGAAGAGTAAAAAGAGTTCAATGACACCTTTGAAGTAAATGATGGAAGTGACAGACTCATGCAGACTGTATCAAGTATGAGTCTAAATAGCACTGTCGTGAAACTAAGCTGCTCGTTTCTTGCTAGTATACCCTGACAAGGTCGTCCATATACCCCGAGCACCAATCGCTATCTCACGTCGTCCATCATACAGTGGATAAATAACAACAGCCCCAAATGCGCCGAACTGCCAAATGATCGACACTGTTATCCAGCCAGCAAAGAACTGTTTGGTAAAAATGTAGTCACGATAGAGAGGTAGTGGCCAAGCAACAAAAGTGACCAATACAATGGCTACAAACATGTAGCAGGCAATTTTCAGCCACCGATACAGCTCTTTCAGAGTGGCGTCGTCAAACGGATGCTGGATATTTTCCAAGGTAATTTCGATTGAGCCAGGCGATGAGAGAGTCGCTGGTGTTGCCTTCTCGTGGGCACCAACGTGCTCAGGGTCTGCGTTCGCTTCGGGCATGTTGTCAGAGACTGGCGTTACGGATCCCGTGGCTCGCTTCGCATCATTTTTGTCCTCTTCGCTGCTTTCATTGAGTGTATTTGTGTCCGAGGCTGGATGAATCTGGGCTTCATCTGCAAGCTCAATGCGCAGGAATTCCCTCCAGTCGAATGTGTAAGGGTTGTAAAGCGACAGGATTACTGAATATATTGCGGGTGAAAAGAAAGATGCAATAGCAGCGTAGAGAGCGGGATAGTTGTTTGACGTAGCAGCGATATCGACAGCACCGTACATCGACTTGGCTGATGCAAGCCAAACAGCTAGACCAGTGAAAAAGCCAAGAACCGGGGACACAATCGCGGCCAATCTGGTCTGGCGAGACCAGAACAAGGTGAAAATAAGCGGTATGATCCCAGGACATGAGATAATGGGTCGCATATAACTAATCCAAGTCATATTGGCACCGCCGTAGTTCATCGCGATCGAGATGCCTGTGATGAACACGCCATGAATCACCACGGTTAAATGGCTGACTCGCACAAGCTGTTTGTCTGTTACCTTTGGATTGAGGTAAGTCTTGTAGAGATCATATGATAGGATACTGCTGACAGCAATCATGGACGATGAGATCGTGCTGGTCAAGGCCATGAACAGGAGGAAGAAGAATCCTATAATGCCTTTGTCCCCGATCAGGGCCTTGATCGTGTATGGCATAACCATTCCCATGCTGATTTCTGTCGATGTGAGAGTACCTGGGTACGTTGGGAAGATTGGAGTGTTATGGATTGCTCGGGCGGTTAATCCAATGACTGTTCCCAGGCCCCATGGGATGCCAAAGACCGCCACGGCGGCGATATTGTATCCTGGTACTGTGGCTTGGACTTCGGTTGCGAATGACTTTTGCCAGAACGCCGTGTCCTAATTGATAGGTCAGTCTCAAATATGCTTCTTGCGTCGAAATAAGTATTCACTTACCATAACAACGAGGGCCAGGTTTCCAAACTTGAGAATCAGTCCCCAAATTATAGCGTTCTTGGATTTAAATGTGAGAAGTGAACCCTCATAATTTCCTGGGATATAATTTTCGCCAGCTGTTGCAACCACCTTATCGTAAAGGCCGCCTAGTCCACCGACCTCTGCGTTAGTCAAAACGGCGATCGTGAAGTAAATAATGAGGATCAATGCAATGGCCGTGTGTAAAAAGTCGGTCAGGAATGTAGCCTTCAGGCCACCCACTGCCGTATAAAGAACCACTGCCGCGCGCCGAGTTAGAATTCCGTCACACAGATGCATAATACTCATAACACACCTCCAAGTGGAATCAGGATGGTAGCAGCAACGAAGTGCATTCCAGATACACCGTATATCAGCTGAGATCCTGTCATGATCATAGACGCGCAACCAAACACATTGTTCACCAGATTGAGCACAATAAAAATGAGATGTCCAATCTTGCCATATCGCATGCGAACAATCTCCAGGGAAGTATGGGCATAGGGCACTCGAATCTTGGCCATTACCCCAAGAGCGGCCATCAATGCGATCTGGAAGCAAAGACCAGATCCCCACCACTAAACATTTGTCAGGCGCGCATGACTTCTAAAGCAAGGAAGACGTACCAAAGGAACTGCAAGTCCATATCTATAACACATAGCAGCCGCCAAGACTGTCTCGTTAATCCACATCCACGACGAGAACACCGCCGAAGCAGTCAACCCTGTACCAACAGATCGATTGGCCACCATGAACATTTCAGATTTCCCAGAATCCTCTGCTAGGTAGGTCTTTTGGACCTTCACTGCGATCAGAATCACACCACAAAAGACGACGCCAAGCCCAATCAGGAGGCCGTAGGCCGCCCCTTGGGATATTAGCGCCAGCTTGGCCGTATCTATCGTGTTCGACATGATTTTTGCTATGTTAAGAAAGCCATGGTGAATTGTGCAAGTCCAAGAATATTTAAAGTCCACAGGGTCCATATCGTGAATGCCCAGCATTTGGAATTTGAATCTGCAGCCAATGAAAACCTCCCGTGTCTTCGCAGAACAACCAACCATGCGGGTGTATTGCTCTCACGTCGTCCATGTTTGCAATTGCGTTATGTAGGTAAATTCGGCCAGACACGGGCATAAAGTGTAGAGCCAAGGCTATTCGAACGTCAATAGCTGTGGGAACTGCGAATGAAGTTTACAGTTGAGGGGGAAGTTGGGAGGATTGCGTGCCTGCACTATGCAATGGCGAGAAAATCACTTGCGATTAGCAAAACGGTCACTGCGGGACTCCACTTGGGCTTATTTTCTGTCGGCCGATATAATTTATGAGTTTGTGTACAGCTTCCAAGTAGAATATTTTCTTAAGAGCGAAACCCCCGGACTGTAAGCCCACAACAGTCAACCTCTATACTATTCCCCTGCAACTATCTTCAGAATTTGATGACCACTTTTCCCATGTGCTTCGCATCCCAAAGATGATCAAATGCCGCCGGCGCATCCTCGAATGAAAATGTCTTCTTGTCCATGATCGGTGCCAAACTGATCTTTTTCTCTGAGAGGAACTCGCACAAGCTTTGGTGGTCAATCTTTGAGCCCACACTGATGCCCCTATATGGTCCATAGGGTCAGTATATTTAATATCATGGCTATGATGTGAATACACACCTGATGGTTGCGCTCTTTAACAGAGTTGGGAGAACCGCATCAGTTGACTTGTCCGTATCAAATCCTCCCAAGAATCCAACCAGGGAAACAGTCCCTCTTCTAGCGAGAGAGGCGAGACTTTGGGCAATAGAGGAAGGCCCGACGTTGTCGACAACGACATCAACACCTCGTCCGTTCGTAAGTCGGCGTGCCTCCTCGTCCCATTTTGGGTGGTCACGGTAATTGATGGTATCGACAGTATGCGACCCCCCGATGGCCTTTGCTAGGTCAAGCTTTTGATCAGAAGACGATGTGATGATGGGACGGATGCCAGCACCCAAACAGATCAGTAAACTGAACATACTGACCCCGCCGGTGCCTATAAGAAATGGAGGTCTATCAGTATGCTCCTCAGTGAGTGTAAAGGGCTCTTTCTTACCTTGAAGAAGAGCAGTGCCGTTTGATCGTGGCATGTCCAACGCATTCCATGATGTCGTTCCTGCACAAGTGATACAAGCAGCCTATCATGAGATCAGTGACTTATGTCGGACATTAACATTCATTTTTTGTGCTTACCTCCTCCCAAGAAAGGTGCTCGGGCAAATGGAACAAGACATTCCGATCGAACACGGCGTACTCGCGCAACACTCCATCAACATCACCACCGAGCACAGCCACATCTTCTTCAGTGCCATCGATATTGTTCAAATCAAAGATAGGCGCCACTCGATCTCCAATTTGAAAGTCATGAACCTCAGATCCGAGTTTGACGACCTCTGCGGCGCAATCGGATGTCGGGATACCTTGCTTGATCACCTTGGGTGGGTATTTCCCGTGCATAATTGCAACATCTCTGTAGTTCAGCGATACAGCATGGATGCGAATTAGCACCTCGCTGGGCTTCAATGTAGATGGGACTTCTTCTGTAACCAGTTCAAGTCTGGTGGGTGTGTTGCCCTTACTATGCCGGAAGGCCTTGTAGGTCTGAGGGAGAGTCATTCTAATTTGAATGGTAATGTGATAATTTGGAGGATATTCTTTTGAGCTCTGGATTTTACGGCTTATTTTATAGGTTCAAAAATCCCGATGACCTAGATACTGATGATCATGATTAATAACTTCGCTATGTCACTGTCGTCCTCCAACTCATCGGCCTCCCACTTGGCATCCCACCGGCATCCCACCGGTATCCCCCCTTCATGTATAATTCAAGATTGACGTTTCAAAGGTTATAGTTGAACGAATTGTAATACATCCGCAAAGTTTGAAATCCACTTTTCGTGAAAGAGCTCGGATAGAGAAACGGTATTCTCATCTTGCGCATAAACTTCCCATTCATGACGTTCAGTTGAATGCCAGAGGAGATCATTGACTGGTAGAGGGAATTGAAGTTCGCCCGCATGTAGCAACGACCTGTCTTCCAAGCCGGCACTGCTCAGCCTGATACAGAGCTTATAAAGTGCTATAACAAATCGTTTGACCTCTTCAATTCCTACCCAGACAAATGAGGGCAGGTCGGCATCCTTATACTTTGCAAGCATGTTTGTATAAGAGAACATGCCCAATTTGCGACAGCTTCCGACAAGTGACTTTAGCAAATCCAGATCTTCGGTAGAGACAGGAGCTTTGAGGTCAAGGTTGACAGCACTCCTAGCGCCCATGATTACAGAAGAAATGATGTGCAGCAGGATGGCCTGGTATGTAGCTATCGGCCAGGCGCAGGCACTGCTGGCCCCCTCCGCTTTTGATGCGTCCCATTTTTCCTAGAACCCATACGTCAATAAACGATGCACATCTCGTCTCATGGGCGGGGAATTTGACATACCCGTTGATCTCGAATGGCACATCCGAGTTTATTATGAAGCTCCGCTGCCACCGACTGATCGGACTGCTCGCCTGATACCCACATGCCTATCACTACCATTGACTGTAAAAGTAGCGGGGCTTCCCGGCGCACATTGAATGATCCTCTATGGATGAAGGGCCAACGCGGGTGAAAGGCCTCGAAATAACGCTCAAGACACTCTCGCTTCTTCTCACAATGATTCGTCTTTTCCTGGTCAGGGTTAGGAGAGGAAGAGGGAGAGTTGGATGGTCTGGTATATGGATTTTCTGCAGTACTATGATGATCTTGAAAAGAACATTGAATTCTGCGACGGACGCACTCCTCACAGGGAACGCCTCCTTCGCATCGTGTCTTGCCAGCGTGGCAACCCGCACACGCTCGGCGCGCACGGTTCAAAGGTTCTGTTTTCTTATGCTGTTTTTGAACATGCCGTCGAAGTGTATCACTGATATTTACAAAAGTTAGAGTCGGTTGTTGGCGAACGAACGTGACGTAGATACCTTCTTCGAAATTTGCGACCACAGGTCGAACAAACAAAATTATGCTGTTGGGCGTGTTTTGATACTTCATGTCGATTTAGGTGCTCTTTGCGCCGGTAGCTGGCATTGCAGCCAGGATATTGACATCTGAACGCATCGAACGCGACTCCGAAAGGGGCCAATGTACCCTGGAGAAAATCGATTTCGCTGCCGAACCCCTCCATCGAACACAGTTATTGGCTCTGCGACTATTCAATGTTGGCCTGATGGGACGCAGTCGAGCCGATCAAGCCGAGCTTTGCGTGGGTGTTAGAATTGCGAAGCGATTCTTTGGCCTCCTACCGGTATCCCACCGGCATCCCACTGCTTTCGGGTCAGGACTCACTTTGAGGGACTGTGAATCAGACTGAATTCAAAGACAGTACATGCACATCATAGATAATGTATATTAAATCTGATCTGTGCATAAATAAAGGTGAGTTGGGGACATTGGGACAGACACAGGGTATAGTATCATCACTACTTGGTGGGATGCCGGCGGGCGGCCAGTGGGAGGCCGAATCCTTTCTTTAGTCTTCGCCACATATGGGATTCTACGAATCATGACTGTTGAACTTCGATGTCCCATTATTAATTGTTCATTTTGTGAGTATTATTCAGAAATAGATGGATCAACAACTGGACATAAATACCCAGCAAAGTCCCAGAAATATTAATTCTCTTCTCTCGTAAAATATATCTCATCGTTCAACCTCATGACTCCTTCCATCCTCATTGTCGGTGCCACTGGCAATACTGGCCGAGCGGTTGCCAAAACCCTATCAGAATTTCAATCCAGCAATGTTCTGTCCGGGCACCGCATCATCGCTCTCACCCGCTCCTCGAAGAGCCCAGTGGCCCAAGAGCTCGCCAAACTCCCCGGCGTGGAAGTGCTTGAACAGGACTGGGTTGAGATTACCACCGACTGGCTTCGCGATCACCAAGTCGCTCGAGCATTTATTGCGTCTCACAATGCGCCTAACCAATTTGCCGAAGAATCGACGTTCCACGTGAACGCCCTCAACGCCGGCGTGAAGTACGTCGTGCGCATCTCGACTACCGCTGCTAATGTTCGCCCGGATTGTCCTGCCTACTATCCGCGCCAGCACTGGGCTATCGAGGCTCTACTCGATTCCCCAGAGTTCAGGAATCTGCAGTGGACATCCCTTCAACCGAATGTCTTCACTCCGCTTGTCATGTCTTCTGCTGCGGAATTGATCAAGAAATACCGCCAGACTGGAGAGCAGGACACACTTCGGCTAATTCTGTCTGAAGATGGACCTACTGGGGTCATTGATCCTGATGAGATTGGTGTCATTGCGGCTCACCTCTTGTCTCAGGACGACATTTCCGTCCACAACAAGGCTAAATACGTTCTGAATGGTCCTGAAGATATCACCGGAAAGGGAATAGTCGAGATGATTGAGCAATATATTGGCGTGCCTGTCAAGGATGTCAAATACAAGGACTTGTCGTTCATCGATACGCTTTATGAATATCAGTATGCGGCAACCAAGCAATCGAAGAACGTCATCTACTCGATTACACGGGCTCTTGAGACAGAGTGGCAAGGAAAGTGCTCAATTTATACGACCAGCAAGGAGATCTTGGAGATTGCTGCTCCAAAGCGTACACCTACTGATGTTTTGAACACTCTGTTGGAACAGTAAAATCAATTCATGTGTTGGAAAATGATGCTGCTGAGTGAGGGGACAGACGAAGACTACGTTAGACTTGCAACTTCACGAATAGATTCATTGAGAAAACTATCTAGTTTATTCCTGACAAAGCCCATAGCCAAAGAAAATTGTTTCAGCAAATTGACACACATTCATTCAAGCATTCGTATCCGGAAGTAGGCACTTAGAAACTTCAACGTTCTCTTTTTAAGTATTGACCCAGCCATTTTTCATGCATGGAGCTCAAAGCCAACCGTGTAGGTCTTACCGATGGATCTGTCTAGAACACTTGGTATACTGACAGAAAGCAAGAATCGTCGGCGACAACGGGGTTTGGCTCTATCCCTGATCGCATTGGGAATTGGTGGATGATAAGCAAAAAACTGCGCGACAAGTTGGTCTATTTCTCCCGAGTCTACTTCCCAGTCATTCGAGCATTTTCGCTGAAAAACCGAAATTGACCTCTTCCTTCTATTTGGAGCTGTAAGTTCCAGTAACCGCTGGACTAGAATCGGGGGGAGCTTCCAGTTCATGAGATAGATCGTGGAAAGGAGTTTGGCATTTTCTGGTCCAATTCCAGCCAGAAACACCAATATCTCAGAGGTACCTTGAAACACGAAAGTGTTTTGACTGTAAAATATATGTCGTGCTTCACAATATACCTGTCGACAAGTGGAAAAGATACCCAGTAGATTTTTTGTAGGACAGTGCTGTAGAGAGACTTTCTTCTTCCTGAGGCTCTGTATTCTAAGCCCACCAAACATGATCTTGCGCTGAACATAGATCAGAAGATATTCGTAGATCATCGTTCGTAACTCTAGTCAATCGAGAGTTTCAAGTCAGTCAAGATATAGAACGGTAGAGGCCATTTCTTACCGGCCGGAAGACTTAAGAACACGAATCGGGGCTTGGGAACAACGAAAGTCGCCTCATCAAATGGGAATCTCCATGTGCGGAAGTTTCGGTACGGTATTCTCGGTGGAACAAATCCACAGTGCCTCGAACTGACGACATGCTGAATGAAGCGCCAGCGAAACTGAAATATCTGGAAACACGTTGCGCATTTGTAGAATTGACCGCTGATTTCCGCAGAGGGTATATTTCGAATACGGCGAATGGTTTTCTCTATTTCCAAAACGTCATGAACTCCGTCAGCGGGCAAACGCCATTCGCCGGTGTACTCCAACAAATGATTGATGGTCTCTTTTTTGCTGGGAAAGGTTTTCTGGCACATCGAACATTCTTGCGGTAAGCCAGGCATTTTGTCTTTGATCAACTCCAATTGCGAGGTGACTGATTCAAATTAGGGGCTGTATTAGAGGCAGCCCGGGGGAGAGAGACAGGCAGAAAGATGATCGATACTGTTCATAGAAATGAATTCAGATACCAAGAAGCTGGTGAATAAATACTTACAATAGGCTTTGTTGCCTAGATGTTAACAATTACATTTAAAGGTTGTCAATGAAAATTCAAGCGCCACTGCGCTGCTGAACTGTAGGTATAGGCTTTGTTCGCGCATAATGATCAATGGAAACTGCCGAACCCAAACTAAGTTGTTAGGCGCTCTCCCCTTAACGAGAAGTAATCGTGTCTCCTTTATGCTGCGATGCACTTAATTCACTGTTTTTAGTAGACTGCTGCTTATGATTCTGTCACACAGCATGACCATTGACTGCACTTTCCCTGAAAGGGTCAGTATTCATTGTTTACACTGCCATGTTCTTTTTCTACCCAAGGAAGATTGCGCTTTTCAACTCGACACCGTCATAGCCTCTGTTCGCGACAAACAGAAGTCTGCCGGACAGCGTGGAGGTAAAATTCAAGTCCTATGAAGAAATCAAGATGGGATTCCATGCAACAGGATAGTTAAATTCGCAATTCTGTGAACTAATGCTCTTGTTATTCGTTACCTTCCTGAACGGTGCGTTATCAGATCGGTCTTCACGTATAATTTGCGTGTTAATGGACTAGAGTCGATGTAAGTCTTCTCAGGATTTGATATTCTCACTCCTTTATGCATACTGCACTCTCTTTAGTTTCAACTGGTGCGAATATCCAAAGTCCGAAACCCGAGTGCCATCATGATGTTCGGGGCGTATCTATCTCCGCGCAGCCACGCTTATCTCCGCAACACCAAACCGCCAATGTACGATGCTGGTAGCTAGCCGGGCATATCGGTATTTGGAAATGGCTTTTGGACAATAGTTCTGAATATAGACATGATTATAAAAGAAAGAGGCTACAAGACAACTTCAACCTCCAACAACTATACACGATGGCACTGCGAAAGATTATCTTGGTTACCGGCGGCAATGGTGGAATTGGCTATGAGACAGTCAAAGCCCTGCTTGGATCCGACAAGCCGTATCATATACTAATGGGTAGTCGGTCCCTGGACAAAGCCAAGGTCGCAATGGAGGCTCTGCGCAGCGAAGTTCCTGGCACAACCAACACAGTTGAGCCTGTGCAAGTCGACCTGACAAGCGATGAATCCATTGAGAATGCATTCAAACAGGTCGAAGCAAGCCACGGTCTTGTGGATGTTTTGATCAATAATGCTGGTAATTAGTTAGACCTTCGGGTCGACCCATACCAAGCGAGATAATACATTGACACCCTCTAGGAGCAACATTCGACATTGAATACACGGCTGGAAAGGTCTCTCTCCGCGACTGCTTCAATAAAGCATACGATGTCAACGTGGCTGGCACCAATGTTATGACAGCAATATTCATGCCGCTTCTTCTCAAATCCACAGACCCGCGTTTGATTTTTGTTGCTGGTCTATCCGCCATCAACCAAGCTGGCGAATCGTATTTTCCAACACCTCCCCAGCCAGCGGGTTGGCCCAAGCAAATCGACTTTGAGACTATCGGATATCGCTGTAGCAAGACTGCGCTTAATATGCTAATGCTGGATTGGAACCACAAGCTCAAGGCTGATGGAGTCAAAGTGTGGGCTGTTGGGCCGGGTATGCTTGCTACCAATCTTGGAGGGATTCCGGAAAAAGCCAAAGCTATGGGAGCCAAGCATCCTAGTATCGGCGGGGAATTCCTGAAGATGGTTGTTGAGGGTGAGAGGGATTCATCGACTGGGAAGCTTGTGGTGAGGTCTGGGACTATGGATTGGTAAATAGCCCCAAATCCTATGTCTGCATATATGTGGAAACATCATTTGGAAAGAGCTTCCTGGGCCATGTAAATGCACCAAGTACTGTATGTCAAGTCAAGTTGATCTCTGAAAAGGTGAAGGTCAACTGGTGGAACCTTGAATGACTAACCCCTTTACCCGGGGTGGACCTGCGATGACTTCATTCAACAGTTATACACGGAAGCTACTGCATAACTTCAGGAATAATAACCACTTACAAATCAAGAAGCTCCCACCGGGCCCAAGGCTGGAATCTTGGAAGTTAAAGAGGCACGAACTTGCACATACCCCTTCATCGTTTACAGTATACAATTCACGCACAACTCATAATGAAAGAAGCCATCATCGACAAGACCGTCACGGTCACAATTCGCGATGTGGAGATCCCAACTCCTCAGCCAGGCCAAGTCCTCATTAAAGTCGTGGTATCCGGTACAAACCCAAAAGATTGGAAATTACCCAAATGGCAACCCGACAATGTCATGAACCAAGGCGACGACATCGCAGGCTACGTCGAGGCAGTCGGCGAGGGAGTCCAGAAGTTCCGCAAGGGCGATAAAGTAGCAGCGTTCCACGAGATGATGAGTCCTCATGGAAGTTATGCGGAATACGCCATTGCATGGGAGCACACCACCTTCCACCTCACCGAGAAGACTAGCTTTGAGGGTATGAAGAGACCGTGATCCAGACCAGCTGCTTGAGCGTTGACTAATCACATGAACAGAGGCTGCCACCATCCCTCTCGCGGGTATGACTGCAGCGTTGGGCTTGTACCAAGAGCTCAAACTCCCTCTTCCCTGGAGCCCAGCGGAGAAGCCCACTCCTCTTGTTATCTACGGTGGCGCCAGCGCAGTAGGTGCATTCGCCATCAAATTTGCCAAGCTCTCAAACATCCACCCGATCATTGCGGTGGCAGGCAAGGCCGCGCCCTTTGTCGAGGGTCTTCTTGATTCATCAAAGGGAGACACCATCGTCGACTACCGTGAAGGCGACGAGGCTGTTCGCTCGAAGATCAGAGCTGCTGCCAAGGGTTTGCCGGTGCACTACGCCTATGATGCTGTGTCTGAAAAGGGAAGCTACGCTAACTTGGGCGCTGCATTGACCAAACCTGGAGTCATTACGACTGTGTTGCCTACCGAGAGTGACGAGGCCGCGGACGGCATTGCAATTCGTCGCACGATGGTCGGGTCTGTTCATATGCCTCCCGCGGAGGGAAAGACTTTGGGTGATAAGGAGTTTGGAGCTGCATTCTTCCAGTTTATTGGACGTGGATTGGCGCAGGGTTGGTTCTCTGGACACCCGTATGAAGTGCGAAAGGGTGGACTTGGTGGTGTTGAGGGAGCATTGAAAGATTTGGAGGCTGGAAAGGCGTCTGCCATTAAATATGTTATGAGGATTGCAGAGACAGAAGGTGTCCTGCAGTAAACTGGACTTTTGATATTGCCAGCATCGACAAAGTACAAATGAAGCACATCCAAGTTCGTCACGCCAAGCCAAATCGGGACATTGTATAGATCGAAGCCAGAATGACATCACTGGCACTTTTCCAAATCGCGTCGCGTCTGACTTGACCACTTTTCTTTCTCTTTCTCGCTCTCAATTACCTCTCAGCTCCAAGCAACAATGGCTAAAAGAACCCTAGACGCATTCTTCAAACCTACCAATCCACCGCCCAATCCAATATCACCAATACCAACCTCAACCCCCAAACGTCCCAAAACCGAAGAAACACAAGCAACACTCAAACCCACAATCTCGCCAGCACCCCAACCCACAGCCCTCGAAGACCAAATCCCCCCAACCACACACCCAAGCTACCCAATCCCAATAGCAAACCTACCAACCCACATCCAAGTCGGCCTAGAACACGCAACACCAGCCCGACCACCACGCGAACAAAAAAACCAACCAGACCTCGACCTCCTCTATTACCAACCGTACATACCCAAAGAAACAGCGAACGAGCTCTTCAAGTTCCTACGCCGAGAACTGCCCTTCTACCGCGTTCAATACAAAGCGCGAAGAGGAGATATCGAGACCCAGATCAACACACCGCGGTACACGACAGTTTTCGGGGTCGACGAGACGGGCAAATTCCGCGAAGACAAAAATAACAATCACAATGACACCAACAATGACACCAACAACGACAACGACAACAATCCCAAGATAACGCTAATCGAAACCAAAACTTCCCTCCCGCCCCCAAAACACAAATACAAGCAGCCGCCCCGCCCAATCCCGCCGTGCCTCGACATCCTCCGACAACAAGTCGAGAAAGCAAATAACATGCGCGAAACCGAAAGCTACAATTTCTGCCTGGTGAACTACTACGCATCAGGTGAAGACAGCATAGCCTTCCACTCGGACGACGAGCGGTTCCTCGGCTCCGAGCCGAACATAGCTTCGCTCTCGCTGGGTGGCGAGAGGGACTTTCTCATGAAGCACAAGCCGTATGCTCCTGTTCAGATTCCAATTCAGCGGGGGGAAAGTACTACTGGAGATGTTGGGCGGACGTTGGTACGACCGCAGGAGCAGATTAAGATGGGTCTTAATTCGGGGGATATGGTTGTGATGCGGGGTGCTACGCAGGCGAATTGGTTGCATAGTATACCGAAGCGGAAGGGGAAGGCTGGGGAGATGACCCGGGGACGGATTAATATTACGTTTCGACGGGCTGTGGTGCCTGCTGGGACTAATAATTATTATCATTATAATGTTGGGGAAGGGGGGATGTATCGGTGGGATGAGGTTTCGAGACGGATGGTTGAGCAGGGGAAGGCGGCGGATGCATCATGATCGCATGAACTGTTATCTGCCAATATACAGTACGATTTGGGGGTAAACGATCAACTTGAAAGAATAGTTGGAATCCAAAAAAAAGGTAAAAAGAAGTGTAAAATGTACACGTGTGCCGCGGCACGGAAAAAAAAAAGGCATGTCTCGCTAATTTAGAGACAAGGAAACCGATCGAGATAAAGCAAACTCGTTGATGTCTGAATTTTCAAAGCCAATTTCGGCATAGCCTCAAAACATGTACATTTCCCCCGACGAAAATTAGACATCGAAACGATTCATCATGTGGCATTGGCACTGTTCGCGTTCCCAGTTGCCATTGTTGTCCCTCTGATTAGGGAATCCAGCAAGTGCTGGCTAAGAGAAGAAGGGTTGTCGTTGATACAGGAGAGCCATGGCTCTGAAAGGGTATGAGGCCCGGTTGATATCTACCAGACGATTTCCTCGCCGTAGACGTCACCGTAGCATTGGAAGAGATCGGGGCAGCTGATATAATGTTAGCTATGGTCGAGCTTGTGTGTCTGGGCGTACTCACAAGACAGGGTCTCTGCCGAAAATAATATGCCAGGTGTATTCCATAATATTGGCTGTCGCGTCATCGGGCAGGTCGTTGTTCATGACCCAGTCGTACATGCGCTGGTAGTCGGAACGAGGACGCTGGAGAATCTGCCCTCGGGACACGGCAAATTGGGAACAGCAGGGCGCGGCGATCACTTCAGGAATCTTCTCGTTGGGGAACAACGACTTCCAGGCTGTCGCGTAGTATGGTTCACCAGGGTTGTCGAGCCTCGGGGGGTTGCGGAAGGGCTGGATAGCGTCCGGGCATCCAGGTGTCAACTGGCACCGCAGATTGACGAAACCCTGTTGTTGAACGAACTCCTTTTGCAACGCGCGAACCGAATCCACGTTGCTGTACTCCATGGTGTCAATGTGCCATCCAGCGGGGAGACCGTCGCGGTGGGCGTGGAGGAAGACCACGGTCTCAGGAAGATCGTCGTAATGGTCGACTAGATATTTGAGGTAGGCAAGTGACTCTTTGCCCTTGTTCTTCGGGGTATGCATCGGGGCATTGGTATCGTCGACGGTGTAGATAACGCTGCGCCATCTGGAGAACCCTGTTAGTCCACTCCGTTCCCTCCACAAACATACACAATTCGTGATACTTACTCTGACAATTCACCGGAGGCCCACGACGTGTCTTCGGCCTTCAACTTGGCCATGACCAAGGCACCCTGATTTGGCACCTCGATCTGCGTTGTCTGGTAGACCAAAGCGGGTTTGTTATCCGATGCAACCCGCCATTTCCGGCGCGCAGCTGGGTCCTCTGTGGGTTCTTTGGGCTTCAGGGCTGTTCGGAATGCGGCGGTATCAAATCGCCATAGGTCTTTGAGGGATTGAGCTTCTGGTTTTAGGCTGCGGTTGACGAGCACAAGGGTAATGATGATGAGGGCGAGAGCCGCACCGATGCGTAGTGACAGCCTCATGGCATAACGCGGTCCTCAGGACGGAGGAGGGTGGGTGAACAGGGTAAAAGGAGAGGAGAAAAAAGTCCCAGAAATGAAAAGGCCACCAAGCCAGACCGTCTAATCCGCGCAATCTTAAAGTACTGTAATCAGCACCGCCCCATGTGGAGGCCGGGGTATTTTTTTTTTCTTTCGGGTATCACACGTCGCGAGACTAGGGACGAAGGGATGTCGATCAATCGAGGAATGCGACTGATGCCGTCGAAAGTGTGAGTCCAGTCAAGAGCAACAGAAGATCAAAAAAAAAGGAACGTCGAGGGTCACACTTTGGCCAATTGTGGTTAGCGTCATGAGTTATCACAGCAGATCGCTGATTGGTGGACGGACTGCTTTGGACCAAGTACCTTTGCACTGTAATTAATATGCAGAGTGACTTGGACAAGGCTTGTCTTGCTGCAGGTGTCCGCTCAGGGGTTTCATCGGCTTCTGCTGTTTCTTCTGCTGTGATTGACTCTTTACGCTGGCTTCTTCGCTTCTCCTGACTCTCCTGACTCGCCCAGACCCTTAACCTCAAACGGATCCACGGGTCCCGTCTGGACTAAATCAGTGATCGGCATGACCCCCTATCTCGGCCTCTGGATATTTCTCCACTGCAAGGGCCTCCATGTTTTCTTTGCTTCGTCATGTTGTATGCAGGGGATGCCACGGCTGTTCTATATATTCGCGTGGATTGGTGGACGCTGATGTCACCAACGCCCTGGATTGATACACCAAGTGATAGACGAGACCCTGAACGCATACATAATCTCCACGTAGCCGTAGATTACAAGCCTAGTGCCCGGCCCAAAAGAACCTAGTATTGGACCTCAACCAGGGACGACCCAGACATTTAAAGCGAACCCGAGTTTTTTTCTCCACTCTATAAGTTGGCCAAAGTTCATGTGTACAGTACGCCCGAACACCCCAGCACCAATGAAGAGGGTATATCCGCCAATCCAGTCCAGACCAAAGCACAAACCAAGCGTAAATCGTGCCAAGCTCAACCCGACTACAGAAAGAGGGAAATGATAGCCGGCACTAATCCCCTCCCGAACCCCCAAAGGCCCAATCGTCAATCCACAAATTCCGGACCCTAGCAAATATTCACATCAAAGTACTCCCGATCACCCGCAGTCCTCCCCAAAATGCACCGAGTACTCGTCGGCAGAAGCGCCAACGCCCCGTCACTGACAGAGCGATGCGCCTCCCCAAGATGCGCCATAAAGGTATCCAAATTCCCATAGACACCGGTAGATCCTCTCACCTCCACACAACAAAACATACAACAAAACGCACCACGCGGCGCAACGGCCGAAAACACCACCGCCGAATCGCGCTTGCAAGGAACATGTGATTTCGCTAGGAATTCCCAGCGGTACCGGATCCCCGTGGTGGCATGAACGCGCACCGTATTGTCGAATTGGGGGTTGTCGCTTTTGCATTTTGCAGCCATGGGCCCCTCAAAGGCACAGTTGATGCAGCGCAGCCAGGATACTTGTCGGTAGTACCCGCTTCCAGGTTCCGTGTGGATTTTGAAGCCGCGGAAGCCGGTGTGCACTTTCCAGGCGCCTTTGCAGAAGCCTAGGTAGTTGTTTGTCTTGCTTGGGGACCATCTGGGGCTGGGGGGTTGGATTGGGTGTTGGGCGAGTGTTATGTGCGAGGATGTTGAGCTTGTACTTGGGTTTGAGGGGGTAGAGTCTGTGGAGGCTATTGATGGAGGTGGGAGGGAGTGACGGTGGTCTTGGTGTTGGTTTTGGTGCATTGATATGATGTTTGCTGTTGTTGGGGAGAGGTGGTGGGTTGGTGATTCTTCTTTCAGCTGATATGTATGATTGATCTCATCATCCAAGTCCTTCCACTGGCTTCCCCAGAGATTGTCGTCTTCGACGGGACTCAGGCGGAGATTGGGTCTTGGTGGCAACCGCTCTTGGATCTCCAAAATTGGCTCTCGTGCTGGATCAAGTGATGGCTCTGGCTCTGGCTCCGGCTCCGGTGTGGATGGCGAGACAGTGTGGCTGAAGCCTGGGTGGTTATGGAACCCAGGCTCTGGTGCTGAAGATGGGAAAGACGACCTACTCATGCGCGGGGATCGAGAGAAAATACTTCCCATTGCCGACCCAAACCCTGACGACCGTCTTCTCGGTGATGGACTCGTATCGAACAGCCCAGGCGTGCCCTGCGCATCTGTAGGCGAAACAGACAACCCCTCGAACAGGAACGGCCCCGGCGAAACTGGATACGCCCCAGAAAGCTGCACCATGTCCCTGTTCGTAGATGGCGAGAACCGATCCACATTATGAGGAAAATACGCCCCATTGTACATATAACTTCGTCCATACATAGGATCAACAGTCATGGAGACAGTAGGCGGGATGGGCGATGCCCGCGACAGTCGCTGATACAAATCCCCCAGAATGACCAGTGTCCGCACACGACCCTGCTCAGACTCGACCTGCAGCGCCATCAGATCTAGGCTGGAGCCTTGTTCCTGTGCTTCTCGAAGATGTCTCAGCAGTGCACCTTGAAGGGTGATGATGATGTCCTTCATCTGCTCGCGAGCTATCGAGTCGCCTTCTTCGTACAGTCGACCTAGTTCTTGGTGGTGTCTGTTGTATTGAGACATGATCTCATGGTGGCCTCGTGCCAGGGACCACTCCAGGTCTCGGGTTGACTGGTCTGGCTGGCGGCGGCGCTCGTGCCATTTTTTACGGATTGCTGTGAACATGCGACTACCATCGTTATATGCCGATACCACTTTTATTATTAGCTTGGACGAAGATGACGGGATAAGGGGAGGGGAAATGTACCGGCTGCCACACAGGCTACGACTGCAATCACCTCCACCCCCGACATGTTCACTCCGACGGGGGAGGGTTCGGCCTAGTTTGAAGAGTGTGACCGTTCTTATCAAGAAAGCGACCACGCAGTGATAAGTATAGCATATGCTGCCAATGTGAGAGAAAAGCTTAGGAATGACAAGAGCTGTGGGAAGAAAAAGCGAAAATGCCCAGCCTTGGACAGGGACGCAGATTACCCAGGGCAAAGAAGAAGCAAGAACGGTATCGCCTAGCAATGAGGGCGTCAGTAGGCCAGATTGAAATACGATAGCTTCCAAGGTTTACCTGGGCATCGGAGTAATCTGCCAAAGCACGGCCTCCAACTGGGTTTCTTATCGTACTTACTGTACTGTACTGTTCTGACCACAGGCTAATTCTCGCTAAGTGATTGGAAAGCAAACATTCCGGCAAGCGAGAAAGAGGGGTTGAGGCTGATATTATTGAGGCCTATCACAGCTTTCCTTAGGGATTGTCGGGTCGGAGTATGAAAATCATAAATCTGATAGACCACGGTTTTGCATCTTGGATAGAAAACAAGAGATCTTTGGTCGGGTTCTCTGTACTTGTTTCACAGTCTGGGATATCGTCAGCTCTCGCACCATAATAGCCCGAGGAAACTCCCTGACAGCTGATGATTTTTAAGGGTAAAAGACAACCTTGAAAACAGTAGAAAATGAAGAATCAATGTTCAACTTCTGATCTGCAGCATTACCCCGGATTGACTCCACTGGATCCACTGATTTACTGTATACATTTTGCATTGTGTTAGTAAACAATGATGCATAACGTTAATGAGTCATAGCTAGGTGAGTCCAATATTTGTGACAAGACCAAGAAAATGTATAACCGGTCATGCTGTCACTCCTGGCCTACGCAAAGGGTCAGTTCTAGAGGGTTAACTGGCGAGAGATGATCGAAAATTCCTACATAGCCTCATCTCGCCGGAGAGTACAACCCTCACTGTGTCAGGGCCAATTTTCTACTTGAATCAATCTGAACTGTGCTAAATCACAAATATTGAATGGCACTAGCTTCACGAATTTATGTGCTTCCTCGCCTTATATCGGCAGTCCTAACCCGACAGAATATTGGTCATTCACTTCATTCACAATGTCCGAAATATTAACGTAAGTAGCAGGGAAACTGGTCAAACAGAAAATCACATGAACCGCCCAGATACAAACCTCAAAACACCAATGCAGCATAGATGCTAAAACAGACCCGATATCAAACCCGAAACACCGACCACAACAGTATCATCATCATATCAACACTCAGACGAGATCAAACCAAGCACTCAACAACACCTCCCCTTCCCCTTGGCATTTTGCATAATCTGCACTGCCTCCCTATTCTCACCCGCACCCCCAGCAGCAGGCGAAGACAGACCAAGCCAACTCTTCCTCTTATCTCCAATCCCAAGGCGGAAACTCCCCGTCCCCTCCACAAACCCAGGACTAAACGGACCAATAGAGCCACCAGGCCCACCAGTAGCCAAAGACGTACCAGCAATCGAAAGCGCCAGCTCCGTATCCCTCTTATTCCTCTGCTCGACCAACTTCCGCGTAATGACTCTGAAAACCTCATCAATACCCTCTCCATCTTTAGCACTGATCTCATGACAACAATCCCAACCAATTTCCTGTCCCCAGAACGCCGAGCTGCGCTTCGAGTCCGGGCTTTGCAGCGCCGCCGATGAAAACCCACTCCCATTCACATTCGTATTCAGATTGGTATTCGTATTGTTGGCCGTGGTATTGTTGGAACTATTATTCCCGCCAAAAACACTCGTGCTGAATCCCAGCCCCATACTCATGCCCCCGCTCGTCGCCGTAGCCGGCGGCGTAGACACCTGCGTGGGGTAGAGCTGTTCAGCGACGTATGCGATGGTTCGCTCAAAGGGGATGCGTCGGCTGCTCGGGTCCAAGGCCACGACGTCGGATTTCGTGCCGACGACGTGGATAACGAGCGGGTCTGCATTGTCTTCGCCGGTGCCTATGTTTCGGCGGAGTTCGCGGAGCCAGCCGGCCATTTCTTCGAAACTGGATTCGTCTGTTATCTGTACAGATTAGTGATGGTTAGCTTGGAGTACTGTAGTCTGCTTTGCCTGGTACTGCATGGTTGGTGTAGAAAACACAATGCATGGAGCAGATGGGCGCTGTCAAAAGTGGGGAACTGCCACTGAACACTGACATCATAGCATAGCAGACACGCGTGCGCTCCGCGATAGTACAGCCGTGAAATACTGCGGAAGCGCTCTTGTCCGGCTGTATCCCAGATCTGGAGACGGACGATGGTATCGGATGTGTGGTCTAGGACGCGCTTGGTGACAAAGGACGCGCCGACTGTTGAGGCTGTTGCGGGGTTAAAGGTGTTTCGGACATAGCGCTCCACGAGAGAGGTTTTCCCTACGCCTGGTTTGGGTTAGTTGGTTTAGATGGGATAGATGCAAGTATAGATGAGATGGCATGGGATGAGTATCTCTGGTAGATAGGATCATGTATACTAGTAGGCTGATCCACTCCACATCTGCAGGAAATAAAGCAAAGGGCAGCGGACGTACCTTGCGCGCCGAGAACGACGATCTTGGCCTCGAGACTGGAACTCATGGCGGATTAAGTGGATTTGGTGGTTGTATGGGCATGGTATTGCATGTACGAGGCTCGAGGGTGAGGTTGGTGAGGTGAAAGGGAGATAAAGAGGGATGAACTCGGGCGGGATCAGCCGATCGGTCAGCTGGAAGGTTATGGAGGTTTTTTATGTCTTGGAAGTTGGCAAAAGTTGCACTGATTTAACTGCAAGTGGTATACTTTAGGTTAATTTCGGGTCCTGTGCTGTGACTGGTTCCTCCTTACTGACGATGAGATCTGAGCCTCATGCGAGGATGCACTGCCTTGCATGAGTCACTTTTTAAACTCAGCGGTTTGACACATGCAGGGATTATCATAATATCCATGATATTGAACTGTCAGGTGAATCAAAATCTAATTTATTGCCTACGATCTACGACTTACGATCTACAGCTGAAAGGTTGAAGATGCATACTGGATCCATAGTAGTATTCAAAGCACGTACAGTATACATGAATCCCGATAATATCTATGCCGACCGAACCTTTTTAGGTCATAACAAAGACATGAAATCATCAACAATAGACCAGAACCAAGGAATGCAGATAGGAATGCCCATCGACAACCAGGGCCAGGGTGTTCATCCTCCAGACCAGAAACAATGGGTATATAAGATCAAAAGAAATAAGTAAAAAAGTAGAGAGAAAAAAGAAAAAGATATGAATCTGGCGTTACCCTAACCATGGGTTCAATGGTAGGAGAGAGCACATATGACATAAAATAAATGGCAGCGCACAGCGCTGTCACATCTTGGAAGCGATCGCTTAGGAGAGAGACTCCTCGTGACCGTTGACAACGCCATCGCTGGAGTCGCTCCGGGCAGAGGGCTTCTCGCCGCTCTTCTCAATGTCGCCTGAGCGACGGCTAGACTCGAAGCCGTACTCGATGGCCTTGGCTTCAATCTCCTCATCGGTGAGCTTGGGAAGCTCCTTGGCGGCCTTGACGTAGCTCATGTTCTCACAGAAGCCCTTGGCAAAGATGATATCGATCTCCTCCAGACTGCGACCAGCGGTCTCGGGGTAGAACAGGATCATGGGGGGAATGAAGACGGCGTTCATGATGGCAAAGAACAGGTAGGTTCCCCACTTGATGTTGGCAACCATGACGGGAGTGATCATGACAACAGTGAAGTTGAATAGCCAGTTAGAGCAGGTGGAAACAGCGTTGGCCTTGGCACGAGTGCGCAGGGGCGAGATCTCGGCAGGGTATAACCAAGGCAGAGGCAAGATGGAGGCACCGAAGAAGGCAATGTACAAGAAGAGACCGAAAACGGCACCCTTGGAAGGTCCAGGTCCTCCAGCGATCAGACAGCCGAAGACGATGATCATGGAAACCATCTGTCCAGTCATACCACCAATGAAGAGCTTGCGGCGACCGATCTTCTCAATGAAGAACCAAGAGAAGGTGGCAAAGATGGCGTAAACGATCATGTTAACACCACCAATAATCATGGACATGCGCTCCTCCTCGCCGAGAGATTGTCTCAGCAGAACGGGCAGGTAGTAGATGACAGCGTTGCAACCAGACAGCTGCTGGGCGATTTGGGAGGAAGAACCGATCAGCATACGACGGAAGTGCTGTGTCTTGCCACCAGTAAGGAGGTCGGAGTATCCAGCACCGTCAGCAACACCGGCGGCCTCAATAGACTCGATAACGAGCTGCTTCTGCATCTGGGTTTCGTGGGAGTCGATCTCGTAGCCACCGAGGGCAGCGAGGACGTACTCACCCTCGTGAACCTTGCCCTTGGAGATGAGGTAACGGGGAGAGTCGGGGAGGTAGAACATGCCAACCACGATGATGACACCGAAGACAATCTGGAAAGCAATGGGGAAACGCCACACAAGGTCATCAGGACCATAAGAGGCACCGAAGTCAATCCAGTAGGCAATCATAGTACCGATGGCAATGGTACCACCTTCAATACAGATGAGCAGACCGCGGTTGGTGCTGCGAGAGCACTCAGCTTGATAGGTAGGGATAGTCGAAGTGTTCATTCCGTTGCCGACACCAGTGATGATACGGCCGACGATAAACTGAGCCGTAGCACCATGACCGTCAACGGCAGCAATCTGGATAATGACACCAATAATCATAACGGCACCACCAGCCATGATCATACGACGACGACCCAGGGCATCGGCAGTGAACAAAGCGAACATAGCACCAACCAGACAACCCAACTCATAGACGGCAGTGACTAGAGCCTGCATGACAGAGTTGCCAGATGTGATGGGTAGGAACTTGGCGAAAGCAGAAGAGTCAATGATACCAGACATGACACCCTCTGTGGATAGTTAGCATCTGCATGCATTGGATATAGAACAGACCAACATACGATCATAACCGAACAGCAAGAAACCCATGGTAGCGACGGTTGACACAGTCAACGACAGGGGCCTGCCCGACATGCCGGCATATTTCGGCGCCATGATGGAAAGTTGTGAAGAGATAGATAGGTCAAATGGGCTATACAAGTCCTTGACAATCAAGGGACTACTCCTTCACGTAAAGAGTGGCAAAAACTGGAGTTATGAGAGACACGCGGAGAAGAAAAATGGCAGCAACCCCGGGGGGAGGGAGATATTTGAATGTCTCGCCATGGACGAATGTGGCAAGGAGATGCATCGTGGGGCATTACTCTATAGTAAACTTTTCCCCCGTGAGATGGTGCATGTACGAATAACGAAGCCGACAGCGTCACCCGAGTCCACTCCACCCAGGGCGCAGACGGTCGACCGAATCATAGGCGAGGGTGGAGACAAGCCTGCCGGATGCATCAATAATGGCGGGTTAAGCATTTCTCACTGACCCACCACGGTGCAGCGGTAGTTTGCGTCCCTGATGACATCAGTTGGCGATTATCACTGGAGAGGACGAAATTTTTAAGAGGGTCGCGCTTATATTAGACATTATGATTGGATTTTGTTAAGTGGACGCGGACAAATGGTGAGTGGTACTGTGTAGAATAGACCGAAAAACATTTTTGCTTTTTTTATTTCATTTCTAGTAGAAATAATTGAAGACATAACTGTAGGGCACGCGGCAAGGGCGAGGATATTGCCGACCTTGCTGCTCACAAAACAGGAAACCTAGCCGAACCTTTAGGAACCCCCGATTTCTTAGTCAATTATCGAATTCCTTTCTGGGAAGTGCTGGAATTCAGGGAAAACTCATTTTTCCCAGGTGATCTCCCTACGTAGGTGGTAACTACAACCTTACACGGCTAAGACTCGGGATCGCATGCAACGGAGTCTGCCAAGTCTTCTCGGCGGTACAAGCAAAAACGGAGTCGGGAAGCCGTTCTTGTCCCGAGTGGAAAACGAGCGAATGCGTGACTAGCGGCACGCTAATAGGGATAGCCTCGACCGTGTTGATCGACATGTGGTCTTTCCTCGTATAGAATGTGCATAAACAACCTGAACAGTGCGTCTCCTTGCTTTCCCTTTCTCCGCGTCTTCTCCCCCTTCTTTTTTTTTTCTTACGCAAGAACCAGCGCGGGGATTACCTAGGTAGGCTATTGGTACTTGCTTCACTCCCGTACATATGTATCGTCTTCAGGCCCCCCTGAAGTATGCATCATGCCGAAAACAATCAAATTATGCCCTAATGCACGCCAAGAGTTTTCGTCAACCACACTTTGGTCTCCTCGTTCTACTACAGTACTGTATAAAATCTTAGGTCGACTTTCAGCCCAACCCGACGAATGGGGTGACACATAAAATGTATCAAAGAAAAATCTGAATATTGATCCCGCCCCACGTCATGTCTCATTAAAAAATCGATTCAATAGGGAAAGAGTTTTTCATCGGACAGGCTCCGCTATGATGTAGTTGAACCACTTCGCGGCGCATTGGAAGTTTTCTCGAAAAAGGATGGTGAGAATCGCTACCAGGCAGCTGAGTTATTTAATTTCTTTTTTTTTCGTGGTGGTGGTTTGATGTACTATATCTTTTTCCACTCAACATCCGAGGGGACGAGATTGAACGTTATACTGTAAAAGGGCAGAACGCTTTACCGTAGCGTAGGACTATCATCATTCAACAACATCGTATTGCGCGTCGAATATGCCCACAATTTCAGGAGACCCCGGGCCATCGGAGAGATGCGGTTCTGATCTCGTTATCTTGGATTCGAGACCGTGGGGGTCTTGTAGAGGAGGGGTTGTCGCTTACTGCAGTTGTTGTGGTCCAAACGATGTCACTCTGCATGTCCGTTGATACCAACGTGCAGCTCGCCCGTGTCGCCCGTGCCGGTCGATCCCAGAAACGTCATTTAGATCCATTGGGCATGTTGTTTGGGACATCCTCAAGGAGGGTACTATACATGCCTTTAGGCAAAATGCATAGGGGGCAAAAAGAAAAGCACGAGCTATGGGTGAAGTCGCCGTGGTTCGGAATAATATTTTAATATGCGGTGTGGGATGAGATAGGCTACCCAGATAAGCGTGATTCGTAGGTGCCAGGAAGTCTGACTTGTTAATGATCTCAATTCTGGCCACTCCTCGTTCGGTTCCCAGATCTCACTCGCATTCCAGGTTTAATGGCCTTGTTTCAATTGGAAATTTCATGGTTGAAAGTGCGGTTAAAGTAGGCTGTCCATACGTCAGTGGCCATGAGGCAAAGGGGCTCGTGCTGGAGAGGCGGAGGCGCGGAGATGTGGGTGAAGGTGGAGGTTCGGAAGCCCCGGTATCTCCAGGGACTTGTTGTGAGGGAGTGATTGATGACTGAGTGGTCAGTCTCATGGTGTCCGTGTAGATGCCGATAGGACTCTCCCTCGCGGATGGCCAATTCGGCCTCCTTTTTGTCGTTCTTTCTCTGCCGTGCAACTCCAAAACCTGGTTTTGAGAAGCTTAATGTGGGATCGACAGTGGCGTTTGCCAAGGTTGCTTGATCTTCTTGGTCTCCGATCCACCGTTTACCATGTCAATGCCCATTCTAATACACGGCTGCTTGGCTTGAGTCAATCTTATCTTGAAGATGTTGGACATGAATCCGGGATGGTCTGCTCATGACGTGATCACGTGACATTCTACAATGCTGATGCCTCAGGCCTACATGCCTCGCCTTTCCTTCCCTCCCTCGCATTCCAAATCCCTTCTTTCTTCCAGGAATGCCATCGTTCTATTTACATCTTTCTAGAAGCTGAATGCAGACAAAATCGATCGACCCGGGGACATGTCCCGGGAGATGTAGTGTCTCCATCGGTATTGGCTAGATCGTGCATGTATATGCCGAGGTCTTCCTTGCTAATCACGTTTCAATATTGCTCTGCAGCAGACATGAGTTATTTTTTTCAACCCAAGCTATCGAAGACTAGGCTATGAAACTATCAAACAATACAGAGTTCGCAAGACATACTTTGACTGATTAATACATTTGCAGCTGTTGGACGGTGGGCCAATGACCCGAGTCGGCCGAGAAGTCTCCCCGCAACTTTTCGTCCCCGGACTCCTTTAGCCCGAGGTCCAGAGGACGTCTTTTTCAAGTGCATCTTCTCTTTCCTTCTAATACTTCTCTCTCCTCTATGCAATAGCTCGATTGTATTCATTTATCATCTCTATCATGGCAGGCAAACTCACAGGTGCCTCGGTTGCCGAACACAACTCCAAGGATTCGTGCTGGGTGATCGTCCACGGCAAGGCGTACGATGTAACAGAATTCCTCCCTGGTATGTGCATCCTTCCTGCACCTTGATCATGCGTTAACACGCCCAGAACACCCGGGTGGCCAAAAGATCATCCTCAAGTATGCGGGCAAAGATGCGACCGAAGAGTTCGACCCCATTCACCCTCCCGATACCCTGGACAAGTTCCTAGACCACTCAAAACATCTTGGCGAAGTCGACATGTCGACCGTCGAGCAGGAGGAAAAGGCATTTGATCCCGAGGAATCCGATCGCCAGGAGCGCATCAGCCGGATGCCTTCCCTCGCAGCGTGCTACAACCTGATGGACTTTGAAGCCGTAGCACGCAGGGTCATGAAGAAGACCGCCTGGGCATACTATTCCAGCGGAGCAGATGATGAAATCGTACGTCGTGAACCCCCCAATCATCCGGCAAGCGCTGACCGCCATAGACAATGCGCGAGAACCACGCCGCATTCCACAAGATCTGGTTCCGCCCCCGCATCCTTGTGGACGTAGAGCACATTGATATGAGCACGACAATGCTGGGCACAAAATGCTCCATCCCCTTCTACGTAACAGCGACTGCGCTGGGCAAACTAGGCCACCCCGAAGGCGAAGTGGTCCTCACCAAAGCGGCACACGCCCACGACGTCGTACAGATGATCCCCACATTAGCTTCTTGCTCCTTCGACGAAATTGTCGACGCAAAGCAAGGCGACCAAGTCCAATGGCTGCAGCTTTACGTCAACAAAGACCGCGAAATCACCCGCAAAATTGTCGAGCACGCCGAAAAGCGCGGCTGCAAGGGACTCTTCATTACAGTCGACGCGCCCCAACTCGGCCGCCGCGAGAAAGACATGCGCTCAAAGTTCTCAGACCCAGGCTCAAATGTGCAATCCGGCGGCGACAACATCGACCGCTCGCAGGGCGCCGCCCGCGCCATCTCCTCCTTCATCGACCCTGCCCTCTCCTGGAAGGATATCCCCTGGTTCAAATCCATCACTAAAATGCCCATCGTGCTGAAGGGCGTGCAGTGCGTCGAGGACGTCCTCCGCGCCGTCGAGGCCGGTTGCGACGGCGTCGTGCTATCCAACCACGGTGGCCGCCAGCTCGAAACAGCACGCTCGGGCATCGAAGTGCTAGCCGAGGTGATGCCTGCTCTCCGCGAGCGTGGCTGGGACAAGCGCATCGAAGTCTATGTCGATGGTGGTGTGCGTCGTGCGACGGATATCCTGAAGGCGCTTTGCCTTGGCGCTAAGGGTGTTGGTATTGGACGCCCGTTCTTGTATGCCATGTCGGCTTATGGGCTTGAGGGTGTTGATCGTGCTATGCAGCTGCTTAAGGATGAGATGGAGATGAATATGCGTTTGATTGGCGCTACGCGGGTGGAGGACTTGAATCCCTCGTTGCTGGATACCCGTGGTTTGCTTGGCGGGCATTCTGGTTTCGTGCCTTCTGATACTCTTGGACTTGGGGCTTATGATCCTCTTGAGGCTCCGAGGTTTAATGAGAAGCCTAAGCTATAGATTTAAAGTTTGGGCTGGATTTGTTGCTTATTTACATCAATCGTGTATATATACCCATACAATGTATACAAACCTTCGTTTCATTTCGATGACCTAAATTACTAGATTTATAAACATGTCAGGTTTAAGCCATGTCATGCTCATATCCAAAAGCTCCTATCGCACCGACAGGCATATTCTGGCCAGTGTAAGCTTACGAAATGGTCCCGCCAGCATTTGCTAAAAGTTATTATATCTGAAGAAAGAATGATAGTGGATCTATACTAGCGCGAAATATTGAAGAAAAAATTGAGCTGTTCAAGTCTAAGGATTCATTAATGTATAGTGTATCCCTTATATACTGGAAAACACTACCTTAAGCTAGTTCTAACCCGATTCTTAAATGATGGATAAAGATCTGTCAAGATATAAGCCTAACACCTTTAAGCAGCATTGATTTTTAGGCGAATGGTTAAACGTCCTCTTTATAAGACTATGGCAGTCGTCTATGAACCATTCATGGCATAGGTCATGACCAGTAGCCGCAATTCTCAACATACATATTTACCGATGACAGCTTTTACACATTCGTTGAAGAACTCGGAAATCCCGAAGGTAAGTACCAAAAATATATTTAAACTTGGAGGATTGCAAAAGGAATTGAAAGATTAACTAGCTCAACACTGGTCATAAGTTCAGAAGTTAGTTATCGTCAGCAAGAACGGCCAATCGTCAACCAATTCATGACACCCACGCTTTGTGCAGTCAAGACGGACGAAACCACACTAATCTTAGATAACTAACACTCAAGCGACCACAGTACCATTTTCGGACCGTAATGGGCCGGGCCGAATATAGTAGTGTCAGCACTACTCTAACTAAAGCTGAACTAATGGTGAACTAGGGCTGAACTAAAACCGAACTAAGGCTGGGGAGTAATGATGTAACTGGCTCATCACGTAGGGCGAGAAGAATCTAATATCGAGCTTCCTTGCTAGTGTTATTATTGGGTGACGGAAATTCGTGCTTTTTCTGATATGCACTTAGGGCCAGAAGCTCACAGAAATCGGACGCCCACGCCAGCATATCAGATATCTTTCCCTCTAACTCTCCGCCATCCCCCAGAACAAAATAATATCCCTGAAGCCAGAAGCAAGTACTGTCACGGTTTACAAAATCTCAGTTATTCGGCGGACGATGACTACACCGATCATGCTAGGCTTAGTAGTGCTCTGCTGTGTCACTACTGTCTTCGCAAAGAACACCCGATTCCTCAATTTCTTCCCAGTTTACCGAAACGACTTTCTCCAAATCCGCGATGGTCCATGTGCTGCAGAGTTTGCCCTGAAACAATCTGGGGCAGAAGTCTGTTGGAGTCTCCTCAATTGCATGCTAGAAAACACAAGCGAGGCGATCAAAGGCGACATGGGAAGCGGAATCGTCGCGTTGGGCCTAGGACCAACGATTCTTACATTCCTCGGTTCAGGTACAGCAGAGACCAGTCTTCTAGCGCGACGCCGACCGCTACTCGCGCTCCTCATAGCATCCGGCTCTCCAGCAGTTAACCCTCTCCCAACATTCGTTTACCCAAACCCAATCGAGGAGCTGAAATCAAGAGACAACCACCTTGCAATAATGCATTTCTCCTCTAGACAAGCAGTTTTTGTCTCGATACTGGAATATGTTCTTGTCATGGGGGCTATCGCGAACGTGTACACAACCGCTTTCTACATGGGATCCTGGACCATTAATACAATTAGCTGTGACGATGTTTGGTATCCGGCACTTTGGGCTGTGACTACACTTTTCATTCACATCTTCGGCTCGTGGTGCCTCGCACTGCGAGTCAATACGCCCCGGAAGAATGAAGGTAGCCGAAAATCCGCAGAGAACGGCCTTGGTCGGTGGATCAGACATGAATTATCACCTTGTATCACGCACGATAAACTGGAGTTGATTTGGAAGCCGGAGAGCTATTTGTTTGTCGCGATATCTTGGTGGACGTCTTTGCTTACAGTGGTGCATCTCCTGTACGGAACGATTGCATTCAGTTCCATTCAATTTATAGGTGAGACCTTCTATATTCTGGATCTTGACTATTATATTTCGCTAACAGCCTTTAGGATATGTCGATAGCATTCAGATCATTGCCAGGTTCATGGGATCCGCTGTGGTTTGCCGCGCAATTTTGATGCTTGAGCTTGCTGGCATGCGAAACGCCCTAAAAAGTGAGAGTTCACGCGAGGAGTACTCTCTAGTGCAAGCGGCGACCGCTACGTTATCTTCCGGTCAAAATTCTCAACGTTTTGTATGACCATTTGGAGGCAGGGTTTGAGCGCAAACTATAGATAGACACCCGTGTAGCCATGGGAGCCCCAGAGTTCCCACACTGATATCAGAATCAGCGTTCAGTCTACTTTCCATTACTTTACCATCATCATTGTTGCATACCTTTTATCAGATTCTATCTCGCTTACCCATCTAGACCCGGAGACTAGCACAGTCTCACAAATAATAATGGTGTGTGTTGAGAAGTATGGCTGCTAGCTATAGCCTATGCTCTAGATGGGCAATGGGCCGCTATTATGGTTGTTCACAATTGAAGAATCGGACTAAAACCAGCTTAAGGCAGAGTTTCCTAGTATTTAAGGGATTCACCATATATTGTGAATTTTCAGACTTGAACAACTCGAGTCATTCTCCAACATTCTATGCAGAGTATAGAAATATCAGTCATCGTTCTTCCCTTTAGACATTGTAACTCTTAACAACCTCTACCAGGATTGAATCTAAGCATACTGGTTAAGCAAAATTTTTATTGTAGTGCTTTTGGAGCGCATGAAAAGGCCCTCAAGATATCACAAAACGCCTGTTTCCATGGACAAAACAAGTGAAAGGAATTTCACGAGCTACAACTATGAAAATTGTTCCAAAGCACCCAGTAGAGTCATTTCCACTGTATATTCGTAAATCTGAGCCCGCGATATTAAAGTATGAATTAATCTAGGTATCAGTCACAGCAATACCAAGTCGACCTCATAACCAAAACCACCACCCAAAAGATCAAAGCGCCATATGAACCATCCACAAAGGCTAAAGCATCGACAAAGAAAGAAAAGAGAAAGTAAAAAAAAAAGGCTGACACCATGCAGTGATGCAACAAGACTCACTCTAGACAAAAACTGCCAAAGCGAAAACCTGCAAAACCACACCCATCCAACAACCCCAGCCCCAAACACCAACAGCAGGAGCCGCAGCGGCATTCTTCTTCGTCGTCTGCGCAGCAGTCACAGCAGAGAGAGTAGTCGACTCATTCCCACTAAACGCCGGACTAACATCCACATCGACACTCTTATCTCCATCACCGCGACCATTCCAGAAGTCCCGAATCAATTCACTAGCCAGCTCAGCAACACCATATGTAGATGCCATGAGATGCGTCGACAGCGCGATGGGTGGCACACTGGCATCTGCAACGCGCACATTCGATAATCCATACACGCGCAGCTTGGCGTCGACTACTCCGCCCTTGGAGCGGGGCAGCATGGCGCACGAGGACGATGGGTGGAATTCTGTGCTTGCTTCTTTGCGAATCCAGTCCATCCAGTCGTCGTCGCTTTTGATGGCTGTTCCCGGCGCGGTTTCGTTCGTTAGACTATCTGCCAGCGGGGAGGTTTGGCCGAGTTGACGGGCGAGTTTTAGGCCTTGGAGGAGGAGCTCCATGTCTTGAATTTGTTAGTTTCTGGTTTGGGATTGGGGTTTAGGTTGTAGGGGGATGGCGTGGTTGAAGGTGTATTTTGTGCTTGGGCATGAGGGTATGGGACATACCGGCTGGATTAGTCAAGTAGTTGGGGTCGATGACTGGGTAATCAATCGGATTAGAAGAATTGATGTAAATTCTTCCGTGGCTGTAGGGGTGTTGGAGTGCAGCAGAGATACCAATGTCGCCATTTGCATCGCTGTTCATGAGCAGCAGCTCGATCTGGCCGATTGGGCTGTTGAAGATTGTTTTGACGGTTGTGTTGTAGATTGTTTCGTAGCCTGCTATCACGCTGTCGGAGTAGGTTGTGTTTGGTTTGTAGCTGTTGAGATTGGAAAGGATGCTTGTTTCTTCGTCGGAGACTTTGCTACCGTAGATGCCTGTTGCGTTTACGTAGGCCACTGCGGAGTCGATGTATGATTTGAAGAGGGTCGAGTCCTTGTCTGCACCGTTGTCATAGTAGATTGAGCCTGCAGTGTCGGCGTTTGTGCTGAATGTGACGGTGGCACTCTGTATATGTGTTAGCTTTTGGTCAGGGGAGGATGGGGTGGTTTCACGCACCAAATGGTCTTGCAAGTGCTGTCCGACACCGGGAAGTTCAGAGACAAGGTCAACACCAGCGTCGGAAAGGACATCCTTGGGTCCGACGCCACTGTAAAGGAGGACAGCAGGGCTGCCGATAGAGCCACTAGCTAGGATAACTTCCTTGTTCACCTTTACGGACAATGTCGTTGTTCCATTATCCATGGTGTACTCAACAGCACTGGCAGTGAGGTTGTCCGAAGAGGAAGAGTTGTCGAAAACAAGACGTGTAACATGGGCCTTGGCCAGAACATCGTAGTTACCCCGATCAGGCAGCGGGTCGAGATATCCAGTCCGACTGTAAGACCGAGTCCAGTTGGAAGGATTGATACAGGAAGTCGACACCTCAGCACCGAAGACGTCGCCTCCATACATGTTCTCGGAAATGGCAATTCCCATGTTGTCCAGCGATGTTGACCAGTAGCCGACTTCAGGGAAAGTGCTGGGGTAGTGTTAGCATGAAAATGATTCAAGACGGGAAGACGTAGACACGTACTAGCCAGGATAACTCATGTGGATTGGACCGTCAGTGCCGTGCGTCGAGGCATTCCATGTAATGCCTGCCTCTTTGACCACGTCATCGGTGGGAGGCGAGAAGGTTTCACTCTTCTTCATGGCGGCGTAGAAGGAGTCCCAGGACCAGTTCTCGTTGCCGTCCATGTCGCCGAGCATATCCTGCCAGGCATTGATTTCTTCTTTGCCGGGACGGGTCATGTACAGTCCGTTGATGGCAGAACTTCCTGTGCATGCGTTAACAATTGAGTCTGCAGAGCAGGCTGGAAGAGAACAAACCTCCGAGGGTCTTGCCACGAGGCCAGTAGATTTCACGATTGTAAGCATTAGGCTGAGGATTGGTGTAAAACATCCAATTCAGCGGAGTGGTCCAGAGAGAATCAAAATACGAGTATGCAGGCGTATCTTTGCTTTATTAGCCTGATCATTTCCAGATATGGGATGAAACAAGAGATACGCACCAATACGCTCACGATAGTCGTCGCCATTGTCACCGGCTTCCAGGACCAGGACAGTGTGATTGGTATCCTCGGACAGACGACCACCAAGCACGAGACCAGCTTGGCCACCACCGACAACAACAAAGTCATAGGCATCGTTGATATCCGTGCGCGGCGATAACGCGTGGCCTAAGGGGATGGCCGCAAGGGCTATCCCGAGATAATATGTGCACCACATGGTTGAGGGTGAAAGATGTCCACTGCAGACATTGGCGATCACGATCTTTTAACCGGCAGCTATCAATTCTAGGAAACACCGTGCCTGGTTCGAAAAGCTTGACCACAGTCTCATTTTTACGCCGTGTGTGGGTCGAACGCTTCGATCTTATCCTATACAGTCTACTCGACAACACATTATATTTTACGCCCATTGCCGCTAGTAAGGTGATGGGGCTGCAGTACAGCTAGGTATGGACAGTTTTTGGGCCAAATGGGGTGATTGTTTCCATGAGAACAGGTTCTGGGTAACGCTATTACTGGTAACAAGTTAGGCGATTTAGGGTTAGTGGAGGGACCGGCACAAATAAGATCTCGGGTGCCCCTATCACTCCACTTGGTTAACCAGTCGATGTCATTGCGTCTCAGTTTCTTCCATGTTTTTGATGTCTCACGGCGGGATCGTACCTGAAACACTGACGCAAATGTATCAGACATCGAGAGGGTTTGTCATTACACTTGTGTAGTCTGTACTGTAGTCCACTGCAGAGTCCACTCCATGTGGCGACCTACAGAATATTCTGCACGAACCCTATTCCACGGTTGCCAAGATCCATGAAAACTTCGGTCTTATAAAAAAAAAGCCCTATCAGTAATAAAAGCCGATGTGTGTGATACCTCCGATAATAGGATCGTGCTCATCGATCGAGTCCAGTCAATTGTTGCTTGTTCCTCGGCCTGCTGCACCCAGATAGGCTGAACTGTCGTCGATCGTAATCACCCCTTTCACTGTGGCTGAGGCCTGCCAATCCCTTCTAGACCCCTCTATTGCCCCGCGCCTATTAAGTCTCTACTCGGAGGCATAGCATTACTCGGTAGAATTGTTGCATATCCATTCATTCATGTCAGATTGATATCGTGTATCTTGTATACTAAATCTTAATCTAGTTGGAAATCTTCTCGGAAACCTTGTTGCTATAGCGACATGCTAGTTAGTAACGTAACCCTAATAAACCACCTGGGCAAAGAAAGCAAAAAAAAAAGCAAAAAAAAGCAAAGCATCAAAGGAAAACATACCCAGTAGCCTTCTCGTAAGCCTCACGACCAGCATCAGTAATCTTCTCCTGCATGCTGCGGTCGATGTTGTAACCAGACTTGCTCACACCGGCAGCGAAGGCTAATATATGATATCATATTAGCACAATCCACAGTGATTGTGGATAGAAAAAGCCACACATACCCTTGTCAACATAGTCATCATTCTGCTGGTTGGTGTTGTTGTTCTGCTGCTTGTGCTCGCTGCTACCGGTAGCCTTCTCAGCAGCCTTCTTGAGGAAATCCATTATGGCAAGATTGTCAGGTGAAGATAAAGAGTGGGAGAGAATAGAGTTGATAGGGCTGTATACAGGAAAGGAAGATCAAGAAGATCAAGAAGATCATGAGGGACACTGTCTGTTTATATAGCTTGCCCAGCCCTGTCCCCCCCTCCTTTGAAAGTCAAATCTTGGCTCCAATACTGACTACTGGACTGAAGTGCTATCCACACGCTATCTATTTGCGAACCGTTGCTTGGGGTGGGTATATCCCCTGCGCTATTTACCTACTTGACTTGCACATGTTTGGGGGGTCCTTAACGCGGGGATTGGTCTGTTGAGGGGGGATACTCTGCCAATCAATTGACAATGTTGCTGGGTTGGTGTGGTGAAATCTATCTTCATTTGTGGCTTTAAGCTTGGACTTCATATATAGTAGAGTTGATGTCATTATTGCTAGGATTGCTTCTTGATAGATTAAAGATTATATACTTTTGAAAGTAATGTACAGCGATCTGCTATACTACAACAGCTCAACTTAACCCCGAGAGATATGGATACTGTGCCTTGGTTGCTGCAAATAAATGCCCAGCATAGATCCAAAACCCCAAGTCAACATTTGAGTATCATATGATCAGTGTGGTATGGTGATAAATGAAAGAAACCACACGCTATGCACGCGGAACCAAGGTTAGAGGTTAAAAACCCTAGGTGGATTCCCCAACTTCCCACTGCTGCTATACATACAAGCAGCATTCACCATCCATCCACCACCGAGACTCTCACCACCCCACACATGAGCCCAGACGACTCCCAGGATACCATAGAGCACAACCCGCGCCGCGTCCGCCCATCCAGATAAATCAAACAGATCACGGAGGAAGCCGGCCAGCGAAGCTAAGCGACCATGCTTTGCGCGCGGGCGGCGCGACGCACAGAGTCGTTCCCAAGCGCGCTGGGCCTCGTCCCAGAATATAGGTTCCTGGCCGGAGGATTCGTGGACATGCCCGAAGACGTGCAAAACCGGGCGCACGCGCCAGGATTCGGCAAGGAGGTTCGGACAACCGGCTGAGTAGATCGGGGATAGGTCGAGGTGAGATTGTGGTGGGGTGTGGGTGACGAGAATGTCTGTTTCTTGGGGGATGGTGCCAGACCAGGCGTCGTGTTGGGGTGGGTAGGTGAAGGCGTGTTCCGGGCCGAAGGGGACTATCGCGGGGATCTGAGGAGCACCGTAAATTGTGAGGGAGCGCGGGCGCGTGCTTGTTAGGGGCGTTGTTGAGGTTGCTGCTATGGACGGGGAGCCCGGGAAGGTGAGGGTGACGGCGGAGTGTTGGAGGTAGTGGATGTCGCCCCAGTCGATGTGGGAGGCACCGGGATCATTAAGAGAGTGAATGGAGGATGTCGAGGAGGAGACTGCCGCAAAGGGGGCGTTCGAGTCTTCCTTGTCTTCTTCTAGGCGTGAGCGCACGTCAAAGTAGCTGTCGTGGTTGCCGCAGATGGCGATCTTGTGTGGATGTGGTAGACTTCGCAGCCAGTCAACATTGGCTTGGATCTCGCGCGCTGAGCCATCGTTGCTGAGGTCGCCGGCGTGAATAAGCAGGTCTCCATCAGGTATGTCGGGCCATTCTAAGGTGTGGGTGTCGGAGATGCAGACCACTCGGATTGGACGGGCATCTGGAGGAGGGAGACGTGGTGAACCGCGAAGACGAAGAAGAGTCTGATGAACTGGATAGAGTAGCGCTACCAGTGGTGAAGCAATGAAGTAGTCGGGGATTGGGCGACGATCGAAGGGGCCCATGGTGGTTGTCAAGGTGAAGTTGGAGATGTGCCTCGGAACTCGAGATCTGGTGACATCAGCTGCAAAGCTGTTCAGGCATAACTGGGCAGATATTCTGGCAGTGGTTGCCCTTATACTTGTGGTTCCAGTCAAATAAGAAATAGCGATAATCCTACAGCCAAGCCCCGATATCAGCTAAATAGTGATCCTCTTCCTCGTCATCACGCTCTAGGCTATTTATTTTCTACTCAATGCGTATTCGCCACCACCTGGCTGCTTGCGGAACAAAGTTACCTTCACATCTTCGAACTCTTCACTGAGATATTCTTCATCTCTTGTGAGAATCCTTCTCTCGATTCCTGACAACGACCGGATTGCGTTCCTCAGGACGTCCTTTTCCTCCTGGTGACTGTCGACTGTCGACTATCCCCGACTGTCAACCCTCAACTCCCGTCAACTACCAACTCGACCAAGAAAACACAGTCAGGTCTTGTCCTGTCGTCAACCCCGTCAACTTGCCCAACGATTTGTCCGTTCATCGCATCTATATTGACGGTCCAAAACCATCCACCGCCTAGAGCCAGCCGTGCCCCGCCTCTCCCTCTCAAATCTCCACACCATGGAGGGAGTCGATCTTACCAAAGCAATGCTCAACAAGGGCAAACAAATGGCTAGTGTCGCTGCGTCAGCTGCCAATGGCAATGGCGGCAAGAAAAGGAGAAAGGGCACTGATCTGAAGCCCATCGTCACCAATGAAGGAACCCCCACTGAATCGTATGTGATGTTTTCCAATGATCGCCTCCCATGCTAACTCTGCCCCAGCACCGGTGCCGCTCCCAACTCCAAACCTGGATCGCGTTCTTCTTCCGCCTCGTCGGGGGAGGAACTCGAGGCCACTGCTGAGGAGGAAGATTCCGAGGATTACTGCAAGGGTGGATATCACCCGGTCGCAGTGGGCGAAACATACAACAATGGCCGCTATGTGGTGGTGCGCAAGCTCGGTTGGGGCCATTTCTCCACGGTGTGGCTGTCAAGAGACACCACCACCGGGAAACACGTTGCGCTGAAGGTCGTGCGATCGGCTGCTCACTATACCGAAACCGCGATCGATGAGATCAAACTTCTCAACCGAATCGTCCAAGCGAAACCATCCCACCCCGGTCGGAAGCATGTCGTTAGCTTGCTGGATTCGTTCGAACACAAGGGACCGAACGGTGTCCATGTCTGCATGGTGTTTGAGGTTCTTGGCGAGAACTTGTTGGGATTGATCAAGCGTTGGAACCATCGTGGCATCCCGATGGCGCTCGTTAAGCAAATCACAAAGCAGGTGCTCCTGGGTCTAGATTATATGCATCGCGAGTGTGGGATCATCCACACAGACCTCAAGCCGGAGAACGTGTTGATCGAGATTGGCGATGTTGAACAGATCGTCAAGGCGCATGTCAAGGAGGAAGCGAAGAAAGAAGCTAAAGAAGACAACAGGAATGGGCGTAGACGGCGGCGCACCTTGATCACTGGTAGCCAGCCGTTGCCTAGTCCTCTCAACACCAGCTTTAGCAGCTTTGACTTCAAACATAGTTCGTCGAACTCCCATAGCAGTCTCAGCCAGATCGTCAACGAAAACACAGGTCAGTTCTCTATGCCTCGGCGCCTGATTTTGTGTCGATGCGCATTACTCACATATATCAGTACCCGCAGATACCCCGTCAATGAAAGAGCTGCTCGGCGTCAAGGAAGAAGATGAGAAGCAGTACCAGCGCGAGAAGACAGCGTATGCCCCCCACCTTCCCCGTCTCTCTCGCCCCTCTAATGTCTATAGTGATCTTCTGGAGAGGGAAGTATCTGGTATTTCTCTTGATAAAGGTTCTTCTAAGCCCCTTGAAGAAGAAATCGATGTCAACATCATCTCCGTCAAAATCGCCGACCTCGGAAATGCATGCTGGGTCGGCCACCACTTCACCAACGATATTCAAACCCGTCAATACCGTTCACCCGAGGTCATCCTGGGTTCCAAATGGGGTGCGAGTACCGACGTGTGGAGCATGGCTTGCATGGTAAGTGAAAGTTATTTCTATCATCCGAACGACGAATCTAACGTTCCAGGTCTTTGAATTAATCACCGGAGACTACTTGTTCGACCCACAATCAGGAACCAAGTATGGCAAAGACGACGACCATATCGCGCAGATCATCGAGCTCCTCGGTCCTTTCCCCAAAACTCTCTGTCTCTCAGGGAAATGGTCACAGGATATCTTCAACCGCAAGGGCGAGCTGCGCAACATCCATCGGCTCCGACACTGGGCCCTGCCCGATGTCCTCAGAGAAAAGTACCACTACTCGATGGAAGAGAGTATGCGCATCAGTGAACTCCTATTACCCATGTTGGATCTCTCACCAGAGAAACGCGCCAATGCCGGTGGGATGTCGTCTCATGAGTGGATGAAGGATACATCAGGGATGGACGGGATTGATCTAGGCATTGCCCCCGGAACCCGTGGAGAGGGCATTGAAGGCTGGGCTACTGAGGTCAAGAAGCAGCGATGAAATGTCACCCCTTCTCTTTAGTCTAGATGGAAATTTCTTTGATTTTCTGCGGACATGCCCTTATGGCAATGATGTGAGTTTTAACGATCTTTTTTCCTTTCCATTTACGGATTGATGCTGGTTGGTTCTATGTGCTTGTTCTTTTCATCTCTTTCTCTTCTTTTCCATTCTGTTTTTCCACTTCTTGGGTTTCTTGGTAGTCGGTTGGACGCGCTTGTTTTCGTATGCCCATGTCCCCTCCGCGCTTTTGACTTCCCCATCCCGTCTGACCTTCCCTCTCTCATGTCTCCCCTATAGACTCTCCTCCTCACCTTACCATTCAGACCATGGATAGGATACTTCACTGGCGCGTTACTCTCCATGTACGATGTCTATCCACTACAGATTATAGCCAAGTCTCAATCTACGGAATCGATAGTCGTTCTATTTTACATCTCTTCTTATCTCCTTGCTAGATCTGATCTTGATTCAAATGGCAAATAAGGTTTAAGAATCGTAATTTTTATAAAGATCGTCGCGGTATAATATTGTTCATGGATTCAATATTAATACATGGTTGCCCAATCTCTCCCCATTATCACGATTCCTCGCTGGGAAGCTGCTCTGGAAACCATCCGTATTTCGAGAGATCAACATATATGTCGCCCATGCTGTCCGTAGTCGTTTCCACGCCTTCTTCCGCTAGCGCCTCTGCTTGGCGGGCTGCACTGCCCGGTCCGCTGTGTTGTTCGTCAGTCAGGTGTTCGAACAGCATTGGACATTTACTTGGACCAAGCGTGGTGATGAGTGCCCAAGGCTGAAATTCAGGCAGAGAAGTCGACTGATAACATGAATAGAACATACCGATGCGATATCATCCCTTTTGAATTGATCACTCGTTGCCAGGGTACGGTATTTGAGTTGAAATGTTGGCCGGACTCTGCCGCTGGGAGGACCTTTAGACAGACTCCAACTTGACGAGGGCGTTGGGCTATCTCAAGCAGATATTGTTAGTTCATGTTCCCATTTTCTGGATATTAGTTCGTACGTTCGCCCAGTAGAAGTGCGATATGCCCGTAGCTTGTGACTTTGCCTCGGGGGACTTCTTGGACAGCCTCGTAGACTGCATTGGCCCACCATTCTGCTTCTTCTGAGCGGGGCATTGTGCCTTCCTTGGAGAAAGAAGGGAAGTTCTGGCTAAATGCTGAATATTCTTCTCACATTCCCGACCTCGAATCGAGAGACATACATTCGACGCTAGCCAGCTACAGTTCGGGGAAATGTTACTCCGGGTATCAATCGATAAATCACTGAGCTCAACCTACACTCTGCACGTACATCTACACAACACCCCGAGATCATGCCAGGCTCGCTCGCAGATTACCTAGCAAAGAACTACCTCACAGCCGATCCGGCAACCGAGCGCCCAAAGAAGAAGCGCAAGAAGACCAAGGCAGTCGACACAGCCGGCTCAGGCCTCATCATCGCAGACGATGACCCACCCGACATCCGCGCCTCATTAGGCAAAAGTAACGAAGACGACGAAGACAGCCCCTACATTGAGCGAAGCGCGAAGAGTGCTGAATTCCGCCGTGCAAAACAATCCAGCTGGAAAACCATCGGCGGCCCAGGACCAGGCGACACAAGCGAACAAGCAGCCGCAGACGCAATCCTCGCCTCAGCAGCAGCCGAGCAAACAGCCCTACAAGACGCCGAAGAAGATGAAGGCCCGACAATCGAAGGAGAAGGGGACGATGAAGGCGGCGCGCGAATGGAATCCGGAGCTCGAGGCGGTCTCCAAACAGCAGCACAGACCGCGGCGATGGTAAAAGCACAAGAAAAACGGCGCAAGGCCGAGGAAGCCCTCTTCCGCGATCCAAGCGCCTCAAAGGAAAAGACACAGGAGACAATTTACCGAGACGCGTCCGGCCGAATCATCAACGTCGCAATGAAACGCGCTGAAGCCCGTCGCGCCGAGGAGGAAAAGCGCGAGAAGGAAGAACAAGCGCGCGAGGCCCTCATGGGTGATGTTCAGCGACAGCAGCGTGAAGAGCGCAGGCAGGAACTTCAGGATGTGAAGTCAATGCCTGTGGCGCGGACGATTGATGACGATAATATGAATGACGAGCTACGGGCCCGAGAGCGCTGGAATGATCCTGCGGCAGAGTTCCTTACATCAAAGCCTGCGGCTGGGTCTAGTGTCTCTGGGAAACCGTTGTATCGCGGTGCTTTCCAGCCAAATCGTTATGGTATTCGGCCTGGGCATCGGTGGGATGGGGTGGATCGTGCTATTGGGTTTGAGAAGGAGTGGTTTACGGCGAGGAATAAGAAGAGTCGATTTGAGGCTTTGGAATATCAGTGGCAGATGGATGAATAGATGCCTGTTTAATATTTTTGTTGGTGCTGGTCACCTCATGCAGGATTTTTACTATGATCTTAGTAGTATCTGAGTAGTATCTTTTCGTGCAGTCGTCTTCTACGTAGTTTGTCACGTTTCGAGTATGATTAAGATCTGGTCCGTCTTACTAGCCAAGGCGAGATCTCACTCATATTCATAATATATTGGCACAAGAGAATCAAATCAGATTCCAACGTGATCTGTTCTTTGTATAGCGTTGCCAAGGTTGCGGCTATCTGGATGTTTACCCCAAACAAAAACTCACCCGCTCTTCAACCGCACCCACATCCACACTGGTCGCAAAAATGGACAGGCGAACGGCAGAAAGTCCAATGGACTTTGAATGGCAGTCTAGAGGCCCGGTTGATCCCAATTCCCCCTTCAATCTAGGAGCACACGACAAGAAACGTTCGTATTTCGCCGAGGATGGTTCGAAAGATGCCACTCCACCGATCAAGCCCTCTGACAACCCACCAGGAACACATAGTGTATTCGATTCTCCCGGAAAACCGCAAATACCCTCTCTCCGCCAGCCAAACTCCCAGCCCTTCCTCTTCACGCAACCCCGACAAGCTGCACCTCTCTCGCCAAAGGCCAAATTTGGCCAGCCGGCTTTCACGACACCACGGAAATTCGACGTTGATTTCTCTTCCGGCCCGGAGAATATGTCATCGCCAGAATGCGCAGACAACGAGGATACACCCGACCAACAGTCTAAGACGGGGAAGGCAAGCTCGCATTTCAGTTTCCTTGGCCGGTCCAGTCCAGGGCGAGGGGGAATCCCACGTCTGACCCACCACTCGAACGCCATTCAGAATCGGGTACAAAAGCGACGGAGAAGAGATCAAGCTTTAGGGCGAACCGTACGGATCGAAAGCGACGACGAGAGCGAGCTCGACCAGCCTCAAAGCAGGGAAAGCAGGGCCGGGAAAGTCACAAAGAAAGAAAAGCAACAAGAGACAGAGCTGCAAGTCTCACGGGTGTCAACATGGTCCGAATTCTTCAGCATGCTTGAGGCACACCCGAATGTCCCCGCCATCCTGTCATGGTGGGCGCAGCTCGTGGTCAACTTGTCGCTGTTTTCTCTGGCCGTGTATGTCGTGTTCGGGTTTGTGTCGGCGATCCGCGGTGAATTTGAGCAGGCTGCGCAGGAAATGTCCGATACTATCTTGGCCGATATGGCGGTATGCACCAAGAGCTACGTCGACAATGACTGCGGCCGACCTACTCGGGCCCCGGCTCTTGAGACGATCTGCGAGAACTGGGAGCGCTGCATGAATCGAGACCCGGCCAAAGTAGGCCGTGCCAAGGTGTCGGCGCATACCATGGCCATCATCATCAATAGCTTTATTGATCCTATCAGCTGGAAGGCCATTGTGAGTATCTTTCTCGCTGAGTGCTGTGAACAATGCTAATCAAATTTTTAGTTGTTTTTCCTGGCTACAATTTCCACTGTCACAGTTGTCAGCAACTGGTCATTCCGCTCCTTCAGACATCGTCTACAGCAACAGCACTACGCACAACACCCCCCACCACCACCACCACAACAACCCATGCATCCACAGCTACACCACAATCCCGCCTTTGGCTACTATGGCCAAGACCCTCGGCAAACACACGACATGAATTATGGCGAGAAACAAGACCCGCCCATGCTACTTGAGAATACCAAGTCTATGGACTTTGTCACCGAGCGCAGTCGTGATCGTGAGCAGCACCTCCGAACACCGAGTCCCACCAAGCGCAGGTTTGCATAGACCCAAAGCTTGGAGTCTGTGTTTGGGTCTTGGTCTGGCGTCTTGATTTACATTGTTGGGTTTCGATTGCATAACCGGCAGGATTGCTCGGTTCGGGGTTGGATGGGCTTGTTTTATTCCATGGACTGTATAACATTTTCATGGTTTTTTTTTATCTTTCTTGTATTTCCGCAACTGACATTCGTGAGAGCTTTGTGAGTCTCCGTCCTGTCATTTTCCACTTCGGCTATTCAGCTAGATTTTCATATGAAACCTCTTGTATCAAATATATAACTTATCCAAGGCGAACGTATCTCTCGGAATTGCCTTTCATCAAACATCAACATAAATTCTTCTGAGTTCTATCTCTATGGGCCAGATCATTTAGTAACATGCATTTACACAATATTTTACACGCATTTGACTCATTCCAATATAGACCGCATACAATTTCGCCGATGCCGAGTCGCCCAACGTTCGCCGACGGTTCGGCCACCAGCCATCGGTGGCCAAAACCCATAGATCGCCGTTTGCCACGGGGCGACCCGAATATGCTCCGATGCAACACCTACAAAACGAAGGGGAGGACGACCCTGATTTGTTCATCCGCCGATGAGTCTGCATGTTCCCTGAAAACACATCTCCGGTTCCGGTCTTCACAGCGTGCTCGGCGATTTCTCAGTGTGGTCCTGCTGCACGTCAAGTGCCAACCACGCCTTGGATGCCTTCAAGATGGCCGAAGACGAGAATATGGAAAAGGTCTGATGGTGAAAATTTGCAGTTATCCACTATGTAGAACACTTAAAGCCAGCAATATATCCAGACATCTAGTTATTATAGACATACCCTCAAAGCGACATATACATTGCCTTCAATCATCTATTCTTTCCATTGCATAACCATTGTCTTTACATTTATACACCCGTCTACCCACACAACCAACTGATCCCAACTCAAAAATGCACCATGAACCAAAGATCCCCACCCCAGCCTCATGCCCAGAAGGAGGGCTAACAGGCAACCTGGTGGTGCTAGGCAGTTTCAGCGCAATAATGGGCGGCCTAGGCCTGATGAACAGCATAGGCATTTACCAAGCCTGGATCTCAACACACCAACTCTCCCACATCAGCGAAGGCCAAATCGGCTGGATATTCGGCATCTACAATTTCCTCGTCTTCTTCTGCGGTATCCAAATCGGCCCGATCTTCGATATAAAGGGGCCGCGCCTGCTCATGTGGTTGGGATCGAGCTTGCTTGTGATTACCTTCATCTGCATGGGCTTTTGCTATGAGTATTGGCATTTCCTGATTGTTATTGGGATCCTTGGCGGAATGGGGACATCGTTCATCTTCATTGTGCCCGTTGCTAGTATTGGACATTACTTTGTTAAGCGGCGTGGTGCGGCGACGGGTCTTGCGCTGGCGGGTGGTAGTATTGGAGGTGTTATTTTTCCTTTGGTTTTGGAGAACCTTGCGCCGAGGATTGGGTTTGCTTGGGCAAGTCGGGTTGTTGGGCTTATTACTCTGATCTTGCTCATTCCTGGCTGTTTGCTTGTCAAGGCCAATTTTCCGTCCAAGGTTGAGTCGAAGCCTTCGTTGAAGACTTTCCTTCCTGACCTTACTATTCTGAAGGATCCTGTGCTGGCTTTAATGACAATTGGTGTTTTCTTCATTGAATGGGGATTTTTTATCCCGCTTGAGTATATTGCTTCATACTCCATTGCGAGTGGTATTTCACCCAAGTTGTCTTATCTTATGGTTGTCTTTTTGAATGCTGGTTCTTTCCCTGGTCGTTGGCTTCCTGGTATAGTGGCTGATCGCTTTGGTCGCCTTAATACTTTGATCTCGACCAACGTTCTTTGTTTGATTGCAGTTTTGGGTATCTGGATGCCTGCAGGTGGGAACCTTGTTGCCGTCATTATTTTCTCTGTTGTGTTTGGTTTTGCGAGCGGGAGTAACATCAGTCTCGTTCCCGTTTGCGTGGGAGAACTTTGCCCTGTTGAGAATTATGGGAGATACTATACAACGGTATATACCATCGTGGCCTTTGGGTAAGTCCTCAACATCGCCCCCCCCCCCCCCCCCCCTCCCCGGGTTCTATATTGTCAGATTGTGTGGCTAATATGCTGATTAGAGCATTGACTGGAGTTCCAATTGCTGGAGAAATCATCCACCGCTGCGAGGGCAAGTATTGGGGCTTGATTGCCTTCGCTGGGTGTGCTTATGCAGCTGGACTAAGTTGCTTTATTGCTGTGAAGCTTCTGCAGAAGCAAAGAGGCAAATTGGAGAACAAAATGGAGACAACGGGAGTCTAGGGCTAAAGATGCTCTGACATGACCATGACGACATGCGTGAATAAATCAGTCAAGTCATACTTTAGTAGTATATATTGAACAATAGAAGATACTTTAATTTCGAGCCCATCTCTAATGACTATGCCAGAGGTTAGGTTGTGGATGTGTCACCAATGACATGAAGCCAACGACACTATGCATGTTTCATGTCGTTTTGCCTCAGTTTTTTCCTCTCTTCGTTTCGTCTCTTTTTCGCCCATTTTCAAGAATCAGAGGATATTATTGAGATCAAGATAGATGAGCGGATTTCAAAAAAAAGGATCAGCAATGTTGTATCTTATAGGGCGTAAGCAAAAAAGGATCGGTAGTTAAGGGAAAGGATTATTCCGGGTGTACCATTTCAATAGATGGGACTCAGTCTTGGGAGTATCCAATATGAGCCAAGTATTTCTAGAAAGACAGAATTTAATAGCTCAGTCCAAATCATCATCAAATAATAGTGGACGCAGAGCACAGCAACGGTTTCATACTGACGTAGATTTGCCATTTGCCATACCCGGGGCGAGATGTGAAGGCAATAGGTTGCCTTTTAGCATTTTGGGTTTAATATATCCCCAGACCCTCATCGCTCCCTGAATTATGTTCCAATTATTTGATTCGACTTTTTTCAAGATTTGTACAAGGTCAATTTGCATAAGGGCATGAAGTCAATAACTGATTCCAAGCGAAATCTCATCATCGTTTCGAATCGCCTCCCGTTGTCAATCAAACGAGTTGAAGGAGGCTTTGACTCATCCCTGTCCAGTGGCGGCCTTGTGACCTCTCTCTCAGGCCTGACAAAATCCACTCAATTCCAATGGTTTGGCTGGCCCGGCATTGAACTCAAAGATCCAGCGGACAGGGAGCAAGTGACGAAGAGCCTGGAGGAGCATAATGCGATTCCTATATTCCTGGATCAGACATTGGCACACGAACACTATAACGGATTCTCCAGTAAGCTTTCTGTTTATATAATTGGAGCATCACTGATCTCCAGACCGTATTCTCTGGCCAATCCTCCATTATCAATCGGGTGTCAGCTTCGACGATACGCCATGGCAAGCATATAGACGAGTAAACGAACTATTCGCCGATACTATTTCCGATGCAGCAGAAAGCGGAACGTTGATCTGGGTGCACGACTACCATCTCATGTTGTTGCCCGAACTTCTCCGTAACCGGCTCCAAGAACAGGGCAAATACTGTGCCATTGGGTTCTCTCTCCACACGCCCTTTCCTGCAGGAGACTTCTGGAGAAATCTTCCAGTCAGGAAGCATCTTATTGAAGGGCTCTTGTCATGCGATTTGATTGGGTTCCATACCGACGAGTATAAGCAGAATTTCATCGACACCTGCGCTAGTCTTCTGTGAGCGCCAGCCCCAATTTCCCTGCACCAATGTGACAACTCATCCTTATACCTCACCAGCGGCGCACGAACTGAGATTGGAAACCAGATTCAGTATAAGAATCGTTTGGTCTGCACGGACAAATTCATTGTCGGTATTGATCCCCAGAAATTTACGGAGACCCTAGCAAAGCCAGACGTCCAGGAACGCATTCGCACCTTGAAAGAGAGATATAAGGGTGTCAAAGTCATTGTCGGCGTTGACAGACTCGACCACATAAAGGGTCTCACCCAAAAATTGAAAGGCTTCGACGCTTTCCTTGATGACCACCCCGAGCTCGAGAACAAAGTCATTCTTATCCAGGTTGCCGTGCCCAGTCGCGAGGATGTAAAGGAGTACCAGGAGCTTGAGCGTGAGTTGTGCACAATGGCTGGAAAGATCAACGGAAAGCATGGTTAGTATTTTGCCTTCGGATTGAGATAGTACTGACCGTTCAGCCACTCCTGAGGGTACTCCGCTGCTATACATGCATCGCTCTGTACCGTTTACCGAGCTCGCAGCGTTGTACTCCGTAGCTGATGTGTGTCTTCTCACATCCACAAGAGACGGAATGAACCTCGTGTCATTCGAATACGTCGCCTGCCAGCAAGAGCGACATGGTGTTCTCGTTCTCTCAGAGTTCGCTGGCGCAGCGTCTTTTATGACCGACGGTAGCATCCAATTCCATCCCGCCAATACCACCGAAATGTCTGAGGCAATCTTCGCGGCGATCAACTTGAGTCCGGAGGAACGCAAAAAGAAGTATGAGCATCTAAGCGACTTCATCAACACAAATACTAGGTATGGCGATTTGATTTCCTGCGATTGAGGTGCGATGTGAGTTGCTGACTCGTTCTCAGTGCGAAATGGGGCCAGACCTTCATTGACAAGTTGTCACATCGCTGTAGACGGCCTGGGGATCCATGTTAGTTGCCTTCTCCGCGGCTCAAGCTGGTGGGATGGTATTCAAACTGGGTTTTTGTATTCGTAGTAGTTCAGGTAGAAATTGAGTTGTCCGGGTATAACCTCCAGAAAGGGCACGTTGGGACGGTTTAATGATTGTCCAATTGTATATATGAACAATCTCCAGCTCTCATAGCGAGAAAGTAGTGTATACTCGAAGTTTTGAGCGCGTCAAGTGGGCGCCGCCCCCATTGACAGATGATACTTGCTCCATGGATCACCCACGTAATTTATCGAATATCATCATAAAGGCTCGCATATACAGTCTATGTGATATCATGCACATAATACTGTAGTTTGAATCTGTTTATACATCATCTTCATGCGGGAGTGGCGGATCAATATCTTGTTTCACGTTCGTCCAGCTCTCACCGAACTCCGTCTGACCCAAATTGGTACTTCCAACCTACTCAGACCTTTGTTCACTGCATCGTACCTTCTTGTCTCGTTCAAATTAGATTGAGTCGCTCAATTTGAGCCACTTAGCGCTTACTATCGGAGCTCAAGATCACATCCTCTGGTCTCACGTCTATAAGACTCTTCCTCTCTTTTCCCCCTTCCTTCTCTTCTTCACTCCTCCAATCCCGTTTTACATAAATTTCTTTTCTTCCCTCTTCTTCTCCTTGTACTTCTTTTCCATTCTCTCTTTTAATCTTCATTTCTCCATTTCCCTCTTCATGTGCTGCTGAGCTCTGAAACATTTCTGCTTCATTTCTTGAGCTCCTTTATGTTTCCTTTGCTCACAAGACTATCAGTCTGATACCATATCTACCCTATCATGCCTCTTCATCCTATCTTTCAAATTCTCACATGCACCTCAATCCTCCCTCGATCCTCTCAAAATTGTGGCGGTGGGATTTAGAGTCAACTGACACATTATGAATCTTAACCAGACTTGTCTGAGCAGATTCAACCCACCATGTTTACCCATTTCAAGCCATTTCCACATGCCATAGATAACTTCGAGATATTTATGGATCCCCCTGAAGCCTGCTAGACTTGGTGATGATGAAAAAACCAATATCTGATGGCCTCTGAAGACCAAACAATTGCTTGATCTGAACCAAAGCAGCTAATTTGCAGTTCCCTTCACTCCTCTATCTATTCCTTCGAATGACATAGCGTTTATGATGAAATCACTAGGTGTAGCTAGCACGTTGACTTCATGATTCCTGGTTCTTCGAAATTCTTCCTACAATCTTCCAATGCGCTTCATTACCCTGTTGATCTCTCCGAAGACCGTGGTCATTCTAGTGAAAAGAATCACAATTTGACGAACTTTGAAGTCAAAACATGCACTGAGCTGAGTCACTTCATCCAAAGATTTCTTTTTGAGTTGAATTTCCAATACAAACCAGGTCGAATGTAAGGTTCGTGGTTGATAACCTTATTTTTTAGCCTCCCGTCGCGTAGTCCGTGCTCCCGACACCCGAGCACGTGTAAATGGATGGGCAGACAGGCGACTAGAGTAGTTATCAATTATGCACTTGATTGCAATAAAGGCAATAGCGAATTCGACCATGGATTCCAGATTCTATGATGCCTCGATCTTGCTAGCTTTCTCCACGCATTTACATGGACGCGGTCGCGTGGAAGCCCCTTCCAAAACACGGACAATGTTTCTATGAATTTCTCCCTTGGCTCCTCTCTCTCATACTCACACAATAATATCTCTCCGATAACGATCCATGGATGAGCCTGCAGCTTATCACAACACCAGCAAATACCAGTGCCAAATAGCCAGAAATCCAAGCCTCGCGAGGAAAGCGACCGCGGGGAGGAAACTTCCTTTATTTGACAGCAGATTTTCTGCTTCGTCTGATCCCCTTCGTCAACGAGAATACTGTATTACGTGTATAGGACAAACGAAATCCAGAAATGATGCCCAGAGACCTCATCTCCACATACCACACACAGAGGATATCTCAAAGATGACACCAGCATACCCATCGGCTCACAAACAGGGGACGAAATCCGCCCACCAGATGAAGAGCTGGGGAGAAAACCCCATCAGCGCCATTGGATCACCCACTCAGATCCCGGCACTTGCAGATGATCGCGATCGAAATTATGAATACGTCCGTATGCGAGCGCAATTTCATTCTCAACGGGGAATGGCTAACTCTGTTTACAGATATCATCGGCCCTGGGTACTGGTCAATTCAGACAATGCGCTGCACGAGGGTGGGGATGCGAGAGCTCTGATCAGCTTATCACTTGGGGGTATCATCGTTTTCTTCGTGATGTACGGGCATACGGTCGTACTTGCCGTTATGGTTACAACGCAACAATAGACGCCGACGGATGACAAGCAATCTTTGGGCGAGATGGCCACTCTCATTCTTGTTAGGATTCATTCGGAGAATGTACTGAATGGTTGCTTGATGATTCGCCTGCTTTTGCGCTGGTAAGCCAGCCTTTGGCTTGGCTCAAGTCAATGAGTGACACTATGTGGTCGTATATACCCACTTTGTCATAAACACTGATGCTATGCTTCAAACAAAATAGCAGCCTCGGAGACGGGTGAGCGCTGCTTGATGTCACGCGAGCTTATTATGTGTCCATTTTATGTTGGAATTTGCCGCCCTGCCTTTCTAGAGTCGTAGGAAAGAGTGTATGATTCTCCGGAATTTCTAGCATGTCTACCTAATAAAGACCACTTTCATCATAATATACAGACATACAGCACTCCCTCAAATTATCTCTGAGGTCCAGGGAGATATTGTGAGTTCCAACTAGGCTCCTTCCAAGGGAATCCATTCGCACGCATCTCACGGTATTCGATATATCCCCCTGCAATCTCGGCTTTTGAAGCCGAGCCAAGGTCTATCACCAAATCCACAACAGCCAGCAATTGATCGCGCAGCCGGGAAAAATCAATAGCCGCCTCCCCAAAGGAAGGAGCCCACAGACTCCATGGCCCGGAAACGATAGAAGTTGTCGGAAGAAGGTAGTTGTGGTATGTTGTCCCAATCCCACCCTGGGAGGCGTAGAAGGGAATCTGCGAAGCGTTCTTCGGAGGGTTGCCTGGAGTCACCCCTACACCATCCAGCATGCGACCTTTGACGACAGCAGTGACGGCGTCAAGAACCGGCTGTGTAGGCCCAACACTCCAGAGAGTGGCTTCGCTGTTGCCGGTGAAGTTTAATACGCGACCGTATTGACCCTTTGGCGCAGAGGATGGCAGTAGCTCCCGTGCTCCCATATGTTCGAGAACAATGACTAGTGCGAGGTTTCCGTCATCGTATTCCTGGTCCAGTTTCTTTGCGTACGGGATCGCTCCATCTTTGCTGTACGTCAGATGTCCCGAAGTGAAGGCAAACTTAAGTGTCTTTGCCCGAGCAGAAGATGTCGTCGGCTGGGCTGCAAAATACTTTGCTAGTGCAAGGAGCCCTGCAACTCCATTTTCCTGAACCCAAGTTGCGCCATCCGTATGTGAGCCGATGATGATAGTTTCGTTGGACCGGCCGGGAAGAGTAGCAAATAGCTCGCGGGTATATTTGCGACCCGTGTTAGCGGAAATCTTGATAAATGCTGTATGTCCGCACTGAGATGCGTTTCGAAGCATATAATACTGATCGGAACCCAGATAAACACCGGGAACGAGATAATGTTGCCCGAAATGGGGATCGTAGTATCCTTCCAGAGTTTTGCGAGGGATGTCAAATGCAGAAATCAGTCCATTTGCTCCGCCCTGTCCTGCGGCAATCAGGTCGTCAGCTGGCGTGGAAAGATATGGTCGCTCGTAGGTGGTATTGATTCGAGTGGCGAGATCAGGCGTGATGTACTAGTTTGAGTCAATTGTTGGAAAAGAAAAGAGGTCAAGGGGCACTGACATGTGAATCCTTCAGCAGATAGCTATAAGGGACTGGCAATGGGATAAAGTCTCTTAGAATGATTTTGCCCCGAACATCTACAGATGAGATGCTCTGATTGGAAGGGATATAGATCAAAGGACCAGTGAGGGCGGAGCCGTTTGTCGGAAGAGTGAATGGGATTGCTCCCACAATTGGGACATTGAGGCATATCCCACCTGACTCGATACAAAGACTTCCACTCTCACTCAGACTGATGCCTTCCTTTGGCTCCCACACGTCAAGATCATACTTGGACTCTTCGACTTCAAGTCCGGGTATATCATGCAGGCTAGTATTGACCCAATCGACTAATTCATTGTGCACATCGCTTCCTGGTAGTCGCAACCCAACACTTGCAACTCGATGGACTAGATCGTGAAGTGCTTTGGTGGAAGTGAAGTCTTTCTCGTCAATTTTCAGGGCTGCTGATTTCGCCACCAGTCCGAAACTCCCGATAAATGATGATAACAGGGCTCTATAGAGAAGCATGTTGAGATTATTGACTTCATTATGGAATTCAAGTTTGCTTTATGTGGTACCACAAGTTCAGCTGCCTTCTTTGATATATCTTGGTATGATGATATAGTTCCAATGCTCCACTTTGCGGAGCTCGTGGACCACGCGGAGTCCGCGGAGCAGGCCAAAAGGACGACCAAACTCCATATAAAGGACACTGCTCAAGTTTTAATAGGTAAATTTAGCAAATGTTCTTGTCGGATCTCAATCTCCGAGCTCCACAGATACCTCAGCCTCGAGACAGACAACCCGATTTGCACGAACCAAAGTATCATACATCTGCCGAATATCCGCCGCTTCAACGCTCCAATTACGCAACATCTTCAAGGAAATACTGACCAACTCCATCCAATCGAATGGCGGAGGTAGACCGTCAATTTGCACATGCACAATCGTCAGGATAATCATAGCCAGCCCCCAGATCCCGCGGAGCGCATACCAGATACCGCCGTGCCGCCTGTTCTTCCGGAGATGAATAATCAATCCTCTTGCCAAATGCACGTACTCATTAGCACGTGAAAGGACCGCCTGGCTGACGGCACCACCATCATTGTGCAAAACGTAGTAAAAGAACGGCCGAAGAATCTTTTCTCTGCCACCCAAGAACCGAGCCTGTAGAAAAAAAGACAGCTGATCACTCGGCGAAAGTTTTGGGTCTACGGGCGGTCGTATTGTGGAGGGTAGGTGGTTATACCATGTATTCAACTGCTCGTCGATCTCCTCAGATTGTTGGAGAATGTAGTTGATGTTCTCTATCCATGCGGTTTGAGCTTCTGGCGAGTTAATGAGTGGCATTTCTTGGTCCAGTGTCCTTCGCAATGCAATTTCAGCCAAGTAGTATAGCCAGCTTTGCTCTTGCCTTTTGTTGAATGAGATATCCCTGCTATCGATGTTGAGATTTTCGTCGCTTGGAAGCTTTGGGGGCGAGGGAAATGGGTCAGGGTAGTCGAGCGAAATAAGGGCACTTCGGATTAGCGGGATCTCGTTCAAGAACTCGCTGTATCAATGGATTAGTACGCGTCCAACATGTTAATGCCACGGTCTAAATACCTTTCAGCTTTAATGCAGGACCAATATAGGCGTTGTTCAAGGCGATGGTCGCTCTGTTCAGAAGGTTCGGTTGGTCCTCGTTGGCACAGCAGATATGCATGTAACCGAGAGCAAGCCTGTTCGGTAAAAAACCAGGCTTGAAGAATGCGTAGCGTATGTTTCTCGTACATTCCTGCTAGATAAAGACATTGGATATCCAGTAATGATGTACCCAGATAACCGATACGCTTCCGTGCTGCTTCGTAATATGCTTCTGCCCGAGCGTAGGATGCATCATCTTTTGTTGGACTCTCCCCTAGTTCATCGATTTCTTCGTAAGAAGATTCAGAACCGAAACAGCCAAGTGCACATGCCAGGAGCTGGAAGATAGAGTTAGACTATCAAAAATCAAATCAAGGGCGAAGTAATTGAAGGAGCGCATACCACAAGACAAGTCTTAGTGTCCCACTTCAGGCCGGATTCTGTTAATTCTTTGGCATACTGCTCAAGTTGACTTGGTTCGAGGATTGGATTGCGCACATGCACATAGTCTAGGAATTTTCGGCAGAGTGTAAGAAAGTCATCTTCGCGGATTCCATACTTGGAAGTCTGTCCATCTGGCACAGAAGCGTCTGTATCGACATTACACTCGATGAGAAAAGACCTCTTCACGACTGGCTCTCCGAGGAACTCTTTGATTTTGGGCCAGAAAAGAAGTCCTTCAACACCTATGCGGGGGCGATTCGATGGTGCATAACCAGTCCTGTCAGTCAAATTTCCACGATGCTCAATTTCCAGGCTATAATCCTTCCGGGTTGCAGATCTCCAGTTGGATTCTGTGGAAGATCTGGGAGTCAAAGAGTTTGTAGCTGAGGCGTTAGAATCCTGTGTTTGTGCTACACGATCCAGGACTGTTCGGATCCCCTGCAATTGATGCAGGATCTCCAAAGAACCCGAGTCAAATCTGAGATAGTCTATGCATCAGCTTCATGACAGGACATCAAGAAATTGTGTGGCTTCCACTGACTTGGCGTTTGTAGAAGCGCTATCGTCGGGGTACACGCAAGCTAGTTTCAAAGTGCAGCATGACTGGCATGAGGGGCGCCCGTTGTCGCATTTGACGCGACGGTCCCTGCAAGTCCGACATGCTGTTCGCTTTCGCTTCCGTGGAACATCACTCGATTGAGATTGCGCAATCGCTTGGGGGTCCATTCCAGATGAGGATATTGCAAGGATATGTGGAAAGCAAGTTCCGCGAGCTCCGCGTAGAGCTTGTGGCGAGGCAAGCCCCTTGTCAGTCGGCGAGCTCCGCGTACTCCGCGGGCTCCATTGTTCCTGATCTCTGATTGGTCGGATAAAGTGTACATCTACAGTATGGGGAAGTTTATCAAAATCCAATCTCTCAAAGTATATTCATGATGATGCCTCGAGTGATAGCAGCTAGATCTATATAGTATCAAGCCCCTCGGTCATCGAATTGAACGGCTGCCATCTTCTCGTACCGCTCTTTGCAAGATATCCGCCACTTTTTACCAAAGAGAATCATCGGGATACAGAGCAAGTTGCATCCGATTGCCAGACATCCAATTACTGTAAAGGTGTTGTATAATCCCATGCCGTTGATCCATGGATCAAGCGCAAAGATGATGATAGTTGCAACCATATATTGGGCGAAGCTCACGCCGATCAGAGCGGTTCCGAGAATCTTCACAAATCAGTAGCTGTACAGATCAAGTGCCCTAGTTATCCGGTAGAGCTGCTTACTTTGTTATAAGAGTCAGTGAGGTATGTCAGGGCGATTGGAATAAGCGCAGCCATGCTGAATCCATAGAATCCAGATCCGAGACAGGGAAAGATCCACGGCAAGCCCTGTGCGTAAATAGCCAGTGTCAACCACGACCTGGAACCACGTTGAGCTTATTGAAAACAATACCTCCGATACACTGTATCCGTAGAGAAACAGACCCACAGGGCCGACTATTGCCGGGAGAAAAGAAATGTAAAGCCGCATTTCAGGCTCGTAGATACCTTCATTTCGTCGGGCGAGGAATTTGATCGACCAATCACTCACTGGACCTCCCCATATACACCCGAGAACAGACCCAATGAAAGGTGGCACGTTCAACAGACCGATTCCTGTTGTTCCAAAGTTATAGGGGGGTAGGGCGAGATATTCTGACTGTGTTGTGGCCACTACTGTGAACCACACCAAAGCGGAACTATACTGTATCATCACGTAAGAAACGGCTGGTATGGTCACCAGGACCTGAACTGGCGTATATATCTGTTTTATGAAGTGACCAGTGGGTCCAGTGGATGTGGTAAATAGCGCCAGGCGTTGGCGTGCGGTTTTCAGAGGAATAGAATGATCTATTCCGGTGCCCGTCTCATTGAGCCCAAAATGTGAGTTTGTAGTAGCTGCAATGTGGCTTTCGGGATCCACTGGATGTGTCCACTTGGACGTATCACCAGTACTGACGTTTCCAATGTTTTGAGACGATGCTGGGACACTGGCTTCTGACCCAGCAATGGTATGGATGGAGAACTTTGTCTCCTCTAGAAGAAAAACAAAAAGAAGCAAGTTAACTCCCAGAAAGATTGCTGACCACCAAAAGATCCATGGCCAGCCTTGAGCATTCGCTATGTATCCAGCGGCGACGGGGGCGAGAAAGACCTAGGAGACAAATGCATTAATGTAAATTTCGGCCTCAAGTCCCCAAGTGAACTTACACCAGTACTACTCATTAGCTGATAGACCGCATTTGCTCGGCCTCGCTGGTGGACAAAGAATAAATCTGTGATCTTGGTACTAGTGTCAACACAGATGAGCTTAATGGGTAGCTTTTGAGGTGCTCACCGTGATAGGAACTAAAGTCCAGCCTACAGCACAAGCTAATCCGTTAAATGCCTGTGCAGCCATCATATTTGCAAGGTCCCGAAGCACTGCCTGCCAGATTGCAGTGATCAGGGCTATTATGGCAGTCAAGAGGTAAATGGGCCTCCGCCCAAACTTTAAGGCTAAAGGCACAAGTATGATTGAGCCAAGACCTAGACAGACACAGTTCACGGCGTATTGGTTGTTAAGCTGGGGGTATGAAATATGAAGAAGATCCTCAAAGTCTTGCCAAATCACCGGGCCGATGTCAATCCTGAATAGATTAGAAAAGAACGCGGTATGCAACGGCCAAGAATTTAACTAACAAAGCAAATACCAGCATGGTGAAGAATGATGCAATGGCAAAGTGTATACACTTTCGATAGAACGACCAATTCTGTATATCCAGGGTCAACATGGGGATTTCCCACCACTTTCGACTTTCCAGTCATAAGAACTCACCAAAGGGTCGTTCGGGTCGGAGGTAGGAGTTGGCTGCAGAATAATTCCTCTATGCGAAGAACCTGCTCCCTCTATGAAAAGATGTCTTCTGTCAGAGTGGTTCACGACAGCTTGCAACGAAGGATTTGGTCCGCCTACCCGGGTCTTCTAAATATGCAGTCCCTGGGGCATCAAGGGTAATTTCCTTGGTCCATTGCCTTGTCCCAATAGTTTCAACATCAGTGATTTCTGCCATGTTTGCAGCTTGAATGGCAGCTTGCGGGAGTATTGACTTTGACAAAGAAATGCTGTTAGTGCAGATCAGATCAGCTCATAGCCCAAGGTAGACCCCAGCGCCTTGGTCCCTTATATTTGAAGTAGAATTCATAATAAATGCGGGGAAGCCACTCGTAGACAGAGGAAGGCTATCTGGAACGGTCTATGATAAGAGGCGTTTACGTCAAGTTAACCAGACTATTGCCGGATTCTATCATATGAATCGAATATAGAGCGGAGCGACTTGATAACAAAGTTTCGGCCATTAAGCCAGTACAATCGACGTTTTTAGTTCTTTATCGTTGTCTCGGTACTCTTTACGAATCAAACCTGTCCATTAGCATACCACAACCGATCAGATATGGTAGTCAGGGGCAGTGGAGGGTCCATGCCTAGCTCAGATGTCCGCGATGAACAGCTCAACCGGTAGGACTTGCCTTTTTGATGCTAAGTGGAGAGATAACGCTCCCGCGGAGTGCGCGGGGGATTTGTCTGGATATCAATTTGAGTTGCTTTATGAACCCAGTATCTCACTGACGGAAGATAAAAGGACTTGCTTCATTCTATCTGTTATCAATTGTGACATTTCGCAAACTTCCAGTTCGCAACTCACCCAACTGCCACAATGTCCTCCATCAAAGTTGCTATTATTCAACTACATCCCCAAGTACGTATGTCCAGGCTCAAGTGCTAGCTGACTGTCTATAGCTAACTCACCTTCTTATCCAGCCTCACCAAACAGAGTCTAACCAGGCACGCGGAATCGCCTACATTCGAGATGCAGCTCGTCAGGGTGCGAATCTTGCCGTACTCCCCGAGTACCATCTGGGGGACTTCTTCCCCGAAAACCCCGATTTCCGCGATCAATGCGCGAATTGGAAGCAATATCTAGATGTATATCGTGACCTTGCTAAGGAGTGCAACATCTGCATTGTGCCAGGCTCCGCAGCAGAGCTGTATCGCGACGAGAAGACTGGAGAAGAGACCATCTTCAACGTGGCCTACTTTATTGACAACACCGGTTCCTTGAAGAGCCGGTATGAAAAGAAGAACCTGTGGCACCCAGAGCGACCTCATGTGAACGGCTCACAGCATGATCCGCATGTTGCTTTCGATACACCACTAGGGAAAGTCGGGATGCTGATTTGCTGGGATGTCGCATTCCCAGAAGCATTCCGCGAGTTGACAAGCCAAGGCGCGAAGCTCATTATTGTGCCGTCCTTCTGGAAGCTCACTGATTGCGCGCCTCAGGGAATCGCGCACAACCCGTATGCAGAGAAAGTCTTTCTCGACGCGGCACTTATCAGTCGGGCATGCGAAAATACCTGCGCCGTCGTCTTTTGTAATGCAGGAGGCCCAGCAGAGGAAGACTTTGCGGGTTTGTCGCAGGTCACAGTCCCTTTCTTGGGTTGTATTGGGAGGACCGACACTTGTGAAGAGGAGGTGAAGATCATCGATTTAGACTTGGCAATTTTGGATGATGCCGAGTCTGTGTACAAAGTCCGTCAAGATATGGCCCGACCTGATTGGCACTATTCGTATAGAAAGAATATGCAGGATAGCTCTTAACGAGTTTCTTCAATCTATTGTGCTCTGTATACAGACCTCTTGACTGTTGTGGAACATTGAATGCGAAGTTGGTTACCTGGTAGAACTTTAGGACAGATGTCGGCTTTTGTTTTATAACTTTTAGGACGTGCGGGATGTTTCCCTTGCATCGATTGACAGTGAACGGATTCTTCTCGTGGTAATACCTCGGCTGAACGCGGAACTCGCGGAGCTCGCGGAGGCCGGGGAAAATCTCGGCCGTGCAAGCAAACCTACCATGTTGCTGTACTAGGGCAATAGGGGTTTGAACGCACCGGCCAACTGCCTATTTTATTTAAGACACAGACACTGGAGTGATATTATTCATCGTAGGGAGTCATAGCTTCAGCATAAATGCCTGCCATTGCAGAAGTAGATACAATACACACATGTCACCACTCTCATCTTGCTACTTGATATAATTTCAGATTAACTGCAGCAGGTGTCATATGATATCCACATCCACTGCCTGGCCTATTGTTGGGTTTTCTTTGACTCCACTCATTCGGTATCGAAGTCTGCTATGCCAGACTGCCATCGCGCCGTTCCGATTTCAATAGTTAATTCCTGGAAAAACAGGCAACTTGTCTTGAGCTGTGCAAGAATCCTGATTTCAATATCCAGGCTCAGTGCATTGGTGTATATGAATAGATAATCGTCCTACTGTTCAGAACTAATATTCTTGATCCCATAACTGTGAGTACCTCTAAGTCAAGAATTATGTTGTCGATATGTAAATGATATATTCGAACCATTAACCAAGAGGTTCTTCTGGCTGACGCATTGGAAGCCTACAGCCAGCAGATATTATGATTGCTTAACAAGGCTAAAGACTAATGTCGCGTTTCATATCCTTGACTCCACGGTCATAAAGACGGGTGCGTATCTTTGAATAGCCACCCTTTCAGTAATAAGGCGTTAAATTGGATGAACTATAAAACCTACTTATTACAACATTGTTTGCTTAGGTACTATTGGTAAACCTTCAACGTGAATGCATATCGCTATAGCTTATATATAAAACAAAAAGCTTCTGCAGAGCCCTTTTTTGGGCCCAATGGTAGGGCCCGCATCCTAACTCACAGTGGGCCGGGGGGCTTTATTTACTTTTTGCCAAGGCATTCTATGACAGTTATTAGACAATATGATTATAGAAACCTTAGCGTGTGTTAACTAATGTTAAGTTGATCAAATTAAGTTAAAAGTGGATCATTAGTCAATCCTAAGTGAGGTCCACGGGGTCGATCAACTCTCAATAAGCTAGTTTCCCGTGAGCACCAAAATGGAAAGGAAAATCCAACACTTGTCAGGAACTCTCCTATATATATATATGCTGGGACCGGAATTGGGTTCCAGAAAGTCACCGCACCGGATCAAGCGATCCAACTGGCGATAATTTAGGGTTTATATCACGGCTAGGAAATTTCCAAATCCTGTAAAGTAGCACCGAAGAGAATTAAGCATGTCTTTTAGCGTAGCTTGATTTGCTACATCAGTCAGTATATATGAGCGATGGTGTAGATATGACACCCGCCAATGGAGGACCCGCTGATGGAGGGCGAGGAATTTATTCTTCATTGGAATCTTCGTTACATGGAACGAAGACCGGCTTTGGGACTCTATACCCAAGACAACCAGGTCAAAATTGATGATCAAATTACAAGATGGTCGCACTTTACCGGCTTCTCATCTTATCAATGTCCTCATCGTGATCAGTGTCATTTCAGCAGACAAAAGCTCCTTGTATATGGCATCTCGGACACTCCTGTTAATGTTCTGGAATAGAAAGGCGCGGAATTTATTGATCATTCCTATAAAGCGGTGGTGCCATGAGCTGGATCGGCTCTGGCTCGGCTTATATTAACCAATGTCTTCGCTTGCATTGTGTTTCTGGAACAATCGTCCAACTAGTGCTGGCAAGGCTTACTCGCCCTTCAATACACTATCAGGTGGTAGGCAGCCATTCAAGAACTGGATTGGGCAATGCTAATCAATCACTCCATGTAGTGACTATTCCCATCAACTGCTCGATGGTTGGAACGCTTCCGTCAAGGTCTCATGGTTCAAGACCATGATCCATCAACATTCCCATATCAAGCAATATTCTGTTTCTGGGTCACATACCTCTCGCTGGCAGCCAATTCCTTCCTGATATTCTTCTCAATATACAGGTGCCTCCTGAGCTCGTTCATATCGACAGATTTCGTCATCAACTATATCTTGCTGCCGGTATTTATGTTGTTTGTCATTCTCTAGAAGTTTGTGAACAAGACCAAGATCGTTCGATTGAATGAGATGAATATCTGGACTAGGAGAAAATGAATTGAAGACAAACGAAATTTGGAATCCAAACAGGAGTAAAAGCTGGTGTCACATTCACTCTATAGTTATTGGGAAGACTGAGGTTAGCCCTTCCTGGGAACAATATCCAAACAACTATATTCTTTTGCAATTTGATTCCTAATTTAAACGAAGACATGTGATAAGCATTCTATCAAGCCCAGTTAACCAAAAGCAAAACAAAGTATGTGGTGCTCATGAGACAGCCGTCAAGTCCAATTGGCATCCATCGGGCACTCCCGAGTCGACCCAAATGATATACTTCGCAAGATCAGCACGGAAACCGTCGGCGGAGCAAGAATGAGGGGAAATCATTCAATGTAAACTTACCAAAGAGAGCCTACTATGCGACCGTCAAAGCTCACAGGAGCTGAATAATGTGGAGTAAACCGCCCTACGCGAAGCTCTAGAATCCGTATTTCCCTTCACGAAACTCGATTCCTTGCAAAGGCCAACAACCCGATGGTCAACCCCACAACAGCCACCGAGGAACTGGCCGTTGGATTAACATCGTGGGCAGTAGCTCGTAATCCAATTGGTCGGATAAAGGAGAGGGAACCCCCTGCGCTAATCTGAGCTGCATGAGCCTAGTCAGGGTCTAACTAACTGCATAGCGCCCGGAAACGTGTCGATCACTATTCAGATAGAGCGCGAGGAATTCCATAAACCCTATCATCGTTGAATTCTTCACGTCGTGTTGATCAGGCCAATCACGTTCCTCTGGTTCTTTTGCTCCGGGTTTATACCGACGGTTCTGCAGATCGGCGGTGATTCCTAACTTGGCATGGGTTCAGTTCACTCGGCAGAGAAATCGGTATGCATGACTTCTTCACCAATGAAATGAGCTATGTTTCAATTTACGGGATGTAACATTGCATGAAGAAGATGCTTTGCTGTGATATTGCATTAATTGATGCCTCGGAGATGTCTCTTGCTCCGCCGGCGAGGTCTATATAAACAGGCCGAGTCCCCAGGAAAGATGAGCACTACCAGAGAAGAATAATTCAAGATTCAGCCAACAATCTCAAACTATATTCTCAAGATGCAGTACACAAAGGTACCATACCAACGCCCGATCCCCCAAATCACAGCAAACTAACAAAAAAACCCAGCTCTTCGCCCTCGCGGCCGTCTTCATCTCCGGCACCCTCGCTGCACCCCTGGAAGTCGAGGCCCGCGCCTGCGCCTCCACTTGCGGCTCCCACTGCTACAGCAGCAGTGCCATCTCCGCCGCCCGAACTGCCGGATACAAGCTCTACTCGGCGGGCAGCACTGCCAACGACTACCCTCACGTCTACCATGACTATGAGGGCTTCACTTTCCCTGTCTCCGGAACATACTACGAGTTCCCCATTCTGAGCAGTGGAAGCGTTTACACTGGTGGCTCGCCTGGTGCTGACCGTGTTATCTTCAACACCAACGATCAGCTTGCTGGTGTCATCACCCACACTGGAGCCAGTGGAAACAACTTTGTTGCCTGTACTTAGATGGGTTTGCGAGAATGAGTTTATATTGAATTGAGTGAAGTTTGGCTATGATTGAATGCAGATATGAGGGTATGGAGTAGAATTTGGGAATGTAGGAGACCGACTTATCATGTTGCCATATAGAGTAGGATGACAACATGCTGTAAAGGAATCCGTTGTTTTGGGTATCGTAAAGCAAATAGCAATCGACACTTGCACATCTAGTTTGATGCGGGACTTGTCGTCGTCAGAGCTTGATACCCATTTTTTAGTAATAGAAGGATAGATAAAAAAGGCTCCCAGTATTTTCTAGTCATGTCATCTTTGAATGATTTGATCGGTGGGCCATAAATGTGTATCATGTTTTCGTGAGGAAGGTTCTCATGTGATGTCGATTCGAAATTGATTGTCAGTTAAGAAAGAAGAAGACATCAGAATTAAAATTTAAATATCCAGGGAGTACTTACGGGGGGTGTGAAGAGGAAGAAATCGAAAGGCAGTTGAGGTGCCCTATTTATGCGAGGTTATGTACAGGGATCTGGTGAGACAGGCGCGGGGTCGCGTGCTTTTGTTTGCCGCCAGGAAACATGTCGTTAACATCAAAAGAAGAATCCCTGATCTATATTGAACAATCAGATTACAGAAAGCTTTCAATAGTTGCCCCAAAACAGCAGCCTTCATTCCCTCTCTCCCATCTTGCTGAAACCCCAACGAGCGAAACTGCGGCGTGACATAACCCCTCTTGATAATTAGAACCTGTATATCCCGCCAACGCATTAATATAAGTCAAGCCAGCGGTAAGATGCAAGATGCGGAATACATCTCCATTGGTTATATTTGTTGATTCTTCAGTCATTGCAAGACCAGAAGCGCCGAGGGGATAGGCATATTCTTGATATGTCCTGTGATTATCGGGTGCGCTCAATTCTAGAATGATATTAACATAGCCAACGAAAGATATTCATCTCGAGATAGAAGTTATCGAACCCAAGCCGCAGCAACCAACTCGTTCATAGATCGAGCAAGGCATTCGGTAGACTCGGCCTCCGCAAAGACCGAACTACCCCGAATGAGTAAGCCGAAGTCATAACAAATACGGACGAATCACGGACGAAGCTACCAAGGCCGAAATCACCCCTTGTTTGATTTCAAAACATTTACGTTTGTTGGTGTGATTAGTCCAGGATTCAAGTGTTGGATTAATAATGACATTGGAACTCAATGGGGCCCAAGGGAAGGCTAAAGTAGAGAAACAGTGAAGTATAAAGCAAAGCTTTCCCAGTTGCCATTACAACATACAAGCACATCATCACCTTCCAATAATCAATCGTCCTTCGCAATGACTTCCAACCTCAAGCCCATCAAGCTCTACGGAGGCATTCTTGGCCCGAACCCTCTCAAGATCGGCCTCATCCTCACAGCCCTCGAGCTCCCCTTCGAAAGCGTCCCCGTTGCATTTGCCGATGTGAAAGGCCCAGAATATGTAGCCATCAACCCGAACGGACGTCTGCCCTCAATTCACGACCCAAACACCGACCTGACAATCTGGGAAAGCGGTGCCATCATCGAATATCTCATTGAGCGCTATGACACCCAAGAGCCACGCAAACTGAGCTTCACGCCCCGCAGCGCCGAAGCCGAGCTAGCGCGCTCATTCCTTTATTTCCAGGCTTCCGGTCAGGGTCCGTATTACGGTCAGGCCTTCTTTTTCAAGAAATACCACCCCGAAAGGCTCGACGGTGCCGTGGAACGCTTCGTCAAGGAGGCCAAGCGTGTCACTGGTGTTCTGGATAACTGGCTTGCCAAGGAGAAGGAGTCGCATCAGGAGAGTCTTGGTGATGGGCCGTGGCTAGTTGGCAATAAGCTGTCCTATGCAGATATCTCTTTTATTCCTTGGCAGCATGTTTTGGGCACTCATCTTGCTGATGAAGGGTTCAATGAAGATGAGTACCCTCATGTCAAGGAGTGGATTGGGCGCATGCTTGCCAAGGGGCCTTTGAAGGCTGTTATTGATGATATGAACGAGCAGATGGCTCAGGGAAAGAAGCACTAGTGGACTAGTGGATTTCTCAATTAGTATTCATAGAACTGACTTTGAGTATATCATTCCGCTGTTCTCATTCTTTTCCACCTCTTATTGTACGATCAAATCGAAAGATAGGCTAGGGTTTGATTGCAGAGTTCCTTTCTGTTGAGAGATTCCTGATAGATAACAGCAAAGTAAAGGAGATATGTTTGAACAGCAATAATGTACTTATCTATCGCATCAATAATAGTTCAAGAAGAAGCGACTTAGCCGAGTGTGTATACTGATACTGGAAATGATGATAATGATGGAGCTCTTCGACAAAAACGGAAAAGATCGCCACCTCGCAACCCCGAGCCGACTTCCTCTCCGCAACTAAAAAAAACCCGCCGAGTTCAACTCCGAACCAAATCTTCAACAACACCGCAACACCTTTGAAGTAACAACATTGATCAAAGACAAACCACAATTCCATTCAAGCTCATAAAAAACTCGTTCAAAACATAACTACCATTCCAATCAAATAATGCCACCCAACCCAACCACAACCACACCCCAAGTCTACACAACAGACCATTCCAAAAAGGTCCTCAAAACACACAGCTGGCGCACAGCCCAAAACTCCGCGCCCCATCTCCTCCCCTACATAAAGCCCACCGACAAAATCCTCGACGTAGGCTGCGGCCCCGGCTCAATAAGCGTCTCGCTTGCAAAACTCGTGCCAGAGGGCTCGGTCATCGGCATAGAGTATGTCGCCGACCCACTCCCATCCGCGCAAGCGCTGGCCAGCGCAGAAGGCGTAACCAACATAGAATTTAGCCAAGGCGATATCCACGCGCTCCCCTTCGAAGACTCCGTCTTTGACATCGTGCACGCGCACCAGGTGCTGCAGCATGTTGCAGACCCGGTCCTTGCATTGCGGGAAATGAAACGGGTTGTCAAGAGCGGGGGGATTGTTTCTTGTCGGGAGTCTGCGGAGTTGAGTTGGTTTCCAGAGAATGAGGGGATTGCTTTGTGGAGGGATATTACGGTGAGAATGCAGCGTGCTGCGGGGGGGCATCCGCATCCGGGGCGGATGATTCATGTGTGGGCTTTCGAGGCGGGGTTTGAGAGGGATGCTGTTACGAGGAGTGCTGGGGCTTGGTGTTTTGGGAATGATGAGGAGCGGGAGTATTGGGGTGGGAGTATGGAGGGGAGGGCTAGGAGCTCTGGGTTTGCGAGTAGAGCTATTGAGGAGGGGTTTGCGACACCTAGGGATTTGGATGCCATTGCCAAGGGGTGGAGGAGCCTTGTCGAGGATCAAGATGGGTGGTTTGGGTTGTTGCATGGGCAGATTTTGTGCTGGAAGTGAGAATTCGGCATTGGGGGCTCTGGGAAAGGTGAGCTGGGCCTGTCAATCATGACTCAGAGTTGGATTTGAAGAAAAAGGTATTTTTAAGCAGTGCAATGGTTAATGTGATATCGATGTAAGCCCTATTGATCGCCTCGGCGAAATGCAGTCCTAGAAATAAAGAGGCTGGAAAGAATGAAGCAAATGATCAGGCTCGCTCAAGCAATCGTCAATCCGCAAATGAACAACACTCTTAGTCGCTGCCATAGTCATCCTCATAGGCCTCATCACGACGACCATCTTCATATGCCTCCTCGATGTCAGAGCGCTCCTCATCCTCATCTAGAACGAATGTTAGCATCAAAATCGTCTCGAAAACCACATATTCGTATTTTGACGACCCAAAAAAATAAGGTAAACATACCATGCTCATGTTCAAGGAAGGCACCAGCAAGACCACCAACAGCAAGACCAGCAGCACCCATAGCAAGGTACTTGCCAGTGTTGCTACTCTTCTTCTCCGGAGCGGCCTGTTGCTGATCATAATAACCACCACCCGGAGGACGGCTATCATAGTTGACAGGAGGAGGGCCGGCAGGTGGCGCATAATAACCACCCTGAGGCGGCCCGGGGGGAGGAACACTGCGGGAACCATCATCGTAACCGGAGTAGGCGGGCTGAGCATAAGGCATCTCCCACTGGGAACGGCCAGTAGCGTCCTCTACCCAGAAAGCGCGACGGGTGCTTGGCTCCCATTCCTGGTGCCAGCCGGCTGGCAGTGGAGGCGGGGGGTTCTGCGGGGGGCGGGCGCCTGGTGGAGGGGCGCTGTAGGGGCTTCGCTCATAGGGTGGTCTGTCTGAAGGGGGTCGAGCATACGGATCTGCGGGTGGTGCACCGTAGGGTGCGTAGGGCTGTTGGTATGGTGGTGCGTCTGATGGGGGACGACCGTAGGGGTCCGCGGGTGGGCGGCCGTATGGGTCTCCTCCGTAAGGCGGGGCGTACGACATGATGGATGCGGAGAGAGTATGAGGGAAGGGGAGAGAAAGGGGAAGAGAAGGAAGAAGAGAAGGTGGGAGGTGAGGCCTTTTTATGGTGTAGTGCAAAGAAAGCAATTAAACAATTTATTTGTAGACATCAACAGTTCCGCTCAGAACCGAAAGGACCGAGACTGATGTATCCACCGCATATCATTTAGCGCTGTAATTGACGGCTTTTAATGCCTCTAGGCAGATGCGATATCCAGAGCCCCACGAATGGCTTGTAACCGCTGGTCAGATTGGCAATCTTGCGCCTTGCAGGGCTGTCCAGCTGAATGATCCGAAGTGTCTGCCAAGTGTTGTGTGTCACTTAGTACATGTCAGTTGCAGGTTGACTTACTCGTAAGGTTGAGGTTGTGATTCTCAACTTCTGAGCTCCACTCTATTTTGGTTCCTCAAGACCGTTGAACATAGGGATCCCCTTACCCCTGGGGGTTACTCTACAAATAGGAGAGAAAATAGGGGGAGACTGACTTCACCCCACCTTCAGTGGAGAAGTGAGTTGGAAGAGGGTAAAAGATGCAGATAATCCGCGCTAATGTATACCCAGCCACTAGGTGGCTTAGCTCAGATGGCACAGCCACTAGGCGTGACACACGTGGCTGTAGAGGGGGACTATGTTCTGCGATATTGAGGGGTTAATGGGGAGTTATTGGGTTACAATAGTTACAAGGGGGACAAGGAGTTCCAAATGTTAGAGATATAGACTGCATGCGGGGACCAAGTAGCGCCCTTGGTCCCACAAACGAATGTATTGTAATGGTAATATTCTCATAAAACGTAAGATACCCGTGGGAATTGTCAACCATGCGGGCACGACATCTGAACTCGATTATAAATTACTGACTTGGCGCGCTGCCTAGGAACGTGGACGCACGGCGAGCGCAATTCAGTATCCAGGAGATACTATGCAACCTAGCCGGCGATGGTGCTGGCGGCATCACTGTCTGGATAAAAGAAAGCAGCCAGGCTAAAGAATGAGTTAGTAAGATTTTACAAACAAAAACCTAAAAGCACAAAAGAAGTACTCACGCGATAATGATGTAGGCGGCCACCAGCAGCACACCTTCAAGATAGTTGCTTCGGCCGTCCAAAACTAGGAAGTTGACCACAAAGGTAGTGACAAACAGACAGATGGTCTCAAACAGAGTGAAGTAGAGAGACATGTCCTTGTCCATGCACCATCCGATAATAACAACCAGGGGAGTCACAAAGATAGCTAGAGGACGTTAGAATACGAATTGAAAGAGAGATGTGCTAAACTTACCGATTTGAATACTGCTACCAACCGAAACACCGATTGACAGGTCCATCTTGTTCTTTGTTGCGACACTGACAGCGGTAACGTGCTCCGCTGCATTGCCTACGATCGGCAAAATAATGAGACCGATGAAAGCCTCGCTGACGTTGGAGCTGGCAATCATGTCGGGAATAGCATCGACCAAGAACTCGGCACAAACAGCGACCAAGCCGGTGGACAACAAAAGCATAACAACAGCCGCAGTTCTGGACATTGCAGGCTCCTGGGGCTGGACTGCTGCGTCCTGTGGAGGGGTTTCAACAGGGTCGGTGAGGCGAGAGGCACCACGAGCGAATTGAACCGCATTTCCGGCTGGAGGAGGACGACTGATATGAGCAGGTAGCGAGTTACTTCTAGACAGACCAGGGCGACTAGCTCCGACACGAGGAGACATGGCTGGCGACTGAGAGCTAAAGACAGTATTGGAAAGCAGGGAAGGAATCGGTCCGAAGGGAGAACGACGCTTCTGAGGATCCTCTCCAGCACCGTCAGCACCAGCGAATGTAGGGGCGGACGAGAAGCCCTTCATGTTCTGCTGAGGTGCCTTGGAAGGAGCACCTTGGACTGCCTCTTTCTGTGCCCTCCGCTCGGCCTTCCTCTCTGCCTTGCGCTGTTCCTTGAGTGCCCTGCGCTTCTTGCGGTCACTCTTCGACTTGTGGCTTCCAGCACTATCCATACGGTCAAGAGCGATACCGAAATCCCGGGAGCGAATGGCAGACTCCTGCACATCTTGGTCGGCATCATAGTTAACTTCGTCACCAAGTTCAATGGCATGCTCGTTGCTAGCGATCGAATTGCCGATAGAGCTTTGGTTTTCGGCAGACGTGGATGCCATAGCCTTCTTCTTGAAGGACTCGCGAGAGGTCGTGCCCTTGGAGCTGGTGCTCGACTTCCGATGTCTGCGATACTTCATAGCTCTCTTGATGCGCTTGGCCGTGGTCCATGATGTCGTAGTGTCGTCTGATTCATCACTGGAACTGGACGAGGATTCCGAAGAGCTGTTCATGAACTCTGCAAGAACACCGGGGTGGGATTCCTCGTCAATGATAGCCTGGGGAATGCTGGCGTAGAGATATGAATGTGACTTGAGCTGGAAGACGATGTACAGAATGTACACCAGTAGCAAAACAACACTTGTGCCTCGGCTGACCTTGAGGGTCTCACGATCGGCGTCGCCACTATCGGACCACGATGCGTGGAAAGCAGTGGGCAAGAGAAGACTCATCACACTCAAACTGAGAAGACAAGCACTCATTTGGGTCACAGTGCTGTTGTAAATCTGTTCTTGGAAGCGAAGACCACCAGACAGAAACGCCATACCCATGATCAATAACAAGTTCGCCAGGATGGAGCCAAGCAGTGAAGCTTGGACGATACGAATCTCATTCTTGACCAGGGCAATGATGAAGATGATCAACTCTACTGCGTTTCCGAAGGTCACGTTGATCAGAGCTCCGATTGTATCACCTAGACGGCTGGCGACACTCTCAGTGGCATGACTGAGCAGTCCTGCCAGAGGGATGATGGCCACTGCGTTCATCGCGAAGACGATGGCTGGGTCGAGGCCGATGGCCTCAACGACGATGCCGACTGGCACGAAGACCAGCAGGACATTCACCCAGCTGTGGCACAGGGCATCCTTGGTGTGGTTGTAAAACCGGCCGGATCCATTTCGCATGCGAATCAGAAGACCCGGCTTTGAGTTCGGTTCAGTGTCGGACCCTGGAGTAGGGTCCTCCACGGGGACATTCACTTGTCCATTTTCAGGAGGAGGTTTTTCGGTAGGTTCGGCGGCCTGTTGGGAGGAGGACTGATCTGTCAGGCCGCGAGAAGATGCGTGAGCTTTCGCCCACGAGTGAATCCGGTCTATAGAAGCGGAGATGATTAGTCTAAGTGGAGACCACGCCAGAAAGCTATCTAGCACCACTTACGCATGTATTACAGGGACAAGACACTGATGAAAGAAGGCAAATTAGCCTTTGGGGGAAGACGTGAGTGAGTGAAGGAAAGAGAGAGAGCGAGAGCTGTCAGAGGACTAGGGGGGGGCCAGACTTATTTATGAGCTTGGCATCTTGGCGCGGACATTTCCCACTTTTGCCCAACAAGCGCGCCACACACGATGTTTCATTGTGTCTTGGTCTCCATGGTGGATCCTTGATGATCTTGATAAGGAATGTGTTGACGAATACACAGTGACAACTGCAATTGACATTCTCGTGAGCCCCTAGCATGATGTCAACGCAGGGCTCACATCAATGAAAAAGCCACCCGAGTCACAGAACATGGCTAATTACGCGTTCTCGATGATTCTCCCTATAAGGATGCCAAGCTTGATGGGCCGTAAATCTGGCTCCACCAAGGACAATGTCCGACATTCAGCCTGAGTTCATTGGTTTACGCTCGCTACGATCGACCTACCGACTGCCATCCCCGTCGAGACCATTATTGGCTTATGTTTTGCCCTATCGAGAAACGCTCGAGACCTGTCACAACTGACTCCGGTGCATTTCATCCCGAGTCCCGAGCTGGAAGAATGTCAGAAAGTCCAGCAGAAGCGTTTGTGCATCGCACAGACACAGATTCAGGGCTATGAATGAGGATGACGACAATGTCTTGGGCCTGTGATACCCTGGCTGCGACAGCCGTTTGTTGTGCCTCATTTGGTTGCAATGAGGTCATGCATGCCCGCATAATGTACGTACTGTATACGAAATTTGGCAAATCGCTCGATATTGCTTCTCGCCTCACTTTGCTGCGCCCCAATGGCCACAACTGTGGAAGCCCCACAACTCCGTCACAACTCCTCGGTTTGTGGCTTGGGCTCGTGGCTGTGTCACAGTCGCCACAGTTGATTCTGGACTCTTGGCTCAGTACTCCGTACACCACGCCGTCCAGAGTGAGTGGTGGATGGAGGTTCATATTCTATTCTTGGAACAACCCTCTATCTACCCAGCAAGCAACGATAACTGATGGAATCAGCTTAGTTAAGGCGAGCCACAGAGACTCCTCAGAATGGCTGCCTAGATGTGAAAGCGTACGACTTGGAATTATGCATCACAAGCTCATGCATGGAAATGATATGACTTCCTACTTCAAGGAAGACATGGAATATGTCATCACTGTTACGGTCCCTGGGGTGTACATGCCTGCAGTTTTGCAATGGAACATTTCACCTGGTAACTGTACCACGAGCTTCACTTTCTTGACTTTTAATCATGAAAGACAATACAGCATCGTTTGTTATACATCCTCGGTTGCGTATGTTTCCTCGGTGAATGCCTGCGGTTGAAATCGCCCATCGCAGACAGATCGAAGAGCGAGCTTCGTAGGCGGAAAATATCTACTCCGCTACCTGCACGTCCCATACCTATCAACCATACTGTAGCTTAGTTTCTCAATAGCTCAATCGATATACTAGCCATTTATGATAAATATGTTAGCTTCAATCAATGCTTCAACGACCAAGAAAACACTACTGGAAATACATTGATCTATATTGAACCATCACATCACGTGCCATCTCCGGATTGATCCGAACGGGCGGTTATCCTGACTTCGTAGGAGGCAATGCAGCAAGACAGTGTCGTTTCTTTCTTACCATAAACTAGGAAATTTCCAAATTGAACTAAGGAGCAGAGTTCCAAAATATCTTGTTCTTCTCGCTGTCGGCACTTGGCTCGGCACGGGTCTAACGGCAACCCGATCCGCATGCAGACGCATCCGATAGTCTAATTGATCGACCTGCAAAATTTACGTTCTCCTTTTTGTTCCTGAATATTTGTTCTTCGGTTGCTGTCAATTACCTCTCGTTGAACCGGTTGGTCAGATATAGATATATGCATATCTGAGTGTCGCCAGCGGGTCAGCTTAAGCGCAATGACGAAAACTGAAAAAAACCCCAAACACTCTTGGGTTGGGAATTTCAGGTAAAACACCGTCATTTATCGATTTCGATCGCATATTCTAAGCCTTTGACAGTGGAATAAATCCATCAACATGGTGGACCAAGTTAGAGCTGGACTCTCGGACCATGCTCCTGATGTTGAAAGGCGCATTGGCCCCGACCATCACTGTTGCCATGTACGTTGTTTAATACATGATGATGCCAATATACCTACCTACTGATATCTGTGAAGCTACCAAAGTGATGCAATCTCAGACATTACCACGACAATCGGCTACCTTTCAACCTTAATATCAATCCTGTCACAGGGGCTCATGCCTCGCTCCAAATTCGCCAAAATCATGTTTTTTGATTTAATATCGACATGCGTCTCAGCCTCACTCTGTTGTCTTGCTGTATTTTGTGCCGTAAAAGCGAGAGAACACAACACTGCCCCCGATGCCAGAGATGGGTATAGCAGTGATGCCTGCGCGGTAGCTGCTATTTGGCTCATTGTCATGATCTGGTGTGTCCAGTATGAAATCGAAACAGACCAATGACACTAATACTTCAATTAGGGTCGCAAACGCCCTACGTGCGTGGAAACCCATGGAGCTTCAGGATCCAATGGTCGCCTTTTCTATTTTTGCTTCTGTCACAATGACCCGTGCGGGAACTTTCACTACCCTTGCCGTAGGCTTGGATTTTATTGCTCGACTTCTGAAGGGGTTTATGATTGGATTTGCAATTGCAACTGGCGTCTCACTGCTAATATATCCCATCACCAGCAGAGGTGATATGTTCCATGATCTCAAGGGCTACGCAGCAACGGTTGAGGCAGTCCTTCAGGCTCAGATATCATTTATTGAAGGTAGCTCAGAGACTCGTCTATTTAAAAAGCCAGGTCTCCTTCGACGGGCACGGACCTACCGAAGTACACAGGATGGACAGGACGACGATGAGGAGGATCTACAAATCAAAGAGAAGAAACTGCAAGGGGCGATGGCCAAACTCAACGGCCAACACAACAAAATGCACGCCGATCTTTTCTATTCCAAGAATGAAGTTGCCTGGGGTAAGTTGTCCGCGGACGATCTCAGCACTATTGCACATCTCTTCCGCAATCTTCTTCTGCCCTTGTCTGGAATGTCGATGCTGCCCGAGATCTTGGAGTCGATAGTCAAGAATGAGAAGCGGGACGAGGAAGCCGACGATCTCGTGGAGGTGGATGAAGGGGGATTGAAACAATCTGAAATCCACAAGGTTGTGGAAACTCTCCAAGAACGAATCGTTGATTCTTCGGAGCTTGTCCAGCATGGTCTCCACTATTTCCTGTTAGCGTTGGAGCTTGTCAAGCCTAAGCATTTGGACAAGCAAAACAACCCGCATGATGAGGAAGCAAGGGGTCGAACTTTGTCGCCGCTGCAGCCTGATTTTCCTGCGCGATTTGAACAGGAGCTCCACAGCTATTACTTACGTCGGAAGCATCTACCTCAGGCCCTGGCATCACTTGAGGCATTTTCAGCAGCCGAGAAACATGCTGCCGACGCTTCTACTGAGTCAGAGCTGCCCTACATCGCCTCTGATCCAGATGTACGTCAGGAATTCTTCATGATTTTGTACATGGGGCATTTGCAAGATGACATGTTGAACGCTACACTCCAGTTGGTGCAATTTGCCACCAGCAAGCATACCGATGGAACTATGAAGCACAACCGACTCATATTCCCCAAACAAAAGTCCATCCGGGCATGGCTCTCCCTGAGTTCCGACAAGAAAGAGTCCGAGACACCAGCAGCTAGCAGACAATCGTCAAATGCTAATCCATCAACTATCCATCGCACCCAGCCTACAAGGTTACCAGACCCCGAACATCTGCCGCCCGAGAATATTTGGGAAAAAGGAAGTATGATATTACGTACCATCTCCCACCTTTTCAAGTCCGATCAAAGCGCGTTTGGGTGCCGCGTTGCTGCGGCTTCATTTTCTGTCGGTATTCTTGCCTTCTTGCACCAGACTCAGGATTTCTTTACTAGGCAAAGATGCATCTGGGCAATGATTGTTATTGTTATTGGAATGAACCCAACAAGTGGACAAACTATGTTTGGGTTTGTTGCCCGTATTGCTGCAACGACAATCTCCCTTGTTCTAAGTCTGATTGTTTGGTATATTGTTGATGGCAAGACGGCCGGTGTGATCGTCTTCCTCTACCTTGCAAACGTATTTGGGGTACGTATATCAATTGACTCCACGGCGAGCCCAGCAACGCTAACTTGAACAGTATTACTTTTACATCAAAGTACCCCAATACTTCGGAGCATGCGTCATCTCTATCGTCACCTTGAATGTGATCATTGGCTACGAGCTCCAGGTACCTACACCCCTGCTCCTTGCTGAAAGAGAAGCAAACACTAAATTGCCAAGGTCCGAAAACTCGGCTTCCCAGAAGCAACGTCAAATGGCCAACCCTACTATCCCATCTACCTCTTCGGCCCATACAAACTCGCAGCCGTAGCAGCCGGCTGCGCAATATCCTTCTTCTGGGTAATTTTCCCATACCCAATAACCGCAAAATCAAAATTACGCCAACTCCTCGGCCGAAGCCTCTTTGTCCTAGCAAACTTCTACAGTTGCATGCACTCCACCATTCAACTATGGCTCAGCAACGAACTAGGATCAATCCAAGATAAATCCTCACCGGCACACAACCTCCAATCATCCCGCCACAAACTCTTCAAGGAAGAAATGATGCTCCTTACTGGCCTCCGTACTCACAGCCATTTCAGTACCTTCGAGCCGCCCATCGGTGGAAAGTTTCCCAAAGAGACTTATGACAATATAATCGCTGAGATCCAGCGGATCTTGACAAGTATGTCGCTCATGGCGCATACGACACAGAGTTTAGAGACGCTGATTGTTGATTCCGATGATTCAAATCCCGGACAGGATGACGATGATCGGTGGATGGATCGGTTGGCTGAAATAGCGTTGAAATCGGATGATTTCAATTCACATCGTATCGCTTCCTTGCTGTGCCATCTGTCTGCGGCTATTTCAAATGGTCAACCGCTGCCGCCTTATTTGTCCACACCGGACTCTTTCCCTCTTGCTCGTCGGATGCAGAGGATTGATGGGGAGTTGCTTAGTATTCGGCACATTGAGGATCCGGCTTTTTCGGCATTTGTTTCTCTTGAAGTTCTGAGGTCGGTTGTTAGTTTCAGTTTGAAGGATTTGATTGGGTAAGTTCTCTTTCGTGTTCATTGAATCTTTTGGAGTTTACTGACTTTGTTTTAGGAATGTCAAGAAATTGGTCGGAGAGATTAACTTTGACTTTTATGAGAGGCAGACAGACAGGTATGCTGAGTCTTCTCGGCTTATTTCGCACTCTAGCCAAGAGGATCAGCAGTAGACGCAAGATACTCAGATCAGAACGAATTGAATGAAGTGATCCGGTCAGCCTTCGGCTTTTTTACTCTATGTTACCTCTACGTAGTCATTGTTTAGAAAGGTTGATATCGGTCATGCCAGTCGACCACTTCAAACTCCGAGGACCGACTATCAAGTTAGACAGATACTACTACGAGTATTGCCGCGGGCAACTGGCAAGCCACCCATCCATGGCTATTGACAGCAATGGATTATTTAGCGCTCAGCAAAGAAGACCCTGGTAGTATCTTGTGCAAGGTTTAGAATGTCCATAGTGAAAATTATTAAACAATCCAAGAGTAATGCGTATGTACATATTGAAACAGGATTCCACGTATCAAATAAACACCGAATTATTTCTCATCAACCACAGTCTGAGCCTGAACAACAGGCGGATCCTCCGCACCAGGCTCATTGAGCTCCAAGTGATGAGCGTAAACCATAGACGCAATGGAATCTTCAGTCTGGAGGTAAGTTCTGCTACCCTGGATAAACCAAAAGGCAACTGCAATGACCAGCATGACTCCGAAGACTGCAATAGCAAAGTTCATATCACTCGGCGCAGGGTTGGGCGCACCGGGGAAGAGGAAGAAAATGGTTGTAATGACACAGTAGACGATACTGACCCAGTTGAGGACGGGGCCAATGCGACCGAGCTGGAATGGGCCGGGTGGTAGCTTTTCACGGCCGGTCACCAGTAATGCGAGGATTGGCATGGCGTAGGAGACTGTCAAGGCAATGGTACTGACACTCAAAATGGCCTCGAGCACTGTGTTGGCGAAGAGGTAGAGGATACCGACGAGAGCGATGATGACTCCCTGGCCCCAGAGGGCACGGGCTGGAACCTGCCACACGGGGTCGACGTGGCTGAAGTATTGGCTGAAGGGGACACCGCCATCACGAGAGAAACCCCAGGATAGACGCGAGGCTGTTGTGAGGACACTGATTCCTTGACCTAGTCCATTGAAGATGAATAGGGAGATTAGGACAGCAGCGCCCTTGAGACCGACTGTCTCGAGCATGAGTTCCATGAATGGCAGGTCGGCGTTGACGACTTTGTCGACGTCCTGGATACAGAACAGACAGACTACCATGAAAATGAAACCAGTCACGGCGCCGAAGAGGACTGCCATCCAAATGACGCGAGGTGCGTTCTTCCGTGGTGCAGGAATTTCCTCAACCATATGAATGACCGAGTCGAATGCAGTCAATCCATACGCAGCCTGCACCAGACCGGTGAACCAGACCACCCCATCGCTCCATCCAGTCTCGTTCTTCCAAGCTCCGAACGCAAAAGAAGGCGGCTGGAAAGACAAACCGTCCTTAGTGCCGACCGAGATGAGCAGCGCAAGAGAAAGAACGATAAACAAGCCGAAGAACCACACTCCAACGAAGTTGTTCAGCCAAGGAAGAATCTTCTCCTTGCGACAACTAACAACGTTGATGAGAGTGAGTACAAAGACAACACCAACGTAAACAACAAAGTTCAGCCAGCCCTTGCTGGCTCCCTCCCACTCCGGATTAAACATAGTCTTCATACCGAGCAGAAACTCAGTCATAAAGGCGACCTGCGACGCAGTCAAAGTCCACCATCCAAAGGTGTTGATCCACGCGCACATATAGGAAACAAAGCGACCGAGCGGTGTATTCCAGAGACGATATACCCAATAGGCCTGGCCAAGAGCCGTGGGCATACTGCTAGTCAACTCGCCCAGCGAGAGGGCAACACAAAGATTGCACACAGTGACCAGCACCAAGCCCCAAAGGATAGTGATAGCACCACCATTGGTCAGGCCACTGCTGAGATCCTGAGCAAAGGTTGAATATGTTCCTGCGTGAGAGAGTCAGCAAAATGCCATCCATTCCATACAATGCCTAGGCCTGGGATTGTGGCAAAAAAAAAAGGCAATATGGCGATTGAGCGATAGAAAAAAAGAACATACCAAGAACACAAAAGGCCAACGCAAGCATACTCCACATATCAAACTTGCGGGTCAAGGCCTGGGAATGACCCATGGCAGCGAGGTCCTGCGCATCTTGCACATTCTGATCCGTCAGAGGCGGTTTAAGGGGTGGTGAATTGGACTCCAAATCCATCGAGAACGAGTACTTCAGCCGGAGGCGATACAGATCAACTGAATGGGTAAGCAGGTCAAGAAAGCGCCCATTTTCTGCCAGACAGATTGAGAGATGGAAGGATCTGGCGAGGATATGGAATTCTATATAGGCTTGGGCGCCGGCGTATTTGGCGTTGACCCCTCACGCACCCAGGGTAAATACGGAGACGTAGATAAAAGCTGGGGGGAATTGACTCGGCCAATGATGTGTGTGCTGGGATCCTGAGTCAACGGCTTGTATCGAAGCCATTGGTCATGAATTGGGCCAGGGTTGATAATAGAAACGATCTTCCTGAGTCGAGGTTTTGGAATTTTGCGGGGAGTGTGTGGTTCGCCTCGGTAGGACCTCCTACAGTGGGCCTCTTTGGTTATACTCCATTATACTCCACTGATAACAACTGGGGTAATTGGCTCTGGACATTGAATAGATGTAGTAATGGAATTGAATTTGGGCTTGAAGATACTTTGTGGCTGCCAATTGAGTCTGGCTTTGCCACATGGACTAGTAGGGAAGGCTAGTGTGGAAAGATCCGACCGTACTGCATCTTAACCTCTCCGGTGATCTATTTCCCATTCGCATTTCCACGGACCAACGACAGACATATTCGTCATGTATTCTCTATCTCTTTCTCTAGCATCTCTCAATTGAAGAAGAAGAAGAAGAAGTGGTTAGCTCATCAGTGGCGAAATGGCCCAAAACGGAAAGTCCATGCGTGATAGGATGATAGGCGACTAGTCCGCGGCTCTATACAGCGAGGCGTCAGGGATGAGATTAACCTCGTGTAAACCGAAACCATAATAGAATCATAAACTGTCTGCATATCTCTATCTGCCGAGCTATCAGTATCCATCGTAAGCTCTGGTGGATTCAAAGGCGGATTCCGATGCCGGCAACCATGGGATATCCAAACAATAGTCAATGTCTGTGATATCAGGTGGACACCTATAAGGGAAAAGTCGGAATTTTCCATGAGAAGATAGAGAGATAGTGTTTCAATGAATCAATGCGAATGATGATGATCCTCCCATCGAAAGAAAGGGGAAAGAGCAGACGACTAACTCGCCCTGCATGGTCCATCACTCAGGCAGCAGCTCAAAGCCCTGTCGAGCGAACGGAAGGATTAGGGTCCACTTGATTCAAGAGTCGTCGTAACCAGAAAGTAACAAACGGATTTACTTAGCGTCCGTCTCCTCGTTTGGGCATCGCCGCAAGCTGAAGCGCTGGATGGTAAGACGGCGACATTGGTATACATAGAACTTACGCTGTCCGCCATTGGTCTGCATCGCCGGATCTCGGTGCTTCGGTCTCTTTCTCCTTCCTTTCATAGCGATAAGCTACATACAGCATTAGAGCTTGCGATCGAGCGGCTGAGACCCCACGAAATCCGGGGTATCCAGCCCGCCTCATTCTCGTGGCGCTTCTCTCGTGACAGTCCGACATACCGGCCAGCTCGCCATCACTAGCATCTTCTCAAAGTCAACTCATCATCGGAGCACCGGAGTTGTATGGAGTGTGGGAGACGGCAGATCACAAGGATAGTCAGGTACGATGCAGTATCCTATCCCCAATTGGGAATTTTGAGCCTGGTGGCTCCTGATAGGGTCAGCGAGCTTGAAGAATGGTTTCTCGAAGCATTCTAGCCTTTTTTTCCCTGCTTTAGTGCGTCTTTGGCGTCTTTGAGCGGCTGGGTTGGAAGGCGGACAAAAGTCCGCAGTTTGCCCCTACGTCGTAGGTAGGCAATCTCCGGGTATTTTCGAGGCCCCAGCACTGCTCACCGAAACTTTAGAACCTATCACGGGATGACATGAGAACATGACCAATATCCTATATCGTCTTGTCTTTCCTTCGCTGCCTTGCTCTTCAGTTTCGTGCTTTACAAGACATGATAGGGTTACGCTTGCCTTGATTGATCCGGCTGGAATTCAGCTGCATCTGCGAATCACCCAGAGAATGCAGGCTGGGCCAGATTGGATTTCTGGACCATGAGGTGAAGAACATTGGACAAAAAGTGCGAGGTAGGGCCCCTTGATATCAACTGATCAGCATTCAGATACAACCAGGGAGGCAAAGAGCACCAGGAGGCAGAACTTACATCTTCTGGCTGATACGCCAATATGCCAGGTGCAACTATTTCCAAAGCACAATACGCCAATACACCCAAAGGAAACCAAGTGAAAATAAGCAGGATGAACCATCCGAGTCTTGGCAATTATATTAATGCTTGAGCACTATCCAAGATAAATTCCCGAGCGTGGAGGGGAATCACAAGAACACATAACACTTTTGTTGTCGCCAGGACCCGAAAATCATGCAATAAGAGATGGGAGAGGACCACAATGAAGCCCAGTCACGACACCACATCCGAACGCCAGCCAGATCGAGAATAAGAATGACAAAGAACAAGAAAAGAAAAAGAGCACATTAAACGCCGACCGGGAACTTGTTGCCCGATTCTTCTAAAGATACACGTCACGGTCATAAGAACAAGTGTTGAATACTTGCAAGATACGGCAACAACCTGCCGTGGCACGATGGCGCATTGCGCACATGATCATGCTCGGGGATGCTTAGGGTGGCGCCACATGCCGCCCGGTAGCATATTCTGCTTGAGCATGGCGAGCTCCTTGTGCAGGGCTTGATTTTCCTGCTGGATGCCGTCGATGTAGGAGAGAGCGTTGGAGAGGATTTCGGATTTCTTGAGAGAGCCGGCACCGGCCTTGGGGGTGTGTTTCTGCACCCCGGCTGGGGAGATGGCTTGCTCCAGAGAGACGAACTTGGCGTTCATGTTTGTGCGGTAGCGCTTCTCGATGATGTTATGGGCGGCGCGCTTGGCGGCGTTCCGCATCTGCGGGTCTTGGCTGCCTGAGGAGCGGTTCGAGTCTCGGGAGAAACTGCGGGTCTTGCGGCTCGATGTGGAGGTCTGTTTGGATGGTTGCGGTGTCTCAACCTCCTGTACTTTGATCTCGGGGCTCGAGGACCATCTTGATGAGGTGCGACTCTTCTGGGTGTGGGGGTGGTAGGTCGGGTCGCAGGCTTGTGTTGGTGATTGGGTCTCGAAGGCGGAGGAGTCCATTGATGGACGGGCGGCGTTGGATGGCCATGACTGATCGTCACTCTCAATTTCCTGGAAGAGGTCAGCCTTTTGAAATGATATAAGGTGATATGGAGGGGTTCGTGTGGAGGGAAACATACTGATGAGAGCGAACCATTGTCTTCAGGCATCGGCATAGAGAACCCGCTGATCTCCGGTGATGCAGCAAACGGATCAACGAAGAGGTCTTTCGAGTCGAGATCATTCATGCCGTCAGCGAAGTCGAAGGGCATGGACTCCATGTCATTGGGGTTGAGGTTGAAGAGATCGATGGCACTATCGTACGTCCAGTTGGCGGCGAGGGGGTCCGGCTTGAACAAATCCACAGGCCGAGACTGAGGACTGAGACTCAGTTGTTGGCTGAGGTAGGTCGATTCATCCATGGAGAGATTGGGGATCTCATTGGATCGGTTGCAAGCCATGATGCACATCTTGAAGGATCATACGTTGAGGAGCAAGTGGCGGTGGGAGTATAGGTTGATATTGGGAACGATCGAAGGATCGAAAGATCGGAAGTGGAGGGGGAATTCAGGTCAAATATGTCAGAATGGATTACCGAGCAAAGTTGGGTTTCGGCCGCGGCGATTTATATACGAACAGGATCCCCCTAAGTCTGACAGGGGGGGGGCAGACTCGGAACGGATTACGACTCATTGTGTACGAGAGGGCCGAAAGGAATTGACCTGTGATGTCAGGCCCTATAGACCCCTGCGCCATAACCAGAGTAGTTCCGGCATGTCTGCCCGGTCAAGTCGAGCCGAAATCACCCCAGGCCAGATCTCCAACGGCCGGATCCGACAGACCCAAGCATTATGCGTGAAACCGTTGATAAAAACCGAGTGCAGCAACGGGGCCCAGGTCGAGTGGAGGCGGATCAGCGGGTTGGTCCTGTGCCAAGCCCCCGTCGGCCGAGTCTCGGAGCCGGAGGTATAAAACTCTTCGGTATTGCTTTGGTACGCTGGTCTCCTGGTTGGGGTGATTTGCTGGCTGCTTTACATGGAGTATATTGTAGTCTGTCTGTGTTCAGCCCTACCGGGCTATCTCATCCTCGAGGAACTGGAGACAATTCATACAATTGTCTATATGCCTGACCTACCATCTCATTCCAAACACAAGTGATATCTGAATTTGCTTCATCTTCACATGCATCCAAAATAAAGCATAGCTATAAGCTATCATATGCAGAATTTTGCCTGAAAACGCCACTTTGAAATACTAGGATTCAGAATATATATAATCACTATTCAGTACTACGTAGACAAGGATTCAACCGCCACTAACATCCATTCGTAGTTTTGCAAAGTGATGTATCAAACCCAACTGCTGAAGAACATTGAACCAATAATTCTATTTGCCACATGGAGATCATCTGTCTCAACCTAGGGACTCGCTTAAAAAAAGTTGCCATCATACGTAGTATACTTCGCAGACACGGGAAGATTCTGCATAAAAACCGCATGCCAATTATTCAGGAATCCAGAATACCTCTTCTTATTCGACAAGGTAGCTGAACTCCGTAGATCCCGAGGGGGATGTACTTGTTATTGATCCGACCTCCACAATCTGCAGGAGGGCTCATGGAAATGATCGCGGGGTGAGACCCAGGGTTCTGACAGACTCGTTCCGACAGGCTGATATCAGTCGGGTTGTCTGGACAATTGATCTCCGTGTTTCGAAGCAAGCCCATGCGACAGGAAAGAGACTTGTACGACGCATAGAAATGGACCGTTCCGTGATGTGATATCACTGAGCACTACTGTAAGGTCGCCGATGGTGGTCGACATTAGATGACTTTGGTTGTTCCACAGAGAAAAAAGGGCTATAGAGACTGAGGATGCTATCAAAGCCTACGTTGTAGCTCAATTATAATAACCATACATACGTCTCTTAAAATGCATCCTCACTTACTACATTTGTACCATTTCTAAGTTACATGCACTCAACCCCTTACAACACCGACATGCATAATCTGCGAGCCCAGGAGTCAACAGCAAACAACCACGATAGTCCATTACATGACTAGCCACCTGAGAGGGTTCTTGATATCCTGGGAACCATGGACAACTGTCTCCATGCTGAAATCTACGCAGGTTGTCCCTCTGAACGTCATAAAGCGGCAGCAGCGAACATAAACAGAGCCCCGAAACGGGCATAGCCAAAACATCCATGTATTGTGTTGAAATCCGTACCTTTGCACATCTCTTTCCGGCTTTGTGCCTTTACTTGTTTTACCCCCTGGCGGTAAAATTTATACCCTGTTCCAATGCTTTGCTGATTGCCTGCCTCATTATATTTCGTAGATCACCTGTAGCCCACCCTGTTTGGCACGCCAATCTCTGCAGAACACCATTTGACAGCTGTAGGGTACTTTTGATGTCATCATGGCGCTGCAATCTATTCCTTTCATCATACAGCACTGTATATCTACATCATCCCGTTAAGATATAGCACATCCGACCTATCGCTAAGCTATCATGATACTATGGAAGAACCCAAGCGACCACTAGTCATAAGCCACAGTATAAAACATGCGCATAAATCAGGGAACAAGATGGTTCAGATCATACATCTCATCTGACAGCTCAAACACGGCAAGTTCGTGTATGTCTACAGTACTGTACGCTGCCGCTTGTGGCGAAGTCTACGAGTAAGACAGATAGTACTTTTGCAAGACAGACCCAGAATCTGCAGTGAGTTTCTGCTCATCGAGAAGTCAATGAAGAATCCTTCCAAATATGGAACCTAGTATGCGGAATTTCATCTGTTACCTAGGGCTTGTAGGACAATAAACAAAGTTGTGTCATGAAAATTGGCCGTGGACTAGCCCGGTCCAAGCTGTCCACTCGCAAAGCGCGTAATTACTCCTTCCTTCCCAAAGGAGAGTTGGAGTGGGGTGACTCGGATCATCTAGTTCCTTTCTCTTTTGCTTGAGATCCCGGTGTCTACCGATATCTGCGACAATGCCCCGGTGCTTATTCGAGTTTTCACTCTATTTACGAATTCCATGCGGAACCCCATACTCAACTTTGACGTCCGGTGAAAAACTCGGAGTCTTCATGTATGGCATGAGGTCCATCGATCTTATGATCCTCAACAATCTTGGTTCCCAGATCCGATTCCAGATTTCCGGTCCGTGATTCAGATCCAGGATGTCGTTTCCCAAACGATCTTGGTCGAGTTTTTCAATAACCGGATTGATCATTGCTCCTTGTGACCTAAAGACTTTGTTGTCCTCCAACTAATGAACCATATTCTCACACAACCTTCATCCAGCTCAACTCGGACATTCTGGACCTGCCGATACCCTTTCCCGAAACATCTAGACCATCGATGCAGAGTTACCCTGCATGTTACCCGTTACCCCTGTGACGTTTATTGCTTCAAATTCCATGACGAAATTTAGTCCACCAGCAAGCCCAGATCCAGGGGTGGAGACATAACGGGCGCTAAGCCCGCCAGCTGCACAGAATACACGGGTCTTGTCTCGGTTTGACTGCCGGTTATCTTTCCCCGGACCATGGCTCCCGGCGACGGGATCGTCACCGGCAGCTAAAGTGGCTGTCTGTGACAGCAGCTAGCCCTATAAGGGTGTCATGAGCGGGAGGGGGGATAAAGTATGTTCAACCTTGGATCCCTCGGCGACTTACTCTGTCCCACGTGAATTTCACTTTCGTGGAACTACCAGCAAGGCAATATACTCTGACTGAGCTCTCAATTCAAAGGGATGCGCTTTTCTAGGATTCTATGTATTATGGAATCTTTACACTGCTCTTGTCCCATGTCCAACACTCGCCGAGGACTGGTAAATACCGCTGTATCCCTCGACCGTGTCCCCCAATTCTTCGAAAACTATCTGTGCAAGCTTGGCATTCTGATAAAGAATCACACCATACGGATTTTTGACTTCCAGCAAAGCTCCCATGGCACCTTCGTAACCGGCGTCAACCACACCCGCAGCAATTCCCACACCGGACCGCCACAATGAAGATCGAGGGAAGACACTGCCCATACAGTTCCGTGGGGTTCGAACGGTCTCATTGAAATCGACCAAGTAAGCGCCTGGCTGTAGGGTGATTGTGCGGTTGGTTTCGTCGAAAGGTAAACTAGAAGTCTTGGCTGTTTGACGTTTCGTGTTATCGAAATCAATGGTAGCCGCTGAGTTCCATCGGGAGACTTGGCGTAAAGTAAGATCGATACCGCATGGCTGTTGTTGCTGAGTGATATTTCGTAGATTGCGCACCAACTGGCGGTTGATGATCTCGACTCCAGTGATAATCATGGCGTGGTCTAGGCAGCGGGGGGTGGTTCTCCAACGTAGTCGATTCTTCTAGCTGATTGAAATTGTATATGCAATATTTTCAAATGGCAACAAATGAGCTTCGTCTGACTATTCTATTTGATATGGCAGTCTGAAGCCCCGCCCCCTGTCTACACCGCCTCTCGTATGCTTCGAGCTCTAGCACATCGTTATTCTTTTGGAAGATGTTGCCATGCTTCATAATGAAACCTAACTCAAATTAGTCACTCATAGCTATCTCAAATTTAGAACGAAGCCCTCTAGATTCTAGTAAACTGGCTCTTGTTGGGTGATAAGTGCACATTAGCGTTATCGACATTGACCTTTGTGACTAAATTGGAAGATTGCGCGAGTTTAGGTCGTTGTGAATTGTTTAAAGTTGTTCCTCTGTCATGAAAGTGACTCACCTGTCTACAGTCATGTTGATCTCAACACGAAACTATAAAAAGTTGGGAGACTTAGATGCTGGTCAGCCTCCGTCCAATCTCCAGCGTAGCGCATCTTCAATTGCTTCCACAAAAAAGACAAATTCAATGCTAAAATAGTGATTCACAAGCCTAGCAGATGATAATTTACCTATTTCCACCTAATAAATCCCAATACCCAGCTCATTGGGTCATTGATGTGCACCTGGGAAGAGCGGTGGGCTGGGCTGGGGCTGATCTAAAGCATGGATACATCGTCGATTTCCTACGGATTCTCCAATCACCGTGCTTTGTAAAAGAATGAGATAAGCCCCGGGACAACTTATTTGTCCTCCATGACTGATAAAACCTCGACGATTGGCCTCCGGCCAAGTTATTCTAGTGTATACCTGACATCATGTATGTTATACAATGTACTATGAAGAAATGCCCGCACAGAGAGCATACCCTTATCCCATACTCCCTCAATCTGCCTCAATAGCTAGGTTCCAGTCAAACAGCTCTGCAAACGTAGTACTGTACAACGTATGGATTCTCGCGTACGAATCACCGTCCACAACAGTATGTTACTCGACGCAGTTAGACACAATGTCAATCTGTAATATCACCAGTACTTTGATTGGTCAGTTTCAATATTTCTGCCTTATTAAATGGGCCCGATTGTCTCCCTGACCGATAGAGTAGATGATATCCACGCGATCTGCACTATTTCCTCAACCCCTACATGATTACATCTCCCGTCCAAGGCCCAGGCTCCCAGATATTCACGTCGGTAGTCAAGTTTTGCGTAACCATGATCTACGCCGCAAATCAAAAGTCTGGCAAGATGGGTACCTCAAATATCACACGTTCCATAAGTGCGGTATAGTGACCAAGCAAGTTTTATCGGTGAACATTACTAGCGCTCAGTCGAGGAGATCCAAGATGGCGATGACTTTGAGGTTTAAACTAGTTCAGGGATATCCTGATTGAAGTTGCGGTCGGAAACCCTTGTACGACATGATTTGCAAGCCCTATGACGCAGATTGTGGAACAATGAAGCTTATCGCATCGAGATCTGACGGCCATTTTCTCGAAGTACCTAGCTATCCAGTTTCATGGACTACTATGCAGGAAAAGACTTGCTACGGCATAAGATCTGAGCCCTCACGCAGGTCTTCTCCAATACCATCACCAAAAAAAGACTTATCTCTGCATAAGGCCCGAATGGGAAATCTGCGACTCGCTCAGGGTGGTCTGCCTTTTTTCTTAATTTGGTACCATGGCTCTGGTAAAACTTTAAGACTTGGGAGATCAGGCATGAGACTCCTGTGTATCTCTTCATGAGGTCCGTGGCTGCGATGATATTCCCCACACCAACTTCTTCTGCATGGTGAATACGACATTCCCTGCTTTTCCTTCGCCAATTTATCAAGGCATACACATTGAGGATTCTGATCGTCAAATATCAGATCATACACTCCACAGTTCGTCCTATCACCACGGCCAATAAAAGACTCTTTGTTAAAGTTATGATGGGACTGTACAGCAATGATCAAATTGTTCCATTCGGTCATCAGCTAACTATCGCCCTGACTGACGTACGATGTATAGCGAACAAGTATTTTTCTTCGGTGCAAGAAGCATAAAATCCTCGCATATCTCACCCGAATCTCTGTTTGAGTCCGTCAATTAACCAAATCGTTTGACTGTCCTTCTAAATCCTCAACTTTACGCCCATACAAACCACCAAAATGTCACTGTACGGCACATTGAAGTTCCACCAGCCCATCAAGTAGCTAATCACAGACCACTTCTATCTAGCTCCCCTGAGAAACACTACGAGCAACTTGTCGCCGGACAGATTCTCTCCGTCGACGATGTCCAAGCCGCTTTTAACAATCTTCAACCTATCAAGCCCGAGCGCTGCTCCGGAAAATGGAACGGAGTCATTGTGAACACAGGCCGCCCTACCGACGACAAACTCATTTCCATGAAGTGGGCTGGCAAGACATTCCACTCAACAGAAGATGTTGATCCTGTCGAGGTTTACAATGAAGACGGTGAGCGAGTTTTCAGCGAAGAGTGGGGACATGCCCGGGTACGTTCATGATTGAAAATTATATTCTTCGCTTTTCTTTTTGTCTTCTGTCTCGGTGATATGTGCTGAGGCTAACATGGGTTCCTATAGCTTCGCCAGGTAGAGTGGCAGGGAAAAATTTCTACTGCAATGGTCTATGATGACAAAGCTCTCATTGATCACCTCCGTTATGTTAAGGATGATATGATTGCCGGTGCTATGGATGCGAAGTTTTTTGATGGCATATATTACTTTTACTTGTACAAGTGAGCTACTTTGTACAAATAGGCTTCAAATTTACTCGCTGCCTTTGTCTGTTTCACAGAGAAGGAAATTCTGGTTTTACGTATGAACCATCTGAGCAAATGAATCATGATCCTTGTTGCCTCAGTACGAACTTGACCATTACCTTATATGTAGTGTTTTCCCCGGGAATATTGACGATAAAAACAACTATGTTGCCTGTTCTGTAAATGGAGAATGATCGTCAACCACCCACCGGCCGGCTAATATCTGTTGAGAGTCTCGGATATGAGTCTCTCTTGGGCTGGTTGAGTTCACCGCTCTTATTGGCAACCCCTTTTTGTGTTGGACTCGCATATTCAAGTCGATAATTGATTCAGTAGAGTCGAGTAAGTTGGGACTACGCTCCCAGAAGCCGTTTTGAGGTCCTCGTAACATGACGTCAGAGGGATTTGGGCAATGAGATGAGGTTCAAAGAGAGTTTGCCTGCCAGATCCGACCCAAGATATTGACTATCCCTATTCTCAATATATTAATGCTTTTATTCATCAAAGAAATGACGGAATACCGGAGAGTATCCTGTATTGTAGGAACTTGATTTATCGAACCGCTAGAACCTGGAAATCAATAATGGCAAAAGTTTCTCCGACATAACGGCGACCGAACTTTAGGCCAGTGCTCTAAATTGAAGGATGGTCGACAAGTCAATAGTCGCAAAAATCAGACGAAACGTTTTACGGAAGCACGGAAGCTAAGAATAGTGTTGAACTTTCTACAGAAAATCCCCCGAACTAATGCCCACTTAATGCTGAGGATCGTCAGTGGCTTACTCCCGTAACGGGGGGTCGATCCACTTTTCGGTTAAAGCCCGCCCAAATCCCCCCCCCCCCAAAACTGCAGGGTCTTCAGGGGTTGGGAGTGGCGGTCAGGGTTCCTGTAAGTAGCTCTTGGGCTTCAATTGCCATTAGTATAGACTGAGTTCGGCTTTGAAACCATAGTTTGCCGCCTGATAGGTAGCAGAGGCCAAGAAGAGCCCCTGTCGTCATCTGCCGTGTGAAGCATGTATTCAGTGGTTATGAGGGCTTGCAAGACATGTTTCGGCCTCTTGAAAAGATCGACCAATAAGAGCCTGACAGTAGCGGATGTAAAGTAGCCACTTTATTTTTAAATCGAATAGGGTCCGATTTTCTGACCTCAACGATGCCAAGCATGTCTTACATGTACCTAAATTCAAGTCTCCTTTCTCTGGGGTATAAGAATCCCCAATTCCCCCAGGGTAAGCACTCTATTATTCCAGATTAACTCAATCATCTATATTCAATATGAAGTTCTCCATTGCTGCTATCACCGGCTTCGTCAGCGCTATCAGCGCCGCCACCCTTCCCTCGGCCTTCACTCTAGTCGCTGAGGGCGGCAAGACTGTTCTGACTGACGGCCGTACGTTTGATCCCCACCAAATCTGAAGCCCGAATACTAACAGTGACGAACAGAGAACGCTTTCGTCGGTGCCAACACCACTGACCACGAGATCCTGATTCGTAAGTCTATCAGTCAAACATACTATGGACCATAACATTATACTGACTCACCTTTTCAGTCCGTGGCGGAAGCCCCAACGGCCTGGTTAGCTTCACCTCCAAGTCTGATGTCCCTACCGCTTTCCAGAACCTCTACATCATCGAGGACTCTGTTTCTCCCCTCGGCATGACCATCCCCCACTCTGGTGCCGTTCCCCAGGGCGGTAACATGACCGGATTCGGTGTCAACGACAAGGGCCTCTTCACCCACGGCGGCAAGGCCTGGTTCGCCGTCGACGGATACGGCTCCAACCCCGTTAAGGAGATCTACTGGTATGCTGCTCACAACGCTGAGTACCGCACCGAACAGCTCTACGTCAAGGAGCTCAAGAACTACTCCGCTTAAATCAGTTATTTACAGTGCGAGCTTGGGTTGGCGAGAGCTTGGGTGAAAGTTCCTCGTTTGTTTTGATGAAGATTCCTTAAAAGGGACTTCTTTCGCTCTTTCGTGTTTATTGCAATTGCACATACATCTATCATATATACCAATTCTAGCGAAATTGAACCTGCAGAGTTCTAAACAAATTTGATATTTCAGTCTCATTCACACATACGATCAGTCTATCTCTTCTAAGTTATAATTAGTACGTAAGCCGAGAGCTTACTTGGCCATTTCTTTGATTGTGGTTTCGTAGCTCTCCGGCTCACGTCCCAAAAGTTCCCTAAGGGTCGGCGACACAACAGCAGTCTCGCCCTGTTTAATGGCCTCCCAGGCAGTAGCCCACTCTCTCGAAAGATCAACTCCTCGGCAGGTAAGGTACTCGGCATTCTGAGGAGTCAGAGCAGTCCACTCATCCACCGAAACCTCCCGAATCTTGACAGGCTTCCCAACAGCCTGGCCTAGTATATCGGCTGTCTCCGCGAGTGTAATCTCGCGTGGTCCAGATAGCAGGACCCCCTTGTTCAGATATTTGAATTTGACGGGATCTTCGACATACGAGACGATCAATTTCGCGGTGGCTTCGCCCAACTCATCACGCTTTGCCCACGCAACACCAGGTCCGCCCCCAGAGTGAGGGATCATGATCTCATCTGAAGGGTTTTTTAGGTCGAACCACGTTGTGTAAATCGGGAATGATTCGGAGTAGATGCCTACACGAATAAACGTGTGTGTAAAATTGCCTGGATGCGACGCTAAATACTTCTCCGTCGCTAGATGCGCACCCATTACATGGGCAACACTTTTGTCGGTCAAATTGCCGCCGAATGCGAGCGATGAGTAGAAGATGTGCTTAACACCACTCTTGGCTGCGGCATCAATAGCATTGTTTTGGGCCTTTTGTTCGTTAGAAATTTGAATTTTTGGGACTGGGCATTTCCTTATTTACCTTGGCTCGGTACTCGATTTCAATAGACGCATATGATACCAGCATCAAGATATCCACGCCGTCGAAAACCGTCTCCAATGACGAGGGCTCATCATAATCTGCCCAACGGACAGTGGCACCTTGTTTCTTGAAGTCATCTAATTTCTCGGGACGCCGAGCGATCAAAACAAGCTGAGATGCTGGGACAAGCCTAGCCAGGTGGTTCAGGATGCTGGTGCCGAAAGCACCTGATGCCGGAAAGATGCCGATCTTGGGACTCATCTTGGCAGTGGATTGCAAAAACAGTGAAGTAGATGTTGCCTCTTTATCTTCAGATCGAATGGGTCGGGTGGGATTTCTACTCGGTTATATAGGTTACAAGTGTATATCCGCTGTGCGGTTCGGGCAGGTGGGCCTGTCGTATCCGACGTCGGAAGTCGACAAGCTTAGAAATAACATTCGGTTTGCCGTTGGAGTCAGTCCGAACTCCGAGACGAATTGGGATCATTTCAAATCAACGTATCTCAAGGCCAGTTTTCAACCAGAAAACAATGCACTTCGACCTCCTTACTTCCAAGACTGGGCCCCATCATCACTACGTCATCACGTTGGGTGTCTCCACATCTGGTTGAGCCACCAATCACGGCTTGGTTGACAGTGAGCTTACAAACCCCGGTCCATGAGGATGGCGCTTGTTAACGTTATAGCGCTTCTATGCCGACATCGCAAATGATATAGACTGCTTAATGGCCCACGGTCTCTAATAGCATAACCGCGGCCATATATGTTGCGTGCAAAACATTGATAAACGGGGTTAGGATCCTATTATTCAGCTATCGGAATTTGGAACACCGGAACAGGACAGAAAAGAAGACGAAGGAAGTGGAGAACACAGACATGCTCTACATGTATTTACTAACCTTAGGACTTCCAGGTGTGGAAGATTGAGACATCATCAGTGGCTCTCTGTAAGCGCTGGCTTCACTACACCGCCATTTCGTGTTAGTTCCAAGCGTGCCGGGACTTGAACTCTGGTAATCTCTTTGAGCCTTCATCTTGTACGCAAGAATGATTTGCAATTTTTATCAAAGCAGGATATGAGGTCTACGGCAGTATCACCCTCTCCAATGAGATCTATCCTACGAACGTTCTGATTGTACCGGTTACTAGGGAAGAGTCGTTCTGATCAATTTTGATATTGCAATAGCTTTCAAGATGAAAGAAGAACTTGACAAGTCTTCGGCTGACATGAAAACTCTCTCCACTGCAACATAAAGCAGCATTTCAACCTGGCTAGGAGGAGAATTGGTCTTTTTGCACCATCCTATCATTCAAAGAAGAGAAAGTGATTGTCTAACATGTTGTATTCATCAATCATAATTTAAACTATTAAAGAGGTGAGATATCTATCATCGTGTCTAGCGCCACTTAAAACAAATCCATCGCATGCAATGCTTAGTGAGGCACACCGCCGGTACCAAACAACTCCATCTTAATCCGGCTAGCACTGACACCCCGGCTCTTAAGACTTGACTCCATGTTCGTCATGAACTTCTCTGGTCCACAGATATAGTACTCTGTGTTGGCATCATCAAGGAACAAGTCCGGCTTCTCAATCTTATCCAGGTTCACCCTTCCAACATGGTGATAATCCACGCCCTGCTTATCTTCCTCGGAGGGGTGGCTTGTGAAGAAGGTGGCGTTCAAATTGGGATATTCCTTCATGAGAGACGCAATGTGCTCGCTAAAGGCACGTGCACTCGATGTACGTGCTCCATGAACGAAGTGAAGCTTGCGAGTAGACGAAGACTTCGATGTCAAGGTATTCAAAATCGAAGTCAGGGGAGTAAGACCCACACCAGCGGAAATCAACACAACCGGATGAGCAATGTCAGTCTCAGTGGCGGAAAGGAAGAAATCACCATAAGGGTGCGAGACTTGGAGCGTATCTCCCTTGTTGAGGGTATCGTGCAGCACATTCGAGATATAACCCGGCTGAGCGGCCGCAGCAGGATCCGCAGAGTCAACACCAGTCTCCTTCTTCACACTGATACGGTAGTAGTCTGGTCGGGGCTTATCACTGAGCGAGTACTGTCGAGCCTGCGTGTACTTGAGAGCTGGGACGTATGTCTGCACGGAGATGTACTGGCCAGGCTGGAAAGCCGGCAAAGGCTTGCCGTCGGCAGGAGCAAGATAAAAGGAAGTGATCTCGTCTGACTCCTTGACCTTATCGGCGATCTTGAAGTCGCGCCAGTCGGTCCAGTCCTCGCTTTGCTCATAGAGCTCCTTCTCACGGCCGATCATGATATTGGCAAGCTGCCAGTACGCGGCGCCCCATGCGTCGTGAATTTCCGGGGTCAATGCTGCTCCTAGGACCTCACCCATTGCTTCGAGGAGGTATTTGCCCACGATCTTGTAATCATCGGGTTTGATGTAGAGCGAGGCATGCTTGTTGCAGATTAATTCGACTGCGGCGCTGAGTGCGCCCAGATCGTCAATGTACGAGGCGTAGGCGTAGAGTGCGCCGGCCAGGGCACGGGGCTGGTGGCCGTTGACTTGGTTGGGGGTATTGAAGACGGTATTTAACTCGGGGTGGGCTTCGAGCATGTTGCGATAAAAGACGGTTGTGATGGTGTTTCCGTGTTCGGCGAGGACGGGCACCGTTGCCTTGATTAGGGCAATCTGGTCCGAGGTCATTGGGGCAATGGAACCCATGGTGGATGACTTGGATAGGTGATATTTCCAGTGATGTTTGAAGTGAGATTGAGACAGGTGTTCTTTGAGCAGTAAATACTGTGTGATTCTGTAGTTTTGAATTGGAAGTATTAATCAAGTCGTTGTCGTTGGCTCAGCTATTTATACTAGTGCCAATCTAAAACATAAGCGCCGGTGATTGAAAAAAATCATAAGCCGCAGAAAGTCCGAGAATGTGCCTGGCATGATCTTTGGGTGCGATTCGCGCCGAAAAGATCAACCATCTCCGCGGAGATGAGGCTATTGCGGATATTGCGCACCGGAGGTTTTCTCTAAGAATTTTCCCGCGGCCGCCACTGGGATTTTCTCGGCCATTTTGATCAGTGGGAGACCATATTCTACTTTCAGATTGATCTGACAGACTAGATCAATTTAATAAAGGGTAATACAGTTCGGATGAGGGTTGTGGATCTTGTCAAAGCGCCGATCAGGATCCCAATGCATTTGAGTTGCAGATAGCCCCAGGCGCAATCGCCAATCTTAAAATTGCACAAGAACCTAGCGGAACAGAGCATATTTAGTCTCTTTGATGCACAATTGTCACACTAAAAGCCCAGCGTCCCCCACCCGTCCAATTCCGGCGTGTCAGGCCACAGACGAAAATTAGCCGGCGTCCCTCGGCCACCCCGAATTCCTCCAATAACACCCGTGTGATTACTAGTCATGGGTCGAGTTGGCCAGAGCGACCTTGGCACCTGGAAAATAGTGGCATAGTACAGTACATAAATTATCAAGTGACTAGAGGACCCCTCAGAGCCTAGTGGTTCATTTGAACAGGATCGCGCTCAGTGTGGGGAGTCTGAAGTAACCATTTTGGAAATCCCTATCACTACTCGAAAGTCATTATCAGCAGTCGAGGGTCCATATGGAACATAAGACTACGAGATTCAATTGAGCGTTTAGCAGACCCTATCATCTTCAAGAGCTCACACGAGTCATTCAATCACCCGTACAGCGAACCTTGGATCAATGCCGTATCAATCAAGCTACTAGAACTCTCTTGACGGTGAGCTCCGAGTAGCCAAACCCTAAATGAGCTCTATGAGCCGTTGATTAAATCGCTAAGTTTTATACCGACTAACGGGCCCACCCAAAGACAGTGCTCTAAATAAGGTGGAGACAATCAATGTCGATCATGAGTGGAAGGATAGATTGAAGAGTCGCGTGGTTCGTCCACGGTCTAGACTACCACATTTGCCGTTTTCGGAACACCGGCCGGTCCCGCCTCATCAGGGTAGCTTGTTTACTCCGGACACCCTCGAAATAGCGCTGCCGCACATGCTGACCTCACCATTCAAGATCGATAAATCCATGGACCATCCAATATCCCCAGCCCAGTCACCATGTAGGCCCTGGTCAAAACCACGATTCGGTTGCCATTAAGCGAGCTCCAGGGCTGTGTTCCCCGTTCCCTTCTGATCGATGATACCTGGACTGGCTTGGCATGGGCTTGTGTAGGTCGTAGTGACGTCTGCGATATGCAATTGGGGGAGAGTATAAGGGCCTCGCAATAGTAGAACGGGCGCTTGGACAGGAATGTTCTCATTCTGACGAGACTTGCTGCCGATTCTTCTCATCTCACCCATTCAATTTGCTCCTCTTGTCTCTCAATTGCATCTTCGTTCACGATGATGTTCAAGAAGCGTTCATCTGCCGATGTCTCGACGCTCGGGGGGCCGCCGGGTCCCGGTGGACGTGGTCAATTGCCTATGCTTCAGATGCCGGACAAGATGAGGTACAACTTGCTGTGTGTGATGGGCGAGTTCGTGGGAACGTTCATGTTCCTGTTCTTCTCGTTTGCTGGCACTCAGGTATCCAATACACCTATGCCGGCACCGGGATCGCCGCCTAATACTTCAAACCTCTTATACTCGTCACTTGCCTTTGGTTTCTCGTTGACTGTCAATGTCTGGGCATTCTTCCGTGTGACTGGTGGTCTCTTCAATCCGGCGGTAAGAAGACATGCATGCAAGGAGAGTGGTATAGCAGTTGCTGACAATCAATAGGTTACCCTGGCTCTTGTCATTACTGGTGGCATGCCCCCGTTACGTGGTCTATTCGTTTTCCCCGCTCAATTGGTCGGTGGAATCGCAGCGGCAGGTGTAGTTAGCTGTCTCTTCCCAGGACCACTGAACTGTTCAACTCGCCTGGGTGGCGGAGCGTCTATCTCGCAGGGTCTCTTCATTGAGATGTTCCTCACTGCGCAGTTAGTCATTGTCATTATCATGCTGGCAGTTGTGAAGCACAAGTCCACCTACTTAGCTCCTGTAGGAATTGGTCTGGCATTCTTCGTGGCGGAACTGATCGGTGAGTACTGTCATTTTCTCTAAACATAAAACACCTACCTAATATCAATCCCAGGCGATTACTATACCGGAGGATCCTTGAATCCCGCGCGCTCCCTTGGACCGGATGTTATCAACCGTTCATTCCCCGGATATCACTGGATCTACTGGGTTGGCCCTCTTCTCGGTTCTCTTCTCGCTTCCGGGTTCTATGGACTCCTCTGTCTCGTGCGCTGGCAGAACATCAACCCGGGTCAGGACCATAACGAGTGGGAAGCCCAGGCAAGAAAGCAGTCAATGGTTCCATCCGAGACTACCATGACCGATCAAGTTCACTCTGATGAGGCTCGAGCTCCACACCAGCGTGAGGCGAGTCGAGAGCTTCTTCCTGAGCACCAGGTGTAATGGGTACGGTTGGCCATAGGTTATCGTCTTACAGCTAGGTCTCGGGCCTACAGGTGTTGATTGTTGATCAAGAGTGTCAATTTTTAGGACAGCTAATTTCACTGCTATGTATATAGTGAAGCGGAGCATCCATATGTGTGGTAATCATTTGGCGCATGACGAGCAGTATTTTCAGTGCTGTTAGCATTTTGCCTGTGTGAGAGGTATTGGAGGAAGTAATTGTCAAGTTCTGTTGATGCCCAACGAGATCGAAATACGAATTTCATTGTTAAAGAAAATGAAGGCCAATTAAGCTCATAGTAGAGAAAAACATAGCGTACAAGCGGTGAAGTTTTAGCTCGGCGATACGAACTAAGAAATGCAAACTCTGAACTTCGGGTGACTCCATATGTAGATCCAGTGGCGCTGATTGTCCTTTCGATGCGAATTTGCTGCACAATGCATATCACCACGCGTGCATAGTGTGCCCTGAGATATGACAGCACGCTCTCGATAAATCGTCTCCAAAGGGAAAGCGCAAATCAGCAGTCCCCTGTCCAAGCCTCTTGCATGCCAAAGAGACGCGATGTGGACCTCAATTCTCCAGGCCATAAGAACCAATAATTTCTCAGCTGATTGGCCGATCCGATTGCACAAGACCCTCCCGCTCCTCTTTCCTGCAGGCAAACTGCATCAATTATTGGCGGAGTCAGACGGAGAAGAATATATCAAGACTCAATTCGAGCTTTGGCGCTAGAGGGGAGATTTCCAAGATCCACATTTGCGGCCCTTGTTCGTGACTCGACTGCAGCTTGCCCCTTCTTCCCTATCACATTTAAACCATTTAATCCCATCATGTCGGTCTGTGATCAACCAGATACAACCTGAATCACTTCTGCAATGGGCCCCAAGCCATCCGACCCTGAGTCGGTCGCGTCGACCGACGCGTCGAAAACGACACCCGCCGACGTGCAGTTGCTATGTAAGAACCACGAAGCGTGCTATTTCTGCGAGGAATACTGGGTCCGATGTTAGATACTGATGCTGGGTCAAGCCCGGATGGGCTACAAGCAGGAACTACGCCGACAATATTCTACGGCCCAGGTTTTTGCGGTAGCGTTTAGTATCATGGGCTTGGTGCCTTCGATCGCGTCGACGCTCTCCTTCTCTCTACCTGCAGGTCCAGTTGGCATGGTTTGGGTATGGGTTCAGTTGCAGGTTTCTCAATTTCTCGGTACGGTCAATTGACTAGAGTTAACGCAGGGATGGTTCACGGCGAGTTCATTCATTTTTTTGGTTGGTCTGGCAATGGTATGTGCTAGCATGTCGATCTGGATCTCCGTGGAACTATGGAGCTAATATCCACCAGGCCGATCTTGCCTCTGCGATGCCTACCGCTGGTGGTCTGTATTTTTGGACTCATTATTTTGCTAGCCCAAAATGGAAGAATCCGCTCAGCTTCCTTATTGGGTACAGCAATACATTGGGCCTAATTGGAGGCATGTGCTCTGTGGATTGTGAGGATGATCATTACAAAAAACCGTCACTGTCGATCGCGTTGCTTACCCTTAGATGCAGATACACTGGCACTTATGATCCTCTCTTGTGTATCAATCGCACGAGAGGATGGATGGTCCGCCTCGCGCGGTGTCATCTACGCAGTCTACGTCGGACTAATTCTTTTACATGGAATCTGCGCCTCATTGGGTGGCCGTATCATGCCAAAGATCCAGACGTGCTGCATTTACATAAACGTCGCACTAGTAATTGCGACAGTGATAGCGCTTCCAGTTGGAAGGGTCACCCGTGACGGATCTCTCAACTCTGGTCAATTCATATACCGCCACATTGACAACAAGACAACCTGGCCGACCGGGTGGGGATTTATGCTGGCATGGTTAGCGCCAATCTGGTCAATTGCCTCATTCGATTCATGCGTGCACATGAGCGAGGAGGCTCTGCATGCTGCAAAAGCCGTGCCTCTCGGCATCATCTGCTCTGCTGGCTCTGCGTTTGTACTCGGATTCCTGGTTCTCTCGACTATTGCAGCAAGTATGAATCCAGATGTCAATGCGACACTCAACACAGCTTTTGGTCAGCCAATGGCTCAGATTTATTACGACTCGTTAGGCAGAAACGGCGCTGTGGTCTTCATGGTTATCCTGTGCTGCACACAGTTCCTCATTGGGTTGAGTCTGCTTGTTGCAGCGTCCCGTCAGGCATGGGCCTTTTCTCGTGACGGTGCGCTTCCTTTCTCTGGATTTTTCCGTCATATCAGTACGCGGAGCAAGTATCAGCCTGTTCGTGTCATTCTCGGAATAGTGCTCGCCTGTCTTGTGTTAGGCTTGCTATGCTTGATTAACTCGGCTGCCACCAATGCGCTCTTCTCGCTTTTTATCGCAAGTAATTATGTATCGTGGGGCACCCCGATTCTCTGTCGCCTCGTATGGGGACAAGATCGCTTCCGTCCCGGTGAGTTTTATACTGGCCGCTTTAGCAAGCCGATTGCTAGTGTGGCTGTTGTATACCTGCTATTTGGTGTTGTGCTATCTATGTTCCCAGTTGAGGGCCCCAATCCATCCGGTATGTTTGTTGCTTGAGATGCATGGCTCCATGGCTAATGACCTTCATAGCGTCCAACATGAATTATACCATTGTCATTAATGGCTTTGTCTGGGTTGGCTGCATGGCGTATTACTTCCTCTTTGCTCGACATTGGTATGCCGGGCCGCAAATGACTGTGGAGGAGAACGCGTCTGGTAGTTCAGCTAATATTGATACTTTGCTGATGCCTTCCAGCCTCGATGGCAATGGATCTGTAAATGGCAGTCGCAAGGAGAATTAAATCATACCTTCTTTCTTTAGCTGTGGCCTGCTATCACGACATTATTGTACACAAGCTGTTTCAATTATCGCAGATCTCCTTTGGTTCTTCATTTTTAGTAAACCTGAAATGTAAAATGATTGTATCTCATGAACGCCCGCACCCGGGGTTGACTTTTGACACAGAGCCTACGTATCTCAGCAAGAATATCAATTCACAAAATCTACAAATTTACTAGGGCCAACAAATTTTTAATGCGATATCGTTTGATTGCAATGTACTGAATGTACTTCGGGGAATATATGTACAAATTTACAACAAGAACGCCGGCATTAACCTGCTTTTCCCATATGCGGATCAGCAAGTATGTAGTAAACTGTCAAAGAAAGTCGTCAAGGATAAAGGGCAAGTCGCCCAATATAGCACCCGAAAATCCGATTATCGAATTCCATCTTTTTACAGGGCAACCATGAGGCCCAGAACACCAGCCATACCAGCGGCGGCAGCACCGATAGCAGTAGGGCGAGCGAAGGCACCGTTGTCGGAGGTGGATGAGGAGCCAGAGGCTGACTGACTGGCAGAGGAGCCAGTGGAGGAAGAGTCGCTAGAAGAGCCGGTAGAGGTAGTCTCGCCAGTGGTGGTGGTCATGGTGGTAGACTCGGTAGCAGTGGCTGAGCCCTCGGAGTTGGTCAGGGTGTGGCCGGTGACCCAGGTGGAAGCCCGGCTGCGAGCGTCGCTGGCTCGGCTCTGGGCATCGGATGCAATGGTGCTGGCCTCGTTCTCGGCAGCAGTGGCAGCAGCACCAGCAGCACCGGTCAGGGTTGAGACAGCAGCGGCACCACCGGTGTGAACAGCGTTGGCGATGGAGGTAGCCTCAGAAGCGGCGTCAGAGCCGATGGACTGGCCGTCGGCCTTGGCGGTTGAGTAAACACCCTCGGCGCCGGTGACGAGGTTGTTGATGTCGTCGCCAATGTCTGGGGTGGCCATGGCAGCAGTGGCCAGGAAGAGGGCGGAGATGACAGAGAACTTCATTGTGGATATGTAAAAATTGATATGTAAAGTGAAGAAGGAGGTTTGGAATCGAGGCTTGGATTGGAGATAGCCGAATAATTGAGTTCAAGATTCAATGGATGATAGGCAGACAATCTGGGGGAGACGCACCCTTTATAAAATCTCGATCAAGGAGCAGCTCCCGTACCAAGTTATTGATAGAAACAGCGGAGTTTAATTGCGACTAGTCGGCTAGGCAGCTAGATGAGGTAGTGGCAAGATGACCTCAGCCTTGTGAAAAGCAATTTTACTGTCGATCGTAGGGTCCGCTCAGGGATAGGGGACCAGTGCCGAGCTAGGAAGATGCATCGAAAACACCGCCATGCAATTTCGGGTAAGTCCCTCGTCATTTCAGGGCCCACTGAGTAATATGGGCGCAGTAATGGGGCCGTTTGGGGTTGTTTAGAGCTGTTTCATCGACCCGGGACAAGACCGGCTAGATCTGGCCTGCATAGTCTTGCATGAGCTTGGACAGCGCCTGCTTCCATGGACCGATGTACGATGCGGCACAGCCAACACAGTTTTAGAAATCTGCACCTTTGGTATTTGGCTGCCTTTCCCGTCTCCCAACAACGCACCGGAGCTCCCGGCAGTCCCACAGAATCCCCTGAGTGCTTGGTGTCCACCGGGGAAAGTCTCCGCCGATCAGCGATGGATGAACCGCGTGAGTGGTCAAATGAACTTGAGGCCTTCCGGTACAGTGGGTCGTCTATTTGCAGTAAGTGTTGAGTGAATCGGGCTTGGCGTCCGTCATGATCGAAACCAATAATTTGCTATTCAAGCGTCTTTGATACAATTGTGATTGCTCGTGTTTGAGAATGGCCAAGAAATAAGGTGACGCGTCCCTGTTTGGAACGTATATCCCAAGAGCAAGTACAGTACTCGAGCATAGACCAGTGTATCATGATTCGTCGTGGATTGACTGGCCGGTGGAGGCGAAGCTCGGAATGCGTCGGATTCAAGGGTGAGGCGCAGGGTCACGTGAATGTGGCGATGCTCGATATAAAAATAAACTGGGAACAGACATGCACGTCATGGAGTAGACTTTCTACAGTACTTGGTTATTTGAATTATTTGCTATGCACGGTAACTATGGTGCCTAGTTGCTCAGAGTTAGGGCTGCATTCATCTAATATCTCATTATTAATTAAGGTAGCTCAGTATACAACAGAAATGCATATGTCCAAATGATGCAAGAAACACCATGTCCACTATCAAGTCGTGAATTGGCCGTAAACCTGAATTATAGCTTCCCATCCACCCTTGTGATTGGACTCGCGCGGGTTCGTCTTGCCGTCGAGAACCATGACATCCGTCATGCGCGTACTGATTGAGTACCAGACCAGGTTGGTAGGGTGGTTGGTCACCCGCATCATGTTGGATTGGCAATTGCCGTTGCAAGGTTCATTATAGAGACCGTTCCAGTAACCATCAAAGAAGGCCCAGGCTGCCGAATTGTATAGTGCAACATTTGATCCTCCATCCACATTTGTTGCCAATGCAGTGCGGCATTTCTGATCCTCCGCTGCACACCATGAGAAGTCAGGATCACCGTATTTTGGTTCAGCGGCCCAAGGCGCTGGTGCAGACTCGTACTCGCCCTGCCCCTGCATGTAAGGGGTCTCTGTTTGCAAAAGGCCTGCGAAGACATTCTGGGCTTTGTGGAAGTTGTAGTTATACAACCAGTGATGCTCAGAACCAGTTCCAGTGAGCCATGTGCCTTTGGTCGCTTCCACCAGGATACCACGTCCAGTTGAGATGATGGTGAGTAGGGACTCGCTGTCAAGGTTGTGATCGGCGGTCCAGCCCCAGAAGTTCTCGATGTATGCAGATGACGATTCGGTCAGGTGCATCACCATGAATGCAGCCATGCAGTCCTTGGGATCCTGGGACGTACAGGCACCAGAGATACTAGTGTCAGCTGTACCACCAATAGTAGCCATGGTGTTCCATAGAGCGACATCACCTGGTTCGTTTCCTGCGGCGTTGATCTCAATAATCTTGGCACCGGGGAGGATTTCGCCAACAGAGAATCGCATGTCCTGAATCTCAATAACACCAACGTCGCCTGCGTTTCCGAGCTTGACAACAGCCCTCGGGTTGCTAACATCTTTGAAGTTGTTACCGTATCCAGAGATGACAGCCCAGGCTTCTCCAACAATACGGGTTCCAATTGGAACGAACAACGTATCTGAGACGCGGTAGACACCGAAGGGGATGTAGGTCACTTTGCAAGACTCGGCATTTTGAGCCAAGATAGCATTGAGTGCCTTGGTGTCATCAGTTTTGCCGTCTCCCTTCACTGTGTAGCCTTCGACGGTTTTCACATTGACAATATCGGCAGTAGTGTAGTCCTGGTAGGTAGGCTGCGCCTTGGTAAAGAACTTGTCACCAACCAAAAGCTGAGGGGAGCGCTCAGTATGCCACTCGACACCAGTCTCATATTTTGTTGGAACGACTGATCCCCAGACCCACGTTTCAACATGAGAAGTGGCAGCCAAAGCCACCTTTCCTGAGGCATCGACCGCAATGGGGTTTTTGCCATTGTGTTCAAGGTTTTGGATGAGAAATTGACTGTTTTTGTTACCAGAATCACCAGATGAGTCGTAAAATCGAATGACAGGGCCGTTGTTCGAGGATGACGAGTCGAGAAGCACCAAGCTGCCCAAGCCATTGCCAGTCATATCAATTCCAGTACCACAACTATCGAATCGAGCGCGTTGGAGAAGCACTGTCCAGCCACCTATGGCGTGGAATCCAGTTTTACACGCCTGGAAATAAATGTTCTTGAAGTTCACCTGCTGATTGGAGTTTCGGATTCCAACAGCTCCGCCAATCACGTCCTATTGGTTATTAGCTTGAGTCTCTGCACAAGATGAAGTCTCACTTACAACATCAGTTACAGCGATTGTGGAACCTGCTTTCAAATCGATACCAGTGTGACCAGTTGACTGCTGCGGCATACGAATCTTGACATTTGTCAACCCAGATCCCTGCGCAACTCCCCACTGGAGAGCTGTGAATCCACGACTTGGGTCCAGGGCAGTGGTGTCCAAGATAACATTCTTGATGAGCATTGCAAAGCTGGTCTCTGGTGCGCCGGCCTTCTCGTCATATCCCATCACGAGATGGTCGCCATTGAAGCCCGGAGCCGCTTTGAGAATTGGCGGGTTCAGCGGGTTTCCAACGATGATGGTTCCAACCGTCATTCTCAACGTGCTGCCAAGCGTATACACGCCTCCAGGGAGGTAAACTTCGGCGGGATAGCGAGTGACACCATGACCTTTGCGACTGCCGCCCAAGCCGTCATCATCGATTGCCTTTTGCAATTTTGAAGTTTGGTCTCCGGAGCCATCATTGTTTACTGAATAGTCCATAACATTGCGGTAAACCGGGTAGCGCTCCGTCGAATTAACGTACGGGGCAAAGCCTGCTCCTTGTTGATTGTGGTCTTGGTCGTCAAGCCAGTAAGGTCCTGGGGCTTTAGCTGCAGGAGCAGCGCAATTCTTTGTTGCAGGGGCGAAAGCTGGTTTAGTTGAGGACCTGAAACAAAGTAAGCTATGGATCAATCCCCTGGTAATTTGAATACCCACGTAGCTGGTTCGGCAATTATATTCATAGTTTGCGAGGGTGTTGCTTGCAGAGAGCTTGACTCTACTGTTGGCACACTAGTTGTTGAAGAAGGACTAGTTGCTGTGGCAGTTTCCGCGGCCTTCGTCGGTCGCCCGCTGGATGTTGCCGATGAAACGCTGCTCTCTTCTGCTGGGTTGGGCAATGGCGCGGGTGTAGAATTTGGAACCCAACTGATTGAGGTTGTTGTACTTGGTGGTTCACCAGTCAATCCTGCCAAGGCAGATGCTAGAGCCCAGTCGAAAAATGGAAATGGTCCATTTGGCGAATCCGCGATACGCGACGACTCAGACTCGCGAACTAAGGGAAGAGGCACAACGGCACTGGAAGCAGTTGTTACAACAGCTGCAATTGCAGCATAAGATGACAGACCCCGCATAATCAACTCTTGTCCCCGGTCTCGGTTCCGAAGAATATGCAAAAGCAGTGACAATACGACGGACAGAACGGATGAGAATTAGAAATACCTTTCAAACAAATGTCAGACTACGCAACTGTCACTATGCATGACATGCTGGTATGAAAGGACTAGAATAACTTGCACCTGGAATGTTTGTACGGTTGTCGTGGCATACTGACTGGCCGGGTGTAGGAGCCACAAGGTTGATCGGCGCCCCTTGCGAGTCCCAGGGTTTGAAACTATTGTGGAAATAAACAAAAGGAGTGGCTTCTGTTAGTGCGGCGTCTCGACCTGGCTATTTGTTCCCATCTGATAGCAATGTGAGTTTGGGGGTTCTGCAAGTCAAGTGTTTGGTCATAGATGTCTTTGTTATGGGTTTTCCAAATTCGGATCGCTGCCGCTCTGGACGGAGTCTATCAACAACCCTCAACTTCCACATCATAACTCACATCATTAGATATTTCTTTATTGCAATACTCCAGTGGACCGCTTTATCTGATTTTAAAGGTTCTGATTTCTTAAGTAATCACTTTCAATCGTATGTAGGACGTAGGACAAAATGTGTTGAACCGCACATTCGGAGAGTTGGACAATATATATAGTGGTCATTCACATGTTCAAAATTTTTTTTATACCAAATTTTGTAATCAGTGTATTAAAAGGGAAACAGACTACAAATTTTGAATGGAAAGTTGCTAATTGCCACTCACAACTAGCTTGGCAGATTGTGATATTGCAGTCAAGGTTGATTGTCATACTTTACAGTACACATTTACCCCGGTGTTTGGCACAGTGTATGACACCTTGGCTTTCTTCTCGTAGACACACATGGTAGCGGCTAATCATCGGCCTAGGAAGCCCCCCTGTCACCCCTTGCATAGCCTAGCCGAGTGGTGTTATTGTCTTCGTAGCGTTCCGCGTCTGCCTTGCATACCAATGGTAGCGAAGCAACGCAGAGTATGCACCCATGTTTAGATGCCCATAACTGGAAATGTCACCGAGACCATATCAAAAACTGACATCTATACTTGCTCACTTAAGGGGCGATGTCACTAGTTGAGACAGGTGTCAAGCCAAGCCGTTTATGTTCAAGGGCGATGTCATTCAGAGGTCTGACACTGACCCTCAGTAGGGAAAGATAATTCTTCACGTTGGGTATTTAGATGTGCTATATGCTCCAAAAAAGATCTCTAGATATATTGTGAAGTTCATGATCGAGTGACAGGTTTATTGCAATTCGATATAAGAAGTGGGGGAGGGGCGCGCAGTCGGGTTAGTAAGCGAATTTGGATCAGTCGAGAAATCCTGGTGTCCTCACTGCAGGCCGCAATTGTGCCCCTGATTTAATTCCATTCATTAGCAAAATTATTGAGAATCTGATCAGGCATCCTTTTTGCTTAAAATGAGCTCTACAATGGACAGGCCACTGTGTCCGACGTATTCACCGGAGCAGCTCAGCCGGTATTTTGATAAACTCAATCTTCCTTCCAAGCTGCGCCGCGAAGTATGGGATATCGCGTTGCTGGCATCTAAAAAGGGTACAAGTACCTATAAGACCCTCGTCTTGTCGCAGCTGCAAGCATTACAACGCTATCATTTGGCGGCTCTGCCCTTCGAGAACCTGGATTTACATTACTCATTCCACCGAAGTATCTCTATTGCTCCTACGACTGTGTTCGAGAAAATTGTTGGCTCGACTTCTCGTCGGGGCGGATACAGCCTGGAGAACAACACTCTTTTTGGAGCGGTATTGCAAAGCCTTGGATGCAATATCATCTCAGTCGGAGGCCGAGTGAACGAAGCTACACAGCCAACGTCTGGATCGAAACAGCGGAAAGCTTCTAAATATAATGGATGGTATGAATCTCTTTTTTATCCACGTATTGTAGAATGCGCAAAGCGTTTGAAACCTTGCTTTTTACTGACCATCATACAAAAGGAGCCACATGGTCAATATTGTTATCATCGAAGGTCAGAAGTACCTGGTAGACGTAGGCTTCGGCTCGAACGGGCCTCACAAGCCTATTCCTCTAATCCAAAATTATGAGTTTCAAAACACCGGCAACTTGCATGGACGTCTCATCTATGGATCGGTCACCCAGCAAGGGCGAACAGTGCAACACCCGCTTTGGCAATATGAGATTCGCGCAGGGGATAGCTCATGGGTACCTGCATACTGTTTCACCGAGATGGAGTTCTTTCCGGAAGACTTTACGGTCATGAACTACTTCATGAGCACGAACCGTGCTAGCTGGTTCACCTTTCATGTCGTGTGCACCCGAATCTTGCTAGACAACGGGGGCGAGAAAGTTGTGGGTGATCTGACTCTATTTGATAATAGAATAGAGAGAACCCTGGGAGCGTCATCTGAAGTCCTGGAAACTTTCGTCTCGGAGGAAGAACGCGTTGCAGCTCTCAAGAAATACTTCAACATTTCTCTTTCTCGGGCGGACCAAGAGAGTATTCGAAATACTAACTCCGAGATTTATTAGAGGAGGAATTCTTCAATTTCCTCAAGCCATGTATTCACTCGCAAGATATAGATATCAATCGAACACCACCAAGAAGGTTGCTCAATTTAATGACAGAACCTGCTAATATCCCGCTTCCTACTGCATGCGCTAAACATTCATAGTGAGCACATCGGTATAACTGCAACGAATCAGAATCTTGTCCTCGGGGTTATCAACGCAAGTCCACTCAGTCCCGGACTTGAGCAAGGCTTGGCCCTTCTCCGCGATTGACCCATCAACCCGCTCAAGCTCCAACGTAAAACTATGGAAGTCAACAGCACCATCGGGGAATCGAATGTAGTATTGGCTATTGTTGCATCGGGCGCTTTGCTTCGGAGAGGATCCGTAGCTCCTGTAGTCACACACATACCAATTAGTCCTGGTGTATTTCAAGTGGTCATGCTCTTCAGATTAATCTTACCAGATTAAGTTGCAGTCAGTAGGGGTGTCCTCTGGGTAATTGGGATCGATGACCACAAAATGCATGGTAGCAGATGAATAGGTAGTTGCCGAGGCCGTGAAATCGCTAATCGAGATAGAATTACCGCGCTTGGAGTTGGCTGGAGCAACAAACACCGAGCTGGCAGCAAGAAGAATAGATGCGACGGTAAGTCTCATGATGGTAATTGCGGTCTGGCGGTGTTATATCGAAAATGTAATGGAAAGTAAGCTATGTTAGATGATGACTCCCCGGACTGGGAACATGTGAGCTTTTATGAGATTGGTAAACGAGAATTGCTGTTCTTCTTAGGCATCCAACATCTCAAACATCTCAACCAAAGTGACACAAACTCAGACAAATATAGGTCCTATGATAAACAATTGGTAGTCAGTGATCGTGGCTAAGAACGCATATGGAACATTGCGGTGAGTTCGACTTTTTCCTGTCAACTCTCAGCGCTAGATCTTTTCTGTAAGGCAAGCCATGTGTATAAGGATTGGATGGAAGCGACAGATTCTATTTCCAGACCTAGGTATTGCAGATGTTTCCTATAAGGCCTCCCAGTCACCAGGCTTTCTGTGCTGACAGTTTTAACTCCGAATGTAGATCATTGCTTTATATGGAGAACCCTTGCTGGAAAAGCAAATTCAGATCTTGAACGCGTCCCCGAAATAGCACTCGGTGATGTCCATTCCCGTACTTATGATTTATCTCGTGTTATAACTCACCACTGTGGAAGGCGATTGGGAGGTGTGCTTTGTAGTAAGTTCATGTAGATGATATTTGAACCTGCGGGGTACTCGGCACTGTTCAATAAGTCCTCGCGTGAGAGGGAAGATCTTTTACCGTGTTAGCCGAGACAGAAACTTGACTGCGCGAAAGATCTAATCTCTGAGTGGCATGACAGGTCACGATCATTGGGCCCGCAGGTCCGATGGATTTGAATTGTTGATACACAGTCCTGTGGACGACAGCCCAACATTTGCCGCATGAATCGCCGTCTGCCGCCTAAAAATTCTCCCAATGCAGGCACCTCGGAGCAACGCGTTGCCGGAAGAAACCAGGTGTGCGAGAAGCTCAAGAGTGTTGATCTCTGCCTACTCCAGGGAGGTGGTTCCTTGGCGTCCGTCTTGGCCTCATCTTAACCGAAGTCGTTGTTGCCACAATGATAAGATTGAATTTTGGTGGCATTCAATTCAATGTCAGATTCTAAAATTCACGACAAGGGTTTGATCTATATGACATTGAGATTACCCTGAGCCCTTGGAGCGGGAACGGGGCTGTTAGTAACGCGAAGCATAATCAACACCTCGACCCTTGGAAATGGTTTCAAGTGATTGTCCGCCAAGAAGGCTAAGGATTGTTTCATTAGCGATATCGGATTTATTCGCGCAATTCCTGAAGATGCAGCTTAGTGCCGAAACTCGAAGGCCTCGAACACCGGGTATTTTCGGTCGTCTCTCTCTAGCATGCTGTATTTCTAGTATGCCGTTCATTGTGAAATTGCCGACCTCAGTGGCCTACACTTGCCACTTCTGGATTTGACACTTGAAGCGAAATATTGAGCGGGTTATGAGAAGAGTGTCGGATGTTGCCGTCTCGTTTGAGCAGCTTACGGATGTCTTGTGGGGCCAAACTTTCATAGCAAACTGGAGCCCCTTGAATCATTGCTGATTGGATCAGGATGTCCGCTAGATATTATCAGATCATCTGATAGGAGGTAGTTCAATCTCGCTTTGGTATGCGGAAAGACCCTGAAAATTTCCTACATAATCTCCTCAACTGCACTGCAGATTCTTGTCGGGTCTGGGAAATAAGCATTTCGACATATAACTGTTGCCAAAAATCATTCATCAATCAGAATCCCACCTTCTGTTGATAATATGGAAAAGGCAACTGCTGTTGACCAGGTCACAGCGACCAGTGGCATCAACCATGATTCCGAGAGAGCCATGGAGTTGAACGAGGGCATCAATCATCGCTCTGATGATAAGGCCAGTCTTTCCGATGCAGATTCGGCTGAGTTTCAAGGTGGTGTCCAACGAGTCAGAGCCATCACTGCATCTTGGGACAAAAAGACACTGATACTCATGTTTGTTCTGTACGTCTAACCCTTGACTTCTGATCCCTACATGATTTTTTACAGCCCAGGTCTAATCTCTTCTGGATACACAGACTTTATCTCGTCTCCTTTGTAGATGCACTTTTGTCTTCAGTCCAGGGTGCTCTGAATCCCTACATTACTTCTTCATTCGACAGTCATGGCCTACTCCCGGTTGTCAGCGTGGTTTCAACCATTCTCGGCGGCTCCTCCAAACTTACTCTGGCTAAGATCATCGACATCTGGGGTCGTGTGGAAGGGTTCCTGTTCATGCTTCTCATCATCGTCATTGGTCTGATCATGAAGGCTACGTGTACAAGCATGGAGATGTATACCGCAGCACATACTCTATACTGGGTTGGTCACATCGGTCTAACTTACGTCGTGGAGATCATGTTGGCCGACATGACCACTCTCAGGAACCGTATGATTATGCTTGGTATCAACGGCACACCTGGTATTGCTACCACTTTTGCCGGCCCGAGGATTGCAACTCTGTTCTATGCCAATCTCAACTTCCGCTGGGCGTTCGGAGCCTTTTGTATCATCTTAGTGGGAGTCTGTATCCCCGTGGCTGTTGTCATGCTATTGATGCAACGCAAGGCCGAGAAATCTGGCATGCTACAAAAGGAGCGTTCTGGGCGCTCATGGTGGCAGTCTATTGCCTATTACTTTGTTCAATTTGATGGTAAGCATGATAAGCTTCATCTGACATCTCAGCATATGCTAACAAATCGACCAATGTGTAGTGATTGGAATTATTTTGATCACTGCAGTATTTTCCTTGATCCTCCTACCTTTCAACATCGATTCATATGCCCCCAAAGGTTGGGCAAGTGGTTATATCATTGCAATGGAAGTCATCGGCGTGGTTTGCGTCCCCACATTCTACGTCTGGGAAAGATACTTCTCCCCAGTACAGTTCCTCCCTTGGAAGTATCTGAAGGAGCCAACAATTATTGGCTCATCGCTTTTGTACGGCATTATGTTCATCTCAACCTTGTGAGTCTCTATATTGTCTGGAATCTGCATAGATACCAAAGAATGAACGAGCAGCTAACTACCAGGGAAGTACATGGAACACCTACTTCGGTTCCTACCTACAGGTCGTTAATAGGCTGGACATTACAACCGCTAATTATGTGCTGAATGCTTACTCCTTGACATCCTTTATCTTCAGCCCGATCTTCGGCTTGTACGTATCCCCCATTATATCCATTCGATCAACTTCTAAAATTACCAGTCTGATTCGATACACCGGAGAATTCCGATGGACAGCAATGGCAGGAATTCCAATCTTCTTGCTCGGCACTGCCCTCCTCATCCCCTATCGCCAACCGGGCACCGATATCGGTACCCTCACAATGACACAAATCCTCGTTGGACTGGGCTCCTGTATCTTCACCGTCTGTGGCCAGATCGCGATTATGGCAACTGTGACCCACCAAGAAGTCGCTGTGGTAATGGCCATCTGGGGACTTTTCGGATCAATCGGCGCATCCGTCGGCTCTGCGATCGCTGGTGGAATGTGGAACAACATGCTGGAGAAAGAACTATACAATCGACTCCCCGTCGGCAGCAAGAACGAAGCCGCAAGTATTTACGCCAGTCTGGTGACGCAGATGTCATATGCGGACGGAACCCCAGAGCGGGCCGCCATTGTGGGCGCTTATGGTGATGTTCAGCGGAAGATGGTTATTGTTGGAGTTTGCATCACTCCTCTTTGCATTGTGTGCACTTGGTTCTGGCGCAATGTGAATGTGAAGAAGCTATTCAAGGAGCAGACTGCTGGAACTATCTGGTAGATGCGAGTTCATCTCAAAAGGTATAATGTATGGCGGTGATAGACAGATTTAGATGGTGCCTTTGATTCTTGACTCTTACGTATGATGTGGAAGATGGCGATGGTGAATGAATGACAGATTATTCGGTGCGCATAGTGATGGCTTATCTTTTTTTAGTTTACTATTACAACGCTGCATGAAATCAACAAATGCTAGAGATTCAATTTCAGGGAATTCTTGAAGCATTATGTGCACCTGAACTTCGCATCTTTTCCAAAGAAAGTAGAGATTGGTCTAAAAGTGTTAAAATATTACTAGTTATTAGCGGCATCAAGTTGCGGGGGACCTTTTAGTCCTGACCGTTTTGACTGTTCCACGAAAGATCCATTACACTCTTCCAAGAAGACCTTGAGAGGTTGTAGTCTTGGTCAAAAGAGCAATGAATCCTCCCACAATACACATAGTTCCACTAAATATCGAAACCTGCAGAAATCCACCATACTTATTCAGCAGTGCACCATTGACTGGAGGCCCGATCAATGAAGCAAGAGAGGCAACAGCCATTCCCGTGCCCAAGTATGTACCGACAGCCCGAGGATCTGGGATAACGGTTGAGAACGCGGCAGTGGAACCGGAGATGATGGTTCCCGACCAGAATCCGAACGCAATCGAATAAACAATCAGAGCAGGGGTCGACTTTGCCTCATTCATGCAGAAAATGATAATGCCGGTTAGGATACCACCTATGGCCAGAACATTCAATCGACCAAATTTGTCCGCCAATATACCCGGAATAACTCGCCCAAAGGTTGAAGCAGCGTTGAGGATCGCAAGGAGATACGAGGCAAGAGTAACATCCATTCCTCTTGATACTGCGTATGTTGGCATATAGAATAATGGAGTGAATAGCCCGAGGAACATGAAGAAGATTGCCGCGACAAGAAGGGAGAACTTCGGAGTTTTGAATACCGATGGAATGAAAAATGAGGTTTTGCGTGGTGGAAGACGCGATTTGACGGTGATGCATGCGAATGCCAGAAGTGGAGTGATGATGAACCCGATGATTCGAACTGACCATCCGAAGCCAAGGGATGTGCTGTTCAGCATCTTTGATAATGCAATAGGGATGACTACGCCACCGATCGAGGACCCGGAAACTGCTGCACCCAAAGCAGCAGCGATATTTTTATCGAAATGCTGCATGACTGCTGCCATTGCTGGGAATTGAAGAAGCCCCATGGAGGTGCCCAGAAGAACACCTTGGGCAAGCATAAACTGCCAGTACTCTTTGCATAGACTTGTCATCATCATAGCAAAGACAAAAGTGAATGCGGCTGGCCGAATAACCTTGTTTTGTGTTAGTAACTAATAACTTTCATCGTTCCTGGAAGATTCAAGAACATACCCAAGCTCCATATCGATCAAACAATGGCCCTCCCAGAGCACCTGCTGCAAATTGAAGAAAGGCTGCCAGGGATCCAATCCAGGCAACGTTATCCGCAGACTCATTTTTGAGTTGGTGTGAGAGATAGTATTGCTCAAAGATTCCAAATGAGTTGGAGAACCCTAATCCCGAGAAAAAGATGCAAGCAGTTCCTGCTGTCACGAGCCATGCCTGAAGACCCCCATCGGGTGCCTTTTCAAACTCGTTTTTCTCGCCACTCGATGTTGAAATAGTGGTATCGTCAGCAACTTCCTGGGTTGCTTCGATGTCAACCAGATTGGGAGACATAGTGAGTGTGTATATCTGATCCCGTTGAAGTTCAAAATGTTGGAACAATGTGGAATGATGCGAGAAATTTTCGGATGAGTCTGATCTGATGCTTAAAACGAGAGGAAATCCTTCATCTTTATAAGATCCCAAACTTTCAACTTTGTTCGTCTAAATTGTATAGATCTCACCGGAGGCGGAGAATTGCAGACGAGACGGACCAAACGCGCAATTGCCGACCATGTAAGACGGAGAATCCACGGAGCGCGGAAGGAGTCATTTCTAGCCCCTGTCAAGTTTTCATCGTGATGTTCATTTAAATTTTCACTTGGTGTGTTCAAACATGAATCAATTATGGATGGGAATTCAAGTCCAGTTCCATTGCTGAGCGCAGCATCGACGGGGCCGATAATTCGGCGAAGAAGGCCGCCCGTGTAAGTGCCAAGCCACGACTCATAGTCCACGCTAATAGTGTGAAAAGATCATGTACATTGTGCCGGCGGAGAAAGATCAAATGCAACAGAGAGGCACCTTGCAGTAATTGCGTACGGGCAAAGAACAAAATTTGCAATTATGAGAACTCGGCTCAACCGCTTCGGCGACTTGGAGATGAACCGACATTCCAGCTGAACTCAGCCCAAGGAGATGATCAACGCCAATCAGTTTCTTCATGGCAATCTTCAACTTCACCGAAACTGCATATGTCGCCGTCGGGATCATCACAGCCTACTGTCCGCTCGACAGCGGCTTCAACTCCATCCAGCCATTCATCTGCTCGAGAAGTCGAGACCCTAAGAAACAAGATTAGAGAGCTTGAAAAGCAATTATCCGAGGCAACAGGAACTCCTACCCAGTCAAGTGCCTCGACTCCAACATCTGAGATTCAAATTACGACTTCTCAGTTAGCTGGCACTTTTCGAATTCATAATGAGCACCTCACTTCTGACAAAGGACATAGCCAAGCTATTAGCCGTACGTTTTGGCATAAAACGAGACTATATGGCCAAAGTCATTGGATTGGTGGTATCTCTCTGGTATCCGCACTTGTATTTTTCAAACCTGGAGATTTGGACTGATCGATAACTAGCTTCGTGAGATGGTCGAGTCAATGGAGCCATACCTTTTGAACGAGGCATCCAAAGCTATATCTGGCTTGCAAAAATGTAAATACCTGGGCAAGATGATTAAATCACAGCGTGATCCCCGATGGCCAGTACCAATAACGTCGAGCCTGCCCACAAAGGATGTTTGTGACACTCTTGTTGACTGCTATCTTCAAACCACGGAGAAGATCTATCGAATCTTGCACATACCAACTTTCAGAAAAGAGTACACGAAGTTGTGGTCATCAGACACTCAACCCGATTCAATGTTTCTGGTTCAGCTGAAGCTCGTGCTTGCTATTGGAACGATAACCTATGATGATGATTTCACGCTACGCTCTTGGGCTACACATGCGGTTTATGAAGCTCAGACATGGGCCTCCGAGCCAGAATACAAGGCTCGACTGGGTATCCCCTTCTTGCAGATTCAAGTCATGCTATTGATCGCCCGAGAACTCGTTGGTGTGGACGGAAGAATGGTCTGGGTATCAGCTGGAGCATTGATGCGAACGGCTATGTACATGGGGCTTCATCGGGACTTGGCCTGTATACCAAACATGTCAAAATATGCGCTTGAAATGCGCAGAAGGCTGTGGAACACAGTTCTGGAGGTTTGCCTACAGTCAAGCATGGAGTCCGGAGGTACCCCGCTCCTTTCTCTAGATGACTTCGACACACAGTCTCCGGGAAACTTTGAGGACGAGCAGCTTGAAGTGGAGGATTCCATCCCTCACCCCGAGAGCAAATTCACATCGGTCTCAATAGCTATAGCTTTGCGAAAGATGTTTCCAATACGTCTCGCGATCGCAAAGTTTTTGAACGATGTACGTTGCCAAGGATCTTATGAAGAGGCGATCCGCCTTGACGCGAGACTAAGAGCTTGTTATAAAGACTTGTGTGGGACCCTTCGCGATCACATCTCACGATCCACGCAGAGTTCAATTTCGAGATTTGAGCTTCTTGTACTGGATTTCATTATGCGTCGATATATTCTATCCATTCACATCCCTTTCTTTGGCCCGTCTCTGCATGAAACAGCTTACGCGTTTTCCCGGAATGTGGTCGTTGAGACCGCACTCAAACTATGCACCTCGACCCGTGGATCCCAGCCTTCAGCTGCAGAACTGTCATTCAACACAAAACATTCCCCTGGCCAAACCGAGTTCTCACGGCTGGTGATAAACGGTTCTGGATTCTTCCGCACAGCGGCCGTCAACGCATGCTTCTTGATTTCGATTGAGTTGAAAGCAAAAATAGAACAAGAAGAAGGATTAAGTCACTTGAATGTGCGACCTGATCTACTTGCAGTATTTCATGATGCGAAAGCCTTGAATTTGCGTTGTATAGAGGTTGGAGAAACCAACGTCAAAGGTTACGTATTCATATCCCTCGCCGCAGCACAAATCGATGCTTTAATGCGAGGTATTACGAAAGAAAAGACTCCATTGTTACTGATACAGGCTGCTGAAGATGCAGAAGAGGATTGTTTGCCAATTCTCGAGCGGTTTGCAGCCAAAGGCCAGAACGAGAAAGCTGGGGATGGACTGGAATGTTCCTCCACAAGCCAGCTTCCCGACATGGTAGGAGATTGGGACTTCATGGTTAGTTATAATGCGGTATCTTCCTTTGCCTAGCTAATTCTTTCAGCTGGCCGATGATAATTTTCATTTCCCGGATCTCGAGCCCGCAAGCTGGATGATGAGTGGAATACCTTATGGGATACCCTGAGTATTTGCGACACTTTAGGAATTGGAGGGCCCGTTGTCGAATAACAAAGAATCAATCCGAGCCGCATGGTTTAGGATCTAAGCGAAGAGCCTCAATTTCGGTTCTACACTCTCACCCGAAAGCGTCTCAGTTCCCCTTTAGTCCAAATGGGACATAATTCCGATGAGGCGACATAGAGCCCGAAATTCGACTCATGAGTGGCAACGATGGCTCTAATTTCCGTTTGATGAAATATGCGAAGTAGCACTTACAATTCAAATTGAAGCCTCTGCCGACCATGGGTCGCTTGTAACTGGAAAGATGCTGTGACATACCCCCAACACGTCTCCGTGAGCTCATACCAAGCCACCACACTATGAAAATTTGAAAGGTTCAAATCTCACAAAAAGGCTTTGACCAAGTACAAAACAAAGCTCGACTGTTATTCTTTTGGAAAGCCTCTGTCCCGATGTTGGCGATCTCGATGGTGGTGAAATAGTGAACGCCTTCGTCTTCTTCATGTCGGCAGCCTCTTCCTTCAGCAGTTTCAATGACGATGCGGACGCAGAAGAAACAAGCGTATCAGAACATTGGCATGATGCATCACAGATCAGTCCGCTGCAAGAGGAACCACAAATGCACGTTCGATTTCGATCCAATGGCCCACCTCAAGACATCCCGCGTAACCCACCAGACATTACCCTGCAAGATGAATGGGACCATTCTCAACGGCAAGGAGAAGCACACAGACCGACCGCTCCGTATGCGCATGAATCAGAAGACATCGCCGACACGCCAGAGAAAGATCGTGCTCCTGAATCCAATCAGCCCCAGGGTGACGCGGGCCTCGATGTCATAGACCATGCAGCAAAAGCAGAAAACCAGAAGGAAGAAAACGACGAGCCCGAAGGTTCTAAGCAAAAGAGTCTGAAGGAAAAATGGCGATATGCAAAGGAAACCCTCAGATTCAAAGCTGGCTTACTGGGAGATCGCATGGGTCGGCCAGTGTCGGAGGGGGACGATCTGTCATCCGGAAAATATAGACCCGACTGGGCAACTGGGGGTGCTGCTGCGCTATCAGACTTCACAGACGACAAACATAAGTCGGATGAAGAAAAGTTAAAGCACCAAGCAGCGAGCAGCTCCGAGGCACATCGTCTTGTGCGAGACTTGACCCAGGACCATTCTCAGAAACGTCGCAAAGGACGTGGAAGGCCATATCCATATGCTGGAAGCCATTTTCAAGAAGAGGAAAACCCAACAGGTGCGGATGCGAGCTTGCGATATAGATCTGGAGGTGGTGGCATTCTATCACAGTTAATAAAATTGAATGGTGGACAGCAACCTGGCCAGCAGCAAGATGCTGGACAAGTTTCTCGAGCATCCACTGAGTCTTCCTCTGGCACAACAACGAGTTCAGCATCGGGAATCCCCAAAAGAGGCAAACCACCGAAGTGGTACAAAAGGCCCGCAAACACATCGACCTCGACGTTGATCGGTGGCGGTGAGGGGGCTCACAGTGGTGCCAGTACTCCTGTTTCCAGCGAGGTTCTGTCTGCAGCTTCAAATCGACGAGGACAGGAAGGGGGAGGAAACAAGTCCAGTCAAAATATGCGTCTTGAAGATGAAATCCGAGTGACAGTTCACATTGCCGAGATTATCTGTCGCCAGCGGTACATCATGCAGCTCTGCCGGTGTTTGATGACATTCGGTGCGCCCACTCATAGACTGGAAGAATACATGCAGATGACAGCTAAGGTGCTTGAAGTCGACAGCCAATTTTTGTATCTTCCAGGCTGTATGATCATGTCATTTGATGATCCGTCTACTCGCACGACAGAAGTGAAACTAGTTCGTGTGAACCAGGGTATTGACCTGGCACGATTATCAGACTCGCATCTCATCTACAAGAATGTGATCCATGATGTGATCGGCATTGAGGAAGCAGTCCAAGAACTGGACAGCATTATGAAGAAAGATCCTCGTTATCCAAAATGGATGATTGTCCTGGTTTACGGCGTCGCTACTGCGACTGTCGGACCATTTGCCTTTAACGCGAGACCAATTGATATGCCAATTATCTTTCTCAATGGCCTTCTTGTTGGGCTGATGCAACATGTTGCTGCACCGCGGTCAGTTTTGTACGCCAATGTTTTCGAAGTTACATCGACTGTCGTAACATCGTTCCTGGCTCGAGCCTTTGGGAGTATCCCCCGTGCCATCGTAGACGGTAAGCGAGAATACCTTTTTTGTTTCTCTGCCATTGCACAAGCTTCTATTGCATTGATTCTACCCGGTTTTCTAGTACTCTGTGCTAGTCTAGAACTTCAATCTCATCAAATCATCGCCGGATCCATCCGAATGGTTTATGCCCTCCTGTTCTCCTTATTCATCGGCTACGGTATCACCGTTGGTACAACTGTCTATGGTCTTATAGACAACGGCGCCGTTTCAGACACCACTTGTCCTAAGGAAGGGGCCTTTAAAAACCCATACGTTCAGCGGTTTCCTTTTGTCGTGATCATGACTGTCTGGCTCCTGATTATCAACCAGGGCAAATGGAAGCAGCTCCCACCAATGACAATAATCGCTCTATCGGGGTACATCAGCAACTATTTCAGTACGAAGAAACTCGGATCCAACTCACAGGTTGCAAATACAGTGGGCGCATTCACCATAGGGATCATGGGTAATCTATACAGTCGCTTCTGGCATGGCCACGCTGCGACGGCTATTCTTCCTGGCATTTTCATTCTCGTCCCCTCTGGACTCGCCGCGACTGGATCCCTTATTACAGGTGTTCAATCCGCCGATGAAATTCGCCAAAACATTTCTCACCACGGTGCCGCGAGCTCTGCGCCCGGTGCTGGCCTGTCATCCAGTAGCTCTGTTTTCAGCTTGGGGTTTGGAATGATTCAAGTGGCGATCGGTATTACCATTGGTCTGTTTATATCTGCGTTGATAGTTTATCCATATGGGAAGCGTCGCAGTGGGCTATTCAGCTTTTAGCTGCTTGGTCTGTGGGATGTTCAATCTGTCAATACTTCATTTCTGTATCTACTCGAGTGAATTGAGGGGTTACCCCCCGTGTCCCACGGCAAATTTATACGCTACACATGAAAATATGTTTTGAATCTGTCATTCCTACTGTCACTAGTCAGCTCCATCTCACATCAAGTACGCCAAGAACGCCACTAACACTGCATGAAACAGGCAACCCGTGCTGTGGACTGCAATACCCTGACTAGATGTTGACGAATCGTGTTACTGAACTCTGATGCCCCGATAAACCTCGTCTGATACATCGTGTCCTAATTTGTGCTAGTGTACGTATTCGATCCTTGAATTAAAGTCCGCCGAGGAATCAATATCCTTCAGTGAATATACCGACTTCAGTTTCTTGTCTAGTCGCATGACCAATAATATCTCAATTCGTTTTCCTAGCACTAAAGGCCGTCCACAAATATCTTTGAAAACGGTATAGACAGTGTAAAAGATTCAATGCTCTTCCCCGCCATCAAAATCCCTGCATCTGAAACCCTGCATGCATCCCTTACCCCAAGTCTGCCAAGAGCAATTGACAGCGAACCAAAAATGAAACCACAAAAACAAGTCAAATTTCACTCAACACTAGCATCAGGACATGATTAACTAAAGACATATTGCGACCCCGATGATCACGGCCTAAATTCCCGATGTGAGAAGATGGAAACAATCCACTGTCCATACTGTGCCCCAGGTATGTAGATCACAAGCCAGCCACGGGTTCCTTGGCCATGACCCGCATATCTGCACGTCGTTACGAAGAGGCTGAGGCTTCGAACCGTAGTGAATGAGGGGTGAAGGTTAAGGTTATGTAGGATGCTACCCTACGCTTCGTACTCCCGTATTTGATCAGCGTAGACATAAATCTAATACGGGTAGGATCTTGGCTCTCTCCAAAGGATCGGGGATAATCCGGAGGACTTCTATACTGGGCTTAAGGTTTGGACGTTAGTTGCACTGAAAAGAGAAATACGAGGTTTCGAGTGATATACGTGGACAACGAGGAGACGGTCTAAGCTGGTCTATTGAGATATAAATATCCCTTGGAACCTCCCAGATGGGATCAATTCTTTCATTCAATCCAAACCCATCAAGCAAATCAATCTACAAAATCACATCAAATATCACCACAAAACGGCCAGCACCAGATTCAGTTACAAAATGAAGACCAGCATCCTCATTCTCTTGGCTACATTGACCGCCAGTGTCCTCGCAACCCCAGCGCCCAAATCTGAAGCCAGAAACATCTTGAAACGCTCCGGTAGCTGCTACCATCCGAGCTCGTGCAGCCGCTCCTGGGCTGGAAAATGCGAAGATTATTGTGGAAATCGCGGATTCTCTCATATGACCAGTGATGGTTGCGGATGGCTTGCAAAGAAGTGTTGCTGCAGCAAATGAATAAAAGCAAGATCATAGTAAATTTGGAACGGAATTGGGAATGGACGATTGTGACAAGCTATTCATTATGGAGAACAGGGATTTCAAAACGCCAATTACGTTGAAATGTATGGTGCCTATGAAATGCGAAAAAGGAATGAAACGATATAGTAAGCGACAAGTGTATCGCAGTCAGGAGTTGCATAGCTGAAACTGGAGTTCACAACCACCGCAGGTTGATTCTTCTGAGATTGAATTAATTCTAAGATTCATTAAACTGAGCATGCATCAATGCAAAATCCCACGTGTGCTTTCACAATCTTTAGCGTCCATATCAGGTCCCTCTACATCAACTTGATATGAGTGATCGACAGAAATACCTTGGATACCAGAAAGGAGATCACTGGTCCCATTTCGGATACTGTGGAGCTGGTACGAATGTTGGGTCTTGCTGTCTTTGGGCTGGAATGCGCTGCCGTCCGTTTTATATGTTGTCGGCTTAGCGCTGTGGCGGCCTGATGAGAAGAACGATAGTCCTGGCAAATATGTGGTGATAAGCTGTTTGAATCGCATAGCACAGGCGCAAATTATGCCGAGATTGACTTCGACAATGGACCATATGCCAAGGATAGCTTCTGTGTAAGTTACATCCTCAGTTTGGTCCAACAGAAGAACGTATGGTAGGCGGGCTATAGAGCAGATAACAACTCTATAGAATGCATTAGTGGGAATAGTTTCAGAAAGTTTTGATTGCAAGGCTGGCAAGAGGAACGTACCCTGATCCCAAAGCCAGAAGGCAGCCAACGGTCACTTTTTGTTTGATAGAGGATTGGAGATTATGAAGCATGGGAATGGGTAAGGCCACGACTGCAAAGTCAGAAGCGATATTTAGTACTGCCTGCGACAAAGCGACATTTTCCAGACACTTTGTCGTTCCTGTTTTCAGTGGATTACATGGCCCGCCGGTGATGATGCACAATGTCAACGTGTATGTGAAGATCGCAGCTGCGACTAGAATGACAAAAGACCGGTAGACGTATGACGGGTTGATGCGATACAAGACAGACAAGATCGCCATCTTGGTGATACAAGGGCATATTAGGTATGCCAGGGTATTGGGGAGGAGTGCCTAATACACAGAAATAAGCAAGGGAGTTGCTTTCTTCTCATGGGTCAGTACACAAATTCCTCACCTTATTAAACAGGATTAGATCTGCCAAAGAAACGTTCCATAAATGCTTTCCCCATCCGTATTTCATCACTAGAGAAGTTAGCCTGACAAGATCGCAAACCCTGGCGTGCCTCATAACACTCACAGTTGACCATTGTCACAAAGTAAACCAATGCCACACCATAAGAAAATGTTATAGCCACTACGGATAAAATGTTGATCAGTGCTTGGATCAAAATTTATGATCATAGCGAGTTCGTTCAGGAGCTTACCAAGATCTGGTTCAATCTTCTTAGTCAACTTAAAAGCCTGGAAATATCGAAGGACAACAAAAGAAGTAGCAAGGAAATATGTAATACCAAACGAAAGAATCGTCCCAATCTGCAACGAGTTGTACGGCGCATGGAAATGTGAAGTTTCCCCTTCCGGAGGCGGCATGCCCGGTGTTGTTGATAATGTTTCTGCATTCATTGTCCATATAAAGTACACCTAAGAAATCACAAAGTTGACACAAACGTTGCCCGACTCTTTGCCTACGCAGTCAATTCGGGGAAATTTCGGACAATGGCTACTAAACGGTCAAAGCCATCAATAAATCCCTTCTGTCATGTTAGCCTCCAAATTAATCAAACTTCCTTGTTGGCCCCTGAAATCCTACGTTAAACATGAAATTCCCCGCTGTAAGTGAGCAACTGTATCATTTCTGGCTCTATCTCTTCTATAACTCGATCCCCCGGTGTTCTTGCAAAGCCAGAACAAGATGAATATGCTTTTCAGGCAGAAGACCATCGAACCTGTTCATGGTGATCAAATTCTACCACTTCATTTCTTTGAAAAAAGTCCACTTGTGCAGGGAAACAACATGGCTGTGTCTCTGGTATTCGATGCAGTCCTCGATCCAGACATATTACGGCAGTCTCTCGAAGACTTGATTAAAAGGGACGGATGGCAAAGACTGGGAGGTCGACTTAGAAAAAATGCAAGTTTCACACCTCACTTAATAATTGATGCATATTGATGACCATTTATTCCTTCTGCTGTGCTTAGGCGTTAGGCATCATTGAATGGCATATTCCAGAAAAGTTCACAAAAGAGAGACCAGCAATCTCTTTTGCACACATCGACCATGCCATGCCAACGGCTTCTCATCCATCAGCATCTCAGATTCCAAAACCCACAGAGAGCCCTGCCATCGTGGCGGATCCAGACCAACTACAAGACCTTGCATGGGGCCCCGAATACAGCCCAGGCGGAATCAACGACTACCTGAGCTCCGACAAGCCAGTACTCGGACTGCGAGTCAATTCCTTCACAGACAAGACAGTTGTAGTTTTGCAATGGCAACATGTAGCATTCGACGCTCTTGGTTTACAGTATGTCGTAAATGCGTGGAATGCCACTCTCTGGGGCAAAACAGAGGAAGTTCCAACGCCAGTCCCCTATACCACGGATCCATTCGAGTCGTTTGAAACAGGATCGCGTCCTACAGCCGAGACACATATTCTAAGCGAAAGAAATGTGGGCCTGGCTGGTCTAATTAGGTGGGGACTGGGATATGGCTTTGATATGTTAGCACGAGCGAAAGAAAATCGCATGCTCTGCGTTCCAAAATCATACTGGCAGCCGCAGCTTGACAGGGCCTTGAGTGAACTTCATGCCGAGGCTGCGGCCAATGGAGACGATAAATCAAAGGTGTTCTTAACCGAAAACGATATCATCACTGCGTGGGTTCTGCGTTGCGTAGTTGGCGAGATGGGGATGGATCCCCAGAGAACGGTATTGTCCACTTGTCATAACATGGTTACATCTTGTTAATTTCTTTCCCCCTCAGGTTGCCGCATCCATCGCCATGTCCCTGCGCAAGGCCTTTGAGGGCGATCTTATCCCTGCATCCTGCGATCAGCCATACATCGGCAACGCCTATGGCTGGGCCAATATACTCACTACCGCGGAAGATGTCATGAGAAAGCCAATGAGTTGGCTTGCACAGCAGATACGCTTCGCGATCAATTTTCAGGGAACTCCTGCTCAGCACGAGGCCTACTATGCTGCCGTGCGAACGGCTGGTTACGGACTGCCTGTTGCTATCTTTGGGGACGGTGGAATGGCCCAGGTGGGATTTTCAAATTGGACCAAGGCTGGGCTATTTGATCTTGACTTCTCGCCGGCTGTTCAAGGGACCGACGGGGGCAGTGCGCCGTGCAGGCCATGTTACATTCAAGAGAACCACGGTCCTATCAAGCCTGGTGATGGCTTTTTCATCTTGGGGAAAGATCAAGAGGGCAATTATTGGATCTCAGCATATAAGTTAAAGGGTCAGTGGGCAAAGTTTGAGAAGCAGATGAAGAAGGACTTTGAGGATGAATCTTGAATTTTAAACCATGAATTTATGAGGATCCTTCCTGGTCATTCTACAGTAAATCCAGCCAGGGCTGTGATTGATATAGAGAAAAATGATATACAGTAATATTCTAAATCATATTTAGCTTTACACTCTTATATTTTCATTCACCAGCCCTATTTTGAAACACCTGTCTAATTTCAGCCATATCCCAGGAATCCCGGCTAGGCTGTATTTTATGCCCGAGGTAATGAACTTAATTTGAAGAAACGTTTCAAGTACGTAGATAAACGTCACTCCGCCGCTCCCGCTGGTCGGTAAGGGGAGAAAGAGGAAAGTCCCCTGTCACGAAAAGGATGCTCGAAGACAAAGACGCATAGCTTCCGAGGCTATTGATGATTAAGAACAACTCGATTTCTTATGGGCTATGGATGCTCTGGAGCAAGTTAGAAAAAAACCTCGTTAGTTTCTCTGGCAAACCATGCCGGAAGATGCGCAGGGCTTCTGCTGTATACTATGGAGGTTAGGGCAACACAAGTCTGCTAGAGAATGAGACAGACCTGCCTATTATCCGCTAATCTTATGATGATACCCGTAAAGATTATTACTACTAGATATGAAGTCATATATATCGTATTGACAAAGTGCCCCTAATCAATTTACTCAATCCAAAAGAAGCTGAGGGCTATTATAAGACCACCCTTCAAACATCTTGATAACTTCAGCTGAAAGGGCAGGGCCCATCTTCCAGATAGCTTTCTTTTCATACGAAAAGTCTCGCATCTTTCTCCCCTGGGCGATGGAGTTCCAATCACATCTGAATGAAATAGGGTTGCACGTATAATTTGGGAAATCACACCCTGAAGTATCTCGGCACAAAAAGTGTGGTGGGTTTTTGAGTACTTCTACCGTGCGCGATGATGGGCAAGCTCCGTACTCAAGTAGCGTGTCTGTAATTCTCACGTGTTTCGAGAATATCTTGGCTCGCATCTGTCCACTTGTCGCCCAGTCTAGTGCAGTCCAGCCATGTCTATCGGGGGCATTCACATCGATCTCTGTTATGTCAAGGAGGCATTTAACGGTATCGACATGCATGTTCATGGCAGCTAGATGGAGAGGGGTCATTAACTGAGAAGTTTGAGAGCCTTCGAACCTTGCCCCGGCTTGGACCAGCAACGGTATGATATCTGTTTTCCCGTAGCGCGCAGCCTCCTGCGCAGCTTCTGAGCCAAGGGACTGCTCTGGCCACCTTTGAGTATGCACTGATAGCAATAATTTCACGATTTCCACATGACCCCCTTTTGCGGCCCACATCAGGGGAGCCCAGCCAGGGTCAGACCAGAGCGAGTCCCGTCTTGTGGCTTTTTCCAGAAGGAACTGCACAGTACCGTAATGTCCATTCTCTGCGGCATACGACAGGGCTGACTGGGATTTATCATTGTCAGTTTCAGGAAAGGCATTTCAATTGACTGAGTCTTTGATCACCTTTTTGCAAGCCCTTCTTTTCTCTTCCCACTTTGACAATTTGCCAAGTGCTGGTTTTGAAGATTGAAGAGACATACCTTTATCGAGAAGAAGCTCCACTAATTGCTGATATCCACATGTTGCTGCCCACAATAACGGTGTTCGATCTTGCGAATCTTTTAATTCAAGGGAGGCGCCGTATTGGAGAAGGATATCTAATATTTCCTTATAATTTGTACCTGCCGACCACAAGGACCCAGTTACATTGGGCTGGATCATAGGTTTGACCTGGGGAAAGTGGATGCTGTCTCTTGGCTCTCTTTCTCTCTCCATCCAAAGGGAGGAGCCGAGAAGATCGACCTCGAAATAAACGGCTAATGCGCAGTGGAGATTGCATTTAGGATCTTGCGCATCTTCCCTAAACATGTTTTGTTGATCCAAATCTCGGCTTTCCCCCGCCAGTTGAGGCGATCCTGCCCAGTGTAGCGGCGACCGGTTCATGACGCCGTCTCTGGTGTTCGGATCAGCCCCCGCAGCCAGGAGGAGCCGGACAACACCCACAAACCCTTGTTCGGCAGCAATTGAGAGCGGCGTCCTGGAATTGGGGTATTTGATGTCCACGGTGATGTCTTCTATATCCAGGAGCAGCCTAGTTACGTCCTCATCCCCTCGAATGGCCGACCAAAGGAGTGGACTCCAATGGTTGGGAAGTGGAGGGTTTGGGCTGAGTCGCATGGTTGAACTTGGAGTGCTGCTGGCAGAGATCTGTAAAAGCCTTTGTATGGTCTGAGTATGACCCATTTGAGCGGCATAGAGCAACACTGCATGGGCGCCATCACGTTTTATTTCGTTTTCATATAATATGTGATTGAAAGCCTCGTAAAAAAATTGGCAAGTGGTGATAATCCTATTGAAATATCTTTGCGAGTCCAGTTCAGAAAAAGCCTGTTGTATCAATTCATTGGGAAGTTTGAACAGCGACATTTTGCTTTGACAGGCAAGAAGCTAGATAGTAGTAACAGAAGCAAGCAGAAGATTGCGAGTATACACCCCCCTATTGATCACAAGCGCAAGGGAGAGAGAGCCACGGAATAGAACTAGGGCTAAGACCCCCATACACAGCCACCGCCACAATCCGCCTTTGCTCATTATTCTAGGCAACCTTCATTGCAAATGGTGAGGCTGTTGTAGCCATCGCAAGCCTACTCTCCAAAACAATCAAGAAGTAAAGCTGGTGACACCAGTTGCGGAACGGTAAATATCCAATGTATCAATTGAAAATGATCAAAGAAATGCCGAGTTATACTCTAGCAAATGCTATCTATGAAAAAAGAAAAAGAAGAAAGAGACTCCAGTCTCAAAATGCAACAATGCAAATAACAACAGAGGGCCCCGCCAGCGACCAGCCGCCAGCATGCTCCAACACTCAACCTCAACAACCAGGAGGGAGCGAAGAAACGGAGAGAATCAATCCCGGCTCATCTAAAAAATGGAAATTAAATTAGGCATGATCTATTGCATCAGCTTCATGCTTTGTAGTCGTTGCTTTCATCTGATCCTGCCAGACGGCGAAGCCAAGTAGTTCAAGGAGATAGCGCTCACGATATGTGAACATGCGGACGCCTGTGGTTTGCAGGAAACCTTTTGCGTGTGTCAGGAGGATTTCGCTGTGAGATGCCGAAAGTGTGTAGAGGGTATCGAGCGAGATGGTGATTTGATCGGGGAATTCAGAGAGGACGGGAACCTCAGCCAGGAGGTGACGGGTCTTTTTGTCGCGGGATAGAGAGTCGCAGTAGGATTCCAGCATACGTTCACGGGCAATGAATTTGAACATAGAGTCCAAGGAGTCAAGTTGGACGATTGCCTGGGGGAGGGAGCTTTGTGGCTCGGCAAGGCCTCGTTGCATGAGCACGACATATTCCAGATCTTCGATCAAAGGAGTGAGCTGTATATTTGCTGGAGAGGAATAACCCAGGATGGGACGGTCGTAGCCGAGCTTCTTACGCCAGAAGTAGTTGCACAGGATGAGAGATATGATGCACGGGATGAGTACAACATATCCCCACCAGCGCTCAGCAGTGACCATGGAGGCGGCACCAGCAACGAGACCATTCAGACCATTTATACCAGCATGCCACTGGAAGCGACGGAAACGGGTATGCAGACGACGGCGAATATCACCACTCGGTTCGCGTGCATACACAGCAGCGTCATGCAAACGAAAACGATGGATCAAAACGCCAGACCAGACAGCATTAAAAAGACCAAACAATGCCGCGAGACCGTTGCCAATATATCCAGAGAGCAGATTACTAGCCTTGTAAACACGAGGATTGGCGCCGCCAATCGCCATCAGCGTCCCAGTGCCAACAAGCAGAGCACCAAAACCCATGAGCACATCCATAACAATGCGATCGACAACCTCGGTTCCAAGCTCGCGGAACCCAACACTGATTCGACTATCAATTAACTGAACCAGCTCGGCATTTTTATCATGATACTGGCGCAAGCGCTGTAAATGAGCCCGTTCCGCTCGGAGAAGTGTAACATTCCGCCAACTTAGACGGTAATCCTGGAGAGCGACAAAGATCATGCCCAGTGCAAGTGTACCACCAATACCCATGAGCACGGCAGCAAACTTCGGCACGGGGATCTCATTCCAGACATTTGCGGCGAAGTCTCCTGCGTTCGCTAGCTCGAGGTATGCCACGCTCGCCAGCAGACTGTTCCGGAATTGGGATTGGTGTAGCAAGCGGAAACGCCCTCTCCGTCGGACAAGAGTGACCTGACCGCTGCTGGTTTCGAGGGATTCTTGCCAGGTGATGTCGCTGGCTTCGCGCATGAGTTTTCCAACCACGGGGGGCGAGGAATCAGATTGGGAGGGAGAGACTAGCTTCATTGCCCTGGCGTTGTCTGGGGGTGATTGGGAGAGGCGGGTCGGAGTGGGTGTTATGAGGGTATCGCAGGAGTCGGTTGGAGCCGCCATTTTGTGAAGATTTTTGAGGGTGGCCGTGGGGATGGGGAGGTTCACATGTCGATTTTCATGCCATACTTTGTACAACTGAGTATATGAGGAGGAACAAAGATTGAGAAGGAAGTTCAGGAGAGGTCAGGAAGTAAAGAGAAAAGAAGCCACGCAAGCGGGAAGACCGGGGTACCAATAAAAGCCAAGGCGCGGTGGAGTCAGCCCTGTAGGGCTGAAGATCTACGCACTTTTGGTTAATCCGCGAAATTACCAGGTTTGTTTTATTGGATACTGGCTAAACATAGATGTGAGGCAGCAATATATTCACAATGGGATCTAATAATACATCTGTCTCTATGCTTCTTTGGACTGTTTCAAGCCATCCCCTGCTTTGGAGGTGAGAGCGCGAATCAGCTTGACGCCTGCGTCCGCCGCCGTATCGCGGGATAGGCCACTCCAAAATTCGGCCTCGCGGTCGGATCCGCCAAGGACAGCATCCTCAGGTTCATCCTTTGTAGGAGAGGGAATTCCGTCGGGAACGGACTCCTTCTCAGTGCAGCCGTATACATTCACCCGCTCGTTGAACCGCACACGCGGACGAGTTCGGCCATTGGGTGAGCCCCGAGAGCCAGAGCTGGGTGATCCCGAGCTGGGTGAGCTTGATCTCGCCAGGCTCGCAGCGAAATAACTCTGGCGAACGGCATACCGGCGGGCTTCTTCCCGTCGGATGGTGTCTGAGAAGATCTTCTCGAGGGCCACGGAAGCTGTGAATCGCATACCAAGGTATGCCTGCTCTGCAATAAAGATGGTCAACAGCAGATATGACAGACGCACCTCATGCATCGGTCCTCGGTAGACGTGTACGATCGCTGCCGTCGAGAGAGTGCCTAGCCATGCCATAAAGTCTAGGCCAAGCAGACATGGGCCGATCGAGTCTGCTCGGATAGGGGGCGGGCGCTGACATTCTAGTGTAAGCTTGAAGAAGTCACCTCGGAGTTCGAGCCAGTTGTTCAGCAAGAATCCTAGTGGAACAAGTGGCCAGGCAACTCCGAATAGTGCCAGGTATCCAAATTGAACACACATCTCAAGGATGTCTTCCTCGACGTGGTACTGTTCTGCGTCGGCCTCACTACGCAACCGGGTCAAAAATTTGGCTTCATCTGGCGGGTCAATCAGCAAAAGATCGGTGGCCTTGGAATAGCTTCGCTTGCGCCCAAATTCAGCCTTGCGATCGCGATAATTGCGCCATTTCTGCCACAGGATATTCTTCACATATGGCAGAATAATTTCTTCACCAAAGCTCAGGACTTGGGCTGTCATCGACAGATAAATGACCTCCTGTTGAAAACGGCTCGTATCTACTTCAAATGCTTTTTGTCCACTGAGCAAGTCGGCCTTGTATCCTGTCTTTCGCACAAAGTCGAGGTGTGGGACGATCGAGCTGCCAAACGGAACATAGACGTAGGCAGTCAGGATTGTGGGTAAGAAGGATGTGATAAAGTTCATCACAAAGGTCTTTTGAGTTTGCGCAAGATCGTATTGGTCCTGCGTTCGGTAGTTCTCGTAATCGGTAAGGCGAGTTGCAATGTTTGTGAGGAAGGAAGTGATGGCAGGCAATGAGAGGGAGAAAAGGATGGTTGGCACGAATTCGAGATAGCTCTTGAAAGGTCCGTCATACACCTCGGAAATAAACACCTCCGATGCGAAAGACGCGACAATCAACGCTCCGAGGGCGATACTGGCGACCGACGCAAAGGGGACTAAGAGCAATTGTCGGGAGAATTGCTTCCAGCCCGGGAAGACGTGCTTGATCTGTCCACTGATAGGATCTTTGACCTCTTTTTCCCAAACGTACTGCTTTCGATTGACTTTTAATCGACCAACACCTTTGACGTCCCATCTTTGACTCAGATCGGCCTCTCGGACTTTCCAATATTCGACAAATATAATGCACCAAGCACAGAGAACAACTCCATAAATGATGGAATACGGTCCCAGATAAGCCCATCCAATAATCCCTAGTGCTGCGGGCACCACAAGAAATAGTGAATAGCAATGTATGAATGCGTAGTAGAAAGCGACCTAGAAATAGTCAGCCATCGCGGATATCTCGGAATGAACATTGCGGGAACCGTACCTTTTCGCCAAAGAGAGCTCGAATCGCATCCAAATCCTGGCTTGTCAACACAGTTTTCCGACTCCATTTCCGCAGCATGTCACTGCAAGCCTCTTTATCGTGTAACGGAAACGAGGCAGTAACGCGCTCCCATTGTCCAAAGCCGGGCGTTATGCCAGCACCACCAATCTTCTTTTGCCAGGTGACAGCGTGATACACCGAGCGAATTTCCTCGGATGGGGTTTCGGCGTCAGCAATAGCGGTCTCATCGCCATCTGGTAAGGTATGTGTAATCCCGAACAACCAATCTTTAATTCTGCAATGCCATCAGCTCTCACCCCACGCATCCCGCCAGTAATCCAACTTAATATGCTTACCTCGACTGATGTACCAGGTTCCCTAGGTGATCCCGTGGTACCCGAATACACACCAACAGTGCAGAGCCGTGGCCGTGGCGTACCTGGACTCGCAAACCAGCTTCACTCAGATCGTGGATGAGGGTTCGGAACTCGGTGATGGCTTGTGCTTGGTCTGGGGTTGTTAGATGGGGCGGAAATCTTCAGGTTTCCAAGCTCGAATTGACTTGCCGATTTCACCAAACTCATACTGTAGCACCCAATCGACCCCCAGGTTATCATGTTCATCGTCTTCGTCCTTTTGCCCCGCGAGCCAAGACATGGTTGGGAAGGTGTGTGAAGGTTGCAGGAGGAAGAAGTGGGGGGGAAAGTGAGGTCAGAGCAAACTGGCTCTAATTACCCACAGCTACACACACCTTCAGGGCTATTTTCATTTTCTCTGATCTACACGGTCGAGCTGATGGGACTGCTGTTCTCCTTTACTTCTTTCCCCTTCCCCTTTGTTTTTTTTTTTCTCTCTTTTATCCCCCTGACCATCTTCAATCCATCAACTAACACCATTCGCATTGCCGTGGAAAATGTCCGGTATGCCCGGCCCTGATCCCGGCAAGGCGCGTCACGAGGCTCCACGGGCCAAGCTTCAGCCCTACGGGGCAGGTTTTCCTCATCCCCCGGTTTTGCCACCACTGACAGGCAGCAACTTGACATTATTGTTACAAACTATCAGACCTCCTTGCTTACCAGATTCACTAATTAGCAATTCCAAGGTTCAGGGTTTGCGACCGTGCAGGAAATGAGGCTGGCGCCAGCGGATCTCAAAGGGCTACAGGGCTGTCTCCACCGCGTTCGCCACGTCGGATTGGCAGAAATGGGCCCTCGGCCTTGGCCTTACAGGGCTGCACAGGCAATTGGCGTCAAAAGACATGGGCAACTGCATAGTGGGATCTGCTTCAGTATTTCAAGGTTCACCCCTTGACTTACCTAACGAAATCGGGAACCGTGAGGAAGGAGCCCTTAGGAATAGGAGTCTGAAGTCCGGGAGAAGACTGTTGAGGCCAAAATCCTGCTGCCTGACTTACGTGCCAAGCCTCAAAGTTTTATTTGCATTTTTGATGCTCGACACTACTTTTTTCGTTGGTTTTGTTATTGGGCTCCAGTTATGCGGTCAGAGGCGATTTTCAACCAATTGGCTTAGGCACCAGAGTTTCCACAGGTCGCACTGCCACCGAAACGGTCTAGTCCAGATGGTAGGCATGACCCGTGCATTTGGCGTATATCCGACGCTTCCATCATCGCTATATATGGAGAAAGTCGCGCTGCACTCTCTCCAACCTAGGAATGGGGGAAAGAATACACGAGGTCAATTCATTTGACTCTGCCAGTTAACACATTCAATTTAATTCTCGTCTCTCTTCTTCACTGTCCCGCTTGACTGACCTGGTCATCGTACTCGCCGTCTTGGCTCTATGCTGGAGTCCGTTATCGAAATCATGGCTCGTCGGTTTCTTCGCGAGCAAAATATCACCCTCGGGTTGAGCCTCGTGCTTTTTATTTTCATGTTTTTGCCTACATTCCTTATTCTCGTGGCTGTCATTGTCTTTTTCGGGCTCGCCTGGCCGCGACTGCGCGGGTCAACTGCTTTAGACCGCGAAAAAGGAGTGAAAGATCGGCAATCGGAGGCTAAACAAGTTTCCTGAGGGTATGGTTTGATCTGCACATAGCGTGTTACTGAATTGGTTGACTGACTGATCTGCAGGTGTCACACGGTGTCTGGTTTTGTATTGAGCGTTCTTACGGAGTTACGTGGGCATTTCCAACGAGATCCTGTTCTTGTTTCGCCTTAATGGACTGAAAAATTACTTATTCAGATTTGTGCCTGTCTTGTTGTAATATATGTATCAAAATCACAACTTCTTCCATATTTCATGGGTTCTGCGAGTGTAACAAGATCACGAACAGAAGCAGAAACTACCGTAACTAATGCCAACCACGACACCAGATTCTTCAAGAATCACTGAAATCTGGGGACCTTGGAGAACGTCGATGCCTAACTCGGCACTGGCGTTCCGAAACCAAACTATGGAATCCTCTGGGCGAATCTGCGGACGTTGAGTCATTGGCGAATTTTCAATTCCAGTTCCACTTCCAGTGCATGGAGCCCGCGGGTAGGGCTGAGAAGAAATTGGCGTACGTTGGGTCGCTTTGTTCTCCCCAGGGGGATTTCCTATTCTCCCTCCGCGTTCTTGACCACCTATGACCATCATCAGGCACTCTTTCTTCAACCTCTACTTGAGATTCATTCCCGGAGAACTAGAATGGGCTGAACATACTATATTTCTTCATCCATGAGCGTGTGAATATACAAAGAACGTACTCCCTGTCACGAACATCATCTTCAGATGGCAGGAGATCACCGGTCTAGCCACCGAGTACCAACCAACCTATCGGACAGATAAAGAGAGCAAAGATGGAACGTCCTCAGGAGAAAAGCGAAGTCATGGACGAGTCTCTGCCTGACCGGTTTAGCTTGTTCTCGTCTAAGACGAAAGAGGTCATCACCTCGTCGAAATGGGACACTCTCTTCCAAGACGGAGAAAACGATCTTATGACCCAGGAGAGGCACAAGGGTCGTCCAGATCCCAACCAGCCCATCTGGTGGATCGACATCCGTGATGCCAACGAGGAAGACGTTGATGTCGTCGCCCAAGCGTTGTCCATCCACCCCTTGACGGCTGAGGATATAGCCATCCGCGAGCCACGGGAGAAAGTCGACGTGTTCAAGAATTACTACTTGATTTCATTCCAGACATTGGTTGACAACGCGGCTCAACAGGAAAGACCTGGTATTCCCGTCTCCGCTGCCTTATACATCCTCGTCTTCCAGTATGGTGTCGTCACTTTCTCACCTAGTGGATGTGGACATGTCACTCGGGCGCGAGAACGTATTCGCAAGATGCACGATCCATCCATTCTGACGAGCGACTGGGTCTGTTATGCAATGATGTACGTCGCCCTCTCCTTATACTTCAACTCAGCCTCGAAACACACAGATCAGAAAAAGCTAACATGCACAAAAGCGACGATATAATCGACAGCTTTGAACCCATGACCCGGGCCGCAGAAGCCGAATCAGAAGCTATCGAAGACCAAGTGTTCATCGCACGCATCGACGACGCAAAAGAACTAATCCCACAAGTCGACTCCCTCCGCAAGAAAATAACCCACATCATCCGCTGTCTGCACGGCAAAGTCGACGTCCTAAGTGGCTTCGTCAAGCGCTGTCAGTCACCCGACAAGCACCCCGTGTTCCCGGATGGAGACCTGCTCTTGTACCTCGGCGATGTGCAGGACCATCTTGTCACGACGTTGTCTACGCTTGGACATATTGATGAGATCATTGGTCGGTCCCAGGCAAATTGTTTGGCGCAGCTGAGTGCTACCAACCTGCGACTCAGTTTGACTATTAATTCGGGGTTGAGTAAGGTTACGCTTCTTGCTACTGTGTTCGTGCCGTGTCATTTGATTACGGGGATGTGGGGGATGAATGTTGAGGTTCCAGGCCAGAATGACGGGGGACTTGGGTGGTTTTTTGGTATTGTTGGTTGTTTTGCTGCTTTTATGGTTGTTTGCGCTGCTATGGCTTGGAAGTATAAACTTTTGTAGATGACTCGTCTGGGCCCGATGTTGATATATTGTCTGTTAGGAGAAATGCCGACTTGGAATATATTAATCTGCATTGGGATTCTGTCATGATTCAGCAATTCCTTACCAAGCTTTCGATACATGACTATGAAGCATTCCGATATTTTGTTACGCTTTCCGGCAACTTGCGACAATATCCTGACGTTTTTGTTGCAGTGTTCATACGCAAGCCCCTATGCTGTATTGTTGAACAACAAAAGAAATATAATACGGGCCGTTATCACTTTTTATTTCTTCGTTTTCTTTCCCGCCACCGGCGCTGTAGAAATCTGTCCATTTAATGCAATATAATCAATAACGACCGAGAGCTAGGAACTGTCTTCCATTCCATAAGCCAGTCCAGAGAAGGAGTGATTGAAAAGGATTGTATACTGTATAAGCGAAGGCGCAACTGAGAAGAGATTTCCCAGGAATTGTAGGTCCGGTCGTAAATGAGAAGGTTTAGAGAGTCGCAATTGAAGTGATTTAATGAGACCTTCGTCTCTAACCTGACATCCTTCCCTGACTTTCCGACGGCTGAACCTATTGATCCCGCCAGGATCAAGTGCGATACCGGCTTTTTCCTGGCAGTCCGAACAAACGTACCGATATACAGAAGATTTGCTTTCCAGACCGACACAATCCAAGTGTTGCCAAGCATGGCATTTAGAACAACAGATACCGTGCGTCTCCAGTCCAGTACGCTTGCCGCAGCAAGGTATAGACGACTTAAAAGTTTGCACGTCAATGTTCTCGAATTGGGATTCTGAAGCGTAGTAACATTGCTCAGCAATGAGGGATGCCTGCGAAAATGCTACGGCATCTCGCGGTTCCAGTTCATGAAGAATCATCTCAACAATCTCAGGCGGGATGTTGACAGGCCACTTCTCCCGATGGGCGTGAGACTTCTTCCAGCAGTTCGATGTTAGAACCCGGGCTAGAGCACGGAACCCAGACGAACATTGGGTTGCTGAATTGTTGGATAGCAGTATTAGGCTCCTAGAGGCCCGAACAACCTCGTGAGAAAGTTCCACAAAAACGAGATGACGCGGTGAGATAACGATTAAGCCAACGTCGTCATGGCTAAGCCTAGAGTTGCCAATATATGACTTAGCTTTTGAGACGGCTTCATTTATCATGGCGTTGGATTCAAGGTCATCCTGTAAAACAACAAGGTATCCATGAAACCAATATACGTCTGCGTCGGGGTAGCTCCAAATGGGAATTGACGCGAAAGAGATTGGAAGGTCAACGTTGTAATCGAAAGATACCTCAAAATCCCAGGCTGCAAGACGCAGGAAAGCAACACATAATACCCTGAACACAGGAGATTCGTATCTCCATGTCGAAGGGTCATCAACATAGAAGCGCCAAAGAAAAACGAGGTCGGTAAAGAATCGCTCCTGTAGCTCGTTCATAGGAGTAGGGATACCAAAGTCCATCTCTAATGTCTCGAATTTCTTTGCTTGTGCCTTGTTGCTCTCACAAATGTATTCACTGAACATGTATCGAGGTTTCCGCACGATGTAATAATTGATGCTCGATATCCCATCGATCTCAGCGAGATCCATCCGTATTGCCGAAGGTGCTAATGATCCGTCAAGCTCACTCCATAATGAGATTATGAGGATCCCAGCATCTATATCGACAGTGTATACGTAATCTAGATTCGAATGAAGTGGGCTAGAAAATGGGACCGCTTCCCATCCTTCAAGGTTATCGGGCTTGTCGCGTAAATATTTGATGGTTCTCAATGTCGACTCATCGTCAAGGGGGCTTATCTGCGCTCGAGGGCGATATAAGCGATACCATTTCCCTAAGATCGTATGTTGGCGTTTGCAAGTCATATAGTCTCGACCATCACTAACCATTGATGTGTAAGTTCCAGAGCCCTCTACACCCCATTTGATAAAGTCCTGGAGAGGGAAGTGTGGTGGTAATGCTAGATATGCTGGGTTGCGGAGCTGTTATATCCAGTGGACCGGTGTGATCATGGACGGCAAGGTGAAGTTCCCCTGCGAAAGAGGGAAAGAAGTTCCAAAGAAGCTGGTACCTATCTCAAAAAGCCCTATGCATTCCGGCGCAAAGAACGCCAGATTCGTAATGGAGAAATAATCTCATCCCAGGATTTGACCAGTCATTGCACGGTCAGCTGACTTCATCTCCCGCTGTACTTGGTGGCCGTTTCAACCCGACGAGTCACTTCTAACCAACTAGACTTAACTTAACATTAGTTAACTTAATCTATAGATAGGCTACTAATGTCACTCTTATATTTATCAACTAGCCACTAAGAGGTTATTTTGGTTCTCTGATAATCTGGCGACACATCAAGCGCTAGCTTCGCCTGCGTCTGTACTGTCTCATCCTCCCCCTCTCCCCCTCATTCTCATTTAATTTTCTGGTATATGAACTCCTCTCAAGTCGCTCTATTCAAGTTAAAGCAGAATCTGCATAGCACGTTTATAAGGTGCGCTCTTGGTCGCTCTAGGAATCAGAATCATAGTTCCTAGGGGACCTACGGCTCCTAGGAGCGAATGATCTAGCTACGGGGAACAGCATTGAAGATAGGTTACGTGACAGCTTCTACAATATGAACAAGAGTTTTTTATTACGCCCCTATATCTTCTTAAACGTCAGGCACGGGTCTGATGCCTAGCACATTTAGAGCTTTCATGCAGAGCCTTGCACGAAATGGGAAGATTGAATGGCTTAGCTTTCACAATAGCCTAGCGTTACTACACTATCAAATAGTAGAGCGAAATGCGCAAATCTCGTCTTCATCCACGCGATCTGAGCTTTTCTGATGACATTGAAGGATTACCATCAACCATGTAAGTTATACAGACGAATCGTTACTTAACCGAACTTCTGATGTAGAACAAGACACTCCGCTCTGTATACTTCGGGCGGTCACCAACCACGGGCGATCGTTTCTGCCAACGACGTCGATGCAATCTCAATTCCATCCAGGGGCAGTCAGGCTGGTTACATGATCCAGAAAGCACATGGACTACTGCAATGTCACTCGGAATGAACGGAAACCCTGATCCGCTTCCATGATTGGTATCATCTGCATATATTGCCAATCTAGTCACAGCCACGAGGTCGACACATTCATGCTCATCACATTGTACCATAAAAGCAGGGCTGGATTGACAGCCACTCAATTTTCAGCCCTGATCAAGTAGTCCCAGCCCCATGAAGCTTCCGTCGGAGGGGCTGGGCTAGGATCGCACCTCACCATAAGCGCAACCTGAGAATCCCAGCCTCCCGGCCTTCAAGATGCGATAATATGCAGGAAGATTTGTGCTCGCGATGTATCTGGTTTACGAGATTTCCAACAAACGCCACGGATATTGGGGCTTCATCCTCAGCCGGTGGGATTCATCGCTTGATTGGCTGAGAGTTGTTCCCCTGGTGCAGGATCACCATGCCAACTCCGCCGATGTCTTGGCAGGGGCGCATCTGAGATTATCTCTCTGCCCACAGAGCCGAGGACTGGATCCGATGAGACAACGGTTTCGTGTGGACCATATGCAATTTGACCCAAGGGCCTGGCCTTCACGGAGTTTACTGTACTCTGAACCCCTGCGCCTCCTCGCATTGTTGACCTCGCGTCAAGTGTGTGGGTCTGCCCCTGCCGATCGTCGGAGCCCGCCTGCGTAACATTGGGAGAGAGGTCATCTCCATACCGATCACATCACTGGATACTTTGGGGCGTCATGATTTACCTCGGGCACAACGGAGTATCCGTCGGCGCAGAAGCAAGCATGCAGCCCAGCAGGAGTCCGCGATGGAACTCCCAGCACCGAGCCATTAAGAACGACCTCGCTCAACGCTAATCGCCGACGGACATCCGCCACAGGGTCCACAAGGACAACAAGTGCGTGACTGTGGAGGCCAGGGATTAGTGACGCGGGATCGTCCTGAATAATCTCTCTGCCAATCTTAGAGCCCAAACTCTCCAACATTCCTGGCCCATTCTCCCCCGCCAATGCAACCATAATAAATAGCGAACTCACTCGACCCCTCTTTTACAAGCGATTTGGGTATTTATACTTTGTCATTTCTACGTTCGTTTGGTGGAGGTTTCGATTCGTGTTTGATAGGGAGTCACATTCGCTCGTCAACATGATTGCTTCACTTTGGAACCGTCGAGCATTCTCGCTTGCGGTCATTTCCCTTCTCGCATCATCCGCAGCAGCCGATGTCTTTGAAAGCCTGAGGGCTGTGCCCCAGGGTGAGTTTCAATTCATCAGTTCGATATGAAATCAACAATGTGAACCAACTAACACAACATAGGATGGAGATATTCCCGCACACCTCGTGGCAATCAGCCCTTAAAGCTTCAGATTGCACTGGCCCAAGGCGACGCTGCTGGATTCGAGGCAGCAGTGATGGAAATGTCCACTCCCGATCATCCTAGCTATGGAAAGCACTTCCAAACACACGAGGAAATGAAGCGTATGCTGCAACCAAGCGCCGAGTCCTCAGATTCAATCCGTGAATGGCTCGAGAGCGCCGGAATTACTCAGATCGAGCAAGATGCCGACTGGATGACTTTCCACACCACCGTCGAGACTGCGAATGAGCTGCTGGCAGCTAACTTCCAGTACTACGTCAGCAATGCCAAACATATTGAGCGTCTTCGCACGCTAGAGTACTCCGTTCCAGACTCTCTGATGTCCCATGTCAACATGATCCAACCTACCACACGCTTTGGACAGATTCACGCCAACCGCAACACCCTGCACAGCAAGGCCAAGGAGACCAATGAGGCGTTCCGCCTGGCTGCCCAGTCTACTTCTCCTGATTGCAACAGTATTATCACCCCGCAATGTCTCAAAGACATCTATAACATTGGTGACTACAATGCTTCTAGCGATATTGGCAATAAGGTTGGCTTTGCCAGCTACCTTGAGCAATATGCTCAATACTCCGACTTGGCCATGTTCGAGAAGAACATCGCAACCTACGCACAGGGTCAGAATTTCTCTGTCGTTCAATTTAATGGTGGTGGCAACGTCCAGGGCAGTAGCAGCGGTGACAGCAGCGAAGCCAACCTCGACCTGCAATACATCATCGGAGTGAGCTCTCCTGTTCCTGTTACTGAATTCAGCACTGGTGGCCGTGGCGAGTTGGTCCCCGATCTTGACCAGCCCGACCCCAACGATAACAACAACGAGCCCTACCTGGATTTCCTCCAAAGTGTGCTCAAATTGGACAACAATGACCTGCCACAGGTTATTTCCACTTCATATGGCGAGGACGAACAGGTATGATTTCTATTCCCTCCCCATGTTTACCCGATTTCTAACAACCTCGCAGAGCATTCCCGAGACCTACGCACGTAGCGTGTGCAACCTGTACTCCCAGCTTGGCAGTCGAGGTGTCTCTGTTATCTTCTCCTCCGGTGACTCTGGTGTTGGTGCTGCCTGCCAAACCAACGATGGCAGAAACGCAACCCACTTCCCACCCCAATTCCCCGCCTCCTGCCCGTGGGTCACGTCTGTTGGAGCCACAACCGGTACCTCGCCCGAAAAGGCCGTGTACTTCTCCTCGGGTGGCTTCTCCGATCTTTGGGATCGTCCTCAGTACCAAGAAGACGCCGTGAGCTCATACCTCGAGGGCCTGGGTAACACTTGGTCCGGCCTCTTCAACCCCAAGGGCCGAGCATTCCCCGATGTCTCCGCCCAGGGCCAGAACTACGCCATCTTTGAGCATGGCTCCCTGAGCAGCGTCGACGGTACCTCCGCTTCAGCACCTGCCTTTGCCGGTGTCATTGCGCTGCTCAATGACGGGCGTATCAAGAACAAAAAGGCCCCATTGGGCTTCCTTAACCCCTGGCTGTACTCGACTGCTCGCGCGGCTCTTAATGACATCGTCGACGGTGGTAGCACTGGCTGCGATGGCAAGAGCCGCTTCGGTGGCGCCGCCAACGGAGGACCCGCTGTGCCCGGTGCCAGCTGGAACGCGACTAAGGGCTGGGACCCTGTTTCTGGTTTGGGTACACCTAACTTTGGTGAAATGTACAAGGTTGCTTAGAGCGTTTAATTTATAAAGAACTCTGCATGCTGGTCCTGTGTCTGCTCACGTGAAAGGTTATGATCGGTGCATTTTCGGATGAGAAACTCCGCTGTGCATGCACACCAGCCTTACTCATATAAATTCTACTTACCATATTATGAAGATACTTCAATATTTGATCATGCTCTATCGGTAGTTTTTTCTCTTAATGATAGCCACCCGTCAGTACTGATTTTCGCTTGCTCTGAGTGAATGTCCAGCGAGATACCTTTTACTTGATATCATTTATTACGACTCAAGGTATACATCATATCACAGCTTTATGGTCTGTGAGCTTATTATCATACAGAATCATTGAACCAAATGTACCACTATTTGCCTTCGTTGTGACATGCGTTGCCTTCTCTTTTTCCATATCTTCCTTGAGATATAGGTGCCTATTTCCAAAGCTTTGAGGTTTCATCGAGCCCAATCGCTTCGGGTTATACATTGCAGTGCGGTTTCTTATGAATCAACTCGTGTGAACATTCACGCCAAGGCATGGTGCCTGATATTACAATTTCATGGCGATGAGAATATTAAATACCACCAGGTACTTGTACGAGAACACTTCCAAACAATTTACCAATAATACCCGCTCAGTGTGCCATGTTATCAAGTTTTCCTGAAAGCATCCAGGATGATAAGACATTATGTCTCTTTGTTTCCGACTTGATCTCCATGAGATGTCGATCACCATCGTTGAGATACCGATATATCATGCGAGAGAAACATGCGTGCCCGTGCCTCGTGTGCTCAATTGACGGATCACCATTTTTGGTAAAGTTAATAACCGAACGAGGGCAACAATCTGCTGTTGCAGTGGCAGCAGTCGTGTTTCTAATATTCCACGCAAACGTGGTTGTTTCATGGAACCGTCTGGGCTGAGTTCATGCCCGACGAATTCCAATTGCTTTTGAGCATATTGCAGTGTGTCTTCCTTCCTCTGTTCTTGAACTATTGCTTCCGGTAGAATAGAATCATTGAGCAAAAGAAGTTTCAACCCCTTCAGATTCCGTTGGATGACCTCAATGCGAGGTTTTTGGTCTTCCCCAGCGAGGGCTTTCAAGTCATCCCAGCTGTCATGACATTCGTATATTAACTTGCGAAGTTTCTCTTGTAGTATCCGGGTCCACGTATAGTCCATGACGATCTGGGCCAGCTCCCTATCCAACACATTTGTGATCAAATCACCAGGCGCATCCGCTGATGGATCCGCAGAGGGTGGCCATCCCAGTATATGATCACACTCTTTGAAGGTATGACCGCTCCAAAGTAAGTTATTCCATTCAGATGAACTTAGCATGGTCCGGTCTTCCTGGCCCTGCTCCCTGGGCTCAATATGTGCGCAGATTGGTCCAGCCATATCGTACTGCCAGATCGTGAGTGTGAAATCAATGGCATACAAGTTTGCACAGAAGCTTCCGGTCGAACTTGACCTGACCCTTTGATCAGCTCCATTCGCAAAGGCGAACACCACCAAGCCCCACAAGTCGATCCGAGCGGCAGGCATTGATTCCACAACTGCAAGTGATTGAATAGAGCTCCTAGACTGTTGTAAACATCTGCGCTTCATATCGTCAGACATTGAAGTAAAGAGTCTTAGCCAACAGCACTCTCCTCCTTCGGTTTGACGATGCCAGTTGTAACAGTCTGACAGGCATTCTTCGATAACTTTTTGCCAGTCGTTCTTTTTGATTGTGAACACGCCCGTTATCTTGAGACGAAATAACGTCCTGCCTATCCGTTTGCCTGACCCTGTGAACTTTCTATAATTATTTCCGTACCAGGACTTTGCAACTTCCACATCATCCAGCCAATTGTTCAGTGTATTCAGAGCCTCTTTGCCCGTTGCGAAAGCGGCACTGGCTGCAATTTCAGCCATTTTGCCTGTTGTCTCACTATTGATGGAATTCAATCCCAAGCACTCATTATGGGTAGGTGTCAAGAAAACTTCGTTCAACTTACCTTTTTCCAATATATCTGATTATTGTTTGATCATTCAAATCAAATTTTCACTTTTCACACTGAGCGATCATGGCAGAGAATCTAGTAGAATATATAGAGCTGAAAGTTGATCCAATGACTCCTTGATGGCGGCACCTCATGATCTGTGAATCGTATTCAGATCCGAAAGGATTTCTGCATACTGATATGCAGACAACTTACCCTGATGTATGAGGGTGCTAAATACGAAGTCAAAAGTACAAGGTCGTGAATACGAAACTGGTCGAGACTTTTCTGCAGACGGGTGACAAAGTTGGGAGAAGGTTAAAATAAAGTTTATCGTTGCCACCACGCTATGATTGCTCCCACAAGCTTAGATACGAAGATCCACTAGTCTGTATCATAGGGAAGAATCTCCGCTTGAGCTTCTCCGCGGCTTGTCTATTTCATGGTCGTATTCATGTGAGTGACAATGCAGCACGCCTGCTCTATGGTATTTTGTTTCGTCAAAGCTCTTCACTCACTTCTATCAGTGGCAGAGAATGGAACAATCCCTACCATCGTTTAAAATTGGATATTAATTATCAAAGATAAAACTGTATGTAATAATTTGAAGACGAAAGACCGGCGTACTGATAAGTGCTGAGACTGTTCGGAGACACGATGATTGAATTGGTGCATCATAGAGCATACGAGGACGTGGTAAGTGACCATCCCTTTATCACCTGAATGAATTAGAACCTTTGGATGGAAAGGGTTTCTCGGTGTCATAACGCACATATCAATTGACGCGCCGGAAAATTCATGGATGCAAACATCCCAGGACAATGATAGAGAGGACCCTTGCGAACCAGATGTGGACTAGGCTGAGGACTAGAATGCCACCGGACATGTCATAGTCCAAACCTATCCACGGTAAGTCTTTTACACGAGTGCTATAAAGACAGATATCTCGACTTCCAGACAGCCCGCGGTAGGATTTCATGAGGAACTGTTACGACATGACATGGAAGCATCTGGTTACGTACCCAGACCCGGCATGGTACTATACTGTGGCAAGGAAATAAGATACAGTCATGATTTAGGGAGCTTATTGTGAACTTCAGAGGTCAGATCGAAGAAACTCTTCGTCATCAATTCGACAGGGTAAAGCTCGAAGAGAAAGGGTCATAGAATCTTTGATGGAAATAAAACAAATCAGACGAAGAAGTAATTCCCGCTGTCCATCCTATCTAGAAATCACTTGATCACACAAAATACCTGCTTTCCACCACAAGCTTCTCAATCATATAGTCGCAGACCCACGAAATCAGGAGCATAGGTCTGGAACACATCCCCAGTCACCTCATTGCCAATCACCACTGCATTGTCACCATCCTTCCATCCATCGATCACAATACCAAGAGTTGAACTATCCCACCAGCCCAAGCCCGGCCCAAACAGCTCACTGTGGCGCCCAGTCAAGGGGACTTCCAGTCGAACGGGGTCCCCGCCGTTCAGAGTAATTGTCAAATTTCTTGAACTTGACCCGTATCCCCAACTAGTCGCCAAAGCAATGTCATTGTTGATGAAATCAACCTCTAGATACTTTGACGCCGCAGTGGCATTAGACACAGTCGCCGGTACGTTGGTGCTAGCAAGAGAGTTTGCGTCGAGGTAACCGATTTTGGATCCCACTGGAAGACAGAATCCACTATCACATTGTGCAAAGGCTGCGGAGCCGCTGGGAGTGAATGAAGTGCAAGGGTAATATGTGCCCACAGGGGCTTGAATATTGATGGAATCGATTGATGCGGTGGACTGAATGGTTATCTTGTTCGATGATCCTGCCACCAGGGATATGGTAGAAGTGACGCTTGTAGCAGATTTGGCGACTTGGATGACGATTGGCTTTGAGTCCGATGATGACTGCAGTTGAATGCTTCCAGCGGTAGTTGCTGCGTCAGAGAAGACGACCTGGATGGTATGACTGGCGCTTGACGTGTTTGCGTAGATTTCATTGAACGTAATGTCATTGCTATAGTCAGAGAGTTAGTAAACCATGATGGGCCACTACCGATTTTTCGATTCGGGAATATGCATTTACTGACCTTGTTTCAGTTCCGAATGTCTCGCTGGAGTATACACCGGCTTGGGTAGTGTCCTGTAGCTCCAGAAGCATCACACCGTGAGCTTCGACCGAGCTCGTATAGGACGTCTTCACATTGCTGACTGTCGTGCCTTCCCAGACATTCTTGACAGTTCCTGCAGACTGAAGACCAACGTCAGGCAAATTCAAGGTCAAGTCTTGCGCTTTATCAGCCCAATTAATCAACGCCACAACCGTGCGGTCTCCAGACAGAGGCCCGCTCCACACTTCATACTGCTCCTCGGTCCAGCGACGCCGAAGACTAGCGCTGGCACCAAGAGAGTCCTGGTTAAAGGAAATAGCATCCTGGTTCGAAAGAATGGAAAGAGACGCGTCGCTCATCTGTGTCGAGTCATCTTTCAACGCACCCCCGATCACAAGCGGGCTTTTCAGGATAGCCCAAAGCGAGAAGTGAGTTTGCTCTTCGGCAGTGGTGAAAATGTTGTTTCCAACTTCTAGCATGTCGAGATCGGGCCATTGGCCACGTCCGGCGAAGGATGTCTGCGGTACAGCTTGGTTGATAATTCGGAAGATAGTTCGCCATGCGGGAATGATGTCGTTGCCAATACGCCATGTGTGGCCTAGCGATGGCGCCCAGAGAGCGGGGAAGTCGACGCCCCAGTCGCAGATTTGGAACAGGACCTTGCGGTCTTGGGCTGCTAATGCTTTGGTCATGTTTGCATACCGGGTTCGGGGTGAGGTGGTGGGATCATAGTTCGTGTTGGGGTATCCACTTGCAGCGTCGGAGTAGCAGTTGTCATCTGTCTCAAAGTCAGTATATCAGACAGCATTTGAAGAAAACTGGACAGGTACATTTCAGCGAATCAATATTCCAAGACATGAAAGTCGCAGCATCCTGTTCCTCGTGATCTGTATATCGGCATTAGCGAAGCACGGAGCCATTGGAAAGAGTCTTTGAGGCTCATACAGAGACTGCCCATCTGCTCAATTCCAGTGTCGCAAGTCTTGATCCCGGCATCCTCGTAAACGCCAAACAGTAACCCCAGATCATGGATGTAATCTCCAATAGCAGGGAATCCGCTAGGAAATAGTGACTCATTCCAAATCAAGGATCCGTTTGCTAAACGGTCCGCAACAGTCCATCCACAATCTATGGTCACGTAGCGATAGCCAAGTTTGTCTAAACCAAGGTCGACCAAGGCCTTCGCGTTAGAGCGGACAATTGTCTCGTTTGGAGAACACGAGTAGTGGTTGTAGGTGTTCCACCTATGGCACTGTTAGTCAACACATTTTTACATCTCTACTTCTATACATACCCCATTGGAGGTGTATCTGCCACACCATCGTCAAGTCGCGGTTTCAATATGGCGGCAGCGTTGACGCCGAAGGGCAGCAATGACAGCGATAGTATGTTGAGCAACATTGTTTTTCTAGCCCTTGTCTCTCTATAACATGAGCTGCACAATCTTCTATCTTATACTTCTCTGCCCTTGCGTCATTAAATTCGGGGTTTCCTTCATTTGCGGGGTTAAACATTTACATGCAAAGCTAGCACCGGAAAATTCCCCTAACTGGAATAGAATAGATCGGACGGCTGCAGATCTTCCGCAGAAAGAGGTATTTCATTTACCGAGATATAGGGCGGGAACGAAGGATTAACCCCAAACTTAAACCCATTTGCTGGTGTATGTACCTGATTTTACTTCACTGCCGAAGTATAGTAGGGGACAAAAGGTCGAGATAACAATCTACTCCTTGAATACAGGCTCGGAATTCTCAATGTCCGTCTTGCTCAAACACCACTTATCCTGCAAAGCAGGATCAAGACTGCTGGCATAAACATCGGTAGGCCACCACTCACCCCAGCTAGTCAGGAAGATCTGTTGAGGATCGGAAGGTATATCCCGAGCATTGAGGGCACGAAGAATGTTTTGCGCGCCTGTGAATCATGAGTTAATTGGGTCTGCCAACAATTCGGGTTCGTATTCTCTTACCCTCGGGCACGCTCTTGGCATCAGGCATGTCCATAGTCAAACCTAAGCTTGGATGCTGTGCAAGTTTAGTGTTTGGGATCAGACCAGGTGAAACCGCAACAACCGTGCAGGTTGGGAGCTGGCGACGCCAGTAGTGGGCTCCTAGGAGCTGGGCGAATTTCGAGGCGCTGTAGACTACTCGTGCGCTGGCGCCGGAGCCCGCTTTCAAGTCTACATCTAGCGTGGCTGAACCCGATTTCGGCAGTGTTAGCGTGTACCCTTGGGTGAGAAGTACCGATCATGTTTGCATAACTTACAAGGGTCATTTCCTCGCACGCCACGGATGGCACCGGAAGATACGACGGCAATGCGCGACTTTGATGCAGCCAGGGTATCAGCCAGCAGGTGAAGCAGATAATGTTGAGCTGTAGGTTTCCACTTCTAAGTTAGTAAGAGTTTCAATTGTTCAAAGTCGCGTTAACTTGATCATCGACAAGGTACATACCCAAGTGGTTCACTACATATGATTCACACCATTGCGAACCATGAGGACCAGGTCCATCAGCACTGTTCAACATGCCAGCAACTAGGAACAGAGCATCAAGCTTCGTCTGTCTCAACTGGCTTAGAGCTTGTTTCGCGAATGATTGCACACTACGGAGGTCAGAGAGATTGAGGGGCAAGATAGCAACAGAGTGCTTCGCAGTGTTGAAGTTCAGGGCATCGTATGCGGCTTGAGTTCCCGCGGTGTCCCGGGCACCGAGAATGAAGTTATACGATTGCTCCTTCTGTTCCAGAAGCTGTTTGATAGCTTCGAAGCCCTGTGAGATTAAGGATTAAGTAAGAGGTTGGCCAATAGAGATTGCGGGGTGTAATCCTTACGAGACCCGAAGAGGTGCCGGTTGCGATGATAGTTTGGGTAGTCATTTTTTCGAAGTGAACCTTTCCAGTGAAATGATATTTGGGATCCAATGCTGTCCACAGAAGGTAGCTGTGAAGGGATTCGTGATGCCGAGCGGTGTGATCCGTAAGCATAGTGGGTATGAATGACGTCACCGCCAGTGTTCTCTGAGCTTCGTTGAGCTTCAACACTGCCAATCTTGAACTTGGCGAGGAGAATGCGTTTTTCTTACGAGTGAGATTCAAGGTATGCAGGTATCTCACAATAAGAAAGGTGACTTGAGACAATTTGATACGTGCTGGGCAGTGAGTATAGTACTCGCACAGCTAGTTGATTCCAAATGAGTCGAGTTACTCTTGCGAACTGCACAATGTACAGGCAATTCACCGGGTCTAAGAATATCTGCCTGGTGAGTAAAGAAAACCCTCATTTGTCGATTCATGGAGCATCTTCCAAAGTACAAAATGGAGCCATGACAAGCAAAAAAGCCCAATATCCCAATGAAAATTGATTATGTATGCGCAATGCTAATTTTACACCAAAAGGTAAAGCCAAATCCACAAAAAAGCAATACTCGGTCGTAGAAGCGCTTTGGAAAATCCATCGTAACGAGTCATTGACAACCGTTCAAGGCCACATCCAAGCTCAAAGATGAACCTAAGAGAAAGCAGCCATAAAAGCCGATCCAAAGATCAAAGCAACGAGACCAAGTCCGGACTTGGACACAGGCTGGTTTGCGACGGCAGCATTGTGGGTGGAAGTCGAGGTCGAGGTACTGGTGTGGGTGCCGGTGGAGGTAGAAGTCTTGGTGGCAGCGGCAGTGGCGGTCGCATTCTGGCGAGAGGTGTTACAGAAGACGTCGTGGTAGTTGCCGCTCTTGCTGGAGATACAAGATTGGAGAGAGCCGATGTCTTGGCCCTGGGCGAGACAGTAGATACCGCAGTCGTTGTCGTATTTCTTGGGGGAGGCGTCCTTGCAGCAATGATCCATGGCTTCGGTCATGTTACCGCTGATGATGGCGGCGCAGGCATAGTCTGTTGTTGGGATTTGCCAGACACTGCCGCCGCAGCTGGCGGTGCTGGTTGAGCTGACTGAAGTTGTGGTGGTTGACATTTTTGTTGTGGATGTAGATGTGGATGTAGATGTGATGGCCGTGATGCTTTGATGGGAGATGGGATAGCTAGGGGAGAGAAAAAGACGAATGGTCCGATGGCACTCACTTGAATTAAAAGCACTCAAAACAAACAAATTGCCAGGATCCAGAGTTAATCAATCGCAGGGTCAGGTAAGACAATAGTGCCTGACGATCGATGTGACTGGTGTTTCGAATCCTCATCTCCACTGCTATTCGCTATACTTAGAAAGTGGCCCCGAAAAAGGTTTGCCTAGCTGGAATTTCTTGTCAGACAGATCATTTGACGATTGCATGTGATATGTATCATGTACAAGGTCATAGTCTGGGGACAGTTCGTATAAAATAAAATAAACAATTAAGATTGGAAGCTCAGATGTATAGCACAGATATTTATGCGGGTATCATGTTGACCTGCTGTCGATCTTCCAACTCCTGACAGCATTCGGTTCTCGGTTCAGGGAAACGAACATGTCGATCAGCCCAGCCCTATTGAATGATTTGCATGGCCTCCTCGTATTCAACATAGACCGCCTTAATTCTTCAAGTCGGTGACAACATCTTCTTCATGGTTTGAAAACTCTGCCTTGTTTTCCACAAGTTCACGTTTCTCGTCTGCAGGCTCCACGCCTACAAGAGCAAGGAGGCCGATTTCTCTCTCGATTCGAACCTTGCGTTCATTATCTGCAGCGGCCATACCAGTCGATCCGAACAATTCGTCCATCTCCTCAAGGGTCCGACCCTTGGTCTCGGGGACCAAGAAAATAACGTAAACCACAGCAATAGTAGTGATACATCCAAAGAAGATGAATGCACCAAAGTTACTCTTCTCAAGGAAAGGAGATGTAGCAGTACCAACAGCAAAGTTGTTCAACTAAAGGATGCAACGTTAGTTGGGACGACCATGTGCATACACTGTGCAACTTACCCAATTGCTGCTTCCACCAAGACTAACACCCTTGGCACGCATACTAAGTGGGAATACCTCAGAGGTAACAATCCACGCGACAGGTCCTGCGGTGAGATGACGGTCAGCAAGGTTTCACTGCAGTGCAGAGATCCAGACATACCCCAGGAATACGCAAAGTTGATGACGAAGATCCAGACAAAGACGATCGCAACCCAGCCGGCAGCTTTATGTTCGTCAAAGGAGTTCTGGTAGGACCCAATGATACCTGCGACGATAAAGTGACACGAGGCCATTCCGATCGCACCAGCAATGAGAATCTTCTTACGTCCAATCTGATCGACCCAAAGGACGGCAGGGATGGTGAACAAGAATTCCACGATGCCGACTACGCCGGTTGCGAGTAGCGAAATGGTGTTGCCTCCTAGGCCCATATCCCTGAAAATATAGGGTCTTCATGACGTTAGTGTCTGTTCCATCCTGCGGCCATCGTAAACTTACGCGTAGTAATTGATAGCGTTGATGCCTAAAGAATGCGACATCAGTAAGAAAGTTCCAACCTGAGAGCCTAGACTGTCCTACCATTCCATTGTTGAAACACCATGATCATGCACTATGAGATCATTAGCAAGAGTCTAGGTATATCCATGCTAGACAGCAGACATACAGCAGTAGCAGTACGCTTGAAGAGCGACTTATTCGTAACCAAAGAACAATAATCATAGAAGCCAATCTTGAACCGACTCGAGAAGGATCCATCTTGATAATTGGGGTACTTCTCAGCAGCCACCTCTTTTTCAAACAGATACAAACTCTTGATTTCAAGATGCTCAATACGAACAAGGAGATCATCCTCAGAGGTGCCACGCAAGCGAGCCAGGGTCGTAAGGCACTCTGCGTCGCGGCCGGTGTTCATGAGGTGACGCGGAGATTGGGGCATGAACATCATCATGCCAGCAGCCAGAACAAGAGCAGGGAGAACCTGAATACAGACTGGAATCAGCCATGCAGCATCCGATTGTGTTTCACCGGTTCCGCCGATATAATTCGTTCCGTAACCGATCTAAAGATGTCAGAGCCGAGAATCTCCCCAGGGTGCTATGATACATACCCAGAAGCTGATCATGATTCCGAATGTGATGGCTAGCTGCTGCACAGCGACGAGGGATCCTCGGATCTCCGGTGGTGCCTTCCAGTTGTCAGCTTGTTCTTGAATTTCCAGGGCTCCTGAGAAGAACTTACTAACTCGGCATTGTACAGCGGGACAATCATACTCAAACTACCGACACCTAGACCAGTCACGAATCGACCACCGAGGACAAAGTCCTTGTTCTCCGTGCAGGCTTGAACGATGACACCAACACAGAAGACCACCACTGCGACGAGAACCGTGACACGACGGCCCAGCGCGTCGGCGAGATATCCATTGAAGAGGGTTCCAACCCAGGCACCCAGTTCCAGAATAGATGTCAGCATTCCCTGCTCAATTCCCGTCTGGGCGGCATAATTCTGGGTCTGTACGAGAAACTACTGTCAGCATATGCAGCGCTGCAAATTTCAGAAATAACTCACAGCAATCTGGAACGACTTCATGGTCAACACCTGGGCGAACATTCCCTGGTTGTCTGCGTCGCAATCAGATACTCATCCCAAAATATCACTAAATGACAATCTACTCACATCCATACACCAAGCCACCCAGCGACGCGAATAGTCCAATAGAGGTCGTCTTCTTGTTACTGATAAGACCTTTAAAGCCACCCTTTCCCGCGAGCTCCGCGCGCTTGGCCGAGATGGCCGACTCGCCTTGAGGAAGAACAGCCATGACGGATCACCAGACCGACAAAGCGATGTGAAATCGAAAAATAGCCACACCAGGTGCGAAAGCGAGCTCAGATCGAGATTGGAAGCGACAAAGAAGCAGAAACCAATGTCTACGCGCTCTCTGCATGGGGATCTGCATGTTATTTATTCGACCGGCTACTACGGATAATGAACTCGCTCATTCCCCGGGCCATTAGCCCCATGGGGAAAACAGGATCGAGGTATCAGCCCATTGGCGACTAAGCTTCGTGGCGCGTTCGTTCTGGCGCGTGGTCCGACCCTTTGGCTAGGCTATGAGACGGCACAGCCGTCACCGTAGCTATGGGCCGTGCATATCCGAGTCGGGGATTTAGTCGGGGATTTAGCCGTGGATGTTGGCAGGCCGAGACATGGCTGGCTAAATGGGTGTGAATCTATACACGGGGTGGCTTGAAGTAAGTTCTACTTCTCAAATCTTGCCATCCAGAACTTGAATTTGAATCAGATTCTATTAGAATTGTCTGAACACCTAACTCCAACTGCTTCGCATCAAGTATCGCTTCAAAAGATGAGCCCCACAGTCTCCATATGGAGAACCCCGGACCCCGCGCGTGAAATCTGGAGTTGCTTCGTCGCGCTTTACTAGTGGGCTATTATATTCCCTGAAACACAGCTACTGTTATGATTGTATATATTCTAGATACACACCTATTTCCAAAGAAGTGTTTAGCCCAAGCCACAACCCAAAAACCCTCAATTCAACCCACCCCCCCAAATCCCCCCAAGCCCCGGGCTTGCATTCACCCGATTTTAGCCTGATCAACCCCTGTCGCTATCCACACGCCACACTGCCCCTCCCGCCGCCAAGTGCAAGCCTACGCAAATCGGCTTCGGACGGGTCCTTCTATTGCCGGCCTGCCTTTCAGCGACGTCACCAAATTAGCCGGCCATGGTGTGCTTTGCCCGGCACCTGGATAAAGGAGAGGAACCTCACTTGTACCGCATTCTCTGTCTCCCTCTTTCCCCGGAATTGACCCAGAAAAGCCGGTCCGGGGCACTCCAGTATCTCGGCTTGCGGGTCGGAGATTGGCTCACGGGTTATATCCGGGTGTTCTCTTGCTGACACGTTCTTTTCGTTCTTGTCGGCTGTGTCGAAGGCTTGGGCTACTTGAGTATCCACGCCGATGCATGTTGCTTACAGGCTAGCTCTTGGAACAGGCTTCTTAAACTCCAGATTTATGGCTCGCTTCCTTGGCATTACCACACATCTAGCAGGAGACATAGCACAGTACTTTCGTTCACTCACACCAAACATACAAAGAGTAGAATAGTTTTCTATAGATTGAGTATTATACAATTTACCCCTTGACCCTCTACCACGATCTACAAATATAACTCCCAAATAAGTGCAACACCAGTCAAAACCCCCATCGAAGCCTCCCAGACAGCAACCTTGCCCCAAGCCCCACCATTCCTATAAAAGACCAAAGCACCAATGAGCCGACCGGGCAGCGAAGCAACCATAATAGGAATGTTGCGCTGGTAAGCTGCGATAGTATAGAATGTTCCCAACGCGAGAGATGTCAGACTATGATGGTGTTAGTTTCCAATTCATCAACTTTCGGGGCCGTTGGCATAGACGATAGACTAGACTGCTTACCCCATCGCTTGCACTGTATGATCTGGGATCCCACCTAGTGGTGAATCTGGGAGATTTGACGCTGCGCTTGGGTTGATCATTGTGTAGAATGCGTTTGCGAGGAGGAAGGCTCCTTGCGCGCCGAACACGGCGGGTAAGACGCCTGGTGTGCGGAGACCAATGTTTTGAATGGACATTTTGGAGTGGATTGGATGTTCTTGGGGTGTTTGTGGTGTTCTGGGGTGATATAAGTGACCGTTGGGGTTTGAGGTTGGTTTTGCGGGCGCGCGTTGCTATCCCGGGTTCTGCCGCATGACCAGCCGACTTGGAATATTTCGCTGTGTTTGGGCTGAATTTGGAAAGTTTCATCGGTTCGCTATGTAGCTGTGGTATTTAATAGTCTTTATCCTCTGGCTGGAATATTGATATGGAAATTGAAAGCTTGTAATTGCATTGATGTGAACCCCGGTCGTCTCCGACACGAAGTATATATCAAACCCTCCATAGGATCCTGAAATGATAACCAACTATTTGCCCGGCGCTTTCAAGAAGACACGCACGAATGAATTACGTTCACTTACTCGAATAGAACACTGAGTTCTACATCTGTTTTAGCAGTAAGTCCGTTGAATCATCCCGTATAGCAGATAGTGTCGTGAAAGATATGGTCTATGGTTCTTTATATTTCCTCCATCAATTTATTTCCTATCAATAATTCACCAACTACTGATTCATCCATCGATATTTCCACATCGTCGTTCCCCCTCTCTCAAGCCTTGATCCTAAATGATCATTCAATTCAACGGTCTCCAGTCTCCGTTCATCAACTCTGCTCCAAAGACATTAGTATATCGATCCAAATTGCATATAACTAGAGTGTTTCACTTACTCCCCTTACTGTTAGTATATTTCGTGTAGCCAGCGATATGACGACGCGCAATACGACCCCAAAACAAAACTTCGCATTCCGAATTGTTCCACGCCTTTTTAGGAATATAAAGCTTAACTTCTGTGGCCAACTCCCGTGCTTTAACCAATTCCACAGAATCTCGACCTTTATTATTGGTCACGACGATTTCCCAAATAATCACTTCCGCTTCCTTGTCGTCGATACGCCGGTCTGCTTCCTGCTCTGCCCGATCTTGACTGTCATATGTAGAGATAAAGGGGGTCGGCTCCCTATTATCCCATCGCAAATGCCTCTCGAGAGCTTCATTGAGCATCATTTCGTCACAATACTTGTGAGAATATGACGTAGCTATTCTCCTGTCTCCGGGCGCCTCAAACCCTTTCGCGGGAACATATTGATCCCTAGATGACTTACTGGTCACCCGCCAAAATATCATTTTATGCAAAGCCTCCAGTCAACCGACGGAAGAATAGAAAAATAGCAAGAGAACACAGAAGCAAGAAACGGACCGAAAAGGCTCGCGACTACTTATGATTCTCGCCGTTGGAGAGAAGTTAAGGAACATGGCAAAAGAGGGAGAAAAGTACGAGTTTATATGCCCACCAATTGCCCTCTACGCAGCTGGCCTTTCCAAGGCATTTGTTATCTGGCTCGGCTTACACCGGAACTTGAAGATGTTGATTTCATTGGTTGTATCTCTTAGCGATGTTGCATGCTACCAAAAAGCGTACTTTTTTGATATCCATGCGCATCACCTGAACCAACTCGCCAATCCGTCTCCTACCTAATACAGCCTAGTTAGATGCAGCAATACATGTGGCATCAGACTATTGGAAGAAACATCGAGGACGTCATGTGATGCCGTGTACGGTTGGCGTTTGTTGGCAGAGCGCGTTGGATTTGAAATTACGCGTCTTGCCGACTTGAGTGCTAAGATCTAATTTTGTGAGTATAGATGCTGGTACTGATTTGTCCTCGCAGTGTCGATGGATGGCATAGATAGGTTGGGATGGAAGCAAGTTATGTCGAGGACAGTCTCTCTTTGGAACCAAGCTGGCCGTACTTTGTTGCAATCTATTCCCCGCTGATTATTCGCTCTCTCGTGCGTACATGGCTGCCTGGAGAATTTGTTGGTCTCACTGCATCTACCATGCAAAGTGAGGCGGATTGCTGTTCACCTACTGCATGTATTGCCACGTATCGCGCGTGTCTTTGGTTGGCAAAGGTTACGTCCACTGGGACTTGGCCCTCTAATCAAGTTCGTCTTTGCCATTTGGGGGGCTTTCTCTGATGCGTGTCGACCAAGATCTCCTTCGTCGGGGGTTCTGACACATCTATGTTGACTTCAATAGAAACATCAATTTCATTCAGAAATTAGAAAGACTTTTTTTCAAGGAAGGGAATGAAACAGAGAGCGAGATCTGCGCTGAACAGTCCCACCAGCACAAGAAGTATCCCCCAGAACCAACAAAGTCTTCACCGGCGCGCACTAGAATAATTCAATCCAGACAAAAGCAACTCACCAGCAACCTGAGACTCTCTCAATCTCTCAAACTGAACACCAAGCCGAAGATACTCAGGCAACCTCCCATCACAGCCACGATAATCCTCATCAAGCACCCAAGGGAAAACCCCCACACCGCGGCTATACTCCTCAACCAAAGCGCGCAAACGATCAACCCACGCCTGATTCAAACCGCGAGAAGAAAAAACAAAATGCCTCGGCAGAACCTGCGGCGACAAAGCATGCCGATTCGCAAACTCAATCGACATCCACCCATTCTCCTGCCACATCATAACCGCCACACGAAGCAGCGCCCCCCAATCCCAAGATACCGATACCGATACGCAACAGTCAACGCGCGAATAAACGCCGCGTGCTTCTGTCCCGCTAGGCCCTGCACCGGGGTGCAGGTCAGCTCTGACGCCGGAGCGGGCTCATCACACCGCACGACTCTCATGACAAGCGTGGCGACAATGGCATTCTGGTATCGCGCCACAAGGACAATGTCGTACGCGCGCTCGAAGTCGACCTGGTGGCTCTTGAGAAGGGTGTAGTTGCGCCACTTTTCTGCGCAGCGGATATTCAAGCTCGTGTCTGGCCCGTACAGCCATTTCCATGTCCCTGTTTCTTCGGCGAGGTCGAGATATCCCGCGACGGAGATTCTGGTGAGGAGGAGGAAGGTCATTAGGGCGCCTGTGCTGGTTAGGATTATACGCCCGTAGTCTGAGGGGCTGTTGTACATGACGAAGACGATGGCAGAGAGGATCGTTCCCATTGTGATCCAGCTGAGCCAGTGGTGGAGGATTGATCGGGCGGCGGTTTGGCGCTGTTGGGCGATGGATTCGGCGATTAGTTTCAGCGCTGCGATGAGGTCTTCGCGTTCTGTTGCGAGTGAGGTTGTCACGCTTGTGAATTCGGGAGTTTCGTTCTGTTTTGACTTGGGTGTTGACTTGGAAGTTGGCGTTGTGGCCAGAGAGCGTGGCAGCTCGGTTGCATCTTTTGCATGGTTGATATGCTTGTTGAGAGCTTGGTCGGCCAACTGAGACACCGCGGTGTTTGTGGCCTCGCTCGCTGCAGTGAGATTGTGAGGATCTGAAGACATGATGGCACCTGCGGAGTTTCCTGGGGGTTGATTGGATTGGTGGGTAGCAATGGCTTGTTGCTCTCGTTGAATCTGTGAAGGACACACACGTGCCATGTCTGAACTGGACGGAGTTCAAAGAGTGACTCCAAGCGTAGAATTAATAACAGAATGTGCCGAGAGACGAAATCAAGATCATTGCTCATAGAAGCAAGGGAAAGTGAAGAGGACTCAACTTGGTCCCCGGATGCAAACTCGACGTGGACATTCAAAGCCAAAGGGCTGAACTCTCTCATTTCCTGGAATGAGGTTACAGCTCCATAATGCTCAAGGGGAGAATACGTAGAAATGAGTCGTTGTGTTACATCATAAATTTAAACTACAATAAAGAGTCCCTACATAATTGAAAGAATTCATCAGCAATACAAGTTGTATTAGCGATATTTTCCGCTGAGAAGCAGCCGGAAAGATTGGGGATATGGCAATTCCCAGCACAGGATAATTAGTAGGAACATTTGGAAATCATTAAAAATGAGCTGTGCGGGCTGCAAATATCAAGGAACAAAGGAAAATATTCAAGAGCGACTACGAAGCACCACTTCACTCTTTGGCGGGTTGGTCCTACTCAGCGAGGACAGACGTGGTGACTGCATGGGGAGCGTGGAGGCGAGTCTTGTCCTCATCCTTGGCAAACACGCAAGGACTGACGGGGGTTGAACTATTGGGCTCGCCAGAGAGAACCTCCAGAGTCATTCTCTTAGTCTCGGGGATTAACCAAGAAGTAGCAAAGCCACATAGCATGAACAGAGAGAAAATCTGCATAACATGGTTGAGCCAAGGCGAGTCGTCGGGCTTCTTTGCGCCGCGGTGGACGAGCGGACCGAAGACACACTGGGCGATAATTGCTCCGACCTTGCCAGTTGCTGCGCTGATACCGTGTGAAGTCGAACGGTAGCGAGTCGGGAAACATTCGCCGGGGACAATGAACGTAGTGGCATTGGGTCCGAAGTTGAAAAAGAACTGGGCAATGACGTACAGGGCAAGAAGACCATTGTGGGTGTGGATCAATTTATCGTAAGCAAATCCGATGATGATGAACAGAATCGTGAGCATTCCGAACCCGAGGAGCTGAATAGGCTTGCGACCGATGATGTCGACTGTTGCAACGGTGGCCCAGTAGCCGGGGATGGCGCCGGCACAAATCAAGATCAGGTTGCCAACTGCGTTGCGATAGAAGATCTCGTAGACATTCTTGCCTCCAGTCCAGCCAATAGCCGAGAGAATAATGGAATTGTTGAGACCCAGACCGTAGAAAGCTGGAAACTGTTAGAACATGTCGAACCCACGACCGTTTAAAAGAAACTTACCGACGTCCAGGAAGAACCACGATCCAGCAGTACCAAGAAGAACCTTGCCATGCTCCCACTGACTAAAGTGGTCGATGAAGCCTCGCCAGCCTGGCTGGGGAGGCGCAAATGTGTTGCCATACAAGACGCGGGCACGATCGATCTCATCAGGATGGCCTTCATTTTGGCCCTTGAGATAAGCAATGATATCCTCATCAGCCTTGACCAGGTCGTGCTGAACATCGAAAGTGAATCGAGGGGTCTCGGGAATCGTCAAGCGATAGTAAAGGGCCAAGCAGGCAGGAACTGCTCCGAATCCGATAATCACACGCCACATCTTGTCAACTGCCAACTGACAGACACCAGTGCAGTGTCCAACATCCTTGGCAGACTCGAGAGATGCCTTGAAGCCAGCAGTGACAATCAACGCAATGATGGCAGCAGCAAATTGTCCGAATCCCTGCATGGCAAAGACGGCAGCCATCATGGCACCACGCCACTTGGTAGTCGCGAACCTATCCAAGCAGTCAGCCAGACATCTTTCGCTTGATCTTCGGACAACTTACTCGGAAGTGATAACAGAAGAAAGAGGATAATCTCCTCCAATACCAATCCCCATGATAACACGCCAGAAAACAAGCAGACCGGTAATAGAGACAGCAACAGAAGCAGAAGACAAAGCCTGAGTAAGAGTAGCCATGATAATAATCATCAACTCAATGCCATACATACGCTTGCGACCAATACGGTCCGCCAGCCAGCCGAAGAACAGCTGACCGAGGACAGTTCCACCCGAAGTCGACACCTTGATAGCAGTATCCGAAGCAGAGGGGATCTTGCCCTTGTGCTCGCCCTGCCAGTAGACCACACCCAGCATGCCGACAGCCAGGTTGATGGCGAAGATGTCGTAGCTGTCAGTGAAGAAACCAACACCAGCGACGATCACGGCGCGGATGTGCTGTAGACCGAAGGGGGCATTGTCGATTTTGGCTAGGGCCCGGTGACGACGCTCGCGGGCTTCTTCGGTACGAGCTTGCTCGTTGAATGAATCACCTGCCATTACACTGGTTTCACGAGTAGTGGCCATCGTGAGAAAGGATTGAGGTGCAGAAGATGGTATCTGAGACGAGAGATGGTTCACGAGAGAAGGAAAAGAAGAAGAAGAAGAAGAAGAAGTGCGAAACGAGTGAAACTGGCATGGACATGACGGTTACAGTTCAAACAGGTCCATCTGGTACCTGACAGCTGCAGCAAATCTATAGGGCTGAGCAGGTACAGGTTGGAGGCTGACTTGAAATTGAGTTGGACGAATGAGAAGGCCAGGATGGGGCACATGGGGCAGAGCAAACAAAGTTCACTTGACTTGGCACTTCTCGGATCTTGATGCCGAAGTATGACACAGTTATGGAGTACACCGTTGAATGACATCTCGGAGAATCTAAAAGAATATTATTCACTTTTGAAAAATAAAGAAATATTTGCAAGAAGTAGTATCTGAAACAAGGTGAGCGTGTATAACACCAACTCAATATGTCAACCCCAGGCTGGGATTGACGTAACCAATGCATTCTATGAAAACTTTTCACCCATGGGCACATTACTATTAAACCCAGACGTCACTATGAGTCTCAATACCCATTCCTCATCTTCCACCGCAAAATCCAAGTCGCAACGGGATAAAAGGCCAACGAAGCAGCCACCCAAGCGAACAGAATACCAAAGTCCAACCCGATGCGGGAATGAGTGCCGAACAAAATAGTCCGCAAAGCCTCAACAACTGTAGAAAAAGTCAGCCCAATCCCGATGTAGAAAGCAAGAAACCACACTTACTGCGATGCAAAGGCCAAGCCAAACCCCAGCGATAAAAGTCCGATGCCAACTCGATAGGATAGAACCCAGTCGCGACATTGGTAATGACCCAAAAGATTAAGAAGAACGAACTCCACGGGAATCCCAAAATCATCGCCATATTCTCACACGGCAATCCCAACGCCGCCATGCCGACCCAGTTCAGCATCCAAAAGACCACGAACGAGCCACGGCCATATGCATTCGCATTGTTGGCGGACAAGGTATCCGGCGCGGGTTGGTTGCTGAATGGAATCTGGAATGCGAGGGAAACAAGCGAGTAGAACAGTGAGAGGAAGAAGTAGGCCACGATCGCGGAGATCATACGCCAGATGATCCAATGCGCTACTTTCAATGGCGGATGACCGTCTGGCTTCATGAATAGCGCGTGGACGGGCATCAGGAAGGGGAAATTGAAGAATGCAATGATGATCAGGTAAATCAGGCCGATGGTTACGGCTGGGGCGGCAACGGCTGGCGTGAAGGGGCGCAGATCGATATTCGTGAACCCGATTCCTGGGTTGATCGCTTGGGCGGGGACGGTGGAGAGGTTTAGTGAAGGGTCTGAGATGAGATGCTGGACCCATCGTGGGCCGAATTCCTGGAGAACCATATTCTGTAGGACTGCGAGGCCCGGATCGACGTAGGTATAGTAGGAGTTTTGGTCGCGGGCAGAGATGATCACGGTTTCGATTGTGCCGAAGGGGTCATAGCTGCTGTTGCCGTTTGATACGGCGTCGCGGAGCAGGGCCGTCGCATTTGGCTTGACGATCACGGCGGCAAAGGCGTGCTCGTCGTAGATTGCCTGTCGCACGGCCCAGGGATCATAGTTGAAGTCTGCTGGGGATTTGATTATATAGCCGAGGTGAATTGAATCAGAGGCGAGGATCTTCTTGGTGACGTTTGTCACTGCAGGTCCGATGATGGTGTCATTGCTCAGGTAGGGATCAACTTGACCATCAAAGTCAACGACAAACACATCTAGGGCTTTGAATTTGTCTTCGGTGCTGTATTGGGAGCCCCAGAAGATAGACAAAACGACAAAGACAAAAATACAGAGGATGGAGACTACAGCCGGGTCAGCATTCCTGCCATTTTCTGCATTAACATTACTCACGAGTGCGGGCCCATTGGTAGAATACTCGCCGGCGCGTCTCCTTCAACGATGAATCGAAGAACGAGACCGGCGCCGGGGGCATTTCATTGCCTTTCTCAGCCTCGAGGGTGACAGTCATGTTATGCTCGATGAGGAATGGGTGAAAGAAACTGCGACAGGCCCGTATAAATAGTGATGCCACGACGTTGCTATGCGCGAACCGTTTCCGGCGATAGGGTTGGATATTCCATTTTAGGAAACCCCTTGGCTTATCTCCGAGGAACTAGTAGATCGGGGACTAATGAGAGTTGAACATCATCTTCTAGAAGGGGTTTTCGCTGGCGCAGAAATTTCTTGCTTAATTCCGTCAGGCCAGGTTCTCAAGAGAAATGCGTTTGCTGTATATCCGAACATGCCAAGAAAAACGAATACGAACGCGAGCCGGAGCAACTCGCGAGCTTAAATTCTTCCCTTTCCTCGCAGTAATGATGTATGCAAATACAACCTTGGCAAATTGGACATGGCACGTACACGTATTGCAACACACAAGAGATATCTAGGACTCTGAACCGGCAACTTATAGACCACAGCTTCTTTGCGACCATGAGACGGTCAACACCATCCGAAGTATCGGTCCGAAGCCCTCGGAAAGGGGCAAAGTAAAACCCGCTGTAGATTATCAATCACCAATAGTTCCTCTATAGGCCTGTCCTTCATGGCATCTACCAATCCACCATCGGTTAATCATCGGCAAGCCGTCCCGACAAAATGCCGGACATCGTGAAGCTCAAAAGCATTGGTAAGCTGGACTACCGAAGAAATGACTAAAATGATCCACAAATGAAGCAATAGACCAAATACCCATTACTCCGTGCACTCATTCAACACAGATTAAAGGTGGAAACCCTGGCAAATTAAGCCTTGAGTCTATGCTCAGGGGCGACGTCCAATCAGTTCTCCACGGGCCTAAACCCCGGTGTCCATGTATCAGGTTGGCCCCCTTGCGTGTCGCCGTTTCACCCGACCCTGCAGTAAGCTGACAGCAAATGGGCCATCGTGCAATGGAGACTCGATCCGATCTGTAACTTAATTTACTCGAAATCGGGGTAAAGCATGTGAGGGGAAAGGCATACGCGTCCAGCACAATCCAAGCCCCTATGCAGTGCTCAACAGTGAGTGTCTGGCGTATCCCTGAACACGCCGATCACGGGGATCGACAGTGTCGGACAGACCCTGCGCGCGTATGATGGATATACTGTAGAGAAATTGGCAGATCGTGAATTCATTTCATTTGTCTAAAGGGTATCATTAAAAGTTCTATGTTCGCGCCCGAAGGATCACTCAATGTCCAACGTAAACCAGCCAATCCGAAAAGACCAAACGGAGAAAAACATTCCGAGTTGCACAATTGATCCTGGGACCAGCCCGAGATCGAGATCAAGATCATACTCGAGATCGGAAGACACTACTGTATTCATGGGCAAGCATGTCTCTGACAGTGAATTGTCGCCTTCACTCGCAGGTCACCTGATAAGAACCATACCGGCGGCGGGGACCGGCCATGCGGCAGGTGTTGGTGGAAGTGACCTGGCCCGCCACATCGGAGAGTTCGGTCTCATCGCACATGGTGTTGTCGAAGAATTGGATGCGACAGCCCTCGGTGACGGAGTTGAGGGTATACGCCGAGGCGACGCTGTTGAGGTCTGCGCGACAGCCAGTGCTGCCGGAGCCGGCGTGCGGATCGCCAGTTGCGTTGCAGGAGGAGGTGGGGAAGAGCGTGAAGGACCAATCGATATCACGGCTGAGGAGGGGGAAGGCGGTTGTCATGTTGACCAGGAAGAGGGTTGCGGCCAGCAGGCACAGGCGGAGAGAGGAGGGCAACATTGTGGGGGAGGTATTTGTTGTATTGTTTGGGTTCTGTGAACGAATGTAGGAGGCCTGGGCCTGAGAAGGAACTTTGTAGAGAGGTTTATAGAACACAGCAGCACGATCAGGGTCTGGGGGTGGGCAACTTAAGTATAAATTTGCGCTCAACGTTCAGGGACTCCGATCCAGTTTAAAATGATCCACAGCCATTTTGACTTCCCGTCCCTTTTCTGTTTCAGCCACCGATTACGACGAGCATACGTATACTTCGTCTTGGCCCTGCATCGGATCTCTGACATGCATGGACTGTACATTCTCTCTCCGCGATCTCATGCTTCGCATGTCAAGCATATCGCACAGCCGACTGTACAGCACTGTAGCAACCCGGCGACCCCCGACAACGGTCCATTCCCAATGACCTCATGCCAACGACGATCATTTAAACTCGTTAGGGGAAGTGGGGTGCGCCATCTTGCGAAGCCGCGTACTCTCTGGGGTTCTGTGGCAGGGTCTTGCTCTGCCTCACCAGTTCCTGGTGTTTCTATTTTCGTTGTGTCGGGAGGCAAATGCAGACGATCTCGGGGTGGCTGGATCATCAAGTGACAACCATGCGGCTGCCATCTGACCGAGAGGAAATTTCTCTGCGATCGACATGGCAATCTTGTTTCTTGACGCCTACCGTGGTTGCTCTTATCAGTTTTGTATCCGTGACGGCTCAGGTACTAAGCCTAGCCAGACCCATAATTCTAGACCTTGATTTTCACTCTGTTCGATCGTTAGATCACACTCATTCGGATATGATTTCCATGCTGAGGATTGAACAAGCCTCCCATTGTATCATCATCCATGAAAATGCCTGTTCAGCGGATCTCAGGTCTGGTCGCACTCTGATTCACCAAGCCCTCAAGTATTGTACCAAGCAACCCAATCCCGAAATGCAATGCTATAGCCTCCTGCACCAGCCTTGCCAAGATCCTCCAAATGCCGGGTTGGCACAAACTCCACTCGGCGAAATTCCTGGGCTGGGAATTCAGATGTGGGGGTACACCCGACTCTAGTGCGCGGGTCAGCCAACAACGTCATTTACGGCATGGCGTTCGAGGTTCGGGAGAGAGCCTGGTGATTTCACCGCTGATGATTCTCATAGTTGTGCTATTGATCTTGATGCTTCATTCATGATTTCTTGCTAAATTGTTCCTATCTTAAATGTCTGCATGATATCTATAGTAATTCTATCGACCCCCTTCAAGTCGCTTTGTTGCTAGAAGACGTCGTTTCTGGAAAGTATGAAAAAAAGACCTAGACAGTGGTGAAATAGTCGACAGAAGGTGAAAGTATATGACTCTATTTTCCAAGAAGAGACCTCTGTAATTGGCAGGCAGAGTAGAAACTTTTCAATTATTCTTTTCAATTAGGAGATTTCAATATTAATATTAATTACCTTTCCACCACAACCACATGAAATCCACAGTCGACCAAATAATAATCCAGTCTACTTCTTCACAAATTCACTCTCAGTAGTCAACCAAGTCTCAAAGTCCTTGACATCAGGATGAATCCTCTTCACCTCCTCAATATCAACCCCAAATCCATCATCATGGAACCACTGAAACATATACCCCATATCCTTAACAAGAGCCATAAACAGAGTAGGAAGCAGTCTGAAAGTAGTAGGCAGCGTCTGCCCGGTCCTCTTCTCAAAGATCTCCTTAAACTGGGGATATGTCAACTCATCACCAGCCAGCGAGATAGCGCGTCCCTTGTACGCATCCGCATTCATAAAGACCTCAGCCGCGACAGCGCCAATGTCGCTGACGGCGATCATCTGCAGCGGGGCCCCCTTCAGGACCATATTGTAGGATGTTGCGAAGATCTTGCCGAAGAAGTCTGGTGTGAGGTTTTCGTAGAAGGCGACAGGGCGGAGGATTGTCCAGCCCATTTTTCCAGGGGACTTGGCAAGCAGGTGTTTTTCGATGTTGTGTTTGTGGATGAAGTGCGGGATTTGAGTTGGGTTTTCGGACGATTTGGCGCCGCCTCGATCGACGGAGCTGTAGATGAAATGCTTGACGCCGTGCTTGATCGATTCGTCGATGAGGGATTTTCCTTGGGGTTCTTCTGACGATCCGTTGCCGATTGCGAGCTAGGGTTATCTGGTCAGTATTGCTGTAACCTATCAAGAGTATAGCAACTAGTCGGAAAAAGCTTTGTTATACCTGAACACTGAAAACACCCCAGATCGGCTCTTTAGTAAGACCGCGTGCTTGTTCAAAGATCTCTGCCGGGCGATCAAGATCGCCTTGTACAAGTCTGATCTTGGGTGACTGTTGTAACAACTTTTGTGCGGCGGGGGACTGGATATTGCGGGTTACAGCGAGTATCTGGAAGGGCGCATTCTTGCTGAGAAGGTTCTTGATCAGTGAGCCGCCTTGTTTGCCAGTGGCTCCTGTAACGAGGATTGTGGACATTTTGAGTGTTGAATATCCGAGGTTTCGTCTTGAATATGGAGAAGTATACAGTGGAGATGAGTATGATAGATGCAGTGCGACCAGTACCTTTTTATATTATTATCCTTATGACCCTTGCGAGCCTTACTATGGGCGGGATTCTGACACATTTAAGCCGCGCTTTCAAATAATAGGAGCCCGAAGGCCGAACTGTGTAAGAAAACATCATTATTCAGCTTATATGCGTAGCTCCATCTTAAGGCCGAAGCGGGGTACTTGGTAAGCCATCTGCAAGTCGGACTTTGGACCCTTGAACTTAGCGAGCCGAACTAAAGATGATTGGTTGGGTTCATCTGATAGGATAATTACTGTTTGATTTGTAGTATCGGAACACTTCATCAGCACTGGGATCCCTTAACAAGAAGTGTGAAGCAACTCCCCAAGTATAAACTTGCATCGTCCAGTGTAGCCATTTCCAGTAACCAATCCATCAAGTAGCGTAGAATATTTAACTCGACGCATAATCATAATCTGATCCTATGAACACAGTGTATAGAGTGAACCAGTAAGAATTCCAGGAAACAAGACCCACACCAACTTCGTCAATCATCCCCGTCTACATCAAAATGTCCTCATTCCCTGCATAGACCGAAAAATGAACAACCCAGTAGCGGAAAATGTACTCGGCACTCTGGGCGCGGTATGCTCACATCCAATCGCCTATTCATCATTCAACCCACAACTAACACATCCCGAATACAGGTTTGCTGGTCAATCCAGGTCTGCAATTCCCAGAATATAGACATAACTTATCGACTGGCCTATCCGCTGACACATGCATTAGCTTCTCCCTCAAATCATCATCAACTACAGAGGACACGACACAGAAGGCCTCCAAGGCTCAATGATGCTACTATGGGCCTCGGCGGGCGTCCCACTGGGCGTATACAACATCGTTGAAGAATTCAACATTGCGCTGCGGGTTCAGCCGCAGATATTGACCACTTTGAGCTTGATCACTTGGGCTCAGTGTTTGTACTATGGAAAAGTGTGTTCTCTGCGGGCGATCGTCTCGAAGGTTGATTCGGGCTGACTTTGGGGTAGAAATACTCGATCGCGAAATGCACGGCTGCGGTTACCTCGCTGCTGCTGATACTAGGTGGTATCGAAGTAGGGCTTGTTTTTGCGTTGCGTGCTGCGAAGGACCGCGGACTTGAATGGCCGCTTATTGTCATGGCAGTTTTGAGTGCTTGTCTTCTTGCTGCGGGTGTTTTGAGACATTATTGGGATATCTATGTTCACCGGACGGTGAGGGGGATTAGTTTTATTTTTGTGGGGATTGATGCTGCTGGAGATCTATTCTCCCTCGTGTCTGTTTGTGAGTTCAGGTTCTCGAGTTGGACGAGGATACTTGCTGACCTGGTGATAGTGTTTGGAAAGTCGATCGATGTTCTGGGCATCATCATCTATGGCACGGAATTGGTTCTGTGGATTGGGATCTTTATCTGTGGGGGGGTTTTCAATCTGTTTCCTTGGATCAAGAAACGATCGAACAAGCGCGCTCAAGAGCGGGAGCCGGTTGCTCTGCATCCAATGCCATCGTCGACTTCTGTGTTCAGGACTGCATCTGGGTCTCAGGTTGTGGAAAGGAGGGCATGGCAGAATTCATCATAAGCTGCGCACCTGACTACTGTAGAGCTCTAAAGATATCGAAAACAGGTACATTGATGCATTATATGTGTTCCAACTTCCCCTCTCTACCTTCATCTTTCTTGTCATTTTTCAGCTGCGTTACGTGTAGAATCAGATCATGTAAAGGTCAAGTGGGAAAAGACTAAAAGTAAACATGTATCACTTGGTACGAGGGCATACGAATGGCAATAGAAAAATGCAACGAGATGGAGGAAATGATCTAGGATCAAAAATGGCTTGAAAGAACTAGTCCCAAAGTTTTTCTACTCTATGTGGCGTGAATATTCATCATCAGGGAAGCCAAAGGCTGCCCCTCATCTATAAGGCAGAGAATTTAAGCAAAGGCCTTGGCCTCGCCGTCCTTCAGCTTGCCAGCGTCGACAAGGCGCTTAGCCTCACCAGTCCAGGCGGTCTTGACGGCAGCACTGTCCTTGCCAGCAATAGTGAGCTTCTCGGCGAGAACAGCGAGCTCATCAACGTCAATCTTGCCCATAATGAGGTCAACATCAGTGAGAACGCTGTCGACTTCAGCAGCGGTAGCCTCGCCGGAGGCGGCGAAGTAGTTGACATCCTTGACGGAGCTCTTGAGGATACGCTTGTTCTTCTTGGAAGCGTTCTTAGCGGCCTCCTTGGCCTTCTTGTTCTTCTCACGGTCAGCCTTGGCGGCCTCCTCGGAGTCCTTCTTGCGCTGTTCCTCGTCGGCCTTGGCCTTCTCCTTCTCGTCCTTCAGGCGCTTGATCTCAGCCTCCTTGGCAAGACGCTTAGCATCCTTGCCGGCACGAGCCTGCTGCTTGAACTTCTTGATACGCTCATCGGAAGCGAGACACTCGTCAACCAACTCACGCAGACGGACGGTATCCTCAGTCTTGCGCTTGCGGCGGGCGTTGGCGTTCTTCTTCTCGACATGACGCTTCTGGTCACGGCTCTCTCCATCATCGGGAACATCCTCATCGAGGTACTCGAAGGTCCTCCAGCTGTCGACGTTGTACCAGAAGTTGTAGAAGGTCTCGACGTGCTCCTGGGTGCTGTTCTCGTCACCGAGCTGGGGCACGGGCTGCTTGATGGAGAAGCGACCCTCGGCATCGAAGACGGGGCCCCAGGCCTTGTAGAACTTGCTGCCGGACAGCTTCTTGGTAGGAGGCTCAACCTCAGCAGCCTCGTCGACGGAATCGAACTGGCGACGGCGAGTGGGGTCCAGAAGCAGATCAGTGGCCTTCTGGATACACTTGAAGAAGCTGTCGTTCTCATCGCTCTTGCCCATGGCGGCCTTCTTGTCGGGGTGGTGACGGAGAACCTTCTTGCGGTGGGCACGCTTAATCTGATCGGGGGTAGCACGGTAACGGTGCTTGGACAGACCGAGAACGGCGTAGTGATCTTGGCCCTATCCGTAGTTAGAATCTATCTATCAAAGCAAAGTGTTATTAAGTGGTTCGGAACACAAACCTTCCAGTCCTTGGCCTCACGGGCGAGCATCATAGGATCCTCATCCTCGGAGATGTCATCATCCTCCTCAACCTCAGTCTTCTTGACGTTGTGCTGGGCCTGAATGCGCTCATCCTCGGAGAAAGTGCGGTTGTTGCGCTTCTATAAAATTGTTAGTTATATTGGAAAAAAAAATTCGAATAACCAGGCATATCTTACTCTGCGGGCGTGAGCCAGGAAGTGCGGGCCAACAGGCTCCACGTTGCGCTGAGTGGCACCAGAAAGGGCACCAACAGTCTTAAAGTCCTTCTCGCCAGCCCAGCCCTGAGGCAGGGTAGGGAGGGTAGCATTGACAACTTGAACAGAGGCCATTGTGGAGGGTATTGGTGATGGTCCCAAGTTGTGTGTAAATGCCTGAATGTCCCGCGTTGATTTTTTTGCATACCTTTTTTTCTGCCCCGAATTGCCGCCTCTCCGCCCAATCAGCGATGAGGCGATCCGGAGATTCGAGACTTGAGATCCCGGCGTCTCTTCCTTTTGTTGCATACATCACCTCTGTATATTTTCCTTGTGGTAAATTCCAGCAACTCATCATGTCCACTGCCACTGCCGTATCCGCGAAGAGCGCCTATCGCCAAGTGCTCCGCGCCACCCGTGTTGTTTTCCACAGTTCGTTTGCCTGACATGATCCGCCATTCCGGCATACTCGTTCCTTTTATTGACAATTGCTTTGCAGACGATCTCCCTGTCCTCCTTGCTGCTCGTCAGGAGGCCCGCCAAAACTTTGAGAAGAATCGCCGTCCGGCCGTCGACACTGGCATGCAAATCAATCATGCGATCGAGGTTGCCAACATCCTGCGCCACAACATCGTACAAGGCTCCAGGGAGAAGGGCAACGAGGAAGCGAAGTGGGGTATGTATTCATTCAATCTGAACTGTCGGGTTTCTAGGTCAGGGGTAAATGGCTAACCACACACTTGCCACAGAACTCAACATCCACGAACAGATCGAACGCGGTGATAACGACTCCATTAAAGTTGGCGGACAGGATGTGAAGATCCACAAGGCTTGCTCCTCATGAGTGACAGACACAGTGCCATCATGCTTGGTTCAAGCGAATTCTCCGGTCCAATAATTGTCCAAAAAGATGCCTATTTGTCGCTTGCGCAAGGCCGATTCTCAAATCGTCTAGGTGCAGGTCAAGACATGCCCATCTACAGAAGCAACTAGGACAGTGACCGGACATGTATAATAAGATACCCGACTCTTTTATTATCATTGGCGTCCCCGGGGTATTTTTGGTTTAAGTACATAGATCTGCATAAGCATAAAAGAAGCCCAATCCTTGATAACGCCCGCTCCGAACCTAAGTTACATGCAACCCCAATCTGAGCAATGGCAAAACTCGCGACTTTTGTTCAGTAGTTATGTTCAGTCGCCGTTCATGCTGGCGTACTGAACCTCACCGGATCCAGGTGGTGGTGCAACAACGTGTGTCCGAGTTTGTTCTTGGTCAGCACCCTCTCCTGCAGTGACAGCTCGTCTGTCGACTTGCTTTCCCTTGCCAACGGATCCCACGGTCTGGCGGCCCTCGCGAGCGTTTGCCATCCGCTCCTCGCGATCCAAGTTGTCAAGAGACTTGGGCTTACCCCAGCGGACACGGAGCGGACAACCTTCAATGATAGCTTTGCCTTGGCAGTGGGCTGCCGCAGCTTCGGCATCGGCGCGAGTTACGTAGTTGATAAAGGCACAGTGGGAGCGATGAGAGCAAATGAGAGATCGGAGCTGACCAAACTTGCTGAAGAAAGTGCGTAAGGTGTGTTCGGGGAGGTCATCCTCCACACCTGTGACAAAGAGAGAAAGAACATTAGGGTCCGCAGGAGGACGAATGTCTTCAGCCGAGGGCGGCAGTTGTGCGGTGCTAGGGAATGGACGACCACCCCGACCACTGCCACCACCACGACCTCCACGGCCTGGGAGGCGGTTGCCAACGCGACTTTCACCAGTGCGAATCGGTCCGGGTCCATTTCCATAGCGACTGTTTGTTCGTGGTTGATCTGTGGATGTAGACTGCTCTGCTTCCTCTTTTTCGGTAGGACCGTCGATCCGACGCGGCTTGCGATAGTACGGTTCACTGTTGGCGAGGCGCCGCAAAAGCTCGCGAGCCTTGTCGTCGGTCTTTTCATATTCTTCAATAGCGCCGCGGCCTTCTTCAATTTCCTTTTCGTGGTTCTGCGCGTAAAATTCACGATTGATAGAGCTTTCCGGACCCGGGGCGACCATCTTGAGGGCAGCATCACGGACGACAATGGGCAGACCGAACGAAAGATCGAGCATGCAGCATTGGCAGCAGTTCTTCAGGCGCGCGCATGTCAGGCAGATAATCGATCGCTTCTGTCGTGAGGTTCGATCGGCCTTCCACCGGAAGATAGTAAATGGGCGTGTACACTAACCAAAAGGAGTCAGCATGAGCTCTGGGGTAGCTATCAGGGAAAGCACCACGAAACTTACAATCTTGCACTCTGCGCCATGATCTTCCTTAATCATCTGCACATATGGGTTCTCCGGGAGACAGTTCTCGCAGACAGACGGAAAGTCGGTCGACTCCCATCCCGAGCGATTCAGGTCATGCTTAATTTGAGGAGGCATGACGGAAGCGAGAAAGGTGGACGTCCGAAAGGTGGTCTGAGAGAGCATGGATTATCAACTCTGAAGTGGCGTGTGGCTGGTGCACTCATCACGTGCCCGGCAACTGGGCCAGCCGCGCACCGCCACGGAGCCACCGCGCCGGAACTGCCACCTTCCGCCGCCCAAAAAGGTGTGGCCACCCCAGGTCTCAGGGGGTCCGTGGGTGATTGTCAAAAAGTTGCTTCGGATTCGACTGTATTTATTCCCCCCCTTTTATCCTCTCCAGTCGTTCTACTTCACTACCCGGTGCTCTTTTTCTTCTCTTCTTGGTACCTCCCGTTCAATTGGTGTACCCTCGTCTTTCCCTTGGAAATTGACTTTTTATTCCACTTCTACCCCCTTTTAATCTTCGCAATTCTTCACAATGGCCCCTTCTGCTCTCGAACATGAGGACGTTGCGCGTGACGCCGCCTTCAACAAGGCCCTCCATGGCAAGTCTGCCAAGGCCCAGGGTGGTTTTGCTGCCATGCGCGGCAAGGATGCTGCTGCGCAAAAGGCTGCTGTCGACGAGTACTTCAAGCACTGGGACAACAAGGATGCCGTCGACGAGACCCCCGAGATTCGTGAGGTAGGCATTTGCGCATTGCAAGTGGTTGATTGAGTGACTAACATGTCGTGTGTGATAGGCTCGCAAGGCTGAATACGCTACCCTGACCCGACAGTATGTTTCTTTTCCCTTCTCTTATCTGGTGATCGACACCCGTACTGATAATCTTGTTCCAGCTACTACAACTTGGCCACCGACTTCTACGAGTATGGCTGGGGTTCTTCCTTCCACTTCTGCCGTTTCGCCTACGGTGAGCCCTTCCACCAGGCTATCGCCCGCCACGAGCACTACCTTGCCCTCCAGGCCGGTATCACTGAGAACATGAAGGTTCTGGATGTCGGCTGTGGTGTTGGTGGTCCCGCTCGCGAAATGGTCAAGTTCACCGGTGCCCACGTTACCGGTCTGAACAACAACGACTACCAGATTGACCGCGCCACTCACTACGCCGAGAAGCAGGGTCTTTCCGACAAGATGGCCTTTGTCAAGGGTGACTTCATGCAGATGAAGTTCCCTGACAACAGCTTCGACGCTGTCTACGCCATTGAGGCTACTGTTCACGCCCCTGAGCTCGTTGGTGTCTACAGCGAGATTTTCCGTGTTCTGAAGCCCGGTGGTACTTTCGCCGTCTACGAGTGGCTCATGACTGATGACTACAACAACGATGACGCCGAGCACCGTCGCATTCGTCTCGGTATTGAGCAGGGTGATGGTATCTCCAACATGGTCAAGATCTCCGAGGGTATCGAGGCCATGAAGAACGCTGGCTTCAACCTCACTCACCACGAGGATCTGGCTGCTCGCCCCGACCCTATTCCCTGGTACTACCCGCTGGCGGGCTCCTTCAAGCACATGGGCTCGGTCTGGGACTTCTTTACCATTGCCCGCATGACCTGGTGGGGCCGTGGTATCGCCCACCGCTTTGTCGGTACCGGCGAGAAGTTCGGTCTCTTCCCCCGCGGTTCTCAGAAGACCGCCGACAGTCTGGCTGTTGCCGCTGACTGTTTGGTCGAGGGTGCTCAGAAGAACCTCTTCACCCCCATGTACCTCATGGTTGGCAAGAAGCCTGAGTAAATGCTCAATCGGCGTTTGTGATTCTTTTGTATAAAATATTACCCACGGCATGCACGTTCGTCCATGGTGTCTTTTTGCCCTTCATCCTCTTGCAACTTCTTCGTCGTCTTCCTTCCATTACACTGGGGCGCCTTTTCTTGGCTCAATTTTGGCCCAGTATTGGTAGAGAACGAGCCAGCTGCCACGTTCTCCTGATTGATGGTCATCATTGATTTCTTTTTCTCTTTCTGTTGTTTCTTTTACCTGTCAAGATAGCTATGTAATAGTCATTGAGTCAAGACTAACGAACAAAGGACGGATATTCTGCGTTAATATCAATTTAATTTATTCTGCCAATAGATTTTTTTTGTCGTGCCTTGCTTTCAATCGTAGCAAATCAGTTATTTGACGAAATAGGGCCTATCATGTGTACACAATACAGTGCCACTGATAAGTTTAAGACAAGTCTGTTCTAGAGCCTAAAGCAAGGAGTTCGTTTCATGCATGGTATGTTCGCTTCACTTGGCCTCTCCCTTGAGTGGCCATTTGATCTGTGTTCAACTCTTTACGAGGTTGTTTGTTGGGTGTCAAGGGTTGTACACGGCTGATGTTAAAGCGAACTAGGGTTGAGATTTGACTGAGCCACAAACCCAATTTAAAGGCTACTCTCGCCTGGTGTGTGTTTACTCTCTTTTCTCAATTTAGTTTCTGTCCTCAGCTTCGGCTTTCATTCTCTAGTGTTCGACAATCAAGGCCCACCAAGAAGAACCCGACTGTCGTCAATATTTCCCAACTGGAGTGAGAAGTTGGAATACTGACCAAGTGAAAAAGGTTCAAGGGAATTTTATTGAAGAAATAAATAATGTAAGGTTCATTATACGCTCTTTAGGATAGAAAGTTAGGAGAAATGGGCCAAAATATATTTGAGAATTGAAAATATGTGTTTGACTCAGATTGAAATATATAGTCAAGACTTTGCAAAGTCCTTGTCCTGGGTAACCACCACGCCCCCTTTATGGGATTCTGATATGTTCTCCAAGCCTGCCTCCAAGCCCTCGAGAGTTATTGGGTAGTCATGATCTGATTTGCGATCCTCAAAAAGAGCTGCGAGCTCAACTTCGGTCTTGCCTTTTGTCTCTGGAAATGTGAAGAATATGATCAGAGTCTTCAAAGCACGTCAGTATCAAGACTATAGAATAGGTAAATGGAACTTCACTCACGCCAAGGATAAGCATTCCCAGGTAGAATATGTAGTAATAAAATCCAATGCTATCCAGTGCAATCGGATTCACGTATTGATTAATAGTGAGAGCTGCTTGCGAGACAGCAACTTGAATTGCTAGTCCCTTGGCCCGAATAGAAAATGGTAAGATCTCAGTCGGATAACAATAAAGGAGGGGGTTGTTTGCCAAGTTGAAAGTCGCGTCGTAGAGGAACAGAAAGACGACAACAGCAATAGAGGCGCCTTTGGATCCATGTTGTGCATACATGGCGGATGATATAGTCAACGGGATGTTGGCAATGATCATTCCGATGAACGACGTCAACCAGAGAGTTCGTCTTCCGATTCGGTCAGCAAGCAAGGCCCCTGCCAGGGAGAAGAGCAGGTTCCATATCTGCAAGCCACCATTGATACCGGTCTGCTGAGGAGTAGAAGTGATACCGACGCTGGTCAGAATCGGACTGAAATAGTACGAAATTACACCCTGGCCGTTCCATAGTGTTAGGAGGGCAACGGTAGCGACCAGGGCAATCCTTTTTCTGTTTGCTGGTGACCGGTAAAGGATACCCCAGCTGCTTTGTCCACTCGTCCGGGCTGCTGTTTCTGCCTCCAAAAAGGTCTGTATCTCTTTCATCTCACTTACCACGAGGGCCGAGTGGGCGTTTCCATTGCTGTGATACTTTGCAAGTAGTTGCCGAGCTTCCTCATTCCGTTGGTTTGCACAAAGCCATCTAGGACTTTCGGGCAGCCCACAAAGAACAGATATCATGACTAGTAGTGCGGGAACTCCTTGAATGAGGGATGGGATTCGCCATGACCAGCTGGTAGTCATATAGCCCGTACCGAAGGTTGTCCATGCTGCGATGATAGAACCTACGTACCAAAGCACGTTAAACTGGAAGTCCAAGATCAGCAACTGTTTCTTCAAGTTCATAGTTGGGTAGCTGCAAGATATTACCAAAGAAGATATTGTGCCACGCATTGCTGGATGAGCCAACTCAAACAGTAGGGAGGGCCCAGCAACACAAGTGAAGCTAATTCCAAAGCCAATCAAAAATCGACCCCCAATAAACATGCCAGAGTTCTGTGCAGCTGTTTGGAGGATTGTTCCCACAAATGTCAGGCTTGCTCCAACAAACATGCCTACTCGTCGTCCAAAGTGGTCGGCTATAGGCGAGGCCACGAGAGCACCGGCAAAACCACCAACAAAGACGATAGCCGTGATGAGTCCTATCCTAGATGGATTGGGGTTTCCCATATCTGGTGATAGATGGCGTTAGATTCTGACTGAGTATTCTTCCAACAAAATTACCGACCATTAACCCAGGGCTTCATGGACTGGAAGCTTCCGACCACGCTCTCATCGTAACCAGTGGTCATTTGCGACACCAGGATAGTAGCCTGCCATGCTAGTAGCTTGCGAATACCGAGATCTTTCCACCATTTTTCAAACCGATTGGTTTCGATTTGCTGGACGGGAGCAGCCATTATGTGGGAATCAGGTTGATCTCTGGGATAAAGACAAACCAGAGTAATATGGTCTGTAGTAGCCAAGGACCCCATTCAACTTATATTTTAGCATGATTGATAGTATTTCTCATAAAGTGAAAATCCATTGGCTATAGTAGACTGTTCGAAGAGCTTATCGATATCTGTGGAAGCCGTTAAGGAACTCGTGCGAAACTCGCGCGAGTTTCGCGGGAGTTTGGCTTATCTGCGGAGTCGCGGCAGATCTATACCAGCTGTGTCGAATTTAAATAGTAAGAAGGCACATTTAGGTCCTAACCTCAAACTATTTGCTTTACTTTATTCGTCGTCAAAATTATCATTCCATTTGTTGTACCTCATCCAATGGCCAACCAAACCACTGTGGATGACTCCAAAGTCCACGGAGACTGGCGAGATGAACTGTTCCAAAACGGATATGTCGTTGTGAAAAATGCTATTCCACAAGCGCGATGTGAATATTACATCGACAAGATGTTTCAGTGGCTAGAAAGTTTCCCTTTTGGCTTTCAGAGAAATATTCGATCGACTTGGAATGAAAAACATTTACCTCAGCATATCAAAGGAGGGATGTATCATGGGTATGGAATACAGCATGAAAGATTTGTATGGGAGGCTCGAACGTAAGTCTTCAATCTTAATTGGCTAAATACCCTCTCTAATGTTTCCCCTTGCAGCGAGGCAGGAGTGATCGAAGCCTTCGCAAAGCTGTGGTCGACAGAAAAGCTTCTAGTCTCCTTTGATGGAATCAACTTCACGCTTCCTTCTGGTACTGCTCTACCACAGACACAACCATGGCCGCATATTGATCAGAGCCCGCTGCGAGAGGGCATGCAGTGTGTTCAGGGTATTCTTAACTTTGCACCGAATGGGCCTCAAGATGGGGGTCTTCTTGTCATGAAAGGATCTACAAAGCTGATGCCTGAGTTCTTCAAATCTCATGAAGGCACAATCGGACGACCAACCTGGGGTCCTAGCGATTGGTTTGGCTTTGACGAAAGTGAAGTGAAATGGTTCGAGGAAAGAGGCTGTGAAATTCACAAGGTAACTGCTGAAGCCGGTGACCTAATTCTGTGGGACTCACGCACTATGCATTTCAACTGTGTTCCCTCTTCTCAAAATTTACGCGCCCTTGTTTGTGAGTATTTTCTCGCGGTCTAGGTGAACGCACTAACGGTCGTAGATGCGTGCTATACACCAGCTTCCCTTGCAAAGCCTGAAATACTGCAGCAGAAAAGTGAAATCTTTGACAAGCGTATTGGAACGGTATGTTAAAGAGACTATCGCTTCCTTAACATAGATCAATTCATTAACATATTAAACAGACGCACTGGCCCCATGAAAATCTGTTCACCGATACCAGTATCGCGAAACGCCCAGGAGAAGATGAGCATGGATTGACCAACTGTCTTTTTGAACAGCCTATTGAGACAGATCTGGTATTGAAACTGGCAGGAAAAATTCCCTACTAGTTTGGCATATTTCAGCGATGTTTTGCATGATGTTGATAAACTCGGTAGTAGACTAAAATCCTTGGAGCTGAGAAGCAGTAGTCAGTATTTCCTGTATTTTTTGATAGCTTTAATTTAAAGAAGAGCCTAGGTCAGTATCTGCATTTAGATGTGTTGATGTTCTTGAAAAAGAGGTCTTCCTGTTGTACCTCTGCTTAAGATCTCTTTTTATGCGACATAATTTCAGCTTGCTTTTGAGCTAAATCCTCTTCTTCCTCATACTGATACCTCTCACACATGCCGCTCTGTAAAGACCAGAAATATTAGAGTTGCGATCTTGGTATAAGTTAACCGAGCTAAACACTTGGATGATTTGATGCCTATCAGGATCGATTCTGACCAATCACAGGGGTTTATATTGACCAATCAAATCAAGTCTCCCTCCATGTTTAACGACTAGCATCTGTTTTTACTGTGTTCCTTGTCCTTTACATAAATCTTGTAAATGGCTACCACACGGAAGAGTCAAAGAGCGCCAAACGCTTGTTCTAATTGTGCTAAACGTCGAGTGAAGTGCGACAAAAAGGTTCCTTGTAAAACATGTCTATCAAGAGGCCTCGAAAGTACGTGTGCAAGAGAAGTTGTCAATGTCAGAGGCCGAGTAACAAAGTGCGTGATTCAATATGGAAAATGTAGCAGTGCTAATTGGAACCAGTACAAAACACAAAGAATATATCCTCACATATTTTGAGCTGCAACAAGAAAATGACCGACTCAAAGCCGAGCTTTCAAGAATGAAGCCTACAGGGAAACTGAACACGCTTTCTGCGGCCCCGAGACAGGAAAGCTATATCGACAAGCTTGAGAATCAGATCAATTCTCAGCATAGTAAGAGTGTTTATCAACGAAAGGTGTGGAGCCGAACAGACATCTGGATTCCGACCAAAGACTGTAGCGATGTGCTATTACACCATGGTTTTATGTGGACTTCGTGGATTCATTTTGCTGTTCATATGCAAACATTCGAGTTCGAGCACGAATCTGCTTGGATGAGTGGGAAATTCCTTGATGGCGATGCTCTCTGGCTTGCTATTTATTTTGGATTCATAGCGGTAAGAGCCATTGCTAGCCTATTTATGCAAAGCGATGCTAATTTGACAAAGATGAGCCTGATGTTTATGGACGAAGACGAAGCCAGACGAGCGGGCTTACCTCTCGGTTCGACCTCCACTATACTCCCTGGAAGACGCCCCGTCTAACATAAATTACCTCAGATAATGCGTCCAAGCTTGTACAAAATTGGTACGATGCTGCACTATTCTTCCTCAATGAAGCGGATTTCATGCGAAATCCCGACTTCAAGACTGTACAAACCATCGCCATACTTCTTGGACTAGCCAAGAATGTCGGAGACTTTGATCTTGTACCGATTCTTCAAGCAACCGGAATCAGGATGGGTCAAATTTTGGGTATGGACCGGGAGCCTCCCTTAGTATCCGATGACCCTGTTACCCGAGAAACCAGCCGGCGAGTTTGGTGGACTTTGGTCATCTGCGAATGGCTCGCGATACCAGCGCGTCCACACTGTATAAGCGAGACAGACTTTTGTGTCAGATTGCCATTGGGTCTATCGGATGAGGAATTGACTACAGTGTTAATTGACGATCCAGAAATGGCAATTGACAAACCGCGTCCGATCGATTATCACCTCGCTATGATTCTACTAGCAAAATCTAATCATCGATTTGAGGTTCAAATGGCCGCTGTTGGACACATGAGTGGCGAGAACCTTCTTGAAGACTTTGTTTTGACAACGGACGAAGCTCTAGCCAACATTATCTCACAGTTGCCATCCTACCTTCTGGAGATATCCGGAGGACCAGTCGCAGACAAGGAAGAGTATCCTTCCTGGGTCTTGTGGCAACAGACTACCCTGTCTCTGTCATTACTATTCTATCGAATGAAGGTCAACCGGGCGTTACAGCATCGATGGGCTTCTTCATCCGATGTCTTGCTTGCCCGATCAAAAGCCATATGTTTGGATTCGGCCAATACCATTGTATCAATGGTCAAGAGACACAGGGTTGTACTAGCGCGTCATCGTCCATGGTGAGTCTCTTGCTAGCCGTTGTTATAAATCATGTTTTACTAATCATTACACTTGTTCATGTCGAAAGGGCAACGACTTCTGCCCTGTTTTCCGCCGCCTTGACCATTGCCACAGAGGCAAAATCTCTAGAAGTCCATGCCGCTGAGGAGTATATTAATCAAATTCAAACTTGTTTCTCGTTCTTTGAGTATATCAAAGATCATAGTGCTCTCGCTACCCGTGTGCTGGGTGAATTGAGGGTCTTTTGTGCTGAACTGTGCTGAGGTGACCCCGAGAAAGTCAGAAAGTCACAAACAACATAACTTATACCCACTAACCAATCGTTCATTACCATTTCCCCATAACCACTCATAGACTCTGTCATTAGTTGCCGGACTCACCTGAGAATCCAGGCATCCACGACCACCTGAAGCCAACATGGTCTGTGCACATAAAACCCCCGAACGCTGCAAAAGTTGGCCGTCCAATGGCATCTCCGGGTCTCCGGTTATGATCTTGAAAGCTTCTTTTCCTTCTATAGACTGACATCGCTAATGACCACGCGTTGTATGGCTGACAGTGGGGAATACCAAGCAGCCAGTCAACGTTGAGGCGCCCGAAACGTGCCACGGCTGGCCCAGGCACCGGGGCACCCGATGGTAAAACTGACCAACCAGGTGAACTGCAATATAGTCAAGTCATCCACTCCGCCATTTCAACTGACCTTGCCTACTTCAGGCTAGAAATCATGAGGAAATGCAGCCAGTGAGCCCTGCGCCGATCGAAACGTGGTCACAAAATTGTTCATGTGCCTCACATTCCAAGGCGGCATTGTCCGTCAAATCTCGCTTCCAACACGTCCAGCCGAAAATGCTACAATGTCACAGCTATAAGATCGCGTGTGTCGCCCGATCTACTCTTGAGTTTCCTGTCTTATCGCACCGTCTGTACAACTCGCGAACGATCTTCGGTCATCATGTTCAACAAGCAGACCCTTCTCGCTTTCGTCGGCGCTCTCGCCCTCGGCGCGGCCAAGACTACCACCGAGGAGAACCCAACTCAGGCTGAGATTGATGCCGCTCGTGCGACTGTCTTGCCTTACTCGCCTGTCTCTAATGTAAAGGGCTTGGCCTTTGACCGTTTCGTCGACATCTGGCTCGAGAACACTGTATGTCCTGGCTAGCATTCCGTATATGGAATGGGCTCACGTGCTCACAATTGTTATAGGACTATGCTACCGCCGCTCTGGATGAGAACTTGGTCAACATTGCCAAGGAGGGTATTCTCTTGACCAACTACTTTGCTGTCACCCACCCGTCGGAGCCTAACTACTGTGCCTCCGCCGCCGGTGACAACTTTGGTATGGACAATGACGACTTCCACCAGATCCCCGCCAATGTCTCGACCATTGCCGATCTGTTTGACACCAAGCACATTGCCTGGGGTGAATACCAGGAGGACATGCCCTACGCCGGCTACCAGGGCTACCGCTACCCGCTCAGCGGTGCCAACCAGTACGTGCGCAAGCACAACCCTCTGGTCCTGTTCGACTCTGTCACCAACGACGCCGTGCGTCCCCGCCAGATCAAGAACTTCACCAGTTTCTATGATGACCTTGAGCACCACCGCCTTCCCCAGCACATGTTCATCACCCCCAACATGACCAACGATGCCCATGACACCAACATCACCTTTGCCGGCGAATGGGTCAACCGCTTCCTTCCCCCTCTGCTTAAGAACGACTACTTCTTCAAGGACAACCTGATCCTCCTCACCTTCGACGAGGTGGGCAACTACTCTGTCCCCAACCGCGTCTACAGTGTCCTCCTCGGTGGTGCCATCCCCAAGCACCTCCGCGGCACAACCGATGACACCTTCTACACTCACTACTCCGTCATTGCCTCCCTGTCTGCTAACTGGGGTCTTCCCTCGCTCGGTCGCTGGGACTGCGGTGCCAACCTACTCAACATGGTTGCTGAGAAGACCGGATACGTCAACTGGGAGGTCGACACCACCAACGCCTACCTCAACGACACCTACCCCGGTCCCCTGTCCGACAACGACCTTTCCGAGTACTCTTCCAAGTGGGCCATTCCTGCTGTCAGCGGCGAGTGCTCTGCTGGACACGGCATTGCCGAGGTCGTCAAGAAGACTTACCACGGTCTTAAGCCTACTTACAACTACACCAGCCCCGTGCCCTATGATGCAGTCAGTGGTCTGAACGTTGGCATCAAGTACTCCCGTACTCTGGTATGATTACTTTCCCTTCGCTGTTGTTATGGACATATGCTAACGATTGAATAGAAGCACGGCAAGAAAGAGACTGGTATCACCGAGTAAAGAACCCACCATTAATACCTACCTACACTGGGTCGCCATAATTGTTTCGCTCGTGAATCCTCACAGGCTAATCCACATACATAAAAGATTGAATGAATTTGATGTTAATATATTACTGTCATAGAAGAGTCTTTGTAGACACAAGCTTATACGGTAGCCCAAATTCATCCAATTCTTCATGCGCAGCACCGTACAACAATATTTGGAAATCGTTCTCCTTGTTTATGGTAGAATAGTTTATAAATTAAATGTATCAGACTAATAACTTTTATGAAACCAAACACGCTCACGAAATGCAAGCCCACAAAATCCCGAATCTCAACATATACCAATGCGTGTACGTAGGCACCTTATCCAGCAGCATAGGTACTCTTCTTGCGCAACATCTCACCAAACTTCCACAAGAACACAGGCGCAGGAACACCAATGACAATCCCCAAGAAAGCCAGCAGACTATTACCCCAACCATAATGCAAAGCATCATACATATACGGGGCAAACAACGGAAACCCAAAGCCAGCCAACGACCGCAAAAACGCACTAGCAGCAAGGGCACTCGCCGCAAAGCGTGTATACGTATCAACCATGTAAGTCTGGATACACTGGAAGGCAATAATAGTACCCGTACCAAACAGCACGGCGCCAATATTCGGCGCGATCCAATGGCAGTGTTCCTGGGCCGTCCAGCCGTAGATGAACAAGCCCGACGGAATGAAAAAGGCACCGATGAACATGAGCGGCACGCGGAACTCAGGCCTTCCAACGCCGCCATTGCGGGCTTTCAGGTGGCGGTAGATTCGATCGTTGAGCGGGGCGCAGATCTGGGAGCCGAGCCAGAAGCCGAGACCGAGCGAGATGTAGTTCAGGCCGCCGATGCCGGTGGACTCGTTGTAGTATTCGGGACTTGTCCAGAGGGAGGGAAAGGTCGATAGCACGAGGTACATGATGCCGTAGATGTAGGCCATGTATAGGGCGAGGACTTGGACGATTGGTTGGGTGAGGAGGAGCTTGAATGGGCGGATGAGTGAGCCGCGGAGGACTTGGGGGAGGGTTTTCTTTTGACGCTCGGCTTCGGTTTGGTAGGATTCGTCGCCGGTTTCTTTGCGGATGCGCTTGGCTCGGTCGAGGAGGATTTTCGGAGCGTAGCTTTCACGCAGGAAGAATAGTCCCATTAATTGGATCAGGCCGTCGAGGATTGATGTGGAGTAGAAGACCCAGCGCCAGGTGGTGTTTTCCGCGATAAAGCCGCCGGCTATTGGGCCCAGGGCAGGGCCTAGTAGGGGTGCCAAACTGTAGATTGCTATGCCTTTTCCGCGCTCTTCGGCGAGGAAGCAGTCTGAAAGGACACCACCGCCAATCTATGAGTTGTTAGATGAGATATATGTGACTAGAAGGGAGCTTTTCACTTACGGCCAGGGGAGCACTTCCTCCTAGTCCCGCGAAGAAACGGCAGACGATCATTTGAACCTTGGTCTGGGAGACTGCACATCCGATGTTGAAGACGAGGAAGAAAAGGTTGGCTAGTTGGAGAACGATTGTTCGACCGTAGATCTCCGAAAGAGGACCGAGGAACAACGGGCCTACAGCGTAGGCTAGCACGAAGATTGAGAGCATGAGCTGTGAAACCACTTGGTCCGTAACATTGAATTCCGCGGCGAGGGACGAGAGTGCTGGCGCAACCATGGAAGATGAAACTGGCGAGATAAATGTAAATAGGGAGACTGTAATGGTAGCTGCCCACTTCTTTTTGTTGCTCCAGTTCTTAGGGTTTTCAGGGTCATCAGGACCATCCCAGGTCACCTGTGATTGTTAGTATGAGGATCTGATAAAAGTATATCGAGCAAGAAAAACACACCAATGTCGGATCATGTCGCGACCGATTCGACTTTGCTGTCCTGGATTTCTCGAGCTCCGGATGTTGCGCATCCCCCTTCTCCAAATCGAGATCACGCTCGTTCACGACGCCATTCCTCACTTCCTGTATCGTATCGGGTCTTCCTTCGCCCTGGGGTGATTCGTCGTCGTTAGATCCATCATCACTATGGTAGACAGATTGGTCGTTCATATGTCTTCCTGAATAAACCCGATCGACCTGTGCCATTCCAGGGTTTGACAGAGACCGCAGTCTCGTCTTGAATGAACCGGCCAGACTGCGCGAGCGCGATCTTGTCCTCGATGCAAGGGAATCGAGATCGGAACTTGATAGTGAAGTCGAGCGAGACCTGGCCGGGCCAGAGTCTTTATTGTCTTCCGACATGATGTAGTCGCAGAGACTGAAGCCCAATAAACAGATTCACAAAAGAACAAGATGTATTGAAAGCAGCTATATGCGGTAAAAGGAAGGAGGCATACGACACTGCGTCACCGATTTACCCAAACAGAAAACAGGAACCATACATCGAGGAAGCGTCTATTTATACAGAAGCCTAAACACACTGGGGCCCAGGCATAAATCTCCAGAAAGAACCTGCATCTCGGCGATAATCAGGACTTAACAACAGCGGAGACCTCCAATTTGCAATATCGCAGGCTCCAATTGGCCTACAGTCAAAGCTTGACATGATAGGATACCCGTTTGCCCCTCTTCTGTTACAAAACTTCCTCACATTTGGCGGCCTGGCCCGTCGTAGGATGAAAGTGGCTGCAGACGGTGCCAGTTGTCGGGTCTTCGGCACACTAGTCACGTGCAGCTCACGTGTGAAGGGCTTATCGCAGATCGGCGAGCGTTCTTGCCTCCTTTGGGGCTTGGTCCAGGCATGATCCCGGTACCGGGATGTCTCTGATTGGTGCGGGGCTTATACAGTAAGCTTGTGGGCTTTTATGTCCGCTGGTATCACCGGCTGCCTCAGATGTCCGATGCTCGTCGTCGGACGTCCGATGCTGATGTGTCTAGGTGGGTTCAATGTTACTTTGTGCTCGGAAGTTATGCATTCCATGGGAGCTATTGACTTCATACATTCCTCAACCCATTCAACGTAAAACTCTTTCTAGCACCAGAGTTGGGTTTCTCTTAACAGAGGCAGTTGAGGTCACATGATTTATTCATGGGAATCTGTCTAACTTATTGAAGCTCTGATCAAGCTTAGTCACGACTACTATCAAAATGAAAATAAAAGAAGGGCCGTATTTTACCCTTTGTGCAGTGATAGGTGATCACAGTCGACGATAACGTCACTTGTCATAAGACGAAAAGTTACCTGATATGGAGATCCCGTCTATGGAGGAAAGTTAGTGTAGGGGCAAACTTGTGTAGGGGACCCCAGTCAATGTAGCCAGCATAGGCTGCAATGAAAGAGGCCTACGATAACTTGGACTTTGATTTCTCAAACGACAACATTCTATTCAATTGTCAACATTGGGAAATTTCAAATCTGATTAATTTCATTGTAACATAAGAGCTTTCGACAGACGCGAACGGATCATCTCGGCAAATTCCGAATTATATGCTATGATATCATGAATTGCGGGGAATGGAAAACGAGACTACTGTATGAACATCAATTAGGCCAGACATAAAGATATTCGGGGATACGATTGGACGTGAGCATACAGCCCATCTCTATATTGATTTTGCCCCATTACCATTGCTGGGGTGTATTTAGCGGGGCATGTACCTTTACGATCAATATTGCGGGGTGCATTTGAGGATCTTAAAATTTTGGGAGAATAGTTAGCTTCAGGATAAGCTTCCGTGCTGCTGGATATTTCCGTGTATTATCGCCAAAACATGAATCAGGTAGGATCACAGCCTTTTAGGCTCACAAAGTCACACAAACAGCAATTCTATGCACCCACACTTTACCGGTCACTGAAAGGTCCAATGAACATTAACTGAGCCAAGCCTCAGCGAACAGGGAAACCTGACTGGGACTCGGAATGCCAGGATGTCTGAGCCTCGTATTTGCGTCATAAGTGATTTAAGGGGCGCACATCCTCTGGCGAATTCCCCATGACTTCACATCCCTCTCTTCCTCGATAAGATGCACCATGGAGCCCTCATATGAACCCTTCACCTGGCGACAAACCAAGTCCGGCAGGTGGGAACGCGATGTTGACGAAGTAGAGCAGTTCTATACTACCTTGGCAAAACGGTTCCAAGGGAGCGGCCGTGTCTTTTTCGCCTTGTCTGCTCATGTCTCATTTTCTGTCGCCCATTCTTCCACTTTCGATTCAAACGAAGCTCGCGCTCTCAATGCACTGCGGGTTGCTTGGTTGCGACTGCGCTACGACCATCCCACCATTGCATCATGGGTGGAGTATAACCATGATGCGAAGAAATGCCACAAAGTCTACGAAACCTTCGGGGTCAAAGGGGAATCAACCTGGCTGGAAAACACATTCCAGGTGATATCGAATTCCCCGTCTGGTCACGAATGGTGCAACTCCAACCCTCCCGTACCCAAACTGCCGACCTTGTTCTTGGTCAAGCGTGCGCCAGTCGACGAGCATTTCCGAGCCGACCTCGTTCTCCGCTCACACCATGAAATAATTGATGGCATTGGGTCGCTTCATCTCTTGGACAATCTCTTTAAATATGCGTCTGAGGCATTTGATCTACCGGAGAAGTTCAATGTTCCCCAATTCGGCGATGAATGGAAGAATCTCAGTCCGCCGTTGAAAGCCGCCGCTTCTATCCCCGACTTAGATGTCCCAGAGCAAGATCTGACGCTCAAAAGTATCATGGATAGGAATGCTGCCATTCTTGAGGAAGCCGAGATTGCCCAAGTCCCTCATCAAGCGGGAGCGACCGTCCCAGGATACCACAAGCGAGTCTCGCTGACTCTGAGTGAAGAGCAAACTCAACACCTGTTAGCAGCAAGTAAAAAGTTGGATGCGAGCATCACGCATGTATACCATGCAGCGATCGCAATCGTGATTCGTGATTTGCAAGCGCGAGAGCACGAGAAGCGAAGAGTGAGATACATCAGCTACTCGCCAATTAATGAGCGCAGTCAATGCAAGGAACCGTATAATAAGCCACAGCACGCTGCGTCGGTGTATCACTCTGTTTCTGGTCAAAGCCTTGCGATCGACTTGACAGTGCCAGCCCTCGGAAACTCCAATCCAACGATTGAAGAGAGGAAATCCGAGTTCACAGAAACAGTCCAGCAGGTCAAAGAGTATTACCTGAACATGCGAGATGACAAGGAACACATCCGTCTAGTTCCTTCGTATTGGTATCTATCCACACCCCCGTATCCTCCAGGTACGGAAGATCCTCCAGTCCCGCCACCGAACCCTGCACCTTCAGCTTCAATTGCCAGTTTAGGAATGGTTGACAACATTTTGTCTCCGACACATGGTCAGTTTGAACTCAATGATCCATGGGTGACCGGGGACGAACTCGGAACCGGACTTGGTCTATTCCTAGGCACATTCCGCGGTCGTATGTCGCTGAGTGCAGCGTTTAACGATGCCTGGCACGACGGACACGATGCCAAAGCATTTGTGATCAGGTGTAACAATCTAGTGATGGAAATGCTGTAATTTAGTAGTTGAAGATATTCCCCCTAAGTTGACCAAGTTTAACCAAGTTTGCCCCAATCGAAACCTAAGTTGTCTCTGTTGTAACCCCACATTTGGTTATCGCCTTTTCCCTTTTACATCTCCCATGCCGGAACGTGTACAGCGAATAGTTCGAGTGCGCACAGGGTGTTGGACCTGTCGACGTCGAAAGAAGAAATGCGATGAATCCCACCCAATCTGTGGTGGCTGTCGTCGGAATCACCTAGACTGCTCGTGGCCGGCCAATGTGCCTGGCAGGCGTGCTTCCGCGCCTACTAATGCCAACTCCCCAAATACATCACAACGCCGACCGAGTCCGTTGCAAAGCATTGAATCTCCTGATCGCGTTGTGCCCGTGGAAAGTCCCTCGTCGCGGGCGGGATCCGTCTCGTCGAGCGTGCAGTCTGCCAATGCTGACGCTGACCACCTGGTTGAGTCTCCACCGGCTGAGACCAGCCCTCCACGCCCTGTGTCAGTGACTCCTGTCGGGGATTCACTTGTGGCGGCGTTTTCAATGCGAAATGTCCTACCGCGCAGTCTGTCGATGCTGCCTGGTTACGACGCCGAGTCTTATCAGCTTCTCAGTCATTACTTGGCCACGACGGCAGACTGTATGGCGAATGGCTCAACGCCTGTCAATCCTTTTCTGGTGCAGATTGTTCCACTGGCATTCTCTAGTGATTTGCTGTTGCAGTTGGTCATTACGCAGAGTGCCGCTCACCGCGCGTTTCGTTCGCGAGATGAGTCGGACACTATTGCCCACAGTCACTATACCAAGGCTTTACAGCATTTCCGTCGGGGAGTCACGGATTTCATCGATGGGAAAGAATCTAATCCATTAATGCTCCTTGTGGGGGCGCTTCTAATGTGTTTTACTGAGGTACGGAATCCCATGCCGAAAAGTGTTCGACTGAGCTGATAAGGAACAGACCGCAAAAGGAGACATGAACGGGACAATATTCGACCATCTCTCCGCGGCAAATTCATTGCTGGTCAAATTGCTTGCACAGAGCGACTCGGCCGTGCCGCGAGATCTGAAAGATTTCGTCATCGAATATTACACCTACACTGCGACCGTGAGCATGATCTCAATCGACGCTCGATACAGTGGCCAACTTTTCCTGAATCTCGACCTGGAAGAGCGATCGCGCGAACTATTGCGCACCCAATACGTGGGAAATCTGTGCGGCTGTTGGCTGGAACTATTGCTGCTGATCCCATGTATTTTTGATCTCGGTCGACAGTGGATCATGGACGATGCCCAAGCCCCTGTTCCTACCGCTGATGATTTCGCCATGTTCGCCTCTATCCAAGCTCAGGTTTTGCGCTGGTCGCCTTACCCTTCTGTCGGACCGGAGGTTCATGTTGCAGGCTTGATTTTCCAACAGGCTATTCTCATCTATCTATACACTTCACTTGAAGGATTTCGACATACGCCAGATGGAATCTACAGAGGGTTGCTTGACAATGCCGTCACAGAAGCCATGTCTTACTTGATCGAGCTATCTCCCAGCGAGCGCATCAACTCGGGGCTTTGCTGGCCTATCGCCGTGGTGGGCTCGTGTCTCGTCAACCCAGACCAGCAAGCCCAACTCAGAGCGCGGTTAACCGCCATGACCGAAGCCTTTGGTCTGGGAAATATGCATCGCACCTTACTCCTGCTCGAAGCAATGTGGCTCCTACCAATTTCCGAAGCCGGGCCTTGGAATATCTGTCGGGCAATGCAACAAAACCAGATTTGGATTTCATTCGCATGATGTTGATCGTCATTCTGTTATTCATATTATGTACAAACTAGCAAAGCGCATTCCAAATTCATCAACCTGTTCTATCACGAAGCCAAGTTCTTCGGTGCCTCTGTCGCGGGTCCCTCAGGCGTAACATAAGCCTTGGTCAAGCCGCCGTCGACAACAAAGTCGGTAGCATTGACAAAGCTGCTTTCATCACTAGCAAGGAAGACGACCGCATGGGCCTGCTCAATAGCTTCTCCAAACCGTCCACTGGGGAAATGAACCTCACGACGGAAACGCTTCTCCTTATCATCACCGAGCCAGTCCTGCAAAAGAGGCGTGCTATAAAACTGTTAGTCCAACACCACCAATAAACGAAACAGAAAATAAGCAAAATAAAGAACATACTTCAACGGCGCCGGGCAAAGCGAGTTAAACCTGAACCCCTCTCTAGCATGAACAATCGCCAACTCCCTCGTCATAGCCAGAACAGCACCCTTACTAGCCGTATACGCCAACTGCGGCGTAGCAGCCCCAACCAGCGCAACCATACTAGCAGTATTGATAACAGAAGCACGATTCTTGCCATGTCTCCGGAAAGCGCGCACAGCATGCTTCGACCCGAACCAAACGCCCTTGACGTTAATGTTCATGGTGCGGTCCCAGATATCCTCCGGACACTCCTCGGCATCGCCATCCTTGGGGTGCATGATGCCTGCATTGTTGAAGATCACGTCCAGGCCACCCCAAGCATCGAGGTGTGCGACGGCGGCTTCGATCTGGGATTCTTGCGATACGTCCACGGCTTTTGTCTCGACTCTGCCTGTGCGCTGGGTGGATGGGATGATTTGGTTGACTTTTTCTAGGGCGGTTGACAGGGTCGTTTCGTTGATGTCGGTCATGAGGACTGAGGCGCCTTCGCGGAGCATCAGGATTGTGGTTTCGAGGCCGATGCCGCTGTTATCGGGGCGTTGTTAGTTTCGGTGCCTTCATGCGTGGTTAGGGATTGGGAGGCTATGTACCCAGCTGCGCCGGTGACGATGGCGTTCTTGCCTTCGAGTCTGCCAACCATTGTGATGTTTGTGATAGGATATAGGAAAGTTGAAAGGAGTAAAGAAGTCAAGAATCGAATTTAACAAGGATAATAGGAAGAAAGACAAAGGAGCCCCCTCCCCATGCCTTAAATTTATAGCTCTGCTTTCCTACCCCACATCTTACTCCAACCAGATAAATACACGATATCACAAGACCCTTTGGAGCCCGATAAAGATACGGGTTCTTCCTTCACAGCAATCGCGGTCTCGGATTCTTCCCCGTGGAGCTCTATCGCGCTCTACCTCGATACCCGACGGTGCGGTGGGATATGGATATGATACACGCGCTGCGGGGTGGAGGGGTAGCTACCTTAGCTGTTAGGTAAATTGTCTTAGCTGCATGAACGGTCCCGGGGGAGTTTGCTCCATAGGCGCGCTATCTGTTGCGCGGTCTAGGGCTGGTGGCGGACCGCGCTGTGGGGCAGATTCCGGTGGGGAATGGAGGGGTTGGATAATCACAAATAGCTGCAGGACTTATTTAGAGATAACTATGTGTTGACTGTTCTACGTGCTATTGTGGGGTGGGTAAGTTGCTTTTCGGCAATTGCTTCTATAGTTGCTAGTGTTTAGGTGCAGGCATGGATGGTATGGGGTACAGTAGAGGCACACTAGGGCATTCTAGATGGTTTGTATGAAGATTTTGGCAGAAAAATAACATAACTCATTAAATTGATTCATAGAGAGAGTCCAAGTATACGGTAGTCTATTCAAAGAAAGTATCTATTCAAGCAGAGGCATCTTTCATATGATAGCTCTTCAGCTTGGTGAACCCATCGTAGCCTCGGGGACCAAGAGTGCATCCCAAGCCCGACTGCTTCCAACCGGTCCAAGCGAGATCCTGCACCTTCTTGTTAGCTTTGCGATGGAATTTCTGTGCATGAAGTATAGTCTCTTACCGGAGATGGGTAATCGCAGCGATTGATAAAGACTGTACCGGCCTCAAGACGCTCAAGCAACTCCTCACCACGGGCCATGTCCTTTGTCCAGACACTGGCAGTCAACCCATAGTCACTATCATTCATCAGGGTGACAGCCTCGTCATCACCAGATACCTTCATAATAGGCATGACTGGACCAAATGTTTCCTCCTTCATAGTGCGCATGGTGTGGTTGACACCGGTCAGCACAACAGGAGCAACAAAGTTTCCTTTCTGTGTTTGAGGGTTGCTGGCCACCTGGAAGCTTGAGTTCTCAGGTGTCGCATTGACAGCTCCCTTGTCCAAGGCGTCCTTGACGTGGGCGCCAATGTTCTTAACAGCTTGAGCTGAAATGACGGGACCAGTGGTTGTGCTCTGGTCATGAGGATCGCCGAGTTTATAGCTGTGTTGCATATTAGCACTGATCCTCCTTGAGGCTTGAGATACTCACGACTTCAGCTCCTCCTGCACAGCAGTAACAAAAGCATCGTAAACCTTCTCGTGTACATAGACCCGCTCAATGGAACAGCAGCTCTGTCCAGAGTTGAATACCGCCCCATCCACAAGATTCTCTGCAACGTTCTTGACGTCGACATCTTCCCGGACATAGGCAGCGTCATTTCCACCAAGTTCAAGGTTAACTGGCTTGATGTGGCGGGCAGTTGCCTCTCTCAATCTGATACCTCCTGCGGTTGAGCCGGTGAAAGAAACAGACTGGATTTGAGGGATCTGCACAACTTTATCAAGTACATCCAGGTTTCCAATGTGAATAACCTGAAGAACGTGTGTAGGAAGTCCAGCTTCTGTAAATATCTCTAACATCCGGTTTCCAAACAATGGTGTCTGTGGTGAAGGTCGGAAGATAACACTATTGCCAGCCAAAAGTGCAGGCACAAGTGCGCTGATTGTGGTCAAGAATGGGTACTATGAATCCAGTCAGCGACAAGTTTAGTACGTGCAGCAGGGTCTAATTGGCTCACATTCCAAGTGCCTGCAATCAGAACTGGTCCAACGGGTACACGCTTGACCATGCGTCGGAAACCAGCCTCGGGCCGACCAGGTAAATCTGAGATACTCTCTTCGGCGATATCCATCAAGTACTCAGCGCGGAGACGCATTGTGTTGATCTCCGCGGCGCAGTACCTAATTGGCCGGCCCATTTGAGTGGTGAGATCTTTGGACAGCTCATCGATGTTCTTTGCAACGATATCCAATGCGCGCTTCACGATGCTCTTTCTGTCATCCAATGAAGAGGTACGCCATGACTCAAAGGCTGTCTTCGAGTCCGATGCAACTTGGATGGCCTCTTCCAAAGAAGTGCCAGGCTGGTCAAAGATGACCTCGTGCGTAGAAGGAGAGATAGTGCGAATTTGGTTAGACATCGTGAGTGTGGGAGTGAGAGAATGGAAGAGTGGTGGGTGGGCGTGGCTTTATAGCGCGGAGGTCGTACCGCGGTCTTGGGCTGCCCACATAGCCCCAGTGTAGATCCGACTCTTCATCTATCGCGGGACTTGACTTGGGGCTTAGTTTTCGGTGTAAATAATATTCAGTTCTATTATGACATGCTACTCTGCGTTTCCACTATGAACTTTACCATTGCCTTCGCTATCAACCGCCCATCATGGGGATTCCCCGCGCGCGACAACGCATCCTTATACAATTCATCATTGAACAGACCGCTTTCATGTCTCAATTCCAACAAAGGGGACATAATTCCTTCATGGAATTCAGGATGTCCCTGCACAGATAACGCTCGCTGCGGCATATACAGGCCTTGGACCCCGCAAATCGGACTTGTCCCAAGATTGGTGCAGCCGGCCGGGACATCGAAGACAATATCGCGATGCATTTGCTGGATGGACTACACTCTGTCAGAAAAACGGTGGTCTCACTGTGAGGGAACTTGTATCATACCAGCGTGTTCTTTCCGAACAGTTCTTTCCCCTCATCGGTCAAATCGAGCCCCTCCACAGAAATCTCCCATCCGATATCGTTTCTTCCCACTTTGGCCCCCAGTGCTCGTGCAAGAATCTGATGGCCGAAACAGATACCAACTATGGGCTTCTTTGCTTCAAACACTTTCTTCACGTAGCTCGTTAAGTCAACAATCCAGTCGGCGTTGCTCCAGGCATCATGTTCTAGTATACCAGTGAGTTGAAGTAGAAATAGAAGGATTTGTTAGAGGGGCTCACTGCTTCCGGTCATCAGCAAAGCATCATAGTCTTTCAGATCAGGAAACTGAGGATTGTCCACGACATGGTGACCACTGAAATGCACATCGATATCGTCCGACACCCCCAGGTCTTGGAAACCCTGCTTCAATAGAGCTTGGAAGATAGCATAGTAATCGCCATACTTTTCCACGACTGGCTGGATGGGCGTATCGCACAGAATAATCGCGATGCGAAGACTATTCGACATGTTGTGTATGGAGTAATTGTGATGAAGTAAAGCGTGGAAGTAGTCACGATTGAAGTCCCGCGGTGAGACCCGATAACGGTGCGATAAGCGCGCTACCCCAAATCCACGCGGACCGCGGAGCAACTCCGTCGCAACCAGCTCCCGACGGCCACAGCTTCACTTTGGACCGTTCCAAGTTGCGCGACTTGATGCGCGACTTGCTGCGCGGCTTGGTCTACCGCGGGGTTATCGTTCAGAGATGCGCGGCATTAATGATGACCACAAGCTTGACCCGCAGCTTTCTCAATGGCCCGCAATTCGCGCAAGTGTATAATAGAGCCATGATGGCCAGTGGGAGACTTGTTTCTCTTCAGTTTTCTTCAATTAATTCTCACAAGTCCTCACAATGATAACACCTGCCAATATTACCGTTGAATCCCTCCCCACTCTCTTGGCCGACGACATCAAGGTCAAGGTTGCAGGCATTGACAGTGATGGCGTCCTCCGTGGCAAGGTCATGGCCAAGGAGAAGTTCCTCGGCATCGCAGAAAAGGGGTTCGGCTTCAGCTCTGCTCTTTTCGGTTGGGATATGCATGATATGCTGTGGACAACTGACGCACGCGTTGCGCCCCCAGAGTCAGGATATGCGGATTTCCTCGCTATTCCTGACCTGAACTCCTTCCGTCGTCTACCTTGGGAGGAGAATATTCCATTCTTCCTTGTGCGATTCCTCAATGATACTGATCCAGTCTTGGCTGATGGCCGGAGTATGTTGAGAAGTTTATGTGATCGGCTTGGTGGAGAGGGAATTCAGGCTCTAGCTGGAGGTGAAATGCAATAACGCTCGGTTGAGTTGGATCTTGCTAATTATAATTAGTTGAGCTCGAGTTCATGAACTTTCAAACTCCCTCCGAAGACGGATACGGCAGCGCCGGTTCCAACCACCCCAATCTGGCTTCCTTCCTCGAGAAGAACGCCCCCAGTGCGCTCCGACCTATCACGGCTGGCATGTTCTGCTACAGCTCGACGCGTCCTGTGGCCAACAAGAAATACTTTTATGATATTTTCAACACTGCTGCCCAGATCAACTGCGGTATTGAAGGATGGCACACTGAGGGCGGGCCCGGTGTGTACGAAGCTGTGCGTTCCCATTTCGATTTATACGAGGCATTGCTGACAATTTACAGGCCCTGAAAGTTACTGAGATTAGTGAGATGGCCGACAAGGTCGCAATGTTCAAGTCGGTGCTACCAATCCAATCATATTCTCCGTTTATAACTAACCACATCCAGGCTTCTCACTAAGTCGTTGGGAATGGACCACGGAGTCACACCTTGCTTCATGGCCAAGCCTATGCATGGCATGCCTGGAAGCTCAGGACACATCCACATTTCGCTCGCCGACAAGCAGGGCAAGAACCTCTTTGCGCGCGAAACTCCCGAGGAGAACCCTCAATGGTCAGACATTGCCCACCTCTCCGACACAGGACGCCACTTCCTCGCGGGACTTCTAGATGCCCTCCCAGATATCATGCCTCTATTTGCTCCTACCGTCAACTCCTACAAGCGTCTGGTCGAGAATTACTGGGCGCCGGTTTACATCAGCTGGGGACTCGAGGACCGAATTGCCTCTATTCGTCTGATCACACCACCCGTCTGCAAGCCCGGTGCCACCCGATTCGAAATCCGTATCCCTGGTGCCGACTTACATCCTCATTACGCTCTTAGTGTCATCCTCGCAGCTGGCTGGAGGGGTGTGCAGAAGAAGCTTGAAATTAAAGTCCCGCCCATGTCAGCACGAAAGGCAGGCGACTCTCGTCCAGAGCTATTGCCCAACACTTTAGACAAGGCTTTGGATCGTTTCTCGGCTCCTAACAGTATCGCGCGTGAGCTTTTGGATTCCGAATTTGTAGATTTCTTCACTGCTACGAGACAACATGAGTTGGGTCAGTGGAGGGAGGCTGTGACTGATTGGTAAGTTGGACAAAGCACGATGCTTCTTGACACAAAGCTAACTTGCTTATAGGGAGATCAAGCGGTACATTGAAATAGTTTAAACATGTACATTATACCACAACCAATGGAGTTTTGTCATTTCGTGCATGTTCTGCAGACCGGAGTCTTGTAGAATGGCCTATGCAGGCTTATGATTTAGCCCAATGAGACCTTCCATGTGATATTCTAGACATTTCCATAGTCACAACTCTATCCTGTGTAAATATCATAATCTTCAGCTCGACAAGCCCATTAACCAATAGTCACCAGTCCTCAGCAGTGTATAGATAGGGAAAACACGCTAAATATTTAGACTCCTCACGTGATGTGATCGGCAGCAACACCGGGGATCGTCTGGGGGGTTCATCACACTGGCCTCACCTTCCACATGTGTACATAACAGCTATCACATAACGAAATCTTGTTCGCAAAGCCAGCGCGATGGCTTCGAACTTCCCTCTCCCAATTCCCCCGCGCACCCCCACCCCGCCAGCGGATGATCAATATGCTTCGGAGATCAACTCAGGGATACCCATCGATCGCGATTCCCTATCGCCACTCAAGGCCTCATTCCCAAATGGTGTGATGGACATTGGCAGCACAGACCTATTGAGCCCTACGAAATCTTCCTTCAACTTGAGCCCAGCGCCCGAAAATGAAGTGTCACCGAGTGAAAATGGCTCGATCGACATGACCGCGGCGGGGCCGTTCAATTTCAATACTACTATTATGGCCAAGAGCCCAGTAATGAAATCGGTAGGTTCAATTGCCAGCATTCCATCTAGATGCGATGTACTAATCCAATTCCCTGTCAGAATATTGGACAACGTCGCGGCCACAAATACAAGCACAGTAGCATCTCGCACCAGATCTTCCTGGAGCCTCCACCTCGTGCACCCCTAGCCCTGCCAAACTCCCTCCCAATGCCAACTCTCAAAGAATGTCGAGCAAGTATGTCAAAGGATCAAAAGACCCGCTTCTGGTGGAGTGTGTGCCACATGTTCGTTGCGGCGTACACGCTCTGGACCGCGCACGGCTCCCTAGCCATGACAGCATTATCACACTTGATCTTATTCGACTCACTCGGCGCTATGCTATGCGTTGCAGTAGATGTTTTGGGTAATTTCGAAGTCTGGAAGAGATCCAGTATCCGCCACCCGTTCGGTCTAGAGCGTGCTGAGGTCCTGGCTGGGTTCGCCATGTGCGTTCTCCTCCTGTTCATGGGGCTGGACCTTATCTCGCATAATCTGCAGCACTTCCTTGAGAAGGCTGGTCACGAGCCTCACCATTCGCATGAGCACGATCGTGTTTCGCTGGGTAGTGTGGATATCACCGCCGTTTTGGCCATCTCTTCTACGCTCGTCTCAGCAATTGGACTGAAGAACCATGCTCGCATTGGGAAGGCTATGCGCTTTGCCTACATTGAGTCTCTTCCCTCTGTTCTGAGCAACCCATCCCATTTCCTGACTCTTTCGTGCTCAACACTGCTGCTGTTGTTGCCTCTGGTCTCGGTCCGGATCTATGATTGGCTTGATAAGCTCTTATCTGGAACTATCGCGTTCTCGATGTGCTTCATGGGAGTGCGCTTGGTCAAGACTCTTGGCTCTATGCTTCTGATGTCCTACTCGGGCCAAGGAGTCTCGGATGTGATCAAGGATATCGAAGCCGATCCGGCTGTATTTGGTATCGATGATGCCCGTTTTTGGCAGGTCCATTACGGGCTATGCATGGCTAATCTGAAGTTGCGGGTTAACGGCACTGAAGATAATCTTGCTCGGCTGCGCGAGAAGATCTCTAGCTTGATACGGAACAGACTTGGTGGTGGATATGGCACTGGTGGCCAGAAATGGGAGGTTTCTTTGCAATTCACTATTGAGCGCGCATGATTGGTTTTCATATTATTTTTATCATGGCTGCTGTTTTCGTTCGAAATACTCATGTCTACTTATCTTACAGCATGCTCCTGTATATTATGAGCCTTTATTTGCAGTACGTAACATCGATCTACCCAGCATCCGATCGGTATGTTCATAAACGATTATCCAATTACACTTATCGCCATCAGCTAGAAACAAGAAACGAGACCAGTGCACTGGGCAGCAAGTAGTATAAACCTACCTTCTATTGCGGAAGATCAAAGACTCAACCACTACACCAATACGCACAAGAGGGCCTGGGAACTTGAACGTAGTGTCCGCAGTAGCAGAAGCCGTCTGGTATTTCCCTTAACTTATCAGTGCACATTACAGCTCTACTGGCATGAAGCGGCATAAACCGCGAATGCCTCGACAAATATATGTTAAGATAGTGTTATGATAATGCATGCAATTGAGCGTTATTTTAAATAAGTTTTGCAAATCCTAGAATGAATTCATGATCTGTTTCTTTTTATGATTTTGATGAAGTTTGAGTCCTGATATATTTTCCAGGCAGCGCTAAGCTCAGAGGCAAGGCGACTATTGCAAAATCCGAAATTCAGTAATTGTAAATGTACACGAATATGTCTCAAGTCAATTTGATTGAGAGAGCATGAAACACTCAATTCTCGTCATACAAGTCTCATGATATCTCATGATATCCATTGTCGGTAACGTTGTTTGCTGGTATAATATTTGAGGCGATTTGATCTCACATGAATGAAGATTTCGATGCTTATTTCCTGATTAGTTCTTATCTGAAGGTTTTCATCATTGGAATAGGGTTTGAACTTCGAGATAGAGAAGGTTGAATATTAAGACGCGCGAAGATGAACTGGAGAAGCTGCTGAGCCGTTGCCAAGATTTGCAGACCATTTATATAGATATTCACCGTCCTTAATTGGGCATCGTAGATATAATTCCAGACACAAGCACTGATATCATAGAAAATCTTCGGTCACAGGCTACTGACATGTCAATTGATCATTATATCGCAAAGAGAAGTAGGCAAGAAGGAAAGTTATGTGGTACAACACAGCGGTCAATTAAGCAGACATCTCTTTATATTTAAATCGGGTCATATACCATGGATACATCTTTGAATTAAAGATTACCTAGAGACACAAAAGAGAAATATAACCTCATAAAAGAAAGTATGTATCCATCGCCAATCCACAGCCCTCACAGAATCCAATCAACAATCCTGACAATCATCACTAGAAGCGTAACAAATCTAGAACTCACCCGCAGCCGCGACAGCAGCATTGCCAGGCAAGTCACAAGCCAGCTTGAAGGAAACCCAGCCGGGGTCCAGAATGTCAGGGAGGCACTTGCCCGCAGCGAAGGGGCTGTCGTCGAAGGGAAGGAAAGTAGTGGGCTCGCCGGAGCAGCCGTCGTTGTTCCAGATAATCACACCATGGCAGTAGGCGGTGTCCTTGGTATCCAGGCGGGCTTTGAAAGAGTAGTTGTCGATGGACCAGTCGCGGTTGACGGTGGTCTTGTCACAGGTCAATGGGGTGGCTGTGACGCGAGCAACGAACTTGGGCTCGCCCAGGGCTGGGGCGCCCACGTCGCACTTCTCCCAGGATTGGAAGTCAATGCTGGCGACGGGCATGCCGGCGTAAGCAGTCATGGCGAAGGTGGCCACGGAGGCGAGGGTCTATGGTTTGTTAGTTCGGTATGTGTGTTGGTGAATTTGTTGGCTTACCTTGGAGAAGTGCATGATTGGTCAGAGATTGTGAGTATGGTTGAAAAGAAAGGATTCTCCGGCTAGGAAGGGCGTTAAAGAGAGTGTCGTTTGTTGTCGAGTTGGTCGTTCAAGGAAGTCCTGTTGGTGCGTGTCACGGCATTTAAGTACTTCTAGTGCTCGTACGCGAGGTTCCTTGTGTAGTAAACATGAATCTTGGGAGAATGACATCTTCTTTTGGTATGCAGAATGTAGAGCACTGCCTGTGATAGGAGCTCTAGGATCGAAGTATGAGGGACGAGAGCGGAAAGGGACGGTATGCGTCGATCCCCAGAGTGTTGACAAAGCGATTCCCCAGGAATGAACCACAAGTTTCGTGGATCAAGGGTGGCTGAAACCTTTTTTCAAGGCTTAATGTTTATTTGCAGGCGCTACGTAGCAAATTTAACATGATCATGGTCTGATACCGAAGGGAACGAATGCCATAGCAGCTCTGCTGACTTATTTAGCCCTCATAAAGGCGCTGAGCTATCTGGGATGCTAAATATCTCTTCATAAACGCTTTGAATGCAATTATCAATAAACTTTAGGGGCTTTGTCAAAAACCGCCACGCAATGTGTGAACCAACCACTCTATTTCCACCTATTCCATACAATATAGGCCACTATGCCGTCGAAAGGAAAGGTCAACATTCTTGGATCAACACTCAGCACCGGTCATTGGACAATATATGTAACTAGAAAATGCCAATAGCTCTATGTCGAAAGTAGCCATCGAGTCGAATTGCTCAACACCATCAATTATCTAGAAAATAGCCATACAATTAGGCGGGCTCGAAACACCCCTGGAGCAGTTCAAAGGACTACTGGAAATAAAGAAACTCCAACGCCCCAAACGCTCACAAGTAGCAGCCAAGTCCTCCAGATCAAACATCTCTCCAATGGGAACCCCCCAGCCAGCCAATAGATAATGATGCAAATCAAAGTCGGGGTTCAGAGCAGGATAAACCTCAAAGCTCACCGCATCAGAAGCAACCGCAGCAAAGTGATTATCCCAGATGAACCTGAGAACCCGCTCACTCTGCTCAATGCCCGCATGCTGCGGCGTTCTCTGCTGAGAATACGCCAGCCGCTCTTCACCCGACATCCCCTCCCACGTCCCCGGCAGCCCAACCCGCAGAAAGAAGATATCCCCTTTCTGGAACTCGATGTTGCTCTCGCGCGCAATGGCGAGCACCTCGTCCAGCGAGATCATCTGGCGCGTCAGCGCATTGATGCTGATGCCGTTCTTCTTCGCGTAGGAGACGTAGTCGATTAACACGCCGCGACCGGCTATGCCTTGCTTCGCCCAGTGTCCAATTCCAATACGCGAGGATTTCTCGTCCTGGATTTCGGCGGCAGTTGTGCCGCCATAGAATACGCGGCGGTCTTTGTTTTCCGGGGTTGGCGCTGGTGCGTTGTGGTGTCGCAGTCCGTCCCACTGCGAGGATTGCTGTGGGTTGAAGTGATATTCGTCGTCGAAGGCGATGCCTTCGGCGACCCATTGGACGCGGTGTTCGAATGCCTTGCGGCCGAATCCTGGTTGACTTTCGTTAGAGGGCATGGCTTCTACGGGGTCTCTTTTCTCTTGTGTCTAGGTGGTTTACCTGGTGGATTCAGGTTGTCCATATTCCAGTTTAGGCATACGCGCTCGCCGGTCTTGATTTGAGTTTGCGCAGCTTGGGCGACTATCTCTGGAGTGAGGAGTCGGAGCATTCCTAGACCTTCTTCCTCTGACCCTGGGGCTCCGGGCCAGAAGCGACGCTTGTCGGGGAGATCATCGTATGTCTCTGGGAGATTGGGGATGCCAGACATAATGTATACGCCGGAGGAAGACAAGATGAGGATCAAATGGGCAGGGCAGAGGTCTTATAAACACACTCGGAGCAAGTCCGTTGACGTATGACCCCGCAATACGCCCTTGATCATTGGCTTTGATACACATCGTGCGAGCAACAGCAGCCCCGATGCAATGTGTGGGGTTATACTTGCTTCAATGATTGTGCATACATTTTGCCTGTGAACAGCATGTAGACGAAACAATCCAGAAACTCAGGCCTACCAGCAAAAATTGAATAAGTATAATCAAGGTGCATATGGAAACTACCCAAAGAGGTACGTGTAGAATACAGGGTGATCGCTAGGACAAGCAGCATAGCAAACAAGAGAGAATTTACATATCATCCAGGTCATCCCCAGTCTTCGGGCCACCCTTCTTCAAATCCGACATTTCATATTCCTCCTCGCGACTGGCACCACGCTCACCAGCCGACATGGCAATAGCTTGACGACCTGTGTCGGAGGACTCCAGGAAATCGCGCAAGCGACGCTTACCTTCATGCAGGGCTTGCTGGGAAGCAGCTTCGGTCATTTTGAGCATGGGGCCCCAGAGATTAAGTTGGTAGGTTATGTATGCGCCAATGGCGCAGACAAATAGAAGGATGAAGTAGGCTGGGTTGCGGAGGACTGAGAAGTCTTGTTAGTATCGTGAAGATGGAAGGGTATATATGGCTGTGAGAGAGTGAACTTACCAGCCCAGATCTCGTTCCAGCCAAGAGCAAGGAGTAGACCGTAGAAATACAATGGCACTTGTGTCATACCGCCAATGGCACTGCGCTTGGCTTCGACGTAGACGCCGTCCGCGGTCTTCTTGAAGCGCACGGTGAGTTCTTGGCGCTTTGTGTCACTGAGAATGGTCATCTCCTCTTCTAGGCTCTTGCCTTCATCTTCGTCTACACCGCCGATTGGTGGCAAGTCTTCCTCATCCGCCGGGGTTGCGGTGCTAGGTGTGTGCCCGATCCATCGGTCAAGTGGGGGAGGAGCAGATGTCTTCTCCAAACGGAATCGCGACAGAAGGGGGATGACGGTCAAGGTGGATTCGCGAGCACGGGTGTAGATGCCTTCAATGTCATCAGTTGGGCGCCAGATGCGCGGCACACCGTCTTCATCGTAGCGGAACTTGTCCTCGAAATTCTCACGTAGTTTGAGAAGCAAGTTGCCCTCAATCATTTCCTCGTCGATCTTAGCACGGAGAACACCCCAAGACTTGCGGCGCAATCGCCACAGTCCGACATCAACCTCATCGAGGCTAGCGTCGAAGCTGCTCGCACGGTCTGTGAAACGTCGCTCGGCATCGAGAACGGTCTCCTCGAACAAGTTCCAGATGCGATCCCAGAAAGCCTTCTCAGTGGGCTTCTCTCCGTTCTCGGGGGCGCCATTTCCAGCTCTTCCAGATCCAAGGGCGTTGAACTCAAGGCCAACAGATTCACCCAGACGGGATTGCACCCAGCGCTCGACACGGGTAGCCAAACGTCTCATCTCATCACGACGGAGTCGGGCGCTAACTTCAGATAATTCCTTCTGGTAAAGAGCCAGCTCTTGCTTGTAGTCACTCCACTTGGCACCCTCAACCAGTGTGGAGCGGGCGACCCCCTCAAACTTCTCCAGAGAGCCCTGAGCTTCCCGAGTGACAATTTCGGCAAAGTCATAGCTGCCGCCCTTCTTCTGGCCATCCTTCACGGCAGCCGAGACCGAATCACTGAATTCACGAATGCCGGACTTGTGAGCAGCCGAAAGCTGACCGTGGAACAGGGCCTTCAGACGGGTATCAACCTTGTTCTCAAGCTCAGCACTCTTGCGCTGGTATACACCCTTGTGGTATCGGCTAGCCTCTGTCTGGAAAGACTTCAGGGTCTTGGAGCGGGCACCGCGCATGGCAACACCCAATCCACCAAGGACCTCTGGCGCACCAAGGCGCACAGCCTCGGCCTGCTTATCCTCAAATGCGATGATCGCCTCATCAAACCCAATCATCACTTCGCGCAGAATCTCGTCGCAACGGAACTGGGCAAGCAATTCCTGCTGAGTTGGCAAATCCAAGTCTTTATTGTTGACAATCTGATCCCAAATGCCCTCCGCATAGTGCGAGAATCCATCAGCGGGAATGCGACGGTGGTATTCAGGTAAGAAAACGCCGCCTTCGGAGAAATCGCCCTTGAGCGCATCCCTCTTAGGGTCGCGGTGACCCTCCCGGAAGCGCAAGCCCAGTTTCTTTGTCTCCGTAGCAAACTGATCAGGCTGGTATCCCTTATGCGGAAGTCCGTAGAACTGGAAGTCAAAGTAATCATGGATCGTAGATTTCTCCAAGCCAGCCGGCTTCGATATCGTAGCCCAGAGACGAGACAAATCTTCCAATAATGTCTTCTGGAGGTTCTTAAGCGGTGTTGTGCCGATGAAATCGCGAATGACGAAGAAAAGGAGAGAGCGATGGGTAGTGCTGCAAGCTGATTAGCGCAAAAACTAGACATGTCATAGATCAAGGCAGATTGGACATACTGTTTATCTTTCAGGAAGAGCTGCAGGTTAACCTCAAAGACTGTCTTCAACAATCCCATGTTGGCACCCTGGTACAAGCCAACCTGGTGTTCCCAAATATTGACGATAAGAACCTCACTAGTGGCCAGCGCGAAAAGTGCACTCTTGCGCTCAAAGTCCTGGTCCTCGCCTCTTTCGCGACCATCCGTGCCCTCCACGTCCATAACCAGGATGTTATCCGCCATGCGCTCCTCCGCGCCGGCCTCGCCTTGCTTCTTATTGTTCGACAGCCAAATACCCTTTGTTGTTTGCCTTCGCTCCAGCTCAGACATCACCGAGAACTCGGTACCGAAGAGGTGGTTGAGCAATGTTGACTTTCCGGTGGACTGCGATCCGAACACAGAGATGAGGTGGTAATTGAAGCCGGCGGGTGTGACATTTTCGAGATTCAAGTATTTGGACAAGTTGGGACTATAACGATACAATTAGTACTGCGTATGAAGGACTGTGGTGGTCGTGGTGGTGGCCGAACGCAGTTGAGGGGGGTCTGGGTCTAGGTGTAGGTGGCCGTACTTGAACTCCTTATCTCCATCAATGACTTGCACGCCATGCTCGTAGGATGCGGTGTCGCCGTCGCCGCCGATCGAGGCAAAGTGGCCATTGGATAGGACAGATGGCGCTGTCGGGCTTCTTTCTAACCCTGAGGGGCGACGTTCAGACATGATCTATTGCTCCCTGTGCTATGTGGGGGTGGAAGTTGTCAACTCCGGATGGCCAGAGTTGTAGGAGCAAAAACGGGAGGATCTAAACGAGCACAAGGGAAAAAAGACGAAACGTGTGGAATAGGAAGAATCACAAGGGTGTTTCACGAGGTCATTGAGGTCCCGAGGTCGTTGCTGGGGAAAACATTACATAACCCGGTGGCGTGTGAAGTCATATGGAGTTTCGATATGGGGTTAATATGTTCATTAATAGGGTTAGAACTTGTTTTTTAGATTATATTTCAGGCGCTGAACAGTTTCTACGTGGCTGAAGTTTGGTTATGTGCTCTTCAGGGGCGTCCATGCGTAGAGTGGATAGGAGATCTTTGTTCGCCATATTATACAGCCACGCTCTATATACAGGGTAAAGGGGTATCTAAATTATGGAGGCACTGCATCGTACCAGTTCAGGTTCCAGCCCTGATCAAGTCCAAGATCAACACTAGGATTAGGCCACATGTACTGGCCAAAGTCGTCGAACAACCCACTAAACGCGTTGACTTCCAGGCCAGCAAATGGGTTTGTGGGTGGCTCTCCTCTTGAAAGCCAGGATTCATCGGGATATCCAGGGCCCAGAGATGGTGTGAGGGTGTCGCCATTTAAGACCTCGGTGTTGGTAGTCGATGGACCTTCTGGGTCAGAGATAGGCGGCGTGTAGGGCAAGCAGGAGTTCTGTCCGGGGCAAGAGGCTTGTGCTTCCGCTGTATTGGATATAGTCGACTCCAGGTCTTTCAATTTGGGAGCACACTTGGCAGCACACTTGGAGAATTTGGTTCCAGCACCTACTGTGATAGTACCAAAGTAAGGCACGGTAATTTTGCAACTTGACATGTTGCAACAGTCTGGCCTCAGTTCCCTGTTATCGAATATGGCGCCCAGAATGTTTGCGGATTCAACGGCAACTGAGCCTCCAGGTTCTGTTGCCGCTCGACGAAGAATTCCGACCACATTTTCGACCAGACCCCAGTCTTTTTGGTCTTGCTCTGTGCTGTGATCGGGTGATTCATCAGAATAACCATGCAGATGGACTATCAGGAGCATGCATAGTGTGAAGGCCATAAAATCTGTCATCTTGCACAAATATGGTTTGGTTGTTGACCGGAGCACCTTGTACAGTGATAGACCTTCTCGTGCAGAGTCGATCGCAATTTTATGACAGGGCCTGAATTGAGGTTTGTGGGGGGCTTGTAACATCAGAGGAAGATGGAGAAGTGCACGAAGCAGCTTGAGCATGAATTGCAATGGCACTCTTTCGAGATAATGCTCCCTTCTTTCGCCCAGCGAAGGATTCTCACTCCGTAGATGAATTGGCATAGCATTCCAAGAATCCTGTAGTTCTTCGTCCAGTTTCATTGTTGCCTCAAAAGACATGTTTGATGGATCCTGTATTCTATCAACCATGTGTCCTGTTATTACACCAATGCGGAGCAAGTATCCCTCTGGGGCGGTAATATTCGAATTGAGACGTTGCTTGACCTGCGGTAAGAAAAAGCACTCCGCTACACCATAGGGCAAGCCAAGTATGAGACTGAGTGATCTGTCTGATGTTCCCAGTGAACACCAGATCTTGAGGCGCCGTTCATATAGTGAGTCTTCCGGCCTCGGAACCTTGGTTGAGAGATGCATCCCTGCCAAATGGGCAAATTCAATCGCTCGACGATTCACTAGCCAGGCTTTTCGCAGGCGGCCTTCGGCCAAATGCAGCTTTGAAAGCAACATTTGGCACTCAATGCCTGGCAATGTGGCCGCAAAGTCATCATCGCGAACAATCAAACGGTCAACCGCGGTGACACATCGATCGTAGAACACCTGAGGGTCAAGTGGCTCAGTCAACGCCTGGAAATCAAACTCATCCGGTGCATGAATTGCACTAATGCAAAGACACATGAGTGCCTTCGCAACTTCAGCAGGTGCGACAAGAGTTTTATGGCAATCTTCACCGACAAGAAGCCTCCTATCGGCTCGATTAAACAGCTCTGGGAAATGATCTTGCCACTCGAACCAGTGGAAAGAGGCATTGATGATTTTGTTCACGTCCGATGTTGGAGGAAGAATAGACAGCAACTCCGTGCGCACGGCGTGCGCTTTGGGCGACATGTCCTTGACACCGGCGAATTTGTCGTTATCTGAGGTATCCTCACGACGGCTCACGAGATAATTGTCGAACAGTTGCAGCACTGGCGCATTTCGGATCTGGTCACTTGACGGGCCTAATTCGTCTGACGAGGTGGTTTCCAGTGGGCACTTTTTTTTCATGCTCGGACATGTCGTTGCTGAGTACTGTTAGTGACATTATAGTATACAAATCGAATTTATACTAACGCTGGGTCGACTCGTGCCTCTCAGTAGACGGAGTGCGCGAGTTTTGTCGATCTAGTCTTTTGGTCAAGCCTTCCACAAGATGTTCCAGATGTGCAACTCGTTCCCGAAGACTATACGGTTGCTCTCCTTGGGAGAACTGCGATCCTGATAGTGGCGGGGTAATGACGGTGTGCTCTTGGTCGATGCATTGCGTCCCTCGTGATCGACATTCATTGCAGACGCCGGGGCGATCTGGGTGGAATGTGCATCGAATCTTGCGCCGCCGACCTATCAACAGTCAGTATCTGCGTCTTTGATGGAGCGAGGAGCATAGGCTCGCTGTGGCACGTACACTCCGTGCAGCTCTTCGTCCCCTTCCTCATCCTCTTTCTCGGCGGTCCTTGATCAGACCAATCATCCATAGCTATGATGTATAAAGACAAGTTTAGAATATGAGTGTGTATTAGTTGCAAATCACCAGCTGCACCAGATGAGAGATCTTTGCCGTTAGCTTCTCAGAGCATGGCAGTCCACGATTCTTCTCCAGAGTGAAGCAAGAGAAGATGGGAATGATGCAAGTCAAAAGTGAGACCTGCCTATGACTTAATCCCAGTCCAAGTGTAAGAGTATTCTAGAAAGGAGTACGTGTGTTTCGTTGCCTATACATGCTCGTCCGTCATGTTCGGCCGAAGTCGTGCGGTCGAAGGTTCGTCCGGGCCAATCGGATGTAAATTCTGCTGAGTTCCGTGTGAAGTCGGTTGATCTATAAAACCGACTCTTGTCTGATCCATTGACGAAAGTATATTGAAATTATAACTCACCTTCTTTTGCTTATTTTGCAGCATGCCGGGGGGGGATGGGGAGCTCGTGACTGATCTTGTACATGTCGGATAAAACTTCACGGTTGAAATGAAGGCAAACTACGCACACGGGCCAACGAGGCCTCACATGCTTACAGACCATAGGACTTGAAGAATTGAAAAATTGAACGTTGAGAATTTGTTGAATACATTTTCACGGGAGTGGAGAATAGAGGAGAAAATCTGACTCGATTCCAGAATAGTAAAGGTACATGGACAAGATTCAATCGAAAACTCCGGATTACCGCCGGATCCTCGTGCTAATCGATGATTCCCGCGCTGTGAAAAATAAGGTGCCAAACACAAAAGATGGAAGAAAAAGGAGTTCATAATACAAGGGTCAGGGGTTTTGACCAGATGGTAAGGGTACGTGGAGAGACCATTTACTCGACAACACGGGTGATCAAACCAGTGGCAACAGTGCGGCCACCCTCACGGATGTTGAAGCGCTGACCGGTCTCGGCAGCAACGGGGTGGTGGGTCTTGAGGATCATCTCAACGTTGTCACCGGGCATGACACGCTTGGACAGATCGCCATCGGGGAAGCTGAGGTCACCGGCCTCATCGGCAGTGCGGATGTAGACCTGGGGGCGGTAGTTGGCACCGAAGCCAGTACGGCGGCCACCCTCAGCCTCGGTCAGGACGTACATGGAGACCAGGAACTTGCTGCTGGCCTTGGTGCTGTTGGGAGCAGCAACGATCATACCACGGCGGAGATCCTCACGGCGGACACCACGGAGGAGCAGACCGGAGTTATCACCAGCACGGGACTCGTCACAGGACTTCTTGAAGGTCTCAATATCGGTAACCTTGGTCTTGATGGGGTTACCGTCGTTGGTAGCACCAACAATCTCGACCTCAGTATCCTTCTTCAAAAGACCACGCTCAACGCGGCCAGAAACGACGGTACCACGACCGGGAATGGAGAAGACTTCCTCAATGGACATGAGGAAAGGCTTGTCCATGTCACGCTCAGGGGTGGGGATCCAGGAGTCGACAGCCTCCATGAGCTTATCAATCTGCTGGGTACCGATTTCGGGACGACGGTCCTCGAGGGCACAGAGGGCAGAGCCGAAGACGATGGGAGTCTCCTCACCCTCGAAACCGTAGGTGGAGAGAAGCTCACGCATCTCAAGCTCGACGAGCTCCAGCATCTCGGGGTCCTCAACGGCATCGACCTTGTTGACGAACACAACAATCTTCTGGACACCGACCTGGCGAGCAAGCAGCAAGTGCTCACGAGTCTGGGGCCTGTAAATTGGGTTCTGTTAGCTCGCTTCCAATTGAATCATGGGAACTTCAAAGCGTACATCTGACCGTCGGAGGCAGCAACGACGACAATGGCGCCATCCATGTTGGCAGCACCAGTAATCATGTTCTTAATGTAATCAGCGTGACCGGGGCAGTCGACGTGGGCGTAGTGACGGGCCTCAGTCGAGAACTCAATGTGAGCAGTCGAGATGGTGATACCACGCTTGCGCTCCTCGGGAGCCTTATCAATGGAGGCATAGTCGAGGAAGTTGGCAAGACCCTTGGAGGCCTGGTACTTGGTGATAGCGGCAGTCAGGGTGGTCTATGGCGCATGTGTTAGATTTGATGGCGGAGGTATCGGAAGAAGTCGCGAAGGCTTACCTTGCCGTGATCGACGTGACCAATGGTACCTGGAAGGAATGTTAGCAAGAATACAAGTGACGCGCAATGAAGCTATCTTTACCAATGTTCACGTGGGGCTTGGTACGCTCGAAAGCAGTAGCCAGGCCACGAGCGGCCACCTTGTTGCTGAAGACATGGTGGACGGGGTTGACGGCAGTTGGGCGCAGCAGGGAAGACCGGCTGGTGCGCGCCAAAAGGTTCAATGAACGGGAGATGCTCGACATCTTGGTTCAATTGACAAAAGCGATGGAAGAAAAAGAAAGGCAAGAAGAAACAGAGATAAAGATGGAAGAGAAGAAGCCCAGATCAACACCAAATTTTTTAGTCAGACAGCGGATTCAGGGAGGTGCTTAGTCATCAGCCAATCAGGATGTTGGAATTGCGGAGGATGCGCTCCCCAGAACATTGAAGGGTTGAAGAGATGTAAAGGAGCACAAGTGGTGGAATATTCAAACATTTGCATGCTCTGAGCTATGACTTGTAAACCAGGGTAACCTCCGTCGCATTGATCTATAGAGCTAGCGAGCAACACGCGTGTATCTTCTTGAATTTACGTCATGCCATATGGACTAACTTATATGAAGTTCACCGGTCAACCTTGAAATGTACTCAAGAAGTGTTCCATATTTAATCAGGTACTTCATTCCGCATAGTATTATGAAGCTTATGACTTGTACACTTCAGTTCCATATTATATACACAGTGTCCAGTCCACCTAAATGTCCTTCTGCACGGTAAACGTAACAACCTTCCCAGGTTCACCCTCCATTGGCTTTATCTGATTGGCACCAGCCTCTCTCACAGTGTCGAGTACTTTCTGCATGACTTGCTTGATCTCATCCACGGTTGCCCTGCGTTTGTGTCGTTTCGAAGTCAAAATGACCTCCACCTTCCGACCTTTGTCCAAGAAGTTTGTGAGCTGTTTCAGCCGGTGTGACAGATCATGCGCATCAATGGCCCAGTTCAACTCAATGGACTTCAAGGTATTCTTTGGTGCTCGTGCTGCTTTGGCCTTGGCTTTTTCGGTTTCCCGCACCTGTTTCTTGTTGTAGATTTTGCAGACTGGAAGGTTACCGTCTTCCGCAGCTTGAACCTGCAGGAGGAAATAATGATCATGATCAAAGGATTCGAGGACTTCTTCGGTTCTGGTCGGGGGGCTAGGTTGCCTTCGTCGTTGACGAGTTGTATGAACCTTGCAGTGATACCTTCATTTCTCGGAGGTCCTCGAACGGGCGGACGATATTCACGGAGGTAAAGGCAATGTGACTGTTGAAAAGATCGAAGCTGGAGTCCCTTTTGCAGAGGATTGGAAAGAATGCCGGCTCTGGGGATGCGCCTGGATACTATGAAGATCTGGCGTAGAGCCTGGGCGGACGACATGAGCCCGCGAGTGTGGCTCATGCTGGTAGTGAGATCGATAGCTGGAGAGATCCGGTAAACGTGGAGTGTGAAGGTGCACTGTTGAGTTGGGGAGGTTAAAGCCAAGCAGATGAGAGTCCGTGACGAGGCGGGAAGATATCGGGGAACCGCATTCAGCCACGTTTGCGCCACAGTCCTGAAACCCTTGGATCTCCTTTCTCCTGACAATTTTCCCTGAACATCTCTCTCCCTCTTCTTTCTGGTCTGGTGTTTCTGGAGGATCAATGTTCGCTTGCTTGTTTGATTTTCCTCTCTCTTAACCCTTCCGGTCGTTCATTCATCCTTGGTGAACATTCGCCACCTGTCTCTATATTCGACCATTTGCTCGCATGTCGACTGGAGTTGACAACCAAGACAACAAACTCCACCTAGATTCAAGCGCCCGTCGACGCTCCACTCTCAGCAATCGTTCTATTTCGCAGTCAGTCAAGACCATTTTGACCGACGAACAAGCCAACATGGCACAAAGCCAAAGATCGCGGTATCTGAAGACGGGGGCTATCATCGCCTTCATCTTCATGGTGTTGGTATGGCTTTCCCCGTCTAAGCCTGCTACGTCTACTTTTACTCACGGTATGTATTCACTTTGCGCCAGTCGCTTCATATGACTGATAATTTTGCAGAGCAACCACCCTCAAGCAACGCCGTGGCGTCAAGCGGGAAATGCACCAAGTCCTCCGATCCGTCTAAGCCCCTGATTCAATATGCACTCATGATCGATGCTGGTAGTACCGGGTCTCGCATTCACGTCTACCGCTTCAACAACTGTGGCCCCACTCCTGAACTTGAAAATGAGGTTTTCGAGCAGACCAAGAAGGTCGAAGGTGGTAGCTCTGGCCTCAGCTCTTTCAAAGAGGACGCTGAGGGTGCTGCCCACAGTCTGGACCCTCTCATGGAGGTCGCTTTGAAGTCTGTTCCCGATGAGTACAAGTCCTGCTCTCCGATTGCCGTCAAGGCTACAGCTGGACTTCGTCTTTTGGGTGAAGAAATGAGCGGCAAGATTCTGGAAGCCGTCCGTCGCCGTCTGGAGACAGCTTACCCCTTCCCAGTAATCTCCAAGGACAAGGGTGGCGTCGAGATCATGGATGGCAAGGACGAAGGTGTCTATGCTTGGATCACGGCCAACTACCTGCTCGGCAAGATCGGTGGCCCTGACGACACTCCTACTGCTGCTGTTTTCGACTTGGGTGGCGGTTCTACACAGATTGTCTTCCAGCCTACCTTTGAGAAGAGCAAGTCCGGTGGTATGCCTGAGCGCCTCGCTCCCGGTGATCACAAGTATGACCTCAGCTTTGGTGGCCGTGATTTCGAGCTGTATCAACATTCTCACCTTGGATATGGTTTGATGTCTGCCCGCGAGAACATCCACATGGTTGTTGTCGAGAACATGCTGGCTAACAACCCCAACGACCTATCCTGGGCGAAACAGCCCATCCCTAATCCTTGTATTGGACCTGGAATGTTGCGCGATGTCACCCTCAAGTTCCCTGCCAACCACCCTCTGGGACCCTCTACCGATTTCCAGATGGTTGGACCCAAGGATAAGTCCATGGCGCCTCAGTGTCGTGCTCTTGCCGAAAAGACCCTCAAGAAAAGCGGCGAGTGCAAGCTTGCTCCTTGCTCTTTCAATGGTGTTCACCAGCCCTCTCTCGCAAAGACTTTCTCCCGGGAGGAGGTCTTTGTCTTCTCCTATTTCTATGACCGCACTGCTCCTCTGGGCATGCCCGAGTCTTTCACTCTTAACGAGCTCCACGATTTGACTGACACGGTCTGTGCCGGCGAAGGCAGCTGGGGTGCTTTCAAGGGCATTGAAAACGCTCTTACTGAGCTTCGTGATCGCCCTGAATGGTGCTTGGACCTCAACTTCATGATGGCTCTGCTCCACACTGGTTACGAGATGCCCTTGTCCCGCGAGGTCAAGATTGCCAAGAAGATCAAGAACAACGAGCTGGGCTGGTGTCTTGGTGCTAGGTTAGTAAACTCCAACTCTCACAACTCTCACAATTTTAGCATATACTGACTTTCGTTTTTCACAGCTTGCCCCTCCTGAGCAAGGAATCTGGCTGGACCTGCCGCATCAAGGAAGTGTCCTAAACAATTTACGGCGACACGCAAAATTAACTTCTTTTAATATTGACATTCGGTGATAGTGTATGGTGGGTTCATGCATATATAGAGATCCGTGATATGTCCGTTCTGGTTTTTTTTATTCCATGTCTGACTTAGACTTGATTTATTGGCGAGTTGCATAGGAAATGTATCGATGTTTTACGTTCATGGCGATCAATGGGTGCAGTTCTATAGACACAAATAAGGAAACACTTTCAAGGTGCGAGGTCAAATGCTGCCATAGTAAAAGACTGTTCAAGAGCCGTGATACAAGCCTCCATCATTTGATCGTTACAATGATGCCTTTCCTTCAATTTCTTTAGACTCGGCTTGGATTTCGGAGAAGGTTGATTTAGAGACTTTGTTGTTACGCTCTAACTCATAGCGTGATCCTTTTCTGGACTTCCGAGAATTTATCATGAGTAACAGCATTTCACCACAAAGTAATCCTCGAAAATTTCTTCGCATGCTTGATTCAAAAAGTAAAACATCAAGACGCTAATTATGACAACACGTATCCCATATGCAAACGAATGACAAGCTGGTAAATCGCCAAAAATGAAATAAGTACTAGTAAGTAGCACACATCCAAATCAATGTCTTCAACATTGCAAGCCACATAAGACAACATATTATTCCGTCATCTCCTCAATGGACGGTTTGTCGGCCTCGGCCTTCTTGCCCTTTCCTCCCATTAGTTTCCCAATGATATCAGAGTCCTTCAAGTCTTGGGACGTATTCCCAGCACCAGCAGTACCCGTCTTTGACTCTTCGTCGTCATCCTCATCCTCGCTAGACGAATCACCATCTTTCTTTTCTTCCAGGACACCAAGACCAAGATCCTATGATGAATCAATTAGCAAAGTTCACACTTGCATATCAAATGAAACATACCATCTCAATATACTGCTCCCCGCTCTCATCAGCATTATCAAGAACAAGATTTCCAACCCTGCCAGCCTCGATCTCCTTCTGCAAATCCTCATTCGCGGTCTTCATCTGCGGCAAGAAAGAAGTAAGCCGCGACAACAGCTCCGAGTCGCCCTTCATGCGGTGTATACGCGGTTTAGGGCGGCCGCCGATGTGTGGTAGTGATGAGGATGAATCAGCTACTTTTGCCCCTGTGGCTCTGGGTTCATCGCGCATTTCTTGATCGGAGTGGTGTTCGTCTTCATTTTCGCTTTCACTTTCACTAGAGTCTTCTGAGGAGCCCGAGGATGAGGTTGGGTCTGAGTCTGAGGGAGGGTATGAGGCGCGTTGACGGCGGGCCGTACGGTCTGTTAAATTCATTGTTTTTGAGGGTTTGTTGCTGGTCGGGCTCTTTGCTGCCTCTGGCTTTGAGGTTTCTTTTTGCATGGTTCGTGTGTTCGGAGTGGGTTGTCGTTAAAGTTCAGAGACTTATAGGCTTTTCTGGCGCAGAGTAATGGGGTCTTGAGGCAGTGCAGAAAATTCTGGGTCTAGTGAAAATGACAGTCTATGTCAAGCCTGTCTGTACTGTAAATGAAGAAGAGAAGAGAAGTTGAGTTTGAGTTCAACTTTTTTGGTGGAGCACCGATAAGCGATCTTATCGCTTATCACCTACAGAGTCTAGATAGGCATACTGTAAGTTACAGTATAGAGACATTGAGATGGCAAATACTCTCTTCATTAGTGTACACGGTATTGATATTACAAAATCATTGCTCAGGGTATTAACTCCAGTCCCTCCTTCTACTGCGACTACGCCGACGAATTGGACTTCTCCGGCGGCTTCGGCTGCGTCGACGACTAGGGCTCCTGCGGCGACTGCGATCCCTTCTGCGACTAGGGCTTCGCCGGCGACTGAGACTCCGTCTGCGGCTGGGACTCCGCCTGCGACTACGGCTTCTTCGACGGCTGGGACTTCGACGGCGAGATCGTTGGTCCTCTGTGTCTTTTTCTTTCGGTTTTGGCGTCGGCTTCTCCGGTTCTTTTTCATCATCCAGTTCTTTCTTGATCTCTTTGTCTGCGACGGCCTCGCCTTCTTCCTTGATGGGAGCCTCCTCGTCGTCTCGTTCAGAGGGCGGCATGTATCGATCAATATCACCCATTCTTGGTCGTTGGTCCCGTTCTCGTTCTCTCTCTGGGGTCCTAACCCGGCGCCGAGGTGACTTGCTTCGATTGCTCGTGGAAGGCACATAACGGTCAATATCAAGAGTTGGCGAAGGAGAGCGACGCCGAGAGCGTGAGCGGCGTCGAACGGACCTTGAACGAGATCTAGACCGGTCCCGGGCCCTGGCTCGAGGGCGAGACCGCGAACGGCTTCGTGAGCGGCGGCTACGTGAACCTCGACGCACAGGTGAACGAGAAGTTCGGGGGCTTCGTCGTCGAGGGCGGTAGGTTTCGTATTCCCGTTCTCGCTCGCGGCTGCGCTCAGGTCGTCGATCAGCATCCCGGTCGCGGTCTTTAGACGGTGCTCGATCACGCCGGGCCACAGAGCGACTGCGGCTCCGACGAGCTGGTCTATAGCTTCGATCATCGGGTCTATTGTCTCGGAAGTCACGATAACCACGACGCGAGTCCATGTCACGATCACGGGATCTCACAGAGTCCCTAGACCGGTCACGGCGATCAAATAGAGGTGTGCGTCGCCTGCGTGAGCGACTCAGGCTTCGATCACGCATCAGATGCCGGGACCGCTCTCTACGATCTGTCGTTGAGCGGCGCCTGGCCTCTGAATCGCGTGACGGACTGGCCGCTCTAGTTGAGGCACCAGAGTACTTGTCGTTGACACTCTTGTTCGCTGCTGATGCCGGTTTCAGGCCATTCTCAATAGCTTCGGCCTCTTCGAAATCAAACTCTGGCTTTATTCGTGCCTTCGCTGCAAGCTCTTCGCCTTCTTTGAGGAGCATCTGTAGTGCGGCCTCCTCCAATGACTTTTCGTCCACTGGAGCGGGAGTCGGGTCTTTTGAGGCGATTGACTTCTCCCGTTTAATATCCCGGAGACGCGGAGATAGGTTACGCTCTGGTCGATAATCAGGAGAACGATCACGGAAGCGCTCTCTGTCACGGGTTCGGCTGCGATCACGGTCCCAGTAGCGGTCCCGATCCCGATCCCGGTCTTCTCGTCTTCGTCGATCGTATCTTTCTTGTCGTTCTCTTTCGCGCTGATCATCAAGGAGTCGTTGTTCTTCGCGTAGGCGCTCGCGGTCAGCCCGTCTCTGTTCATCGATCTCCTTTCTTCGGGCCCTGTCTTCGTCTTCCTTCTGTCGCTCCAATTCGCGCTTCTTGCGGAGGTCTTCCTCTTTGATTCGTTTCTGTTCTTCCTCGAGTTCCATCTCTTTGCGCTTATCTTCCTGCCATATTTTCTCCCGCCTGTCATGGTCGATTTTCACAAGGGCGTCATAGTCTGCATCGGTTTTGTTCCCTGACTCCAGTTCGCGCGCAGCAACATCCTCCCCAACTTCTTGACGGCGAATTTCGCGAAGGGACTCGAGGATGAAATCGGCGTGTTGTAGTGCAAGCTGATCGATCGAGTTCTCTACATTCTTGTAAACGTCGCCACGATCGACGGCTCCTTCAATCAGTGTCGCGGCTTTACCTCGCTCACGGGAAAGAAGTGCCGGTTCGCGGTCAATCTCCGATTCGGCGAGAGCGAGCAGCTCATTGGTGAACATGGTCCTTGGTTCCTGCCAAAAAAGTATTAGTAAAGTAGAGAATAAATGCGCGGGGCTAGGGGGTTATTGTAAGCGTACACCCTCATTGAATCCTGCCCAAAGCTGCTTGCGAACAAGGTCAAAGTAGCCCTTCTTCTTAAACGCATGGCGGAGTTTGTCCATGGCTGCATGTTGCACGGGAGTAAAGGGCAGATCCTCAGTCTTGAACTTCTTGCGTCCTGCGATCTCAACATCAATTGGCCGTTTATTTGCAGGTGATCCATCCCCTAGGTCCTGAGGAGGATCCATTTCGGCCATAATGACAGCTTGAAGACAAGCCTGGAAACAAGTCTGGAAACAAGTCTGGAGAGAGATTCCCAGGTCGCGTGCGATAAGCGATAAACCAGGCACCGGAGAATATTTGTTCCATGATTGGGAACTCCGGCCCGCTGATTTGCTTCAACCTCGTCTCTCCTGGTCTATTGCGACGGCAACATCATAACTCCGCCTCCATTCAATCCGGCTCTTGTGGTGTTGAACTACCCAATCCACCCATCAGTCACGTCTGTCTTTAAGTCGGAAGTCTCCCGGCCCGCATATTACAACCACCAGCCCGCGCCCGCCCGCGATCATGGTTCACAAGGTGCTCTTCTGGAGCGGCTTCGGTACGTGAAATACCCCTCTCCAACTTTCATTGCCCTATCAGATTACTCTCTGTTATTTAAATGCCTTTGTACTTGAACCCAGGATCATATCGGTTAACCATATCCTTCCCACAGGCATCGCCGTCCGCCTCTGGCAACTCGGAATCGAAATGCGTCCTATCCTCGCCAAGGAGTCCCTTTGGGTTTACCCTCTTTTTGCCGGTGTCGGTGGTAGCTTCGGTTACTGGATGCAGGGTGTTGAGAGCAGACAATTGAAGATGCTTGCACAGCGCCGCGAGGCCATTCTCGAGAAGCGCCGACGGAGGGACCAGCGTGAAGAGAGCGAGGGTGTCCTTGCTGCTGCTTCATAAAACAGGACCTCTTGATAATGGACATGGTTTTTGTGTGTATGCGTTTTTCTATTTGTACCAAAATTCAACCGGTTTGATCTCAGCATTCGGTTCCAGCATCTAGTGAGCAATTCTTGTCACGGGTGTGATGACAGTTGTGTTTTTTCAAAGTTCTTTTTTAAGAATAGAGTCCTCATTTCGTCTATCTTTTATCTTATTCCTGGGTGTAAATTCCGGGGTACGTCCACAATAGAGCAGTTCCAAGGTTGATATTGGTGCCTCAGGCTAAGTAAGCAAGGAGTTCCCGCCCGCCCCCCCCAAGGTCGAATACATCATCATCTCCGCCCGGAAGCACATCTACTTACTGCGCTCGTCATCCACTACTTTTTTTTTTCTTTGCTCGGTCTAGAACATAGTCGCGTTACCTGACTCTGTCTGGGTCTCTTCTCTTCTTTCTCGCGATGCTTACCGTTGTCTGTCTTTAAGAAGTCCGATGCCAGCACCCCGTGGCATCAATGGATAACCGCGGCTCCTTTTTCTTTTTTCTGCTAGTCTTCTACTTGCTCCTTAGCTCCCAGTCTAGACCCCCACTGGTTGATGAAGACCGGGAACGGCAGCGCGAGCTTGATCGCGAGCGACATGCTCTTGGTCTGCTGAATGGGTCGCGATATGGCGACTTCGATCCAGCGACCGAGCGGTGGCTTCCGTTTGAGGGACTGAGGGGTAACGATAGCTACGCATGGGATCTTTTTCCGCAGGTCAAAGATCGTGCTCGCCACCAGTTGCAGTCCGCCATTTCAAATGCCGGATTGGAAGCTCCGGCTGGTATAGAGGACCCGGCTGTCTCGCCAACGCTAAACCTGACCAAGCTCCTCCTTCCGGTCTACCGCAACTCAACGGGAAAGCTGCGAGGTGACTGGGTACGACGGACTGCAGACCCGCCTCGCCGAACTCCTTTGAACGTTACTGCCATCGCCGAAGAACATGAATACTTCACTCATGACTTCAGTCGCAATATTACCGGGAATGGAGGTACCTTCTACTTCGATATCGAAGAGGGAGGTGGCGAGGAGCTTCAAATGGGCGAAGGTCTTGCAAGAGAAATGAGGGCGAGTTTGACCGTTGAAAGTGAGGACTTCTGGGGGAGTACCTGGTACCTCTCCTTGTTCGGTATCCACTTCCCTGATACCGGGAGCATTGTAATGACTACCTCGAGCGAGAAATTCGGGGGCATCTTTTCGCTTCCACATTTCATGCTATCCGCAGACTCATACGGCTTGTCTCATGATCTTCTTCTCAAGTCGCTCTCGGACACTATCTCGCAGAAGCAAAATCGACCTCCGACACTGTTTCCTTGGTCTTCATTAGCAGGAACAGAGCAAATTGAGTTCCCTGCACCAAAATGTGAACATATTGTTTATCTACAGCAGCACCCAGTCATGGTCGGTGACGCTGCGGCTGACCGATTATTACTGGAGCGCATGGAGCAGGAGCTCAGATACCCTATAGGTGCTCCAATTCCAGATCCTCCTCTGATGGTCATGTCTGCCGTGGTCTTTTCCCCAGACTGTGGATACATACTTGAAAGCAAGGGAGCGCCTGACTTCCCTCCGACTGATATGCTATATTTGTCCGGACCCAAAACCGAAGAGTACAATAAATATGCAGCTCGTCTCGTTTTTGTGGTTTCCGGTGTGTTCGTTGCACAAATTACTCTACTTCTGCGCCAAATCAAGGAAGCTTCGACTCCTTCCACCCGGAGTCGGGTAAGTTTCTATACCATTGCATTGATGGCGCTCGGTGATGCGTTTGTCTTGGCATTTATTGTTCTGGAACTATATGCCGCCATTTCATTCTTGGTTTTGACGACTGCATCATTTTTGGCATTCCTTTCTGTGAGTTACATTGGAATGAAGTTCATGATGGAGATATGGGCAGTGCAAGAGCCAGAAAGGCGAGAACAAGACCGTCCGTCCAACCCAACTCCCACTACACGCCCTGGAACCTTGCCTCTGCCCGCGACAGCTGCTGCAGTACGAGACTCGGGCGCTACTCCAGTGATCTTACCCCCGGATCAAGATGCCCCAGATGACGAGCCAGAAACACCTGCTCCTACCCGAACTACTCCTCCAACCGCAAGACAAATACGCAGCGACGTAGGGGCGATGTATGCCAGATTTTACTTCGCACTGTTCGGCATGCTCATCTTATCAGTCTGGGCCTTCCTCCTCCCCAGACGCCTCGGCTCAATGTACACACGCTTCCTGGCGGCAGTCTACCTCTCATTTTGGGTCCCACAGATCTACCGCAACGCAATGCGAAACTGCCGCAAGGCGCTACGTTGGGACTTTGTGATCGGTCAGAGTATTCTACGTCTCTTCCCATTCCTATACTTCCTCACTGCCCGCGGAAACGTGCTCTTCATCCGGCCCGACTGGACAAGCGCTTTCATCATGACAGGATGGGTCTGGATCCAAGCCTGGGTTCTAGCCAGTCAGGACATTCTCGGTCCGCGCTTCTTCGTCCCGCGAGGCTGGGCGCCTCCTGCATACGACTATCATCCCACACTTCGTGATCTTTCCGGATCGGATGAAGATCTCGAGGCTGGCGGTGGTATGTTGTCTATTGCATCACTACGGGCTGATGAACGAGACCTTGTCAGTGATTTCAAGGAGGATGATAATGATAAGCAGAGGAAAGATCGGAAAAAGGCAATGTTCGATTGTGCTATTTGTATGCAGGATATTGAAGTCCCTGTTCTTCCGGCGCCTTCCGCTGCTGGTGGGAGCAGTGTCGCTGATGGGGCTTCAAGCATCTTGAGCCGTCGTACTTACATGGTCACCCCATGTCGGCATATCTTCCACACTGCTTGTTTGGAGAGCTGGATGAGACTACGGCTGCAGTGTCCTATCTGTCGGGACACTATTCCTCCTGTATAGATGTGATGTCTGAAATGTTTCTAAAAAAATGATCCATACTCATAGGTGTATCAATTGTACTTTATAATGCTACATTTTCGAGAGTTATACACCCACCAATAAATCTCAACTCCAGATCTACAAGGACAATACACCATTGATTTTGAACAAAGTCTTGTTGAACAGGAGGCCAATCCACAAAGGAACCAGCAAGTCTAAACGCTTTCGTTGAAGGAATCCAGCCATTGCCAAGCAACGACAAATATAACATCACATCACAAAAATAAAAGGAAACGAGAAATGAGTTCCAACCACATCAAAAACAAGCAAACATCATGTATCACCTGTCTTGTCTACACAATTCCAAATCTAACCCTCAATGGTAGCCTTGTAAGCAGCCTCGTCGAGAAGCGCCTCAAGCTCAGCAGCATCAGCAACCTCGATCTCAGCAATCCAGCCCTCACCCTCGGGGCTCTCGTTGATAGTCTTAGCCTTATCCTCGAGGATGCTGTTGCCACGGATGACCTTACCAGCAACAGGGGAGAGGACATCGGAAGCAGACTTGACGGACTCAACGGCACCGACGGGCTCGCCGGCGGCGATCTCGAGATCCTCCTCGGGAAGCTCGACGTAGACGACATCACCCAGGGAGTGAGCAGCGTAGTCGGTGATACCGATCTTGGCTGGAAGCGGAATATGTTAGCTACCCCGCTACTCATAGAGACATGGAGATAATGGTGGGCAACATAGCACACGCGCCACACCAACCAAGTGGTGCGGTGAAGGGCGAGGGTATATGTCCAATTGATAGGGGAAAGGTGCAACTGACCAGTCTTGCCGCCGTCGGCCAACTCAATCCACTCGTGAGACTCGGTGTACTTCTTCAGCTGGGCTAAAATGCGAATCGATGCGCCGTCAGTAAAAGGTGACATCATACACCCCCGGAGGGCAGATAATGAGCATTGTAATGCTTCATTGCCAGCCGGAGTACCTTGTATGGTCTCCCGGACAGCATTGGGGGCACACAATACTCACAAAGAGGGCTCTGGGAGAAGCTCCTGGTTCCCCGCGGGAAACGGAAAGCGGGCGAGGCACGGCAGGCGGAAGCCAGAGGCTTCTGGGCAAGGACCCGGGAAGCGAAGGGGCGGATAGCACGAGCGACGGAAGACATTTTGGAGGAATTGAAGGGGTTGGAAGTGTGAAAAGGGAAAAATGGGAAGAGAGGAGAGTTTAAGTAGGAAAGAAAGAGGGAGGAGCTTCCCCGGCGGAGTTTCGTTGACGCATGGGCTCCGATAAGGAAATGCCAAGACACTGATAAGCCGGAACCTCAGTTGGGATTTTGCGTGGCTTCAAGGACTTCATTTCTGTCTTCCATCGGGTTTGCGCCATGTTGTACGAGCTCATTGCTATTGTATGTTCTCGAGTCGAGATTCGCGGGCTCATTTCGTTCCTGCTGTCGAATTTTGCTAACTCGCGCTCTGCTCATAGGTCCGCCCCGGCAGCCTCAACGAGGTGCGAGAGTACGTCTGAATCAATGCCATCATGGTCTTCATCAATTGGCCATTTCGAATACTGATACCCATCCTGCAGAATCGCCCGTAACGCCGGTGGCCAGGTCATCCGCTCCGGTGGTGTTGTCCGCGGCTTCACCAACTGGGGATCCTTCCGCCTGCCCCGGGTCACCACAAAACATCAGGCCCGATACTCCGAAGGTCACCACTTCATCATGCGCTTCGATTCCTCTGGCGCCGTCCAGTCCAATATTCGCCGCACTCTCGGTCTCGATCCCCGTATGATCAACTTCTCCGTGGTCAAGCTGGGCGACAAGCTTGAGGAGATTAAGGATATCGAGGGCAAGGTTGGATGGAACAATGTTCGCCAGATTAGCGACACCATCTAATTGGCATAATTCTTGTCGAACGTTTGTTCGGTTGCCGATATTAGACTTTGGAGCGTGGATTTGGATTTGCATTATTTTTTGTTTTTGTATCATTATGGCACGGGCATTGGGATTACCACTCGACACTATCAGCGCGATTGGCGTATACTGTACAAAATACCAGTTTGATCTACAAGTCTTGTTCCTTGGGCTGCTTGAGACTGTTCGACATGACAGGTAGTGAGCCTGATGTCCTTGCCCACAATTGTGGACTGTTTCTATCACAGCCACCGGTCTTTCACGCCTGGACCTTTATATGCTCTAAAATATTATGTCAAAATAGGACAAAAAAAAGGCGCCAATAACCCCCAATTGAGGGCGAGAACACTACATGCAAGGTGTACTCCCCTAGACATGTTCGCGAGATGTTAACTTATCTAACACGTACATCATAGCACTGCGAAGACACCGACAGGCCCCGTGACAGTATCATCTATTAAACAAGAAGCAAAGATCTCAACAGTTATAGCTTATCCTCTCTAATGATTTCACATAACCAATCACAGTCAGCCCATTTCAAACACGCAGCCATGTCTCCTCATTACAGGAAAGTGTTTAAATAGCCATAAATCCCATACATCTGTTAGGTCAGTTCTCCAACATACGCCCCAACATACCAACAGCTTGGGGAGCCGTGTGACTGTCAAGCCGAGGTATCGGCCAGTCCCGTCCGACCATACCCAATACGTCTACTTTGTTTTCAGTTTCCTCCGCACTGCAAGTCAAGTCTGCTCAATTCGCGTCTGTGACCCCCCGAAAAGCAAGCGATATAAACCCCGCGGAACAGAAACGCCGATCGGGAACACGCTTGATCGGACAGGAAGAGGCACCGGGCCGCGCCTCCACGCCTCGGACGACAAAGTACCATATCCAGCCAACTGGAATTTCATTAAAAACGATTCAACAATCGGCATTTCTCATCTCATACTCCATGTCTCCACAACGCGGGGCCCCAGGCTATGCCATGGACGAAGCGATGTCCCCGCATTCATTCGTTGAACTAATGGCATTGGAACGACTCGAGACTATAAACGTCTCCGACGATTCAGTCGAACCGGAGAAAATTGAGCGTTTCCGCTCTTTAGCTGCCCCATTTCCTCCTGGTGAGGGCACACGCTCATTTGGCGGACATGTCTATGCGCAATCAGCCTACGCAGCGTCAAAGACCGTTGAAAGGGGACTTGTTATCCATGTAAGTTTCTACAATTTTCAAGGTCAATCTCCAGCCTGGAGCAAAACAAGACCCAATACTCCCCAATTGAAAACAAAAAGCACCATAGACATACACGAACTAACCCCCAACCAGAATATGACCGGAACATTCATCCTCCCCGGAAAACTAGACACACCATACACGTACACAGTGCGACACATCCGCGACGGATACATGTACAGCACACGAAGCATAGACGCGCGGCAACACAACAAAATCTGCTTCACAGCCATTTGCAGCTTCAAACGTGACGAAAATCAGCGCCTGTTCAACCACCAGCCCGCACCCGTGCAAGAACGCTTCAATTCCATCCTGGCTTCCAAACCAGCTGAGAACCAACCTATCAGTCCTAGCGTTGATGCAGACTGGTGGATTGATAATGTCCGGCATGGGAATATCACCGAAAGGCCCTTCCCTGGTTTGGATGTGCGCAAGACAGATATGGGCGGGTTTAATCAGTCTGGAATGGTGAAGGGGGCACCAGAGCAATATCGACAGCTTACGCAGTATCGGCTCAAAGGATCGCCTGAGGCTGATACGTCTATTGGGTTGGATGTTGTGAGGCGGAGGGAAGAGAGGGGTGAGTATGATAATCTATATGTGTGTGCGCATATGTATTCTAGCGATAAGAATTCATTGCTGCTTATTCCCCGGGCTCTTGGGATTAGGGCTTGGAGTGAGATGGCTAGTTTGACGCTTACTGTTATTGTGCATTTGCATGGGCAGGCGTTGAGGATGGTGGATTGGGATATGGTTGGTGATGCGTCGGGGAAGTGGGATGGGGAGTTGCCTATGAAGTGGTTCATTCAGGAGGGGTGGACGCCTCGGGCTGCTGAGAATCGGGGAGTGCATGAGAGTTTCCTTTGGGGTCCTGATGGCTCATTGCTTGCTACTTCTATGCAGGACAGTTTGTTGAGACTGAGGCGGTTGGGGATGGAGTCAAATCTGTAATTATTTTGGTGCATGGGTTGTCTTGTATATACCGTTTCCTATTTCCTAGAATAGACAGCAAGATGATCTTATTAAAAGAGTGATATTTCTTCGACTATATATAGGAAATTGCTAAAAAGCCACCCCTCCGCTATATGTTATCAGCGCTACGAAGTTAGTCGATTTGTAGCGCATTTTGAGTATTATAATTTTTATGATATTATACCCTAAAATTGCCATCATGTTTTACTCTAAAACTACCCCATATTCTTGGCATTACAATGCCAGCAGCCCATAACCCCTAGTTTTTTAGCAATTAGGGGTGGCTTTCTAGCACTACCCTCAGGCTATCGGAGAAGGCCGATGACTCATATCGGTTCAAACCTTGGGATAACTAAGGTATCGTTCTATTCCACCGTGATATCGCCCTTCGCATCTAACTTATTCGCCTCATCGATAGGGCGAAACTGCCATCGCCTACCGCAGCACCGTCGCTGGCAAAGAAAATCCGCTACAAAGTTGTGTATAAACCATGATTGATAAGGCTCTAAGCATTAAATATGACGCGGGGAGGAGAATTGCAGCCAGCCAGGGCGCACTAAGTTTCTTGGACGAATTTCGCGAAATGAAGTCTAAGATATAGACTCTAGAGTCAAATGCGCAAAAAAACAAGAAATTGATATAAAAAATCTGAGGGAAACGCTACACTACCACCATCAAAGCCACCTGGATTTCCGTCAACGCGCAATCGCGACATGGGTACGCGATGCCTACGGTAAAATCACCAAAGCCCGGAACACTGAAATTCGGCGACTCAACAAAGATATTTTCCACGGGAGAGATATCCGAGGGGACGCTATGGTAGTCCGGGAGAGATATGAAAGACCTAGTACGGTTTGAGGTTAATAGGGTAGGGATCATTATGGGTTATCTTGTATATAACGTTTCTTAGATAGTCAGTATGATGATCCTATTAAGAGAGGAGTATTCCTTCGACTGTATATATAAGCCTGCAAACACAGCTGTTCAATTAGAGCCTCAGTGAGACGAACGAGTAGGATGTATGTATCGCTAAAAGGGTATATCAAAACCAACCAAAACAAACCAATGCAATGCAGTCAAATATCATCTCCAGAAATATTAGCATGCTTGAAATACTTCATCCCAACCCAAGCAACAACCACCCAAACCCAAGACATAACAGCAGTGAGTATGATGAGAGCAGGATAATACCCAACAATAGGCAAAGTAGGGTCATCCTCCAACTCCGGCGGCGCATAAGGCGTCTCACCAACATCCCAAGCCCAACTCCAAACCTCAAAGCAACTCCCAATCCCAACAACAAACACCAGCCATGTCACAATCAATATAATCCACCCCCACCATTCGGTCTCAGAATAGTCCCAGTCCACATCCGCACCATTCCCGTTACTCTTAATTTCAACAGGATTCGAAGCCAGAGGCGAGGACTTATGTCGATGGACAGTCCTGTAGGCCGTCTCAGGCTGAGGCTCAAGAGGGTAAAATGCATCCGGGGAAGACGATTGCGTTTTCGTCGAGATGTGTAACCCAGCAACTGCGCTTTTCGGACTTGTACCGGTCCCATTACTCCCCGTTCCAGGCGGAGTGATAGAATTTGATATCAGCCGGGGGAAGGAGACCAGGTCTTCGTCGTCTGTGCCCGTTTCCTCGCCGTGTAGGGTCGGCCGCGCGACGCTCTGCCGGCGGCGTGTTATCGGTGGCCGGACGGCTTTCAGCGTGTTGTTATTGCGGAAGAAGCTCGGCTGGGAGTTGTCACCGTCTGCATCTGCGTCTTCGTCGAAGCTGGCGCGTTGATAGGATGTAGGGCCGTGGCCATGATCGGTGGAGATTTGGCCGTTCAGGGAGGAGCGAGGTTGGAGGGGATCGGGGGAGATGGGGAGGTGTGGTATGGAGGCCGTGGAGGCTGTAGAGGTGGATGTCTCTGTGCGAAAGGCATCGGAGGCGATTTTGGAAGAGGAGGTTCTTTTTTCTCGTGATTCTAGTCTTGGTCCTAGTAATGCTGTTTTCCGCAAGGAGCCACGGCGGCGGCGCGTGCGGCGTTGCGCGAGCGCCGCGGACATTGCGCGGCTGCTTGTACTTGCATTGCTTGCACTGTCTGTTGATGGCATATCGGGCTGGAGGTCTCCCGCTGGGGTGAAGAAGGAGAGTCGCGCGAGTAGAGAGGCCGAGAGGTTGCGTTTGTGGCTGGATCGGCGATTGGAGCCCGGCTGGTCCGCATTGTTGGATTCCATTGGCACGGAAAGTTGCCGTCAATCCACAAATCTGGGGAATTCCTTGTTTCAGGAGACGTTGGTGTTATATTGTACGTGTAAGTGGGAGTGGGAGTGGAAGTGTATACGGTGAGAATCAGCTGTACTCAATTAGCCTTGGTCAGCCATTTCACAGAAGCACCGCATTACACCAACTATTTATTGCTCATTTTTACAACTCCATGTACACGTTGGCAGTGCACAAGAAACATGGCCTATGGCCAAATGCATGCTAGGAACATATCCAAACATCTAAACAGGAAACCAAATTGGTATCTGGGCTAAAACGCCAAAGGTGTCACACGAAAGGAAAGTCGTCACAGCATATACGGATAGTCCATCCATAGTCCATCTTCCAATGGTTTCAAAAGGCCGACAAAATCACAAAAAATACATGTACTCGAATGGACTAGGGGGGGGAAAAAGAAAGAAGAAAAGAGCAAATAGTCCAAATAGTCCAAATAGTCCAAATAGTCCAAATAGTCCAAATACGCAGTGAAAGAGTAGGGAGGCGCTTTTATTTGAGAGCATAGCCAAAAGAAAAATCCAAGGGACCCTTGATTGCAAGGCACGCTTAATGGAGAGAAAGACGAAAAAGATCGAAATCAACACAGTGGACTTGGGGTATTGGTGCGCAAGACACAAATTCCGTTTCAGACAAAAGCAGGTTGCTCGCTTGAAAATCCACTCGAGAGACAATTTGACAATTGAAATAAGGAAATAAAAGGAGAAAGATCAACGGAGATGGGGAATTGTAGAGGTGCTATGGAAAGAAAAACAAGAAGTAAAAACATGTTAAGACAACTTGGTTCTGTTAGCTCAAGCCGAGTGACCCGACTGCAACCTGTTCACGAAGAACCGAGCTACGCCTGGTAGCCTCCGTTGAAGTTGTTGTTGGACTGGTCCCAGTTACCGGAGGGGGACATGGGCTGGCCACGGCCATAGCCTCCGGCATTACCGGCCTGGGGATAGCCCTGACCAGGCATGGCGGGTCCGTTGAAGTTGTTGGCTTGTTGATCCCAGCCTCGACCAGCAGGGGCAGGACCTATTTAAGTCAGTAAGAGTGCATGCGAAAGAGATACGATGGGCTAACCTTGGTTCATGGGGTTCAGGGGACCACCGTACTGGGGGAAGAATCCAGCAGGGCTGTTGTTGAACCCGGCATTGGCTTGCTGGGGAGAAAAGGTATCGTACTGGCCGGTCGGAGGGCGATCCTTGCCCCACTGTGGCTGTTAGTAAATGCCGATTATAACTGTTCAAGAGTGACTTACGCTGCACTTCAACGGACGACCGTTGACGTTGTATCCGTTCAGCTGGCAGATCGCGGAAGCAGCATTCTCATGAGAATCCATCTTCACGAATGCAAAGCCACGGTCAGCCTGAAGACGAGTCTCAAGAACATAGCCGAAGTTCTGGAAGAGCGGGACCAAGTCGTTTTGTGAAGTATAAGGAGTGAGGTTGCCGACGTAGCAGGTAGTCTGCCACTGGGGAGTCTGTTGAGCCACCATGTCGTAGCTCTGGATACCATGGGTAGGGAAGTGGTGGTGACCGAAAGGAGTGGTGGGAGTCATGCCCATGGCAGCCATTGCCTGTTGCTGAGAGATCGAAGGCTGACCCTTCTGGTTGGCCCAGTTGCAACGGATGGCGCGAGAGCCAAGCCATTCACCGTCCATCGAAGTAAGAGCCTTGTCAGCCTCGGCGCGATCGCGGAAAGCGACAAATCCGTATCCACGGGAGCGACCAGTCTTCATGTCCCACATCACGCGAGCTTCAGATACTGAGCCAAATGCAGAGAAGGCCTGGGTCAGGACCTCATCGTTGACTTCATTGCTCAAGTCACCAACGAAGATATGGAAGTGGTTAGAGGTGTCCTCCTTGTTGGTGCTGTTGGATTGGTAGGCCCAGTTGACGCGGATTTCCTGCAAAATAATCAGAATCAAGCCAGATCACTGAAAGAAAAGAAACTCACCGATTGGTGAATCCGACGGCCGTTCAGGGTCTGCATCGCTCGCTCAGCGGCACCGGGGTCGTCAAACTCCACGAAACCATAGTTGTGACCCTTGGTGGTGAATTGGCCCTAGAAAGCAGTAAAGTCAGATAACGACTATTTTCATTTCGGAAAGAAAGAAAAATAAAGCAATGAAATTTGTGGAGTGCCACGGGGTATTATTGCACACAGGGGATGCACGATGCAGGGGGTGCCCGTCAGGAGGACTCACATTCTTGTCAGGAATGATCTTCACGCTGACCACGTGGCCTGTGGTTTCAAAGATTTGCTTCAAAATGTCCTCGGTCACTCTTGGATCCAGTCCGCCCACGTAAAGCGCTCTCTTGTTCGGTTCGGGGGCGGCTCGGCGCACATAACCTCCAGCGCTTGTAGGAGACATCATATTGGCTCCGGACATGGGGGACATGGCAGTTGGAATCGGATTGGTATTCTGCGGAATAATCACAGGAGGACGCGGGGGCGGGGGCATGTGAGATGGGGTGCCCTGGCCGTTGCCTTGAGTAGCATCATACTGTTGATTGACAGCAGGAGGCTGAGGCAGCGAAGCAGCCGATACTTGAGTGTTTTCAGCCATTGTGAATTCCCGAAGAAGTCGATAATATTCCAAAGACGATCAGAGGAAGAGATAGAGGCAGGTGGTCGGGATTAAATGTCAGACTGGGGGTCCCGGCTGGCGATCTGTCAAATTCGGGGGCGTTTGAGACAATCCAGAAATGTTGAAAGCCACAATCGCAAGCAAGATCGAAAAGTATAGTATAAAGGACGGGGTAGGGGGGAAGGATTAAGGGGAACAGGAATAGGCTCAAAGATGAAGCTAAACAAAGAACGGGTATAAACAGTGCTAAGAGACACCGAGCCCGGGAGGGAGATGATACGGTCGGAGGGTAAGGAGGGAAGACCCAACCTAGAAAAGAGACCTAGAAGAAGGAACAAGAAAAAAGAAACAGAAAAGGAAAAACGATAGAGAGATGAAGAAGAAAGAAAAGAGAAGAGTAAAGGGAGACTTAGCCGCTAGGGGTGGGGGGAGGACACCAAACCCCAACGGGATTAGCCGCACGACTTCTATCATTTCCATCACTTTCGTGCTTCAACATCTACACTTCCCTCTCTCTCCTCTCGACGCCTCAACAACTATACTGCTATACATACATGGCTGGCTTTGCGGATCCACAGTCCCTGGGGGACCTCTCCTCCATCATTGAGCGCACAGTAAGGACTCACCCCGTGTTGTTAGTCTCTGGAAACCCAGCTCACTCTCTAGCTCCTTGATACCGGTCGTGTGTTTCGCAAGTCAGGTTCCATGCCATCTAGGGCCCATATACAGCGGTCTCTTCCTCTTTACCATGAGAGCTTCCAAATTGCCTTAGATAACCTGTCAGAACAAATCGTGAGTGACATCGGAGCTTGCTCCCGTGACTTCGTGCATTCCAAATCCATGTTTACTTTTTCCTCGCTAATCATCCTCAGTTTATCGCCAAAGCGTTCCTGGAGAAAGACTATGAGGCGCTGAAAGCTACCAGCGCTCCTCAGCCCATTGAAGATGTGGCTATGAGCGATGTCAACCAGAGAGTAGAGCCTGAGCTTGATGTTCTAGCCGAGAAAGCCGAGTCTATCACGGACACTGAGCAACCGGCGCTTAAGTTAGAGGAGGGGATCTCGGTTAAACAGTCGACACCAGAACCCAAACCCGACCTCCAAAATGACCATGTCGTCGTCAAAGAGGAAAGTGAAAGTAAAGCACCCGACTCAGCATTTCCCGGCACCAACGAAGAGCTCAACTTTGACTCAGTTCTCAACACGAGCAGCACCAATGACTTTGATCTCAGTCTGGACTTTAACGATAATGACATGGGCAATCAAGCCTTTCTGTCAGGATCCAACTTTGCGGGCGCGGGCGCCACGGGAACTGCCGAAAAGCCAAATACATCACAAGCACAGCCGATGGAAGCTACCGCCTCCACTGGCGGTGGTGCATTTGATATGGAGCTGTCCAAAACAGAAGGGGATGATAATTTCCTCCAAGGCAATGCTACGGATGATTTCATGGGGCCGGCCGAATCTAACTTTGACGACCTGTTCATGGACACCGAGAATTTCGAAGACAACGGCGGCAATTTCAATCAGCTTGAAGGTGACACTCTAATGAATGTCAATGAGCTGGATGACAATTGGTTCAATTAATGGTGGGGATATGCCTCAGATGCAGATTAGCAAGAGCCAGTACCGCTTGTGGGGAAATAGTCTCCTGCGATCTGCATGGGGTTGCATCCGGCACTAGTGATTTCCAGTAGATTTATGACATGTACTTTGGATGAGTGTACTCTACCTTACTACTGTATATGAGAGTGATGTCTCATGCATACCTTCTAGGACTTTTACCACACTGGAACCTGTTCCCTTCTTGCTACACGTACAGTGAGCTTGTGGGACATATGCACCGATCAGGCAATAGAAGTAGCAGTATCAATAGTCACTACTAGCACTGATTATAGTGGATGTATTATCTGACTATTGTCAATAGAGGAATAAAGTCAGTCTATGTGTCTTTCTAGTTTACTTCCGACCATAGCCCCGTGAAGCAACCGACACGGACCCGGTGAAAATAATCTTCCGGCATGTCACCTCTCGGCCATGAGGAGCCTGACCACTTATTATTAGAAGGGAAGTTGCTAGTCAATGTTTTCTAGAAAGAATGTACCAGCTTTCCAAAGCTCCCCAGTCGGAGTCACTTATACAGCTATTAGCCCTGCACGCCCACGCCAATTGGAATTGTCGAGGCAAATCGAGACTCGCTCCAGTGTATCAATCTGAGCATCTCCAACGACTAATTGAATCTGCCACTGGTGTGTCTCATCCTACGATAGCTTCGAGTATCTACAGCGGTTTCCTTTGACGAAAGTGGAACATTTTCTAACCTTCTAGCGTGTTTTGCAAACTAAAAATGGTACACCCGAGTATGGATATACGGGTGAAGGAGTCCAGATCCGTATATCCATAACTCTGTCAGTCACTGGATAGCGCCAACTCCACCTCCGTCCTCTGAAACAGGTACCATTACCTTCCCGGCAACCTTGTGGCTGCGCTAGCTCCCAATATTACAAGGCTGCGGGTGCTATACGAATGGGACGGTCTAATATGAAACCAACAGGGCAAAGGAAGTGGATACTCGCGCCCAAAGGCAAGGCACAAGCCGAGTCCCACCTGACACTGCTACCGAGTTTATACCAGGCCTAGGTATGAAAAAGGAGGGAGATCGTTGCAGGGAAGGTTAAAGTATGAAGCGCACATGGAAATATGGCAATAACCACGCGCAAACTGCGCCAATCAGTCTAAAGCCTACCCTCCAAAAGACTTGCCAAACAGCGGTGATTAGGAGCCCCAATGACGTAAGAGGCCCGATGGAGATCGGCAAGCCTGGAGAAAATCAAATCAGGGCAGGGGGGGGAAATTGGCCATCAGAAGATCCAGAACCGGGGCACAGACGGGGGTTGATCTCTATTTCTGGCCCGTTGGCGGGATTGGAGGGGAGTTGGGAGTTGTTCATCGTTCAGCCCTGGACTAATGAGGTCATCGGCACGGGCCTTGGGGTTCAGGGCTCCAGGGCTTCAGGGCAGAAAACAGTTGTCCAGCACATGCGTGTTGTGTTGTCGAGTTGTGTCGTCATGTTGTCAAGCCTAGGCTGCGCAACTGTCGCAGACTCTGAACAGACATTGAAGAGGGGGGGGGGGGCATAATGGATCGCCAGACTTTCCCGAGGAGTCTATCTCCAGTGGCTGATCCATGTGACCACGATTGCGCGTACTCTTAAATCATACATACGAGAGACATGTCTGGAACCAAGAGACTGGTGAGATTGTACGTGAAGAGAGAATGGTCTATGAGAATCGTACAATTGGGCGCAGCTCCCGGGCTATCCGTAAATGCCGTGAATGCCGTGAAGAGCCCTAGAAGCCCCAGGAGTGAACGGGGATTACTACACGCCAGCATTTGGGGCAACAGGGCTACGCTAGCCCAAGGACTCGCCGTTTGATCCGCTTTATACGGAGAACCCTTCCAAGAGGGTCGGATCGCCGGAAATGAGCCAAGGCTTAATGGTGTTGTCATCGTCTGGAGTTCCCGTGGATCACTGGCTTTTTTTTGAAAACTAGTTCGCCTCTTATATACTCTCGCCCATAGCGTCTCGAGATTCTCCATACGCTGGATCTGCTGGATATATTCTGGACTTGTGGAGAGACTTTGAACTGCCCCTCTGCATCTCTAAAGGATCTGCGGGATGATCTGTGACTTATGAAATCGACGCCCCCCATTCCACCTGCATTTCCTTTTTCTCCTTACTTTGAAGGGACACAAGGGGCATAGGTTTCACAAAGGTGAGTCTTTGTCAACATTCCTAGAACTCCTGGATGAAAGAGAGTGGGAATCGGATTCCCAGTCTCTGACTCTTGATCCTTTCACCATGAACACGGCAAGATGATGGGAGCTAATGTCCTCCCGCTGCCCGCGCAGTTGAGCTCGCGGTCAGCAACAACCAGTCCAACCGATTCGAACTTCACAGGAACACCCTCGTTGACCGATACCATCTCCAATTTTCTACCTCGATCGACTCGTCGCCAGACAGTGTGCTTTGACTCCCTCGGATCCCACGAGGAATCCTTTCCCAAACAGAGTCGCAGGGACTCGATCTTCAGAAAGCTGGCGGGACCACGTGAAAACGCGAAGCGATTCCTTCGCTTACGCTCGTCTGGAGTTCCAGCGCCTGTACAGCGCACCCCTAGTATACGACCAGTCTCGGAGATTATCATTTCGCCGTCGCCGCCGACATCGGTCGACTTGGATCCCGATATGCGCTCCGAGTCCTCCTCCCTGACGGAGGTGATGCCCCGGACAGTGTCCGATCAGGATGTCTCGTCGCCTGATTTGACCACCCCATTTACGCCCTTGCCCAATGAGAAGATTGTGGCTACCGGTAGTGGTATTTCGGTGGGGATCGCTCTCACGGAACCAGTGCTTTATTTGCAGGGTTATGATCACCACGACCCGAGTAGTAAAAAGTCCGCTATTCTGCGCGGACAACTCCACTTGAAAGTGACCAAGTGTATCAAGATTAAGAAGATCTCGATCTGTTTCCGCGGCCATGCTCAGACCGACTGGCCAGATGGTATGTCCCAACGTCACCGCCGACTCGGTCATCGAACTAATTCCGGTGTAGGCATCCCGCCCAAGAAGATCCATTTCCACGACAAGAAAGATCTTGTCACTCACGGCGTGATTTACTTCAACCACGGCGATACCGCTCTAATGCAGAATGATTACGGCGCGCATTATTACCATCACGCCAAACCAGTCTCAGCCGCACCAGGCAAGGACGTAGTGACCATGTCAACCCGAGAACTATTCTCTAACCGAAGTTCCGTCACCACACTCGCTGCACCGACCAGCCGAGAAACCAAGCGCCTCTCTTTGCAGACGAACCGCGGCCACTCGCGCAGCTTCAGCAGGAATGAGCCCCCGACCACCCAGACCCAGCCTCAGCGTAACTATCGCATGTTCCCCGTGGGCGACTATCTCTACAGCTTCGAGTTCCCTATCGATGGCTCATTGCCCGAGACGATCCGAACCGATCTTGGCTCTGTGCGATATGATCTGGAAGCGATGGTGGAACGGTCAGGCGCATTCCGGCCCAATCTTCTGGGCAGTATGGAGATTCCAGTAATTCGTACTCCTGCCGAGGGATCGCTGGAACAGGTCGAGCCGATTGCAATCTCGCGCAACTGGGAGGACCAGCTGCATTATGATATTGTCATCTCCGGGAAGTCTTTCCCAATGGGCTCACAGATCCCGATCGCGTTCAAGTTGACACCACTTGCCAAGGTGGAATGCCACCGCATCAAGGTGTATGTAACAGAGAACATTCAGCACTGGACTGCCGACAAGAGTGTCCATCGTTTGCAACCAGCGAAGAAGGTGCTTCTGTTTGAGAAGCGGGCCGACTCGTCAAGTGTGAGCACATACCCTGGCAGTTCCATGCGTGTCACGGCAGGCGGCGGTATCGATTGGGATCACCGCGCAGCTGCCGCACGAGGACAGGAGATCGTGGATCGCAACCGAACGAACCTGTTGGGCAATCTCTCCAACGACTCCGGCGTGGGTCCCACTGAAATGGAATTCAATGTTCAACTCCCAAGCTGTCAAGAAATGAAGGGTCGCGATGAAGGCCAGCGCCTGCACTTTGACACAACGTACGAAAACATCCAGATCAACCACTGGATCAAAGTAAGCATCCATCCTATCTACCTGCACTCACACCCCCATACTAACAACCCCAGATCGTCCTTCGCCTGTCTAAAGTCGACGAACGAGACCCCACCAAACGCCGTCACTTCGAAATCTCCATTGACTCTCCCTTCCACATCCTCTCCTGCAAAGCAACCCAAGCAAATATCTATCTCCCAGCCTACACCCATCCAGCCACCGACCCCGAACCCCCCGCCCAAGAATTCGAATGCGGTTGCCCCGGTGCACCCCTCGCACCCCGCGATCGCATCCCAACCCCCTCAATCTCCGACCGCGAAGATAGCAACCCGAACCTCGCCCGCCGCGGCTCCACTGGCCACACCTTTGCTCGCAGTTTCACCAACAGCTCCGGAGGCCTCGCTAGACCTCCACAGGCGCACCTCGCCAACCCAGCCCTAGACCGTGGGCCGAACCCGCCTAGACCGATGCACCTCCTCCGCGCGCCATCTTATGCTCCCCCGCCGTTCGAGGATGTGCCCCCGCCTCCGCCGCTTGTCACTCCTCCACCGGAATACACCACCATCGTCGGTGATGGGGATCGCGAGAGCGTGCTCGAAGATTATTTCTCCAGATTATCCTTCTATGAGGAGCACGAAGATGACGATGATCGGGGACGCGGCCGTGTCGACGTCCCGCTTACACCCGGTGGCCGCGTGAATCGCAGTATGGATGTCCCTCGTGAATGGGTGCGTATTGAGGATTACTTCCAGTAATTGTTGCGCCTTCCCAGCCGGGCCTTGGGCTGGATTCTTCGCTCGGTCCGTAATGTTTTTACTTTGTACCAGCACCCTCGGTGACTGGCTTCATCAAAACTTTCATGATGTCTGAATGAAGTTATGTTTTGTTTGTTTCGTCCATATTTGGATTTGGTTTGTTCGGTCTTCTTTTTGGTGTCTGGAGGGCATTGTCAGCGATCTCATCTATAGATCTGTGCCTGTGAATTATGTTTAGGCTGGGGTTTGGGCTATTGTTTTATTGCCTGAGTTGTTGATATTCATGTGGACCAAAAGGCGTACAATAATACATTTATCCTCTGTTTATACCTGAATCAGTAGAAGACATTGTAGAGTATCGCGAGTAAGTTAAGAACTTCAGAGCATCCCGAGGCCGAGGCCGTACTGTGGATGTGTCAGTGATAAGCGGCGCATCCAACTGCCTTCCCCGGTTTAGATCTCCCCACAATTCTTTTCTCGGGCCTTGACTCTTGATTTCTTCTGTTCTCTCTCTCTCTCTCTCTCTTATATCTCTCTCCTATATATATCTCTCCCTGTGAATGCTCTCTTTGACTACAACCATTCACACAAACTCCAAACTCCAGGTACAGCCTTCGTTGCCATTACGCCCAATATCACTAATTAGTTTAAGCTTGAAGCTACACAATTCACCGAGGTATGCCACAGTCATATAACACCCAACAAGCCAGATCACAATCCATATCTAACAATTCTAGTCCAAACGACGTGGGAGAACCCTTATCAACAACATTCAGCGGGGCATATCTTCCTGTAGCGACATCCGCCAATCTCAAAACTTGCCGACATCCTATCCATATCCACAGTCTTCCACTTTTCACTCTCTCGATTGCACAGAACCTCTCAATATGGCCATTGAAGTCGTCAATCTCACAGAGGCCGATATCGTCGGTGCCATCGAGGTTATTCAGCAGGCTTTCGCCGATGATCCATACTTCAAGTGGGTCTTTGATGAAGATAAGGTATGTTTTACTACATCCGAAGAAAAACAAAACACTACACTACACAGTGAAACGACTAACACCCCCCTCTCACCGTAACACGGAATCACCAGCCGTGTTACAACAGAGAACCATTCCCAGTTCAACAAAGCAAGAAACCACGATTCCCTCACGGCAAGATGCCACTGGGGAATAGAAAATGCAATCTTCCAAGTCGCCAAAGAATCCACCCCCACTGATCCCGACTCCCAGTCCAAGGTCCTGGGTGTCTCCTGCTGGCTACCCCCATCCCCACCCAAGACGCCTCAAACCTGGTCCAGCTACCTCTCATCCTGGACCTTGACCTTCACCCAAATAAAGAACAACATCCGCTACCTTGGCCGCGGTGGACTCCGCACGAACAGGTACTGGATCTGGAAAGAGCGCCAGGCAGAGGCGCAAGCTAAGCTCTGGACGGATGAGCAGGGTTACTACTTCTGTAATATTGTTGCTGTTGCTCCGGAGGCGCAGGGGAAGGGTGTCGGTAGGCTTCTTTTCGAGGCTGTGACGAAACGCGCGGATGAAGAGGGCAGGAGGTGTTATCTGGAGAGCTCGAAAGATGTGCCTAATGTTGCTATTTATAGGAAATTGGGCTTTGAGATGGGTTTGACTATGGAGTGTAAGGATGGAGAGGATGCTTGTATGGTAAGCTCTATTTTTTTCTTCCTTTTTGCTCTTTCTTTCGCATGTGACATTTGGGATGGGACTTGGTTTGCGGCGTTGGCTAATCTGTCATTAGTTGTACTGCATGGTTCGGGATCCAAAGGCAGAGTGATTTGGACTGGTTTCTATTGCTGTATAGATATATCCCTGGAGTATATGTGTATATACACCGACGCAGTACTGTACATACTCATGTGACAGTCATGTAGTTCACTCTATCAATCACAATCCCAAGCTAGATGACAATCAAGATGATAGCAAAATCAGAATCCCAGCCTCGAGTCCTAGAGACCAAATTTCCGAAAGTAATCAAACCCAGCCCAGTTCTAAACTAGCCCCAACGCTCCGATCTGATCCACTCCAAATCCCTGATCCACAAACGGCTAATAAATAGCCTAAACCTAATCGAACTCAATCTGCTGGAATCTTTGGACGGGATGATCCGTTTGCCTGCCATCTGGGTTTGGGATCTATCACTTGATCTTATCTAAGAACCTAACCAGCCTGCCCAACTGATCTATCGTATGTCGGGAATCCGTTTCTTTCTGCTCGGGATATTGGATATTGGTTGTTCAGCATGGAACTTGCATGGACGTGTCCTGCATAGTGACAGAAGAGGCAAGAGATCGTGTGTTAGTTCTTACTTTCGTGATCTTGATTTTTAGTAGTTACACAACAGTCAGGGCATTGCTGGGGGAATGTATATATGCAGTGTTGGGTTAGCGTTCCAGACTCGGTTCGATTTGAACGGCTATTCGGTGTTTGACGGGTCCTTGCTTGTTTGACTTGCATATGGTTTCGATTTGGGGTCCAGGCTTTGTGCATTTGATGTTGGATATATAGTTTGGGTGACGGACCCAATTTACATTTCACAACCAGTTTTACCGAGGATCCGTTTTTGTCTTGCTTCAGGTTGTAAGTGTGACGAATGCAGGAGGTCCTTTGGATTTCCTCCTAGATCTGGTGCTAATTTTTGCTTCTATCAGGTTCCAGATACTGGATCATCATGTCGTTCCTTTTGTGAAAGCTATGGCATCGAAGACGGAGATAAGACTCTATAAAAGAACATTGTCCGCTATCAATGCTTGAGAGCAATACACCAAACCCCGAACACAAAGGCCTAAGCCGTAGGCCCCGCCCGCCAAATATCACCTTCACGTCTCACCCCATATCGTGTCATGTCAATGAACCCGAAACAGAAATACCACTCAAGCAACTAGCAGTTGCAGTGACCTCCGGCTCCAATACCGAAACCAGATCAATCGAAGAACCCTCCGTCCGTATCTCAGAGGAAGCGGAAACCGAAACAGTAGAAGAAGAAACCTTCTTCTACCTCACCAGTCTAATAACAGTCTCTTATCAACAAACACCAAAACACACCCCGACATCATCAACCTCGACACTTACATCCCAAGGTAGCCGGAGAAGCCAAATATTCGATCATAGCAGAGCTTCTTCCATCCTCAGTTTGCATATTGATATACCTGCCTGGTCTTTGTCATTTCCTTCCCTGATGAAAAGTCAACGGAAACAGAGCCCCGTTCGGTATACTCCGCTTCCGCCGCCCTTTGTACAGAAAAGGCTTGCTATGAGGCCTGAAGTTAGGTTTTAGGACATGAACTATGGGGGGAATTTGTTGCTTGTTTGGTGGTCGGTCTGACCAGTTTGTCTTTGTTTCGTGATATCTTGAGTGGAGGATTGTCTACTTCTTGTCTTTGTTGCTTTGGATTTGTGTCTGGATTTAATAGTCAGATGTGAACTTATAAGATCTTGTTTGTGCTTATACTTGATTTCATGCGAGTTACCACGAAGCCCTCGAAAATTGGCAAAAAAGAGATGCATCAAGTGAAACAGTGTAGAGTAGAAATAGCATGCAGTACATGATCAAATAATCGTATTGAATTCTGTTGGGCCTTTGGCCTTTGAAATAATCTAGTGGTCGTGTACAGTGTTTATCAAAAGTCCTGTCGTATAACGAGTAATTATGACGACGTAACGTGGTACACATGACTCGAACCATGCCTAACAGTAGTGTTTACAGTAGCTTCGCCACTACTGTTCTTAGCAGACCCTTCAATTAACCATTTTGCCAGCCCAAGCTGCGGCACAAAAGTCCACAATATCCAACTTTCCCCACACTATCACACGAAACCAAAGCCCCTGCATGAATCCCAACCGTGCCCACCATCCCGAAGCGAAGGCCTGAAAAGCAGAACAGGATCGTCGAGAGACTCAAGACTACTACAGATTACCGCAGAGCAAAAAATGTGCAGTATACAGTATGCGATGTACTATTCATATATTACATTATTGCTGGCATTTTTGGCCGGGAAATCACAATTGTACGCCAGGTACTCAATGATGTGCATTGCTTCAAAAGACCATTCGGGCTAGTGCCTATTCCAAATTTGAATATTACTCTAGTCATCTGATTCGCTAGCTCGCTATCAAATAGGAATGGTTCCTGTGTCATCCATTCTCTTTGTTTCTGCTACAGTAATACCTGCAGCATATCTGGATCAAAGTGACCATGACACATCCCTGACCAGCTTGCGCAATCCTATTGGAACCATTACAGCAAAGGGATGCGATGTGATGTAACGAAGACACGGGATAGACCCTTTGATCAATTGTGGGGGCAAGTGGAGGAGGCCAAAGGGGACTTGAGCACTACTGTAGACCCTCTCTACGGAGTCCAGTCGACTACAGTACAATAGATACTCGGCTAACATCAAAATTTGGAATTAACCATCCAACACTGATCAACTCGGATGATGCAATGATCTACAGTATTCTTTCCAGTCTAGTTATACGAGCCATACATTAATGATAAAGCATGGAATTTCGAAGAAGATGGAGGGGGCGGGCCCATCTCCGTGCTGGACAAGACAATTGATAGACGGCCTAGCGCACAACTGCCGGCTACCTGAATTCTGGGTCGGAAATATACCGGGATTTGCTCGCTCTGCCGATCGGTCCCTTCATACTGTACACATCCGCTCTCCAGTCTAGGGTCTCCAGTCTAGGGTTACGTATGGCCGGCCCTCTTGGGAAGGTGGGTAAACGGTTGTGGCTTCGGATCTCCACCCGGAAACTCGATGCGCGGCAAACGATTGTGCTGGAAGCGTGTTATATCTGGAGGGAAGAGGGAGTTCAATCTGGTCTGTAGGCAGTGGTTGAAGTGTGCGCTCGAGACCAAAGTTTTTGATATTGCCTAAATAAGGTTTTGTGCCAGATCCATTCCGAAATCGGATCGGCTAAAGGTGAAAAAAAAAAACGTGGAGTCGAACTATATGCCAACGCTGGGTGTGTAGCTGAAGCTGGGGCCTGAAGTGGGGTTCTATAGCCCAAAGTACTCTCCACTTGCGACCTGAATTCCTTAAGATGCTGGATTTCACGGTTGCCTTGCTTTGGACGTCCCTTAATTACACTGATACAGCCTAAATACGAGACCGAGACCAAGACAAATCAGATCGTGAAGGGGAGATTCATATTTTCCACGGGAATATGTACGCGTATAGCCTCGAGGGCTGTTAGTTTGGCCGAGCATATTAGGACTACACTAACCACATCGCGAGATTTCGATCCTGGTTGTTGCCGCCACAATATAGAGCAAACGATAGAAGCAAATAAACGATCAACAGGTGGGCGCACCTCGAACCCATCTCCAAATGAATGGAATGCTCGCATCTGATAGAGACCAGCAAGCGCCCACAGAGACTGGGATGAGCAATTTTCCCGAAACATGGCGCCCCGTCCAGTGGCTGGGTATCGTGATGATCAGTGTCCAATACCTGGTGTCAGACTGGGCAATAGCCCTTAGCACCAGCCTCCTCAGTGGCCACTAGCGCCGCGGTTGTTGAGCTAGGGTATATCGGCATTCGGTCTGATACCCCAGTCGTAAATTGCATACAGCCCAATTTCTCTTGGCATCGGCCAGAAACAGGCAAATGCTCTCACGTCGGATCGAGACAGACATGCGATTCAACATTCCGAGGTGTCAGTGTACATTTCGACTAGTAGAGTAAATCGTTGGGGGCATGTGAAAGCACCAGACCATATTAGCTCACGATGTCCAGCCCTGATCATGCAGGCTGGGAACATAGCGTACGCAGGGGCCTTGGACCTCTAAATTCGTTATCAGGTACATGTAGAACTGGAATAACACAATCACAGGTGCGTGCTATTGTCGCCAGACGAAAACGAGCAGAAATGAAATCGGGGGGAAATTAAATACAATTACTTCCTGGTATAGTTCTCTCCAATAAATCATCATTCATACCTTAGTACTTGCCCGATTCAGCCAGCGGCATACCTTCATCCTATTCAGGGATGATAAAATTAGAGTACAGTCTGCTGTCGGTAAATGTCTTTGGAGTTCTTAGCAGGGTGTAATATCAGAGCCTGGTATTGCCTTTTTCCCCTTCCCAATAAGGACCGGACACGGCATACAAGCGCTCTTCCCCGACAGAACACATTGCAGTTTTGTTTGTTCGCCGAAGATCCAAGACAAAGCCAGACAAAAAAACCATGAATAACGCAACAGCGCTGAATGGAATGCAGTCCATGTCGGAAGATCGAGAAACTGCGCAGTCCTGCCCTAGTGCGGAAACAAACCTAAACCTGAGATAGTCGACCCAATCCCTGAGATATGTGAAATGGCGTGTCTAGGGGGAAATTGTACATGGACAAGCTGTGCGAAGTGGGCACTACTCCGAGCTTGGCTTCATAGTTGCTGGATCTTGGTAGACTTCCCTGGGGATCCATGGTACTGTACTGGATTACAAAGATCCAGGCCCAGCCCTGAAGATTCCAAGGTTTTCCAAGGTTCTTCCGGCTTGAATGGTCCCGAGGTCCCGTCTATTTGATCCACTACCTCGGGCCTTTGGGGGTGCAAAGCCCTAACTTGCCCTTAGTCTGTAGGCCCCATATGCCTATCCGCTTTGGGGTCTTAGCACTGGCAGCCTACCCCTCCATGGTCCCTGTCGTTCCCGCTACCTTGAAAGTGATGTGATCCGGTCCTTGTGCCTAGTCAATGGGGGTTGGCCCTAGTACGTTTGGTCGGAGAAACATGTTCGACAGGGAAATTGCAGGGGAAATTACAGGGGTGCG